CTCATCCATCTCGACAAGCTCATCCATCTCGACAAGCTCATCCATCTCGACAAGCTCATCCATCTCGACAAGCTCATCCATCTCGACAAGCTCATTCAATCCGACAAGCAGTCTGACAAGCTCGTCTACTTCGTCATCTGTGGCAAGCTCGTCCCTGTCGACTCTCACGACGAGTTCGTCGACAGATTCTTCATCCTCGTCTTTTGTGACAAGTAGCACGAGCTCACAAAGCAGCATTTCTTCCACAACGAGCACTACTGAGACAGGCGACAGCACCTCTTCGACATCGAGTAGTACAGAAGTTATCACCAGCACCGAATCAATCACCAGTACTTCTACGACTAGTAGCACAGAGTCCGTGAGCAGCACCACTTCATCGACCCCAGTCGAGCCACCTGCTCCAACTATCACTACTGTCGACTTCATCGACTATAGACTCGAGTACAATACCTTCTACGAGGGGGACGGCTTGCTGGTGATGCCATCTGTGCTGGAGAGGGACGAAACAACTATCCACAGCTGTCTCGAGGTATGCAGCGCTCATCAAGATTGCGTTGCCGCGAGACACGACTCGAACCAGAATAGCTGTCTGATGTTCAGCTCTGTAAATGTTGGCTCGAGGGATACTGCTCCTGGATTCATGTTTGCCACAGTTCTCACAGCCAGGCCAGTTGAAGCATACGATGTCATCACGTCAGAAGGACTCCAAATTTTCTGTACAGCGCTTCTTGCGTCTATCTCTACTATCTCCACCCCAACTGCTTTGGCCTCCTACGATGCCAGCCTGGTTACCTCAGCCTGTGGCAAAGCAACCTCTATGCCTGCTACGACCACTACGTCTTCCATCAATAGCTCTACGTCAAGCGCTACATCGACTGTTTCCACTTGCATATCCAAACCGATTGTCGATGCACAGCAGCAGCAGGAAGACTCAGACGCACTTGATTTCCTGTTCTCTCACAACAACTTGACCCTGATGCTATCGAGTCTGCCATACTCCGCGCTGGTTGGTACCACACTTACGCTTACGGGGGACATTCTTCCGTCCATTCAATCCGCTTTACAAAATTGGGTCCCTTGCACCTCGCACAATGTTACCACACAGCTTCTCGCGTGTAAAGATCTGACGAATCCCCAGGCCTTCACAAGCTGTATCATAGCCCGAACAGATCCTGCATTCTCGATCAGATGGGGGCCAAACGGTTATTTGCCGACAGCCGCACTTACCAGATTCATAGCCACGTGCAAAGATGCATTTACGACTGTCAATGGTGCAAAAATCACGCCGGATATGAGTCCGATCTCAATCCTCGACCATGTGGCGGCAAATGGCTATACCAAGAGCCCGGCCTTTTTGAACTTGCAGTATTACTTTGGAGAATACAACAAGCTTTCCATCGTCTTCGGAATTTAAAGCTTGTTCTGTACGAAGTCATACAATAAGAATATCAAGAAGCCTGTATACTATACCATCACGCAATTCAATCAGCTCTTTAATTCCTCTGATGCTATTCTCCTGCCATCTCACTGCTTTTCATACGTGTACGTGTTCCCGACGGTCTCGGTCCCTCTTGCATTTTTATGCCATCGCTTCGATATGATGCGAAATTATACACCACCTCTAGCTCTAGGGTGTCTTGTCAAAGCCAACTCTAGCTGATCAAAGCATCTACGCTTGCGTAGCTGGAAAGTTCCTCGGGCAGGTGGACTGGTGAATGGTAGGACAAATGAGTTCTCCAGCCGAGAAAGAAGGCCTTGTAGTCGAACCTCTGTTGACGAACTTTACTGATATTCGAGCGAACTTGTACTTGATAGGCAGAGTACCCATTCCTGTCGGGAAAGCAAGACGTTGAGCATATATATCCCCATAATTTGCAGGCCACAATGATGTCCATGTAGATTCGAAAATACTGGGACTTGCTCGTTTGTGATCCATGACTTTTGTGTGGGAAAGGTGTTGATGATGGTGAGGGCAGAAGACGGACATTTGGATATTGGCATGCTGGGCCGAGGGAACGGTGGTTCTTTCAAGGACTGATGCGATTCTCGAAAAAAAAGGACAATGGACAGCGATATTTGCAATTTCATTAGAGGACGACATTAGAAAAGTCGTGGATGTATGCAAGAAAAATCAGCATGTCGTGGTTGTCTGGCAAGTGAATCAAACAAGATCCTGTTTGCCAGACACGAAGCCCCCGGGGAGCAGAACAAGATGTCCTTTGAGCATTCAAATACATGTCTTCGAGGTTCCCCCTCCAATACTATGCGAACCCCATCACAAGGGCGACATGTTGTTTTTTTACGGTCAGTCAATGCGGGAAAGGTGATGGCTACCCCGAAAGACAATCGGTCCAAGCCATGATTACGTTCTGATTGTGCGATAGAAATTATCAGTGCTCTGACACTGATCAAGGAGATGTACAAGTCCATTGAATAGATGCATTTGGCAACAGTATGTCTTCTTTTAGTCTACAATGCATCAATGACAGCATCTATTCCGCATTCAAAAGAGCATGTAGCCCCCTGGCCGTCTCTTCGACGTGATCAACAATGACTTTGGCTTTCTAAGACACAACAGCATTGGCCTCTTGCTCGGCTTTTTCCTCCGTCTTTTGCTCCGACTTGTCCAAAGCCGTACCATTCAACTGGTTCCTCACACCCGCAAGAACCTCGGTCAATTCTCTCAAGAATCTCGTGACTTCAGTTTCTGTGCCGACGGTGATGCGCAAACAGCCCAGACAACCCATCTCCTTGCCTCTGAAGCGGACGACGACACCGCGGGACTCTGCGAGTTGTTCGTAGACTGCGAGGGCGATTTCGTTGGAGGGTTCGTTGGAAGCGTTGAGCATTTCTACGAGGAGGAAGTTGCTGGCGGCACCGCCACGGAAGCGACCGATGCCTGGGATGGAAGGCATCTCTTTGAGCATGCGGTCGCGTTGTGTAATGATCTTGTCGCGGTTGCTGCGCATGACGGCGAGGTTCTTCGGCTGGAGAGCGGCGATGGCAAGTTGTGAAGTGGGGTTTGAGATGTTGTAGGGAGCTTTGAGGGAGTTGAGAAGGGTCGCGATGGGCGGTGATGTAAAGGCGGCCCCCAGACGGATACCAGCGAGACCAAAGGCCTTGGAGAGGGTCTGCATGACGACGAGGTTGGGCCAGTCATTCACCCACTCGGCCAGAGAGGTGCCGTCGGGGGCGAAATCGATGTAGGCTTCATCCAAGACGACAATGCCGTTCCATGTGGGGTGTCTGAGGACAGCTTCGACGTGCTGTTTACTGACAAGGCTGGCGGTCGGGTTGCCGGGGGAGCAAATGTAGACCATCTTGATGGTTGCGTCTTGCGACAGCATCTCGTTGATCAGGTAGGGTTGGAGGGCGAAGTCGTTGTTGACGTCTAGCGGGGCCTTGACGACCGTGACGTCGTTGACTTGGGCAGAGACCGAGTACATGCCGTATGTGGGAGGGCAGGTCAGGATCTTGTCTTTTCCAGGGGTGCAGAAGGCGCGAATCAGGGCGTCAATGGCCTCATCGCTGCCGACGCCGACAAAGAGGTTGTCCGGTGTCAATTCCTGTTCCGTGTGGGTGTGGGTGTTTCGGAGGGTGCAGAGTAGTTGCTTGAGCTCTGGCTGGTGACTGTTGTATCGTGTTAGACAAGCGTGTCACTGGACAGCAGTGGTGGGCGCATACGGGTCCGGGTAGCGGTGGAGGCCAAGAAGGTCGATCTCGACACTGCCGTCTCCATTCAGAGCATTCTTCAGCTTTCCCGAGGCGTCGTCAATCGTCAGACCAGGGCCGTATGCGTTCTCATTGGCGTCCAGCAAGATGTTTGTGCCGTCGTCCTTGTAGTCACTGTAGTGAGTCACCAGTCAGTATGATTACAATGAATTGGCGACGGAGCCAGACGCACTCTCTGGCACATCTGTATGGCTCGAGAGCCAGGATGTTGGGGCGAGCGCAAGTCTCGAGGTTGAACGCGTTGATTTGTGAAGACATTGTCAATTGATATGGTATATGTGGATGAGAAACGACCGAAGAATTGACAAGCGTCAGATCGGCATGTGAAAGTCGGAGTCATCGCAGCTTCGGGCTCGGGCTCGGGCCCAAAACGTCACCGGGCCGGCCTGGTCGCTCCTGCCTGATCTGCCGGCCATTCCGCTTCCTGCCTGACTTGCCCTGTCACATGCTGAAATGAACACCCGAAGCACTTTCCTTCTACAGACGCTGCAATTCAATCAAAACTCTCCCCACTTCCATCTTGTGCCTCCACGTGCTGTTCTGATCTTCATGTTCTGAACTACCTCAAGCATTACATCATCTTGCGCCGGTACTCTGCAAGCGTTTGGACTACAGCTGCGCGACACGACACGCCCGAAGTCATCTTCGACAATCTCGCATGCCACTGCTTCAACCGCCTATACTGACCAGACTACCATGCCATCACCCCAACCGATTCCCGTGACGAGGGTCATATCACCATCGCCGACGCCAACAGAATCATCCTCACGCGACAGCTACTTTGCAGGAACAACCAAAAAGCCCAACGGCAGAATCTCGCCCTCCCAAGCTCCCATCGCAGAGTCACCAGAGTCCTCGGATCCGGAAAGCAGTCGTGCCAGACCGCGGAGTCGGAGTCCGCAATTACACAGGAAGGATTCGTCCAAAAAGATAGCCAAGTCGATACCCGAGCCCATCAAGACGGATGGGCACCTGGATCCGAGTAGTGCGGGTATGGGCAAGACTTACTGGCGCAATCTGAGTCGTAGTCCGAGTCCGCTGGGCTTGATCCCTCTACACCGTGAATGGAGGAGCTTCATCCACAGACATGAGATTCCGCGAAAGGCGCTGCACGTCTCGATTGGCTTCTTCACACTGGGTCTTTTCATCTCTGGTGCTCAAACAAGTGCTATCCATCCTCCTCTTCTTACCGCTCTGATCCCCATCTTCGCTGTCGACTTTCTCCGCATGCACTATCCGTAAGCTCTTCTCGACCTTCCATCTCTGTACCAAAGCTAACACGACCAGTCCTCTAAATCGCATCTACATCCGCACCCTAGGAGCCTTCATGCGCGAATCAGAAGCCCACGACAAGTACAACGGTGTCATCTCGTACCTCGCAGGTGCCTGGGCAGTCCTCCGCTTCTGCCCCAAAGACGTCGCCGTCATGTCCATCCTCCTACTCTCCTGGTGCGACACGGCAGCATCCACTTTCGGCCGTCTCTGGGGTCGCTACACACCACGCGTACGCAAGGGAAAGAGCTTGGCTGGTACAATCGCTGCTTTCGTTACTGGTGTTGCTGCGGCTGTCGTCTTTTGGGTCGTTGTTGCACCGAGGATACCTGCAGAATGGAGTACGGGTGTCAATGCCTTTGCTTTCGATGGCACATTGAGTCTGCCTCCTATGGCCAGAATTGCACTCGGTTGGAAAGAGGCCGAAGCTACCGTGTCTGGTACCGTCGCTACTGCTATTGTCGCTGTTGTCTCGGGGCTGGTCGCTGCTGTTAGCGAGGCTATCGACGTCTTTGGCCTTGATGACAATCTCACCATCCCTGTGCTCTCCGGCATTGGTTTGAATGCTTTCTTTTATCTCTTTGGAAACGGTTTGCGATGAAAGGAAATGATACCACAATTGGGATAGGCAAACAAGGAAGAAAAGGATGATCGAAACCGGACAGGCGTGGCAAGGCAACCGACAAATACTTATAATGTAGAATATTCATACCCCTCTTCTCATATTTCTCCCTCACTATCCCTGACATGCGCAACTCTCTGATCAGAATATGTACGTCCAATCTGGAAATGTATATCCATGCTGCCCTTGTTGACAGCAAGGAAAATGTACACGTCGAAGATTTATCCAAAGTCATTCAACGAATCTCAGACTACGATATCGAAAGCCCTCCCTACACGAAACAGGCTTATCGTCCCATCACCACAGAAGACCCCCCTTCTATCCCAGAAAGAAGAAGACCCCGCCTCTTTTTTTTGTGTTTCCTGTGACTTTTTATCATTGGGCATAAAGAGAAAGAGAGAGAGTGGGGGAAAATGTGTTCTCTTTGGAAGAAAAAAGAAGGAGGGATGACATGACATGAAATATTTCAAGGATGGACGGGGAAAGGGCATGTAGAATAGTTTGGAGAAAGCAAGTTCGCCTGTTAGGGGGATACTACTACATAAGCGCTTTCTAGCATAAGAAAAAAACAAAGTGAGACAAGTAATCAGGTGCAAACGCCAGTTCCCCTTTCATGCCATATGAATGCATCACATCAACAGCGATGCTCCCTTCCACAACATCAAGCATCAAACAGAAATCATCCAACAACAGCCTTAAAACTCAATGCCTCCAAAAACCCACTCAGATCCTCCTTCTTGACCTCGACAACCTCATGCTCGAACGAATCAATCCTCACTCTGGCTCCAGTCTCCTCGACAACTTCCTGGAAAGCAGAGCCGAACTTGTTGCTGCCATACCCTCTCTCCTTTCTCTTTTCAACCTCTTCTTCGTCTTCGGACTCCGAGTCGCTGGAATCAGAGCCAGAGGAAAGTGATTCGGCGTCAGAGGCTTCATCATCGCTGTCCACGAAGATGCCATTTGCCTCGTCGCGCTCTCGGCGATCTTGTTTGCGTTGAGCGCGTTGAACCGCTTTCTGAGCCTTCTTCTCCGCTTTCTGTGCTTCTTTTGCTGCTTTCTTGTCCGCGCGCGCCTTTTGCTCTGCACGGCTTCTCACGCGTCCTGATGCTGCGTCTCCACCACCAAGACCAACGACCACATATACTCCCCTACGCTCATCCAGAGCAGCGAGAACCAGTGCATTGTCATTGCTGCGTTTGGCGCCTTTTTCTGCTTCAAGCACGGAAATGGCTTCGGCAATCCAGGTGGCGAGTTTCACAAGGGCGCCGGGGTGGATGAAGAGACCTACATCGGGTCCTTCGCGGACAACGCCCATGCGAAAAGCGCGTAAATGGCGGATTTGGTGTTTCGATACCAATGCACTGCCGGTACGGAGAATAGCTCTGTGCAAATGTTGTGCTGTGGGTACATGAGATAGCAGCAGATGGAGAGCAGAGGACGAAGGCGACAAAGCATCGTATGCGGCGAAGAAACGGTGAGTCGTCCAGTCAGGATCTGAGATTGAAGCATCGAGCTCGAGTTGCGACGCTGATGGTGATGAGTCGCCGTTGTGTGATGTGGGTGGTGTAGGTAGTGTTTGCATACGTGAATTGTAATTGGAGTAGACCTTCATGCGGAAGTCGGTTTGTGGTGTGGCGGCAGAGATGGATTCGAAAATGCGTTCTGTGCCCACTTCGAGGATGGCACTTGTGATGACAGCGACGTCGACAGCGGACAGACAGGCTTGCCAGCCCCAGGAGCGGACGAATCCCCAACCTTCATGTCTGTGATGGTGACTGTCTTCGGGCGGTACCAAGCCATCAAGGCCGTACATGGGAGCGAACTTGAGCAGACGTTCTCGAAGGCCACGCTTGAGCTCCATATCCATGTGTGTGTAGCCCTTTTCGGCTTCAGCTAGGGAAACACCCATCTTGGCCAGAAGTTTGTGCAACCTCCTTCGTCCAGCATCGGACCAGATGTGTAGTCGTGATGACAGATATGGTGAATGCAGCATGCTCTCATACAATGACCAATGTCTAATGAGAAGAAATTTCGGCTCTGGGGACAGACGGATCGAGTTGTCCGTTGGTGATCGAGCGTGAGTAGGAATGATACCTCCTGCTTCGTCTCTTTCCCTGGCAATATCTGAAGCTGGCACGGGGTTCAGACGGCGGACTTCATCGCGAAGTACATCTCGGATCTGATCACCTCTACTCAGGTTCCATGGGTTCTGGCGTGTCTCGGAGTTTGCAGTCTTTGATCTGCCGTAGAGCTCGGTAGAAGACATGCCTACGAGTGCCAGCCAGAGAAGATCATTGTCTTCGCGACCAAGCTCGGAAGCAAGTGAATACAGCATGGAAGATATGGGCTCAGAGGCCGAAGTGCCTAACGAGTAGTATGCTTCCAGAACGGCTTCGTGCTTTCGCTTCATCTTGAGTAGCTTGCGACGTAGCGAGCGTGCAGATGGTTCCTTGGGTTGAAGTGGCGGTGACGACGGAACTGGACCGAGCTGTGAGGATGAGGGATGATTTGACATTTCAAGTCGTTCGTGTCGTGACGCTGGTGATCTAGGCGTGGCAGGTATTGATGTGTTCTGGAATAATGTTAGTCTTGACCCTTCTCCTCTACTCTGTTGCACGCTTGCACGTACTGAATTGCTTCGTCGCCTTTGATAAGGTCGGTCAGCATCATCTTCACTGTCGGCCTCTTCCTCGACGTCGTCGTCGCTCCAAGTCTTCCTCTTTTTCGTCTGCGAATCTTCAACAGCATCTTCCGAATCGCTCTCTTCGTCAGAGTCACCATCATCTGCTTCTTCGTCAATGTCGGGCATGTCTTGCAAAGCACAAAAGGCTTCCTTTTCAGCATTCAGCTCTTGCTCAATGTCGCCGTCATCATAGACAATGATGCCTCCTCTCCCCGGCGTATATGATGGTAGCAGTTTGCCGCCGTCGACACCTCTTCTCCTCTTTGCTACTGTGTCTTGCTCCTCTGGTGGTGCCATGACACCTGTGCCAAAGACATTTTGCAAGTTCCACGGCCTACGAGCATCGACGACCCAGACTTCAACGCCGTGGTCGTACATGTTTATTTGTGTCTCCGCATCTTCACCTCCGTCCAGACCCAGCATCTCTTCCAAGTCAACCAGTCCACCGACGCCTAGACAGACGACAATGCCTCCTTGTCCACCATGTTGACGCGTCAAAGGGAGGACAAGATCTTTTCCCGCGGCTGCCAATTCACTGTATCCAGCTATCGGTTGGACTTTGTGAGGAATGTAGTCGCGTTTGAGAAGTGCTGTGAGGATCCGACACGCGCAGAGAGCATCCGGGTCGAGTGATACGAGTATCAAGACTGGCGGTGAGAGTGGGTGCGTGTTGCGGACCAGATGTGTGTAGAGATGTGAGAGAAGCGTTCGAGGAAGATACATGGTGAAGGTGTTGTATTAGGAAGGCATGCGTCGAGGTCAATCGTTCCTTCTTCAAGAGAGTCGTTCAATCTAAGTCGTGGTCGTGACGCGTTTTGAAGGAATGTCGTAATGTCTCATGCTATGTTTTGGACAGTCTGTGATTCTGAGATGGCCACTCGAGCACAGCTGTACAGTGCTATGCGGAGCAAAAGAACGGCGTTATTCGTCTTGGGTATATGCGTGTTCGCGTGCTGGCAAGGGGAGTTTGAGGCACGCGGGTCTGTCGTGAATCGAGCACGCGTCGCGCCTTCCCAAACTTTGGCGCTTGTTCACGCGTTTTGATGACCGCTGCAAGCTTGACCGGCCTTGGCGCTCGTCAGAACATCAACAGATCGTTTCGATTTCTGCCTTTCTTTTTCCAAACATCAAACGTTGCATGTCGTGGTATTGGCTGTGGTCAATTCATTCTGGTGTTGACATTATGCTATCTCTATCTCATTTTTACCAGTCATGAGTTATTACTTCGCCAGTTCCTACTGCCCTGCAAGTGACCGAGCTCTAAACAAGCCCTTCCTTCTTTTGCAGTTGAATCCTCTGGTTGACCGCACTTCGGGGATGCATCACATCCCTCAGTCCTAGCCACTTTGTATTAATCGGACTAGGTCCGGTATAAATGCACAAGTCATACAACACGCCCCCAAACACACATCCACAGAACGGTGCCACCATAGGTATCCAGAAGTAATATCCTCCGGCACTCCAGACTTCGTGCCCATAACCAAGAGCATAGCTCATAAGGCGAGGTCCGAAGTCGCGAGCAAGGTTGACTGGCAGGGATCAGCTTCGTTCTCGACGTCATGTAGTCAATACTTACTGGCGTAACCTGTCTCAACACCAAAGCATGCACCGATGCCGAAGATCAAGAAGAAGAGTCCAAGAGGGAACCAGTTGCCACCGCCTGCTGACACTCCATTGTTCGTGTCGTCCTTGAGTGCGAATATAGTGAACATCAAGATGGCGCTGGCGATGAACTCTGAAAAAAACATGCTGACTTTGGTCATGTATGCCTTTGGGTAGGTGCAAAAGATTCCTGCCGTGGCTGTCGGGTTTGGAGGTACTGTTCGAATCCCCTGGCCTTCCACTGCATTGATGGCATTGACGTAGTTTGCATATATGATAGCCGCAGCCACGAGCCCGCCAAGAAATTGCGCCAGAAAGTACACTGGAAATCTTCGCCATGGAAGCTTGCGAAGAAGGCAGTTGGTAAAGGTGACCGCTGGGTTGAGATATGCACCAGAGTCTCCGGCAACATACACTCCCAGCATCACACCAATTCTGATCGTACAATTAGTAAGTGATACGAGCAAGACAAACAGGACAAACTTACGCCCAACCCCAATTGACGGATTGATAATTACCATATCCGTTACCGCCTGGGGCAGAAGTGTCTCCTGTGCTCAAAACCACTTGAGCCACTGCACCATCGCCGAACAAGACTAACAACATGACACCGAAGAACTCTGCAAAAGGCTCTCTCAACGCCAGTCTGACTTTGCTCCAATAGAGCTTGGAATACTCGGTCATGTCGTGCTCCTCTGCGATAGGCGCATGTGGATGGAGACCGAGGCGCGTCCTGGCATATTGGAGACCCTGAGATGAAGACGTCGTCGTGTTGGTGTCCAGCGGTGCACCGCCCGCGTCTCCATTCTTACCAATGTGTTCGACATGATCTCCAGGTCTGGTCGACCATCTATTCAACTTCATGGGCTCTTCATCAGCGTCATGAGACTGAGCTTGTACGTGAGTGGCTCCCGAGAACTGCCGATCATGCCGCGTAGACGCTTGCGACCATTCTTCATTCGACCTCGGAGTTTGAGCATTCGCCCATTGTCCCGAGCTCTGCTCCTCTGGATGGTTATTGCTCATGTCGACCGTGTATAAGCTCTACTGGACGTCTGAATAAAGTTGGAAAGTTGTGTATAAGCAGAAGTTAGAAGCAGCCAGCAAAAAAAACAGGTTCGAAAGCAAGACAGAGGCTGAAATGATTAGAGAAAACAGGCAGAAGCTGGGAGTTTAAACACAGGAGCTTACGTGCGCCTTCTATGTCACCATGGCTTGGGTATCCGAAAACATAGGATCAGCTTTGCCGCTTGTAAAAGGCATATCACTCGATCCTGTAGGCATCTCTCGCTACCGAATCGTTAGCTGTTGCGGCAGTAGTATTGGCGGTGGTTACCCCGCCTGAAACTCCCACCTGTTCCATCATGCATAGCAGCCGCGACTCCCGCCGAGCCGCCTCTGGGGACATTTTGCGACTTGGACAGTTCTTGGGAGAAAAAGGTACAGATGATCATGTCCCTCTAATCAATACTGTTTTGCTATCGCGCCTCTAGCAATGTGTGCACCCGTTTATAAATCTGCTTTTTTTGCCCTTGCCCTCATATTCTTCAGCCCAGCTGTCTCTCAATCTGACTGTTTCCAACGCAGTACAAGGATACATCATTCCTTTGAACCGCTTGAAGAAGGAAGGAAACCCATTCATGTACCCCGGAAAGTTCACCCCCCACGGGGTTGATGCGTGCAGATCATCCTTCCCGTCTTCCGATGGGTGTGGGGTTTGCGCCTCATGACGTTTCGCTTATTGACAGAGCTCGGATGGATGTTTGTGACGCCGAGCACATCTATCATATTGTTACTGAGACACGTTTTGTGCCCTGCAAAGGCCTTCTGATCGCTGGAGAAAGACGTGATCTCATTGCCAGATCAGAAGAGCTGTGGACAGACATGAAATCGATGGTGGTCTTGTCTGGGCGAGATAGAAGTTGACCTCCTTGGGTCACTGCAGCAAGTTTCTTCCGTCGTAATACTACTATGCTGGGGGCGATGGATGCAGATGCCGGATACATTTACCTGATGCCTTCGTCTCTGTGTAGACTGGCCGCGACATGTAGCACACCGAGCTGCCACCGAGAGACATTCTCCGAATTGGTGGGAACTTAGGTCGGCTTCTGCGAGCGAGTTAGGTCTTGGGAGCTGTGTGGTTTTATACCTGTACGAATTGCTGCTTGTAACAACACCTTGTGATGCTTTGACAGAGCTGGTGCAGGTTGACCACGGCCGTATTCGCTGATTGGACAAAGGTTGATGGTCGAAAGAAATGTCATGAATATTTATACTTGCATCGGTGCGGTTCACCCAGCACAGTGGCTACTATATAGGAATATGTATGTCTCGGCATCTCATCATCTCAAACGGCACCATCTCGATACCTTCCCTCGATGCGTCTACGAAGAAGCAGCAGACTCCAGAATGGCGTCTGACTTGCCCTCCAGATCAGCAGCAGTGGCCCTCTCGCAAATGACCACAAAGGCTCTTCTCTTCTTCGTCTCCTTGTCACCGTCTACCAGATGGCTGGTGTCGAGCTTGGCCCAGTATCTGTCCAGTACCTTGGCCAACTCGTCAGGGTGCTTGGGCAGACCCAGCTTCTCGATACCGCGCGATGATCTCTCGTCGACGAAGGGGAAGGCTTCAGGCCAGAGCCACTGAACACGACGGAAGAAGATGTCTAGGCCAGTCTTTCCAACACCTTTGATGTTCTCTTGCAGCAGGTCGCGCTCCATATCCCAACCCTTGCTTGCTTGTTCGCGCAATTTCTCGAGACTCGTATCCTTGTCGTCCTTGCAAAACTTGTGAGCCACAACATCAGCGACGAGACCAATCTGCTCAGCAGTCTTGTCTTTGTGCTGCGTCTTTGCGTCTTCCAAGGCTTTGTGTCTTTTTTCCTTGCCGGCACTGATGATAGCTGCGGGAGTGGTGAAAGAGTAAGGGTCGTTCAGGATGGTACGGATGGCACGAAGACCGAGTTTGTGGCTGATAGGACGGCTCAAAACGACTGCGCAGACCAATTCTTCGAAAGCAGTCAGTGCGGAAGAAGAGTAGGTCTTGTAGTCGTCGCCGCGTGACTGCACTTCGTCTGACTCATCGTCGGGGCGGCACAATTCAGTCGATGCAGGCGAGAGAAGGTAGTTCAGGAGTTGCTCGGTGGTGGGTGCAGCCTTTTGTGTGCCACGGCCGGATTTGCGCTCGCCTGCTCGGGCTGGAGGGACATCGGCCTTGCGCTTCTTAGACGCCTTCTTTTCCTCCGACTTGGTCTCGGTGGTGGCTGGCTCGGCAACTTCGGCAGCTCCCTTGCGCTTCTTCGACTTGGTGTCCTTGGATGCAACAGCGGCTTCTGCTTCAGGTGCAGGTTGAGCATCGGATGGCGCTCCAGCGGCAGGCTCCTCGGTCTTGGGCTCTTCAGTCGGAGGCTTCTCCTCGGTCTTGGGCTCTTCAGTCGGAGGCTCAGCTTCGACTGCAAGTTGCTCTTCACTGGCTTCCTGGGCGGCTGGCTCTTCTTCTACCTTGGTCTCTTCGGCAGGTGCGTCCTCAGCAGGGGCTGCTGTCTCCTCGGCCACGGCGACGCCATTGGCAGCAGGTTCGGCTTGAACTTCTTTCTTTGCTTTGCCCTTGGACGCGGCCTTGGCCTTTTTCGGAGGCATTGTGTGATGAAGGAGGAAGGGAGGAGAAAGAGGAAATGGAAAATGTGGTTTGCTTGGAGGAGAGAAAGCAGGAAGAAGGAGGAACATGGCCCAACAACGTTGTTGTTGGTGGCTGGCACCTACCCCAGACGAATCAATGTCGCACTCCGCGGTGACCCTGACGTCAAGAAGCAACCCAAAACCATATCATTCATGCAAGATGCGTCTGTTCCAAGGCTGAAACGAGCACGAGGCTGTATATAGGTCGTGCGTGTAATTTGATGCGTCCAATCATATTTGAGACTTGAAGTTCGCACACAAGCAAGACAAGAACAGTCAGAGCTCACGGCGGCTGAATTGATTTCTAGCACGCTTGTGAGCGCGAAAAGATATCTGGGGGAAGCTACGACCAGCCCATCAACGGCCAGAGCTCCAGCACTTCCCTAGCAACCAGCAGTTTATTGTTCATACCCCTGACCGTGCTTGTCAAAATCTAAAGTGATTATACCAGGGATGTTGGTAGAGCCTTCTAGGTACCATGCGACCGTGACCTTGTCGATATCGCAAGGTTTTGAACATCCCAGCGTGAAGATCATTTATTGAAATTTTGACGTCAGCGAACGCGCGCAAACACAAAACTCTACAGCTTCAACTTATCTTTTCATGCAAATCAATTGTCATTTTATCTCATCCACAAATTTTCACTTCCTCCACATTATACCATGCCTCCCAAGGGATCCAAGAAAAGAGCTGCTGACACCGAAGCTGGTGCTCAATCAAAAAGCACAAAGACCGATGCCTCTACTACCGCTGGTCCCTCGACCGAGAGAGAGCCAATTGTCGAGGTTGCTGGCTCGAACGATCAAGCTGCCGAAATTGATGGCCCCGACGACTCTGGATCCGACGATGCCGATATGACTGGAGAGAAGATCAAGAACGACCCCTATACCTACATCGTAAACTGCCCACCTCGTTTCGAATTCGAGGCCCGCTACAATAAAGAGCACGACGACGGCGGCGAAGACTTTGACGAGGAAAAAGCGAGCGAACTCTGGGCAGAGGAACACAACGGCAGGAAATGCGCTTGCTTCAACAAGGAACGCACCGATGGTTGGAGCATGATGAGAAAGGCATTTGCTCGCAAGATGGACGCAGAAACTATCGAGATCCCACACCGCGACCCCGACAGATTCGACATGTATGTCTACAACGACTTTGCTGGCTACGGATATCAAGAGGTTATCGAGAACCACATGGCCGAGTTCAACAAGGTCTTGAATGCCAAGGATGGAAAGACCGAGGAGCTTTGGACCATTTTGGAGTCAATGGGATGGTGGATCGTGGATGAGCCAAATGCTCCATGGCACATGATTGATGATGGTGAACGCTCATGGCTGACATACAGTCTGCTTGGCTTCATGTTGTTGACCGCTTTGAACCGCATGGATACCGAAGGCGACCTCAAGACTGACTCCAAGTACAAGGATCTGTCACTTGTTCTGGCCCTCTGGGCAAAGGCAGCTGATGATCTCGGGGGCGATGTTGTAGACCCTCTTGCTAGCAAAAAGATGGACTCGACTATCGGTGACTACGCAGGCTTCAACCTCCTGTGGTTCCGCTATCTCCTTACTCTTGCAAAGGAAGCTAACGTTCCCATCACCGGCGTCACCGACGTCGACGACAAAATCGATGGATGGAATTCGCAGGTCGAGGGCAAGGTCACATTACCGCCGAAGAGAGTAGATCGCTTCGACTGGAAAGCAAAGGTAGGACTCGAATATTCTCAATGATGGTCATCTGCTAATGATATGACAGTACCAGCTATACACCAAGAAGTACGGCAAGGCCGGCAAGATTGGTGGAGAGGCCTTCCAGATCACAAAATGGACTCGTCAAAAGAGAGCAAAGCATGCCTTTGACAAGAAAGACCCCCTCACAGACGATCAAGTCAAGGCACTTAAGGACGGTATGGTCTTGCAGATGATGTAAATTTGTGCGGACCACGAATTGTGACTAAATTTTGGTGTAATAATGTTGAAACATTGACAACGAGCAAATCTCGCTCGAACTACCTTGCGCGCCTCGCTGTCCAAGTGACTCCCGATGCGACGCGGAACGAGTTCCTCGAAGCCATAGAATGACTCTGTTCCTCGACGCTTGGGGTTTTTTGTTCGAAAGAGCTTTTCTTCGCTTTCCCTGTTGCTACTGATCGTTCGCGCTCGCCAACTCGCAACAAATATATTTCATCACCTCCCGTCCATTCGAACATCCGCGGCTCGGCACACGAACACCCGAACCCTCCACGATGAAGTACCTTACCTTCCTCGCCTTGGCCATTGCTTCTCTGGTTGTCGCCGCTGCTCTCCCGAATACCCTCAGCAGGCCACTCGATATCTCGAGCATGATATCAGGCCCAAAGTCTCTCTCCGACGTTGTACCACTTGCCCATTTTGACAAGAAAATTGAACTGGGGAATCTGAGAGGAGAGTGTGAGCCGCGCTTACATTGTCCTTTACCTCGGCCTACTTACCCTGAGCGCCTTTGCGAGGTGCGTTATCCTTGTAGAGATGGGACTCGGCGCATGGGAGGCTCAGAGGTGTATCGACTCTGCGATTTCTTACCGCCACTTGAGGAGTAGAAAAATGTCTCTCCTTCTGTTTGCAAAACGAGAATCAAAGAAAATGATGAATTACGGTTCTTATTTTTTCCCTCTTTAGTACATTTGTGAGAGGTATCCATCCGTCAACACCATCACAAGTCCCTAGATCTGAACACCAAGCCTAATCCCCTCCATCATCAGATAATAGCCATCATAGCTACAGTCTCCACAGCGAGAGGCTTCTGCGGCAGATCTGTATATCCCTTTCTCCAACACCTGCCTTTTCCGCAACAAATGTTGTCTTTGCAGGATTTGTGCTCTTCGGGGATGTGTGGAAGTACACTGGTCTTGAGTGTGTTTCTTGGGACTGTTGAGATCGTCGGCGGAGGAGGAGGCTCATTGAAGGTGAAAGGCGATGCGATTGCGACTTTTGTGTTGAATGTGTTTGACGGAGCTGCGGGGAGCGGTGAGCTTGGTGTGGCTGCGGCCAGAGCTATTGAGCTGGCGATGAGGAGTGCGAGTCTCATGGCTTGGAGATGTTTGGGATGATGTCTTTGGCGTCTGATGGTGTTGTGTCTTGAATTTCATATGGTGGAAAGTGGAGGATGGTAAGTTCATAGGTGTCCATTCCGATAGTGTTGTCAAGAACTCGCTCATTCGAAATATAGATCTCGCGGCCTGAGTCGTTATAATTCGTGGCAATATGACGCGAGTCGCACGTGGGAATCGAACAATATCCAGTTTGATCGAGACTATTTGGCTTGATGGCAGCGTAGAATTGTGGAAATCAATACCGCATGTGCTCAGACTTTGGTCTCGATTCACTGAGCGACCTCGTCAGATCCCCTCGCTGACGTCAAATTACAGACTCCAGAACCCTTCGAATTCATTAATCAGCTTGCTGCCTTCGAAGGTCAAGTCTGTGTGGCCGATGCATCCGCTGTAGAGTTTCGTAGGTGTGGAAGTACTCACATTATGGAACCAGCGTTCAATATACTTGCCTCAGACACCACGTCGTCTGAATTTGCACATGCCGTTAGCTTTCTCCATCGCTGATCCCTTTGATAGTCAGAATATCGCCTGTGGTGCTGGATTCATCGCGGATTTATGTCTAAGTGATGATGGTACTATCGTGGGCCAGAATCCAGCTTGGGGTTATGGTAACCTTCTATATACAATCAATGGCGTTTGAATAGATATAATTCGAGTACCTTAGAATTGTTGTTTCTATAGTCATCGAATGAAGAATGTCGAGCATAGTAAACAATGTGACATCTTGATCTTTCTCAGCGACCGTTTCGTCTTTGCAATCGTAAACCGCAACAACCATTTGTTAACTTGCAGATCACTTTCGACTTATCATGCAGCTCTGTCTTGTAAACCGTCCTTGCTTTCCCCCTGACTCTACCCTTTGCCTTTTGCCTTGCCCACTTGCCTCCTCCTAGTTGTCCTTATCTGCAATCTGCTTTCTTGAGGGTAATGATAATAACAACAGGACTTCTTTTCTAAGCATCATACACCGATATCTAGGACGGTCAAAGTTTACTCTGCTTCAGCCTGAGGGCCAATCGCTCCTGGCTGACGACCAACTCCTTCAAAATTTCCTCACTCCCACCACCTACCACCATGACTCTCAAGTCACGACTGATTTGCTCGACACGTTCACCCCTGCCGTTCCTCGCATATCCGAGTCCTCCCAGAATTTGCTGAGCCTCCCTATTTACCCACTCTAGCACCTGTCCGGCACCCACTTTGAGATTCGCAAATTGTCCACCTAGGTACAATGATTGCTGCTCTTCGTGCGACTTTGCTTGCTTGACCATGCTGACGAGTTGCTCCATGTATGCGTGCATGGGCTCAATCCTCTGGCCAAAGCCTTGAATCTTTGCTCGAATCACTTGGTTCTCAATAAGCTTCTTGCCAAATGTTTCGCGAATACAAGCATGTGCGTATGAGTCCTGGGCGCAGACACGCGCCATGCGGATGCTTGTGCATGCTAGCCATAAACGCTCATGGTTGAAGTCTATTTAGAGGTGGTAAGTATTGAGGTCTCGGTGGATTGCATGAACACTTACTAGACATTATGATTGGGAAGCCTTCATTCTCCTTACCGAGTAGATTCGAGACCGGTACTTCGACCTCGTCAAACTCGATATAAGTGGAGCCTATATTTGTACGTCAGAAACCGCCGTAGAAAGCAGCAATTGTCCAGATCATCGACATACCACTTGCATTGACTCCAGAATTTGATATTTTCTTGCATGTTACACCTTTGGCTTTGAGGGGTATGACCAGAGTCGAGATGCCATTCTTACCCTCACCTCCAGTACGCACGGCAGTCGTTGCATAGTCCGCAAAGTATCCGTTGGTAATCCACTTCTTCGCACCGTTGACAACGTAGACATCTCCCTTCCTCTCCGCAGTCGTTGTCAGACCTGCCACATCACTACCGGCTACGCTCAACTATGTTAGTCGAAATGCCATGGCGTAAGCGGTTGTACATGCTTACCATCTGGCTCAGTAACAGCTAAGCAAAACCTCTTCCTCCCAGCGTAAACATCAGGCAAAAACCGCTTACGCTGCTCCTCATTCCCGAAGTTCACCACGGGCGGACAGCCAATAGAGTTACCACATGTCAACGCCCACACCACACCGAGGTATCCGCATCGTGCAATCTCATCAATGACGATCAAGTCGTGGAAAGAATCCCACTCCTCGTTTGGAATACCTGCAGGCAGCTTGACGTTCGACAAGTGACCTTTGCTCATAGGATATACAGCAGCGGCCTGAAACCCCATATCTGCGTGGAACTGCAAGACATTCTGCGGCACTTGGCCTTTAGTCTCCCATTCGTGACAATGAGGGGCTATGCGTTCGTCAACATAGTCTCGTACAAACTTTCGTAGCTTCCGATGAGAATCGTTGTAGTATGGGCTCGAGTTGCGAGAGTACCAAAGAGGCTCTGCAAAAGGAGCTGTGGAACCGAATGCTGTCATTGTGAACTCGGTGATTGTATGAGACGCTGGTACAGATCAAAACGAAGTGTGCGATATATCTAGTATAATGTACAGTAACGAGGTGAAGGCAAGCGGTGTTGATTTGATCTCCGGACTACTGAGAGCATCTACCTCCCCGGAGTTCCGTGGTGAACCCCGGGTATATACTAGTGTGGCCATCAAGGTCGGTATTGCGCTTCTGAACGTTCTCTCCGCACATTCATGCCGGGTAGGAACCTCTTAGTCCTATTGTTTTGCCGCGCTTCTGTCACTATCACCGTGCCGAGGACGCTGTTAGTACCGATATTTGACGTTTGGTATGGAAGACAGTCTCCGAAAGTGTAACCACAGCGTCAGACTGAGCCTCAGGACAAATTACCTGCTCGACACTGCGTACCTTATGTATCACTAGGAGATGTATTTTCTTCCAGAAAGATAAGAGAAATTATGGAGTTTTAAATCATCTCCAAGATACAGAGCATTCTATAGTCTCGTATGCGCCGTAAGCTTCAAATTGCCCCAGTCTCTTAACTTGTTCTTCTGAATCTTCCCGCTCGCAGTCATTGGAAGCACACTCAAGCATCCTGACTCTCCAACCCAGAAAATATGCTTTGGTGTCTTGTGACGGGCAAGAGATGACCTAACAAACTCTTGAATTTCCATATCCGTAAGTGGTGATCTGCCCTCGCATCCAACAAGGAAAGCGGCAACTACTTCGCCGTAATGTTTGTCAGATAGTCCAACGACACTGGCTATCGAGATGTCAGGATGTAGCATCAAATGTGCCTCAATCTCAAGAGGGTAAATGTTCTCTCCAGCTGGTGAAGATCATAGTTAGCGTTGTGGCGCAGAATGTATTGGTTCTATGGCTTACCTCGAATGATCATGTCTTTGATTCTGCCTGTCACGTAACAATAGCCTTCTGCGTCAAGTATTGCTTCATCACCAGTGTGTAGCCATAGTGTACCTTCTTCCTCGATCATGACCTCTGCAGTCTTAGCTGGATTGTTGTAGTATCCTTTCTGGAGCATATAACCAGATACACATAGTTCACCCCGCACGCCTCGAGCGACGACTTTTCCGTCGACATCTACTACTTTTGCCGATGTGTGAGGTAGAATCTTGCCTACAGACGTCAACTTCGACTGCAAAGGATCGTTAGTGGTCAGCGTGAAAGTCGCTGGCGCACTTTCGGTCATCCCTGCAATACAGATTAGCATTTGCTTGGACTCTTTCTGAGCTTGAGATGTTTCCTCCTACCATAGATATTGATGTACTCTTCATAGCCAAACCTGGCTTGCAGTCTGGTGATGACGTCGGCAGGCACAGAAGCCCCTGCTACTATACCCGTGCGAAGCTTTACAGGTGGTGAGCCTCTTTTCGTATGCTCGTCCAATACAGCAATCATCATGGTGGGTACACCATGGAGGGCAGTGCAATGATACTTTACGACACAATCCACTGTAGCAGAGGCACTGAAAGTCGGTGAAGGCAGGATCAAGGTTGAAGCATGCGTGACGGATGCCAGAACACCTAGGACAAGCCCGAAACAATGGAACAGAGGAGGCGGAGAGCAGATGATGTCGCAAGTGGAGAGGTTCATTCTATCTCCAGAGAACGTGCCATTGTTGATGATGTTGCTGCTTTGACTGTCAACCATCGAAAGCCGGCACTCTGGACCAATGAGATCTTACTAGTGAGTCAGCATGGCTGCTTTGGGGTTACCAGTCGTACCGCTGGTGAACTGCATGTTGCAAACATCATGCGGACTAGCCTCGCGACTGATATGGAGTAATTGCGCGTCGTGATGTCGGCTGGACATCTGCACAAACTCATCGAAGTGGAGAAACAACTTGGAGTCATGTCGACTTTCCCCTTTTGTTCGGATGAGGACTATACGCTGCAGCTGATTGACTGAGTTTTCTGAATGCTGGAGGGCTTGTTCAATTCTGCTCAGACACGGACGCAAGTCTCGAGCACCAATGTGGCTCGATGTGAACAGCCACTTGCAATCTGCTCACACCACATTAGTCTTTGATGAATCTGCGATGGCCGGCTCGAGCAACCTACCTGCCGCGACAATCGCATTCGCGAGTTCGTCGGGTGTATAGTTCGTGTTCAAAATCACCGTGGTGGCCCTGATCATAGCAGCAGCGAACGTCAATTCGACGTACACCTCACAATTTTCCGCGAATATACCGATATGATCACCAGGAAGAGCTCCGATAGCTAACAGGGCGCGCGCCAATACGATGCATCGTTGATGGAGCTGGTTGTATGTGAGTATAGTGCCAGTCCATGAAATCAGTGCGGTGTGGTCTCCATGTTGATCTGCTTGCTCGGCAAGTAGCGTTGCAAGTGTGTGTGTCTGCAAGGCTCCAGAATTGCTTCCGTGAACGATCGAGAGCCCTTCAGTCATATTCATGGAGCTAAGGTGTAGGCTTGAAGTCGACATGTTTGTTTGCGGTACTTTGACAGCAATCGTATCGAATATCGATCAGTCTGGGCAGATGCCTCCTTCCGAGCCAGGACTGGGGGCATAGGGTTTGAATAGATCTGCAGCATACATCTCGGGTCGTCGGAATTGTTGTTGCCATGTTGAAGTTGAATGGTTGATGATATCTCCGTGAGGAGTAGACGGAATGCCGACCACGGAACTCCGCGCCAGTCGCCGGACCGAACAAAAAGCTGACTACATAGACACCACCTGGTCATTTGGCGTGGTGAAGTAAGAATAACCCAAGAGTCGCTGCAAGAATACTCAAACGTATTCGAGATGTCGTTAAACTCGAATAAGTTTCCCACCATTGCATCTGCGGTCAATCGAAAAGATCCGCAATTTGTCAGTAACACCGAAAAGTGGCAGCCAGTACTATCCCGCTTCGAAGATGCACTTTTGACGTCAGCTTCTCAAGGGCACGATGCAGGTCAAGCTCGCCACTTGAAGCGTGGTCAGCTCCTGGGTAATTATACTTGAACGCCATCTGAAGCTTGCAACGCTGATCAGTATTTAGCACGAGACCGGGTATCACTACTTTTAGATCCCGAATCACCATTCTTGGAGCTATGCGCCGTAGCCGGATTTGATGACGAAGACTCAAGCCCTTCTGCAAGCATTGTCAGTGGCATTGGCTTGGTCAAGTATGGTTGCCTGTTTGCAATAAAGTAACCTCGTGAGACTGACCACTTTCTAGTGGAGCTCTTGTTCTGATATTCGCTCACATCCCTACTTTATCGGGTGCGGCCTGGAACGAGCGCACAGGTATCTTCGCGCTTTACCCATGACGGGATATTAAGCTTACTAACTCACGAAGTCCAGAAACAGAACAGAGTGACCAGGATTGCGACCGAGAATAAGCTGCCGATCATCGCTCTTGTGCAATCTGCGGGTGTGTTCCTTCCACAACAGTTCAAGGTGTTCCATGCTGGCGGTCAGATCTTTCGAGATCTTGCGATGAGGACCAAAGAAGGCTGTCAGTCTTGCGCTGTAGTATTTGGTTCTTCGACAGCAGGAGGAGCATATCACCCTGCTCTCTCTGATTACACTATCATGGTGAAAGATCAAGCACAGGTCTTTCTCGGTGGACCACCGTTAGTGAAGATGGCAACTGGGGAAGTCACCGACGCAGAGACGTTAGGCGGTGCTGAGATGCATGCTTCCGTCACTGGTCTTGCAGACCAGCTAGCTACTGACGAGTTCGTCTGCCCCTACCTGTACAGAAATCACCACTAACTTTACCTCCAGATTTGATGCCATACAAAAAGCGAGAAGATGGGCTCTCACGCTCACGAATACCAGTCGTGTAAGCCTCGTCTCGTCTCTGCCAGAGTCACTACCGGAGCCTCCGTTACATGATTCGGAGGACATCTTGGGTATCGTAAACCCTGATATCCGTATGCCAATGGATATGATGGAGATCCTCCTTCGCGTGGTGGACGGATCGAGACTCGAGCTGTACAAACCAAATTTCGGAAAGGCTTTGATAACAGCCTGGGCACATATCCACGGTTCGTAGCAATACATGATAGTCGCGAACAAAGTAATAACAAGTCCTAGGGCATCTCGTTGGTTGTATCGCCAACAAGACTCCAGTCATCCAGATGGACGAATCTGACAAGTCGACCGCTTTCATCCATCTCTGCAACCAAAAGTAAGTCGTATATCCTGACCTCAAGCCGTCAATGGACTGACACCGCATATAGCAACATTCCCATCATCTTCTTCCACAATGTGACTGGCTTCATGGTCGGAACACGCACGGAAAAGGCCGGCTTGATCAAGAAGGGTGCACGTCTGGTCTCTGCAGTCAGCACAAGCAGCGTTCCACACATAAGCATAATCTGCGGCGCATCGTACGGTGCTGGGAATTACGCAATGTGTGGTCGCGCCTACAGACCACGATTCCTCTTCTCTTGGCCAATGTCACGTTGTTCGGTCATGGGCGCTGCACAGCTATCTGGCGTTATGGAAACAGTGCAGAGGGCGTCGGCAAAGTCGACAGGCAAGATCCTGAATGAAGGCAAGCTACAAGCAGAGGTCGCGAGTTTCAGAGATGCGGTAGAGAGAGATTCAGAGGCTTATCGCACATCGAGTCATCTTCATGATGATGGTATCATTGATCCGAGAGATACGAGAAATGTGTTGGGCATGTGTTTGGAGGTAGTGAAGCAAGTACCTGTAGAAGGTAGTTCTAGCTCGAAAGTGCTTGCAAGAATTTAGGCCAAGAATGAGACATATTCTCATGTCAACGAATCACTATCTATGCTTTGTGTGTATGCCGACGGACTGTACGTCAAGGAACAACGATCCCGTATATCAGATCGTTTCTCGTCCCCATCTGAGCTGCGCAATGCTTAGCCATTGGCCAGTCGCGCTAGAAGTGAGGCAATTTTGGAGATACTGGCAAACCAGGACGAGACGACTAAGTATAACGATTGCCTTGAGAACTGTTACTTGATCTCACAAAGAACTATATCGGCATCCACAGAATCATCCTGAGCGACGTTGGGATGGAAGACTCCATCTGCGCCAGCATTGATAGACATCTCCATCTTCATACTCTCCACAACAAGTAATGTCTCGCCCTTTTTAACAACATCTCCGGCTTTCTTTGTCAGGCGGATGATTTTGCAAGGCATCTGGCTTTTATAGACCTTGGAGCTGTCTTTTGTACTGGGATCTAGAGCTGTCTTGAGACTCTCGCAAAAGTCAAGAAGCTTAAAGCGTTGATAGCCAATGTAAGTTCCAAGATGTGGAAAGTGACAATAGAATATCCGAGGTTCTCTAGTCTCAGTAGCCGTTACATGGGCACTGATTCGCTTGCCCGACAGCCGAAGTGTAATTGTGTAGTTGGCCCATGACTCTCCATCGATTACCACAGGCGCAAGTACCTGGAAGCTGTCGATGCTCACACTGCTAGAAATTGCGGTCTTACTCGCAGATAGAATCTCCTGGAGCTTTCTCTGAGCCGGGTATTTTTGGCCGGATATCGAAGCCATGGAGTCGCTCTCGATGCAAAGAGTGGAGAACTGCAGCTGATCGCCAAATCGTGTCTTGCCAGCACCGGGCTGAATCCAGGTGAAAGCCGTTGATTCCTTTTCCTGTAACGCGGTTATGACCTCGATTATTGCAGGTTGAGTGCCGAATCTCTGATTTCTGAAGCTACTAGGAATCGACCTGAAGTGAGTAGAAGACGGCGAACACTCAGCTTGCATCTTTGCACACAGTGATGAAATGACAGCGAGATCAGCCCTAGACATGTCAATGCCAGAGACATAAGGATTTTGAAGCAGTCCACCAAGATTGGCCGATATGAAGCCAGTCGAGTACGCCAGATCGTCAAATGCCGGATGTGCGAGACAGGCCTGCAAGAAGAGCTGATTTGTCCTGAGTCCAACACAGCGCAAACTCGACATGACTTTCAACATTTTGGCCTTAGCTAATGCTCGCGAAGGTGCCCAGACAACAATCTTTGCAATCATAGGATCAAAATGTACGCTGATTCGACTCCCGCTTTGAACAGCGGTCTCAATCCTGATGCGAGTGTTGTCCTCGGAGAGTGACTCATACCCCCAGTTGAATATGGTTCCAGAGCCTGGTAAAAAGTTGTTATGCGGATCTTCTGCACATAGACGGCACTCGATGGCGTGTCCAGTGATACGAAGGTTGTCAAATGCTGTGATCTGCGTCAAGTCGCCGCCTGCGGCCACATAGATCTGGAGAGAGACGATGTCTGTGCCGGTGATTTCTTCGGTGATGGCATGCTCAACTTGGATGCGAGTATTGACCTCTAGGAAGTAGAACTGTTGTTTTTCGACATCAACGATGTACTCGACGGTACCAGCACTTTCGTATTGGAGAAGTCGTCCAAGAGTTTTGGCAGCATTCGACATTGACTGACGCAACTCTTCAGAAAGCCACGAGCAAGGGGCTTCCTCTATTATCTTCTGGTGTCTTCTCTGGATTGAACACTCCCGATCAAAGAGCGTCACTACGTTTCCGTGGGAATCTCCGAGCATTTGTATCTCGACATGCTTACCGCGCTCGATGTATTTCTCCAGTAGACAGTCAGACGATCCGAAAGAGCGCAGTCCTTCTGACTGTGCTTGCTGCAACTCCCCATTGAAAGACCCCGAATGGTGTACTACACGCATTCCCTTTCCGCCTCCGCCAGCGGCCGCCTTGATAAGCACTGGATAACCAATGGAGTCGGCTTGCTTCCTGAGAGCTTCGCTATCTTGCTCCTTGCCGCTGAACCCAGGTATCAGGGGAATCTCCGGTGCATGTTTAGTCAAATAGTCCTTGGCTTGTCGTTTGTCGCCTAGCTGCGCTATTGCATGTTCATCTGGGCCAACAAAGATCAGTCCGGCCTCCTTGACTCGTTTGGAAAAGTCTGCATTCTCGCTGAGATAGCCATAACCAGGGTGAATTGCATCAGCACCGACACTGACGGCGGTGTCAATGATCAATGAGATGTTCACATGAGGATTGATCTTTGATCCGGTAATCGAGCCTATCGAGTAGGCTTCGTCTGCTTGTTCAATATGTAGGGCTCCCTTGTCCTCTTCCACGTAGATCGCGATGGAGGTTATATCGAGTCTCTTACAAGAGGAAATGACACGACATGCGATTTCTCCACGGTTGGCAACCAAGAGACGACCAATATTGAGCTTGTTGTTGAGGTTGAGCTGTGCCCTGACAGTGGTGAGATCCATGGTAAGTGCTCCGGATGTAAATCAATAATTGGTCGTTTGATGAATGAACTGCGCAGTCACGGCACCAGAAACAACGCTCGCTTCTGCATGTTGCAGTGCCATAGATATGGAGTGTGTCTGGGGCGGACGGATTTGTTGGTCGGAGCTCCGTGATCAGGGCCGGCCGGCTCAAAATCAACTTACTATCCAAGGCGCGGGGAAGGTCGGCAGTAACCAGCGCTTTTCCGACTGCAGCACTCCATTGGGGCCTGTATTGTACTTTCTGTAGTGACTGCGAATAAATGGTTTCTCGTGTCTGGCAACTGTGTCCACGGTCGGCGAAACAGTTCTCCACGCTCAGGATCAACATGCCAGAACACGCTGTTAGAATTGTGGAGGTCGGACCTCGTGATGGTTTGCAAAACATCAAGGAAATGGTACCAACCAGAACGAAGATCGAACTCATCGAACGACTTGCTTCCACTGGCCTCCAAACAATTGAGACGACTTCATTCGTGGCGCCCAAATGGGTGCCTCAATTGGCGGATGCCAAAGATGTTATGCAAAGCATTAGGCCTCTAGTTCATGCGAAGCGCGACATTTCGTTCCCTGTGCTGGTGCCTAACGTCAAAGGATTTGAGGCAGCGCTTGAAGGTGGAGCCAAGGAGGTCAGCATCTTCCTGTCCGCTAGCGAAGGCTTCAGTCGCAAGAATATTGCTTGCAGCATGGCGGAATCACTTCAAAGGGCTCAGATGATCGCTCAAGAGGCTCGAAAGCATAACATCAGAATCAGGGGGTAAATAGAGGCCCAATCTCTACCGCATCTCGAAGCTTGCTAACACCGTGGTAGTTACCTGTCCTGCGTGGTCGAATGTCCATACGACGGCCGTACCCCACCTGTTGCGGTCTTGGGCATGGCTAAACAGATGCTGGACATTGGTTGTTATGAGATCAGTCTTGGGGACACGACCGGAGCAGCAACGCCGGGAGACGTCCGCCGACTCCTTGACATTCTCTTGAGTGAGATTCCCGCCGCCAGACTTGCTGGTCACTTTCACGACACCTTCGGACAAGCAGTCGCAAACGTAGTGGAAGCATATCAGATGGGGATCCGTGTTTTCGACAGCAGCGTGGCTGGTCTAGGAGGATGTCCATACAGCCCTGGAGCGAAGGGCAATGTCGCGACGGAGGATATGGTATATCTCTTCGAGAACATGGGCATCGCCACGGGGGTCGACTTGAACAAACTCTCGGTCATCGGTGATTGGGTCTCTCGACAACTTGGTATCAGCAACAGTAGTCGTGCTGGCGCGGCTCTGATCAGCAGGCGGTCCATGAGACAAACGACCGTGTCCGAGCGCCCAGCTGGATTCGATGAATGGCGGTTGCTGCAGGACTTGGGCGAATTGTTGGTACATCGCCTCGGATCAACCATCAAGATCACAATGCATCGGCCGAAGAACGGAAATGCCTTGACTGCAGACATGATCATTGGCTTGATCAAGCTGATGAGGGGCATTGCCTCGGACTCTTCTTGTTTCACAATTGTCCTGACGGCCGAAGGAAAATTCTTCTGCACCGGTATGGATCTGAAGAATGCAAAGCCAGAATCGAGGAAGCAAAACTTCGAACGACTAAGAGAGCTATTCGACACTATCGAAGAGGCGCCTCAAACCACCATCGCGTTTGTGAACGGTCCAGCTTATGGAGGAGGTGTTGGTCTGGCTTTCGCTTGCGATATTCGACTTGCTGCTGAGAAAGCGACTTTTCAGCTAACTGAAGTTCGACTGGGTATCTGTCCGGCTGTAATATCCAAGTTTGTATTCAGGGAGTGGGGAATCGCATTTGCTAGAGAGGCCATGTTGAGCGCCAGATCTGTTTCGGCAAAAGAACTTGCAACAAAGACTGGTGCGATACATGTGGTGGCCAACTCTCAAGAGCCAGCGATTGCTCCAACGCTAGATCAATATATACAAGATCTCACATCATGTGCTCCAGAGGCTCGACGCCAGGTCAAGCATCTAGCAAGAGCGGCCTGGAAGGATCAAGGTCGCGTAGAACAGACCGTGTCCATCGAGAAGGCCTTCGACGACATGATGTCATCAGAGGAACAACAGATTGGGGCGATGGCCTTCTCCAAGGGTGTACGGAAGGTGGCCTGGGAGAGTGTCTTGAGCAAGCCGAGATCTGCGAAGCTTTGAGAGGTCAATCATGTAGATGTACCAAATTAGAGACGTTTCTGAACAATGCGTGTGTCTGCGTACGAGGTAGAAGCTTTCTCAGTGCCAAGGCCGGAGTTTTGTGCCGCCGTTGCGCTGCATCAACAATTGTGCGTGCATAATATAGAGCACCTCGGTAAAGCGAGGATAACCTCGAGGGGTTCCTTCATAAAGAGCATCACCACTATCTTACACGCAACCATGTAGAGCTTTTCCCATTCCAACTAAGGTCCAATCTAATCAACCATTGCTTGTCGATGACTATGCTTGGATGACTTTGCGCCCATTGATAGCATCATGTCTGTGTCAGAGCAGCAGGACGGGGCTCGCAATGGCACGACCAAAGGTTACAGGCAACGTACTCGGGCGGCCTGCACGAATTGCAGGTATGTGGCGCGCGCGAGATAGACAGACTGCATCTCTGATCCTTCATAGGCGAAAGAAAGTCCGATGTACTGGGGAGCGACCCATCTGTGCGTTATGCAGCCGCACCTCGCAAGAAGAAGACTGTCTATATGACATGTCTGAGGATCCTGAGGCCACTTCCACTAACGGAAATGCGCCTCCGACCAACGACAATATGGTATGTTGCGGTCCTGGTTTTTTTAATGATACCACTTAATGAGTAAGCCAAGACCGTACTCACACTACTACACGACCTGGGCCAAAGGATGTCTCGTCTTGAGGAAACGATGTCAAGGTATCATGATTCACTCAAAACGTGTTAGTCTGAGTAGTCTGACAGCGCGATAGCCTGGTCGAATCTTCCCGCAATCGGTCGCCAGACAATAGGCCGCGGAAACGTGCAAGAGTTCGAAGTAGGAACCGTCCGTCAACATACTCCTCTTCTCCTGCCTTATCCGGGGTCGAACTTGCCCAAGACTATGGAAGTATTCTGCCGTTACCCACTCATCGCCTACTCACCGAAGCGGTAAATGTGTACATGCAATACAGTCATAATCAACCTTACGCCATTTTCAATCCGACCAGGCTGCGCCAACATCCCGAGAGGCTACCGCTGTATTTACAGTTTGCTCTGATCGCCACAGCCGTCAGATTTGCGGATCTCTGGGCCAGCGATACTGATGTGATTGAGCAAAATCCACAGAACATATCGCGTTATGCAAGTGCGGCGTGGCGCAACGTAAGCATGCCATGGTCGAGCCATGATGACTCCCTCATCTTTCCTATTATTCAGGCCATTCATCTGCTGTCTGTCATCGACTATGTTCATGGCAGATGTTCCGCGTCTTGGGTGAAACTCGGAATGGCCATTCGACTGGCCTACCTCTTGCGGATGCATCTGGAGGTCGAAGAGGCCGGGAGCGTACACTTTGATCCGGTACACCAAGAAGAACGGAGACGAGTATTCTGGTCAATCTTCATTCTCGACCGCTTGATCTCTTGTAGTCGAGATCGCTATCCAGCTATTCTCGAGGATGACTGCACGGTCTTTGTCCCATGTCCGGACTCCGAGTTTGAGAGCGGCAGTTTCTCGAGTTCACGATCAACGCTTGCAGACTTGACCCATGAATCAACCGCTCCTAGTCTGGGTGACGATTCATTTGCTCTGGTCGTCCAGATGAGTGCCGCGCTGGGGCGTGTGTGCCGATACGTATTGCATGAGCAGAATGTCGGCCATCAACCGGTCCCTTGGAGCTCAGAATCACAACACATGAAGCTTGACTCTGCTCTCTTGGGACTCGAGGCTCGACTGACGGCAGATCAAGTCGCCGAATGGCCTCGCAATGAGACGAGCGCCGCATCGTCCAATCCGAGTGCGTCTGGACGTAGGCTGTTGTCACAGAATATCTTCCACCTTTGTTATTGTCTACTCTACCATCCTTTTCTTCTGCAAAGACGCTTGGTCACACTCAGGAAGGCGGCGCCCCCAACATTTATCGACAGATTACTATCAATCTGCCAGAGTCACGCGACTGCCATCACCACTCACAACTCCATTCTAAGATCTTCGGGCGTAGTCATGCCATCCTTCTACTCGTACTGTCAAGGTGTTGCGTTCTCAATACACGCCGTCGCAAACAGTCCCGCAACCCCAGCTCTCACATACAGACAAAATCTCAACACACATTGCAACGACAGTCTTGCCAATCTTAGTTGGATGTCTAATCATTGGCCGATCGCAAAAACCATTGTATGTCTAGCTCGACGTCAACTCTGCCAGACTATCTGTACTCCACACTAACATCCTCACAGCTGTCTAAAGTCGAAAAGGTCAGCATGCGACTTGACGCTCTGGCCCTCGGTACCTTCAGTGTGAATACCAGCAGCAAGGACCACATACAGGACGAGGAGCTTGTTCGTGGTCTCTGGGAAGTGGTGGACTATGGAGCAAATTGCACAGCTACGACTGGGGGTAGTACGAGTGTGGCTGGGTCATATCTCGAGCCGTTCGATTCTACTGGCGACTTTGATCCTATGTTGCTAGAGATTCTGGCGCAACAAGTCGATTGGGACGGCGTGACAGGTTCTTAGTCTGAGATCAGTGAGACTTCACAAGAGTCTTGCCCATGGAACCGCTAAACATAGTTGTAGCTAATCAAGTCAGATGTCGAGCAGGGGCAGATGATTAAAACGTCATCCACGGCGAGGCGGTCAACGACCGGATGTGTCTCTAAATGGCAAGTCAAGCTATGAGGATCATGATCCTGTTCACTACGCACAGACCACGAGATCTATCATCTCTTACAACCTCACCGCCTCGAGATATGCAGCGCATTTGATCGCTCTCGAGAACAAGTCGTGTTTCAATGGGTAACAATGGATACATGTTTGCGTGTCAGTCTGCAGGTCCGGAGCGCGAAACAACACACTTATCATGGCATCTCGGGCAAAGTGTTGCCCGGATGACTAAGCCGGAGTCCAGCGCCCGCAAATCGTGCCACCACTTTGCCAACTGTGTCAACATCTCACAGCAACAATGTTTATGAACGGACATATATTATCGAAGCTATAAGACACTTACAATAATGTTGGCAGAAGTGGCTAATTATGCCAACGATGCTGGTGAGTCCCTTTTGTCCCGCTCTACTTTTGCAGCTTTTGCCTCTTTCGCGGTGTTCGGATGAGCGCTCCCCCGAGGCGCGAGGCTTGGTGTAACAAGTCTCGAAACCCATCTATTGGTTCAACAAAGGAGAGACTGAGAGATTGAACGCACCACACACAGAGGTAGAAGGAGTTGGCCATTCTTCTATTAATTGTCACAACAAGTGTCGCTCCGGTGGCTTAATGACTATTTCCCATTTCTCCTTGGGACCTGGATTCGGCGAATGTCACGACGATTCATCATCCACTGTTTCCATCTAACCCAACTCACATTCATTGTCTCGTCATTCTATGCGCTCATCTAACTACCAAACTTTCTCTCCACTGTCCAAGATACTAACATCTACGTACAGCGGCGGTCGAGAAATCCCTGAGATTATTACAAGCTCTGGTGCAAATAGCAGCTGGCACTACCTCCTCGGCCGCAGATGCAAAGACCTGGAGTACAGCAAGAGGCCACTTTGCACTTGCACGTCGATTCCTTCGCCTCTTCAAGTGGATAGACTTCAGTCAACTCACCTTACAATCCTGGAGTTCTGAGCAAGATTCCTCACGTCGGATTCTCAAAACTTCCAAGAATGCTCTGTTGGGATTGTACTTCTTCATGGAGATGTTTTGCATAGTGAGTATCTTCAAGAGCTGTTAATTGAACACTTACTGAAGTATAGTGATCAGGTCAATGCAATGGGCATCACCGCCTCGCCATTTCTAAATGCACTGCAACACCACGCACTCCAAGTTTGGTTCTTTGCGATAAGCGTCTCTCTCCTCCTGACCTTTTATGACTTTCTCACCATCCGAAGTGTGACTTCATCTCCGACTACCAAAACTCAGCTCAGTACCAGTCTTCTCCTCGACGCTTGCGATATCCTCATCCCAGGCTCTGCGGTCGGTTGGATCTCCGCATCTTCCGTGACTGTTGGTATTGCCAGCAGTATCTCCAGTGTGATAGCTGGCAAACAGATTTGGAACAGAGTCCAGAAGGAGAGCAGAGAAATGCAAGCGAGGAGGAAAGAAAGGATGAGCAGGAAGGTCAGATTTGGGGCTGGGACCAAAGCTTCGGATGACGAAAAAGAAGAGATGATGGAAGCGGAGAAAAAGGGGAGTAATAGCGTCGTTAATGGGAGCGTGAAGGCTGTCGAGAATGAAGTATATGGTGTGAAGAGGAGGTCAAAGAAAGCATAGAGAAGTACAATTCATTTCGATAGCTTACACTTGTAGTGTAGACCATGTTTGTACATCTGGACGTCTTCCAATTATTCACGGACTTCGGAGAGAGAGCACATGTCGACATTCTTCAAGCAAACATGAAACAGACGACTTCATTGTCATAGTTGTTTATACAAGCAATAGCGTTGTTGGTCTAATCTTCAACATTAGACGTCTGACTCCACCAAAATTCACACTCTTCACCTGCCCACTTATCCTCGACAAGTTGCGCAACAACACCTTTATCCTCACCACCAGCTCTTTCATCATTGCCCTTTCCAAAAATCATTGTACCCTCTCCTTCGCTCCAAGCCTTCCACTCCGGTCTCTCCCACCTTCCCTTGACCTTGTTAGGATCACCAGAAAGCACGAAACTGACAATGTAATCATGGAAAGTGCCGGCGATCTGTTTATGCGTGGGGGAAACGGTTGTGGTGGAGGGATCAAAGGTCTCGTACCACATTTGATCGCCGTGATTTGCTCCTCCTAGAACTGTGCGGTTTGTGGCCCAGTGGTATAGGTAGATTGGAGGATCCGTAGAGCTGGTGCCGTGGATGGCTGTTTGGCGGACTGGGCATACGTAGGCGTAGTGGCCGTATGCTGCTTCTAGGCGTTTGTATTGTGCACCTACATCCAGACCTCTAGTATCGACATACTCCGACTGAGGGTCAAAGCTAGGGTCAGGGTAAAGTGCTTCAATCTTATCCAGCTCCTTCTCGCTTAATTGCGGCAATAGAGTAGACCAGAAAGAGCGGAAGTCGGCGGAAGAAGCTGTGGTCTTCGGAACGTACATAGTTCCCTCGTTGTGGTTGAATCCAGTCAAGATGGGGACTTTGTTCCAGCTTCCTGATTTCCAAGCATCGAGTGGTCTTCTAGAGATTAAGTCATCGTCAATCACAGGCTGCCATGCCCATCTGACGCTAGGGTTCCAGTGCGTGAATACGGTGTTTGAAGCCTCAACAGCAGTGGCTTCCGAAACGTTGCGGAGACAAGAGAGGATTGAAGATTCGGGAACATCAGAGCAACCGGTCTCTTTCAAGAACTGTTGGAACTGAGTCTCGTGTAGAGCGGAGTTGTAAGGGTGGAGTGCGCGAGATGTCGGGCCACCAGACTCGATGACGGCTTTATGGAACAGTTGATGTGGTGTGTTGATGTTCATGATATGATGACCAATCTGTACCTTGTTGTTAGCGATTGTCCTCTGACCAAGACAAGAGAGAATGATCCGAGTGATGAAGAAAACTTACCGAATGTGCACCGGCACTCAAGCCAACTAGCGTGACATCTCCAGCATCACCACCAAAAGCAGCGATATTGTCTCTCACCCACTCAAGCAACAGCACCTGATCCCAAAGACCAAGATTGAGTAGTCCCTCCTTCTGCGTCAAATCTGAGTTCAGGAAGCCCAAAGCGCCGATGCGGTAATTGAAGCTCACAGCCACAAAAGGCTCGGTGGCGTATCCAACCATGGACGCGGTGTTATGCATCTTAGCAGTGCCTCTGTTGAATGCACCGCCGTGGACATAGACCATGACAGGTACTTTCTTGCCTTCGGGCATATTGGCAGGACGGAAAATGTTTGCGGTGAGACAGTCTTCAGACCAGATATCCGGGCCACCGCCAGGAGAAAGTAATTGTTTGCCAGGGCATCTTGGACCAAAGGTATCGGCCTTGAACGTCTGATTGCTTGGAGCGATGGGTTGTGCCTTTGCGAAACGAAGACCTTCGATTGGGGACTGAGCGTACGGAAATCCTAGCCAAGCCTCCACTGGGGCAGGAAAATCATTATCAATCACAGTACCCACAAGTGTAGCTTGTGCGATGGTAACAGAAGGAAGAGCAATTTCGAAGCCAAGATATCTTTGGATAGTGCAGAGAACTTGTTGCTGTATGGAGGCAAAGTTTGCTGCTGCTAGAACCAGAGGGATAATCAAGGCAAATGCAAAATGCCTTGACGGATTTGAAGGAGGCATGACAGTACGTCGAGAGAGATAAAGTCGGTGGTGCAAAGTTGTCAAGGATGCGAAGCGCTTTTTGGTTGTTTGATTCGGTCGCCGATCACGACATCGGAGCTTGGGCTTCGGCCATCAATGTGCTTCCATGGCGGGGCGGGCAAGTTGAACAGTCCATACTCGGATGGTGACAGAAACGATGATAATGCTGAGGTAGGGTGGAGTGTGGTCAAAGGTACTAAGATACTAGATGCTATCGATAGGCCGTCTGCCCTATCGCGGGGAAGCCTTCGGCCGGCGGAAAAAGGAACCACAGTTGGACGTAAGCGGAGTCAGCAGCCCGATTGCGCAGATAGATAAGATCTTGTAAGCAGTAAAGATAGACGAAACGACTGACTCGAGCAGAAACAGTCGGGGGGGTTCTGAAGACCAAGCTTAGATGAATGAGTTGCAGTAACGACTCCATTTCGAGTAACAGTTCTATAAGTGCGTCGACTCAAGCCAGGTTCACCCTCGGTGGCGACAATGGTTTGAAGATGGATAGAAAAATCGGATCCGAGGTTCACATCCGAAATCTTTCGATAGGCCTAAGAGCCGGTAGATCCATGTACCCTCCGCCCTACCTGAACAAGATAGCGGGGAAGATAGGTTATCATTCGACCACCATGCTCTCTTGGCGGAGGCAGATATACAAAGACCACGCCGCAGATCTTCGCAGTTCAGTCTCGACACCATCATGCCTCCTGTTTCATTACCGATCAAATCGACAATGTCTCCAACGCAAGGAAAGGTGGGAGATCAGATGCCTCGCGATGATCTATCTATCAAGGAGAAGTCCCTAGCAGCACCAGAAACCACAGAGATGGATTTGAAAGCCGGCGAGGTGATCGAAGACCTCGATGCGGCCGAAGTCTTCCTCCGTACCCACGGATTCTCGCACGCCTACCTCCACGAGCTCCTCCAAGACGAAGTCGCATGCAAGAAGCTTGTCCGCAGAGTGAATTGGACATTGATGCCGCTCCTCTGTGGTACCTACCTGCTACAATACATCGACAAACAAGCATTGAGTTACTCTGCTGTTTTTGACTTGTTCACAAGTACCGGAACCACCAGCGAGGAATATAGTTGGTTGACGAGCATATTTTACTTCGGGTACCTGGTTTCAGAGTGGCCGAGTAGTTACCTGGCGCAACACTTCCCCACCGGCACAGTGTTGAGTTCTTTTGTCATCATCTGGGGTTCAGTGATGATGTTGACAGCAGCGTGTTCCAACTTTACTGGTCTGGCAATTTGTCGTTTCATCCTTGGCTGCTTCGAGGCTCCGATTGTAAGTAACACTGAATCGTCCATTTGGTCGGCCTGCTGACAGTCTACCCAGACGCCTTGCTTCATGATGCTGGTCGGTATGTGGTTCACTCGAAAAGAACAACCTGCACGTGCTGGTATCTTCTATTGCTTCAACGGCGTCGGTAGCATGGTCGGAGGCATCCTCTTCTATGGCGTCGGTCAACTGGATGGCTTCCCGGTCTGGAGTAAGTCGAGAATATCTAGGATCGCATATTCGGCGCAAGGCTAACGATACTCAGGGGTAATCTTCATGCTTTGCGGAGGCTTGACCATCATCTGGGGCATTGTATTGTTCTTCTTCCTCCCCAATAACATCATGGAGGCCAAGTTCTTCTCGATTGAAGAGAAAGCACTGCTCATTGCACGCAGTCAGACCAATCGTACTGGTGTCTACAACCCGAAGATCAAGCTTTCACAAGTCAAAGAAGCTCTGACAGACCCTCAAATCTGGATCTTGTTCCTATTTGTCTTGTGTAATGAGGGCATTAACGGAGGTAAGGGACAGTCATTGGTCTTATGTTTCGAATGCTGACCGAACAGGTTTCGCCAACTTTGGCAAGTTGATTGTCAAAGGCATTGCTCACGGTGATGCCGTGAGAACGACGGCACTAGGTATACCTTCGGGAGCCTTCCAAGTATTTTTCGTGTTTACTGGACCGTTCCTGGCATCGAGATTCAAGAATATCCGAACATACATCATGGCATTGTACCTTGTACCGACCATTGTTGGAACAAGTCTGGTGTGGAAGCTCCCGAGAAGCAACTCTGATGGCCTGCTTGTGTCTTACTACCTGGTGAGTGTTTGCGGAGGCTGAAATTGCTGATACAAAACTGACCAAAATGCAGATCGGATCCTTTGTCGCATCTCTCGTGCTGGCACTTCAAATGCCGGCAAACAATGTGGCAGGTTACACCAAGAGAGTGACATCGACAGCGTTTGTGTTCCTGGCATACTGCATCGGCAACATCTGCGGGCCCCATGCGTTCCTGGCAGCCGAGGCGCCTGTCTACCAGACAGGATGCAAGTTCATCATCGCGTGCGCAGCCATCCAGATGGTGCTCGTCTTCGCTTTGAGAGTACTGTTGATCCATCGCAACAAGAAGAGAGATGCAATGTTTGGGCCAGTGTCTGAGATGGACACAAATGATGAGATAATTGAGGACCTGACAGATTTCGAGAATCCTCGCTTCAGATACTCATACTGAGGTTGGCACTCCTACTGAGATTGGGGGTAGATAGGATATTTATACGACGACCCGCTTTTCAGCTTTCTTGATGTCTTTGCGCAGTTTGCGGATCTCCAAAGCTACGTGACGAAGTGCTTGGGCCGAATTGGCGGCGTCAATGACGGGACTTTCCAGAGCAGAGACAAAGGCCTTTTGAGAAGAACGCAATGAGGGAGGCGCTAGGATGCCGTACCAGTGAAGAGGATCTCTGGGCTTTTTCTGCTGCGTCTTTTGTTTCTCTTCTGCAGTCTTGTCTTGGTGAGTTTGTTCATCGGACGAGGTTTCTCCAGATGACCTCAGGGGCGTGGATGGTGGAGTTGGCTGCTGTTCGGGTACAGGACCTTGGTCTGTTTCGTGCTTGTCATGCATTGGGCTTGTGTCTGCATGCTTGGTCGCCAGGGGTGAAGCGTTGTTGCCTTTCAGGCTAAGGCAAGGGGCACCTTGGTCGTCGGACGAAACATCAAAGCGACATGTTGCTTGCATACGATCGTCATAGTACTCCTGACCATAGCGGACACGTGTCGTCGACTTGAAAGTAGCCTGAGCGAGATTGAAGAAGCCTGATGAGAAATGGCGGGCGATTTGTTGTTGTGCCTGATGATACGTGTCGAGGAGAGTGAGGTGTTTTTCCCAAAGCTTGTCCAGCTGATCACGGAGCTCCTCCGCGCTGCTTTCTCTCGTGCCTTCTTCTGCCATTGTGGTCGTGAACGATGATGGTATACAAGGAGAGAAATGACGAGGGCCAATCACGGAGGAGATGCCGAGTGATGAAGCTCGGGTCTTGGCATTTTGCGAGTCGATGATGAAGTCGTCATTTGGTGTTCGTCGCAAAGACGCAAATCAATACAAAATGGGCTTGATATCACGGCCGCCGTCGCTGTTACGGCCATTACGTGTCAAGCGACTGCCGAATCAATTGTCGCTGCGACTGTTTACGCAGAAGCACCCGCTCCTTCTCATCACACGCACATCGTCACCTCGACCGCAACTTCCGTATCTGTCGCAACCTTCCCGGAGTGCCTTCGTCCCGAGACAGACGGCGCGTTTCTTGACAACAGAAAACAAGAACTATGTCAAAGAGCAGGTCTGGCTGGCTGCCAAATGGTCTGCTGTAGGATGGTCCTTCTTTCTTCTCGGAGTCGTCGCTCTTTACGGCATCAACCAAGAGGTGCTGGAGCGCAAGACCCCGTCGCCCGATGAATGGTCCTTTTTCTCGCGTAATCACTTCCGATGTGCCAATGCCGCTGTGAAGCCCGACCACGAATACACCGATTGGGCTCAGGTTGCGACTGAATTCAGAAGATGCTTGGAAAGATTGGAGAATGCTGAGATTGATGGAAAGGGGACCACCCCCCTGGCCCCTGGTCTGGACGACATTCGCGGAATCAACCCTTCGGCCTTTGACATATCGGAAAAGTCGTATGCGTGGAAGGAGGGCTATTTCCAGGTCGTCATGCAATGCGCCCGAGCTTCTGAACATATCGACAACATGGTCCTTGACACTTCTCGTAAGATCATCTTCCCCAAAGATGTCGTTGTCGGTCCATCAAACCCCAATCCTCGTCCTTGTCCTCCCGGTGCCGAGTCTGCCCCGCGTGAAGAGGATTGCGAGAGAGCATATGCTCCTCCAGAGACTTTTTACCTCAAGGTCTTGACCGGTCTTGGCTTCTCCAGCCGTCAACGTATCGAGGCCGCTCTTGCGTATGCCAACTGGCTTGAGATCAAGGGCCTGAATGATTCGGCTGATGAGACATACAAGTGGGCTGTCGACATTGCTGCTTCTGCTCTGCCCGCATCCGATGCTGTCATCAACAGCGACACCTCTATCCTCCGTGTTCAGGAGGCCACTCCCCCCAGTCCCAATCTCCTCCGCGCTGCAACTGCTCTTGCTACTCACCGTGCTCGCTCGGGCAACATCACTTCTGCTCTCCCCATCTTCTTGTCTGTCCTCCGTGCTCGCCACGCCTCTCCCATCGACATCGCGCCTCCTACCAGATCGGAGTACAGACCTATCTCTGTATCCGACCCCACTAACACCGATATTGGCGCCTTCATCAACATCATCAAATCTTTATTCACTCCTCCTACCTACCCTGCTGAGCCTCCATCAGGCGACGAACCTTTCTTGCGCCAGCCAGCTTCTGTCCCAGACTGCACCGAAGCCGAACTCATGCTCTATATTGGTGAAATTCTCTTCGCAACCGCCTCCCCCGGCCGTGAAGATGAAGGTCTTGGCTGGACGAAACAGGCTGTCGCAATTGCTGAACACGGCGTCTCGCATAACGATGTCTTGCCTGAGAGTCGCGATAAGTGCAAGGCATGTCTCGAGACCGGCATTGCCAACTGGGGTGCCATGGTGACGAAGCTCTTGAAAGAAGCCAAGCCCAAGCCTGCATCTTCATCTTGGACAAGCTGGATGTCAGGTAGCCAATCAGAAGACAAGGAGTCGCAGTGGGAGGATGAGTTGCGCGCCGTCGAGGAAACCCGCATGAATCTCATTGCTCAAGGCATCAACTCAAAGCTTGCTGCCGCTCCTCAGCGAACTGGCACCTTTATTGGTTGAAAGTCTTGGATCTTAGGTTCACGAAATGACATTCTTGTCACCTGTGCCGACTGAGCTACACGTCGCCGTGCCGAAGAGACGGAGTCTAGACTCCTAAGCTGCTGAACATCCGTCCGAGCATACACAGATGCTCTCCGGCGATCTCAGTCGTAAGATCTGCCCCTATGCGAGTTCAGGATTGGACCTCCGTTTACCGAGGAATCCGCTCTCAGCAAAGCTTCCGTACTTTGCGGAATCAAGCAAGTAGCAAAACCAAAGTGGCACTTTCCTCTGGTTATATGTCTCGCTTAATAGTCGAATTCTCATCGCTAGTGTATATCCATCATACTGAATTGTGCAAAACCTGGAGCTTGACCTTATCTATGATAGCCAAGCAATGAAGAACAATCAATGCACACCCCATCACTACTCTCTATATATGTCAATGCCATACTCCTGTGTGTGTCACTCAAGTTCAAAGCTCGGATTCAATCTTGAATATCTCGTATTGTAAGACAGAGTAGTAGCAACCGCAAACTGCGAAACTCGTAGTCACTGTCTGGCTGGTGACCGCAAACATCAACGTTTCCCAACGCGATATATATAGACATTCTTATCATGCATCAATGGCTGCGACTTCTCGAAGGAGGAAATTGAAGACGTACTGGCCAAGTCACGAAACGGCATGTTGATGTGGCTTGCAGGGAATACGGGTACCATACGCAGGCTAGGTGTGGAAGCCGGGGTATACGGTACCATACGCGGTACATCAAACGTCTAGTCCCATACCATGACGAACACCATGCGAAAATCTTTTTTAGCACCAAGCACCAAGCATGTACATACTCAAAGAAACCTTATTCAGACTTTCTAGACACAGTGAACACACAATGTGAGATTCCACAGGGCACGAAAGCTAACATGAGAACAATCTTCCTTTGTGGAAATTCAAGCCACTAAAAAAACCAACCAACGCCAAATCTCTACTAACACTCTAACCCTCGACGATTTCCTCGCACCTTTACACATCCTCCCCATCCATATTGTCCGACCCCTTCCTTATCCTCCCAATCTCCACGCCCTCCCCCTCATCAACCCTCCTCGTAACCCGTCTACTGACACAACACCAACTAACCCCCTGCACAAAACTAACCAACCAACACGCCATTCCCAACACCGCAAATGCCACACCAGCTCTCATGGCATCTAAACTCTGTGTTGCTGCAAGATCCATCTCGGCCACAGATCCGAGATAAACAATGCCAAAAACTCCAGCAAGAGCGGCGTAGAGAACGCAAAGCACAAGATCCCAGAAGATCCATCCTAGACGTTTTACAGTGAGAAAACAGTGTAGAACACACGTGAGAGCTGAGAGGAGAGCGACTACGAGGGCGAAGATCCAGTTTGTACGTGTAGGTACATCTATCCCGTCCTGGGAGGAAGTGGTCTTGGAGGCGTTGGTAGTAGAGGCAAAGGAAGAGGGGAAGTGAGATAGATCATTTCCATAGATTCCGAGTAGGATGACAGAGATGAGGAATTGTGTTGTGCGGAGGGCTGCGCGGGCGATTGTACCGGTGAAGCCTGTGGAGTGCCAGTATTGGGCTATCGCTGCGCGTTGCTGAATTCGAGAGGTCGATGGCATGGTTGAGGTAGCAGTAAATTCGATATGGGTAGTGGTCTAAAGATGCGAGATCCAGCCGGTTGAATGAGGAAACAGCAGAGCGATCGTCAAAGGAAGAGGGAGATGAAGTGCCGAGATCAATGTATTGAGGAATCTCAGTGCTCATATAGGGCTCGGTGAATTAACGTTTCGCCCTGTGGTCAAAGTTTGCCATCTTCGTACCCACACGGCTGCAGATCAGGCCCAGGGTTTTCTTTCTGCGTCACCTTTGTGGCTACACCTATCTCTGGGGTAGCGCGGCCATTTGAATCATCTCGCCTATTACTTACATCGTCTGTTCCCCTTTCCCTTCCTCTCGTCATTATGCCTCACCCTTTCCCACCATGAAAAACATAAGCCCGATTCAATCGACCTACCAGAATGAGGACCCTCCGCCGGCATATTCTTCAGAGGCTCCAAATGTACCAGACGCATTGGGAGTCGGTATGCGAGATGACGGCCGCATGGATGTTGATGTAGACAGTTCTCTCGGCCGCCGACTTACCAGGATAGCACAGAGTCACGACGACGACGCAGCACCGTCTTACACATCTGCTCCCTCAGTCCGAGAAAGCACTCCGATAATTACCTGCCCGGCCAGACTCAACATTGTCATTCAAGTTGTCGGCAGTAGAGGAGATGTCCAACCTTTCGTTGCTCTGGGCTGCGAACTACAACAAAAACATGGTCATCGTGTTCGGATAGCCACCCACGCCGTCTTCGAAGACTTTGTCCGAAACGCCGGACTCGAGTTCCACCCCATCGGCGGTGATCCCGCCGATTTGATGGCTTACATTGTCAAGAACCCAGGCTTGATTCCAAGTCTGTCGAGCGTAAGAGCCGGAGATATTGGTCTCAAGAGACGCATGTTGGCGGAGATACTAGATGGCTGTTGGGCATCTTGTTACATGCGAGATGCAAAAACACAAGCGCCTTTCGTCGCAGATGCGATTATTGCCAACCCACCCAGCTTTGGGCATGTGCATTGTGCGCAAGCACTGGGCATACCTTTGCACATCATGTTTACCATGCCTTGGACCAGCACTAGAGCATTTGCACATCCCTTGGCGAATCTGAAGTACTCCTCTGACACGAGTCCGAAGATAGCGAATTTGATCTCGTACGGGGTGGTGGAGTGGATGACGTGGCAAGGGTGAGAAGGTTTAGCACATCGACAAGCAGCTCTTACTGACTGTAGACTCACAGTATTGGTGATATTGTGAACAAATGGCGGACGAAATCCCTTGATCTTGAGCCTGTGCCCAGCTCTGAGGGACCTTTGCTTCTTGAGACTCTTTCGATCCCGCACACATACTGTTGGTCGCCAGCACTTGTACCAAGGCCATCGGACTGGCCACAGCACATAGGTATTTGGTCTGTTCCAATGGTCACCAACAGCAGCTAATCAAGAAACAGATGTCTGCGGTTTCTTCTTTCGAGAATCACCTTCTTACAAGCCACCAGCTGATCTAAGCACTTTCCTGGCAGCTGGTCCTATGCCCGTTTATATCGGCTTTGGCAGTATCGTGATTGAAGATCCGAAGGCATTGACCGAGTTGATACTTGAGGCCGTACGAATGACTGGTGTTCGTGCACTCGTCTCGCGTGGTTGGAGCAAGCTAGGTGAGGGTCATGTATCCAACGACAGTGTGTTTTATCTGGACGATTGCCCTCATGAGTGGCTGTTTGACCACGTCGCGGCAGTTGTACATCATGGCGGCGCTGGTACCACTGCTTGTGGCCTGAGCAAGGGCGTCCCATCGTTCTTGGTACCCTTTTTCGGAGAGTAAGTCGCCTGATGTTGTACCATGTACCGCAACTGCTGACATCATGTAGTCAGCCATTCTGGGGGATGATGGTGGCAGCTTCAGGTGCAGGTCCAGAGTCTGTACCATATTCATCACTGACTTCTCTTGACCTCGCACATGCTATCACGACTTGTCTGGAGCCGAGCACCAAGTCAGCGGCGATGAGGGTAGCAGACAAGATGAGGCAAGAGGAAGGTGTTAAGGCAGCTGTACAATCATTCCACGCTCAGCTTTCGTTGGGTTTGAAGTGTGATGTTCTCCGCGATGAGGCGGCTTCATGGACATTGCATGACGGTGATCGCGCCATAAAACTGTCAAAGAGAGCCGCGGCGATGTTGGTGAGAGAGACCATAGTCAAGCCAAACAAACTATCACAGTAAGTCGAGGTGTGTATTTATGCTAGCTTTTGCTAATACAACAATGCAGCTACCAGTCAAAGCCCATCATAGTCGATCCTAAACGCTGGGAGCCTGTATCTGCTGTCGTGTCGGCTTCTCTGCACACTGCAGGTGCGATGGGAAGAGCTGCCGCTGGTGTTGTCTCCGAGCCATACCAGATGTATAAGGAATCGAAAATTCAAGCTCAAAACAACCCGTCGGAGGCAGGTACAGTGTTAGGACCGAGTGAAGCGATCAGGCATTCCCAAGACAGTTCACCGCAGGGTCCAAAGATCGTCGGAGAGAAAGCCGGAGACGAAAAAAAGTCGCTCAATGGCCCGTCAGAGAAGATCAATTTTTCCAATGCTCAAGGTCCTGAGCAATCTATGGTTGTACCCGCTGTCGCTGACGGTAGTGACTCGGCAAACAGGACCAGACAACTCGTCAAAGCGTCTGCCAAAAGCGCCGGAAAGCTTCTCTTCTCGCCAGTAAAAGGATTGGTCCTGGACATCCCTCTAGCGGCAGTCGAAGGTATGTGGGCAGTACCCCACTACCACGACCCGCGGAGCTACCAATCTACCCCGATCACTGACTGGAAGAGTGGTGGTATGGTAGCAGGCAAATCTTTCGTGCATGGAGTACAAGAAGGTATGACAGACATTTTTATCAAAACGTACGCTGGTAAGAAGAAAGAAGGTGCGAAAGGTGTTGCCAAAGGTTTGAGCATAGGGTTCATGAACTTGACAATGAAGACTGGAGCCGGGACATTAGGGTTAATCGCTTATCCTTGTCAGGGTGTGTATAAGAGCATACACACAGCTCTGCATACGAAAGCAAAAAAAGTCATTGAGCAAGCAAAACTGGAGGAAGGAGAATGGTCGGTGGAGAACAGGCCAGATGCAAGCGTGGGACTTGACGAGGTAATTCGGCGGTTCTTGGGCGTCAGGTCTGGTAAGGGGAAGGGCAGACAGTGATTCATAACAAGAAATCTGGGGCATCTTCCAAAGGAAGACTTCAACAGGGTCTGGCGATAATATCTGCTGGCTGAGGTGAATGTCGATGGACGATGGGAGGACAAATGATTTCGTCGCGCGAGGACGCGTTCACATCGCGAAGCCAACGCATCATTCTCGCGTCGACGTTCCCAACACAGCAGGGGGCGCTAGTCAAGACTTTTGGCCAGACCATCACTTGTCGGAAGCCGTCACTGCCGTGCAACAAGCACAGAACTGATCGATCCCAAATCAACAATAGCCACATTGTCGTAAGCTTCATTCAAAAAGTACATCTCCTATCTTTAGGGAGGACGAGACATCGAGATGCCTTGTTCTATTGTTTCAGCTTCCAGCACTCGACTTTGTGACACGAACCCCTTGTCCAAGCGTCGAGTCTCTGTACGAAGTCCCCCGTACCTAAAGTACCTTTCGCAACGGTCAAAAGAATGTACAGTACGTCAATTGCAAAGGAGGTGGCCATTTTCCGGCATTGCAGTCCATGAAACAGATGGTATCTAAGCTTCTTGATAGACTCGTCGATTGAAGTCGATGCAGTTATCGATTATTGATGTATAAAAAGGAGATTGGAGAAAGCGGCATGTCTCGTTGTGATTACAAGTTGGTGGTGGCTGCGGTTGTTGCAGTGATTGGAGTTGCGAATTTCCAGGCCAGGGGAAATGAGACAACAGCCGATGTTGATCTTCAACGCTGCAACGTACTGAGGCTTAGGAACCTCAGGGGGTCGATCACATACGCAGGTACAATAAACAAATGTCATCACATGTAATTAGTAGGACACAATTTGAGAGTGATGGTTTGATGATGATGGAAAAAGGTTCAAATTGGTTTGTTCGAAGAGTGATATCAAGAAGAAGCGAATGGAAGGGGTTATATACATGAAGCTTCGAAGAGAAGTAGTCGTTTTGTTGTTTGGTTGCGGATGAAGATCCAGTCGTTAAGAAAATGATGTTACTTCTGCACCTATGAGAAGGTGGTGCGGACGAAGTTGTTGTTCTGGCCAACGAAGCAGCCACCGCTGGCGGCACCGGCGTACATGCCAGACTGAGCACCAGGCTGGGAAGAGCAGTTCTCAAGAGTGTAGCCGAATTCGCATGAGTCACCGGAGTCGCAGGTGAAGACACACTGTTCCATGTCGGAAACGCACTGGGCGCCCTCAATGGTCATGTTACGGCCGTTCATGTTGACGAGACGGGAGACATCGACGGTGGAGTATTGGCCGTTGTAGGTGAATTCACCCCAGGTGTTGGAGACTTGTCCGTTGATCATCTTGGTGTCCTCGTAGAGGGCGGCCCAGCCGCCGGAGGTACCAGTGGCAGTGGAAACGTTGACAGAGCTGCCGTTGGTGATTTGATAGGTGATCAGAGGAGCGACGGCGTTAACCCATGAACCGACGGGTCCCCACATGACGAGAACAAGGTCCTCGCCGGACTCGTTGTTGAACTCGGTGACATAGTCGCCGTCGTTGCCGATCCAGGAAGCGTGACCAGCAGCAGCGGATTTGGCGTTCTGACCAGTTAGGCAGCCGAGAGTTTGGAGGATGGAACCAATGAGGCCGCGCTCCTGGACAACAGGCTTGGGGATGGCGGCAGCACTGCTGAGGGCCAGGTTGGCGAGAAGAACGGTAGGGAGGTTGAAGCGCATCTTGACGGCTGATAAAATGATTGTGTGGTGAAAAAAGGTTTGTTGTTTAGATGTTTTCTCGTTGGATAGTGGTGTTAAGTGAATGTGGAGCCGCGATGGCGTCGACTGGAATACAACCAAAGGAAGGAAAAAGAGAGTGACTTGATGAAGGAAGGAGAGTACGGATAGGATGGGTTTACCGTTCTTTTATGAATCTGAGCCCTCCCACACTGTGTACCGATCAGTGTTTAATCAGCCGTTTCCGCCATGCAGGGCCCATCCATTCGTGGCCCCCCTCCCAGTGGACGTAATCAAGCCGTTTCCCATCATTTGGCGCCTCGTCAATGCGCCAGACTGGAGACGAGATCCATGCTTTGAGCCTTTGTGGAAGAGCTGTGCTTTGCATGCATTTTGGCTTTGCTTTGAGACTGCATGGACCGAGAAGGCCCACTTTTCTTTTCCTTCCCCAGCCAATAGGAATTCAGACTCAGCTCCGAGTATTCTGTCTCTAAATGTTTGGAACATTGTTGCTTTGCTGGCAACTGAACTTCAGTCTAGAACCCGCTAGGTGAGAGAGAAAAGGGGAAAGCGTCGACCGTTCCTCTGCCGCGTACACTTCTCGTGGCTTTCGCATCTTTCGGTTAGTTGTACGGGAGTGCCTGACGATACCCAGAGTTTGGATGGTCACTTCGACTCGCGACAAGAAGATGTCGGAGCGCTTCGAGGTTTGAACGTCGCGCGACGCTCCATGGGTTCCGCGTCACCATCCTTGCCTGCTGCGGCCAGGTCCACCGGTTGAGTGACGTTACCCCGGTCGATTGGCCAGTTCCCGCGCTTGGGCTGCCTGGGAGCGGGAAGACTGTGGTTGTGAAGTCGTAAATCGAAGGGACTTGCGAATCGGTGGTGGAAGTCCACGCCGACGGGCGTCAACAAAGCGCATGCTTGTGCTGCGGAATCTTCAGGTACGGGCGTCGCAGATTTTCAGGAACCAACGATTGTTGCAGATTACACTTTTGCTGGGCTCCAGGTACCAAACTTTGTTTCTACACATCTCTACTCCGTACCACACACACCTACCCACTTCATCTCAGTGATTTCTGACCTTCTTCGGTTGCTCTACGTGCCCTGCATCGGACACTATTAAAGAGAGAAGAGTCTGCCTGGTGTGTGTGGGCCACTGTCAAAGAACTGAAGTGCCGACTGTGATTCTTCTAAATCTCATTGGTGAAGCCGCGTATTGTTGAATTTTAGGCAGATTGTGACAGTCGTGTACCTTGTGCTTTTCGCGAGGCAAAAGTTGTGGTGGGAAGGAAGCTGCAAAGTCATCGACCGTCATGCAAGGCCCCAGCGCTTACATGCAGTCGCACCTTCCACACGTGGTCACAATGACAGCAGATCATCGCATGGGTTGTTATTCCAAAGACGTGGGTGGTGGATGTCGTGTGAGAGTCGACCAACCTCAACAGACTTCCATCTTCTCGTCTCTTCATCTGGAATCTACAAGCTGAATCTCATGATTCCCAAACCATAAAGTATGGCTACACTGCTCGAAGGATCAATAAAGCGATTGAATAGTCCTACCGTGTCTCGGCTGCGAAATCGTCCTTCGTGTTTGACGGCGTAACAACGATTGGGCTAACAATAAGTGCGACTTCAAGAAGACTCTTCCACAACTTGTTCTGACTTTCTGACCATGCTGCACCTCTGCATCGTCCATCGGACCGCGACTGCAACGTATCTCTTTCCGCCTACATCCTTGACTGCTTTGTACCTTTTAACTTCCGGATACCGACTCGTAGCGAAGCGGCTGCTCATGCAAGGACGGGATATGACAATTCGACAACAACACGCATCTTCGATCTTCACATGCTCTCCCCGGGAAGTGTAAAATCATCACGACCGAAGATAAAAGCGCACGCGACACAGCAGCACATCTTCTACCTCTTCGGTCGTGCCGCATAGATGTATCCCCATCGAGTCGCACCAGTTTCTTCGCCAACGCCCACTACTTACCAAAAGATGGAGTGGACACATCCTCCACTTTTCGCACTGACAGCATCCGAGCACCTAGCATCGACGCCCAAGTAACCGTTTTTTCTCTTGATATTCTTTCTGCCTAGAGCCGACTTGTGTCCTTTCTTCTAGCTTCTTCTAAGGCTGTGATTTGTATTGGACACATGGATGCCATGGCGGAGTTGCGCAACACACGATCCCACATCCCGCAGTTGACCCAACGAGTCGGTACAGCCGACGGGACGGTAGAATGGTGCAAGCAACGTGGTGCGAGTTGTTCTTTGGAACACCAAGCAACCGTCGACCGCGGTCGGTTTGTCGTCTTTACTGCGCCTTCGATTTTGGTCTCGTATCCACTATCTGTCCTATCGATAAAAAGCCTTTTGTACCAATTCGACCATTCAGGATTGCACTGCCTAATTCGTTCTGTTCTGCTTGACTGGGGCACACCTGACTTAGACTCTGACTTCTGGTGAGACCAAAAAGTCGTAGAAGAAGTTTATCTCGTGGTCAACCACGATTCGGTTCGAGTCGAGGGCACGGGATTCGAGGCTGCAGGGTCAGCTCTTCCGCTCCCTCAGGTGAACGCAACCACAAGAACAAAGACTTTGACAAGGATCAAGGATGCTGATCGCTTATGTTCGGATAACAGTGCGAACGGAACTTTCAGGGCCATCTTACAACAGAAAAAGAAGGTGAAATCAAACTATGCTCTCTTTGTACTCGAGTACTTCTTTACAAAATATGCAGTTGAGGGTCTTTGGCGTGGCTTGGGACACGGTTGTCCGACAAGGATCCGACGCGCCGACGAAGGTGTCAAGCAAAAGGTCCGCCAATCGAAACCTTGACACAGTCGGACTTTTCAGCCGCGGTCCATTGAACCACACAGCTCGGCTTTTCTAGATCTCGCTATGGTACAGCTATCCACATCTTGGCTCTGACAGACTACTAGACAGCTCGGCTTTGGCTGAAAACACAGCTCAGCTTTGGTTAAAAACGCAGCTCGGCTTTGGTTGAACACGCAGCTCGGCTTCTCAACCGACTACATACTGTGCGCAGCTCGTTGTTGAGTCTGTTGCCTCACAGCTTTGCCTTGGCTTTGCCATCTGCCTGCTTGTCTCTGTTCGTCTGCGCCATCTTCAATAATGCGTACAATGTCTGCAGCCTCGGCATCTCGAACCCCTTTTCTCTAGCAATCCGTATCGGGTTGCCAAGTATGACTTCCAGTTCCATCTTCTTGCCCGCTTCCCAATCCAGCCACATACTCGGTCTTGAGCCAGACGTGTTCTTCCTCGTTGATGCGAGCAGTTTGTCTGCGGAAGCGAACTCTCGTGGGAAGTCTTGACCGATGATCTTTGGTGCTGTGGTCAGGATCTCGAGCATAGTCGCGTGTAGGTGATGAGATAGTTCTGGGTCCAAAGCCATGGCGGCGTTCGTACTACCATTGCTAAGGACACTGCTGGGGTTCATGGATGCATTGATGGCGAGTTTGTGCCAACGCACGAGTTGGAGTTTGGCATGTGTATAGGCTTCTGCATCTTTGACACCTCCCTGTTGCAACAGCTCTGCGAACTTTGCATTCTGCTGTTCTGCTTGGGACGAAGGGCCAGAGGGAAGGTAAGGACCTATGTTTATGCGCGTCCAGCGGTTGTGCTTGATCTCGCCATGTTGTTCTTGGGCAGCACTGATGACCGTGACGGCACTCAGGATTGCTGCAGAAGGGAAGCGTTTCGCATATCCCTCTTCAACACCCAGTCCGTTCTGGATCAGAACAATCGCCGTCTTGTCTTTCACCAATCCTTCCAACTGCTTCGAGTCGTCGCTAACGTCCGGCAACGCTTTTGTACTGACAACGATGTAGTCCCAGCGCACATTACTCTTCTCTGCCTCTTTCGGGTTCGGGAACACACGCGTAGGTGTCCAACTATAGTCGCCGTATTGCGGTGAAGTTACGTGGAAGCCATTGCTGGACACGGCGGAGTAGTTTGAGCGGCAGACGCAGGATACGTGGACGTTTGGTGCTTGAGCGAGACGAGAGCCATAGAAAGCTCCCACGGCGCCGGCACCGAAGATGAGCACTTCAATTGGAGATGACATTGTTTGTGAGTGTCTTGTTGAAGACTTTCGACACTGTCTCGTCGAATTGGTTGCTTATCGTTACAGGCATTACGATTTCCCCACAAAGTGAACCTCGGCTTCAAGACTTGATCGCGTCATGTTATTTCTTCTTTTTCTCCATTTCTTCTTCCTCTCTCGACTGACGTTCTGCAACTGCCGTTCGATCTTCGAAACTTCGATGCTCAAGGTCCTTCGACAGAACTGGTTCGATACACAGCTCGGAGCTTCAGGGAACGCCTCTTTGTCGCGAGACCCGCCTACTCATACGTCAAATGGCTCAAGGCCACATGTTTCTGTGACAACCAACCCGTCGACCAAGTCCGAAGCAGCGCCGAAGTATATTCAGAAGCTCACAGCCTCCTTTTCTCAAAGGATCAATCATGCCGTCAAGACTTCCATCATCGTGCATGAGGTCGCTAAACGTCGCAACGGAGACGAACTGCCGAAATTCTGAGGCTTCGGCTTCGATGACGAAGTTCCTTTCTGGTCACCTCGGCTGGGACGATAGAAAACACACTCAGATACTCCTGTTCACGTAGAGTGATTCCACGACATTTGAGCACCACTGAAAGTCCAAATTTGCGATAGTTTAGATCGTTTGCACAGCAACTTCTCGATCAAGTTGGTTCTGTGGTGTAGTTGGTTATCACTTCTGTCTAACACACAGGCGGTCCTGAGTTCGAGCCTCAGCGGAATCATTTCTTTTGTGCTTTGTCGGCCCCTCTTTTGGTCCAGCAATGGCAGTGGAGAGTTTTGAAGCCTGTGTGAATTTCCAGGTGAGAAGGCATGTCGAGGCTTTAACTTTTAGCTGTGCACACTCACGTCGGCTTATGTGAATCCTCCTTTTTACGCGTGGTTATAGTCCATGCGTGCTTTTTGGTCGTGTGTTGAGAGGCGTGATTGGGCTCTTGTGATTGTTTATGAGCGCGTACATTGACGACGCATGTGTGTGAGCCTGCTGCAAGAAGCCTGATACCGCCTCTGATTATGCGCACAGAGACTCGACATCATATGTGGGCTAAAAATCGCATCTCTGGCTTCTTTATCGCAACGAAAAGTCATATCTGGCAGACTGTGTTGCTTGGTGAAGTGTCGTTGATTCGACGTTGATTTTTGAATTCAGCTGCCCCCGTGGAAAGTCGTTGAGGTATGTGACCCTGTCTTCTCTTTTGGCAGGCGGTATGGTCCCATCGATGCCTCGCATGGCTTCAGAGAGGAGTCGCAGGCCCTGTAGCATCTTTGCTGTATCTATCATGGGCTTTAAGAGTATTACATATGTATATTATTGTCGTTGGCACTTTTTCACATTCATTCAAGTTTACACGGTCATCCCACATTCGAACTTGGTCAGTGTTCTGGAAAAGAAGTTCTGAAAACATGTATTTAACCTTATCTCAATCATTGAGCTATTGACCATGCTGGTTGGACCAGATCGTGGCAGATTATATCTATAGGACCGATCACTGCAGATATTGAAGCATGAAATACGGTGGTTCACGAGTGATATCGTCGACAGTGTTTTTGATGCTTGTTAATGAAGTCACCCTGGCTCTCAGCCACACTTTGAGAATCATGATGTACGCAACAACGTTGACAATCCATGCTACAAGTACCGGGCGAAAAGCGACAAGCTCTCAAAAACGAGGCCAGAGGATGTTTGCTTCCCAAAAGTGTACATTAGAATGTTAATAGCGAGTGGTAATAAAACAGCAACCTGAACTTCCAAAGTTATGTGCTCGCAACAGCAGTTTTCTGCGCGTCCACTCCCAAAATAGAGTCTCGTACTCGAGTACCTCCAAGCCAAAAACGTGTCGTGTTATTCGTATCCGTTGTTGTGTATTGTCCTTCTCCTTCTTTTATCGCAATGCAATGCCAGTGCCGTTCTTCGTCCAGCGGTATAATGCGAGGACAGTGTGTCGTCTGTATTGTGTTTCTTTCTGTGGTACGTAGCGGCCTCGCGCTTGTGTGACTGCGGATCGGAGTATTTGACGGTAATTGCGCTGTGAGGACAGAAAATCAGTATTGATATTACTTGTGATAAAGGGGATCATGAATGAAGCTTACCTGATATTCTGTATCCAGAGTCGACACACAAGCCTCAGTCGCTCGGATGATGACTTCGCAAGCATTTATAATCTTCGGATCCGTTTCTGTTTGCAATCGATCCACAATCAACAGGAGAGGCAGACTGCCCTGTAGAAGCTGAATGCCGAGGAAATACGGCACAAAGCCTAGATCTGGGTCGACATCCAGGATATGAGATACGTTGTCGGCGGCTGCGATGGCATTCGCGATTGTCGTTGTGAATGAAGGAGTCGCCATGAAAAGATCCCGGTCGTCGAACAATGACATGGGATCCCACTTTCCGGCCAGAAGGACGCGCGAGACTTGTATGACGAGATTGGCGTATGCGACGACAGTTTTTGTGTGATGGATATCTTGGTAATCCAGTGCGGAGGCTTGTTGCTCGAAACGGACCAGACTTTGCGCGTAATTGTCGAGTTGAAGCAGAACCTGAGATTGCACTCGTTGGCCATCTGTGTAGAGCTTGCCAAGTGTGTGGTGATTCTTCAGGTGATTGTAGTCGAGTATTGTGCCGACAATCGTCATCAATGGTAAAAACCAGCCGTAGATGTTGTGGCCAGTACATTCGAACGAAGGGAATTGCGGGCGCTGTGTGAGTGATGAGAAATTACCTGATTGCCATGATGCTTCGTCCAGTGGTAATAGAAGATCCTCGCATTCGGCATCTAATAAGGCGTTCTGTCGGTTGTAGCAAAGCGCCAAATGACGATCTTGGATGTAGAGTAGCCACCAAGTTCTCCTTCGCTCTTCCAGCGTTTCTTGGTCTACCTCGGGCTGGGTGGTGTCTGCAGCATCCATGTATTGAGCGAGACCATTGTCAAAATCGAACGAATTCAGACCCAACCAGGGGTCACTCTCGAATTCAATCATGCTCTGGTTGTTTGCCGTCGGTGATACGCCAGGGATTGAGGAGCCTGAGATGGGCTCTTTGTTCAGACCTAGCTCTCGAGCAAGAGCAAACGCCGCATGCCACCATCTCATACTCATAGCCTTTTCTTCACTAGCAGACGTGATTGCAGCAATGTGAATATATGTGATTACATCGTCAAGAGTGCCAGAACTTGACTCCTGCAGTTTGCGGGTTGGGCCATCTGTCAACTCATGAACGCAGCCGATATCTGAGTGCACCAGAGGATGAAGCAAGCGGATTGTCACCAGTCGCAGTTTCCTGCAAATGTTGATGCGTTTCGAATGTGACCAGGACAGAGTTTCTGGACCTCCTGTTTCGGCAGCTGCCCACAGCATGCTTGCAAGTAATGCCGGACTGCAGTTTCGAGGATTGTCCTTGCTCATGACTGAAGCTTTGCGGAAGACAAAAGCATGGATGTGGCGACATACAGGGTGCATGAAGGTGTTGAATTGACTTGTGAAGTACAGCTCGAGCAGACTGGCAGCCTGTGCTTCTGTCAAGATGGATGCCACATATGGCAGAAGAGGGACAAGAACGGGGTATTTAGGATGTCCGACACCTCCCGAGTTCGTTTCTGAACCGCCATCATCGGCGCCAAAGACCGGGGCTGCCATGGAGGTGCTGAATGCAGCAGATCCCAGATCAATTGAATATCGGCCATTCCACATGTTTGCGTTGCTGTCCAAGGTGACAGTCGAAGCATGGCGTTCTCCCATACTCGGACGATGCATGAATGTTTGCATGCCATGATCTGTGCCGAAGGAGCTGTGTCGAGCATATGCTGATGATTGTTGCGATTGCTCTGGTATGATCGGATTGGCGGTCAGGGGTACGGTTGGCGGGGGCGGAGGCTGGGAATGTTGCGGCGGTAGTTGCTGCGTCGGGGCGGGTACGGGAGGTGCGGGCGCGGCTTCCTGCTTGTGTCCATTCTGTCGCTCAAGCAAGGCAGAGCGACTGGGCTTTCCCCGCTTGTAGACTGCTCGTTGGTATTCGCAGATATCATGTCCTGCACACCTCGAACATGGCTGCTGTCCATCGCACTTCACCCGTCGTTTGTTGCACAGGTCGCAAGCACGAGTGATGCGCCGCTTCTTGTTTCTCTCGCTCTCTTCATCCAGCGGGCCGTCTCTCTTGCAACCCGGCGATGTCGAGTCCTCGCCCGGGCTGTGGCTCACGTCGTGCTTGTAGGTCGTGTCGGGAGGAGTCGTCATCTTGTATAGATCCTCCTGGATGATCGGTTGATGAGAGGGTTAAATGGAAAAACACAAGATTCAGGAAAACGATTCACATCCATCATTCCCATCTTTCCCCGGCCCCGCCCCGCAGTGACCTGGTCTAACTTTCTCGACCGCTTTCAAGCCCTCCTTGTACACGAGCTGCGGGGCAATGGCAAGCCACATGAGCTGTGCGTCCCTGCATCTGGAGATTGCTACCGAGGTTTAACGCAACTATTTGCTCAGATGACCTGCCCTTAAACCAACCAGGAAGCAAAATTCCACTCTTGCATCTGTTTCATGGCGTCGAGACGAAGGGTCTGGCCTCTTGCAAACCCCCTTCTCCCAAGATTATTCTCGTCTTGATGGATCTGATAACGAGCCTCATCAATGGCACTTCCCAATCCACGCGAACCGCTCTCTCGGCACCGTTCCGTTTGTGCAAGAGACATCTATCAAAAGTCGCTTCACACCCAAAGCCCTAACCACGCCCTAAACCAATACTCTACAATCGCATAGTGACGCCTTCTTACAGTAATATCTTCAACATCACCGACATGCCACCGACTCCAGTGTACCTGTTTTCCCCCGGAGGCCCCGGAGACGCCCCGCTTTGGCATCCTTCTCCAGTCTTGAGATTGGAGAAGAAAATGTCCTTCTCTTCAACCTTGTTGTCCGAACACGCCGTGAGTCTCTCCGAAGGTGCTGAAGTGTTCGCATAACAGTTACGTTTAAGGCAGGTCGGCATGTGTATAGGGAGGATCTACAGAGACCCGTCGGGGCCGTTGCTGATTTCCTGGTATGCTTCGCTAATCTCAACTTTGCGAAAATTCCAGAAACCAGAGTATCGTCAGTGAGGTCCCATCAGACTGGACGTCATGTCGCTTAAAATCGCGTGGGAACACTCCTGCGGTTCTCTCCGTCATTTTTCAATACTGCATGCGTATGACAGCCTTTGATCACAAGAGCATACTTGTACGGACTCTTCACGTCGACGTTGCAACTTGCGGCGCCTGCACATCCTCCACCCCGCTCCCCTCCGCCGCTTCGGCTACACTCCCGTTTCCCGTGCGTTCGCACAGATGTTTCGCACAGTTCGCGAGCCCAAAACTCAAAAAGCGAGACCTCAGACATGTGAAATTGCCAAAACAGCCACACGTTCGTTTCTCTTTCGCTTTGCATCTTTGACCCCAACATTTGGAGATACTTGTACTCGGCTATCAACCGCACTCACATCAATCACAGCTTGTGATCGATCAGGTCTCGTGGTCTAGCGGTATGATACTCGCTTAGGGAGGTGCTTCTGTACCTTGAAAACTCTAAGCCAATTGCGAGTGGTCCCGGGTTCGATTCCCGGCGAGACCCCTTCTTTTGCTCATGAGAGCACCGTTTTGGTATGCAAAGAGGAGCAGAGAGGCAGGAGATGGTCGGGGTAGCGATCTGAATCGTTTTGGTGGTTGGGTGAAGCCTGGAATCCTAAGCAAAAGCAAGCGTTCCATGGACGCAGGATTTCTGGCAAGACCCTCTTCTTGCATCTGTGAAAGCCTTCATTTGGAAAGAAAAGAGTAGTAAAGAAGCAGGAGAAGGCTAGGGCGAAGTTTTGAAGATTTCTATGAGTGACGGACGTGAAACATGAGCGATGGGTGAAGCCTGCCTAAAATTCATAGCGAGCGTTTGATCAAGGTGAGACTTCCAATGGGACCCTTCTTTACTTATGGGAGCGTTGTTTCACACGGCGGAGGATGGTGAGAGATTGAGACGAGAAAAAGATTGAAATTCGGAAGAGCTTTTGGTAGACGTGGAATCTTGGTGGACGATTGAAGCATGGAACTGATTTGGGTGTCAAGCATTTGATAAGCAAGGAAGCAGGGCAATACGCCTTTTCCCTATGAATGCGCACGTTGTTTTTGACTCAATGATGATGTGTTTAGGTGAGCTGCCGAGATTCTGTGAATCTAGAGAGCATTTGTGGGAAAAATGAAGCCTAGTATGAGTTGGGTGTCGAGACTATCTTTCGGTTTGAGACTTGGAAAAGCAAACCACTCTAGTTACTCCAAAGTGTGTTGGTCTTGAATTGATATATCGGAGAAGGGTCAGAGTCATGGAGACCGTGATTGAAATAGTTGTTTGCGCTAGGGCGATGCGATAGATCTTGTCGTTCTGCTGATGTCGCTGAAGGTTGACTTAGGTTCTCAGCGATGCTGTGTTGACTGCTAGTTACAGTGAGCTTAGCCAGAGAGAGTCGACCTGTAATGGTGGAGTACATGGATGGCATCTCAAAGTACATGGAGTGGTCGGCACGCACGCTTGTACTAATCACAAGTCTCGCTGGACATGACATTGTGGAGGATGAGGAAAGTTCTTGATATTAGATATTTTGGAAAAGGTCAAGGTATCGCAAACATTTACTCGTGTCCAATGGGCTTACCCAACTGCTGGAAGGCAATCGATGCAGAAGCACCGAGCAAGAAGTTAGGCTGTGCACCAAGGGCAGGGTTCTCGCCGATGAAGTTGTTGGGGAAGCCAATGTCGAATGGCTTGACACCTTCGAGCTTCTTGATCTGCTCATCTGACAACTTGATGCTCAATGCCTTGATGTTGTCCTTGAGGTGCTCGACCTTGCGGCCACCGACCAGAGGGAAGACGTTTGTCGTCTTTGACATGACATAGGCGAGAGCGATGGCGGTGAGGGAAACATTGTGCTCGTTGGCGACTTCTTCGAGAGCAGCGGAGATCTTGACTTCGTCTTCTGTTTGCTCGCCGCCCATCAAGCTGCGAAGACCTTCGCCGTTCTTTTTACGCTCCTCAATAGCAGCCTTGGTCTGGAACTTACCACCACCGAGAACATCCCAAGGTGCAATAGCCATACCAAAGTGACGAGCCATTGGAATCACGTCTCTTTCCAAATCGCGAAGCAAAATTGACCACCTACCTTGGTAGATGGAGAATGGTGTCTTGCCGTGTGCTTTAGCGTAGTAGTTGGCAGCAGAAACTACCCATGCAGGGGAGTCCGAAATTCCTAAAAAAGAAAAAAGTCAGATTTGGTCTTTGCAATGCAGGTAGGACGAGTGACATACCCAGATACATGACCTTTCCTTGTTCGACAAGGATGTGCAAGCTGTCCATGATCTCCTCAATTGAGGTGGTGTGGTCCCACCAGTGGAGGTAGAGGATATCGATGAAGTCGGTCTGAAGCTTCTTGAGCGAGTCGCGGACGCTCATGAACATACTGCGCTTGTGGTTACCGCAGTGGTTGGCAGCCTTTCCCTTGCCTAGAGCGTAGCCCTTGTAGTCGGTCTAGAGGTATAGGTCAGCATACATGCAAGATTGATCAAACATTAGAAGAAAGACCAACAGTGAACTTGGTGGCAAGGACGATCTGATCACGGTTTCCACGCTCTTGCATCCACTCGCCGATCCATTGTTCGGACTGCTCGTTTTGGTAGTTGTTGGCAGTGTCGATAAAGTTGCCTCCTGCTTCAAAGAAAGCGTCAAGGAGCTCAAAGGATTTGGCTTTATCCATGGATCCCATCATGCTGCTCCAAGCATCACCCACTGACATAGCTCCAAGCTGAAGAGGGGAGACACGAACGCCGGCAGTCGAAGACAGAATACGAAGTCTGCCGAGCTCGGTGGCTGGCTCCGGGGCGGGTTCGAAGAAGGACATGATTGTGATGTTGGTTATTGTTAGATCGTGTATGGAAACAAGGTAAAACAGAGATGATCAGAGGCCAGTTAAATGAGCGAGTCGTTTGAGCTTTATATGTTTGCAGGCCGGAGGTAATGCAGGAGCTACACGCTCAAGCTCCGGGCCATGTCATACGTGGGATTGAGGTCATCAACGGACTTAAGCCTCGAACTGAGCCGGTGCTCACATCCGGAGAGATTCAAATGTTTGTCCCTCGCTGCAACGAAACCTTGTGGGTCTTCATTTTCGGCCGAAACGTGTCAGCCAGACCTTTGAGCTCTGATATGCGACCAGAACAGACAGTACTGGCGAGCAATTACAAAGCACTTGAGGGTCTCAACACGCGGTGTGCTTCTTCGACACATACAGACGGGATGCAGGAGCAAGATAGAAACATTGATGGACAGCATGCAGGTCTAGAGCTGTTCCTTCGGGCGGGGAAGAAGGGAGCCTTGGCAGCGTCACCACTGAGCAGGTCGCCGAATTAGTCCTTCGTCCTTCGTCCTCCATGATACCCCTGAGCGAGCGCATTTCTGCTAACAGCGGAAGCACAAAACACAGAAGTGAGACTAATTGACAGACCATGAAGACGAATGCTGAGCATACTCCTGCGACTTGATTGCGCAAGACCAACTTGGAAGCCTTGAGCGCAGCACTCTCCTGAACAGGGGCCCCCTCGACCAACCAAACGACTCCTGAAAACACGACCCAACTCTAAGACACTTGAATGAGCATCGGATTTTCTTGGCCTCGGCATCATACGGAGCAGCGTCGAATAGCTCCATCTTGTTGTAGAGAGTCGAGCTGTCAAAGCTTGCTTGATACAAGACAAATATCGCAAGGCAGAAAGAGTTGGAGACATGCTTCAGCGACACATAAAGATCCGAGCAGAGTATCCCACATTACGATGCAACGGCACAGATTGGTGTCTTCGGAGGTAAACACCAACCGAAGAGAGAGGCTCCGATGGGCGGACGAGGAGGTGCAGGATGTTTTATGAGCCCAACAAATCAGACCACAAGCACGTACGGCCACAGTCAGCTGAAAACTGGGCATCCCGTCCGCTCTGCCATACATAAGCAGTTGAACGGCAGATTAGTACTACGGTGGGTGACCACGTGGGAATCCCTGCTGCTGTACGTTTTGTTTTGTTGGATCCTCTTTTGCTCTTCTCTGGTTATCTTGAGTATCTGTCACATGTGTAGCTGTCTCAAGGCATGGTACTCTCTAGACTTTTGGCAACGTAATTGAGATATGCTGTTCAATTGATTCCTTGCGCGAAGGCTGTCCATGTGAGATACCACTGTGCATTTTTACAGCTTTAGTATTGAAACATAATGTTTCAGCGCGCATGGGAGGTCTTATCATGGCGATGTGTGCTTTGATGTTCGCGCAGCAAGAGTAAGACTCATGTATCAGTTTGCAAGTCAGTGCAGGGCAAATGGATTCACTTTTGAAGGCTTGAACGGGGACACGCGAAATTGAAGAAAAATGAACTTTTTGTCCAGGTTGTCATGAGATACATATGCTGATACATTCATGAATACACTTGTTGTTTTGCAACCATATAATCTACTCCATGCCAGAGTAGTTGCCTGACTCGCTGTACTGGCGGTCACTTCCCTTATTCTTTCTGAGAGGACCCAGCATCTCGTTCCAGAAGCTGTTGGGAGGGTCGAGGAAGGTGGCCTCGTAGGCGTCAATGGTGGGACGCTCCCAGATGAGGTCGGTAGTCATAGGGGTCTTGAACTTGGTCTTCTTGAGAAGCTTCCAGCCGAAGAAGGTGACAGGAGCTAGAGACTTGTTAGCATGCGTTCATGATCAATGTAGAGAAGGTAGAAGGAGAGCAAAACGAGGATAAAGGCAGTCTGGAGTGAGAGGGTTTTGGCGTCGCCCGTTGCAAAAACCTCTGCAACGGGATACGATCCACCAAATCTCAACCAATCTTGCCTTAAATCACTCCATTCTTCTTCCTACACCACTAGAAAGCCTTACCAACTAAAATGGTCATTGTGTAATAGATAAAAAAGTTGTCGGTCGACCATGGTGCGAATGCGGTATAGCCGTAGCAGCCAACAATCATGATCATCCAGGCAAGTCCGAGGTATGCGGACCAAGGCTGGAACCAACCACAGTAAGGTAAAGTCTTTCTGTCAATGCCCTGAGCCTTGAGTGCACGCCAGAAGAAGATGTATGTCGTCGTCATAACAATGTAGTTGATGACACCTCCAGCGGTGATCAGGTTGACCAACCAGGTGAGAACCTTGTTCGAGCCACTGCTAACTTGCAAGAACGACAGGCAGGGGAAGATCATGACGAATGCAAAGCACCAGATGGGGACACCGTTCTTGGTAGTCTTCTTGAAAATGCCTGGTGCGCGGCCTTCAACAGCCATACCGTGAAGAGAACGAGTAGCGACGTAGGTGTAAGTGTTACCGGCACTGAAGATAGAGGTGACGAGCAGCGCGTTGACGAAGGAAGGAAGTCCAGCAATTCCCATGTTCTTCATAGCGATGACGTAGGGAGAGGCGGCGGCGGTACCACCACCTTCTCCGGTTCCGCTAACGATAGCGACGAGCCCGGGGTCCATGTGCGAAACAATGATGCCAGCAGCAAGAGCGCCTCCGATGAAGAAGATACCGAAACGCCAGTAGACTGTCTTGAACGCAGTCTTGATGTAGGTGCGAGGACGTTTGGCCTCAGCGGCGACCATGGAGATGTACTCGGGACCAACAACACAGAAGGAAGCAGACCAGAGAGCGGCGCAGAAGCCCTCGAAGCGGCCGAGCGTACCTTCAGTTCTGTATTCTGCAAAAGCTCCATCTTTCCAGTTGCGGAAACCGTAGGCATCGTGTTGTGGGTTTCCACCGACCATGGTGACGAAGGTGAACGAGAACAGCAGGAAGATAAGGATGACTTTTCCGCCGGAGAGCCAGAATTCTGCTTCACCATAAGCTCTGACAGCGAGGACGTTAAGGAGACTGTGAACATGTCAGCGATTGGGACTTCGGGAGCACCTGCGGGAGTGCTCGAGCGCAATGTTGCTTTGGGCGCAAGTCGCCAAGGGATTGAGACAAGGAAATATGGTCACGATATAGAAGTCGCAAGGGCGGCAAGATAAACCGGTCTTTCTTGGGCGCAAGGAAATAGGGTGCGAGGCAAAAGAAAATAGGTGCGAGGGTATTCTCCAGGAGGAAAAGGGCGCTCGGCAGAAAAGTCGCATAGGAAGGATTGGAAAGAGTCGCAAGGGAGTGTTTGTCGCATAGGAAGTCTTACCCGTAAAGAATCTAAGAATATGTGTCAGCTCTAAAATGATCCAAACGTCTCCAGGGTACCCTTACGATGCAAGCGATTGGGATACTCCACGGCGGGATATCATCACTCCAGTATCCAAGAACAGTGGTCAAAGCAGTAATTTCGAAAGGAATGAGCAATGCCTGAGAACATTGCTAATTAGCTGGATGTTCTTTCCGGTCGCTTTGTTGTGTTGTGTCTCACCTCGTAGATGAACAAGTTCCAGCCTGCCATGAAGCCGAAAGCATCGTCGACGAAGTGACCGGCAAGACGAATGAAACCACCAGAGACTGGATATAAGATTGTCATTTCTGCAATACAGTTGTTGACGAGACCAAGGAAGCACGAATAGATAAAATAGGCGAGGAACAGACTGCCAGGTCCACCGCGGACGAGGCCGCCGCCAATGGACACAAACAGTGCTGTACCGATAGAGCCACCAATTGCGATCAACTGGATCTGTCTGTTACCCAGACGGCGCTGGAGATGATCGGCGTTGTCGTGAAGGATACCCTCCTCCGTAGAGTCGCGGTGGAAGGGGTCTGATGGCGAGTGCGAGACAGTGTCGCCTGTCTTCTCGTTCTTGTCCCAGAACGGCATGACGGGCGTATGTATAGAACCTGGAAAGGAAAAGTTGTTGGTTAGAAAAAAAAATGGTCCAGCGGGCTAAGAAGGAAAATCTGAGCAGGCACACGATACATATACACAAGATGCAGACCAAGGAAAAACACTGAAAGGGCCGCTTCTGATCCAGGCGCGGCTCTTGGCCACTGGTCTGCAAGGATTCCAACTCGTAAAAACGCTACTTGATGGGGCGAAGAAACCCACTCAAACCCAGATCTGGAGACTTGGTTCGCTAGCCGGGTAGCCTCTCTGGGGGATGTTCGTTGTACCGAACGTTGCTAAACCCAAATTGCTTCATGGCAGTTTGCATGAAGGATTCGACTTGGTACGCCGAGGATTGGCTGTTATCTATGGGAATGATAGCGCAGTGGAAACCCTTACCTCATACAGATATCAGCGTCAGTTACAATCCGATTCTTTGACCTTGTACTTCCTTTCGCTGCGCCAGTTTGCAGTGCTCAACAAGTCGTCAACTTGCCGCAGCGAAGTGGACCTGACACGGCTGGTGGGAAAATGAGGTTGCTTCAAGCAGCACGCCCTTTGGATACGACTTGGCCGCTAGACTCGGAAGGGCGTACCGTTTGCCTCAGTATTTGCGACATCACGGGGAGGCGCTTCAACTACCGCACGGCCGACTTCATGCACATCATCGTTATCTCCAGGATCTGATCAGAGGAGTCGCATTCCCACAGCCTTGTCAAGGCTAGAGCAGGCGCCCTCAAAGGGCAATAATGTCCAGGAACACCTTGCTCTTTGTACCTCCACGTGAGCATTGAGAGACAGGTGCGGGGCTCCAGAAAGATGGGCGTCTAAGCCCGCGCGCCTTGGCTCAACACTTTGACGTCGGCGGCTGCCGTCGAACTGTTCGGGGCTGGGCAGACGGACGTTGACATGGATGTCGGGCAAGCTATTCCCACGGAGATGCCCGAGCTCCCGGTTTCAATTGGCCAGTGATGTGATGCCGGATGACCGATCTAACGAGATGTGTGTGTGTGTGTGTGAAAATTCAAGCAAACAAAACACACGGAGCGTTCCAGATGACAAGAGAAAATTCGCGATGGTTTTGTCGTGGGCGGCAACTTGGCCGCGGGAGTGACTCTTTCTCACAATTTGAATGCCTCTTCGCAAGGCACCAAAAGCACTGCCTCAAGACTCGACCCGACTCGACACTGACGTAGAAGCAAGATGATGTTTACCCGGGCCAAGTAAGTTGGCGGAACAGTCACGTCCCAGCTCATAAACACGACCAACGGCAGACCATTAAAGTCACGCCCGAGCAATTTGAGCATTGTTGATTGATGCACCGAGGCACTCCAAGCGACAGGCGACAGGCTACTGGCGACATGCGACAGGCGACTGGCGACATGCGACATGCGACATTTTCCAACGATACCGTCATGGCCAAAGTCACTGTCCAGCGCATGATACAACCAGGTCGCAGACTTAGTAGGTCACGTATCAAGGAGCGTCCTTTCGACAGTGCAATGGTGGTCATGATAGGGAGGTTGGTCAGAGGCCAATTACCATTGTGAGCTGGAGCTCGTTGATATCTTTCACTCTTGCCTCTGTTACTATGTGATTATCAAACCAATTGCAGATTTTAAGTACTGGTTGTCGTATCACTGCTCGTCCGCACTCAACCGCTCCTCGACCTGTGTCTGCAGCAAGATACTCGGGTTGTAATTCACTCACCCTGCAAGACTTCACTTCCGTCATATCAACTCCAGTGAACATCTGGCTGCAGAATCATTGTCCTCTTCTGTGTACACTGACAGAGTCTCTATCGTATCAACGGAAGAATAAAGCCAGCAACATCCCGGGGTGGCTCATTATCACGTCCAAAACTGGGTGGAGACCGCGCTGGTCGAGGGCGTGTGCGATGCGGGATTCTTGGTCCCTCCTGAAAGGAGCCACAGGGTTCGATTCTCCCTGGAGGGATATGCCAGTGGAACCCGCGTTATCTTGAAGGCCGCTCTGCCCTGGACTACGGAACCTACCAAGCGACCGTACAAATGAATCGTACTACTTGATTTATTCTGGCGTTGACACTCAGCGGACATTTCCTTGCGACTACTATCCTTCGTCTGTGAATTCCTCAATCACGCAGCCACTGCCACCACCAACAACAACAACAACAACGATGGACGCGATCCTCACCTCAAGAGACTGTGCATCATTCAAAGCCGCGATCTTCGCACTGGACTCGTATCAGAAACAGGATCAATCGCGGGGATCTCGCGAGTTTCTCGCGCATACTGTGGCACTACTTACCCCGGCAACAGATAGCGCCATCCATACCGCATTCAGCTAGACATCGAGAGGTACATCCTCGTGGCCGATGAAGGATGTGGAAGGTTCTGGCGGTCGAAGTCTCTCAGGTAACGACTAGAGCAATAGTGGAGTTCTCGTTTCTCGGCATCGTCGGGTAGGCAGTCCTTGACCAGGATCGTAGAGCTGTATCCACGATCCTTCTTGGACCGGAACAGGCGACTGACAGCCAGGTCTTGATTTTCGGGTCGAGACAAACGGCATATGCTAGGTCTGATTGCGAAAAGACGCAAAGATGGGAAGCGAGGACCGTGACAGGACCAGGATCTAGAGTCATCAAGGGAGAGTATCTGAAGTCTGAGGAGAGTCTCCTTGTTAGCGACTGCTCCCATATCTTGCTTTGAGCAGACAGACCACCGGGAAATCTTGTGCCTTGTGCCAAGGGCATAAATCACCATCCACAGGGGCTCGACACTCTGATAATGGTACATGAGACACTCCCCAGAACGCTTCGCGTCGCGGCTCAGGTGCGTAACAGTGCCTTGTAAATCACCAATACTATATTGTGAGCGATAAGTTGCATGCGCATGAAACGCTGCGGAATTGTAGTAACGTAACCTACGTTCGGTAGAGAAAGCCCGTCAAAACTTTTGGCACGACTGGGAGAGCCTCAGGTCACAGATTCCCGAGAAACCACACCGAATGCGGTAAACCTTTGCCTTGCGTGGCTGCAAGAGATACCAAACTCGCTGCGCCACAGCGTCTCAACTTCTACAAGACTCCAAGGCAGAAGCATTATTGCCTTCATATTACAATTTACCTCTTCCACCAATTTCAAAGGTACCAGCCAGTAATCAGGTCTTTCTACTACGGCAGAGCACGCGAAGGCGGGTGTGTGGCTTTGGACTTGTATCTGCCCAAGAAGCATCACCTTCACATGCCGCTTGTGCCTTTGGCATACTCGGACATGTTTCGGAGGTTCACGCGCATGTCCTCGCGTTGACGAACCATAAACGGAAGTAGACACTGTTGAGATGGATGTAGACAGAATCCACTGATTGGTCAGAGACGTGGTATAATCAACCTTGTCTAGAAAGGTAGTGTCTGCGTGACTGTAATTCTCAAGGGCTTATCACCTGATATCTGTCCCGCTCCTGCTTGAACAATCGACTCTGCAAGCAATCAAGCCATCCGTACCCATGCATCCAGAGAGACGAGAGACGGAAGCAAAGCTCCTCAAATTGACGGTCATGGACATGAGTAATGCCTTTGACGTGCGGTCTCGACAGCGAGCATCACGAAGTATGAGCTGGCCACCCCGAACATACAATGGAGCTGAAAGCCATGGGACTAACGGTGTATAAGTGAATACATGTGATTGATAAAATGGATCTTGGTCAAGAGGGTATTTACAGTGATCAGAAAAGGCCATCGTGGTCTACGATGTTTTCTTGCATATCAAGATGGATTCCTTGTATCCCGCACTGTCACGGTAGTGAAGTTTTCTAACCTTCTTCCAAAAGCCATTGCTCCCTCGCGTTACTGCCAAACCTAGCCATTGGATCGTCGTCGTCCTCCTCGCTATCATCGTCTTCGCCGTCGTCATTCTCGAGGGGTATTGCCATCCATGCAGGCTTTTGACTTTTGTCGGACATAAACCAGTGAGATTTCCAGATGGTCAGGAGCATCAGAAATGTGAGAGGCAGCATTACAAACAGCAAGTAGCGAGTCTTGCGCCCGTCATGACAGGACTTCTTCAGGGCACCAGCCACTTGTGCTGTTGTGCGAGAGTTGACCGAGGTCGCAAGCAGTGACTTGGTTTGACAGGTCCAGCTCTCGAGCGTATAGCTTCCGTGGTCAATGGAGCTTCCGAAAACAGTGTTGTTCGTCGTCTCGCCGTTGTTCAAGAACTGTCTGAGTTGGTCTACAACAATATCATTGGTGACAGCTTGGACAGCAGTAAGGACGGCAATATACAGGACGCCAGCCATTGAGCACACAGAGAAAGTCCAGGCCATAAAAGTGTCTTTGGGCCCAGTTGTAACAAGCCATCCAGTCAGATCGAGATTCCTTACGCCTTGTAGGTGGAACCTCAGTTTTTCGCCTTTCGGGACATCCTTTGCATCTTTGTCCAGTGCATATAATTGAGAGAAAATGTGATCTTGAATTTTGCCGTATATGTAGGCTCCAGCAGTTCCAAGAGCGAACAGTCCACCCCAGAAGATTGAGGTACGACCATTGTCTTTGAGCGAGGCGGGAACGTATACAGCTGCAATACCAGTATCGTCGTGCTCAGACAACTGGAGTGTAAGGGTCTGATTGGAGAGTATTGTTGATAGTTCGTGGGCCAGAGTGCGTGGGTGGTCAAGGCCGTTCAGCACACAAATTCCGATGATGAAAATCGTGAGTGCCACGGCTAAACGAAGCAACGGTGCGCTTCGTGTAGGAGGAGCCATATAACTGGAGTATGTGACTCACACAAGTCTGCCGTACAATTGCTAGAAAATCGAGGCTAGTTTGTGGTTTCACTCTCTGGCTCCCCGCGTGCGGAACACTGTTACAGTCGATATCCGTCTCAAGGCACAAACTCTTCTGGATCTGGAGCGACAGCACCGAGACACGTCCTCTGAAATGGCTTGGATCCGTCAATATGAGATATGACTGTGCCTTGCTACAGCTTGACGTTACTCTCCTCTGGTTATCAATAGAAGGTGGATGTGATAGAGTGTGGGTAATGATCTTGGTGAAACATCGCTGCTTCATTAAACGGGGTAATTTCGGTCTCCGACTTGGGGGACGAATCCCACTTCTGCCAATCTCGTACTTTCCTCGTCCAAAGACGCAAGACCTAGCTTTAGTGCTGTCGCAATAGCAAGCAGATATTCTCTTCATCTACGCACGACATACCAGAATGAGGCATCCTTCGGACTCCTGCTCTTTCAATCTCACAAATCTTTCGCTGTCGGCTGCAATGATCGACTGCCTCTGGCAAGAAGCTCTACGACTGAAGCCTTGAGGTCAGCAAGTCGCGCACACTTACGGTCACCCTACCACATGGATACAAGAGACAAGTTCTGGACCTATCGCTACCAACCGCTGTCCATCGCTGAACTTCGTATGGACTAGGCTGCCGTGTCTGGAGCTGCGCGAGCATAAGCGAGGCTGTGATGTTTCTGGACGCCTACAATTATTGACAGACTTGAATTACAGGCCTAGCGTTTGCGTCTGAGACATGATTCAATTGGTCTACATTGTGGGACTGCCAATTGTTGATCAGGATCTTTAGGAACATGATCCATCAAGGGTATCTCCGCAGCCTCGGTCACTGGGTTGTGGGTATAATGTGTCTTGTCGCATCCAAGCTGATCACGTGCCAAATCCTGCCAAGGATATTCAGATGCAATGACGCGAACTCCGGTTCCTGCTTGTCAAACCATCTTTTCTAGCTGTGTGGACCCCTTCCCTTCGTCATCTCAAGGCAGACATGCGACTAGCAGCCTCTGGTCTCATCCAATAGAACCCATCTTCGGCCTATTTCCAATATCATAAATGGGAGATATCCAGCCCACAAACTTCAAATTGCTTCGCCTCGCTCACAGAGGTATACCATGCCCATAAGCACAGCACCTCGTAGTCAGCCCAACCTGTCGGATGTCCGAGTTTTCACCATCCTTCCTAAACATGAGAAGATAGAAGAAGAGAGTGTCCCAGGCTATAAGGCTGAGAGTTTCTACTCCGTGACACTTGGGAACGTCTTCAATTCGAGGTATACGGTTCTCGCGAAGCTCGGTTTTGGCACTGCTTCAACCGTCTGACTTTGTAGAGATCTTGTGTGTGTATCCATCATGATGATTCTGTGATCAAGGATCTCAACTAACCGATGAACCACCGTCAGGACAACCAAATTTGTTACTCTCAAGGTCTGTATCACTGGACCAGCTGCCACAAGTGAAGTGGCCATTTTCCCACCACATCAAATCAATCGAGGCAGACCATCCAGGTCTAGAAAGGATTAGGGTAGCGTTTGACGATTTTAAAGTTGAAGGACCTTCGGGATCCCACCAGTGTCTGATCCACACCCCGTTAGGCATGAATTATACGGAGTTTCGAAATCGAATGCCAGGTCAAGCTTTATCGACGGAGTTGCTACAACAAAGCCTGCTTATGGTTCTGCTTGGCCTTGACTTGCTGCATCAGGCAGGGGTCGTGCACACAGGTCAGTCCACACGGTTTAGCTCAAGTACCGTAGCTGAGGTCACTTCAGACATATCGCCCAACAATATCCTCCTTGGTGTCGAGGATATGTCAATCTTCTCCAAGATTGAGCAATCAGAAAGAGATCATCCATCTCCTCGGAAGCTCTTTAGCAACCGAAGCATTTACCTCTCTCACGAAATGCCGCTTACGCATGGTGCGCCCATTATATCCGACTTTGGCGCGGCTCGATTGGGTGTTCCAGGTCAGAAGCACTCTGGTGACGTCATGCCTGGAGTCTACCGAGCACCTGAGGTTGTTCTGGGTATGGAGTGGGACTCTAGTATTGATATATGGTCGGTTGCTGTCATGGTATGCTAAATCATCCTCTTTGAAGTCGTATGATTTGACTAATGAGAACTAGATCTGGGATCTGTTCGAGGGGAGCCGACTTTTCCGCGCTGTGAAAGATGGCCATCTTGACGACGAGCAACATCTTGCCGAAGTGGTCTCTCTGCTAGGTCCTCCGCCAAAGAAATTCTTGAAAATGAGCGAAAGGTGCAGTCAATACTGGGATAAAGAGGGCAATTGGATCGGCACGGTACCAGTACCAAATCAGACTATAGAAACGCGCGAAGGTCGCCTTTCAGGCAAGGACAAAGAACTTCTTCTAGGACTCGTTCGCAAGGTATCGCGATGGGTTCCAGAAGAGAGACTATCAGCGAAAGATCTATTCGACGATGAATTCTTGAACCAGTTCAAGATTTTAGGTAGAGGAAGTGCCTAGTAGCATAAGACTCTCCTATAGTTTAGCGCTGATGACAAGTGAGGCTTCAAAGGGCAATAGTGATTATATAGTGTCACGTTACGTATATTCATCGAGGAAATCATGGCACATCACCTGCTACCGTCTCGTCCTCCATCACCTTTAGCTGCGATGTGCGTAGGCTCCTCCTCGATGCATGTTCAAAACACATCTTTTCATTTAACAAGATCAGATGGTGGGTCGTGTTTTGTACAGACCCATTCGATAGGTCTCCAAGATGTCTTCTCATCGGCATTACAAAGACTTGTCAACCCTTTCCCAGATTTCGAGATACCGCAGATCATTGCGCATAGCGTGTCTCTCCGGTTGCACCAGTGAACAATCTGATGACTTCACCACAAAATACTCTACGGTACTGTAAGCGATCATGTCAAGATCTGCATCGTTTTCTCTCCACTCTGGTCCGGACAACGGATCGTGATCGCTTGAGCCTAAAAGTTCCAGGCATAAACTACGCTCCACACTATATTGATGTTCTATACAATTAGCACGCCCTCCTTAGATTGTACCATTATTTAAGCCTCCGGACGACAACTAGACATTCAGATGTATCTTCTACGCTTCCCTGCGTCCGGAACGCCGAGTTCATCTCTAGCGGCTTCCCGCTCTAACAAGCTGCTCCCAGTAAACCAAAACAAATAATCGAGCGCGGTGTGACAGCTTGCATGCAGTGCACACGAACACATACCCTTATACCCGATGCTCAGGCTTTATGATGGAGGGAGGAGCCTTGAATCGAGTTGCGCGCGAAAGCCTTGTCAGAGCAGAGGCAGAGGTTGGGCGGGGTTCTATTGTGTGACTAGGACTGAGCAGGCCAGCACCGCGACCAGTATACACGTCTCAAGACTAGCTAGGCTTAAGACCTGTGGAAATCGGTTCGGCCGACGATCGTTAAGAACCAAGCCAGATATGAGAATGATAGCTCCCTACCTACGTATCCTTCCTGATTAGCACAGCATGACCCAAAGATCTCTCACATCTGTGGCTTGTATCCTCGATTGAAGCGGCAGTGGCAGTATTGTGTTTGCGTAAGATGTGTCTAGAGGTTTATACGATACATAACTCTAATTTTCTCTCCTGGGCTTGGTCCATGCAGAAACCAATTCTTTCCGCAGCTCATGATTGACCGCTAAGAAGACGTTTGCAAAACCTGTATCTGCAACTTTTGTCAGCATAGTCACCTTGTCGGGGATAGCGAGATCTTCAAAATGATCTGTGATGATTTGTGCCGCCAGCGTAGACGGATGGGTCAGTCGACACTCGAGCCGTCCGGAAGTCAAAGCTGCTGTGTCAGAAGCGCTCGAGAGTATCGCCAAGGTTTTCTTTAGTATTATCGACGCTTCGACTAAGCACGCCACGTCGGCCTGTAGCATCTCGCAAGACTCCTCACATGCTTCCTGAATCTTCTGACAAATCTCATCGCAGCACTCGTCTGTCTTCTCGATGATTGCCAGTCTCCCATCGTCAATCGCTTCTGCAATCTGAAACTCAGCCTCATCACACATCTCTTGATGTTCTGTCAGGATTGACTGCTTTTCCTTATCCACAACGTCTTGTATGATCACACGAGCGGTGGCTTTCAAAGCGTTATCGTCAACGTCAAACGTCTCTTTCACATACGGAACCTGTTCTGAGCATTTCTTCTGGTATCGGGGAGGTGCGGTGACGACGTCAGGCTTGGAGCAGCCTCGATTAAACACCGTCGGTACGATGTTCGAGGGTGATAAACTTTGGCTGTGTCGACTCTTAATGGACCTGGCCGGTGACGCAATGGTTGATGTTGATTGAGTCTCATGGAGCTCGCTTCCAGTAGGGAAGTCGTGACGGGCGAGTTGTCTGGCTTTTATAGGCGTCTCAATTGCCAGGCCAGTGCTGGCACCGGCGAGAACACCTGCTTCAGTGGGAATATCGACTTCGAAGGAAGAGCAGACTTCTGTTGGAGACCACGGTGGTGGGGAAGAGCAAGGAGTACGTGAGATCATGTCAGGTGCTGCGTCTTGACCTCGTGAACGCTTTCCAAGGATGGTACTAGGTAGGATGACTTGGTTGTAGGTGGGTATTGGGGGCGGCTGGTCGAACACAGTCCAATTCCTCTCATGTGCGCCGATTCCTGCATTAAGATGATTATAATTCATGATTGGCGCACTTAATGCGTGTTTATTCAACGCGGAGGCAAAGGTTTGGAGGCGAAGCTTGCCGTCTCTAGGGAGATCCTGCTTGATGTAATGAAGACGAATACTTATTGCCTGGCTTATCTGCGACATAGCATAAAAGTCATCATCTCTCGGATCGGCAGGACTGATAGACTCTGACAGTCCGGGTGGAACGAGAATAATACCAGGCTCCTTGAGATTCAATGACAAGGTAGTGGCATCGGATGCTTCCTTCGCTCCGTGTAGCTTAGTCAACAACTTGTTCGGGAGCAGGTTCTTGTAGCTAGATGAAGTAACCGAACATGCATTGATCGTTCTAGGAAGAATGTTTAAATGAATCGTCTGATGTTCGTTGTTGGATCCGGCAAGTCTGAGGTTGACTTTGATGGCGATGTAACCTTCCTGCAGCATCTTGTTGTAGCTAATGTTCACATGAGCAAGACAGCCGACGTTGTCGAGGTCTGGAGCATGGACTAAGACAGCTTTCCTGGCCAACCTCCAAGGCGCCTCTTGTGTCGCCATCGTATCAAAAAGTTAGACGAAACAGAAGACCCCTCGAAAAATATCAAGGAACCCTCCCACCCGGGCTTCGTATCGAGAATGAGCAGCCCTGGCTCGCGGTAGAAAAAACAACAAGATGGGGCTGAATAACAAAGAAGAACTGGAACAGTGCAGTGCACCCTCTAGAGCTACACACCACACCCCGTTACTTAGAAACCTGTTCACCAGTACATGCCCAATCCAAAATCAACACGAGAAGATGGAGAGTCCTGTGAAACACAGGAATGACAAAACTGCTGACCAGGACAGCCAAGTAGCCAAGGTAGTAGAGGTAGCACAGAAGCGAACAGCAGTGGCCTGGGGTGAAGCGCTTTGCTTTCGTCACTTGGAAACCTGTTCACCAGTACATGCCCAATCCAAAATCAACACGAGAAGATGGAGAGTCCTATGAAACACAGAAATGACAAAACTGATGACGAGGACAGCCAAGTAGCGAAGGTATAGGTGCGTAAAGCAACCGACTGCAAAATCAAATGTGAAGCGTGGGGAAAGAAGTTAACTTGAGAGTGCGGGCGGGACGCCTGTTTATGTTTTTCTGGCGCGACGCGCAGACGCGTCATGGCGTGAAATGCCAAGCAATCAGTCTGGTTGATCTCTAGCCGTCATTTCATATGTTGGCCTCCGCATGCGCAAGTAATTCCTTGACGCGACAAAAGCATTAGCCACGAAATCCTCCCTCCTCGTCAAAACCTAGAAATCGAAATTCACAAGGCCGCTTATTAAACCAGCCACCGTGCCTTCAGGATGCTGAAAGATGGGTAGGGAGCAAAAGAGAGAGGTCGTACCCGGGATCGAACTGGGATTACCGGAATCAGAATCCGAGGTGCTAACCATTACACTATACAACCTGTTATGCGCCGATTTTGATTGAAACGTCATACAACACTCGATCAAGAAAGCCCCAGCAAAGAACTTGGGTCTCCGCGTCGATACTTCGAAGCCACTCTATGATCCCTCCTTATACTCCCTTCAGGAGTACTCCCACAGCTTCGGAACGGAAGACATAGTCATCATTGAAATCGGCTAGAAGCCCAGAATCACTGTTGTGATGCCATTGCCACGCGAAAGAATCCAGGATATAAGTCTGTCAGGGTCGTAGTGGTCGGCGGTGCACATCAATCACCCAGCGCTGCGCAGACGCATCACATCACAGCCAGCGCAAGGATTCTCAGGTATCCGCCGTCATCTCACACCAATACATCGACAACACATATGCCACATGGCCACAACAATTCATAGATTGCTCAGATCTGCCCGATTCGTATCACACCATGAAGCCTAACTCGACCGAATCTTCACTTTCAGAGCTGTTGGTCTCATAGTCGGACCAGAGATCCGCAGTTCCTGATTCGGAGATCCAGTGTCGAGGTCCTTCTCCTCTGGTCACTCTATGAGCAAGATCACTCTGTAGGGGTCCTTCGAGCAATTCACAAGGACTGGAGTCTTCATCGTCGTACATCTCTTCCCAACACTGTACCACGAGAGAGTTATAACCCTCATTCACAGATTTAATGGTGCAAAGCTGTGGCATCTGCCTATTGATTATCTCTGCAATCTGTGGAGGTGAGAAGGTATTAGGCAAGTCAGGTTCCGCGTACGCGCCGAGCTCAAGGCCTGAAAGGTCTGGGAACATTGGCGGAGGTCTGTAAATCAGATTCTGCATGTGAAAGACCACTGGCAGAGCAAGGCATTCAAGCAAGGGAAACCACTCTGGTAGGCATAAGATGCTCACTAACGACAGTGGACAGTCGATATCGAAGTCCAAAGACTTTAGAAAGGCTAGATTCGAGACTACGCAGACAAACTCTACGGCCGTGAAGTTCGGCGAATATAGTCGTTGAAGCCAATCACGACAAGGTATCAACGTCAGATCTTCGAGATGACTCAAGTTTCCGAGACATACTAGGTCAGACTTTGGGATCCAGAAGCAGTCATCGTGGAACTCGACGCTCAACTCTCGTAGCCGATCCAAGATCGAAAGCTTCAACCCAAAGTCAATCTTGAAGCTTCATCAAACTCAAGGATATTATGAGACAGATGCAAACCGAATGAACAAGTCCTTCAAGCATAGATTTTAGGAAGAGAGCATCCGTGATTTGACTACATAGGTTGTCCAAAGCCCGACATCATCTTTATGTTTCCTCCATGTTGCAACATCAACTCTCTCAACAAGATCTGACTCTCCCTCTTCTTTGTCGCCGCAATCAATGATTTCCTCCCACTCAACTTCTCCCAAGCACAAAGCACCCTATCCTCACGATCCTTCTCAAAGTTCAAGTCTCTAAGTTTTGGCATGTGTTGGCAGAGGCTTCGAGCTAGTTTGCCAGGTTTGATGTTTGTCGTGGTACTGATGTATGGCTTATAGAGCGACAGGATTTGCAGCTCTGGGAACAGACAGCCAGGCACATCTTCCAAGCCCTTCAGATCCCAGGATTTGGAGAAATTGGCTTCCTCGAGTTGAGGAGAAGAACGTGATAATCTCTTCAAAGCCTCAATCGGGAAATCAACGTCGAGTAGGAAGCCTAGATGTTGTAGTTGTGGTAGGCCGCTGAAGATGACTTGAAGATCTACATCTGCGAAGGAATCTAGAATGATCTTGTCGTGTCCAGGTTGTCTGGGGGATATGTTCAACTTCTTCAATTGCTTCAATGCGCTCAACCAAAACAGGTCTTTGCCATGTAGGTATGTTCTAGTGGCTTCAAATGCAATTGATAGCTCTTTGAGGTTTTTCATGTGCTTTAATGTCGTGAACATCGACATCTTCTCATCATCCCAACTGGCGATGTTGAAGGAGACCTTCGAGGCATTCTTGAAAATCTTGAAAGCAGTCTCAACAGCCGGTCGTTCGAGCATGAGATGTACCTTGCGTAGATCTTGGAAGCCTGTCGGACTGAGTCTGGAAAGAACGCTTTCAACAACTTCAAGACCGACTCGTGATATCACATTCAGTGATTTTAGACCTTTCAGTTCGGATAATGTCGAGAGTAGCTCATCATTGACCAAGACTTTCTCGTTCGGCATGCCTTCCATGTACAGCCTGATGCTTTCCAATGATGAGTTGCGGAAGAAATTGTTGAGATCCTGCGAGGATATCCCACTGTTCACTCTTTCCAAAGCGATTGAGCGAAGGTGAGGACATTGAGATCCCAGAGTCTTTAGGAAGCTTTTGTCAAATCCAGTACTCCAGTTCCAGAAATTCACCGACTCAATCGACGGGACAAGCCATCGCTTGAGGATGGCCATCGTTGGACCACCACCGTAGCCAAGCTGACTGACAGACACGTTCTTCAGTCGAGAGAATAACAACGATCTGGTAATCTCTCCATCATCCGAATCGTCCTGCAGTTGAACTGATTGTAATTTCGAGGCGTATATTTGACGTCGGGCGGGCTCGATTGCTTCAAAATCTTCGAGTCCCGGTCCAGAAAATTGTTCGTAGGTCCAGAGGACATTTGTGGCTGCCTCGAACCATGTTTTGTTCACAAGAGCTGCGTTTAGCAGAGTTCTTCGGTTTTCGCGGGACACCAGCAATTGTTTCTCTTGTTCTTCAAGACATTGGAAAATTGACGAGACCAGCTCGGGAGTGCTCAAGACTTGCGCGGCTGCCATCTTTGGGTGTTTTCTTTGAATGTATGTTTGTTATGCTGAGTTGTAGAGTGGAAAAGTCGATGTAAGATGACTGTGTCGGTTGCCATTGGGACGCATATTGATCTGACGCCGATCTCTCCGCGAAAAAATCATACCAGGACGACGCGATCGCATCTTGGTCAGACTGGATTCCTATTTGGTCAGACATGCCATAAAGCGGCAATATTGCTGTTCGACATATGTGAGTGCTGTATATTATCATGTTCGAGTGGTCCGGATTTGAATTTTGGACTAACGTCTGCGAGGAGGCAGGCCGACATCGGCTTGGCGCCGGCAATCGACTTATACCTGACATCGACATGAGTCCACATGTCTTGCTCTGCGTATGGCCCAAGACAGGCAGTATCACCGAGCAGTCAGATCAAGACTGTCTTCCTTCGCGTGACGTGTTTGATTGATCTCTTTTATTCTCCCATGTGCTCTCATGACCAATCTTGACAGCTCATTAGCATCCGTAGGACGAAATGCGTAGCTGTTCAAAGCTACGAATCTATCTAACTTCGGTGCTTGTTGATCGATAAGAACTGCGAGGGTCTGTGCAATTGATTCATTGGGCTCCTCTATGAGTTGATCGTCGTTGACAGAAGCGATCCAGGCAAACTTGAGACTTGGAAATAGAGGCGCTGGAACTGATTCCCACTCCGTCAGGTCGATGGAGGAATAGATGCGCATATTTTCCAGTCTTGGACAAGACTGACCAAGATCAATCAGGGCGGTATCTGGATCCGGGATGTCTAATTCGAACCAGATCAACAGCTTCTCCAGTTTGGACAGCTTGGAGAAGATGTATCTGAAGTCGTTGTTTGATGATTCAAATTTTGCTATTCTTCCGCCTGGTCTCCACGGCATTGGCTTGATGACCAGACTTCGTAGGTTACTCGACTTGTGCAAGAAAATGAGTTCGCGCGAGGACAATTCTGCGCCAGTGATGACGTGAAGCTGCAAAGTCTCCAGGGGGAGGCCAGCAAGCACATCAAGCATGTAGTTTCCCGGTTTGATCAAAACGTCGAGACAGAGGCTTGTTATTGCACTAAATGTTAAAGATAGCATTGGTATAGCAGAAACTCCGATGGTAAGCTCGACTTTGTGCACTGAAGCAAAAGTTCTTGAGCCAGAAGTGTTAACGATGTCTGCATACGATTCTTGAAGTTCTGTAAGATGTTTTCCGGAGGTTTCCCCAAGTATAGCGAGATACTCAAGACTGGCAATACTACTCAAGGCTTGCAGCAGAGCAGCAGCTTCAGGTTCGCATGCCAAAGACAGCTGTACGTGTCGCAAAGAGCGATTGTTCCTCAGAAACCGAGCAAGATTGGAGCCTAGTGCAAATGAGTTTGTGCCCTGGTGAAAGACTCGAAGTCGTGGACATTGTTGATTTAGCCCGTCCAAGAAATGATCAGGTGGTAGACTGGTAAAGTAAACCTCCTCTAGACCAGAATGCAAATATTGGCAAAGCAAATCCGAGTCTACATTTCTCGGCCCTCCAGAGAATACGAGAATCCGTAGAGCAGTGAATTGACAATGTCGTAGGTGTTCGTGACTGTTTACAGATTGCAAAGTGAGCTTGCTGATCTTCCGGGCGTATAGATTTCGCCGTGTGTCTTTGACAGCAACCAAGATCTGAGATCCTGCGGCGGTCCACAAAAGTCGTGTCGCTTCTTGAAACCATAATTCGGTGACGCATGCTGCTGCTCGTAGAGTCTTTCTATCCTGACGCAAGAAGCTGAAGACATGCGATACAATGTCCGGTAGTGACAACGCGACAGAAGTCATCAGTCCCGAGCTACACTGGAGGGTGAGCGACGACAGGTCTGGTGTAGCCTCCATGTTTTCATGAGAATAATTGTGTTCTCTGGAAGATCAGTCCTTCAATGCCAGGCAGCAGCGACTGGCTTTGTGGAGCGACCCAACATGCGCAATCACCCGCGGAGCTCGACTCCACCAGCCATCAACAGAAACAAATCTATCGACACTCTCGACAGGTGTAGAACCGCTGACATGTAGATTGAAGATGGGTGATGTACGTATCGAATCAGTAAGTGAGATTGAGCACGCGAAAACACGGCACAATATAATTACCGGAAAAGAAAACACAACAACAAGTAAAACATATTTTCTATTTCATGTTTCTTTCCCACAAACCGGCAGTCAAACTTTCGCGCAGACGCTGGCAAACAATCAGCTCGCGTTTGCTGTCAAGATGCAGCGTTTTCCGTCCATAAACGCAGCAGAAGTTCCTCGACAGCGATCTTGACCTCTTCAAACACCATAAAATACAAAAGCAAGACAAGAAGGAGACATTCCGTTGCATCACTGCCTAATCCCTAGCTCGCAAGCCAAGAAGCAACCATCTCGCATTTACCATCAAGTTTCAGCGGGTTTGCCCAAAAACACACCAAAAAGCTCCCACAACTCCTATAAGCCATCCTCAACCCCCCTGGACACTCTGAACCATGACAGACAAAAGCAAAAGAAAACATTCCGGTGCGGGGAAGTGCAGCCCAACGCTCCTGCCTTTTTTAACAGGCTTCGGCGTCAAGTTCCCAAAACACAGCAAAAAAGTTGCTAACATCCGTCCCGACCTCTTAGAAGGAGTGTGAAGAAGCAAAAGAAGCTGTTCCGGTGCGGGGAATCGAACCCCGACCTCCTCGGTGAAAGCGAGAAATCCTAGCCGTTAGACCACACCGGATGTGATTGATGAAGAAGCAGACTTCAAGATAGTATATCAAGACTCAACCGCTAGAGCAGGTAGCAGCACAAGGCTGACTCATTGCCAGAGGACAAGTCATCGCATCAGCGACAAGACATGAAGTCACTAGATTGCTACAAAGGGAAGAGCACATCAAACATGCAGGATCAAAAATCAATTACTCCGCCCGCACTACGCAAAGGCGACACCATCGCTTTCATCTCTCCATCTTCTCGATTAAACACCTTGTTCGCCCAACGAATCGGAAAAGCCACTTCATTCTTCCAATCCCGCGGTTTCCACATCAAAGTGATCTTTGACGAATCTTTCCCTTCCGATCCTCTATCAGCCGTAAAACACCGCTGTCACGAACTCCACCTTGCATTCTCAGACCCAGATGTCAAAGCAATAATCTGCACAATAGGAGGCCTCACTGCAGATGAATTACTACCACATTTGGACTATGACTTGATTAGAAAGAACCCAAAGGTTTTTTGTGGATATTCTGATATTACATTGCTGCATCATGCTTTGTTGAAGGAGAGTGGATTGAGGACTTTTTATGGTCCTGCTGTAATACCGGAGTTTGGGGAGAGTCCTGAGCCGCTGAGGTTTACGAGGAAGCACTTTTTTGATATGGTGATGAAGACGGTGAAGAGACAGAGTGTACCTAGGTCGCCGGTACATGTGATGGAGTTTAAGAATTGGTTGGCCAGAGAGCCTGACCAGGAGCCTAGAGAACTTGTTCCTGCGCCGGGGTGGAAGTGGTTAAGAGAGGGCAGAGCTGAGGGAAGACTTACTGGAGGCTGTCTGGCTTCCCTGGTGCAAGTTTCTGGCCAAAGACATCTCGACGACTACAAGGACAAAATCCTGATTCTGGAATTACCCGAGGGAGAACATCCAGGAGAGCCATACTTACTTTACGCCGCTAGAACCGCAATGGCTCATTTAGAGACTTCTGGTGTTCTAAGGGTCATTGCTGGAATGATTGTTGGACGTCCTTATATGTATGACGAGAAGGCTACTGAGGATTTTGAGAGGATGATTCTGGATCAGTGCGATGGTATGGAGTTTCCGATTTTGGCGGGTGTGGATACTGGACATTCGGATCCTATGCTTACTTTGCCTTTGGATGTTATGGTGGCACTTGATTCGAGTGCAGGGGTTGATGAACAGTTTGTGATTTTGGAGGAGGCAGTGACAATGTGAGGAGTGATGTGATAATAGACGAGTAGCATGTTGATAGATGGATAGTATAGTAAATGAGTGACAAGTAATGAATGACACGCAGACAGCTCATGCTACTGATGAGAAATGGTGTTTGATTTGCGACATATGGTGCGTGATGACTTGTGGCGGTTGCGTGCTTTGGTTGGAATATGGCCAAACACCGACAGGGTTCCCCGAGCTGCTATGACGAGGGGTAAGCACGATATCTGCAGCGAAACAAGGGTTACACGGCTGAAGATACAAGACGTAGACAGCTATCAAGGCATGACAGCGGTGATGAATCGACGGACAAGTGTTTTGATAGAGTAGGCAGACATGACGACGAATGGGAACAAAAGCCGAGCGATGGTCGGGTGTAGTTGCTTTTGCTGTGTGGGAATACGGGGAATGGGCTTGGACGGAAGATGCGGTCGTCGACAGTTTTGAGTTGGCGGTCGTGACTCGTCGAGGCGATAACGAATTGCTCATTCGACCTTGTGTCCGCTGCTCCATCTCCGTCCTTTCTCCTCTTTCTCCTCATCTGCATCTTCGCCAGCGCTGACGCTTCCACGTCGAGCACCGGCCAGTCACGACGCGCGGGGACCTTTGCACAGCTCGACCCAGCTAGCGGCTTGTCGAGTCACAAGCTGCATACACGGCGATAAGGGACGCCCAACACCACAAGACGCCGTCAGGTCCACGCACTCGGATCCAGCCATCACATCCTCATACCACGAAGCCGAGAGACACTGCCCTTCTGCCTCGAGTGACCATGCAGCCATAGCCCGCCGTCATCGTCTTTGTCGTCGTCGCCATCCACGCCGAGCCTCCATCAAGGTTCAACACCTGACGACTGTCACTATGATGGATCGCTTGCCCGTCCACCATCTATCCGTCTAGTATATACGCAAATCACCCATACCCCCCAACGACATCTGTACACATCCACAGCATCCTACCATGCACCAACACCCTCGACCCTCGATGCGGGCCGCCGCCTTATCAACAACCTCCCACACAAACTCCTCGAGATCCGCCAATCCAAGAGACGCCATGTCAAGCCGGACATACTCTAGTGAGGACCTGTCCTCGGGCAGTCCCACTGTCCGCTCGTCGGATGGCAAGGAGCAGAGTCTAAAAGACAGAGCAAACCTGGTTGTTCAGCACTTCTTCACAAAGGCCGCTCTCATCATCTGCTCGTCAAGAGTCAGCCTGCCGCCCGCCATGAACAAGACTGGCGAGGCAAAGATCGATAGATGGGTACGTCAGTCTCTTCCGCTCCCCGCACCTTCTCCTCCCATGCCTGCTCCCATGTACACCCTTGACCACCGCAGTTATCTATACTGTCAAGAAGAGACCATGGTTTCGTGGCTGGCCTTGCGTGATCTTGAACCTGGCCGCTATTGCTATGCCAGGCACTCTTGTGTCTCAGACTCGTTCTTTTTCTTGTCGTGTGTCATCTTAGAGCATGCTCCAAACAATGACCTTCATGCCTTCCGTTTGCCGTTTCACTCTGCTCCATCCTCCTTGAATTAATCATCGTCACAATGCCTAACCCAACCACAGTTCAATACCTTGATAGAGGAAACAGACATGTTGAACCAAGACTTGCAAGAGTGGAGATCCATGGACGCCACTGTAGAAAGACCCGCTCCATTGTTCATCGACGTCTACCTGGACACTGCCCAACTCGCCCCCAACCAATCTCTGGTCGCAATAGATGAACAAGGCAAGCCGTGGGATGTAAGCGACACTCTGAGAAGACTCGAGGCTTCTGCCCCAACGCCTCAAAACCATACCCTTTCGAAATTTGTCTATGAGAGATGGACAATCAGTCTAGACGACGCTTCGAAAGTCTCCCCAACAACCCTCAATGAGCCTGCGCCTAGCTTCTACAAGAAAGGCGTCATTACATGCAGAGCACTCTGCACATATGCCCGTCTGCTGCCAGCGTGGAAGCTACGCACACGTCTCGGGAAACAAGCTGCAACTGGGCCGGCAACATTACGACCTAGATACCGTGTCTCAGATGGTTCGCTCGCTGAGAAATCACGAGTAGACACTCTGAGCTGCTCCATCTTCCCATCTGACAAGCGACCGACCGAGACTTACCGCTTCTCGCCTCTACACTGCCCTCTGGGTTCGCTCAACATCTCAGTCACCTATCGAAAGAATCTCGATCTTCAGGTCGAGCTTTCGGAGCGTTTGATCAGCGCGAGGATGGCGGGACACGAGCGACCTGATAGTCGCTTATCGGGCGAGTCAAGCAGAGAAAGAACTTCGATGGATCAAGAGCGTCCTTCCCTGCGAAATCAGACGCCTAGATTCTCATCATCATTCCAACGACCAGCTCAACGGACCACAACAATTGGATCATCACCACGAACAGGCTCCTTCCGTGAGCCCGTCGATCGACCTGTATCGGCGCAGGCGATTGGCGAACACGATGAATCACAGCCATCATCACAACAAGACGATCAACCTCGTCGCTATTCTTCACAAAGCCAAAGAGACCGTGAGGCTTCACGCTTCACACCGTCGTCCTTGAGAGATCCGAATGCGTTCCAGCGTAGGCCATCTGTATCGTTTCAACCTTTCAAGGCCGGCTCTTTATCGTCGTCACCTGCTGCGGGTAATTTCCTGTCTAGCTCACCGAGCAGCTCTGTTGGTCGAACCTCTGGCAACCCGCTTCTGGCACACGCTCGGAAGACATCGTTGTCGACATTGCCCCAGCAAGCTCTGAGGAATCCTGGTGTGCCGCTCGAGACAGCTGTTGGGTCTTCTGCATCCAGTTCTCCCAAGCCAGCTCCTATTCAGAGATACTCTTCGAGCTTTGGTAACAGAAGAGCTCGATTCCCTTCGGTTTCTAGCAGCAGGGTCGAGGAAGACAATAACAGCAGCGGTAGGGCTAGTGTGTCCTCCACGAATCGTGGATCCAGCACACTTCAGGAAGGAGAAGCTGGCGCGAGCTCGGGCTCAGTACAAGCTGATGAGGACAACATAGCCGATTTCCTCAAACTGCTTGACAGAAACAAGGGCTTGTCAAGTCTTAATAAGACTGACAAAGCTTCCTTGAACGCCAACTCGCAACGCGCTGCAGCACAGTTTTCCAAGTTCTCTCGCATGAAAGACTCGACGGCACAGCTCTCAGAGTCTATGCAGTCGTCGGTGATGCTGCAAAGATCTTCCAGCTCGTCAAGTCGACAGCTGCAGAATGTACCAGGCATGCTTCCTGGTTCTATCTCAACTTCTTCCTCGCCTGGCAAGCCTATTTCACCACATACACCACATATCCCAGCCATACCATCTCGATTGAGCAACAATAGTATAACGGCAGACTATACGCGAGATCGCAGTCGCAGTCGTCTATCGGGTACCAGCCTCCAGCCGTCCAGCGATGGAGCAAGAGACGTACCTACTCATCCACCAACTCGAGGTTCAGGCACACCATTGTCAACGGCCATTGACATCCCAACCTCGCCTCGGACTTTCATCTCTAATCGTCGCTCGTCGTCAACAGCACAACAAGCACGTGCAAGAGGCATCACCAATGTCGAAGACCAAGACGCGTACGGTCTACGTTCGGCCAGCATGCCCATGGCTGAAGGCGTCAGAGGCGAGCTAAGTCTGTCCGAGTTGCTGTCCCAAGGAGAAGGTGGAAGTGGATCAGGCGGTATCGGAGCTAGCAGCAGACGCCGCTACCGTGAGTGTTCTGCTACCGCCGACGATGACGAGCCACTACTCTTCGCTCTGGCTGACTGAGCATTCCCCTCCTCTACTCTTGCTTCCCTTTTTGCATTTACAAATGGTGAAAAAACATCTCTACTCTTCCTTTGTCGCCTTTTGCTTGGTTTCTGCTCTTGTGTTCTTGTTCGCTCATTTTTTTTGTTGTTTCTTGACTTTTTCTTCTGCTTCTGCTTGGGACCGGTGCAGATATGGGTCATGGACTGGGTAGGATAAGCGTGGCGCTGGGGCTCTGTGAATTATTTTTACTACTAGGATCAAGATTGATAGGATACTGAATATGCAAATGGACAATAACTGCAGCAATTGAGTTTTCAAGACATGCTATAAACAACTTTCACAGTAATTCTGTACTTTCAACCATGTCTCTTGGGCGCCATACTTACTCCTCAGGCTCCATGGAGCGATACAATCACCTGCAAATTCTCAAGACCATCTTTAGACCATTTTCCATAGTTCATGACTATTGAAAGTAAGGAAAGAAATTCATCAACAGAAAACCCAAACCTCTACAGTTCAAAATACTTGGGTACCCTTTTGATCAACTCGCCAACCTCGTCATCAGAAACGATATACTCAAACCCCTCCTTGACCACCACCTCCTCCTCTTCCCCATCCTCCCCTTTCCTAGTCATCCTCCTATACCCATAACAATTCCTCCACCTCCAACCCCTCGCCTTCTTGCCCAATTTCTCCGCCTCCACCTGACTCAACCCATCAACCACGAGTTCCCAAGTCACAAACACGGCAGCCGCGCACTCTGAGATTTCTTTCACGGCGAGGCGTATCATGCGGATATCTGTGCCTACGCCAGCGAGAACGAGTTTTTGGAGGTGGGAGAGGGTGCCGGTGGTTGCTTCTGTGCAAGAGGCGATTGTGGTCGTGGTGCCTAGGGTGAAGGATGTGAGGGAGGGGAGGTAGTGTGTGCTCATTGCTTTTGCACTGGCGGAGAGATCGGTGGGGGAGCCCGAGGCGGCGAGGGCGGTTGCTGTGGCGTACGAGTGGGTGAATGATGTTGCGTGGGGTGATATTCCCGTGTTTGAAGACATGGTTTTTTTTCTTTTTGGCGGCGGCGGTTTGATGGTATTTTATGGTGTGGATTTTGGGGGGTGGGGAGTAAAAGCCTTTTGAGTTTTTTTTGTATGGTAGTTCCGAGTTGTGGAAGGAGTTTACCCTGTTGAGGAGTGTTGGTGGTATTTTGTATTCAAGATTGGAGCTTCGGTGAATTTGAAAGGGTCCGAATGTCAAAAGTGATGTTGATAGTGGTGAGTCTGCAGTCGTTGTTCTTGTGTGTGTGATATCCGAAGCTCTTGACCGGGATAGAGAAAGCTCGACTAGGAATTTTTCCCCTAATGATAATCACTTCCACCTTTCGCGCGGTGATAAAGCACAGATGGATGAGAAAGAATTGTAAAGTCCGGTATCGAAACTTAATTCGGTGCTTGAAGAGTTGTGTCAGTAGAATGCTATGTCGCAAATGCTTCGAGCTTCCGAGGTTCGGACTTGTCTTCTTCTATACATGTCACCTGACCTGCCTGGACATATTTCCTCACAGTTTGAAGGAGCTTGATCTGCGTCTGGCTGTCATGTCAAGATACCTATCTGTACAATAGCTTGATATGGAAAGCTGTCGTATTCAGGGTATTAGTACAAGAACAGGTACAGACGATGCCTGATCTCCGCACCTGGGTCTCAATCTATACGCAGACGGCAATACCGTGTTTCAGTCGGGCTGATTGTACATCTATGCGTATGTAACGTTTTGTGGTCCATGCTGTCTGAATATTCTTTTACGCTACCACAATGATATCTTTCTTTCAAGATCAACACATCTAATCATCACCACCACCACCCATCTGACCGCCTGATGTCGCAGCCTTCTTGGCACCGCAGATATCATCAACTCTGAGCAACAAGCAAGCCGACTCAACAGCAGTCTTGATACTCTGAAGCTTGACGGCTTGAGGCTCCCAAACACCGAGCTGGTGCATGTCGCAGATCTTTCCAGCATCACCATCAATACCCCAGCTGCTGTTGTCGTTTGACTCTGCATGCTTTGCGCGGAGCTGAGTAAGGACACGGATGGGTGAGTTACCGGAATTTTGGATAAGAGTGCGGGGGATGACTTCCATGGCTTCGGCAATGGCGCGGTAAGGCCATTGGGCTACACCCTCGACACTCTTTGCGAGCTGTGACAAACGTACGGCGACGGCCATCTCGGTGGCACCACCGCCGGGAGAGAGGTAAGGGTGGAAGACGACGTTGCGAGCACAGCCCATGGCGTCTTGAAGGTTACGCTCAATCTCGTTGAGAATGTCTTTTGAAGGGCCGCGGAGGAGGATTGTGCAGGCCTTTGGGTTTTGGCACTTTGTGAGGAAGGTGAAGTATTCGTCGCCAATCTTCTCAATCTCGAAGAGACCGCACTGGGTACCGACATCTGCCTCGGTAAGATCCTGGACGGTGTTGACAATGGTTGCGCCGGTGGCACGAGCGATACGGTTGTTGTCGGTCTTGCGGACACGGCGAAGAGCGGTAATGTTGTGCTTCATCAAGAAGTGCTGGGCGAGGTCTGAAACACCCTTCTCGGTAATGACAAGGTCGGGCTTGACAGCAATGATGGCGTCGCACATTTGCTTGACTTGCTCCTCCTCGATTTGCAGGATGCGGTTCCAGTCCTCCTCCTTTGTGATCTCGATGTTTGTTTGCGACTCTCCCTTCTTGTACTCGAGCGTGCAGTCGAGCAGCACAATGCGGGGATTCTCGATGCGTCTTCTCATCTTGGGGTGGGTGATGTCCTTGTTCAGCATGACACCGTTCAAGACTCTGCTGTCCTCAATCTCGCCTCCGGGGACTTTCTCGACACGGGCGTAACGCTTGATGTCGATTTCCTGCTTACCACCACCACCGCTGTATGAGACGGTGCGCACGGCGGTCAGGGCCAGGTTGCACATCATGTCGGACCATCTTGAGACGAATTTTGTGCCGATAGACGAGGAGATGAGCTTGTACATTTGTTCGTCGTTGGTGGTGTCGACAGGGATCGAGACGTCTTGGATGACCTTGAGGGCATCGCTCAGGGCGCGCTTGAACGCTTGGATGATGACGACGGGGTGGATGTTGCGCTCGAGTTGAGGGAGGGAGAGGGCGAGGATCTCACCGGCGAGGATGATGACTGAAGTGGTACCGTCACCGACTTCCTCGTCCTGTGTTCTGGCCAGCTCGATCATGCTCTTTGCGGCGGGGTGGGCGACTTCGATTTCTCTAAGGATGGCGTGACCGTCGTTGGTGAGGACAATACCGCCCATGGGGTCGAGCAGCATCTTCAACATGGCCTTGGGACCCAGACATGATCGGATGATGTCTGCGACGCTGTGAAGTGTCAGATGGGCGCAGTGAGGGAGGTGTTTCGAGTAGCGTACGTCTTTGCGGCGGTGATGTTGGACAGTTGGGCTTTGCGACCGAATTGGCGCTCACCACTGTTGGTGTCTGGGCTGTAGCATTAGCATTTGTAGCAGATACTAAGGTTAAGCAGGAGCTCACTCATGACCACAACGGGGGCCTGCATCTTGATTGTCTGGTTGCTGGACTGTGTCCAAGCTGAGGACTGGGTGGTTGGTATAGACTGGCGAGTAGAAGCTCTGACTTGATGCAGAGTCGACAAAGTGTGTTATGTCGGAAGGTCAAAGCAAATAATCCGTCTGTTTGGGCCCTTGACCAGCAAATGCGCGCGCCTCAACTTTTGGAGAAGTTCCGCTGGAAATAAACGCCAAGCTCACGGAGGTGTCTTGTGCAACCGCTGACAGGTTATGCATCGTCATAACCATGCACCAAGCTTGTGCCATCTATCCCGACAAAGCACAACGACTTATGACCGCTCCGATGAACAAGGCGAAGATCAGCGCAAGGCCGACCACTCCGACTTCTCACCTCGTACCTGTCTATACCCGATGCGGAAGTGTGGGTCTCTGTCTTATCCAATCGAACAGTTACTTGGCGCATGTCTAGCTTCCACCTCTGCTGAAGTCGTTGCTACCCGGCTAGAGAAAGCGAGAAAGCTGATCCAGGGTCCAAGTCTCTCGGAAACCATCTCTTGCGCTCTTTCTCGCTCTTCTTCAAGAAGACGTCCCGTCCTCACTTCTACTGTTTCCCACTTCTCCTCTTTACTCCCTCCGACGCTCCTCTACTTCGTCCCCGCTTCGTCTCACTTCATACCAACCTCGACCACTCTACCTCATTGACTCGACGTCATTTAATCAATCTTCGACTTTCGATATCTTATCATCGCCATCGCGTCTTCCCAGCTTCGCGACGCGACAAGCTTCACCACGACCAATCCATCGTCGACCACCACTACTACATCAAACCTCGCAGAACTTATTTGTGCATTAACTGCTCAAACTTTCTAGCATTCTGATCTAGCAAACAGTCTTTACTTCTACTCCCCTAAAATGTCTTCCTTTTACGCCTCGTCGCCCACCGTCGTCCTTCCGGCTCCGTCGTCGCAATATTTTCCTCATTCGCAAATTCACCAACCACCTACCACTATGGGCAACTCTCCATTCTTCAAGCAGACTGCTCCACCAACACAACCACTCCCCTCTGCTGCTGGTCGTAAACGCTCACGCGACGATGACGACGACGAAGAAGTCACTCTGGTCGCCCCTCTACCCTCACCTCCGATCAACCGTGGAGAGCCCGTCTACGGCCCTGGAATGACTCTAAACAACCAATACGGCCAATCATCTACTGGTACCTGGGTTGAGAACACGTGGGTCGAAGCACCTCAAGTCGCCCCTGTAACCACCCAAGCATCCAGACCTGCCATGCCCAGTCGCAAGTCCCAACGTCTTGCTCCCTCGGGTCCTGAATCCAACGACATTCCTTCAATCGCAGAAACATCTGCTCACCGTCGCACTGCATCGGTCGAGCCTCTGATTGACGAAGTTACTCGCCTCCTCGGTATCTCGTGGATGCGTCTTGACGCTAGCGAAGCTCTACAAATATCTGCAAAGGCCTACACCCGATGGGTTCGTAGACATTACCCTGGTCTCGCCGATGTTGAGCTTTGGTTTGAGAACTCGTCCATCCCCGGCTACCTTGGTGTCGCAACGAACAAGGCTTCTGGCCAGAAGGTCTTTTTGCTCTGGAGCAATGACCTCAAACAAGCTGTTCTTGTAACTAGAGATCCCAATGAGCTGGTCTCGAAACTCATGTCTCCGCAGACAATCATTGCGTCAGCAACCGAGTCTATGTTTGCCAGCGACGAGCCTGTTGCCGACGACTCGTCTGACAAGGGCTCGCCTAGTCCGACTTTTGCCATTCCTTCAGTCGTTCCTCAGGCTGCTGCCGCTATGGACGTTGACTAGACACTTTGAGCATTGCTATCTTATTTGGCGTCAAGAGATCAGGGACCTCGCGGGAAATGGAACGAAAGGGATGATGCTACTGGAATTGCCTAGGGCTGGTATGCTTGGACTGGCTTTAGGGGGGCTCGGAGTGCTGCAATTCACGCACTAAACAAATTGCTCTTTGCAACACGAGTTGACAATCTGCTCACCATTCTTCACATTGTATCTTAGCCTTTGATATGCTGTTTATTTTATTTGCTTACTTTGCTTTATACATCAATCAAGTTCTGGCCACAAGCCAACAGTTACGATAATCTGTTTCACCTTGTTTGAATATCTCAATGTGTTCGCTGACGCAACTCTCACGCGTTCAATGATGTCCACAAGGGTCGATCTTAATTCGGAAACATGTCACACGACTCGAAAACTGCTTGTAATCTGAAAATGCGCCATGTCTCATTCTCATAGTTGTAAGCTCTAGCACTTTTTCTTTACGCAAAAGAGCAGCATTTCATTATTTGATGAAATTTCCCCTGTAAATATAGGCTTTTGAACATATTGACTTGAGCTCTCTTATCCTTTTTACTCGAGTAATTCATCTTTACCCAACAAAGCAGCCATTGGATCATTACCCGCATTTCTCCTTTTTCGATAATCATCCATTTCCTGCTCTGTGACTCCATCTCTCATTTCATCCAATTTTCTCTTCTTGTCTTCTAGACTGCTGTTGATGATTTGGTCTGATTTCATCTTTTCCGGTCGATCGGGGGCGTTTGGAACGTGTGTTTCGTTCTTCTCTTCCTCTTTCCACGCTATTGATTTTGGCACTTCTGTTGCTTTGGACTCTAGTGTCGAGGGATCCTCGAGTAAAGCACCAGTGGAGAGTTTCGAAGCATTTGAAGAAGCGGTTTTGCCAGCTTCTCCTACACAATAACTGTTTTTCATGGTGGAATGACAGCATGCGTAACCCCATTCAAAGTTCTTCCACCAAGACCCAAAGACTGCAGTGTGGTTCCCAAATGTGACGTCTTCGGTATACATGCTTTTTTCCTTTTGTTTGGGAGCGCCTTTTATTCTGCCTCTTTCGTCGTATTCGATGAATTTTTCGTTTTCGATTATTGCCGTGTGTTTTAGAGGGTTCAGGGCGAGATGTTCTTGACCGCCGTATTTGTCCAGTAGGGCTTTTCTGTGTGCTTCCTTTTTCGCTGCTGATTCCTCTGCTTCTTTTTTGCGGTAGTGTTCGCCCGCTGTGGGGTTTGCTTGCAGGTGCACATTGTTGCTTCCATTACTTTCTGCCGTTTCCCAGGCGTAGCGCTGTGCTCGCGCGAATTCCGCAGCGTCTCCAGAAGCACGTTCGAATTCCCCTTCTGCATCGTCGATTAGAGTGCGGGTTTTCGGATCGTATTTTGCGGATTCGAGGTCGAGGTTCTTGAGGTAGCCTGCTGTGTCTTCGCGGAGACGGAGGTTGCGGGATGAATTTGGTTGTTTGCGACCCATGTCTGTTTCTTCCTCGTATTTGTCTCCGTCTGCTATCTTTGCAGTGGTTTCGTCGTCTTCGTCTTCTTCTGGGAGGGCGGAAGCTTTGCGTTTGGCGTCCTTGATGGCTTGGAGGTCGTTGTATTCGTCGACGACTTCTTGATACGCGCGGGCATCATAACCACTCCAGCGATCCCTCTTGGCTTCCCATCCCATATTGATATCCTGTCCATTCTCGTCTGCTTTGATATCACTGCCTGTGAACTTTGCGCCAATCTTCCTCTGTCGGTACAGACAATCCTTCTTTTGATGTCCCATGGCGCCACAATTCTCACAGGCGCCTTTACGGTATTTTGTCGCAGTGGCTGCGCCAGCGCGTTGACCACGAGTATACCATTTCTGGGTTGCGAGAGATTCATCCTTTTGGCCTTGGAGACGTTGATGTTCGAGGTAATCTTCTTGCGAGGCGGTTGCGTCGTCAATGTAAAAGGGCTTTTTGGAAATGAATGAGGGAATGTATTCGTTGCGTTCGTTCTTTCCCTGAGGCTCGGTCGGTTTCTTTGGCGGTGGTGGTGGCGGCATGTTGAGTATGTGTGTGTGTGTGTGTGTGCGAGAGAGATGTTGATGATCAAAAGTCGAGCAAGATAGGTATGCTTGTCGAAGATGACGACGGAGAGAGCGACCTTGAGCTGCCAAGACTTGGGTCGCTGCCCGTCCTTGATCTTTTATTATTCTAGTAGAGCCATCGCGCAAGCTGTGCTATCATCACGTACCTAACTTCATCCATGTTAGCAGACTTGAAACTCGACCTTGAATCTCTTCTGATCACTTGATCACATGCGACGTCCACTCAACCGGACTTCAATCATCAGATCGACCCCTACGCGCCTGTCCGCTCGACAGCCACAACATGTTTAGATTCTCGACCGTCATGGGCACGCTCGAATTGAAATGCTTACCACTCGAATATTCTGACCATCAACCTTACTTACTCGCATGATCAACGCAGCAGTTACCGCTTTTGACTCCAGATCTCACATCTTCTTTCACGTCTGTACTAATATTCATGACATGACTGCAACCACCATCTCTGACGGCTATACTGGAGCATATCAGACCTAGTGACATGATGCAAATCTGTACACGACATGAACCGGTCCAGATCCTTACCTTGCTTTGTTCCGCTTTCTCGACCCCCTTGGATGACAGCTCGGCCATTTCTACTTCCGGTCGAACAAGGTCAACAAAGAATATCAGCACCACAATAGACCGTCTCGTTGTGTCCCGCCTAGTGTGCATATTTCTAATTTTCACTCTACATATTTGGCCATCCACCAACCATCATGGCGTTTGGAAAAACTGATTCGAGTGGATTACCACAGGGCACCTGGCTTGGTGGCCACTACCTAGGCAAAGGAGGTGACGGTACCTTACATTACTGGACCAAAGTGGGCGAGAACCGAAAGATCATCGACCGTATGGTCATCAAAGACCTATATAGTCGCGAGTCAACCATGGAACCGTCAGAGTACCGGGCTATATACGACGATCTCGTTGCCAAAGGTATGGACTTTGGAGCTGTCGCCCCTGGGTCATCCGGTCCATCTTTACCAGAACAAAGATTCTTCAGGGAAGCATACTTGCAGGCTTTGTTCACTGATCCCTCTGGAGCTTCCACTTATACCGTTCCTCTAAGAGGCTATAAGAGAGGACATAGTGACACTGGCCGAGGCACTCATTGGCGCGTGTACATGGATCTGTTGCACGCCGGTGACCTTGAGAATTTCATGCGAAAGCATAATGACGCCGATGGTGAATCAATACCCTTCCCCGAGCCCTTCATCTGGTGGACCTTATATTGTCTCGCCAAAGCTTTGGTGGACCTGGACCAGCGTGTACAGACAAAGCTAGGTCCACGTTCTGCGGAGGGCGAAGTCGTCGTAATGATAGACATGAAGCTACCCAACATGTTACTGGATGCTAAAAGAGGCTCCGAATATCCTCTCTATCCGAAACCTCTCGTTTCCGACTTTGGATCGGCGCATATCTTACACAAGGCAGATCCGAGAAGTAAAAAAGGGGGAATAAAATTACATGCTACCGACGGATACTGGGCTCCTGAAATGGACGTTATCGAGGGCGTGGATCGAGCCATAAACGAGCCTCTACATTCTTGGACCAATGTATGGCAAGCTGGTAGAGTCATAGAGTTCATGATGGTTAAGGCGTCCACGGCGAATGAGGGGACCTACGGGGACTCAAACATCAAAAAGTACCCTCCTGAGTTTGACGAGTTTCCAAATTTCAGATACAGCAACGAGCTGATCGAGATCGTTTGGCGTTGCCAACTCTTTGATCCAAAGGCCCAACCTACCCCTGCCGAGCTTCTGCTCTACATTGAACAGCATGCACCTGCTCTTAACAAGGGCATGGACACATGGGGCTCCGCGAACTGGATTGCAGCGCAGAAACTTATCAAAGGAGCTCCCACATTTGTCGAAGTGATCGGGAGAGATGAAAGGATTCGCAAGCGTATACGGTCGGGCAAACTATCGTTCCTCAAGAACTTCGAAGATCAAGCATTGGCTAAAGAATATGCTAATTTGGAGATGGATCCTCCAGATGATTGCCTTCTTGCATATCAAGGTGGAGCCGACCCAGCTAGACTCGGGATGGAAGGGAAGGAACCAGTGGCAGGTGATGACGCTGATTGGTGATTCATCAAAGCACATTATCTAAATCAAGGTCGTCCAAGTTCTCTCACCTCCCAATATATACTCAGGTCTATCAGTTTCCACGCAAGTACTGCTGTGATGGTGTCGTGGCACGCTTTGGCCAAGACCACACGAGTCGATCTGTTCTGGTGGTGCTCGATGCTAGTGGCGGAGAATGCTGGCACTGCATAGCTCAAAACAAGCACAATCAAAAACATATATCGACAAATCACAAGCGCGTCAAAGGGAAAATAAAAAGAGAGACAGAACACCACACTTTTGGCAAAACAGAAACCCCTCCTAGCTGCCGAAGTGCCAAGAGGGGAAGAGAAAGTACTCACATTCCTTTCTTCATAATTTTTGTCGGGGCGAGGATTACTGGGACCTCAGGAAGGGAATCGAACAGGAGAGCTGGCGCTGGGTTAGTAAGGAGATCACGAGCAGCGACTATTTTCCCAAATTGCGCCAGAGAGAGAGCCCGTTCGATGGGAAAGTGTTGGATTGGGATGTAATATGATACGTGGGTTTGTCTTGGCAGTCAGCTTGGAGGGTGGAAAGCAGGGGAAAGTGATGCTGGTTTTTTGGATTGTTGCTATCGCTTGGCTCACTACGAGGAGTGGGGACTATGAGTATTCTCTTCTCTAGGCTCACTGGAAACATGTGATGCTCATGATCATCAAGTTTCTCGCTCTGTCTCATGAGCTACGGTGGTGCTGCTTTCATCTTTGGTGTCGAGTACACGCGCAGCAAATCGCAGATGCATCCAACAGTACGGACACGGTGATTACTACTGCATCGGCTCGTCTTCTTTGTTCATATCCCTTACCCATCTTTGGCTTTCAGGCCATCAAGATGAATGTGCTAACTGAAAGAATCAATCCGGATCTGGACCATTCTTTGTTCTATCAACCTTTGTCTACATGTCGAACACCTCCCCATCCGGTGGATCTCTGGACTGAGTTCTGAAATACAACCTGGTAAGCAGGTTATTCTCTGAGATGGGTATTAGACTGATCAATGAGTTTTTGCTCATCCTTAATTCTCAACAATCATGGCAGCCCCTGGAGTAGACAACAGCAATAATGTCAGATGGATGGGTGGCTATTTCGCTGGTGAAGGAGCCAACGGTACTTGTGGCTACTGGATCAAGGTCGATCAAAACGAGAGGATCATCGACCGCATGGTGATCAAAGATACATGGGACACTGCCTCCACCAAGGAGCCACCAGAATACCAGGGCATATACCAGGACCTTGTGAATAAGGGTCTTGATGTAAGCGATTTTCCAGGAGCAGCGCTACCGAGCGAGAGATTCTACAAAGAGGCGTATATCCAAGGACTCTTGACTGACCCATCTGGCGTCAATACCGCATATACGGTACCGCTGCGTGGTTACAAGAGGTTTGATGAGACGGATGATGCTCGTGGCACTCACTGGAGAATATACATGGATTACATGCAAGCAGGCGATCTTCACGACGTATTGGTCTATAACGACTTCCGGGCAGACGTCAATGGCGTTAACAGGTTCATAGACATACCAGTCGCTGAAGCCTTTATATGGTGGATAATGGAATGTCTCGCCAACGCATTAATCCAGATGGAAACCGTTGCACGCAATCGACCTAATGCGCGTGTCCAACAAGACGAAGCCATAGTCATGCTAGACTTGAAGCCTGAAAACATCCTCTTAGACTCCATCAGAGGACCACACTATCCAGTGTATCCAAAACCCATGGTCGCCGACTTCGGTTCAGCGATAATAACCTATCTCGATGATCCAGACAACGAAGACAAGTCAGCCAGCGAATCAACCACCGCAGGCTACGAAGCCCCCGAAATGTTTCAACTCACCGAAGAAGACTTTGGCGACGACTACGACAGATACATAGAAGGTCCCGTGCACTCATACACCAACATCTGGCAAATCGGCCGTCTTGTCGAAACCCTGATGCGACTAGGCAAAAAAGATCCTGATGGAACTCTTGCGGCGAATCCTATCCAAATTTCCGCTATAGCCACGAACTCAATTACATCATCGATGCATGTCAAGCCGAAGACCCCAATGATCGATACTCGCCGCAAGATCTCTTGGATTATATCAACCATCACGCACCTCTCCACAACAGTGGTATGAAGGAATGGGCAACCGAGCCCTGGATCGCGGCTAGAGAAGCAACAACACCCTTCTTGAACCCATACGATCTCGAGCAGAGAAATCAACGTATCGATAGACGTGTCAGGGAAGGGAAATTGGTCTTCTTGAGGCATTTCCAGGATTCGGTCTTGGCAAACAGGTATTGTTCTTTGGATGTGGAACTTCCTGATGGATGTGAGCTCGCTTACGCAGGGAAATTTGATCAAAATAGAATTGGCAATTTCTTCGTAGAGCCACAGCCGCCGCCGCCGCCGCCGCCTCCTCCTCCTCCTCCTCCTCCTCCTCCTCCTCCTCCTCCTCCTCCTCCGGCGTGAGAAGAGTTGGAGGTCGTAGAGTTTGGAAAGAGGGGAGTCCAGTGATATCTTCTTGGTGCTTGTTCATTTGCTACGTAGTCATTTCTTAGCCTATGTCTGTTTGCATCGTATTCTGTTACCTGTTCTTGCTTCTACCTCGCTTGTGGGAGGATAACATATCTCATCGTTGCATTCGTCACCATTACACGTTCGATGATTCTGAGTTTGGATGTTAAACACTTCATAGTTTGAGATATGTCAATCTGAATTACAATGTACAAAACTCTTAACTCGACACTCAGCATCAAGCCTTGGACGCCTTCTCGGTGATTTTATCACTTCCATCCATCTCACCTTGACCGACGATGTGTTCAGCACTCTCTTGCACACCCATCTGACTGATGTCGTATCCATTCTCTGCCAAGTACGCCCTGAACTTTTGGTCTTCCTCGTCAATGGTATCTTGTCCAATGTGCGGCAGCAGGAAGAATGCAATACCTGCACTCAGGATGCAGAGGGCTGAAGATACAAAGAAAGGGTATTGGCCAGCTTTGATAGGGTCCGAATCAATATAGCGGTTGTACAGGATAGCCAATACTTGATCGCCGACGAAGGCGCCAATCTTTCCAATTGCGGCAGCGATACCGTAGTATTGACCTCTGACGGCTGTAGCACAGGACTTTGAGGCGATGAGACCAATGTTGTCACCGGGGCCGAATTCACCTAGAGCGAGGAAGACACCGTAGACGACAACGAAGCCGCCCACGTTCGCGGGCTCGGCGAGCTTGCTGTAGCAACCAGCCATGATGAAGCCAACGATTCCCTGAGCAAGGACGCCGATACCGAGGGTCAACTTCGGGCCTAGCCAGTCACTGACAAATGATCCGCCGATACAGCCTGGCAGGTAAAATAGATAGATGAGGGTAGTCCATCCGAAAGTCTTCCAGAGTGGCGAGTCCTCGCCGAGCAAGTTGTCTACGATCGTACTGCTGAACAGAGAGAATGAATAGCCGGAAAAGTCGTAGATGAACCAGATTAGGGAGACGATGGTTAGGCGCCACCAGTAGAACTTGATAACCAGAAGCCAGGGTGTCTTTGCTTTGGCCATGGTCTCGCGGCGGTAGGCTTCGGGCTCCTTGAGCTTCAGACGAAGGTATAGGAGGGAAAGAGGTGGAATAACACCGAGTCCCAGACAAATGCGCCAGGCGGCACGAAGGTGGTTCTCGCCAGTAATGAGGACCTGTTAAACAAGTTCAGCACACAAGTGGTAGAGATGCTAGGCAAGACACATACCACAATCATGGGGACTAGAGCAGAAACGACGAAGCCGATATCAATCTGGACGTTGGTGAATAGTATAAACCAGCGATTGCGAGTTCCACTCTTGAGTTCACCGGTGCTCTCAGCACAGCCAACACTGCCTGCCGGATACTCACCACCAATACCGATACCCAAGAGGAATCTCCATGCTGTCAGTGCAGCAAATAGACCTGAGCTACTGCCACCTGCTCCATAGCTACCTGCGCTAAGTGCAGCGAAGAGGATCAAGATGACTGTGCTAGCAAACAGACTCCACTTGCGGGAGTAGTGATCAGAAGTGTATCCGAAAACGAGCATACCCACAACGGTTCCTGCGAATGTGATAGATGAGACGTTACGCTGAGCAGGCGACGTAGCATAGCTAGTAGGATAAATTTTCCCAAGCATGGTGGAGACGAAACCAATGACACCGTTCAGGTAGCCGTCACTGAAAAGACCGGCACCACAAGCGATGACAGGCCAGAGTCGTTCCCATTTTGTCTTTTCGCTTTCGTCGTATACTGATGGAATGTTTCCCGCCGTGGATGTTGTAGGGTGCTCTTGGATTGGTGCTGCTTCTGGAGAGACATCGCCGGAGTGCTTCTCGATGCTGAGTGGTCGTTCCATGGCTGTGAGTTGTTCTAGCGATTTGTTCGATTATTGCTGTCGAGTTCAAGGGTCGCGATGGGTATTCGGGATGTCGCTTTGGGAAATGGTTGACTTTAGTCGCGAGGGAGGTCAAGTATCTGCCAATATATGGCTATACACAGAGCACTGAGCGGAGATGTTATATCGCAGTGTGTAATCAGGTGTCTGAGAAAGGCAGGTAGTAAGTAAAAATAGGATTGAGATTCTGCTCGAGCAATAAAGGCAGGAGGCGATGCAAGGAAGGAAGTTTGGCTCAAGGGCACGCGACCACTTTTATCAACGATGGACGAGATCCTGCGATCTGCAGTTGAAGATGATCTTCTTGTACAAGTTGCCGCGAACCCTACGACTGGCCAATCGAAGCGTTGCTTGGAGGAATGCTTATCCTGCCTCCAGAGCTTTTGTGGATGTTCGGCAAGCTCGGCGACATCTTGGTAATGATACCCTCGGATACTGAAGCACCCAGAACGTGTGCGCTCCTCGGGTATCGGCTTAACAGGACATGCATTTGGCGCAGTTGTGCTCGAACCTCGCCCGAGGGAGGTATCACTGGAATCAAGCTGGATCTCCGAGTATTGGATAATCTTCAGTGAGAACATGTGTAGCAGTGTGTTCTGGAGATGACGATGCATGGTGTCCATTTATCGCTATGAGGGAAGCGGCGCTCTGCGGACGCCACCACCGTCTCTCCAAGACCCTGATCTTGCACTTCGTGTTGTCTCTTCCTCCGATAGGATTAGCGTAAACTGCCTCGCTCTCAACACATAATCAGAGCTGTTTGCTACCAACAGCAACGGAAGACGAGAGAACGTGGTCAGCTTCTGAACAACTCGTACGCGGTCTTACGCGTACACATAGATGGCTGGTGGAAACATTGTATCGCGTATTATCATGACGGCGTCATAGTATTGTGGGTACTATCCAGAGGAGAATCTTGTAGTGCGGCTTATCTACGGTATTTCATCACCCTGCCTGTGTCCTCACATGGAAAGGAACGATTGGCCCACAGGAATCCTACAAGTAAACTACACCTACTGGAAACCAGCATGGGAACAATGGAAAGAGCCCAGGGTGCACCATTTGGCGAACGAAATTGCCAAGACCTGATGGCTCGAAGACGATCCTCGCGTGAACTTCGTGTCCAGCTCAACATCGCACAATGCCCTTCCGACAGTCATCGGTTCAACAATTCTGTAATCACATGCGTCCCTCTGGCTCACACCGAAATCAATTGTCGTCGAGATGCGAGTCGTGCTCAGCGACGCGATACACTATACGACATCCACGCGATCCCCATGTATGCTGTAATGCGATTATAGGTGACCCAAGGACGGCACTTGCGAGAGAAGCATGCTGAAATATCTATCAACGAATTGAGCCAGACATTTGAGAGGAATCATCGGCACCCGCCGGCTATCAACTTCACAATCGGCTTCAGGGTCGTGCTTCAACATAATCTAGTCCACGATACGGAAGGTACAGGCACTGGGCACTAAGACCTCAGGCTCAGCACGTATTCGAGAATGTTGGAAATCACAATGGCAGGCGCCTCTATTCCTCTGTCGTCTATCCTCCAAGACTGGTTGGGATGGCGTTCGCACAGCTTTGAAGCCTCGAACCAAAACCATATGGTGAACCTGGAACCTTTGACTAGATGAACAGCTTGGGGACGCACGACTGCTATGGAATCTCGTGCAGTGGACAAACAATCGAGTCACATATGGATCAAAGCGATGAATCAAAGCCAGGTACAAATAATTTTGAACAAGCCGTGACCACGGACACAGATCGCAAAAATACTCAGAAGTATGGCAAGAGGCTTTGATTCTATCTGGGACGGGCCAGGAACCTCCGACCTGGCAAATGGAGCTCCTACGTAGTTCTCATCTCTGCGAGAAGCATATGAACAAAGAGAACTCGAAAGTCTGAAGTCACCAGCTGTCTCACAAGACCAGACTGAGTGTCGTCGTCGACAACGCAATGGAAGTAATGACGAACAAGGAGAAGAGCTGGATGACGAGCACGCAGAAGCTTCACACGATGCCGTCGATGAAGACCACGTATCGATAGACAGAACCTAGGAAGAGGCTGGTCCTCGTCACTCATCATGAATAGTGATCAGGATCAGACTACACCAACCTTTGGCGGAGATTCTCGCCGTAAATCTCACCGACTGTCTCACGTTATCTTGCGTTCTAATATTGACAGATTTTCGTCGTGATGATGATGTGTTTGCATGCTCAGGTAGCAAAAATCGTCGCGAGCGGCTCTGATGCCTCAAAGGACCGGTCATGAGGATCTGGCATCATGGCTGGCTGCTATATTGCTGGTCGAAGCTCTGGAGCACATCTCAATCCGGCTACCGCAATCATACTCGACGTCTTCCGTGGCTTCCCGAAAAACGAAATACTGGTATGCATTGTCGGTCAATTAATTGGAGCATATGTCAACTCGATTGTAGCATACCGCGATTATCTCAAAGGTATGCTCGGCCTGCTGAATGACGATTCAGACCGGATGTCAGAGGTCTGTTACCTATTCGTCACAGATTATGTAGACGGTATGGTCTATTTTGCTTCAGGCTTTGTGACTGAGTTTGTTGCTACAGCATGAATCTGAATCATTGTAGTAGCTTTAAATGACGGCAGCAATGCACCACTTGACGCAGGTATGGACACTTCCATCGAATCCTCTTATCAACATCGACACAGAGCGCTTTTTCGCCAGCACTGGTTTAGCTTTGGAAAATCTCGGGCTTGATGGATACGACATTATTGGTGATAAATGGTATTGCTGTGCTCCGACCACCGGTGTCATTGTCGGCGGAACCCGCGATGATTTTTCGATCCTTCTGTGAGGTGAAAGCTCAATCGATTGTGCCGAAGATGGCAACAAAAGAAATGGGTGTGAGGCCAAGACCCGGTGGAGGCACAGAATCGGACGCAGAGCAAGGTCGTAGCTTTCTCATACACTATCGAGGTCAAGTCTCAAAGCCACCAGAGATAACAGCCGTCCTCAAAGCTTTGATCTCTTGGAGGGTACGCGGTGTGGTCAACATGGAAGACTCTGCGACTCCTTCCACGAGTTCTTTGGTCGAGAGTGTCTCAATGAAAGATGGTAACGAGCACAGCATCTTCAGCAGACAATTATTCGCGTGTCAGTTCAGCGCTCGCAGAGCTGGTGGCACTTGAGTTCCCATAACCTCTCCTTACTCCTGCATCTATATGTCTCACCAAAAAGTTGTGCTTACCAACCCTATCTACATCCCCATGGAGCACTGACATGTATTCGCCATAGATCAAACTCAGGTTCGAAGCGATTAGGCTCACCCGCGCCAAACGTGGAAGTGTGGCTTGAGGTTTGCCCACAACGGTTTGGCAACAGTCCCAAAACGTCGTCAAACTTCTAGAAATCAATTCGCCAAGACGTCCAAAAACTTCCGTGCTTCGCACGCTTTTCATGACTACATGTCAAAGGTGAGACTTCTCGAAAACTTGATCACACCTGATCAGAGACAATCGTTTTGCAGACGGTGGGATTCAGCCTCCTACAGCCAACGTTCGTTATACAGCAGCTGTGGTCGGAGGACGCGAAACAGTTGAACTTCAGCTCCTAAGCCACGCGAAAAGTAGGCACTCGAAGTACGAACATACGGCAGTCAGGATCACTGCAATTCTTCGACCAACATGAGACTTTTTTGAACTGTCTTTCGCGCCAAACTTTTACCGTAGCTCATAGGCTTCAGACTCTACTGGAATGGTGAACGCCTCGTGACTGCCAACTCCATTGCGCAAAGGAGCTAAGGTTCCTTCTCCAGCCTCATACGTCGTATCCAAGGTACGAGCATCGTGGCACAGAGCCAAGTTCACACCATTCGAACACCACGGGCTAGTAACCACGGCTCATCATACACATGCACTCAGGAACCACACGGCATGACCGGTAGCGAGGATGCTCCTTCAAGTACTCGAGGGTGACGAGATGGTCGAGAGGACGGATACAAAAGCCGAGCAAATCCCCATCAATAAATCAGAAACATAGCAGAGGTCTTTGAAATATTGAAAGGTTACCCCCAGTGTCTCAATCACCTAATATGCGTTCGACTCTCCTTATCCCCGCTCTCGCAGCAATTGTTGCTGCCCTGCCGGCACCAGCTCCCCAAGAAATTGATCTCGATTTGTTTGTCAACATCCCCACACCGACTATCATTCAGGTTACCGGAGTCCCGGATCAGACCTCTACCTACGATACCAAGGCTATTCTCGCCTCGGCAACTGCTGCTTCTTCCATCTCTGTTGCTATCACTGATGCCGCTGCCTCCACCCCGAGTGTTGTCAAGCGTGCAGCTTGCGCAGCCGAGCCTGTCGGATATGGACCGGTCACCAATCAACCCAACGACGACGCTGCTTCGTTTCTGAACAATCCCGTCTACGGTAACACTGCCAAGTCTGCCGCTATTCCCGTAGGATACCAACAGACCTTCAGCAACTTGAATGCTAGTAGCAGCGCCTACGGTTACATTACCTTCACAAACCTGAAATCCTACAACACAACACAATGTGCTCTAAAGTGTAAGTAGAGAAAGCCACCAGAAAAGGACTTTGATGAGCTCTTCGCTAAACAAATTCAACAGGCAGCAAGGCCGCAGGATGCATGGGATTCAACATCTACTTTGAGAGAAACCCCAGCAAGACTCCCGACAAAACTCAATGCCCCAACCCTGCTTCGCTGACCCAGATCCGATGCGTGCTTTGGGGAGGCGCGGTCACTACTGCAAACACCGTCAACACTGGACGCAAGTGGGAGCAATTCCAAGTCGTCGTCGCCGGCTCCAACGGATATGTTAGCCAAAACATTGCCGCACCTTCCGGCTACTCTGACGCCACATTCCTCGACAAAGCAGCCATTAACGCACCCTTTGATACTCTAGGCTACAACACCTACATGGGCTCCAAGCTTTTTACTTCTGGTCCTTTTAACGCAACTCTCTGCGCTGAAGCTTGCAATGCGCAAAACGTTTACAATCTTGCTCACCCACCCACCGATGGCTCTCCCGTCCAAACATGCCAATTCTTCAACACTTACATCATGTCTTTGAATGGCAAGACGGCTTTGGGTCAATACTGCGCCATGTACAGCAGTGCGTGGAGCAACAAGTACGCCACCAACACCGGTGCTTGGAATGGAAATGACAGGTACACGATCGGTTCCTCCTACACCTTCTTCAACAGCACAAATCCTGGCACTACACCCAATGCTGCTGCTGCTATTGCTCAAGCAAAGGAGGAAATCGGCGTTTCTTCCCTCCAGAACTATTGCAGCACTTTCTTGGGCTACAATGATTTGAACGCCTATGCCACTGCCACGTCGACGAGAGTTCCCGTCTCGACTGTTACTTCGACTTCGACTTTGAAGATCAAGGCTTCATCGTCTTCATCGACTGTTTCTTCATCGGTATCAAAGGCTTCTTCATCGTTGTCGAAGCGTGCTGTGGCTTCTTCCATCCCTACACCTACTCCGTTGACAAAGTACCCTGGAAGCATCCTTTCCAGCGCTTGTTCGATGTTGGTTACTAGCGTGCCCAAGACTGCAACTGTCACTGTCTCGACTGCCACTGTCACTGGTGCTACTAGCAGATCTACTGTCGTCAAGACTATCACCACCACCACTCGCTAAACGCTTGTAGTGATGGTGGCTGGCTAAGGAACCGCTTCTGGGGAAGAGATGTGGTTGGAGAAGATATTATACAGGCTATGTAGATGTTTGAGTTCTCTCCTCTAGTAATGTCTTTAGATTTATTATTTCAATTTGTTTTCAATTCACGTTCCATTCGCTTGTCCATTAATGTGCTTCGAAAGGAGACTCCTTGTTATTTTAAACAATCGTCCGAAACCGTTTGCGTCCTGAGCCACTCCTCGTCGCCATGTTGGATCCGACAGACCAAAATAATCGACGAGAAAAGGATCGGATAGCATGTCTTCTGAGTTTGCTCTGGACAAGGACGCAAAAGGTGCAAAAGAAGATTTCCGACACGGGGAATTGAACCCCGGCCTCCTCGGACCTGATCGTTCTTTCGAACTGTTTGAGAGCGAGAAATCCTAGCCACTAGACCATATCGGATATTGTTGAAGTGATTTCCATCAGTTTGAAATATATTCTATCTACAAAGTCACATGTTACCGTCTGGCTTCGAAGTGCCTGGGACCAGATGGAGTTTCGCCTGGTGCAATGCAACGTCGCGAGCTTCACTGATGCAACTGCTTTCCATCGAAACAAATACACCATGCTAAAAGGATTAGCATTTGCTTGAGCGCAGTGCCACTCTTCCGCTAGCAACAAGTCTTCAGTCCCAAATCTTGAATGTCGTGTGATTATGCAACAGGCGCATATCTCAGCACCTTTGTATCTTTCTCATGTATCTAAGTTATGCATAGGGTATCGTTAAAAAGGCAAGTTCTCTGCCGCAAAGAAAAGATAGCCAGCCTCGCTTCCTCGTTCGTGTCTCCCTCCCTTCAAACCATCTAAGGACCACCAAGTCTCTTCTCGATCTTGTTCAGCTCGCCCTCGCGAATGTTCTGCAAGTCCTCTCTCGTACTGTTGTAGGTAGCATTGGCCTGGTTGAAGGGGTTATCAGGATGCTTCTCAAACTCCTTGCGAATCTGCTCAATCTTTTGCTGGCGACGCAGACCCTTCTCTTCCTTCATCTCCTCCAAGCGACGTTCTTCGTATTGGGTGTAAGCGGCCTTGAAGCGACGTTCGGGGTGACGATCAATCTTGTCGGAAGAGCCAGTGGTCAAGGACAAGGCGTCCAAGGCATTGTCGATACCGGTTGCGGAGAGCGAGGACAAAGAGGACGGGCCGTCCAGGCCGGAGAGATCGAGACCACGCGATTTCTTCTGGGCGGTTTTTGCATTTCCGGTCTTCTTAGAGGGGAGAGCTGCGTCTTCTTCGGCCAGGAGGGCAGCCTTTTCGGCCTTTTTGCGTTCGGCTTCGGCTTTCTTGTCGGCGGCGGCAGCACTGTGAAGGGAAGGAGTTCAGCATGTTGCACTCGAGAGTCATGTGTATCAAGGCGCAGACTCACGCCTTAGAGCTGTCCTTTGCGCCCTTTGACCATTCCTGCTCCTCGACCTTGGCCTTCTTTTGGTTCTCAACTGCCTGCTTCTGTGCAGCGACTTCTGCCTTTTTGGCGTTGCCGGCGGCCTTTTTGGTATTCTCTCCCTTGGCCATGATTAGGTGGTTTGTTTGTGTATTAAAGTGATGACAGCGATTAGAGCGAACATCAAACCCCAAGAAAATCGTCCGACTTCACATGGCCGAATTCGGGAAGCTTCTGTTGCGTCACTTGCCAAGCTTCCTTCCTCGACGCGTCTATACCGCTGTGTCTGATCCGCTTTCGCGTTCAACATGTTTTGAATGTTACAATTACAAGCGTGTTGGCAGAATATGTGCAAACATCTACTCTGGTGTTAGGCCAGTCGCAAAGTAAGATTGATCAGCAGATCAGGAACACATCTCAAGTTAACATGTTTGTATGTCGCTCATGGTGCTATTCGAAGAGATTGCTTTCGACAGGCAGCTCGTCCAAAACATTTCTATATTCGACCAGTAGCTCTCCGCTCTAGATATCTTTACTGTCTAGTTGTCTTTCCGTTCAAACCGGAGAACTCTTTGTCTTCATCTGAAGCTTCGTCCGAGTCTTCCTCCTCATCATCTTCTTCCTCTGCCCGGGAATTTGCTTCTGCCTTCAACTCTGTACAGTACTGCTTGAGTTGAGCCGTCGACTGGTTCGACAGTCCGAAATCGCTGTATATGCCAGCCGATATAGTCTGTCCAGTCAAGAGCCTAGCCACAGCATTCTCAGGCGAGAGTGCCTGAATATCGCTTCGGGTGAGGGGTACTTCGTACTCATCGAACACTTGTTCCAGACTCATGGTTCCATCCCTGAACTTCTGCATAGTTGCGCAGTCCTGTAGTAGACGCACTTTGAGTGGGTCTGCGATTTTCGCATTCGTATCGAGTCTACCAGAGCCTGTGCTGGCGATGACCCTGATGTTGAGCAGGTCGCTGCGTCCTCCTAGATGATAGCTGACGAGGAGCAACCTGTGTAGGGAGATCCGATTGAAGATGCCTTCCTCATGAACGAGCACATCAACCGTGATAGGACGTGGCTTGACCATACGGCGAAGTAATTCAAGAAACTCAATAGTGCTTGTATCCAGTATGACGTCTCTATAATCTGGGTATAGCGATCCATAAAAAGGCAGAAAGTAATCGGTATTGCTGAACCAAACTCTTCTGAGATCGTCAGTCGTCACCCAAGCTGGGAGCGAGGAGTGGGTGGTAATGTCCCAAGCAGGCTCATTCTATAGGACATGGCCAAATATTTCAAGACGAAGCTCAAGTGGTACTTCTCTGCCGACCATCACCTCGTTGATGGCTTCAAAGATCCTCACTGCTTCGTCCTGCTGGCCCTGGTCCACTGGGGGGCTGGAAGTGTTGCCGGAGGTCCAATCCAGCCATCCTCGAAAGTTGTCAGACATTCTGCCAATTGATACAGCCGAGCTACTAGTGCGGAGGTTGGGAGGAACAAACCTCTCTGCCAGGGCCGCTTGATAAATTGAATGCAGGTGCACAAAGAACAGCATTGTAAGCCAGAATTCGTCGAGTCCGGTGGTCGAAACAATGAAGTTGAGACTGCCCAGCGCCGGATCCGGACATGGCGTTGTTGATGAACATAATTTTGGTCGAGCTGAAGTATGTGAAGTGAGTTCGACCGTGGCAATTGCATGCTGACCGAGAGATGCTATTGATCCATTGAGTGACAACTAGTCACAAGCATTCCTCACACCAATTACGCGATACATACGATTCGTCCATGCAATGTAAATTTGATGGACGCGAGGATCTATCGAGCAGTTCTCAGAGCTCGTCTGAATCCTTCTCAAGATACGGACATACTGGTCGATGTGAAGGATGCGAGAAGCACAGCACCACGAGTGATTGCGAAGGTCGACTCGGCCAAGTTATCAGCAGCGACCAAAGCCTGGCAGATTTGCTGCTACACAATACCAAGAAAGGCACACATAAATCTATTCTGTTCGACTAGGTAGTCGAGGGGAGAGAAGACGGATTGAAGTGTCGGGAACGATAAGATAGGGGGCCGGCAGACGGCTCGGGTGCCCCGCACAGATCGAAGCATGTCCATACAGCGGGCCGTCGCAGGGCGCTGTTTACCGAAACAGATTGGCCCCTCGGAGGAGTCGCGTAGAGTCGTTGACTCATGTGGAGGTGGATCTCTTATCTTCGGTTGTTTTTTTAGGCTGATCGTGGTGTCCCTCTTCCCTCACTGATTGAGGCCAGATTCAGTGAGGCAGCAGATTCCCACGCTCCTTCCCTGCTCAATCGCTCTTCACCAGCTTTGTCTTGTGACGGTTCCGCCATGTCGTCATACAAGATTGCCGTGGGTAGAACCACAAGGTTTGGAGGGGTTCACAGTGTGCCGCATCGCCTATCTACATATGCTGCCCTATCCCAGACCCCATACTCCCCACTCTCAACAGCATCACGAACCACAAGCATGGGTTCCCAGGGTCTCATGTCTTCGTTGCCCATCCCAGCTTGGCTCCAGGGCCAGTCAACTCGCACCTTCTCGACCACTCCTCGTCAGAGACGTCTGACCATCGAGAACATCAACCAGAATGTCGTCGAGGCCGAGTACGCCGTCCGCGGTGAGCTCGCCGTCAAGAGCGAAAAGTACCGCGAGCAATTGAGAAAGGGCGACTCCTCATTGCCCTTTGACACCATCATCTCGGCCAACATCGGCAACCCTCAGCAACTCGACCAGAAGCCCATCACCTTCTTCCGCCAGGTCTTGTCCTTGATGGAGAACCCTCTCCTCCTCGAACACCCCGACGTCCTCACCAAGACTCTTGGTTACAAGCAGGACTCGATCGATCGCGCAAAGAAGCTGCTGGACGATGTCAAGAGCGTGGGAGCATACTCGGCCTCGAAGGGTGCCCCTGGTATCCGTCAGAGCGTCGCAAACTTCATCGAGAAGAGAGATGGCTACCCCGCCGATCCCGAGAGCATCTTCCTGTCCGCCGGCGCTTCGGGTGGTGTCAGTACCATGATGAACGTCATGTGCGCTGACGCAAACTCCGGCGTCCTCGTTCCCATTCCGCAATATCCTCTCTACACCGCCACTCTCGCCCTGCTGAACGCAAAGTGCGTTCCCTACGAACTCGAGGAAGAGAAGGCTTGGGGTACAAACCTTGATGCCATCCGTGCATCATACGCAAAGGCAAAGGCTGAAGGTACAAGCGTTCGCAGCATTGTTATTATCAATCCTGGTAACCCCACTGGTGCTTCCCTCACTGTCGACGACATCAAGTCTGTCATCAAGTTCGCTGCCGAGGAGAAGCTGGTCGTCGTAGCCGATGAGGTGTACCAGACCAATGTCTTTGTCGGAAAGTTCACCAGCTTCAAGCAATGTCTTAGAGAGCTTCAGCAAAGTGATGAGAACAAGGACGGCAGATTCGACACTCTCGAACTCGTTAGCTTGCACAGTATCAGCAAGGGTATGATTGGCGAGTGTGGACACCGTGGTGGTTACTTTGAGCTTGTCGGCTTTGACGAGAAGGCGAGTTCACATTATTCAGCCGCTGATCGATTTCCATGCTAACCTCTTGAACCAGGTCACCGAGCAGATCTACAAGTATGTCAGCATCCAGCTTTGTCCTCCCGTTATCGGCCAATGTCTGGTTTCCCTCATGGTCGAGCCTCCTGTTGAAGGCGACCCGTCATACGACATCTACCACAAGGAAGAGCGCGGTATCTTCGACGGTCTTCAGAAGCGCGCCACTGCATTGTACGAAGCCTTCCGCGAGATGGAGGGCGTTTCATGCCAGTCGCCCACCGGCTCCATGTACCTCTTCCCCACCATCACTCTTCCTCCCAAGGCCATTGAGAAGGCCAAGCAAGAAGGCAGAAAGCCCGACGAGTACTACTGTATGAGATTGCTGGACGCCACTGGTGTCTGTGTTGTTGCTGGAAGCGGCTTCGGTCAGAAGGAGGGAACACTTCACTTCAGAACCACTTTCCTTGCTCCTGGTACCGAGTGGGTTGGCAGAATCACCAAGTTCCACAAGGAGTTCATGGCTGAGTTCAAGTGATTCTAGATTCTTGTGTAAAGATAGGGCGAGGAGGCTCTTTCTGTCATCTTCATTCGAGCGGGCATGGCGCTTTACTACATGGAATGCATGTTGGACCTTTTTTTAATTTGCGACTGCTTTGAGGCTTCTTCAGAGCGACTTTTATGATACAATTACGTTTCTTGTTTCCGTGCACTCTCTCCAATCTTGTTCAGACTCAAGCGCTATCGTGAATGATTCCGTGGTGAAGAAGCAGCGACTGATCGCACCTGCCGAACGTTTTTCAGCAAGCCCACCTTGATTTGTGCACTACCGTAATCCGAGAAAACCTCTGCACGTTCATTTTCACGTATTTGAGATCTGAAGAGATGGCATCAGGTAAGAATGTCTGATTGATGGAAAGCTGCGACACTTGCAAGGTAGACAAACAGCCAACGCTCGTCAGGCGCGATAACAACACCTTCTCTGCCCCTCATCACGTCGCATACCACGACACAAATCCGAACACCGCCCTTTCTTACAACAACGCCCTTCACGTCTCCCGCGCCGCACATCTATTGCATCTGATTCCTCGTACACACACTCCACTCTGTTAGGGATTTCACGAAGAATATATCAAAAGAAAAAAGAAAAACAAGAGGATAAAACCATGGGCACACATCATCGCGTCTCAAGTCTGCACCACGAAACGACACACAGAGGACAAGGAGAAGCTCTTCCGCCTATGCTTGAACCAGAAACCTCTCGATAGACAGAAACCCACAGAATTAACAGTCGAATGCGCTAGCCAATCTGTACACCAAACACGTTGATTCTGAACATTCGTTCAAAGTGTTCTGTAGTCAGGTCCAGCAATGGTTTGACTTGGGCGATACCGGCATTCGCGATCCTGCGACCAAAAAGAGTCGGCAAACAACTAAAAACAAGGCATACTCTTCCGCCTGGGCTTGAACCAGGAACCTCTCGATGGACTGCAATCTGACAAATTAACAGTCGAACGCGCTAGCCAATTGCGCCACGGAAGATGTGAAAGCTGGGCTTTCCTGTAGCTGTTGGGTAAGTGACTCGTCATTGAAAACGAATATGATCATTTGAGATCGACATCTGTCGATTGAGCTTGGCATGCTGTGGGTAGCACCCTGACGCTACCTTGAAGGAGGTACAGCACGAGCATTTGGACTCGAACACGTCGATTATCTGGATGAGAATGATCTAGAGCCGGTACACTATGTTGGTACTGATCCTGTCTCCTGTTGAGTGCTCTGTGACTGAGATACACGTGAGATAGTCGGACATTGAGAAGAGTGGTACGAACAACGCGGGACGAAGCCTGTCTGTCATGCTCGTACGTCAAGAGCGCCCAAATTCTCTTGCAAAGAGCACATAATCCACGAAACACAGCCTTAAATTATACTAGCCGTACTCTGAACAAGAGAGTGACTCGACAAAACCACCGTGAGCCTAAATATCATGGTCGACTTGTTCCTCGAAATCGAAGCTTGTTCTAGACCAAAGCACCATCCGCAGTTTATCCGGCCGTTTTCCCCTGGATATACACAATCCTATTCACTCTCCCACCCTACCCAATCGCCTTCTCACGCCCGTCTCCACACCATCTATAACCCCATCGAGATCTTTGATCATGCCTCAAACCGCCGACAATCTCCTCAGCGATCCTGAAATCGCCACTGCCTACGAAGATGTGCGATCCGACAAGTCCGCAACAACATGGATGATTCTAAAGTACATCTCCGGAACCTCGGATTCATTGAAGCTGGATAGTACTGGGGAGGGTGATATTGCTGAGATGGTGGAGCACTTAGGGGATGATGAGGCGGCTTATGCGTTTGTGAGGATGACAGTGGGGAATGATGAGTTGTCGCAGAGAGTCAAGTTTGTGTTTGTTTCTTGGTGTGGTAAGTCAATCTTTCATCTCAATCATCCAATGCCTACTGCGTGGCTGTTTCAAAGCAATGATTCCTCACAATGGCTGACTTGTTTATCTCCAGGTCCCAACACAAGAGTCATGCGTAGAGCAAAGATGACCACTCAAATCGGCCAGGTCAAGCAGGTCTTGCGAAGCTATGCCATCGAGATTCAGACGGACAGCAAGACCGACCTCAAGGAGTCAGAAGTTACCATGAAGTTGAGAAAGGCCATGGGAGCCAACTGTAAGTCTTGTAGAACGGGCTTCCTGCGAGAGCGACACTGATATTGGTTATAGACGATCGCCAAACATCAGGCTACTAGGCATTCATAACGCAAGCCAATATCTCAGAGGACATATAGGTGGCTACATACATAATAGACGAATTCTCAAAGAAGCAATCAAATAGAGGTCAAAAGTAGCGAGGGCGCATGGCGTTGTGTTCACGTGTAACCTTCGCGACTCGTGACGCGCTTCGGTGCCTGATTCTCTCGACACATGTCAAGTGTCACGGTGATTTTATCCAATGGCCCGCTCGACTAATCGCTCGAGGAGGAGAAGTGCATGAGACCCTTATAGTTCGAAAGTCAATCCTTACTGCCGGGTACGGGTCGCTTCGTATGGCAGGTCGTGTACAGTAGCGCACCACGAGGATCGTCAAAGGGTCAAGGGTCGCACACTGTTTGCCCATCTCTTAGCCGTAATTGGTCTGCGCAAACACGATCGTTGTTTTAAATACAGGGAATCGCATATGCCGTGCCTTGATTCTACCATGACGGCCTTCCGTATTGGCTGACTTGGTGTTCCTGTCCGATCAGTTCGCTCGCCTTGGCGCCAAGCCGGACCCTTTGGTAGCACCGACTACCGGAGGGAGATCGATGATCTGAAAAGCCATCGTCAAAAGATGCACTTTTGACTGCGACTTTCGGACGTGAAGCTTTCCACGTTTAGTTTTACATCAGCGGCGGAAGCGGCGGACAAGAAGACCGCATCACCATGTCGCGTGGGCCTGCTGCCTTCTTAATCGACATCCCCTCCCTCTCCATATAACGCAGAGCAGCTGTCCTGTGGGGAATGACAGGCAATCATGCCGGATCAGCGTCAGGCACAACCGCAACCGGGCATCCTCAACTTTGTCACATTCGGCGAGACACAATCAGAGACGACATCCACCCGGGCAATCAGATCTCACGCCGCCAAGGTAGGATGGAAGTCTAGGAAGACATCGAGGAGTCTTGCTGCTGCTGCGCGAAACCCCATGCTTGGTATCACCACGGAGCATGCTCCGAAGGCTCCGCTTGCGCGACCCCGGCAGAGGACCCAATCTGCTGTGCCATCTTGGCCAGACCGTGATATTGCTCCGAGGGTCGTACCGTCTTTGGCTTTATCAACATCTTACTCTTCTCCCTCGACCGACTCGTCGCGCTCGACACCATCGTCGGCTTACTTTTCTGCTGATTCCGGCATGGACTGCTTGTCCGACTCTGAAGATACCACCTTGGAGCATGTGGATACCCACGAAATTGCGAATCATCAAGTATCACAGCCTGCCATGATAGCTTCGACACCGCCACAGACTGCGTTGGCGCTCAAGCCAAATCAATTGGGCTCTACTCATGATCCCTTTTCCCAATTTCCGGTCAGCTGGCAAGAGTCTTATGGCCCTCTGGTGCAATTCTGTAAGTAACGCTGATCTCGCTACATGGGTATTGAATAGTTCTCGTGACTTGTCACATTCCTCTAACCATGATCAATACATGTGCCAAGTTGTTCACCACTAACATGTTACACTTTCAGACCGAAGCTGCCTCGGAGAAGCATGGATGGGGCTAATTACCGTCGACTGGGGCCATCAAGGCAATACCGAGTTTGTCGACTTTCCCCTACAGATATCCATTGCACAGCGGGAACCTGCAATGTTTTATGCCGTTCTGTCAAACACCAGCACCATGGCTCCAGCCTCCAACGCGATATCGATGCGACAACAACCCTTCATGTCTCAGTGGTTACGACATAAAGCCGTCGAGTCTCTCAGAGTAGCCATCATGGATCCGAAGCGCGCTTACACTGATGCTGTAATCTTGACTGTCACGTATGTCTACTTCAATGAGGCGGTGCGATCAGAGCGTGACATTGCGCTCAAAGTGCATGGTCCTGCATTGAAGAGAATGGTGGCTGCAAGAGGAGGTATCGGTGCCATTGCTGCAAATGGCAAGGACGGTCTCATTCTCTCGAGATATCTCTCATGGTGTGATCGCATTATTTCGTCGACCCTGGACATTCCGCTTCTCTTTGGAGACTACGTCGAGGATTCGATTGTTAGCCAGACTTATTATCCTGGCATGTGGTCCAGGGTACAGAATCTGATGTGATGGCGATCTTCAACGAATATTCAGAAGGTGGACGTGAACCACACAGAATAGCACACTCCACACGATCGATCCCACCAAAAACCAGGAATTGCTGCGAGGAGTTGCGTGAACACACAAACCCCTTCAAGGCCGTCACGGATCAATCGTATTGGCTTCACCCTGGACAGCAGTGATGGAGCCAGAATTTAGTTCTGCCAAGTGTCGCAAAATTGCCGACCAGCCATCATTACTGCAAGTCACCAACCATCCCGCTTCCGTTACAGTATCGCTCAGGACCAGCTAGGACCGGTACACCTTTATCGAACCGATCAACAACTACGTGACTGCACACTCACATCACCCGTCCCACAACTTCATAAACACCCGCACTCAGCCACCACTCTCGAAATACCCGCTCCTTATAACCCCCAATTATACCTATCTACGCATACAATAACGATCAACGACAGCATTACCACCAACAGCACATACCTCCCCAGCACAACTGCGCCATGCCGCACATATATCAACCCTCAGCATATCAACTCCTTTCATCTTACACTAGAACAGCAATATATTCCCATCAGTCTCTCGAGCTCTGGTCCACTCGTCTTCCACTTGAATCGGAATCTCTCGTGACGTTGGTTGATTATTTATGTGGAGAATTTGACCATGGGAATTCAACAGCGACAAAAAAACGCGAGGATCAAATTGCTGAATTCCCCTAGATCTTCTCTGCCTACACAATTCTTGTACCGCCATGCCGAAAGGTCACTTTGCAATCGGATGTGGAGATTGAGATTAAGCAAACGCTGGTACAGAAGATGATGGACTCATCTGTCAACATATGTTGATATTATATACGATGGTTTCCAACAGTGAGATGTGTGTGCTGGCCATTTTGTATATTCTGTTTTCGTGACCCATTGTACGAGAAATGGATGAATTGCAATAGTAGAGAGAAATGAAATAGAACAAAAGGGGATGCTTGCCACCGCTCGTAGGTAATTTGATAGAAACAAAAGTCGAAATTGAATCTATGCCACATGGCCAGAAGGAAGTCGGAGGAATTAGGTTGAGAACCGACAGTTCCAATCAGAGACATAAATGTGAAGGTGTTGCTCTCGCAAAGTGGACGAGACGATTTCTCAGGGCAATATTAGAAGGCTAGAGACCGGAAAGGACCCAACGTGCTGGTTCTCGGAGATCGGAGACGCCGAAATTCAGTAGTTTCCAAGTCGTATTCTACATTCGGAGTCGTCATGTGCTCAAACTCGCGTCGTATGTCTCAATGAGGTGGTGCTGTCGTGTGCCACCAATGCAAAGTCAAGGTCAAGGAGTAGAGCCCCGCAGTACGTAAGGTGTATGCATATGCAAGCGCCACACGACCCTTGTATAGGATAGACGGGCCGAGGAGTCCCATGGTGGTCAGTTCTGGTTGCTGGGATGATTCAAGAAGCTTCGTGGCTTCGCACCGCGAGGATGAGAACTTGGATGAAGATGTTGTAATGTCGACCTCTGCGCGGTGGAATGTGTTGGACACTTGTAGCCGACCAAGATGATTCGTTCAGTGATACCGTGGCTTCGAGAGCCATATGCGGCACATGGATCTAGGGAGTGTCGATGATAGAGACAGCGACAGACTGCATAGCGCTCTATGACTTGTATGCACATTGTGTTCGGTAATCTGATTTGGACGAGGTGTTGGTCGTGTCGTTCTTGCGTTCTGTGATTGAGCCTGGGGCTGCAACTCTGTTCGCGGTTGTCCTAGAAAGAGAGACCGGATGGTGGTATATATCCCTTGAGCTCAGTATCTAGGCAGACTGATGCGTGATGTTGGACGGCTGCGCACGGTATACAGCATCTGACATGCGTAGGAAGTTTCTCGAGACAACATTATATAGCGATGAGGCAGCAAGGCAAGATAGGTGAGTAATCCAGAGTGAGATCGACCAGTAGGAAATGTAGATGTAGACTGATGGCGAGAACAAAGGAAGCGAGGTGAGTGGGATGGATGGGAGGATAACCAATCTTTCTGTACACATCTTCGCTTTTTTAACAATCATCATCATGTCACCTGTGACCCAAAACAGAAAATGCTGGCAGTAAACGAAACAGGTAGGGTCGTTCGGGTCCTGGTTGGTTGTTCCTTCCCGATACTCGTCACAGGGTCTTGCGGCTGGCGTGGCCGACCTCGCGGTTGTCCGGCATGTTACTCCAGCGGCGTCCAATCTCGTATTTTGGACGATAGTATTCTCGGAGAGAGTCGTCGAAGTAGACAGATACCAGAGGATGTGTAATCACATGGCCTAGCCATACGCTTGGCGATTGTCGAACACGCTGCAGGTCCTTTATACTTTCAAGCCGCCCATGTGGGTGAGATCCGCAACTCTGGCTGTGCCTTGCACATATTACCATTTGCGTGTCATGGATATAGTGATGACATAGATGGCGCACCATAATCTGTACAGTCAGAAATGCTCTCTTCGGTCTCATCCCATCGTTAAGTTTGCGAGGACTTGCAATAGTTACACTCGAAGGTGGGTAGAGTACGAGGTTTTTCGTACATGTATACATAGGTTGCCTGACGAGCGCCTTGACAAGAGGCGCAAAAAGTGAACAAGGTTACCCAAGGATCAAAGGCCGCTAAATTACGGGTGCAGCCATCAGTGGTGAATCGCCCAATCGGACATCCCAAAAGAAATACCGCTTAGGCATCAGTTCGTCTTGATAGAACATATGCGAGTGCATGTCAGGAGGTCGGCGTTACTTTTAGTGAGATACATGTTCACCCATTGTTGCAGTTTCCAACGGGTGACATGCCCCCTGAATGGAATCGGCATATGACAGCTGGATCAAAGTGCTCTACTACACTGCATGATCAAGATACCGAGACCGTCATGAGATCAACTTTAGCCGAAGAGGCTTGTTTTGACTTCGCAATCGTCACATCGACGACTTCGCGAGATAGATGTTAGAAGCTGTGACTGTTCACGTAAACGTGACTTGGACTAGAGAAGCAGTCATTAAGCAGATTGGAGGTGCGTGATCTGTGTATTGCAGCGCAACTCATGAGAAGCAAGCCTCGCCAAGTCACCGAGGTGCATACATATACACACAGTGACGTTCCGACACCCGCCGACAACAGCTTTCCTATTTTGACCGAAGTTTGTTACGAAATGCTGGAGCTACTGTTGCAACAGAGACAAAAAGTTCAGAGCGGTCGAGAAGAACTCCAACACATATTTTACGTTCCGGAGTTCCGAACATTCAAGAAGTCGACTGTCGGGTCATACATGAAGTTGGTGATGTTGAACTCGCTGTTACTACCCAGGTCGGGCGTTTGAAAGTCCCCACTGCTGTCACCTGCAGCTAGAGACGTATCGTTGGGTACAGGAAGACGAGGCATGTTGAAGAAGTCGAAGACGTCTAAATACTCCAGATCTTGTGGAGCTGGAGTCCGTGCAGGAGTGATTGCATGTTGCTTGCCTCCGGTGTATTGCTGCCGCGGTTGTCGCGAGATCAAGAAATCCAAATCATAGGCACAACGTCTCATGTCTGCGAGAATCCTCACGGTTGACGGCGTGACTCTCTCACCATTGGCCCCAATAGGCGCTCTCTCTGATTCGCTATATTCATCGAGCACACGCTGCAGAAGTGTAGCATATCTTTCAGCGACATTCCAGTATCGGCCCATGTCTCTCAGAGTCTCAACGAGAGGATAAATGGCTGGATTTACCTGATGATCAATTGTCGAACCATGGACCAACAGCAAACGAGCAGCTACCCATATGGAGAACGCAAAATGCGGGCCGAGGTTGGTAAGCATGTTGTTGTTCCTGACGTAAGTGCAGAGGGAACAGATATCCTCGACAGCTGTGTGACATCTTTGACTAGCGCTGAACGATGGCGTGAAGATAGGAGATCTAGTTGTTGGGTATGCAGCTGATGAATGTAGACGGATTACGGCACTGTTTGTTATTAGTTCCAGGTCAGGCAGGGCTGGACTGTCAGATGATAGACCTACGTATGATAGGTGATGTGCAGCATGATCCAGACACAATTGACAATTTTGCTGTTGCCATTGGGGTTGAAAAGACGAGCCATATTTCCATATTCACCAGGCAGCGTAAATTTCCAGCTGTTGAGTGCGCTATCGAGCTCGCGATATTCGCGTTGCCACTGCTCAACATCTGATAGATCCCCAATATCGACTGGCTTCTTCAGGAATCGATGTATTCTCGACATGATGCCAACAATTTCGATGTAGTAGCTGAATGAGCCTAGATTCTCAGGTTTGTTCAGAGTATAGTCATCTCTCTCGGACGTGTGAAACCAACGAGTCTCGACAGGTTGGTTTCTCGCGAACAAATCGTCTCTGCAAGGAAGTTTACGATCGATCTCTTTGTCATCGAGCGCAAACTCGAAGGCTGTAGCTATAGTAGCATAACGATCGAGGAGATACACCATCCAGAAGAGGCGTCGGCGACTCTCGTCTTCAATCCAATCATTCGATTCGGGAAGTACCATCGCACGAAGAGTGTAGATTGAGGGATAAAGAGGGGATACGGATGTCGATGTAGTCTCGACAGCCAATCCGAGCTGTACGACGCTACGTGCAATCAGGGCAAGAAGGTTCCAGCCCGGTGGGCCATTCGAGCATCCGACAATATCCAAGGCCAGAATGACCAGAGCCTGAAGTGCTTTGACAGAACTGTTTTCAAGTCCGTAGAGTAACACCTTTTGCTTCGAGTTCGAGTAGTATCGATCTCGAGTTTGCTCCGTTAATCGCACATCGTTTGAAAATCTCAAAGTCGTTGCGACAATAGCATGTAACAAAATTCTATCAGCTTCTTGAAGACTGGAAGTGCCAAACAGAGAGTCCAGGGTGCTGCGTCGATGCAAGATTGGCGCCCACGTGTTGACGTGCTTGAAGAATAAGTCGACCAGTGAATACAAGAGATCATATGGCGGCAACTCTGCGTCTTGATTGCTGGTCATCTGACTAGGCATCTGGATTTGCGGACTCGTCAGGTTTCCACTTTGACCCGAGCCTGGTATGTTAAGGCTGGGTGATTCTAGTGGTGGGTTTGTCGGCGCATAAGGCGCTTCGGACAGAGGCTCTATCCTAGCGTGTGGCGTACCATGTCTCTGCTGTATGTCTTGCAGAGACTGAGGATACTGTTCGCCTTGTTGCCCCGATTGGGCAGTATTCATACCATGTACACCATAGCCACTATTGGTAACGACGGAAGCTGGAGATGTGACAGATGGATATGAGGTAGGTCGCTGCATGTAAAGAGCAGCCTCAGATCGTGCTCCATGATCAACCGAGTGAGCAGTTGAGAGAGCTGATGGTGACTGGTGGTTGACCTGTTGAGATGTCAAGCCAGGAACGACCGATGTAAAATGTTGAAGGAGCTGTTGTTGTGCTTGAAGAACGGTCTCTAGCTTGTCTACTACCAGTCAGTATAAGCTCACAAAATCTTTGGGTTGTGATAAGTACCAAGTCGTGCTTCTAGCTCTCTACCATAACCTTCTGAGGATTAGAATTTGGCATGATGTGAGTAAAATCGAATACTGACCAGCGCGCAATCCAGGCTTCTTCCGTTCCTTGTATTCGCATATCTGGCTGTTTCGAACGCACCTGGTGGACTTTAGCACGTCAAGCCGAGATGATAAAACGGAGTACTAACCAGCCGCATGATGGCTTGCCACGGTCACATCGGACTTTGCGTATCTTGCAAAGCTCGCATGAAACACCTTCATAATCGTCAGACATGGGATATATACAAGATAAGACAGGTTTCACATGACAGGAGCGGGTGAGCGAGAAGCAGTGGAGATAGGATGAAGAGTGGTGCTAGGTTTACAGATTAGAACGCACTCAATGGCCTCGGTCTTTTTCTTTTCGGGCCCTCCTCTTCGCCCTCATCATCACTCCAGCCTTCGTCATGGCCGTTTTCCCTGTCTTCGGCCGTCTCATCGGTGGAAAGTCGTGACTGCAGTTGGGCGAGTTTGGGAGACGAGGGTGACAAGCCCTCGTTGTTCGGGGTGATTTGCGCCGCCATGATCAGAGAAGCAGAGGCTTCGGAGGGATGGCGACCGAGAAGCCTTTTGTCTGTGGTGGAGCAGCCCCGCTTTCGTGGTCTGGCTTGGCACCGCTCACTATTCATCCGCGAGCTTGTTCCCTCCCACGGGACATCATTGTCTGGCAAAGCCGATGCCGCGACATGTTTGCACCGGTAGTGCCACCATTCGTATGAGACGGTGACCAGACGACGTGCGGAGGGAAGTGTGCTCTGCCGCGGTCGGCATATAACCGTCGGTATTCCCCCCAAAGACCTCAGGCTAAGTCTTGGATTGTACCTTTCTCCTCTCCTGTTCCTCCCTGCTGTCATTTTCTCGAGTTTGTTAGCTGTACACATCCACAATGGCCTCTGTCAACACGTTTCCTACCATAAAGGCCGTCAAGACCTTCGTCATCCAGGGCGTTGGTTCTGGCGGTGACTACCACAATGTCAAGGGCGGTCACTGGCTGATCGACTCCAAAATTGCGACTCCCATGTCTGGATACGACAAGTACCGCAAGTCGAGAACGGACTTTGGCATCAATGTCCTTGGATCTTTCTGTGTGGAGATTGAGTCGACCGACGGCAAGAAGGGCTTCGCTACAGGCTTTGGCGGCCCTCCAGCATGCTGGCTAGTTGCCGAACACTTCAACAGATTCCTGATTGGTGCTGGTGAGTTCCCATTGACCCTGGACGCAGGACACAGTAGCTGACGTCGCGACAACAGACCCTCGCGACACGAACCTCCTCTTCGATCAGATGTACCGTGCCTCCATGTTCTACGGACGCAAGGGCCTCCCACTCGCTGTCATCTCCGTCATCGATCTGGCTGTCTGGGATCTACTGGGCAAGATCAGGAACGAACCCGTGTACAAGATGATTGGTGGTGCAACACGAGACAGACTCAACTTCTACTGCACAGGTCCCGCACCATCTGCTGCTAAGAGAATGGGTTTCTTCGGTGGCAAGGTCGCCCTCCCTTACAGCGCTGCCGAGGGCTTCGAGGGCATGAGAAAGAATATCGAATACTTGACCGAGATGCGAGAGAGTGTCGGTCCTGACTTCCCGCTCATGGTCGACTGCTGGATGAGCTTGACTGTGCCCTACACCATCGAGCTCGCCGAGAAGTGCAAGCACCTCAACATCAACTGGTGGGAAGAGACTCTCTCTCCTGATGACTTCGATGGCCATGCTCTTCTGAAGCGTGCTCATCCCACTATCAAGTTTACCACCGGCGAGCACGAGTACACACGATACGGCTTCCGCAAGCTTATCGAGGGCCGCCATGTAGACATCCTCCAGCCTGATGTTATGTGGCTGGGTGGTTTGACAGAACTGCTCAAGGTCTCCGCTCAGGCAGCTGCATATGATATCCCAGTCGTACCTCACGCAAGTGGACCTTACAGTTACCACTTCGTCGTTTCACAAACGAATTCGCCTTTCCAAGAGTACCTCGCAAACTCTCCTGATGGTCAATCGGTTCTTCCTGTCTTCGGAAATCTCTTCATCAACGAGCCCATCCCAGAAAAGGGCTACCTTGAGGTATCCGTCTTGGATAAGCCTGGTTTCGGTCTGGAGATCAACCCCTCTGCTCCTCTCATCGATGCCACCAACATTCTCAACCCTGCACCCTCAAGGTCATTGGCAGATCCCACGATCCCTGATGGTGTCCAGAACGAGAAGACGAATGGTAGCGCATGAGGCCCGAAGAATTTCCAGTGAAAGAATATGTAGACGCTTGAGAAAGGACATGAATCGAAGCATTTAATTTTGGTGTTTTGCATAAGTTAGCCATACAAATATACAAAGTCAGGAATCCCTTCAACTACTCGTTCCTTCACTCTCGTGCGCAAAACCAGACAACAAATCGTCTACCTACCAATCATAGGGCTGCATAATCTTATGAGAATATCGCCAACTTCTCGACTGCAGCCAGAGCTAGCGATCTTTACCCGTTTTGGCGGCCAAGAAGCCTACCGAGACTCCCGAAGCCCTCCGTCTGATCCTTCCGTAGCCAACTGGCTCGAGAACATGACCACTATTTATACAACTTACAACTCACGACTCGATATATTGTCCATCTGGCTCAGGATAGAAAAGTGGTGCGGCCGTGATGAGTTTTGAAGCCAACGTACACACATTGAAGAGGACGCTCCGCTCAAGGACATTCTGGCAATGGATACTATCCGCCGCAGGCATATACCTTCTGGTTCGACTACTAAGACCACTTCCTCAAGTACCTGTCCGTCATACGTTTGAGCCCTTACACGTCACCCAAGGAGATGCAGATCTTGATGATGGCATCGACTGGACGCGCTTTGCTTACATACAGTATGTTACGGACAAAGAATATCTCTGCAACAGCTTGATGATGTTTGAGTCTCTCCATCGACTTGGCAGCAAGGCGGATCGTGTGTTACTTTACCCACAACAGTGGGAATTGAATCCTCAGCAGAAGACCTGGGAGAGCATGTTCATTCGACAGGCTCAAGACAAATACAAGGTGCATATTCAACCCGTTAAGCCTCAGTATGCAGAGTCACACACCGACGGAACATGGGCCGAGAGCTTCACCAAGCTGTTGGCTTTCAAACAAACACAGTACGACAGAGTTCTGAGTCTGGACTCTGACGCCACAATTTTGAAGGTATGCCGTACCCTTACCAACTACAAGTCAGAGCCTGTCTGACTGTTCCACTTACCATAGCCCCTGGACGACCTCTTTTTCCTGCCAGACCATCCAGTGGCGGCGCCCCATGCATACTGGCTGCCTGAGCCTGACACACTTTCATCGGCGATTCTCTTGATCAAGCCATCAACGCACGAGTTTCAGCGTGTGATCAAGGCCATGTATGAGCACTCGACATCTAGCGAATTCTACGACATGGAAGTTATCAACGACGTTTATGCTGGGACCGCATTGATCTTGCCGAAGGAGCACTGGGTTGTGTCGGGAGAATTCCGACTGAAGTCCCATCATAAGTATTTAGACGAGGGCGAAACCTGGGACCCTGAGAGAGTGCTGAACGAGACAAAACTCGTGCACTTCTCAGACTGGCCGCGTCCGAAGCCGTGGTTCCCTGTGTCAGAGGAAGTCCTCCTGAAAACCCTACCTGCCTGCGATACCATGCCGGGTTCAGCGCACAAGGACTGTCGCAACCGCGATGCGTGGAACTGGCTGTACAGCGATTTTCAAGAGCGCCGAGAGGTACGTGCAACAACATCCCGACCTTGTATAAGATATAAGAAATTTCTTCTAACAGTTCAGCAGAGGGTCTGTGGGGTGGCCTTCACGTTATATTAGCGCAAACGAGCTACGCGACGGAATATAGGTGCCAGCAGATATGTACATAGATCTTGGAAAATATTTGGAAGGACCCAGGGACCCAGAGTCGCACGGCATGACATCTTGCTTTCACCAAATTCTGCCAACTTCCAAGTAGTGGTTGAGCAATTCACATCTTGGTTTGACAGATGCGGAGGGCCGGCAGTCCAACAGCGCGCGCATGTGCGGACACGCGTAAATCAAGTTTCAGGTACACGGATCGCTGATCCCGGCAGGATCGACGTGTATCGGCACACAAGCGGTGCAAGCGGAATTGGAGTGCCATGACGCTTAGAGATTGTGTGGTTGCGCGGCGCCTAGCTAACAAGAAGAATTGATGGTCTTGACTCCACTCAGATGACCGTTTCGACACTGTTGAATTGTGGGAGACGGCTGGTAGACAGGCTTGTAGGAGCCCCATATACGTCACCAAAGTCATGGTCAGTCCGTGCCCTATCGCGATTCTTGATTGTTGGAGTGACGGACGAGGACTTATTGTAGGCCATGGCCGCCGCATTCCTTTAGCAGACTCTTCGAATATCGAATAGAACAGCGCTTGTTTGCTGTCGTTTTTCTTGTTTCCTTTTGCATAAACATAACCTTCGTTTGTTTGTTAGGCATTCTACATTCTGCATACCATACATGATGGCTATTAATTCGCTACTACTATCGGCTTCGTGCTTCACTATTGCCCATGCCGCCATCTCCCTAACACCGGCCGCCAGTGCGCCTGCAGCATCCGGCATCTCTCAAGTCGTTGGACCATCATTCGCTGGCCTCGGAATTGAGCCGTCCAATCTGTTTTCCTTCACTGGCAGAGATACACCTAATCGACTTTCCATCAATCTCCTTCAACATCTCACAAACTACTCGGGCGCACCACCACATCTCAGACTCGGTGGAAATACTGGTGATCAGATGGTCTGGGACGCGTCCCATACTAGTTTCAATATCGGCAAAAACCCCAGCCCCGAGGAAAGTAACCCCACCCCTGCCGATGGAAGCGTCTTCGGACCTGGATACTTGGAAGCTCTCGAGCGATTCCCCACCGGTATGCCCATCACTTTCCAGCTGAACATGGCCTACGATATGGGCGATCGTCTTGAGAAGATCGACGAGACCGCAGCTGCCGTCATTGATGGTCTGAACAACACTTCCCTCTACTCTTTCGAGATTGGCAACGAGCCAGACTTGTATCTGCAGGCTTGGCAAATCCAGAGAAACGGCACATGGAATGGTCAGATGTACACGCAGCAGTGGTTAGAAAGAGCAGAGTCTGTGTGTAACAACGTCTTGAAGCCGCGAGGCATGGACTGCGACTTCTTCGAAGCCGCCCAGACCGCCTCCACCATCTCGACCACTTTCACCCTCAAGGACATGGTCGATGCTGGAATCTCGGACGAATACAACGGTACCACCTACCTCTCGTCATGGAACCAACACGACTACTTCTACTTTGTCAGCGTCTCCACATACGACATCACTCTCAACATCATGATGGACTTTGACAGAACAGAGGACCAGTTCAAGTACTGGGAGGGCGAGATTGAGTACGCTCATTCTACGGGTATCACTTACAACCTCCGCGAGATGGCAAACGTTGGTCCCACTGGTCTGCCTAATGTCAGTGACACTTTCGGAGCTGCTCTCTGGTTCCTCAACTTCTACTGCTACGGTGCGACTCTCAATATTTCCTCCGTCGAAATGCACATGACCGACAACTCCTACGCCGCACCTTGGCAACCTGGCTTCATGAACGGAGAGTCCGCAAATGTCCGTCCCAGCTATTACGCCATGGCTGCTATGGCCCAGCTCATTGGTGCGGGTAATGGTACTACCAGACTCGCTCCCTTGGCCACCCAGAACTCCTACGTCCGTTCATATGCCGCCTACGCTCATGACGACTTCAATGCTTTGGTCATAATCAACGCTCAGCAGGTTAACGCCTCTGCTACCGACAAGGGCAGCATCGACTTTGCCATTTCGCTACCGGACTTCAGCGGTCAGACCCTGTACCTGTCGTATCTCAGTGCTGAGGGTGCTGATACTCTCCACAATGTCACCTGGAACGGTCTCAGCTTCGAAAGTGACAGCATTGGTTCCGTCAGCCAGGCTCAAGATCAAAGTGGCCAGACAGTAACCCTGGACAGCAATGGCGCCGGAACTATCACCGTTCGCGACTCCGAGGCCGTCATCGCACAGCTTGGAGCTCGCCTCGGTTCCCGCGCCGTCGAGGTCTCCAACTCATCCTCATCTTCCTCCTCCTCCAGCTCTGGCCGCCACGGTTCGGGCTCCAGCAAAACCTCCAGCGCAAGCACTAGTAGCGCAGCACCCACAGTGAGTAACTCCGCATCCGCAACCGCAATCACGCCGGCAGGAAGCATCCAAGCTGCAGCGGCATCGGGCAGCGTCGCTAGTGCAAGTGCAACCGCCAGTGGAGTCGCGCAGTCCTCGAGCCAAAAGACCATCATGCTGACGGATAAGACCCTCATGGCTGCCGTCCTCGTGGCTATGGTGTGCATCTTCATGTCCTAGGATATTCCATCTACACAAACTCCTTCCAACCTCATATCTGGACTCAACAACTTGATGTCTTGCTTCTTCTTTCTTTCTCTTCCTCTGTACATGATACACAATTAGCGTATTTTCCCATTTTCTTTCGAGGTCAATCGCTTCGAACTGCATTACATGACGGAGGGGCGTTTTCTTTTCTTATGAACATCAGATTGGGCTGGTCATGACATTGTCCATTTCTTTATTAGGGACCCAGCTATATACATACCTAGACCGGGCCACGAGGCTTTACGAATATTGCATATTTTATCTCATCATACCATCTGATGCTACTTTCTCGAGTGCATATTCGTCACTGCTCAAAAATAGGATGAAGACAATCAGAGGCAACTCGACCAATTTCTCCTGTAGAAACAGCTCTTATCGACGAGGAATTCGGCAAACAGTTTCATCATATTCATATTCTCCCTCTTACTGTCACAATACACTCGAGGCACCCTATTATGAGAATCCAGGCATGTATACTGCCAGGACAACCCTGTCTCAATTTACCATACCACTTTTGATATCGCAAGAGACTCGTCAAGCTAGTCCGCATATCAGACAGCAGAGCCGGAGTATTTTGAAAACGATGTTGGAAAGATTCGTGTGAGAGTGTTCGCAAAACTTGGACACATTGCAAGACCTTACCTATTTCCCTGTAGCTTTTGATGATGGAAAGTAGCAGTGGGTGGGATTGTGGTCTGATAGTCTGGTCACTGTGGTGTATGAACAACATCTGATCATGTGATGGGAAAGAACCTGTACAAGTACATTGTATCGCGTGAGGGAAGAAGAGGGAAGAGTAATGAAAAGAGTTCCGAAAGTGGAATGGAGATATTTACGGCTGGAAGCATAAGAATGTGTGTTTGGAAGAAGGAGTAATAAAACTCTATGCTCCTTCCTTGAACCTTGATCTTGCTGTATCCTTGGACCATCAAGCCTGGGTCCTCGCATCAAGCCTGGGTCCTCGTGTGCTTCCTACATCATGCTTGGGCGTTGTCTGAGGAAAGTGGGATGGTTGAGGCCGACGAGACAGGCAGTGAAAAGTCATTGATACTCGTACTGATCGACACCCTCGCATGTGAGACGTCGATCTGCGTGAATATACGTAGCAGTTGAAGCATTTGTCGAGGGTGGAGAAGATGTTATGTGGCGTTGGCGTAAGCGTACAACCTTGTCAATCTTGGTTGCTTGATGTACGCGTGGTCGGGTCGGACGTGTCGCAAAGAGGCCAATATCTCGATTGGAAAAGAGAGAGACCATGCCACGGTGAAAGGGGAAGGAGGGCACAAGTGTTGATGGTTGGACGTTATGTAGAGCACAGTCAGGTTTCATGCCTTTGTGACCCAGAGGAAGAAATGTGTGCTAAGGAATGGACGAAAGAAAATAGATAAAATGGTGAATAAATGTTGTATTCTTTAGTGTGATATGATATTGACAGAATGTGGAGGAAGGCTCAAAATAAAGATCAGCTACACCGAGATGATGTTGAACGTATCCTTGCAGGCTAGAACCACGAAGAGAGCGCCGTCAACTGGACCATCCGGAATGGAGCGGATGGTATGTTGTTGGACAATGCAAGCTCGCGAGGTATCTACCTGGCACATGACTATACAAAAGTGGCATGTCAGTCTGACAGGTACGGTATGATGTACCAGACGACATGATGACGAAGACTCCGAGTACCCCAGGGAACGAGAGTGAGATCTCGTTTCAGCAAGAAAGGCAGTTCCTGTTGACCGGAAGCGCCACTGCTATGTTCTTCGACAAAATAGAGGCAGATGTGTGGTCGTGTTGTGTTCGTGATTCGTCATGGAGGTCGTTAAAAAGATGAGAGAATGTGTCGTTTTCGGTCATCCAGGATGCCTTGTCGCCGTTTCTTCCACAATATCGTCGTATTTTGGAAGTGCTGGTGCAGGTGCTGTCATGTGTACGGTGGAGTTACTTCTTGAGGTTTGATGCATTTCAGGACCGTGATCGGTAACACCGTCGCCATACAAAGTTCTACCATCCAATGATCCTTGATACAATCCTTGGTTTGATAATTGTCGGACTCTGTGTGCATTTTGTTCCTTGAGCACGTCAAAGTTCTCCTCGTACTCTTGCTTGCGTTCCTTCTTCGCTCTCTGCTTCGCTCTAAGTTTCGAGCTCGTCAGACCTAGGCAAGTAAGAAGAAGAGCGGCCATGTTTGGACCAGAGAAGCCGACTGCAGCTGAAATGTTGTCGGTGTTGGAAGAGTTGTTGATGGGAAAAATCTTAGGATTGATGGTGAGTTAAGTTTAGAGCGTTGTAAGGAAAAAGAGCACGAAGGATGTGACTGAGACTCGGAGCGAATATATACAGGGTGTGAGAGAAGCCCAATTGTTTTAACATCCGGTGGAAAGGAAGAAGGGGTCTACTAAATACGTCGATCAAAAAATGTTATTTGAGCTTCCGCCCGTACCGGCTTAGATAAAAGTGGCAAGGTCATCACAGGCAAAGTGGTCATCGCAAAAATGATGCTGGTTGCGGCATCATGCGCAAACCATGAATGTTGTTCATAATGTGGAGCTCATGACCCGGGGAGCTGCGGAGTTAAAAAACCGGCCTGGCTGGAGGCTTGCAGATCGCATGTCTTGACGGCATTTGAGTTTCAAAAACCAGAACGGGACACTCCAAGATCGCAAACGTCTTTTTGAGTGTCCAAATCAGGGATTTGTCCTGCATCTCCTGCACTATCGGTATGCAGATCAGAAGAGAAGAGAGTTGTGAATCGGCCGAGGCATCTTACAGAATGACCACAGCCCATAGCATCGATGCCAGCAAAGATCACAAGCAGGATTGTCATGGTAATATGTGATGCATACCGGCCGCGCGTACACGATATGGATATTCACATAGGACCCTAGCGGGATCAAAGTCCGTTCCAGCATCCCACGAATCCGATTGGCATAAGATGACCGTGACACCCAATGACGATTAAGAGGTCACTGTCTGACTTCATGAACCCCGAGATCGGGACACCAATTCAGTATTGCAAAGCTGTGAGAAGGCCGGTGAGCGCTGAGTCTGACAGTTTTCTCTGCTCGCATCTCCTCGGCTTCCAAGGACAGCCAAGGCATGATGGATTGTTCAAGCTTCTGTTCTCTTCCGAATCGCACGCACTTTTCAGTGATGATCAAAATATCTTTTGGCTTTCCGTGTGCTGCGGCCGTCAAATGTTGAGGTCTGCAAAGTATCATGACAAACACAGCCGTCAATGACGTGGGAAAAACGGTATCCCGAGGGGCATTCCCGCCCCCAGTTTGGGGAGGCCCCTCATCATCATTATCAGCCTGCGCCACGGGGAAATCAGAAACACGATGATTCCCGCAATCGTGAACGAGGAATTGTGGCTTGCATGCAGCATGGGCAATGCTGCTCAACCGATGATTCTCTTACTCACCAAGCAAAACGTTTGCACACGTTCGCATGACATGCCAGACAGCAGGAGCGTAGCTTGTATCACCATCCTTCGCTTTACCGACAGGGGTCAAAGATCCCCGTAGCTTGGGTCACCGCTGTTCCCGAATCCCCAGTCTCAGGCTCAATCCATCCTGTTGGGCCTGTATTGCAGTCCACAGAGCCGCCACTTGCGAGTGTTGAGCCACAGAGGCTTGCAGAAAAGCGACAAGGATTACAATGATGAACAGTCAAGGAACAGGCACGTTGTTTGTGGTGGCATGCCATGCAGCAGCAGTAGCTCCAGCAACGAGACCAACTGTGCTACCTTGAACAAACAGTCTGGAAACAACCTTCTTGTTCGCGTGTAACCTCACTTGTAGGAATCCAGCTGCAATCCCACCCCAGGGTTGTAGTCTGTAACTCTGGATCCTTGCTTCGAACTTTGAAACCAAGTTGCGGTCTGTCACCTCGCGAATGATGACCATTTTGTTGAGTTGAAGAGCAAAGACATTCAAAGAGTAACTTCGGTACCTACATATCCTAGCAGACAACCTTCTTCTTCCGTAGAGGCTTGCGTGTATCGGATGCCTGGATGCACAAGCAAAGTGCACACTTGTATCTTCATGTGGTAAGCAAATGCACTGCACCCTCGATCCATAGTTCATATAGATGTCAACCAAGTCTAAGGATATGTTCCGAGATGCAGCTGCATGCACGCAGCGCCATTCTCATACACAGTGCCGGTCAGCAGCACTTTCAAGATTCGCTATTTGAAATGGAAAGCATGCGTGAGTACCGCAGTATATAGGAACAATATAGCAAGCTGCTAGGCACCGGTGACGAAGATTGGAATTATGAACAATTGAATGAAGAAGTCTGAGACCGTACCAATTTGCGCCGACCACATAGTAAAGAAAAGGAGGCCACGACAATCGCATAGTCAGCTTTGCATACTCTTTTCTCTCTTTCGCTCAAATAGATTTCTCACAAAAACAAAGATTTTCCTTTCCAAGGATCCTCCGATGGGAGTGTAAAACGAACGTACTCCGGAAAAGAAAAGAACCAAACAACAACAATGAGTACTTTCCCAAGCATGATGGAGAGGGGAAGGAAAAAAACAACAAGAAGCGACTGACTAAACGCTGCCGAGAAGTGGATGTAGGCAAAAAGACAAGAACGACCTTCGTGTTGGTTGTGAAGGGGTGAAGAATTTCCTGGGAGAAAACGCCGGTGAGTACCAAAGCATGCAACTGGCCTATCCCCAATCAAACTCCCTAGTTACGCCATGATACAATGTAAAGAATTCCCTTTATTCTCTTGGGTGCGACGCTGAGTATGCTGCATTCAAAGTCCGGTCATGATTAGAAAAAATGCGTGTGGGGCTTGGACAGCTCGTGCACCTCCATCTCCTGCGGTGCTGTTAGTACTATGTTGAACAATGTTGGGGCGAGTTACACTTACCATTTTGAAAGTGTTGAGTTCCTCCTTGATCTGCTGGGCGAGCATTGGAGTCAGACGATTGCATGTTGCAATGTCACCACGGCGATCATAGTCGGAAGCTGACCAGGCATCGTAAAACTGAATGCGAGGGCTAAAGCTGATATTGCGCGAACCTCCTTGAGGAGTGTTGGGCATGCTCTTGGCCGCAGAGATACCAAGGCGGTTGTTGAAGTAGTCACTTGTGGTTGATGACATGCTTCGGGAACCGCGCTCATCTCTCGGTGTGGTAGGGATACTGGACGCTGGGCTGTGCGAATCGGTCGAGAGTGTACCGTCGCGGGGACGTAAATCGGGTGAAGCCATAGGCGAGCCAGTGCCAGCGCGCTTGAGAATACCCTTTTTGACTGCAGCCAGCACTTCTGCTCTTTCCGCATCATTTCCTACTATGCTCTTACGCATAGAGTCATTGCGGCCGTCCATGGACTTGCGAGCAGTATCAATCGAGTTCTTTTCCAGCTTGGGGAAGCCGGTTCCTCCGGAAGGTTGCTCGGCAGGATGTGCGTTGACGTTGACATTTCGTCTCTCCGCTTCGACTGTGACCATGGATACCTGTGCCATGCTAGGTTGAACAGGTCCATCGGCTGCAGGGACTCCGATCACAGACTTTGGTCTGAATAGTCCCTTGATGGAGCGACCGCCCTTCTTCATGCCCTTGCCCATCTTACGAAGCATCATGGAGGCAGAGGAAGCGGTCGAAGAGATGGATAGGTTATCAGTCGAGCCAGTGAAGCCGCCCTGACCAGTATAGATACTGGAACCAATGCCAGCAGCTTCTTGTTGTCTAGCGATAGCGGCCTGTTCAGGACTCATCTCATCAAGGGGGTTGATGGGACCTTGAGGAGGCAAGTTCTCACTAGATCTTCGCAGCTCCTGCGTGGCACCGAAGGAGAATGCTCGTCTGAAACGTGATCTCATGCCCCTGTTGAGATCATTGGCAGACAGATGAGCAAGCTGTTGAGCTGCCGGACTCTGTGGTGCGCGTCTGGGAGTCTCTTCATCAGGCGACTGTGGTGTGCGCGTAATGGGAGACTTGGAGAGTGGAGATGGGTTTGTTGCGGTTCCCCGGATAGGGAGTTTCACAGGACTGCCGGATGCTGCGGGAGAAATTCTACCTGATTCGGCCTGTTATTGTTAGTTGGGGTTTCTTCAGCATTTGCACAGGTGTTGACTTACAGGAGGAGGCGTGGAAGAAGACGGCACTCTTCTTCCAGTGCTGTCGCCACTGCTGGTCCGCGAATGGAAGGAAACAGGTCGAATGGTGGCACTGCCTTGCGAGGAGGGACGCTGAGAGCCATCGTCCAGTTTACTCATTTCCAGACTGTTTAGGCTTCGTCGGCGATATCTCTTCGCTGATTCGGATGTGCTAGACTTGGTGACGGTAATGTCATCGCTGGCGGTGCGATTGAGTTGAGGAGCTGGCGGTGTCAACAGATTGTCAACTGACGAAGCCGGCGAGGATGCCTTTTGTAGTGAATGGTTGGAGTCAGCGCGCTGGGGAGTTCGGCGGTATCTGTTAGGAGAAGATTTTGGCGTCGTTTCAAACGATGTCAAAGAGAGATCGGGAATGGTGGAAGAAAGGTTGATAAAGGCGTCTTTGCCAGGGCTCAGCGGGGGTGTTTTGGATGTAAGATCGGCCGAAGAGGTGGTCGAGGTAGATGAGGTGCTCTTGTGGCCCTTTTGCTGGGTCTGAGGCACGTTTGAAGAAGATGAGATGGTGCGAGACTCCTGCCTCAGATGAGGAGTAGTTTGGAATGCATAAGGCTGCACTGGAGCGGCCGAGGGCGAACTGCGATAGTTGGTCCTCGGAGTGGAGCCGACTCTCTGATGGTTGGCTTGGTATGCGTCCGAAGACGAAGGACGCGAGTGCAGCATGTTGATGGAGCTAGGCGGCGAGGGCAGAGGAGATAGTACTTCCGCCATGGGCTAACGCAACGCTGGAGGCGCTTGGAAGGATAATGAGACGCTTGACGGCGGATGCAGGCCAATTATGAAGTAGTATTAACGATTGGTAGAAGTTCAGGACTGGAGGTGAGACAATTAGCACGGGTCTGATAGAAAGAAGACGAGAGAGGCGAGCGAAAGTGGGGTGATTGCGGTGAGGGGAGTGGTAGTAGAGCCAATGGATGGGCGGTTGTGTGTGTAGTGTTGGCGGACGTTGTGTCCATCAGCCATGTGCTGTTTGGGTGCGGTGCCTTTGTTGTGCGAGTGCGAGCATGAGTGATGGTGGGCATGAAAGGTCCGAGGACAATCCTTCCTAGCATCTCACGAGGCACGATGTACAAGGCACGTCGGAAAAGGGTGACAAAGGCGGTCAGAACAAGCAGCGAGGTGCATACCTTGGGAATTGAGTTGGATTGGAATCGGTTGACGAGCCACACACAGGTCCGGCCGGGGGCGGACACGAATCCCTCAGACAATCATGAGGCAGAAAAGAGACAGGTACGAGGTTGTAAATGCGGAGCAACCAGGAGCGACGGCGACAGGGTGCTGTCGTCGTGCGGTGCAGAGAGTTGAAGCCGGTGGTGTGCAGGGCAGGTGGTTGAGGCGGAGTGACTTTAGAAAGCACGACGGGAGAAGAACGGCGGGCAAGAAACCAACAAGTTCGGGCTCGCAGACAATCAATCAAGACGGCTTTGAAGCGCAGCAGGACTGTATCAGCAACAAGAAAACCAACAATTAACGGGCGACGGAAGTCGAAGAGAAGAGAAAAGCTGGACTGATGCGTGTATGGACGCTGAACGGAGGAGGACAACGAGGAGGGACAGACACGGCCAGGGCAGATGGCGTGAGGCGCTAGTTACTGCCTGCTTGCGCACGGTTCGCTTTCTACAAAACATACAGCCCGCAATGGCCGCACTTATCGACGGCAAGCAACACAGACCACAGGTCGTTTCGCCATGCCACTTAAAAAAAGAATCCACCGGCGGCCACTGCAATCATCGTCATACTGCAGTCAAATCTCCCTGCCTCAAGAAGCCCTCTTGCAAAACCACCGTTGCTGCTGCCTTCTACACCTTCGAATCCATGTATCATTTTGCAGTTCTGAAAGGGAAGTCGCCCAGTCTTCCCCACCAATTGCTCCCACAAGCTCTCCTCTTTCCTCAACCGCCGGGGGACGCGTCCTTTAGCCGTGTTTGTCTCAAGAGACCCATACGCTATCTCGCTCTTACCAAAGCGACAAATCTCTCGGCCTCTACCTATGCGATACGCTCTATCAGAGTGCATAGTGCCACTACTCATCGAGTCAATCACCCCCGTTCAGCTATAACACGCCAATCTCTTGTTTCCCCATCCCCATCCCCACCGCGACCATTTCCCAACTGCCGCCGTCTATCCGTTGGCGCCTCTTTGTGCGAATCACCTTCATTTTACCATGTCCAAGTACGCATACGATTTGCCCGTCCAGCCGGCTTGGATGTCCCGTCGTGCCGGCCACTTGCATACCATACCATTCCAGCTTCTGGTACTGACCTTTAAATGCCGAGCTGCCGACCATATCAATCGTCTGTAGTTTTTTTGGTTCTTGCGACGCGCTTCGATACGAACACGGTATCTGTCTGCGCTCGGCAAACCATGTTCATCCTTCATTGTACCTCCCTTGCTTGATGGAAGAGAGCCCCTTCTTGTATAACTCAGCCCTGCAGATATTGTCATTTGGTAGTCAACGACAACAGCATGCGAGTCAGAGAAGGGGAAGGGTTCACGACAGTTTGCAGTATTCTGCGGCTTACTCGATTTTGACTCACGCTGCAACAGAAAGGACGGAGAACCTTCCACAAGCGGGATTCTCTCCCTTGGGTTGATCCACCCTCGCTCAGTCTTACGAGTCGCGGTGAGCTTGGTGTTTTCCATCTGTCTCTAGATCGCACGGGACGCGACACAAGACGACTGCATTCGCGTTCCTCTTGTTTTACATCCATTTCAGCTCGGCACTCCGGGTGTCTGAAACGCCGGCTCTGACTTCAAATCTCCGCACTGAGACCTTGGGGAATGGGTGAGTTCGAGTAGGCAATATGCATCCGACGCGGCCGGAACGTGCGATCTCATTCGGTCCAGGCAGTAGAGCTCAGTGACTATGTCGTCTGCCTCTGGACCTCCTTGGTTTCGGCCGACCAAACCTCGAGGCAAAGAAAAAACAAAGACAACAGCGACAATGGTATGCAAGCAGCGCAAGCAGCGCGTTCGGCTATGCGCGCATATATTGACCTACTTATAAGAAGTGCTAATGGGCAGGCGAATTGATAATCAGCCAATAGCCAGATATTCATCTAGGGAGAAAAGGAGCCGTGAATACGAATGGCTTTCTGGCTTTCTCCACATCAAGGTGCATTTTTAGATTGATTGCGTAGGCGCTCTGTCCATTACTCGTAAAAGTCTAGTTACCTCCCTTACTGCACTCTAGAGAAGCGATTGTTCTCTTCTTCGATAGGGGATAGTGTCTAGAGAACATTTCCTCTGCCGATCACAACATTGGGGAAAGAGAAAAAGGTTTTGCAACAGCCGCAAAACGAGAACGGCAAGTTGGTGAAACTTGGGATAAAAGGCCCAGCCAGGCGTCATGGCTGTTCTCTATTTCGCATGGGCCCTTTTTCTTTGCGGCTGGCAGGAAGAAGAAAGCGTTCAATTGGGATTGCGGCTGTCGGCAGTGAAACCGTCGATTGCCGATCGTGAGCAAAGAACGGTTACTACTTTTATCGTACTTCACATATCCTGAACGACTGCGATAACCATGGTCTGTGTTTGTTTGACTTGTGTCCAAAACTCGCATGTCATGCCTGAAGGCCTCAAGACGTAGCAGATTCTCACGGACAGGATGGTGGTAATAGCTGACCTGTCAATCTCAACACTCGGGACTCGTTTGGCGCCCCTACAAGCACAGATAAGGAGGCGCGAGCGATGGAACAGCAAGCAGCACCAGCAAGCCTGCACACATGCAATCATGCAACAGACTCGGGAGGCTTAGAGCACAAGCGGATTCGAGGAGAGGAGTTTTTCAATGGCGTAAAGTAGTCGCATGAAATCGCATGGCGTGCATCTGCTTGGTCATCGGTCATCCAATCAAAGTCGCTCTTCCCTTGTTTACATTCTGTCTGTTTCGCATCGATAGTGTTGCTTGACCCAAACTAATATCCTTCTTCATAACAACATTACGACAAGTCAAATCTTGCGATATTCTAGCTTGTTACGTACCCCTTCGGCTATCTCATACACCCCGCCGGGAGCATACCTTCACTATGCAGGCAGTACGTATGCATTTCCATCACATGAACCACGACCCTTGCGGTAAAGCGAAGGCGAAAAGCTCCGATGGTTGTCTGAGAACAAGACCCTTGTTCGCCTGCAACTACTGATCAGTGCATCGCACATTTGGAACTCCAGCCAGCCACAACCGCAGGAACTCTGGAGAAATAGATCCCATGACAACGAATCAGAAGCGACGCGGTTGCACGACATGATTTCCAAACCAAGATCCCGTCAACCTCCACCCACTCTAGGCAACATTTCCTTTCCGACCATTCACATGCCATCGTTCAGACACCTCCACCAAGCCCACCCACACTTGATTGCTTCACCGCAAGGGAAAGGCGACTAAATGACTTTCGAATGCTTCACCGCAAGATAGCAGCGGCACGACGATCTACAAGATGACCCCCGCCAAAGGGCACAAAGCAATCTATCTGAGTTTCTCTGAGCCTCGGAAGTAGCTATGTCCTTTGCATTGGGACAAGGAGCAAGGCTAAACCCAAGATCGACGAACCTGCATACAAAAGGGACAAGCAACGGCTGGGATTTTACGTATGGGAGAGATCTTATCAGTAAAGTACAATCTTGACGCTTTCCCTTGATACAATGATTTGTCCAGATAACAAGCGGCGTCTTCTCTGATCACGCGGACGGTAGGCTCTTGGTATGCTCTTTACCACATGATCAGATCGTGGTAAGAATAGAATGTTTGGCGTTGATATCTTCGTATCGCAGGTTCCCGGAGAAATTCCCTTCGACAGAGTAGGAGTATGCATTGTTGTATATGCTGCATAGACTACATTAGACTAAAAGTCCACGATTCATGCTCGCGCGTGCATGCATATGTACATGGTGGGGCTAGTCTTTTGTCTCGATCTGTTACGCCTTTGGCATCAGGGAATGGTATACAGATCAACACACCGCGATTTTGCTCTACAACCATCTCATCATAACCGTACATCTCGTGGTCAATAAAGGTATCCTTGACAGACTGTTTTTCTCTAGGAAAATCTCTAATTCTTGACAACCGAGGTCTAAATAAGCAACTGCACGCAAGGACCTCAAATCCTCCCACCAGACCCAAAGGCTACAAGTCCGGCTCGTCTCGAAACACCACGTCTCCGCGTCACTGCATAGGAGGAAAGCATCATACGGGGAAATCAAAGCTCTCTTCCGTATGCATCGCAGAACGTGACTCGCTCGTGCAGTATAAGCTCGACCTCTCAGGCGGTGGATAATCTGATGGTGAAACATGATGAAGGCTTGACAGTCAGAACTAAGAAAAGACAATGAAGAAAGATGGTAAGTGAAGAGTAGAGCCAAGTCTTGATGATCGTATCTCGTACTCGACAATGTAAGTAGATGACAAACATCACAATGTTGAAACGTCTCTTAGCATCGAGCTCTGTTCTTGGACAGTCTCATATCTCCTTCCCTCCATATCTGAATATCTTGTCTCTTAGCCCTCTCAACGCTACAAACAAACTCACGCCACCTGAATGTACCATTATTGTTACCATATCACTACGAGCTCACAAGAAAGCTGGAGTTGGTCGTGTTCCCGCTTGTTATCAGGCAGGAACGACATTAGGGAGAGGGTGAATAGGATACTCGACCTGTTATCTGTCCTTTGACGAACCCGGTACGAGCAATCTGTCTCGACTGTGAGTCTACAAGATGCAAATAGCAAGTATGCATAGAAGAAACATCAAGGCATAAGATAAATAAGGTATACGTAAAGAAGAGTAACGGAACCATGTTCTGTCGTCCAACAGACACTAGCTCCTTGATCCTCTCATTGAAGTTCGGGAGTGAGCTCTTCAAAAGGGTGACTTTAATAGAAGTGCACGCGAGAGAAGTGCCTAAGCTGTTCTGCAGAGTCACGTTTGAAGATGTAGTATTAATGACAAAACTTCTCGCCTGTGACCAGCGGCTATTATCTGTTACCTTAGTCTGAAATTCGCTGTACGCAGTTCTTATGGCTTGTTCGTGTCGTGCTAAACACATTCAATAGATTGTATACAAAGTACTAGGAAAGTAGGAAGAAAGACACTCTTCAGCTCCTTTGTCGAAAGACAGTCCTTTCCTGCCCGCCCTGCGACCGAACCGAGATGTCCCAATTGAGGAATCAAACGCCAGATGCTATGCAAAATATGGTAGAGACAAAGAGTCAGGAGAAACTTCTCCTCCATGGTTCCGATGCGAGAAGAGAAAATGAGACCGGGGAGGAACCAACTACAGGAAAACCTTCCTGGCCTCCTTGGGGTGTCCTTCGACTGGACAGTATGGGCATTTGAACCTTCTCGAAAATGTCAGTATGTCGTTCTGAGAGTTGACGGATGTGAGACTTACTTGTTGCCCCTACTAATCTTTTCCAGTGACTCCTTTGCGATAATGTGACCGCAGGGTAACATCATGGGTGGATTGGCATCAGTTCCTTGCTCCTTGCTGACAGGACAGACAAAGATAGAGTGGAACAGATATGAATGTGGCAACGGGATTTCGACAGGCAGTTCGTTGACACTTGTCCACTGGCCTCCAACTTCGCCCATGACACGCTCGAGTTTTTCGAGTACGGGCAGAGCAATGGCTCCGGCTGTTGTGGCGGTATATAGAGGACTCTTCTCGCTGAGACCCAGCATGGCACAGAACTCGCGGATGAAGCTAGAGGCGGCATGTTCCCAGGCGTCGTCATTGAAGAAGACGCTCTTGTATGGTGATGAAGTCAATGCTGGAGCGAATGCCAGAGAGCCGAGTAATGAGGAAGTCTCACGCATGTAGCGAGCAGAGAAATTAGGAAAAGTCTGACGGGCGTATTCGAGGGCTTTCAAAGGGCAAGACATGTGGTCGTCAGGGTCGTACTGGCTGTACAGCTCGACGAAGCGGAGCCGGCACAGGTCAAACTCCAGATTCGAACCTCTGAGCTCAAGCTGATAACTATGTTGGCGAGCCCATTCAATGGCGGGATTCAGGTTATGGTTCTTGCGTAGGGCATCGAGGACGAGGTACATGTGGGCAAACCTTGACTGAAGGGCGCCAGCGCTGTCGCGATTTATGTCGTAAAGGGGTGTGCCATCGGCGTCTTGCATGAGACTATCCCAATCATGAGCGTCTTTTGTATTGCTACCATTCGATGTGGCACTATGCGGCTTTGCGTTTGCTTCTGATATGAAGGTTTGAGCGACGTTGAACTGACCCTCGCGAAGGAGGTGCATGGCGATGGCGCGGTTGATGAGGGCGGGTTGCGATGAGAGGGCATCGTTGTGGGAAGCAGGCATGGATTGTGGTTTGAATTTCTGCGAAGGATCAGTAAGAAAGACTCTGGCATAGTGCAACCCTCCACTCACCCTATCCAAGGCCTTTGAGTAGTCCTTGTGGGCCGAGTAGATGTCCTTGATGTCCGAGTTGACCTGATCAAGTGAAGCCTTTATCGGTCGCTTCAGCTTGGCTAGTGTTGGCGCGCACGAGGTCCCATCTTTCGTATCATTAGCATACTTCTTGCTTGGACAGAGTCGTGTCGGCGTGCATACCGGCAGCTATCGTCGCTCGTGCGGCAACGAGCAGGTCAATCGTCTTTTGCACATCCTCGATCGTCCTTGAGAGGTTGCCTTTCTTGTCCAGCTTATCCTGCTCCAGCCGCAGTGCCTCCATGTCGCATCGGGTAAAGGTTCTCTCGAAACTTGTATCAGGTGGTGAATAGTCGTGGCAAGAACGATGCCCATCTCGGTGTTACTGCAACAGGCCGTCCACGAAGGTCCAAGATGACGTGCCGCGGGGTCGACAGGTTCGCCGAAAGGCCCCAGCGACTGAGCCACCCGCTCGAATCTCGACCACCTCAGGGTCAAGTCAATCACAAACAAATCAGAAGACATCCTGCCGCACACCAAGTCGTCTTCCTGTTTCTCTACATCCAATATCAAGGAATAAACTCCACCACATCATACCTTTCACCACCTGTTCAGCCAGGTGATATTAAAGTGCATTCAAATGCCAGGACAATGATACTGCCTCCACTTCACCAACTAAGCGCTCATGAGCACTCCTGCTTCGGCGACAGAGAGGCCTCCGGGTCCTCATAGACAGAATGTCGTACTTGTAACACAGATCGAAGAGTCTAAAAACAATGACGCAGAGAAACACTCTCCTAAACCCGACTCTTCAAAACCACCCACACATCAACGTCTTGTTCTCACAGATCCCATCGCATTCAGGTGAGTTGAATTGGATTAACAGCATGAGCAGCAACTGATCCTGTCAAGGTATTTGGAAGAAGATCCTGGGGTCACAGTGGTCGAGAGAAACCAGGAACTGCCAGGCTATGAAATCTACGTCGTAGAGCAATGGGCTACTTCTCGCACTCATCCAACGTTTGTCATCACCACCTTTACAGGTGATCCGCAACATGTCGCTCAAGTTGGTATCTTGAGCGTCCCCACTGACGAGTCTGGCTGGTCACAGCGTCTACGAGTCTACTTCAAGGCTTTGAACCAATACCATGCACGACGGAAAGAAACACCACTCGGTATACTGATGATCACGAATCTGTCTGGCTTTCCCTCGTCTTTGAATGTCATTCCGGTTCCAGACGGTGATCTCAAAAAGCATCGCTTCGACTACTTTGTCGCTGAGAACCTCAAGCGCATGGGTTGCTCTGGACGCGTCGGACTTACTCTTACCGCACCGAATAGTGCTACCACTGCGAAATTCCATCAGCTGTACAAGACAAGCGACAAGAATCCGATCCATACCGCAGTCATCGAGCTTGTCAAGCTGTGCCAGGCCGCTCTTAACATATTTGACAAACTCGACTTTGATTACGTGGATGGCTTGCTATGCGACATCACCGAAAAGGCAGCCAACGACTGGTGGCTCGACATCGGTGCCGAGTTCTATAACATGGAACCGCACGACGGTATCCTTGGACCTACTACTGTCGCTGCCATGCTTGGTCTGTTGATGGGTGCTCGCAATCGTCTAAGTGCTGTCGGTGCACCTGTACCGAAAGATCCGTTCGATGTCGAAGGCATGAAGCGTGGAATATCACACTTCCAGAAATCCCAACGACTTGAGCGAACTCGAAGGCTTGATCGGCATACCCTGGATAGACTGCACAGAATCTCTGCAAAAGCAGCGAGTGCTGAAGGATGGTCGGTACCACGCGCCGTCAAGTCTACCGTAGCTGAGCTCAGCGGAAAGGGAGGTGAGATGTTGGCCGAGGTTGTCGGAAGGCGAGACAAGGCAGGTATCGCTGATATCGAGACGTCCTACATTGATCGGTTTGAGCAGCTGGTGTACGGTCAGCGCTGTAAATGGCTATGGCTGGGAAAACCTCTCAAGAACCAGTCCGTCGATCTCAAGGAGCATAGAGCAGAGGAGTATGACAGACTTTTCGGTCGCATTGAGCGGAAGCACACGCAAGAGTCCGTTACAACTGCAAGAGGAATGTCTGATGATGTAATATCACCTACATGGCCGTCCAGTAGGGACGGTGAAGGCTCTATCAAGGAAGAGACACACCTCCATCGCTCTGTTACGAAAAGGGCGACGGGCTTATTCAACGATGGAAGAAGAGGCTTCGGAAAGTTCAAAGATGCTGTTCGTGGTCATCATCCAAAGGGTTCGAAGGATGATTCACCCCTCTCGCCTACAGATTCATCGGCTCAAGACTTCAAGTCTCCTCATGCATTGCACCGCATAAACTCGACATCACCACCTGCAAGTCCAAAGGTTCAACAAGAGGCGAATGGAAATCTCGATCAAGTCTTGGAACAACGAGAATATCGTCAGAAACTCGAACGTATCGGGCGCAACGATGCTCAATACTCCGACAACCTCTTCAATAGCCCCCTGAATACCAATGACAGCGTGTTCCCTGTAGAGGACCCACAGAGAAAGTCAGAAGACGCGCGAGCAGAACAAAACGGAGACAAAAGCGACAACGATACCGATATCGACATGTTCGACACAATCTCCCGCACCATAAGCGGTGCGCCCTCAATATCCATAGCAGGCTCTGATTACCACGGCTACGACCTCAAACAAGTGCTTCCTCAGCCCTCTGATCTAGCTCAAGATATCGGACCTCTGCTCCGCAACATACGCTCCTACAGCGATTTCGAAACATTGAACTTCAGCAGTCGCTCAGACAGCTTCTATCCGCGGCGTCTGAGTTATAGCATTGCTGAGAGCAGTATACTCCCATCTACCACCCAACTTCTAGCTCCCTCATCACCTCTACCCCACACATCTCTAGAATCACAATTCGAGCACGAAACAACAATATCCTCCGACCTCAAAGCCCTACGCGCAGAAATAGCAACTCTAGACCGCAAAGAAGGAACCTGGACCCGCCAACAACTCCTCGCCACCCATGACCTACTCACCCAAGCCGACGAGGATCAAAGTTACTTGGACAGCATTTACCGCCCTAGCGCGGCAAACCTACAAGATTTACGAGATGCTAGTGATGCATTGGTCATTGATGAGAGAGATGCTCTGCATGAAGGAGCTAAAGAATTAGAAACTTTGGCAGCGAGATTGGAGTATGAAGTTGAGGGTTTGAGGGGCAAGGTTGAGGATGTAGAGGTTAATGTTGGGGATTTCGAGAGGGCTGTGGGTGGGATTGAGGGGAGGATTGGTGAGTTGGAGGATATGGGGCATGGGAAGGGGTGTATTGTTTGTTGAGATGAGGTTTTTGATGCGGTTTTGGAGTTGTGATAGAGAGGTTTGAATAGATTTGGTTGAGTGTCTTTGAGTATCGCCTTCGCTAGCCCATTGGACACGACAAACTTGAGCGTCAAATACTCTGCTCCATTGGGACGTGGTCTGGTGTATGCTGTATTCACACGTCTGTGCGAGAACCCCTGTGATTCTCAACTTGAATATGAGCGGGAGTGTTTCATGTAGCCGGCCTGTGTATTCCGAGCAGAAACTCTCGTCGGCAAACAATCAGCTTTTCACCTAGGCATGTCACGCCAATGCAAAATCCGTCTGTAGCAGATGTTCGCTGCCAATTCAGACGGCTTTCCTGTCAAAGACATTGAACGGACAGTAATCGTGGTAGGTGCAAGACATTCTATTCGTTTCTAATATACAAGAGGTGATTCGAAAGATGATGTATGTTGCAAGCGGCTTAGAACTTGTAGACCTGGTCCTTGTTGTAACCAAGCTCGGCGAGCATACCAGTAAGCTCACCCTGATCCTTGGGGCTCTTCTTGGGACCAGCGATAGCCTTGTACATACCAGGGGGGCCGCAAACAAAGACCTTGATGTTCTCCTTGCTGGGGTCGGGAAGGACGGTCTTGAGAAGGTCCTTGGTAATCATACCCTTCGGGCCAGGCCAGTCTTGTGGGGGCTTGTCGAGGGTGTAGAAGGCGCGCATACGGTTGGGGTACTGGTTCTCGAGGTCTTCCCACTCACGCTTGAGGAGGACGTCTTCCTCTGAGACGTTGCCGAAGACGAGAGTGACCTTTGTCTTGTCGTTGGGGTTCTTGAAGATGGCGCGGGCGAGTTGGTACATGGGGGTGATGCCGGTTCCACCAGCGATCAGGGCGATGTGGTCGTGCTTGTTCTCCTCCCAGGGGTACTTGGGGATGGGACCCTTCATGTCAAGTCGTTGTCCGGGCTGCATGTTGTGGAGGTGCTCGGACATGGGACCGCCAGGGTACTTCTTCACAATGAAGTCGAGGTAGCCGACAGAGTCCTCGTCGCTGACGGGGGTATAGGGGCGAATGACGGGCTTCTCCATCTCGGGACCCTTGTACTTTGTGATCAGAGCAGCTGAGAAAGAGTTAGTCATGAGTTGACGTTCATGCGCCCTACCGATGGAAGGCTATGACGCGATGGAGAATCAACATACAGGCAATGGTGAGACCGGAGACGTTGTCCTCGGGGAGGTGGAAACGCAGCTTCTTTGTGTTGTGGTTGATGACCTCGCTCTCCTGCAGCACCAGGCTGACGAAGCCTTGGTCACCACCAGTGAAGCACTTGGAAGGGTTTGCGGCCTGCTTGGGAATGTTGGACTCTTCCTCCTTTGAGGCGGGCTGGCCGAAAGCGCCGCTCTCGTTCTTGCTACCGTGCTGGCCCTCGGCCTGAGCACGCTGCGAGTACATGTAACCGCCGATACCAGCACCGGCAGCGATACCAGAGTAGAGGACGGTGTTGGAGCCAGACTTTGCGGCAGCCTCGGAGGCATAGCGGCGGACATGCTGGAAAGAGTGTCAGAGGACGGCGGAAGTTGGCGCATGAGGGCAATTGAAGACGTACGTTGGCCGCTGTCCTTGCGGGACGGAATACTGATCTGGCGAACATGTTGACTAGATATTACAAGATGAGATGGGAGAAGAGGAAAGGGAGAGGGACGGGCATTTGGCGGAGAAACGGGCTTCGTCAACTCTTTGCGAGGCCGGCGGAAAGCTGTCGACGATGATGCAATCAACACGTCCGAGCGTCGATCAAATGTTCGCGATATCCACTTCTGCCTTTGTGCCTGACAAGCAGCTTCACACCTATGTAGCTCGGAGCTACTAACCACTGATGCAAGCCATTATTAGCTTACGCGAGTTGCACTTGTCAGTGGTATTGCTAGTCTGCACAACCGTGGACCTGGTCTTGTCTTGGTGAAGCTAGCGGCAGGAGCTGTCACGAAGGTCGAGCTTGTACACATGTCATGGCAGATAAGATATAGCAAGATCAATGGATACCTAAACACATGGCAAAGTTGGTCTGCCAACGAGAATGATTCGACGTTTCTGGCGAAGCTCTTGGTTGCGGCTTTCGCCTTCGATGCTTTCATGATGGTTCCGTTTGCAGCCTGTCTCAGGTGGAGATAAGCAAACGCCGTCACCATCTCCAACTTTTCGCATTGCGCTCCGTCAAACTTTCCTACAGTCAACACAACATGAGGATCCGATTACAAGTGCAGAGGAATCGCTTGCCACCGATAAAGGTGCTATGGAAAGTTGATAGCTCCAGCACCACGGCCGAGCTGGTCACCAAGATTAGCGGCTACTTTCCTCTGGAAGCCGAAGGTTGGGGTCTGGAGGATTACACCGTCCACCTTGGTGGCTACGAACTGCTACACTTTCAAAAATTGGGAGAAGTCTTGAGGGAGGATGACGAGCTTGTGTATGTCTGCTGTTTTCTTTTCATCACAGCACAAGGCTGATCTTCGCATAGCATCCAGCCACTGCAGACCAAGGACATCAAGGCCAGAAGGCTGGCAGGCAGAGCGCAAATCTCAAGAGAAGGCAGACATCTTGTTGATGGCGTCGTTTTCGGAAGCCACAACTCGCATGCTCGAAAGCACCCTCCTATCAGGATTCCTCCTCGCAAGCCTGCCAGCTCAGACATGACATTGGAAGAATCAGATGCCCTTCTACTACTAGCCAACTTTGGCCCACCTCCTTCCGTTTCCGAAGCCATCATCGATGCCGAAGCGCCCTTCGACTATGGAGCCTCCTCTGCCCATCTCAATCCTCGCGAAGTCTCCTTTGCCCACAAACAGAGCAAGACACAGAAGCGTGTCAAGTTTGGTGATGAAGAATTCATGGCTCCCGAATACCGTAACAACGGTGCAAAGGTCATAGGCGACTACGGCTTGGACACCGACAAAAACAGAAACGACGATGACGATGACGATGACGACGACGACAATGTCGACAACTATTTCGGCGCTCTCGGCGACGACGAAGAAGACGAGGACGAAGACGACGACTTTGAACCATCTTCTGGCGATGATTCTGATGCTGGAGAAGACAACAACATGAAGCTGCTCGAGAACGTTGATGAAGCGTCAGCAAAAAGCACCTCGGACGAATCTTCAAGCGACAGCGATAGTGAGAGCGACACCTCCCGTAACGATGACGGATCCAACGACAGTGGCAGCGATAGCGACGCTCCCTCTGAAGAGCCCATCAAGAAGAACAAAGACAATTCTGCTCAACCACCTCCTGCACCTGTCACTCGATCAAAGTCCGCCGCCGCTCCAATCACAACGCAAGCTCCCCCTAGTGACGGCAAGCAGCGGACTCGTGCTAGAAACCGGCGTCGCCGCGATGCAAAGAAGCTCGCTTGGCTCAAGTCAAAGGGTCATCTAGCTGCGACTGCGAACCGCCAGGATCTCAAGAAGTGGAGAGAGGCCAACGAGGCAGGCCGTGTCTCGGCTTCAGACTCTGATTCTGATGATGAAGACTCCTCTAGTTCGGAATCTGACTCCAGCTCCGACTCAAGCTCCGACTCTGAATCTGACGCTGAAATCGAGACTAAGCAAACAGAACAAGTTGTCCCACCTGTCCCTGCAGTGAAGAAGCCGATGCCTATGGTGCCAAGACAACTCAAGGTCAAGCCAAAGGGCAAGAAGCCACTCACGGACACCAAATCTGAAGAGTTCAATCAGAAAAGAGAAGCCCTTCTGGCCTCATTACAGTCTGGCGGTGTTGACATCAATCACGATCTCTCCGCTATATCCAGCCCCTCAGAGGACGTCATCATGGATACCGCCGGACCCAGCACAGTCTCTACGCAGCCAGAAGTTCGTAGAGCTAGGCTCGATCTCGCAAGCTCCAATCGTCTACTGTTCAATTCACTTGGTGTCCGCGCTCCTAAGAATGACGCTGACAGACAACGCCTCCAAGCAAAGCTTGCCGCACCTACGCGCAAACCAGTCACAAAGTCAACCACTGCTACTACCCCTATGCGGGAACCTTCAGTCGAAGCAGAGGAGGTCGGACCTACAGATGTCAACGCTTGGAAGTCCAAAATCTCCCTCTCCGCCGTGGAGTGCGCACCAGGACAAGAGGAATACTACTACTCGACTCCACCTTTCCCATTCTACCAGCGCTGGGATCCCAGTCAGCGTACCAAGAAGCGCAAGCGTGGCTCTCAACCCTTCGACTCCTCCAAACTACAACGTACCGAAGAAGAGCTTGACAATAGCTACAGCGAATACTACAACGAAGGTGCAGACGACGACGCTCTCAACTACGGCGATGATGAAGACGAAACGGCTGGCGCACAAGAATCCGACCAGGAAGCCGCCACTGCACAGCTATTGGCAGAGTCATCAGACGCCGCCGACTTACCAGCTCTCCCATCAGATCTCTCCACCTTGCCTCCTCTGACCAACGAGAATACTGTGCCAGGCGCAATCATCGCCTTTGCACGCTTCGAAGTCTCGGCCGCCACAAACTGGGCACCTGCCATGTCTCCTGTCCGCACCGCCTCCATCCAACACGTCTCCGACAACAAAAGCCTGGGTCTGCAATTGGCAAAACGTGATATCCCCGGCAAGCAGTATGACAGCCAAGGTCGCAGATTGTTTGATAAGTTCGAGATGATCACTGGTGACGAAGATGAGGACGATGAGGACGACGGTTTCTTGGAGATTGATGTAGCAGAGATGATAGATCCTAGATTGGTTTTGGCTGCTGAGGTGCGTGGAGTGAGTGTCGTGATGGAAGACAGTCCATCAGCTGGAAGCAACCACCATAGCACTGAGATGATTGGTGTTGCGTTGTGAGGATCGGGCCCATAGGTGCAGCATGGTGAAGTAGTCAGTCAGTGAAGAAGATTATAATGCACGAACTCAGATCAAGACTTCACTTTCGACCTTTCCCACTTTTCGTAACACAAGCAAGACGATATAGAACTCGTGTCAGACATCCGGTTCTGTGACAATGAGTTCGTAGACATGGTGACTTTATCTAATGGTGATCTCTCGAAACCGCCTATCTTTGCCCTATCGGCCGAGGTCTTCCCCATATCTCCGCATCACGACCTCACAACCCCAGGTTGTCGCAACCTCCCATACAACGAGATTCAACAAGCTAATTGAACAGTCCATCCAATTGCAACTATGGCCAACCTCATCGACGACGACTACATACTAATCCCCCATCCAAACGACACCATCGCCAAAAAATCCACAACACCCAACTACCTCTCCACAATCTCCACCCACATCAACAGCCTGAGTCCAAAACTCGGTGGCATCAGTCTAGCAATCCACGATCATCCTGAGCTCAATTACAAAGAATTCAAAGCTTATACGTTGCTGGTAAACTTCTTTGAGGGAATGCATGGGTGGAAGGTTGAACCACATGCTTATGGGATTGAGACTGCTTTTATTGCTTCCTTTGAGAACGAGGGAGTTGACAAGGAGAAGGGAAAGCAGAAGGTTGTGAGTTTTAATGTCGAGTATGGTGAGTGAGCTCTTTCATCGTTTGTGAGCGAAGGAGGAAGTTTTTGTCCTGGAGGAGAGTACTGATAGAAGGCCAGATGCATTACCGGGCATTGGACATGCTTGTGGGCATAACCTTATCGCTATTGCTTCAATCTCGGCTGCTTTGGCCACGAGACATGTGATGGAGAAGTTTGGAATCGAGGGCAAAGTCGTGGTGTTTGGTACACCCGCCGAGGAAGGTATGTTTTGCTTTTTCTCCTCAGGGCTTTCCCCCAAGACACGGGAGAAGCAGAAAGTATTCCCCGACCGTGATATTCACCGTACTAATGTCGCAAGACAGGTGGCGGCGGTAAAATCAAACTCCTTGATGCCGGAGCATACACAGATCACAAAGTCGACATCTCCTTAATCTCCCACCCCGGCATAACACCCGACGCCTCTTTGGTCCGCACATCAGCCTACCTTGCCTTCTCAATTTCATACCACGGCAAAGAAGCCCACGCCGCCGCAGCACCCTGGGAAGGTATAAACGCCCTCGACGCCATGATAACAGCCTACACCGCTCTATCCGTCTTACGTCAACAAACTCAGCCCGGAGATATCATACAAGGATGCATCACTTCAGGAGGTGCAAAACCCAACATCATACATGCATATGCAGCAGGAGATTTTGTGGTAAGGTCGAGTAGTAAGAGGAGATTGGAGGGGTTGAAGAAGAGGGTGGATAGGTGTTTTGAAGGTGCTGCTGTGGCTACGGGCGCGGAGTTGAAAACGAAGATGCAGAGTAGGTATTTGGATCATGTGCCTAATGCTGCTCTGGGAAAGGGATACGCAAAGTACTTCGAAGCATTGGGGGGAAAGATGCAGAGGCCGGAAATTGAGCTTTTGATTAGTTCGACACAGGCGAGTACAGATCAGGGGGATATCAGTCATGCTATGCCGTCGCTTAGTCCTGGGTTCTGGATTAAAAGTGTAGATGCGGATGGGAAGCAAGGTGGTGGACCGCATACACCGGACTTTACAAGAGCGAGCAGGACGAAAGAGGCACATGAGAAGGCATTGATGGTTGGAACGGCGTTGGCCGCTACGGCTATTGATGTCTTGACCGTGGACGGCTATCTTGATGAGATCAAGAAGGAATTTGAAGCCAGTCAAGGGGACTAGGGCTCTAGTGCCGCCATACACCATATATCTTTTTGGTGCCAACTTACCATGATTTTCTGATATTCTATGAATTGATGATTTGTCATACACGAGCTCTGGGTCACTTCTTCGAGGAAACTGATGAGCTATGCGTGAGTAAATCCCGAAGGCTTTCCATTTTCCTCGACAGTTAGCAAAGACTTCCATGCTGCCGGTCTTGCCTCTGCAAGCTCACAGATCATCCGTTCCATATCGCGAAGCTCTTGATGACTCTGAAGATGACGATGTTGTCTTCGCGATCGGACAAGCGTGGTAAGAGGCCGTCCACATAATGCGAATCCCGGTAGATAAATCGCTTAGTCCAGCTGAATATTGGAGCCGAGGGCATCATATTTGCGACTTTGTATATGACGATAAAAGCATCGGTGTCTTGGAGACTTGTACAGAAGTTTGCTAGACATCGCGGACGGATTGGAAGATATGAAGCAGGATGGTAGCAGACAAGGGCTTGGGGGCCAGGCGTCTAGCTCTTGCCATCTCTGAATCACCTTCACTTGCAAGTTTGCATCTGAAGTCTGCTGTGATGCGTCACAAAGTAGCTTCATCCTCTCCGTTGTTGTATATTAGACATGCGGAGTAACGTGAGCGGCTCCTCGACATCTCGCATGAAATCTTCTGTCCAAGAGTAGCTTAGCTTGAGACCTCTAGACGGGCCTCGTCTTTCAGCTTGAGCTCTCCACTCGACGAGTTTTGCATCAGCAAGCCTGAGTATAGCGTGCTTGATCTCTGCACTCAGCTCAAAGCGATCCGAGATCGACGCAGTGACCTTGAACTGTGGCCTGAACACCACCACATACTCAACGATCCTCTTGATATAGGCAGAAGAGATTCGAATTGAACGGAGATGTTCGAAGAACCATGTAACCGGGGAGTTGCAAAAGGAAGGCAAGTAATCTGGCATAGGATACCGAATCATTTGACCTCTGTATTCGTATTCAGCCGGTCGTCGTCTTGGTAAGATACGTCCCATAGCAGGACTGCGTATGGAGATGACCTCGTTGCTGATCACTGACATCGATATCCGACCTGAGAAGGTAGCTATGTATCCGCTTCGTGTAGTGCGTGATACGTAGAGTATAGGGTGGAGCAGGGCGTGCTCACCCGCGGATTCAAAGACGATGCTGAGGATCATCAAGCGAAGTTCGGGAGGCAAACCCAGCAATGATGTTCTCGATGCCTCGTTGGATAAAGCTTTTGTTCGACTTGATCTGCGAGAGAACAAAAGTCGTGCCAGAGTCTTGATCCGCTTATGAAGACTCCGAACTGTGGGTGTAGTCAGCCTTCCTTTGCTATGCCTAGTTTCTGTAAGTCCGAGATGACAAGACGAAGAAGGAACAGTAAAAAGAAGAAGAGATCATGAGGCGATTGCTGTCCCTCGTACCACGTTGATGTTGAGGCCTCCATGACCGACAACAAACTCACTGTGCGTCAATTTCCTGGAACCATGCTTGTAGGGTCACCAACAAAAGCTTCGCACGGCTGCGGCTGGTATGACGTGTTCTTTATGATATGAATACAAGATGAGTAGACAAAAAGATCAATGGTGCAATATTGATGTCAACAGATGATAGTCGACGAACAACGGCTTGGAGAAAGTGGACAGCGGAACGTCGCGCAACAAAGGTGCAAAAGTAGAATTCCGACACGGGGAATTGAACCCCGGCCTCCTCGGACCTGATCGTTCTTCCGAACTGTTTGAGAGCGAGAAATCCTAGCCACTAGACCATATCGGACGTTGTTGAAGCATCCCTCATTGTTATAGACTATAACCTTCTAAACGTGGCTCTCGCATATGCCATCCATAAGAACACGCTTCACCGGCGATTCCAAACAATCAGGAGCAATTTCCATTCTCATTGACATAATCCAACCAGCAGGCCATGATGACTAGTCTAATTCTTCTTTCCCTCAGGATGCTCCTTCTCCGCCTTCCCAGCAGTCTCCTTCTGCAATTCCTCCATATGCCTATCATGATCCTTTACATCCTCCTTATCAGCAGCAATACCAGCCTCTCCCGCACTAGCCAACTTCTCATTCCACTCAGCCTTGCCTTCTTTTTGCGCTTTTAGCTGTTCTTGCTTTGTTCTCTCCAGCTCTTCGGGGGAGCGGTTGGCATCTTCTTTGATGCGAAGGTAAGGGGAAGAGACGAAGGTGCGGAGGGTGGGTGTGGAAGTGGTGGGGGATTGGAGGCGCTGGATGCGGGTTGCGCGGAAGAGGTGGAGGGTGCGTGAGTACATTGCTGCTGGTGAAAAGTGATCTGGTGGTGATTGTCAGTATGCTGGAGATTGGGCAAAGTAGGCGACGCTTGAGGCTCTTACGGTATAAGGTTTGCGGTTAGACTTTAGCAAAGTAGGTAGAAAGCTTTGATTGTGTATAAGACGGAAAAGGGTGGACTGTCTTCTGGTGAAATCGAGGGCATGCAAGCTCTTTATCACATGCAGTACTTGGGTATAGCATCATAATCAGAATGACGTATGGTGGGGCAGGGTCAAAAACCAAGGTGGATAAGCAAGCAACATCCACCCCCTACTTGACTGGCGAGCTCGGCATGAGATCGAGCAGTAATAATCTATACCAGGTACTCTCTCAATTGCGCATTCACTCAGGCATAAGAAGCTGTTGTCATGCATGGCAACTCAAACTGATTTGCGAGTTGACAGACAAGTCCACGTAGGCATCGGGAAGGACACGAGTGCTGCAAAAAGCTGGCATCAAGATTCATCGATATTGCATTCGGGCTTGAAACTTGAAAATAATCCTGGGAGGAACACACTCTGGGAAGAGTCCGTTCGGGCTGCACTTCCAAAGTGTCATCTTGATTTGCACGAGATGCGCGATTCCTCTGTCCCTATCTCGAAGTATGTCATGTCTTCGGAGTTCTTCGCTGCAAGAGGACTTGGTAGTCTTGGGGAGTGTTTCGCGTGCCTGATGAATTCAAGGCGTCATGTGCCATAGCACACGATCGCAGTGATGTTCGTTAATCGTATTGAAGATGATGATGATGACCAGAGGCTTGTTCAATCTCCGGTGTCGAGTTCAAGGTCGAGTTGTACTCCATTACTGACACCGTAGTCGTCCAGCGTGAGGTGATCCTTGAACGGTCTTTCGCCCTGTCTCTTCAACATGATCTCATGAGGCTGGCGACCAATACGCGCCGCAACCATAGCCTTGAATGCTTCTGCGCAAAGAGTCAGCATTTGTCCACAAAGCTCGGGAGTCAGAGTGTCACTTACTGACTGGGTCACTACCCAAGCAAGGAATAGCAGCCTTTGTACCCAAACGGTCATTGACATTGACAATAATCATTGGTTCTGCACGACTAGGCGCAGCAACAACCTTTGGCTTCTTCTCCTTTTCCTTCTCCTTAGGCTTGTCTTCCTTCTTCTTCTCTTTTCTCTCATCTCTGCCTCCGTCACGTCTAGGTGACCGTCTTCTGTCCCCTCCATCTCTGTATTTGTCGCGGTCGTCTCGTCTCGGTGATCGTGGACGATAGCTGTCTTGGTTACCATCACGTCTGTCCGAGCGATCGCGATATCTATCTCTATCGCCATCACTGCGACGGGGAGGTGAGCGGCGAGGTGCATCATCGCGGTTGCGATCGTCAAAGTCGCGGGTGAAGCTGTCGTTTGCGCGCGAGCCCTTGTCTTTCCAGCGGAATCCTCCTGATGATTTGGGTTTGCGCGGTGGGGAGCGCGAGCGACTCCTGTTTCTTGATGGTGGTTCTGTCATCTTTGCGATGAGTTGTATGAAGAGGGAAAGCAAGATGGCAGCTGTAGAAAGCTTGATAGGCAGCTTTTGGAGGGGCAGGGTTGCGCTTCGTCATTCCGTCATGCGACGCTGAGTCGACTTGCGAAACATGGCGGAGGCACTTTCCATCAATTGAGCTTGCACTCCGGATACTTCAGGTCAATTGGAATCCCAGATGACATGAAGAACATTCTTACCGTCCGGAGGCCTTCGCCAACTACCGTGCTATACAAAGTCTCGACTCGCTCGGCAAACAACGCATACCCAGCCCAAGTCCGTCGCATCCTCATAGGACTGGTTAGAATACTCCTAGGCCTATCAATAACATGTGTCCTGGTCGCCAAAGCATACACATCCGCTACACCGCGCTGGAAGAGCCACTCTGACTATGCTTCAACCTTTTTACCACCTGGTCTGGCGCAGATCTCGAATTCCTCGGCGGCTGGCATATCCTGGATGTATCTGGCTCCTGTCAGTCTGGCACTGTTTTCTGTCATACTGAGGAAAGGCTATACTACTGAATCTTTGCTGGTCATCCGAGGGATGGGTGTGCAGACGACGACGAGTAGTCCCACGTATTTGAGTACTGCGACGACAAGATTCATTCCTACGAACATGATCCAGGACATTTTCATTCATGAGGCATTCAAAGGATTCGAAGTGAGATTCTATCTCTCTATTGTGGTTGAAGGCGAGCATGATGTCGTTGTGGTGTTCCCGGTAAGTTTACTGAGATTCATATAACAATCTCAATGCTAACACTTTCCGACAGAGCATTCTCCCGAAAAGAAAAATACTAGAAGAGGTCTGGAGGGGCGCGAAGTCATGTCTATACGAGCCAAAATAATAATCTATGGCTATCGTCTATTCGTCCCCATCGTCCTTGCGCATGAACTTGGGCTTGTAAGGACCCTTGCGCTCAAGATACCTGGCATTCACCACCTCCACAGGCTCCATTCTCTGCTTGCGAGCAATGGGAACATAAGTACCCACAGGTTTTGGCCAATCTCCTCCATCGAACAATCTAGGACTCCTCTCCGTCACTGGCGCCAGCTTGACATCCGCAGGCGATCGCTTGCCTTGTGCGGCAACGATATCCATCAGACTACCGGCCAGAATCTCGTCGATCTTGCGCTTGTGCCAGACCTCCCAGATCGAGTCCATGATTCCTCCTTTGCCGAATTTGCTATCGCCACCATCGAGGTCGGGGCGCTTGTTGGTTTCACGACCACCAGTTTCACCGACGTATACCCAGTTCATTGCGTCCTCTCTACTTTTGTCATTGTCTTCGTGATCGGGGAAGATGCAGTCCCACAAGACTAGTGGTGCGTCTGTCGCCATCTCGTACTTCGGCTTTGTCGGGTACTTGTCCATGTCCAGCAGATCCGAGACGATCGACGGTGGCTCAAAACCTTGGCCAACTAGGAACAGCACAGCGACCAAGTGGCGGACCTGATGCCACAAGAAAGCTGAGCCGTTCACATCGAATGTGTATATCTTCGGAATGCTCATGTCATAACTCGAGCCCGTCTTAGGGACCTCGTTCGCATGCTGAGCAAATGCCGGGTGCGAAATGAAGCCTGCAGGAGCCCGACTCACGTCCACCTCCTCGATCGACGCCTTGAAGATCCTCCTCTCGAAGTTTGTAATCTGTTTCGCCGGGTCCACCTTGCAGAAGTTGCGGAAGTCATGGGCACCCTCATATCTCTTTGCCGCATCGCGCATAGCTTCGATATCCAAACATCCTTCTCTTAATGTTTTTCCACTGGCTGTCTTCATGAGACCTGCATGTCCGGGCACAGGCGCAAAAGCCGGCTGAGTGAAGAAGTATCGGTATCGTCGTTCACGGCAGTTGAATCTGGCGTTGAAGTCGGCAGGAGGGGTAGGACACCAAGCGAGCATCCTGATGTCTTCGGGCAAGACACGGTTGAGCAGTTGAATGTACGGTAGCTCGTCTGCAATGTGATCCCAAGGCTTTTGTGGCTTCTTGTCCTCCTTCTTCTTGGCCTCTTCTTTCGCATTCCCCTCAATGCCTTGCATCTCGTCCGTGTTTTCTTCCACTGGCTTTTCTTCCTTTGGCATTGGCTTGAGACTGCGGACGCGAATACCGACGACTTGGCCAAAGGCACTGACACCTCTGTCTGTTCTTCCACATTTCGAGTAATCTGTGCCTTCCCAGTCAATCTCTCCTTCCTTCAATTGTCCAGCTCTTGTAGGAAAGATCAAGCGTGTCTTGATCAAAGCCTTCCACAACTCTTCCTCAATCGTAGGCAACGGTGTCTTATTTCCAGAATGATGTTCGAAGCCATTGTATCTCTGTCCCAAGTACGCAAACTTCAATGCAATGTGTCTGGTATGGTAGCGACTAGCATCGAAAGGACGATCCTGTTTTTGCTTCTTCCTCGGCGGGAGTGCGACGGATGGATCAGAGATGGGCGCGATACGGTTGCTGCGTAGTTGAGCTTCTAGATCCGCTACTCGCTTCACTAGTTGTTCGTTTGTCCAGGAAGTGTAGTCTGGTGTTTCTGCTGGGTCTGGGAGACCCATGGCTATTCGTCTCGCACGTCGAGATGCTGTGCGGATTGCGATGTATGGACCAAGAGATACAAAGACCGGTGCTCTGGCTTTTAAGAGATTGGCGCTCGCTGTGAAGGTCAGGGACCGAAAGGATAATGGCATGCGGTGTCGCGAATTGATACCGCAGTAAACACTTTTTTCGTGACTCTGAGAATCATGATGCTCATGGCGGGGTAGGCGCCAAGGCCGAGCACCTTGCTATCTCAAGCTATCTGCTATCTTCTCCTTTGGGCGGCCCTCCGGCAAGGGGAACAGCTCGATAGGCTCATGGTCAGCTATGGAGATGAGGAACAGTGTCACTTGAGGATCGCAATGTTGTTGATGGTCACAGTATGTCAATCATCATCTTATTAAATATACTGTTATTTGAGCTTGACCAAGTGGTCATGCCGTCGTGTCTAGTCTATTGCTCAGAGTACCATCTTCCACCTCATGATCACATTACCCAGCCGTCACAACGACTATTTCACATGCTTTTCACGAGCAACCCGTGCTTATGAAAGCAATCCTGATTCGAAGCCATCAACAAACGTGCCAGCCCGTCCGAGATGAACTCGCGAGAATCAAAGCGGAAATAGTTCCATGACTCGGCCGAACGGCAGAAAGCAAGAAACCCGGGCTTGCGAAGATTGCCCACCGGCCCTTTTTCGTGCTTCTGCTATTGCCCAATTCCCCCATGCCCGGGCTACCGCGCGATTCGATGTTCTATTTGCAAACACCGCTCTTCACATCCTCCGATCTGGAGGTATACGTCCAATTTTGGCTTCAATATTGGAAAGAGAGCTAGGGAATTTCAGTCCCAGCCAACCCGCGTGCTGAGTTTCGGCATGCCGTCACGGCGGATCGTCGGCCGGCGATACTGTCTGTTGAGACCGATGCGACTCGACAATGCATCGCGGTTGTGGCTTGTTTTTGGCTTGTAGAATTTGAATGGCCTTCCAGAAATACTGTTGTCTTGTTTGGAAGAGGCAAGCCGCTTAGCTCATTCAGGGGCCTGCAACGAGCGACATGCGGCGTGCAATTGTGTTCATGGACGGAATCTGCATTTGGAAAGGGTTGAGGGTTTGCCAGGCGTTGTTGACGAAAGACTGGAGCCACTGTTCCTCTTCTTGCGCCATCTTCATCTGAACCTTGGCCAACTTTGAACGCTTGATTGTAATTCCTGGTACCACTGATTGTCTTCGGGGGTAGATAGTTTTGGTCGGCGTCATGAGAGACATTTTGCGCTCCGAGAAGTACGAGAACGAGGGGAGTGTCGTATCCTCGGGAGTTCCGGGGGGTGTCATTGCCAGTTCAAGCTTCTCACACTGGCGAATCAGGTCCTGCATGCCGAGGTTCAGGTCTTCTGCCTTGGGCTCAATGTATTCGTAGTAATCAGGTCCCCAAAGATCATCCTCACTAAGGGCATCTTGCAAAGAGCGGAGGAAGAAGTCGAACGAAGGGAGGGTAGGGCCGTCACCAGGCTCCGGTCCCTTTGCACAAGAAAGTAAACATGCCGCGGCCATGAGTCGGATCTGAAATTCGGCGTCCAAAGCGTGTTGCACTACGCAAGCAGGGCAGTTCTTGCTGAGACACCAATCCTCGTCATCGGCCAGGAACGATGTAAGCCAGACGAAAGCGTTACGGCCCTTGTTTCTGAAAGCGAACTCGATGTCCTCCGGCTTGATGGCCTTTGTATGTTTCTGAGCAATCTTTGTTGTGTGATCGTGAAGTGCAACTACAGGTGCGAGCAGAGCATGGAGGATATCCCTCATGAGAATCCAGGCCTGTTGATCTTCGGTTACGTCTGTTTCATGGTCTTTGCAGAAGTCGTTGCAGCATTCATTAGAGAGATGGTCACGGAGAATGCTAAATCCTTCAGAGTCTTCTAATAAGATAGCATCCTGTACTGTGATGAGGAACGGTGTTGTGTTCGGCGAGGATAGACATGATGTGGTGGAATGCATCTTGGCGGAAGGGAGTGCTGAAATCGAGGGGACTCGATAAACACCGGACGGAGGAGAGAAACCTTGATAGAGGGAGGGAGAGGGCGTTCATCATACATATACCTGGCTGACCGTTTAGCGCCAATACTTAAACTCGAATCAAAATTGGCTCTCTTTGCGCCATGTGAACATGCTCTCAGGGTTCATGACCTTTCGTCAGCCTTCAGGGCTCTTCACCGGCGAAAATAGTCCTGACGCATGGACATAACGACACATGACCGCGACTCGTGGAAAAGCGACTAGTAGCGTTTGCGGTTTGCGGACCAACCGTTCAAAGACATTTGGTTGCTTTTCGCGACGAGATGTCGAACATAATGAATCCTTTGGACAGCAGATGTAAGGTCTGGAGATTGCTCTTACAGCGACTCAGAATCGCGATCGCCTTGCTGGAGTCACCATGATCTCCTGGCTCCTCAGCCAACCGGAGTGCGCACCTTTACTGCAACTCACATAGTCTGAAGGCTGTCCTCCACCTTCCGAAAGCTTTGTCTCACCTTCACTTACCGCCTCGGCTCGAGGACGGGTAATGATGGCTCTTTCTCGGCAACCTTCTGACGATGTGGCTTCAGATCTGGCAGGCTGGAAGCATCGAGCCTTCATGTCGGCCCGCTCTAAAATGCCGTGAGGAGAAAACATTGCGAATCTGATACTCGTTACAGGATTGTTTTTTCCCGTAACAGCGACCGTTGCAACTCTGCGACGTATCTTGTCGTTCATCAGCCTATATATTGAGTGTAGCATCAAACCCAGACCCTTCACTTGTCCCTCCGGTAGATCAGTCTATGTCATGGACCCCCACATACTTGAAGAGCCTGGATGCTCGTCTTGGAGGCGCTTGGGACTCGTCTAGAACGGCCAAATGCGACGCCTCTGAACATAGCCGGTATCTGTCTCAGTCTGTGCGACTCCTTCTCTACGGAATAACTCTACCGGCTGATCTCTTTTGGCTTCACGAATACCAACACGTGGGACTCCATGGGGTAAAGACGGAGAGCATGGGGCGCGACTATTAAGGAGTTGCCGAGTCGGGTCGGAGACGAGAATACTACTGCCCGCTGCTAGCGAGGCCCTTTTCGTACGAACCGACTATGCGTATGACAGTTCTGCCGCCGAGGCTACATATCCTCAGTTGTGCGATGTGCTCCGACTTCATCCTCGTCCTCGAGCCGAGTTCACTAGTGTGGAGGAACGAACAAGTCACACGGCCATGGATTTCAGTCTTGAGCTGTCGTTGCGAAGGAATACGAGCTGTCGGCTGAGAGTCGGAACCAGCTCCAATGCTGCGAGGTTCTTCGGCATTGAGTTCACTCAGCGCACTGTCCTTGCTGGAGAGTTCAGCACTTAATTGTCAGCTGTGCTTTCTGGTCTTCAGGCCGAGCGAATTTGTCCTGACAATTGTTTCGCGAGTGAGACTGCTCAGACCTGCCGACCTCTATACCTCAGCGCTACACCACTTGGAAGCTTGAAAGCTTTCGATGACCTACGGCTCGCGCAATAAGAATCGCGCTGTGGAATGCTCATATACGAGAGGCTTCTGTGCTCGAGTGTGTTTTCCTGACGGCTATCGGAATGCTCGGCATCTTCATCTGGCTATCGCAACCCTGTAAACCTGTTGTTTGACTGCCTTCGATGTACACATCGGTCCTATGCCGCGATGTTACGGATCTCTACTACAAACTTTGCCGGGCTTGTATGGCAAATACACCGCAGGGTGGAGTCTTCCTGTGTGCTAGGATCTCACGTTCTCTCCTATCCCGATGCAGGGCAAGAATGAACTGTACAAAGACACAATCAATTTTGAAATCAGGAGGGCCCTACTAGTACGGAGAGCAGACTAATCGACTCGTCTCCAGGCGGGTCACTACGAATCATGGAACTCGTTGTGCTTCAAGGCAGCTAAAGTCATCATTTGAACGCACACTCCTAGGTTTGTAATTCGCGCCTTTCGGCGTTCGTTCAGGAAGCTCCTACTGGCAAGTCGATATGTTCTGTCACCAATCACTCAATTGTGTCGAAGAGGTGTCGAAGAGTATATGCTTATCACAATTTTCCCTTGCTACAAATCATTCCCAATTGCAACGTTGAGAGTTGCAGCGATACTTGACCGCAGGACTGAACATTGGTATGTGCACCCTTGCAGACCTTCACGAGCGAGGGGCTCTCTGCGACCAGGTGGCGAAGGGTTTTCTGGACGCGGAAGGCCTGGACTACGAAAGCCCTGAACAGTCAGTAAGCAATGAGAAGCGATACAAGGGTAGACTTCAGCACCTACAACTTCCTCCAGTCGCTCTGAATCAGCAGAGCAAAGACTCCGTTGCCAAAGGGGGTTTTCAGCCAGTGCAGAACGTCGGTGATGTGAAGGCTCTTCTCTACGGAAGGGCGGATGATGGTGGCCTTGTCGCCGTAGGTGTCGGGGATGGCAGAGGAGACGTTGAAGGCCCTGAATGAGGCGGTGTATCCTACTCACCCAGGGTCTTGGGATTTTGGAGGTAAGCTGCCTCGTATAAAGGCAGAAGGATGGGATTACCCTGTCTAAGCAGTTTATGTGGTGATGAGGAATACGGCCGGTCTCCTAGACGAGAAGCAGGGACTCGGCCTCCTAGAAGACCGATCTGGCCTGGGTTGCCAGGAGATGCTTGATGGCGTCACCAAGAGCCCTGGAGGTGCCGTCGTGCTCCTTGGGCAGCTGGACGACCATCAGAGCGCTGGCTACGAGGTCTGCGTTCTCCCCAAGCGAGGAGGTGAACGAAGCAACTCTGCCGACCGCAGACCTCAACGAACAGCGTCTGAAGTGCGGCGGAGGTCTTGCGGCAGGGGTCATCTCTGGACTGACGAAGGTAGACAGCGAGGTTGAGCTGCCACTTTGGATCCTCGCCAGAAGGATTCACAGGCCGTGGCCTGGCGAGCTCGAGCACGCACTGCTTGCTCGCTCTGGCCTTGCATTTTTCAAGATGCGTGGCCATACCATGGAATCAATGCCGGGTGGCTGAAGGGGTGTGGGCGTGTTGGAGAATTGTGGACAGAAATTACCTAAGGGTTTGTTGACAATTTGAGAGTCGTCTCTGAGCGTTGTGAAATCTGAAAGCTTGATGAACAGGACGGAAAATCGAAGAAAGTGGATTCTAATTTGTGACCGCCGATTACAATTGGCTCCTATTCATTACAAGTGAAGACAGAGAAAGCAAATTATGCAAGTGATGCTCACAACCACCAGATAAAGCCAAGCATAACACTGACAAGACCAACACTCATACCAGCGATTTGTCTGCTCGGGCTAGCCATACCAGTCTGGCTGGCTGAGGCAGCAGTTCCAGAGCTAGCACCAGTGCTTGTGCCAGTGGTGGAACCAGTGCTACGGCTACCGCTTCCACTGCCGCTACGGCTACCAGTTGCGCCGGTACCAGTTGCACCAGAAGTTGAAGTTGCAGGAGTGGTGGTTTGAGCCTCGTAGGCCTGGCCGACGGTAGGCAGAGCGACGTTCCCGCTTACTTCCCAAACTCCAGAAGTGTACGCAGGGCACTCAGGAGCGGAGTTGGTAGGAGAGTAGGCGGCTTCTGAAACACTAGAAGGGGTGAGAGTCTTCCACTGGTTGCTCAAGTTGTAGAAATCGGGTGAAATTGGCGTAGGAGTTCCACTACGGGTGAATCCGCCGACCGCATTGGTTGCAGTTGGGTCAGTCTGAGGACCATAATTTATAAGGCCGTAGTTGTTCGCCTCCTCCAACCATTCATAGATCATGGAACCGCTCCAGTAAGGTGCCATCTCGGAACCGAAGATGGCGGCTTGATCGTCAAAAGTTCTGGGCTTGGGAGTGTTGCATCCAACCTCGGAGAAGAAGATGGGAATGTTGTACGAAGTGATGTCATGAGTCAACTGCTCGTAACCAGAAACTTCATAGGTAGTTTGCCCGCACCACTCGTATGAATTTAGTGAGAAGAAGTCTAGAGCATCTGAAGAGTTGGTACCGCAAGCAAGATAGTTTTGAAGGTTGGGTCGAAGGGAGGAGATGTCAGCAGCAGAGTAGCCGACAGGGATGTTGCGGTAGTTCTTGCTGTTACGGTAGGACTTCATGTCACGAGCGGCAGCCTTGACATAAGGAGCAGCAATTGAACCGTTGCTGGTGGTAAGGACCTCATTGCCAACGAAAAAGCCAGCGGTGTTGTCGAATTGCTGGAATTCATCCATGACCTTGGCGAATGCATCGTACTGTGACTCGTTCCAGTGAGGGGAAGTTTGCTCGATCTGAGTGTTGAAGGTATCCAGATCAACAAAGAGATATATTCCAGCGTCCGCGAATGTCGACATACAAGCCTTGTGGTCGGCATCGGGGTCAACGTGGTAGACACGGATGGCGTTAGCGCCGAGAGTCTTCATCAGAGATGCATCCAATTGGCACTGGTTGTTGTCGATGAGGGGGTCCTCAGGCACAAGCTGGTAAGCGATACCTGGCGAATTGTCAGATTATTGAACCGAGCAACAACATTGCGTAACTCACCCTTGACGAAGTACTGATTTCCATCGCTAGTAAAGAATTTGCTTCCCTTGACCGAGATCGTGGGAATAGCAGACGCAACTGCAGCGAATGCGATGCTGGTTGCAATGCTGATGGAGAAACGCATTTTAATGGATTATTTGCTTAGAAAAAGCAAGCAAGTGAAGTAGATGGGAAACAGTATGCCTGATGATAAGAAAATTTCAAAGGATGTTCGTTGCCGTCGTTGAGTGGATACGAGGACAAACGCGAGGCAAGGGGTTGCGGCTTCCTCAAAGAACACGAGGTCAAGAAATGAGTGGGCGAATGCAGAAGGACAATCAAAGAACGATGCGGCGCAAGAGGAGAGACAACAACAGTAGGTCGCACCTTTATGAAAAAGCAGGAAAGCCTTCGGCTCCCACCTATCTAGAATCCTACCTTGAAGTTTTAGTCCATGTTTTAGCGGCAGCAAAAAGGATGATCTGGCTCAGACTGGGGATCCACTGCAGTTTCATCGCGCAATTCATCCCCATGGAGAACCGAAGATCATTGAGCTGTCAAGAAGCAGGCACCCGATCGGACTGCAGGAAACAAGCGCTACTACTTGTCCTTCTATGCAGCTGCTTGAACGACAACTCGTTCGTTGCCTTTGATCACTGCCGGCAGCATTCTTCTTCGTTGAACTGCTGTCGCTAATACATCGACAAGTGGTCTGTGCAAAAACGGGCTGCCGCCGACAATCTCTTGAAAGTTGTCCGTAAATTCAGGTTTGGAGCCGCGGCTGCGGCGCTGTTCTGCCGCCGTCTACGGTTCGCCTCAAGAGCAAGGTTTGGTCGTACCAACTACAAGGAGGGCTGACTTTCCTCAGCAGCTCAGCTTGACAGGACGCGCGGTTTCACGGAGACTGGTCTTTTCAGCAGACAAACTGGACTTCATGCTGCAAGCTGAACTTCTGAAGCCCTGGACATGCTTGTTGGCCACAGTGTCAGCCACAGGTCGACAGCCACACCAATATTTAATAGAATTGCGGGCATGCCAGAATGGGTCCCTGTGTGCAAAATTGTGTCACACCCTCTCTTCACGATGATCAAAGCAGGGCAACGAAGACCTGTACATAGGCACAGTGCTATTTCGTATAAATACACCTTACGCCGGGAGTAGTCAAACAGAGGTATCTCGGTGTCATCACTCCATATCCAAAGAAATTTTTGCCTTAAGACAGCTACAAGTGTGACAATTTATCACATACAAGGAGGTGTCGCTCCGGCTCTCTTCCCTGACTAACATTGCGTAGCGAGAAGCTGCCGAAAGACACACAAGTATCTCATTCGCATGACTCTTGCATACAAATCGATGAGGAGACATTCAGTTTGACCTCCTCCATCCCGGATGACAATCAGCCGACTCTGATAGATGTTAGTGGTCTAGTCGAGCTCGCGGAACTCTTTGCCGCAGGTGTCTTCTTTCACGCCAGGGCTCGCAATTTACGGCGCAATCAGCATTCCACGCGTCTCCTTCTCAACGTCCAAGAAAAATATCAGTACCCAATGCCGAATGCAAGCACCCCAACTTCCATCAGACATAGCAAAACAAAGACGTCAACTGCATTCATGTCGTGCAAAAGCCTTTGAAGAAGCACACCATCTCCGAGCATCTAGGCCTCCACTTCACCGACAGTACCATCGAGCAGGGCAAAACTGCAGTTGAGATGTGCACAGAGTGGAACACCAAGCTGCCTTTGGATCGAAAGACTGACGTCGTCGACTTTCTTCCTCCCATCTTGTGCATCGCGCTGAAGAGTGGCGAGAAGACGTCAATGCCTGACATAGGCCTGCTAACGGAGCTGCTCGAGGGGGTTGCCTTTAGGCTCGAGACACTGGACGGCCAGAAGCGCGTCGTCTTCTACAAAACAGTCTCACTCGTATACCTTGACGGTCCACAGCATTTGGTAGTGGCGAGGTGGGTCCAGTGGAGGCAGAAGTGTAGTAGGCCGCTCTTTATGTCATGGGTGGGGCTGCTCACCAGTAAGAGTGTCTTTGCTCTCCGGTTTCTAACAAGGGGTAAATATCAAACCGCCGTGATGCACAGTATGATTGAGCGTGCAGGGATATGTCTAGGGAAAGCCGATGTCTCTTAGGAGATCTGGGAGCCTATGGGGTAGTAACTCGGCCAACCCCCCTTGTGCACTGAGGAGTTTACGCGAGAATCTACTCTTTGACTTCCTCGAACTCGGTGAAGAGAAGAGTCAGCAGAGAAGCGCTGCTTACCTGACTCTAGTTGATCGTCTCGTACTCCAGTGTGAGAGGCACACTGATGCGGCCACAATCAACCTGGGACCAAACGCTGGCATCGGCTCTCTCACTTGACGAGGGAGTGGCTGTTCACGGCAAGGTGGCCCACGCCGCGTTGCTACAAATCCGCGACGTACTATGCTAGGCCCCTATGGTGGGAACATCGCCAGATGGAACCTCCCCGTGTGCTACTCGAGTAGGTTCTGACCCTTACTTTCCATCGCGATACAGGGCAAGAATAAGCCGTGAGAAGGCACAAGCATATTCTAAATCGAGAGGTCCGTACGGAGAGTGGACAAGACGACCCGTCTCCAGGAAGATCACTATATCTGGTGGGTTTCATTGTGCCTCGAGGCAGCCGCAAGCACCAGCACTCCGCCCCTTTGCGGAGCCATGCTTTCGAGTGGTCCCTACTCTTAGCCAGGCGTCAGGGGCCCAGCCCTTATCACCCTTAACCTTCTCTTCAAAGGCCCACTCAGGAGCGATGGCGACGTATATGAAGGCGTGATCAGATGTGAACCCCCGGACAACACCTTGAGCACCGGCCTTCATCGGTAAGGCTCTGATAATGCTGCCAGTCGCGATGTCCTCGAAATGGCGGCCACCTCTGTAGTCCGTGGTCAAGCTTGCGCTCTCGCAAGGGGATTGTATGTAAGCAGGTGCGTAGGAGTGAGAGGGTCCAAACAGTTGGCACACGAGCAGGGTGATGACTCGTGTGGCTGGTGTCGTCACGAGGACACAGATAGCAGGAGTGTTTGGACGAAAGTCACGTCGACATACAGGCAAAAGCCATCTTGTATGCAAGGTTTATGGATTTGTAGCACGGCAGAATAGCTTCGTATACCAAGAGTTTTGACATTCTTCGCTCTAACTTGCGAATCTTGAAACCTCAGCATGGAGCCAGGGTGTTCCTCGTAACCTGGGTTCTGTGAACTGTAAGACCACCTCCTACGAACCTGCGATGTTTTTCATGGTGTAATTGCATGCTATGATGTCCCAATTGATGTAAAAGGTCTACATCCTGCTTCTAGTGTGAGTTGTACCAACGTTGAAGGTGACAATCGTGATTTTCCTCAGTGTCGATCCCGTCTGCAGCTCGGCCTGGCACCACCCATTGTCTCCGTCAGCACATTGATGATTTTGTGCCGTCCTTGTTCTATCCCCAAGATACGATAACGTGTTACATAATCGTACAAGCAGGTGGCTCCGATCTTCCACCTTGTGCTGAAGCCGTCGCTACTGCCGTCTTGACGATGTCTTCCCAGACTTCGGCACACAACTCGCCCGTCACAGCACTACACTCGCAGTACCGATCACACCTCATCTCAGCAGCAACCCTTAACGCTTCTTGGGGAAACACCATGCCTTGAACATTGTCTCGCCGAAGATCTCGTTGCAGACCGAGTACAATGACGGGAATACTTTCGTCATAGTTGAAGTGCGTTTCCACAATGTGCTTCCATCTACCCTTGAGAGAGTTCAAAGATTCTTGTGATGTTATTGAGAAGCAAAGGAGAATCAAATTAGGTCGAAGTAAGGTGTAAGACTCCGGGGAGGATGTGTCGTAGAACTCTAATGTATAGGGCCGCGTGCGGCCACGCAGCTCAAATGTAAACGGTTGGTCGAGATCTCGCAGGGCAGGCAGAGAAGATGTTGTGTTATTTGGACCAAGAGCTAATCGACTTGGAAACGGGTCAGGTCATGCTCAGGGGTGCTTTGTTTGCCAGCGTCAGGGAGGTGAGGAACAGAGCTCGCTCAGGTTGGTCAGGAATGTGTCATGCCGGAAGCAGATCCGTATGGATACATGTAGGATGTTGCAAGATGCGAGAAAGGCACAATGTACATACGAGAGAAAGGTGGTCTTGCCGACGTCGGCATCACCCAATAACAGTATGCTCACCTGTTGAGGTTCCATCAGGGTAGCTAGTATGATACTCGAGGCTTAGGTGAGAAGTAGACACGGCAAGCAGTGTGACGAGACGGATGACAGATGAAACAAGGTAGCAGTCGAGTTCGACGGGGGCCTGCCGCCTGCATCGGGCAGCTGCGTAGGTGGGGCGCGAAAGCTTATGCTCAAAAGTCTTGCAACCCCAAGTTTGCGCGAACTCTATCCCGACATCCCACCATGACGAAGTCAGACTTTTCCCTCATCCTGTCACCCCTTGGCCGCGCCCTCGATCCGACTTTCACACCCTCGACCACTTCACCCACCCTTCCGGAAGTGTGAGCCACCGCGACCGCGCAACTTCCCACCCGCTAGCAAAGCCGACAGACCCTGTGGAAGAAAAAATAAAAGTCCTTTGAGCTTGGAAGATCGACAATAAGGCCGGCCGGAAGTCCTGCCCTCCGACAAAGAAGACCACCCCTATATTCTTTCGCAACACACATTCATCGTCATCATGGTCCGCAATCTGGTCGTCCTGGGCGGCAGCTCGCACCCCGAGTTGACCGAGACTATCTGCAACCACCTCGGTGTGCCTCCGTCGAAGATCTTGCTGAGCAAGTTCGCGGTAGGAGAGACTCGCGTCGAGATCATGGACTCTGTCAGAGGAAAGGACGTCTTCATCATCCAGTCAGGTGGCGGTAAGGTCAACGACCACTTGATGGAGCTTCTCATCACCGTCTCGGCCTGCAAAACTGCCTCGGCCAAGCGCGTCACTGCCGTTCTCCCCCTGTTCCCCTACTCGAGACAAAGCGACATTCCCTACAACAAGACTGGCGCTCCTCTCGCCAAAGCTCCCACTCAGCTCAATCGCAATGGCAACTACACCTTCGACAGCAGACCCACAACGCCCATGCCCGGTCAGGCAGAAAGTGCTGGAATGAAGGGCGGTCCCGACAATCTACACAAGAAATTGATGGACATGCAATTGCGTGATCAACAAGCCAGCGGTGAAGGCCAAAAGAGCCCCGTCAAGCTGACTCGCCGCTCCACCATCGAGTCTGTCACCTCGGAGAAGTCGGACTACTTTGACGAAAATACCCTCACACCTACCGGTACCAATGGAAGCGTCAACGGCGACAAGCCCGTGGCCAGGTTCCACAAGGCTCCTCCTCACTTTGAGCCCCAACGAGGTTACAAGCAATGGGTTGCCCAAGCTGGTACTCTCGTCGCCGATCTTCTCACCTGTGCTGGCGCCGATCACATCATCACAATGGATCTCCACGACCCTCAATACCAAGGTTTCTTCGACATCCCGGTCGACAACCTGTACGGCAAGCACCTCTTGCGCAAGTACATCCAGTTCCACATTCCTCACTATCAAAATGCCGTCATCGTCAGTCCGGATGCTGGTGGTGCAAAGCGTGCGACTGCCATTGCTGATGCTCTCGGCATGCCATTCGCTTTGATTCACAAGGTAAGGAGATTTAGTTGTAGGGAGACCCGGAAATGGCTTCTAACAATACCACAGGAGCGCCGTCCAACTCAGATCACTGACCGCCAGAATGCGACAATGATGCTGGTGGGCGATGTCGCCGACCGTACCGCTATCCTTGTCGACGATCTTGCCGACACCTCCAACACCATCACTCGCGCAGCCAAGCTCTTGAAGAAGGAGGGTGCCAACAAGGTCATCGCACTTGTCACTCATGGTGTGCTTAGCGGCGATGCCATCGATCGCATCAACGCCAGCGCCATTGACAAGGTCGTCGTAACCAACAGTGTTGATCAGGAGGAGAACAAGAGACGCTGCCAGAAGCTGGAAGTCCTCGAAGTCGGAAACGTCTTCGCCGAGGTAAGTCCAGATGCGCCTTCTCGAGTGGTCATTCATGACGTTACACGTCGGGGACAAACCACTGACAACCATTCTAGGCCATCAGAAGAGTTCACCATGGAGAGAGTATCAGCGTCTTGTTCCACGATTAGGTGGTCACTGAAATCTTCGAATGATCTTGCTGGCGTTCTGGGCAGTCCTGATGGACAAAGCATTAAAGGGATACTCCGCGAGGACATCGCTGCGATATACGAACAGAGAGCAATTGCAAATCGGCTTTTAGTGCCGTTTCGTCTTGGGCTTGAATCTTGCGACGCCATTCGAGCCATACCGACATGACCTTGTTGGCTGCTCCTTCACCATCAATCCAATCCCTAAAGGCAGGTCTTCGCTATCGTGATCAAGAGGTAGGTACATAAGCTTCGAGGTCGCCTGTCCTTGATTAGGCATTGAAGTAGTGTGCCTCCTGAAGTACAAGGCGTGCATGTTCCTGTATTGCGTACACCAAAGCAGGTCGACAGCATGTTCTGTTGCGCCAATAGTCAGGCGAATCGCTGATGCGCTCTATGTGTCTACTGTTGTCTTCGTTTCATGATCTCGTCACGCTGAAGGGTACTCTATCCATTCCATATTTTCACTACAGCGCAACAGGACTTGGAGGTGGCCACCACGGCTCCTAGGAAGTGATGGTCAGGGTGGGTTTGGACCAAGCGTCGTTCTGATGTGGCCTAGCTATCATTATCGTATCTCAGATTCTGCTCTGACCCTTTGCAAGCGAAAACTCCTGTTGCCATGGTGTCCAAGCTGAAGTCGCGAATTCTCCGGTGGTGATTCTGGTTCTTGTGGTCCCAGCTCTTTTTTGTATAGACGCGTTCAAACCCTCCACCCTCCCTCCTTCCTCTTAGTAATCACAAACTGTCTTCTTGTCTTGCTTGAACCAATAAAAGTCTTGCTCTTATCTTACCTCACCGGTATACACTGTTTACAAGTACATATCAAAGCGCAACCAAGAATTCGCGTCTCCAAGTTTACCAGCAACTCCCAAACCACCACAACAAAGATAGGAATCACCGCCCCGCAGCTGTCTATTTGGAGTATCACTCGACTGAATCGCATATTCACAAAAGGTACACGCTCTCTTTGTCCTCCCTCGTCAACGCCTTCTCTTGAACTCGCGCTGCATTTATGTTCAAGATGGTCGCGCCTGGCCAATCAGCGCGTCTTGTGGCGTCAGCGAACAAAGCATTGACATTCGTGTGTCGTCGGTCTCGGCGCGCTGTCAAACAAATATTCTCCCTTGCTTGCGCTGGCAATTCGCTGACTTGACCGATTATCGATAGCCAACACCTTTCACAATGCCGCCTCGCGCCACAAAGAAGAAGGCGACAGTGCCTGAGACTCCGTCAAAACGTGTGACGCGCACTTCGACACGCGCCGGCAGCGCAACTCTCGAAGAACCTCTCGAAACGCCGACGCTCAGAAGAGGTCGCTCGCGCTCAAAGACGCCCGAATCCAAGACTTCGTCATTCGAGAAGCCACATCACGAGTCGCAGCTTCCCGCCGTCGCCGAAGAGGAAGAGAGACACACTCCTCGCGTCACTTTGCCCAACCCTGTCGACGTTGCTCCCATCGCAGACGCATCGCCTTACGTCACCCCTGCCACCTACCGCCAAATCGCTGCTTCGACGCGCAAATCGCTCCACGAGTCGCCCAAAGTCAGCCAGACTGTCCAGCAGTCGGTCGAGGTCTACGTTCACCAGGACGCGACCGGAGTCGAGAACGATAACGACGAGGTCGAGCAACACGAATCAGAAGAAGAAGCTGTCCAGGAAGCCGTCGAAGCACAGCTTGCCAGCGAGACAGCCGAGGCTGGTTTGTCACTCTCTCATCCTACCCCCCCTGATCTGAAGACAACCCCCAACACAAGCCTTGCCGGCAAATCATCCACAAGAGACAGAACTTTGTCCGGCCGAGTCGACAAACGCATTCTTCCTTCAGAACGCGGCGCGATCCGCAGCCCTTTGATATCCAGCCCATTGGCTCAAGTCTCGGGCAACGCTGCATCGTCGCCTGTGTCACCGCTTAACTTTTCCAAATACCTGCCTGCACACTTCCAGCGTTCACCTGCTTTCTCGTCTCCTACGCTCATGGAACGCAGCCTCAAGTCTGACGGTGTCTTCGGAGGGCTAACCGATTCTCAACGTACAGCGCTCCTCATGGACATGCGCAGCGAGATTATGCGCCTGCGCAGAATCGAGGAGCAATACCTCGCTGTCTCCAAGCAGTCCCAGCCCGTCACCTATGCATCTCCTCAGCAGCTTGCCAAGTCCACATCGCAGCCACCCGCTCTGCAAGAATCATCCCCAGACGTACCTTGCACCGTCACCCGCCTCAAGGACCTCCGTTACCAGAGAAGCATAGCTGTACCTGCCAGAGCCAGACTCTTGGCAGAAGAAGCCGACCGCAAGGCCGCCGCCGCTGCTGCTGCTGCTGAGAAGAAGGCCCAGGAAGAGAAACACGCCGACCAGACTCCTTCGCGGTTTGTCGACGACAAGCGTAAGAGCAAGACTTCTCAGACCAAGACTCCCGAAGCGCAAACACCACAGAAATCATCACAAGCGCTCGTCGTGGCCGAGACGCCTGCTGCTTCTCCATCATGGGGACTCGGCTCTCTTTTCGGCTCAGTGAAGAACATCTTCACTCACCGACCCAACCTTTCACCCATCAAGCAGCACCAAGACCAGCCTCAAGAGCAAAGTCAAGAGCAACAGAAAGAACAACAACAGCAGGAACAAATGCAGCAGTCGCCATCTGAGCGCGCTCCTAAAAGACCGTACTCTACCCCCGCACATCTCAAGCAGCAAAAGCGCAACCACTTCATGTCTCCGCAGCAGAGTCCAACCCCCAAGGCCAAATCACCCGCTCCACCCGCAACGCCTGCTGCTGAGGAGACTGAGAATTACGGCCAGACACCCAGAACCCAGCGTCGCACCGTGCGCCAAAAGCGCGACACACCCGTAAAGCCTAAAGAGCCCAATGCAGACGTCAGAGCCCAGAAGCTTGAGCAAGTAGCTCAAAAGAGTGCCGAGCGCCAACAAGCCGAGGCAAAGGCCGATAGACTTGAGAAAGAGCGTCATGAAATCCAGGAAGAGCTGCGCAAGAGTCAAATGCAAATTGCTGCTAATTACAGAACTGGCAACAAGAGAAAGGTCAATGTCGATGATCTTGCAGTCATTCCATGCTCAGACGGTGTCTTCAAGTTCGGTATGGTGGATAGCTTCTTCACATACGACGAAGATAGAGACTTTGTCGAAATGTACGAGGAAGACATTCACCTGCGATCATCTGTTCAGCAGTCAAAGAGAGCCAGAATCGATGATAACGTCTTCGAGCCCAAGACTCCACCAGCACAGCCCTCTTTCGTCAGCCCTGTCAAGCAAGCAGAGGCACCACAGACATCCCAGACACCACAGGCATCTGCTGCTCCTGCAACACCTGCTCCAAACTACTCGCAGCTCACTCAGCAAGCCATTGAGAAGCAGCTTCAAGGTCTCGATCGACACAAGCCCAAGCAGCCTTCGCGCCTTCGTAATGTTGAACGCCTCTCTACCGGCAGCACCCTCGCCGCTCCGTCACCGCAGCAAGGTATTACCAGCCCTCTTCAGAACATCAAAGAAGTTAGCCCCGTCCCTCAGCTTCCCCACACACCTCCTGCCAAGATCTACAACTGGCCAGCCGGAGAAGAACTTGAAACACCCGAGACTTGGGAAAGAATTCTCAAGCTGTACACGCCTGAGATGGCCGCAGCTGATCATGCTTACTTCACCAATGGCTTGATTGCCGCTGGCGCCAACACTTCGGCAGTGTTCACCCTCTGAGCGACGCGAGTTGAGACGAACGAATCCACAATCTACGTCGAGTGAAGAAAGGTCAAGGTCTCTTTGGTTTGCAGCTGGTCAATCAAGACTAGCTCGCCATGATCTGACTGTCAAGAAGGCTTCTGCGGTTTGTAGCTGGTTTCATCATACTAGCTCGCCATTCATCTGGTGTGCAGCTGGTTTCATCAGGACTAGCTCGCCACCCATTCGGTTCGCAGCTGGTATTCTACACTGGCTCGCCATGTACTTGGTTTGCAGCTGGTCTCTGGCAGACTCAGCTCGCCGTCCATTCGGGTTGCAGCTGGTTGATCATACTAGCTCCCCTTGTACCCGGTTTGCAGCTCGTCCATCACACAAGCTCGCCATTCATTCGGTTTGCAGCTGGTCTCTGGCAGACTTAGCTCGCCATCAGCGAAGCGCAACTCGACACGGTCTCCTCGTTCTTTCGTCTCATCTCACCTATGCTCACACCAAACAAGCACACACACACACCATGTTCGATTCGAGAAGAAAGAAAGATTACTGTTATTATGCATAGCGAAAAGGAAAAGGGAAAAGGCTAAAAGGAATGTTTTACTGCAATGCGATTTTTGTAACGAGTACCAAGGGAAGAAGAGATTTCTGTTTTATTGGGTTTTTACTGCACTGGGGGTTTTTTCTGTTTCTTTTTCACACACATTCAAAATGTTGTTGATACCCATTCGAGAGAGAGTAGGGATAAGGGATCATTGCGCTTTTTCACATCACACCCCATAGCGCAACAAGGAAGAGAGGAATGAAGAGATAATTGAATAAAGACAAAAACAAAAGAAAAAACATTGAAAAACACCACTGAACTCGATCGAGACGGAATGAGTGACATTGTGTGAAAGAAGCGAGGCATGATGGTGATCACTCCGTCCACCTTGATCTTAACAGAAGACTCACTTAATTTCACAAACACGAGGCACCTCTAGCCTTTTTGACCTCAAGACTCCTCATCACACACCCTCACCCTCATCTCTCATTTTCCCCCACTGTTTCGTGTCTTGTCTCCCCAACCCCAAGCTCCTCCACCTTGCTGTTATCCTCTCATCTCTCCTCCCACAACCCCTTGAACAAACTCCCTTCTTGCTTCAACAGAACCTTGGGATCACCCACCTCCACCAACTTCCCATCTTCCATGACCCCCACGATATCGAAATCTACTATCGTTTCCAATTTATGAGCGACCGAGATAATAGTATGAGAGGAGAATTCTTTGCGGATAAGTGCTTGGATGGTAAGGTCGGTTTGGGTATCGATGCTGGAGGTGTGTGTGTTAGAATTGTTTCCAGAGAGAGAGGGAGAGGGGAGAATAAGGGAAAAAGGGCAGGGGAAAGGAGGGAGAAAACAATACCTGCTAGTAGCTTCATCCATGACCAACACTTTACCCTCATTTTTCCTCAACAAAGCTCTTGCGATATTAAACAGTTGTTTGGCTCCTTGACTGAGATGTACATCTGCCATTTTAGCCTCTAGACCTCCTTTTTCTGCCATCTTATCCCAGAGTCCTGTTGAATTTAGCACTTCTACCATGTTTTCATCCGTAATCGTGGGAGAATCGAGAGATAGGTTGTCTCGTACGGTGCTGGGGAAGAGGAATGGTTCTTCGGCTATACACAGCAAACGGGAACGCAAGGTTTCTCGGCGCATGGAGGAGAGATCTAGACCGTCGATTGTGATGTTGCCGGATGAGGGGGAGAGGAGGTTGAAAAGGGTTAGGAGGAGGGAGCTCTTGCCACTTCCTGTTCGGCCGCAGAGACCGATCTTCGAGCCGGCGGGGATGGAGAGATTGATGTTGTCGAGTGTCAAGTTTTCGCTTTCGGGACTGTCGAAAGATTAGCATGATAACCAGGAAGCAAGGGTCATAGATAATGCTTACTTATACTTCGCAGACATATCGCTGATCTCGATCACTCCTTTAGTTGGCCAGTCAAAAGGGGGATCATGAGCCTCGCCAGCCTGATCTTCAGCAACATTCTCACTTTCGAATTGTCTGATCCTAGCAACTGCACCTAGAGAGCTCTCAAGCTGTGTCCAGAACATGATCAACAGCTTGATGTTGGATGTGAATGAGATGATCTGAGTGAGTGAAACACCGGTAAATCCTGGCGAAGAACTGTCTCGGAGGCCGACAACAATACCTACAACCAAGACAGCTATGCCGGTAATGACTAGATCGAGGACTAGTGCTAACCATCTTTTCAGAGCCCACATGAGGTAAGTCGGCTTTTGAGACCGGTCTACGAGGGCGAAGTTATGCTTGATAGACTTTTCGCTCCAGTTGAAAGCGCGAATCGTGGCTAGACCGTCAAGAGTCTCAATAAACTGTGTGCTGTTTGAGGAGAATCGTGTTAGCTGATTAAAGACAGCTTACTTGTGCGAAGTCAGCTTACTAGACTGGAGCCTTTCCCTCGAGATCAAGATGTCTCATCTGTCTTGAAGTCCTCAGGTAGAACTTTTGGACAACATAGAAGACGAAGAAAAGTGCCGGGAAGCTTATAGCTATCCATGCGGACGCCGAAGCAATGAGTCCTACTTGGGCGATACACACGAGAACATCTGTAGTGGTAGTATGAGCTCAGTATCTATCATAAAGATCTCTTAACTTACTAGTTGTGACCACCATGAGAGCTAGGGGTAAGGATATGTCAAGTAGTTGTATATCTTGACTGAACCTGTATATCGTTAAACATGACCTTCAGAGCTCGAAGCCAAGGCTATACATACCTCGTCAAGATACTTCCGCTATCGACCTTGCTGAAGAAGGACAGAGGTGCCCTGGAAGCGGTCAGTAGGTCTATCACGACCCAATTGGTGAACGACTTCGACTCACGACATGACAGTGTTAGCGAGGACGTTGTGAAGTTGGACGCCTGTCTTCACAGCCATTACATTGAACGACCACCTGGATCATGTGTTAGCTTATTTCCAAGCATTGATTTATGAATAAACTTTACCACTCAACCGCAGCAGCGAGCGCGAGAGCCCCCACCTGAAGTGCAGTGTAGACGCCGATGTAGTATCCGTAGTTCGAACGAGATTCTTGCATGTTTGCATCTGCCCACCACTTGAGCCAGACAGCTTCTCTCATCAGCCAACGTGTGACTTCACAAAGTTGTTGCAAAACTTACTAGGAAAGGTACAGAGGGATGCATATACGACCTGAAGGATGAGAAATACGACCGCCATAGTCCAACTGATGCAAGCAAAGTAATACTTGTAGATGCTGAAGTCACCAGTCTGACGAGCTGACTCCAATGTCTTGTCGTTGTTTCTAGCGGGCTTTGCTGCAGCATACGTCCTTGTGTGGTGCGCAGAGATTTTCTCCGTAGTGGCGTCCTGGGAGATCGTCTCTGCGGTATCGATGTATCTGGCTGCGTTGTGGCCCGCGGCGTGAAGTTCTCGATAAGTTCCCTGCCCTTCAATCTTACCTTCGGAATTGAGAACGACGATGAGATCGGCTTTTGAGAAGAATCTGGTAGCCCCAGTAGTCATAACGACAGTCGTGTTCCAAGTACGCAGCAGACCTGATGGGCCAAGAAGACGCTCGAATACTGTTGTCTGGGTGCTCAGGTCTAGTTGACTAAAGACATCGTCGAGGAAGACCGTGGAACATCTCGAGTAAACAGCGCGAGCCAGAGCCTTGGCCAATCTGTCAGATGCCATCTTTACTGATCCTTCATGAGCAGACTTACAACTCGATGCTTTTGTCCACCGCTTAAAGCAAATCCTTTGCTTCCAATAATGGTAGAGTCGCGGTCTTGCAATGCATCTAGATCACAATTAAGGTCGCAGGCGTACACCACCGATGCATAGAGCTCTGGGTCAAACTCGCGAAAGTTGACGATGTTGCGCTGTATAGATGCGTTCTGAACAAAAGTCAATGTCAAAAACTGGATTCGTGCGAATCAAGCCACTTACCATGAGCCAGGCAGATTGTTCGCACCAAGCGACATCTGTAGACGAAAGTTCCACAATCCCTTGTGATAAGGGTGTCTCGCCGAGCAAACCCTTGAGGAGTGTGCTCTTTCCACAAGACACGGGACCGGTGATCATAACAAGCTTCGCAAATGGCACATGGAGATCGGCGTCCTTGATGACGAATGGATCCCCATGCTTCCAGCCGAACGAGACACTATCCATTGTGATGACACTGGAATGAGTCGAATAGGTCTGACCAGAGCGAGTAGGTACGATAGTCCGGGTGTCATGTCGTGGACAAGATTGCAAGAAATCTTCTACCCGGGCGATACAACCGATGGCTGAACGCAGTTCTATGAGGCCACCAATTAACATGAATAGAGGCTCTGATGCAAGAAGGATCAGAGCAAGCGATGTGAAGAGCTTAGTCGAATCCAGCGCGTGATGATTTCTTGAGGAGACTCCGATGTAGATCCCAAACGTTATGACGGGAGCGATTAGTTGAGGCACCATTCCAATCGCGACTGATACGCAGGATAATGTTCGAAACTTCGTTGCAGCTTCAAGCTCAATCACCCGGGATCGGCGAAGTAAACTCGCGCCTCTTGAAGTCAAGCCAGAAAGTTTGATAGCCTTCATGGAGCCGAGGACAGATGTCGTTATACCTATCAGATGTAAGGACATGCTCTTTACCAGCTACTAAACTTGATAGGAACTTACCAATTCTCTCTTGCACTTTGTCGATCCATCGAAGCTGGAACGAGGTCGTGAAGCGAGAGAACCAGATAGTCGTGCCTGTCGCAGCTAAAAGAACGATCTGTGTCAGTGACGCACGGCTACCTCGGGGGCGGAACCATACCCAAAGCAATGACTGGGGGGCCCACACATGCGACACCTAGCTCAAGTTCGATGAGCCAGGTAGCAATGGCGACCTGAGCAATATTCGCCCACATCTCATGTAGGTCGATAAGACCGCGAATGATACGCTCCACATCTGCGCTCATCAATGTTATTGAAGCTTTGTTGTCTTTGGAAGCAGAGCTGACGGTGATAGCTTTGCCATATATAGCTGTTATCAGAGTGCCACGAAGCATACTGAGGAACCTATAGTGCCTGTGCCAATAAATCGCAGAAGTAGTTGCGAGTCCAATGTAGACGACGAAGTAGGCACCGATGATACCATAGCCGATGTTCTTGTCTTCTGTGCCCGAGTTGTTGAGGTAGTCGAGAAGTCTTCTCAAGAGTAAAGGTTGACAGAACGTGAGAGCCAGAAGTGCCAGTCTCGGTAGAATTGGTACCAGCAAAGGCCACTTCAGCATATGAAAGATGGCCTTCTTCAGATCTGCTGGCCCACTCTTCGATTGTCTATCCCACTCCCGAGAGAATCGGTTGCTGAGCGCTTCGGAGGCAACGTCGTCGCTCATGTTGTAAAGGTCCTCGGGCTTCAATAAATGGCGTGCACCTTGCCATACCAAGCCGTTCAGCCATGACAAGAATGCTTGGCCATAGAGTCCGCTGAAGTCCTCTGGGCTCTTGTTTCTCTCCGACTTGTAGTATGGTCTTTTACTTCCAGCTTCAAGCAATAGGACTACAGCTTTGATGACAAAGACCACAGTGAAGATATCGCGGACTCGAGTGGAGAAAGGTGACATCAGCCAGAGAGTGCGAAGAGTGGCGCCGTCCAGTACGACGGTAGCGAAGAGGTAACCATTGAGCAACATGGATGGCCGAAGGGACCTGGAATGCTCCATGTACGACAAAACCAGAAGAGCAATACTCGACACAAACGACAGCACGGAGGCCGCCATCGACGGTCTCCATGCCTGAAGTCCTCTATTGTCGGCAAAGAGACCGATCAGGGCCAATTGGAAGACAGCAAGCACTGTAATGACAGACTAAGAAGCCGCCTTCGTAAGCCATAGCTCCCGCTCGCGGGCTACTGTCTACTCACCAACTTGACATATTGAAAAGCATCCACCTTGATCTTAGGCCGAAGACGACTCAACGACTTGAATCTCAGCGGTGCAAAACAAAGCAACAACACAGAAGGTACAATAGAGAAAAAGTAAGACTCGAAGGTCAAGGTAAAGTCGAAGCCTTGTCGACAGCCCTCCACCGCAGGCCCAAATGCACTATCGGCCGTGGGTGAACAAACAGCAGAACTCATGTCACACACAACAAGTTGGAAATTGCACGAATGCAGTCACTTGGTGACTTACTAGGAAGGAAGATATATGGAAGTTGGACTTGTTTATAACCATAGTAGGCTATACATTGAAGGAGCGGAGCTATCGCTGCAGCTCGGAAAGGGGCGTTTGTGGCTGCACGCGATAGGAAGGTCGTCTGAGACACCCGTAGGATTGGTCTAAATTTAGACCAACATATGCGAAATTTGAAACGCTCTTCCGTGGCCCCTATGCTGCCTTATTAGTGAGTAGAATCTTATGGCTTGAACTGCCAGAGTGCGCGATCATTGACCGCTATACAGCTTTCGCCAATCAAACAAGGCACTATATAGTCTATTGACACGAGACTTGGCACCAAAAGGGGTTGTGGTCTAGTGGTATGACATCTTCTTAGCATTGCTTCTTGAGCATTACTGAGTGGAGAAGGTTCTGGGTTCGATTCCCAGCTACTCCATTTTTGCACATTGCATAGCCTACAGGCACGCATGCAAATGTCTAACGACAACATATGAGGATGGGGAGGATTATCTTTAGGCTGAGTAATACAGTTTGAAAAATTCGTGTTGTTAGCTGGGAGATCCGATTAGGCTTTCGAAATTCTCAATTGAAGATATCTTGCTATATGTACATATTCCTACTTTTGACTTCGTGATTTCGTGTCGAAACTCTACTGCTTGGCCGAGAGAACGCTGGTAACAGCCTCGAGGACCTTGGCGTGGATGGCCTTGGGTGCGGCAACAACACCCTTGTTGTTCTTCAACGTTCTACCAACCGAGAAGTCAAGCTGCTTGCCCTGAGCATCGGTGACCTCACCACCAGCCTCACGGACAATCAAGTCACCAGCAGCGTGATCCCAGATCTTCTCCTGGTAGTCCTTCTTGACGGGCAGACGGAGATAAATGTCACCAGCACCACGGGCGATGCTGGCGTACTTGGCCTGCGAGTCCATGCGTACTGAAGGCTTGGTGATGCCGAGCTTGGAGGCAATCTGAGCCTGGTCGCCGTGAGCACTGTGGGCGGCCTCGACGGACTCGCAGAAAGTGGCGCTGCTGAGGTCGTCGACGGTTTTCATTGAGATGGAGGTGGCGTTCTTGAGGGCGCCAGCGGTCAAGGGACGGCTATCAGCACCCTTGCCCAGGATGGCGGACATGAGGACACCCTTGCCCTCGGAGTCGTTTGCGTTGGCACCCAGGTCCTCGGTCAGAGGGGCGCTGTCGTCGATGGGGAGGTTGGGGCATCCGAGAACACCGACCTTGACGTCGCCGTCGACCATCAAGGCGAGGCAGACAGCGTACTGGCCACCACGGAGGAAGCCCTTGGTGCCGTCAATGGGGTCAAGAGCCCAGATACGGCCCTTGTTACCACCCTGACTGGCACCCATATCGAGGACCTCGAGCATGCGGTCGTCACTCTCGATGGGACCACCCAGTGTCTTCTCAGCAGCGTCGTCGTCGAGCTTGGCCTGCTGGACCAATTCCCAGACAGTCTTCTTGAGATCTGCGTTCTCGCGCAGGTCCTTGGCCTCCTCTTCACCAACAACCTCATCATCGGGGAAGTTGGCCTTGATGGCAGCAATAATCAAAGCCTGAGCACCAAAGTCGCCAATGGTGACGGGCGAAGCATCTGACTTGTTGAGGGTGCCCTTGGCGTGGCTGTGAAAGACCTGCTTGGTCAAAATGGCGGCGCGCTGAACAGCAAGGAGAGCAACATTGAGCTCTTGGGAGTAATCGGTCGACATGGCGGCGGTTGTGGAGTGTGTTCGTGGGGGGTTGATGTGATGGGCGAAGAGGCGGAGACGAGGGAGAAACGGTGCGAGTAGTGAAAATGCCAGGATGAAGATGGAAATGCAGAGAATTGGACGTCGACGCAGTACTGTTGGAATCTTTGGATACGCCATCTACGCTAATGAATTCTGAAGCTCCGACAAGGGAGCAGGTGGGGCTGAGCTGGGATGGTGGGGGAAGTGTGCTTTTCTGTTCGCCAGGATGGATTTTCAATAGGGAGACATTTCGAGAAACGAATCATCAACATGTGTGCCATAGCTTAGTGATTATCTCGAGATGCCTATGTCTTCTTCCTTTCGAGCAACAGCACCTAGGGTGAAGAGGATGCAAATCCCAATGGCTATTTTATGAAACAGACACGACGTTCAGCCTTTGCGACTACGCCGCGAATCGATTTTGCAAATCACACGGTACACGCACGTCGATCAGAATCACAAGTAGGTACAGCACAGTCTGTCTCGTCTAGAATATGAAGCACTGATCTGGCATTGTGCCTCAGTTCTGTATTTCATCACTACCGTGAACTTGGTCGCGAAGAATGCTATTTCGTGGACACAGCCGACAGCCATGACGCAAGCGGCTCTGCTCGCAATCGTGAATCCTGTTTGTGCAACAGGTGAGCATCCATTTCAACCCAGCCTCTCCCTGTTCGTGGCTGAGGTTGAGACGCTCATATGTGGCTTGCTTTCCCTCCATAAAGATTGTCTACCATTTTCAAATAATATCCTCAAAACTTCCAAACCATGTCGTCGTCAGAAGTCACTCGAAAGTCAACGAAAGGCCAGGAAGTGACTTCCAAGCAACCACAATATGCTCGTGAAGAAAAGGAGCAAAGTGCAAGCGCAAGTGCAAGCGCTGGGGTATGTCTTTGTATCAGCCAGATCCAGAATTTTGACGTTGACCAAAACCGAAGCTCAATTTGAACCTCTTTGGCGCCATCTCAGGAGCTTTCTCTGGCAAGTCGAAGAAGGAAAAGCAAGCCGACGGTAGCGAAGTCGAACACAGGCAGGATAACTCGGCAATCAAGGGTGTAGCCATGGGCAACGGAAGTGCTGCTGGGGCTGCCAATGCCGAGACACATGGCAGAGAGATGCGCGAGCGTATCCTGGCTGGGGATAAATAGATGTGACGAAGCTCGTGAAGCAACGACCGGTGATGGTGCGAAGGGAGTCATGATAGACAAGTTGTAATAATGGAATCAGTCGTCGAGATATTGATCTAGGGCATCGTACATGGCTTGTTGAACGCTGTCGGACGTTCCAGCGGTGTCTTCGGCGATGGGCTTCTCTTGTCTGGTCGGTGTGTTGATCTTATTCTCAGTAGCAGCTTGCAGACGAATTTCGCCCAGGACTTGTTGCATCCGGTCTTTCGCAGAGTTGACACTCTTGATCTGAGCTTTGATCTTGTCCAGCTGGTCTTCCATAGTCATGATTAGACTCTCGCGTGCTTGGTGAGGACGATAGCGATTGATCAAGTCGTGGATATTGAAAAAGAGAGTCTGCAGGTGCTCGACCTTTTCTGGACCTTGAGTAGGGTTGACGGATAGAGTGCCGACCATTTCGAGAAAGTTCATCAGCACGGCGCGTGTGAGGGTCTGAAGATGCGGTGTTGGATCGAGGTGGACGACGTCTGCGGGATAGAGTTCCTGGATTCCTGCTTGGGCCAATGACTGTGCTGGTTGCGCCAGCTGCTCTCTTGTATCAGTCTCTTGCTCTGACCGTCTGTCACTTGTTTACCCACATCATACTGTGCTCCAAAGCTCTTGTAGCGGCCGTCTGTCGGTGGTTCGGGTGGGATGAGATAGCGGAGCTCGGTGGGCAGCGATTCTACGTCGACTTGATCGCTGTTTGTCGCAGCCTCCTTGCGAATCTGGCGGACCTTGGTCACATTTTGTTTGGTGAAGTGTTTGTAGTACGGTGGGGGTGTCGGAAAGGCTGCCGACAGCATGCGCACTTGTGCCTGCTCAGCCATGTTGTTGCTGCTCGCAAGTGTCTGATGGAAAGTGGAACTCTCAAGCGCCAGATCCGGGGATGACAGCCACAGCATGAGCCACATCAACCCTTAAACGCCCCCTTCGAACGCCCCTTGTCTTCTTGCCTCGTATCTTCTTCCCATCACACTTCTTTCGTGAAAGTCAGATATGCCTGGGTCCGAATCTCACTCGGACTCGAGAAGGAGGCCAGCCTCGGACTCTATCACTGACACTATACTCGGTATTTGGCGGGAGAAATGTGTAATTACTTGTCCTATATCCATATGTATACCACAGTCCAACTAATTTGACATCTCAGCAACCGTACGCTGCTGATTACATCGGCCTGGCTATTATAGTGCCCATTTGGATTTGTCTGCAACTCTTTGCATTCACCGAACCTTTCCATCGCATGTTCGCCCTGGATGATCGGAGGATTCAATACCCACATGCGGAAATCGAGCATGTGCCTGTTACCTGGCTCCTAATCTATGCGGGTCTCTTTCCATCAGTCATCATTCTTGTCTGGAGTTTCGCTTTCTTCAAGCCTCACAAGACACACGTCACCTTATTAGGTCTTGGCATTAGTCTGCTTGTGACACTCTTCGTCACCGATGTAGGTTCATCCATAACTACTGATCATATGGTGATGGAGTACTAAGTTACCACAGGTTATCAAGAACGCAGTAGGAAGACCGAGACCTGATCTCATCGCCCGATGCCAACCAGAACCTGGGACTCCGGAGCATGAACTGATCACATATCTCCGCTGCACGAATCCCCACCACCACGTCCTTCACGACGGCTGGCGCTCCTTCCCCTCTGGCCATAGTTCTTTTGCTTTCTCTGGCCTTGGCTATCTCTCCTTCTTCCTCATGAGCCAGTTTCGAATTCTCCACCCTCGAGCAGGTCTTTATCGTACTCTTGTGGCATTCTCGCCTTTCCTCGGCGCAGCACTTATAGCAATCAGTAGATTGGAAGATTATAGACATGACGTTTTCGACGTTGTTGTTGGAAGTTGCTTAGGCTTGAGCATCTCGTTTGGAGTATGGAGAAGATGGTTCCCGGCATTGTCGAGCAAGGAGTGTTCAGAGCCTCACGATGCTATAGAAGGTGAAGAAGAGCAGTCTATGTTCGAAAGAATCAGAGACGAGGAAGAGATGACAGGTGGAGGATTCGAGATGCAGAGCAGAGAAGGTGGTTATTTGGGTACTGCTGTTCGATAGAGCGCATTTGAGAAATGACATCCATGTTGAAGAACCAATCCTTGGGTGGACCTCGCCAGCAACGAAAGCCGTCCCGGATCTCATCCATTTGGTGCTTGTTTTCACTGAGCTATCACCAATCGGCTTGGCAAGCGAGGAAAGCGTAATCTAGGAAATCCTGGTTTGTCGTTTTTGAGTCGTTGCCTGTTGTGGTCGCGCCCTCACTCGCAATTACGAGCCCCGGCAGGGCCAGGGCCCCTTGGAATCGAGTGTAGGTAACACAGCCAACAACCTTGCATACTTCAGCTGATCTCTTCACCAGTTTCGAGAGTGTGCCCGCTTGGAGAATCAAATCCTACCTCGAACGGCTGCACACAGCTATATGCCTTGAGACAATGCTTCAGAGACAGCCACTGAAATCATTCTCCCAAGATGTGGGTACAGAAATCTAGCTTGACACCGAATTAACACACAAGCTGCATGAGAAAACATTCTCATCCACCATAGCTATGAAGCATGTAATCTTGTTTCAAAATTCATGGCATTTCAAGAACCGTCTGATCCAGAAACGGGCTCAGCTAAATTGTCTATCTAACTTAGCAAGCGCCTCCTTCTTCTCCTTATCCATCAAAATCTTCTCCCCCAACGGTAAATCCCTCAACGCCGTCTGCATAAGCTGCGCCGCCTGATCCGCCGTCATTTTCGGATGCGGTCTCGGTTTCTGCGGCCCTGTACTCAACTGCCCTACATCCTTTCTCCTCAACCCCACTTGCCCTTTTCCATCCATAAAAGTTTCATAGCCATTGGTGTCTAGAACTTCTTGGGGAACGGGTGGGACTTGAAAGGGGATTAGTTGGTCGGGGTGGGTTAGTTTTCCATGTGGGATTTCGGCGTAGGTGGGCATGCGTGTTTCTCCTGCTGCTGCCATGCCGGCCATGTCTTTTATGACTAGTTGGTTGGGAGAGTTATTTTCGACCGCGAAGCGGAGGCACATGATGGCGTGTTCGCGAATGTAGGGGTTATGCTCATCATGACGGCAACAACCAACCAGTGCTTCCAAACCACCGTATTCGCGAACTTGATCCTGCACTTTGCGGTTCTTCCAGATTAAAGAGGAGAGGACGAGGACGGTGAGTTTTTTGAGGTTGCGCCATTCAAAATCCGAGGGCTCGTCTTGGGGGTCTTCGGGGTAGGCTAGGGGAGTCTCGGCTTCGAAGATTGTAGTGGCGGGGGGTTGGGTGTTGGGGTCGCCGGGCGGAATGGGAAGAGGAGGGAGTATGCTGGCGCCTTCGGGGCCTAGGGGTGACAGGTCGAAGGGTCGTTCTACACTGATAGGCAGGGGTTTGAGCATCTGCTGATGCTGCGGATGCATTGGCGGAACCGGGTAATGATGTCCGTTGTTCTGAGGTTGACCATTGCTCTGAGGTAAATGCGGCTGAATCGGCTGGTTCTGCTGATGTTGCTGATTTTGCTGGTATTGTTGGTTCTGCTGATGAGCAGCCGGGCGTCTCGGAATAGGTCCATGCGATGTGCCTCCGGGTCCAAGTTTGGGTATCGCGGCTTCCAGCTCTTTGAGCAGTGTGACAAGCTCACTCGCTACTTCCCACTGTGCCATCACATCCTTCCATATACTTTCCTCGGTGAGCACTGCAAAGAATTCAAGATACTGATATACACCTTCGTACATGCGCTCCATATCCCACAGATTGAGAGGGAAGTCTTCGGGCGATGCTAGGTTCTGATGTATCTTGCCCTGTAAGAAAATGAGAGCACAGGTCTGCGGAATGATATGCTGGCGGAACTCTGTAAAGATGAAGTTGACAATGTGAACATCAACTCTCAACGGATAGGACTCAATAGGTTGCGGGTTCGTCTTGGATGCCTCTGCTCTCGATCTGAAGATGTTCGTGAGAAGCTTCATGATGACGGCTTGAGCTGGAGATATTATATCCTTCGATCTCGACTTGTCTCGGAAGGCGTGATATGCGTAGGGCATCAAGCCATTTACCAAGATAGCTTCCATGATCTTAACCATGAATTTGAAATAAAGCTCTTCCTCGCGCAAGTCCCATGCAGCAACGAATATTAGGAGCTCTCTCAAAAGGTTCTTTCCATTGTCCTGGGCTAGTAGCAAATGGCACCTAACCGTATGCATGTTGACAATCGCATTCGTTTCTTCAGTCGATGTGCCAGATTGTGCTGATTTTCCAGGTGGGACAATTCCAGACATGACGATCATGGGTAGCACCTCGATCTCGGATGGACCCAAGATCAATGGGACATCAGTCAAGAGGCCGCGTCCGTCTTCGCTAGAACCAGGATATTCATCTTCGTCTTCGCTTTCCTCTTCCTCACTTTCTTCATCTAGACCTTCATCGCCCTCATCCGTCCGGTTGTCGTATACTGGTGAGGCCGGAGAAGCAATGGGCGAAGCGGGACTCGCGATCTGAGCTTGCTGTGGCGGGACAGGGTGACTCTCCAGTCGTTTCATGAGTTCTGACTTTCCACTTTCAAGGATTTTTGCTCCTGCAGAAGCAGTAAACATCATCTTATAGTCATCCTCAGCCACGGGTCTAGGTCCTGTGGAAGACTTCTCGTCGGGGAAGGCAATGGCTCCATCTGAGTTGTAGACCGGAGGTTCAAGAGGTGTAACTTTGGTGGTTTCGAGTCTCATACTGTCGCCAAGTTGCCCTTCGAGATGGGCAATGCGTGCAGCGACCTGATTTGCATGAGCTCTGTCGACCTTTTCTTTCTCGGCCTGGGTCAAACGTCGAGCATCATGATAAGCGACCAGTTCCTTTTCGTATTGCTGCGCGAGGATATCGTATTGCTTGTTGAAGCCAGTCTTTTCCTTGTCCGATAGAACGCTCCACCTTGCAGCAAGAGCTTTCGCGACATCATCCGGGGTCGCGGTAGGGCCAAGCGCTTCCCTAGTTTCTGCTTGATGCTGCCTGACAAACAAGACGTAACCAGAAACAGGCCTTGAAGGAGGCTTCATCTGGTCCTTCGTTGCTAGCAATCGCTTCGCATTCAGAGCATCCTGGGCAGCATCATAAGTAGCCTTGCTTGTTTCGCCGAGCGCAACCAGAATATCGCCAGTGGAAACAGGTGGTTTGGGCATGTCGCCTAGAGCAGGTTGGCAATTCGTGTCGTCACCATCTTCGGCCAGTATTCCTTCGGTTGAGTTGTCGAACAGCGCGACCCACAGCATCAGCTTCCTTCTTTCATTCCTGGCGACCAGATTGTTCAGAAATTGGAGAGAGGTTATGAGTAACTTCTTGTAAGCATTCACAATCCACTGCCACTTTTCCTCGTCGCCTGTACCAGCATCACCATCGAAACCTCTTGCCGTGACTCGCACGCAGCAGTTGATCAACCTGAAAATCTCCTGGTCGAAAGTGCACTCTGCAGCCAAGTCCTGGGCCTTCTCTCCAATTGTCAAGGTGTTGCGCAATATTGATACCAGGTCATTAAGTCTTTCCAAATCTTTCCACAGTCCAGGGTAGTTTTGGGCGATTAGAGCTCCTGATGTGGATTCGTAGTCGACGGCGGACGGGTCCCAGACGGCGAAAGAGCGGCGTTCGAGCGAAGGGATGGCGGCGCGGAACAACGTGACCATGTCTTTCCAAACATTGTCGTCAATTCCTAGTCCTTCTCTGCATTGAGTAAGATGCGTCAGTGGATGGCGGCGCAAGTGCTATGGAGCCAGAGTATGACTAACCTGACTTCCGGTTGTTGCGCTGAAGCCTTGAGTATATCTTTACAAACGGTCCTGTCTAGTCTTTCCAGCATCGACTCCTTCATATACGTCGGGCTCTTGAAGTGCATCGTGTATGCCGGCAGTCCGAGGCGAAGCAATGTGCTGTACGCATGTCCGGTCACACTATCCTCGTAGGACGTCATCTTGTCGGCGCGCAAGCCCTCCAGACAGATATTGATATTGTCGTAGTTCTATTCTCTTATTCCAGCAATAGGTAGCTTGCGTGAGTCAATCGCAAGAGCGGTAGAAATGCGAAACACCTTGAAGGTTTCAAAGCCAACTTTGGCCTTGGCTGACAGGCACAGATGGTGTTTCCCGAGGTTTCTCCTCCAGCTTGTCTTGCGACTTTCGGAGGAAGCCTTCGATCTTTATGTTTCAATTACACACACAAAACATGCTCACTAGCATCTTTGCGCTTTGAAGTTTTACTTTGAGAACCATCTCAACACAATGCATTGATGTCGTAAATTCGTTATTGGACTACAGCCATTTCTAGATGGCACCACTCATGCACGTTCTTGAGCCCTCCTAGCATCACTCCACTCCTTCTCCGTCTTGTTCGGTTCTGCAAAAAGACTGACAACAGACTTGTTGTGCAAACTTGGCTGGAACAAGGCATCTCTAGGCGATGCGATTGGTGTGCAATTATCCGATGCGCCGTCATCAAATGCTGAAGCCTCCACTTTGGCTGCCTCCATGTCCTGCTCGCGTGCTTCCTTCTGGTTGTTCTTGTGTCTAAGCCAGCGTAATGCGAGGATCAGGAGGATGATAGATGAGACCAGTCCGACGATGACGCCGATAGGGATTGCGTTGTTGTATGCCATGGCGCAGTTGAAAGCTTGGAGAGTAAAGATGACTTTTGGCCGCTGTTGATCGACTCGATGTGAATTCTCGAATTCGTCGAGGTAGTACATAAAAGGTTCGTAGGTATCTGCAACATGTTAGAAGGCTGAATTGGATTCGAGGTTGTATTGAGCAAGTACTTGATTGATGCTGGGCATTACAGAGCAATTGACATGCGGAGTAGTGGACTTCTGGAGTTATGATAGCGATGGAGAACTGTGGGTAGTACACCTCTTATGTAGAGCAATTTCATAGTCGATCATGGTCAAGTAGGCGGCGCAGTGAGTCGCAGGAAGCCTGAAACCCTGCAGTCAGGCCCGCAATTTGCCCTCACTCGAAACCCTTGCAAGTCTCGTCGAATGGTGTTGGGAGACTGTTGGATGGACGGGACGATCAAAATATACATCTCCCCACTGTTTGTTGACGAGCTGACGAGTCAAATGTACATCACCGCTGATGCTCTGATTTTTTCGAGAAAAGTCGAGCGAGCACATCAAAGTCTTTGGATGATTGCCGTCGAGATGCAGAGAGCTCAGTGCTGCTGCGTGGTATAGTGTTCACACAAAAACCTTCAGCGATTACCCAGCTCGATACCGACAACATCGTCTGTGGATCTACCATGCATGTCTTGGCAAGCTCAGGATCTGCTGGAATCTCGTGTTGGCCGTGATGAAAACTCATCGTCACCAAATACTGTTCCCGATACTTGCAGTAGGAATCACGGGCCGCGAGCGTAAGGTCTATCGAAATTAACTTTACTGCTTCATGAGTAAGTGCTGTATGCAAGCTTTCCAAGATCAGGTCTAAGCAAAAAAAAAGCCCTATACATTTTCATAATTTTGACTTTTGGTATGTCCGAAGTGCCAGATCAAGTGGAGGGGCTCGAGAAGCAAGGTGTGATATAGAAAGCGAGAGCTAAAGAGCATCTTTGAGCAAAATTGAACGTAATCAAAAAGCAGAGTAAGTTCAAGCAAATGCTCGATGTAAAGCCCTCGGATCGGAATGCCGAGGGTGATGAAGCAGTATCAAAAGTGCGAACGCCTGTAGCAAGAAAGAGCAAAGAAAAAAAAGCAAAGCCAGATAAATGTTTCAGATGGAATGTCGTTGAGTCGTTAAGTCATGGTCGTATCATGTTGATGAGTTCGCAAACCATGCCAGTGGTTAAAAATATCGCCGTAATCGCGGCGGCGAAAGCAAGATGAGATGAGCAAGTCGTTCAATGAACGCGAAGTTCTTCGCTCTGACGAAGAAGTGATGCGTTGTCGTAGGATGCTTATGACAGAAGGGTCGGGCTCTTGTTTTCTTGGTCGATGATTTCTGAGGCAGCATACTTCTGTTGTTTGTACCAAAGCGTGCAAGCGGAGAAAGCGGTGACTGTGAAGGCCACGATGCCGAGAACACTGGCTACAGGTGCGGTAGCGACTAGTGGGATGGAGAGCAAGAGGTAGGTCAATGCTGTAAGATGTCAGTACTCTATTGCTTGTTGGCCTTGAAGGGGACGTACCAATGGCCGTGCCGAATGACGCAACGACTGAACTTCTTGCACGAAATGGACCCCAGGTGTCGAGAGCAGCAAAGCTGAGGCACCAGAAGATGGATAGCACCACGACTGAGAGACAGCCAAAAGGGAAACCGCCAATCGAAGCTTCGAAGACCTGCTGGATGACCTTGGTAGGGAGATTATGAATGTCGTTGTGAAACTCGGAGACTGTCCTTGCGGCATCTGTCACGTTTTCGGTGACGGTAAAGATGGCGTCGAGCAAGATCTCAGTCTGGTGGTGAAGTGCTCGCGCAGTCTCGGCGTTACGAGCCAGCATACGTGCAAGTTGCTGCAAGATCCGTCAGCGGTAAAGAACAGTGCAACCGCTTTCAAGACTTACTTGATTCTGTTCATCCAGAGCCAACGAGTTGGCTAGCGAGCTGTCCTGTGAGCGGTCGATCTGGATAGCAATGTTCAGCACCTGGCTGAAATGCTGTGTCATTTCTGCCTGTGCATGTTGAGCTCGAAGACGATGGTCCTCAAGATCGGAAGCGATATGAGAAGATGCCTGTCGCACGTCAGTGACCCGTGAAACCGGGCGGGGTTTGGCTTTCTTACCTCACGGACACGCTTCACATCCCTGCCAAGATCTTGAATGTTGTTTCCAAGATCGTTGACGTCGGCTTGGAATCGAGCCCACTGATCAACAATGCGTTTCTGGATCTCAAGGTCAGTGTTCAAGGCGAGATGGAATGCTTGCATGCCATTGCCCATCTCGGTCCACTGTCTGGTGAAAGCCAGTTTCTCTTCGGTTGTGTTGGCCATGACAACAGTTGCTTCCATCATTGCCTCCATCATGAGCTTCATCGATTCCAGCATACTGTCTAACATATGTTAGCACACATGAGTCCGGAATGTTGAATCTAGGCGTGCTCACCTTTGTCCAACTCGGCTCTCATGGAGTGGCAAAGCAGCACTGCATTCTGACGCGCATTAGAGTAGCTGGTCCACCAGACTGGGTTAGAAGAAAGTGACAATGAGCATTGGTCAAGGTCATTACCGTCGTCGAGGTTGCGCGGGACGGAAGGCTTGGTGAATCGACCGTTGATGATGAACCCACGGAAGCCATTGACTTTGGAGGCCTGCTCGACAGGTCTGAAGGGCGAGCAAGAAGCAGGAATGTTGGCCTTGGCGTCCAACAACTCACAGATAGCCAAACGTGTAGCGTATATAGATTTTGAGCGTTCCAGCATGACATCAATGCCTTGATCAGTAGCGAGACTAGTATCATGGTCGATCTCAGAACAAGTGTTGAGTAGAGATTGAGAAGCCAGCTTCTGACAAGAAGGAAGTTTCTCAACTTTGTTCATGGTGTTGATGATTGAGTGCATGCCTTCTGTGATGCGAACCTTGGTGGAGGAAAGCTCAGTGCCTGCAAGATCGGTGAGACTTGAGGAGAGATCGTGGATCTTGAGGGCTGGTTGAAAGCCCATGCAAGACTGAATCAAGATGAAGAAGAACAGCAGCATGGCCAGCATGGTTGCGTTCATGATCAAGATGGGTGATGAATTGGCTTCAGATCGTGGGTGGCATGGGAGTGTGGAGTGGGGGATGAGAGAGGGAGAGAGTTGAAAGAGGGAAAGTAGGAATCAGGTCGTTGCCGGTGAGTTACTTGGGTCAACTATCAATCAATCAATAGATCGTCTATTAGATGACCGATGTGCAATTGTGGTGTTGACAATGGGATCGATGGAGCGTGCTGGTTTGGGCGGATTCGGCGAAGGGGGTGGAGGGATGTGACGCCAAGACTTCACTCGCGGAGCTCGAAAGTCGATTCGCCGTTCAATTGTTTGTCCAGCGAATTATTGAACTTGTCGCGATACACATCTTGACCATTCCACACAACATGTTCACTCCAGCAAGGCGGCGCTGCATCAGCGCAATAAAGAACTTCCGCTCCACCGAAACCTCGATTCCAGCTTTCCTCTTGCCAGCTTTCCAACAGCAATCGTCGGCCTTTTCCACCTCATCGCCATGCCAGTCCAAGATCGGTAGCGCACCGCTATCATTGCCTCCGGATGTCAACTTCCAAATCGTCCAAGCCCCTGTGCAGAAGAAGGGATCAAGAGTCAGTCGTACGCAAGAAGGTGCTACAGTACACATCGAAGGCCCACTTGGAAAGCTATCTATGCCAATTCCTGCATACATGAACATCATCTCCGATGAAGCAAAGCGCACATTTAGCTTGAGCGTTCTGGATCAAGAGGAGAGAAAGCAAAGGGAGATGTGGGGTGAGTGAAAGATGACATCAAAGAGCTGAGATTGCTTGTCTAATTATTTACAAAGGAACCTGCCGCGCATACCTGCAAAATCATATCCTGGGTGTCAGTGAAGGTCACTCCGCCATTCTCCGTCTTGTTGGCGTTGGTTACCGTGCAACCGTCGAGAAGACTGCCGTCACAAAACAGCCCGAATATCCTGGCCAGGAGTTCGTTTCCCTCAAGGTCGGCTACTCACATCCGATCGAACTTGGTGTACCCAAGGGAGTGAAGGCGAGCACTCCTCAACCCACACGTATCCTGCTGGAGGGTGTCGAAAAAGAGGTCGTGAAGCAGTTCGCTGCAGAGATTCGTGCATGGAGAGTCCCTGAGCCCTACAAAGGCAAGGGTATCTTTGTCAACGATGAAACCATCAAGCTGAAGGCCAAGAAGATCAAATAGACGACTCGCCCTTTCTGCTCTGTATTTACTGTACGATATCTATTTCGAGAGCTGGATCTCATGTTCAAAAGCCTTTTTTTTTTGGTCTACCCATCAAGAACTCCGTAGCGTGAAGCAGCAAAGGTGGAGGTGAATCCAGTGCGATCCTCGATCTCTCACGCCATCTGATACACGACTGTCTGGAGGGCCTTTAGTCGTTTCGCGGTCCTCAGTATCGGAGAACAAGCAGCGAAACTCTCTGCAAGCGAAAATGTCCCGAAACGTGCCTTCCGTTCAGCAAGTAGACAGTGCCAAGCAGAACAACTGCGCATTTCACCATTCCATCATTTTCTATTTCCTCTGCCTCTCGGAAAACAGATCCATTGCCGACACATCCGAACGTTATATTCAATGTTCCATAATCAAGGGTTCGGTAGACCTTACATCATAATCTATAGGTGTCAAAGAGTTTTATCCTTCGCTCTCGTATCGCAATTTTGGCTCCAACTGGTTTCACCAGTGCACCAATAGAGACCTGCGACGCAAGCCACTGTGGTTAAAAAAAGCAGCATCCAAGAAGGATCCCCAGACGGCACCTCGTACCTTGCAGACCATTTCCAATACGCGCCCCTACATAGGAATGCCGTCCCCTCTCCCACAACCGGTAGGTTATTAGCTTGACCAGCTGAAGCGATTGCCTGTGACGATATCTTTCCTCTTGCTCTAGACGAGCCACGTTCCTTTTTATCCTAATCGTTCCATTCTTTGTCGCATACCAGCCCAGCTGCCTTTTCGCCGCGATATCCCATACGGTACCACTTCATCACACTCAATAATGATTTCAGACTTGTTCTTGAGTCGGTCGCGGACTCAACTCTATGGCTATGACAAAGTTCGCGTGCCTTTTCATGCGATTCGTGCGGCTCAGTTGGTATCCAGCATCATTGTAGGCTCGATCATGACATTCTTCATTTATCATCTACAACACGACCACTGGCCAACACCATGGACTTTTAAAGTGGTCAGTCAACCATGGATACCAGCAAACGCACTAGCATACTAACACATCTTGACAGCTCATGAGTGTATCCTGGATCACGATAGCTATCCTTGCTGCTACCATCGCTCTACACTTGCTCAGCGGTCTCAATCCTCGTCTTAACCTTATCCTCAATTCTACGATATTCATCATTTGGACTACTGGCTTCGGCATGCTTTCTTGGTGGATGTGGGGAACTTTGACGCATTACTGCGATGTTGGTCACTGGAACGACGGCACTGGCATCATGGTGTGCAAGATCTACAAAGCTCTGTTCACCTTTGCGTTACTAGGACTGTAAGACATAACTTGCGAGACCTTCGATGAAAGAAGTGCTAACTAGTTATAGGATCTCGACTCTCCTGGCAGTCGCACTGGATATCCACATCAGCCGTATGAACACCCTGCGCGGTCAGCACTTCCGCTTGAACCTTCGTGGCGACAGAAAGGCCAGCGGCATTCCCATGAACGGTCCTTACACCGATGTCAACTCCCAATCGAATTCGCAAGATAACCTCCACAACTCCCACGAGAGCCTGCCGCACGTTGCAACTGGCGATGCCTTCGAGATCCCTACCATTGGATCGCAGAAAACAAGGGCTGGCTACACGATCCCAGAATCGCAATTCGATTATGAGACTGGTTACCACGGAGCCCATGCTGAGAGAGTATTTGGCGCAAAGTAAGGACCTGAGACCGTCTGGTCAGGACAAGAAAGAGAAGAGGACAATAACGTATATTATGACTGGTGACTGCGATCCACGGAGGCTGGAACCTTCGCGAGTCCGGTGCGCCGAAAACAAAAGAGCCCGCTATAGTACGAGCAGTGATGAATACACACTTTTTACACAAAGCGCAGACCTCTAGAGCCTCGAACTAGCCCATCTGACAGATTTCTGGCAGGAGTCACGGTCGATATCTGACAGGAACTAACATCAAAACGTCAGTATATCCACATCAGGACTCTCACTTAAGCTCGGCTTCCACCAACATCAATCATGTATACACCTCCGTCTCGGTCCTCTTCACAACCCATTACCGCTTTACCAACAAGCGGGGTGGTCCAGCGGCACCGCGATCCAACTCTTGTTTGGCAACTCCCGACCACGCCAAGGTCATCGGTTCGATCCTCGCCATCTGCCTTTGATCTGAAGAGCCTTTGATGCTCCCATCCCTCCGACAACTAAAACGAAACCAGTGAGCTGGTGGCTTTCTCCCCGCTACGGCGGGCGATTTGTTTTGCTAATGCCGGTTGTGCTTTGGGTGCTCCTTTGTTTTCCGGCTCTACTCAGTGGGAAAGGATTCCAGAATTGACGTCGTAGTATGATATGCTCATAGGAAGGCTCGGAAAGAATCATGAAATAGTATGGTATGGTAACCTCTCGTGCTATCGAAAGGCTCAGGAAAGAGATATGGATGCGTCTTGCAACCTTCGCGATGTGGTCGAGCTACCGGAAAGGATCCAGAATCGACAATACAACATGAGACGTCTCCGACAAAACTCAGGAAAATTATCAAAGAGCACGGCGTGGCAAGCTCCCATGCCATTGCCAAAGTCCAGAAAAGAGTCACGAATGCGCATTGCAACGTTTAGTGATCTGCGGAAGCCTCACGGAAGACATCGACGAGTATGATATGGCAACTTCCACTGATCCCCGGAAGTCTGAGAAAGAGTTGCGGGTGCGCCTTGCAACCTCTCGTGCTATCGTCGAAGTCCAGAAAGAGTTGAGAACGCGCCTTGCAACTTCAGTGGTTGCCGGGAGCCTACGAAAGAGTTGCGAATGCGCCTTGTAATTTCCGGTGGTTCTTGGAAGCCTGAGAAAAGGTTGCGAATGCGTCTTGCATGATTTAGCGGCCTCCATTTAGTCTGAGAAACATCGTGAATCCAAGAAATGAGATAAGTGAGACGTCCCCGGCGCGGTTGGAAAAAGTCGTGAATCTGCACTGCAACGTCTCGTGCTGTTATGAGAGCTCGGAGAAACGTCGTGGACCGAGTGAGCTTGCGGGTGGGATTGTAATTCGCATCAGTGGGCGAAGTGAGTAGCATTATCCAAGCATTCCATTCCGCTTTCACATGAACCTCAAGCGTTACATCCCTCTTCCACCTTTCCTCTTCCACCTTCATCCACCAATCACGATATACCAGCGATAGATACACGATCTCAGCAACACCACGATCTCAGCAACGCCACAGTGAGTGGCACAACTGTGCCTGTCGTTTCAGCTGGAGCAGCCAAGCGAGCTGAACAGATGGCCACTCAGCAAGGCCCATTGCGTTAACGACACCAAGACGACTTCACTTGCTCCCGACACTGATGAAGCCGCGGTCAAGCCCGAGCCGAACGACGAGGGAAATCAAGACACCACCATTGCACAGCCCGTCGAGCCCAACAATGCCATATCGGCAGATGAATCCACTCGTAGAGGATACGACAAGACGATCGGAGGCTACCGATGCCCGGACCACCCATTTGAATGGTACTGGCGTGTGACCCAGAGAACTTTGAGGGAGAAGTTGAGTATGAGAAAGGCCTGGTTGGCACTAAGATAGTTGATATCAAAACCGACTCGGTAGACAGGCACTCGGGGTCGCGCTAGGCACATTTGCCAACACCGGGGTGAACAATAACATACCTACGACCTAAAGCGTTAATCGAGCCAATCTTCTTACGGCGGAAATTTGCTCATAGGGTTAACGTACAGGAGACCAGGTCCATGAACCGTGAGAGATGTCTCTTTACAATTTACTTCTTCCTTCTATATCTATCCTATTAGCACATCGTTCTACCCTTTTCCACATTCTTTTTCCTCTCATTACTTCCTACTCAACTTATTATGCAAAGTATGCTCCCTCATAAACAATGCCACTATCCCTCCAATCCCAGCCAACACAACAACAACAACCCACACAGCCCTCAAACTCTCAATATAAGTATCCCTAACCCCCTCTTCCCATCCTTTGGGCAAGAAGGAAATATCACCCACATCATCTCGAATTTTCTTGATGATGTGGTCTGCATTTTCCAAATGGCCAAAGCGGGAGTAAAGACCAGAGGAAAGCTTGTTTTGGAATACTGCAGAGGCGATTGTGATGCCGATTGTGGAGCCTGTGGAGCGGAAAGCGTAGGAGGCGGATGTTATGACGGCTTGATGTTCGTGGCCTACGGCGCTGAGCAGAGCGAGCAGGGTCACGGTTAGCATGGCGCCGTAGGCTGTGCCGGAGAAGAAGAGCCAGAGGAAGGGGAGGACACCGATGACGTTTTCGTTGAAGGTTGTTGCGATGAGGGTGGCGGAGATGATGTAGAGGGTTAGTGCGCAGGTGGAGAGCCACCAGTAACGTCCTGTGGCTCGCATAATCACACCAGCGCCTAGGGAGCCACATGCTGTACCGATGGATTGGGGGACTAGACGTGTTCCAGCTGCTGTGGCGGAGAGACCCTGTACGATCTGGAAGTAGATGGGTACGTAATAGAAAAGTGAGTAGACGGCCATGGTAAGGAACCAGTTTGTCAGACATGCTGAAGCCACGGTGCGGTGGAGGAGTAAGCGGACGGGGATGACAGGCTCTTTTGCAACTCTGTCTTCAATGTAGACGAAAGCGGCTAATGCAACAGCAGAGAGAGGCAAGCTGACGTAGACCAAAGGGTGGTTCCATGGCACGATGTTGCCACCACTGTTCAGACCGAGGAGCAGTAAGACCAGCGCAGTACACAAGGTTATGGCACCAAGGAAATCGACCCGCTTAATGCGTTCCGTCGAATTACCCTCCTTGACAGGGATGTCGATAAAGAACCAGCCGAGCAGACCAGCAATGATAATGAACGGTACCTGGACATAGAAAGCCCATCGCCAGGAAAGGTGATCATTCATGAGTCCACCAAAGATACCTCCCAATCCCATTCCAGTGCCATAGATCAGGTTAGCAAAGCCTTGCCAGAGTCCACGTTTTCTCAGGGGAATCAAGTCACTAGCAATGAACGTCGAGATAGTGTTCAAGCACCTACTCCTGTCAGCATAACTCCTTTGCTATTGATCCATAGGCTTCAAAACATACCCACCACCAGTACCAGCGACCACACGACCAAAGATCATCATGGGAGCATTCTGAGCCAACCCACAAATCAGCGTACCGATAGCAAAGAAGCTACTTGCAAATACAATGCCCGCCTTCCTCCCATAAATATCAGACATTTTTCCCGAAAGCGGTTGAAATGCAGCATTGGCGATGAGGTATCCAGTTGCGATCCAAGAGAGTAGTGTGGAAGAGTGGAAGTTCCTGCTAATGGGAGAAGCGAGTGTGGCTACGACAGTCGAGTCTGTTATCCAAGTGTCAGTATACTGCGGTGCTTGTGGATAGGGGATCTAAGGGAACTGTACCCATGGCAGCCCAAAAGGAACCAACCCACAGACAAATCATGATCAACATGACCTTTGCAGAAGTAGGTTCCTCGACCACATCCTCCTCTCCATCCTCCTCTTGTCCAGCAGGATCTCTCTGAATAGTCCCATGGTCCCGTCCAGTGCCATCTCTACCGAGCAGAGGTTCTTGTTCATCATGGAGCGGTGACGGTGGAAGCACCGTGATATCGTCTCGTTCAGCCACCATTGCGACGTCCTCGTAAGGTAGAAAGAGTGTTGACTGCGAGGGATAGAAAGATTGGAACTCAAAACTCCCACGTTTGGCCGTGACGCACACGCGATCGCCGACCGGCAGGCCGTCATGCCCGTTATCGGGGATAGCGATTGCCCTATCACCGGCTCTTTATCATGCTCGTTACATCGACTCCATTATACAAGTTCAAGGATATAACGCAATCAAAATGGCTGAATGTCCTCGATTCTGTGTCACGAAATAACATACAGGTGCATTGTGTTACTCTCAGATTAAACCGATGGTGTGACGTTGTCGTTGGTCAAGACCGCTCTGGGAACCGCCACCCTTTGTGACATTAGCAACCTACTCGAAGTTGTGGATATCGTAAGCCACGACGAAAGCCAAGTTGAGACCTACTTGAATGTACATAGAACTTCTAGAGAGTATAGAGAACCTAAGCTAGAATTACCTTAAGCATACTCTACACTTCTAATTTACCTGGTGGCTGGTATGATCAAGTCAGGGTGTCCCGCTTTACCAAGATTACAAGGAAGAAAGAAGGAAAAAAGGAAAACAAATAACAAACAGTCATATAAGCTAGCCATGTAATCTCATGTCATTAAATGCATGCTTTCATTATACTCATTAAGTCTCTCTACTTATCTATGAAGCAGCAGGAGGCGCTCTCTTCTTGAAGCCCAAGACAGTCTTCAATCGTCTCAACTTCGACAGCCTCTCCTTGTCGTGCTTCTCCGTCTCTGCCCTTGTGAGATCTGGCATGGAAGCCAATTGCTCTAGAGTCAGATCTTCTGTACCAGCATCCGTGGCGCCAGCATCGCTCTCAACTTCACTGCCAGCCGTGACGGGCCTTTGAATGGTACCTCTAGACCTGCGTCTTTGCTCGTCGATGTATCGGTCCAAGACATCGAGAAGGATGGTGTGTGCAGACTTGCCAGCATATTTTCCGGTCGCTGCTTGGGTGGTTGGGTTGCGCCACGGGCAGTGCTCTCGATGTAGTTGAAGGAGATTGAGAGAGCGGTCTTCTTGCTCTTCATCATCGTCGTCGCCAAATGTGTGAGGCTTGTAGTCGGGTTGGTACATCCATAGGCCGACTCTTTGGAAGCAGGCATCGCAGAATAGAAGCTGGGTGCTGGACTCGCCTGAAGCTTGCCATCCACAGACGGCAGCCTTCAACGCCTTCTGCTTTGTCTCATCCGAGACTTTTGTTTCTTCTGGCTCTTTCTCTGCATCTGTCTTGTCTTGGATGTTCTCGAGAAGGGATATTGGAAGGTTGGCGAGGATCTTGTTTGGGGAAGGGCTGAGCTCAGCGGGTTGCAGGGCCAGGTTGGCGAGTGACGACGAGATGTTTAGCAGCGACTGGTAGCGTGTGCGAAGTTCGGGTTGCCAGACAGTCGACTTGACAAGAGGTAAGCGGTAAATGTCGTCCTTGCATCCTGCCTTCCTCCATAGACAGTCGTCTGAGTGTCCCTCGATGATGAGCTCCTTGTATTTGTTGACCAATGCTTGTTCCAATTCTTCCTGATTAGCCTCCTCTTCGTCTTCGTCACTCTCTGCCTCCTCTCGTGCTTCTTCCTCAGTCTGAACGCGACATCTCTTGACAATTGGCTCAATCTTGACGGCGACGCGCTCTCGACAGCCTCCCTTACACGCCACAGTGTTCGTATCGACACACCACCAGCCTCTCTTGGCCCACTCAACCTCATTAATAGCATCAGGTTTCGGATGCCAGCTGGTGACAGGTCCAAAACTGCGCAATCTCTTGATAAAAGCGTCATGCGACCATGGCGCAAAGTTTGGTTCTCCTCGGACGGGATTGATTGACGTCGCAGGTGCTGTCTGCTTGCGCAAACTGGTCGCCAGTGATGTCGTAGAGCCGCTGGATCTTATGCGCTTGGTGGCTGGTTCGCTGATTGTGCCTTGCGACACGGGTCTAGGAGGAGTGGCTACTGGCGCCGAGGGTGATCCGAAGCGGCTATCGAGGAGTCTGTGAAACTTGCGTTTCGTCGTTGCGAGTGCTTCGGGCATGGTGTGATGGTATTTCGAAGGGTTTGTGAAAGCGATCGAGTCTGTTGTCGCTGGTTTGTGTCTTTGTTGACAAAGGCGCAACAATCACATGCAGCTCGGCTTCGGCTCATGCTGTCAGCAACAAGCCCCGGTGCTCCTGCCTTCTTCTACCACAAATCACTTCACTGATGTCATACCCAGAATGTTTTTCTACTTGATCACCATACTACTGGAAGATTGAACTTGAGGTTTGTAATCCTGTGGGAATTGAGACGTTGCCGCTGGTTACGATTACCGCCGAAAGAAAACATGCAACTAAAGCTCCTTTTCTGGCTCCTGATTATGATACCCTCCGACGCTAGTCAGATATCCTGTTTTCCACTTCTGATCCAGAGCCGCGTTGAACATGGCCTCTCTGCGCGCGTTTCTTTCACTGCTGGTACTACTGGGAGTACTGCTGTGCCCTGACCTCGATGTCCTCACCCGTTTGTGTGGAGTCTCATAAATTATCGTTGACGAGCTGCGACCCATGCTCGCTTTGCTCGTTCCTGACTCTCTGCTTTGCTTTTCCTGTGCCGTTTCAAATGTCACTTCTGGAGGGCTTTGTGGTCTGTTCACCGGCTTGTCCCTCTCAGGCGATGGCGTGTCTCGTTGTGATTCTGCTTCGTTGGCATCTGGATCTTTGATACCCAGCTCGGCGTGAAGTTTCTTGTCTGCCTGGAAGACGTTGGCTGAGCAAAGGTCTCCGAACAACATCTCCATCGATATATCATATGTATAGGACGACCGGTCGATTGTGCAAGGGTGAATATCCCTTGGTTTGAATGCTTGTACGAGTTCGCGTAGCTCCAGGTAGGAAGAATGACGAGAGAATGGAAAGGTCTGAGTTTGTTAGCTTGCGCGAAGACAAGTCGCGTGTGTTACTCACGATCTGCCTTTGTCGCTTCAGCCGATCCTCTTCTTCCTGCTTAGCTTTGCCGGTGACCAGCCTTGTGAGAGCTGGAACCAACTTGTCTATGGGCAAGTTATCCATGTCGAACTCATCTACGGGTCGACCATCTTGACTAGTAACGTCGACCTCGTCACGGAGTATTTCGAGGTCAAGGTCGATTGACTCTTTACCTCTCTTCGTCAGACTCGCAAACCATTCTTGCATTGGCTCCCTGAGCTCAGGTTGGGCCTGGAGTGCTCTTTTGCAAATTAGAAATAGCTGCTGGACGCTGCCTTGGTCATATAGCTCGAGCGAATGTGTTTGATTGAGGTCACCGTGACCGCCACCAGCTCCTATCTCGGCAATGTTATGGCCTTTGTGTCGAGCTATTATTGGCGTGATCCATACGACACAAGCTGCACGGCTTTCATCAGCATGTGCATATTCGACCACCGAGATACGGAGACTTACGATCCTGGAACACTTCACAGCGAGTTCCTCTCTCACAACTGTGAATTCGAACACCTTCCAGAGAATTTGTTAGACATCCTGGATGTTCGTGGTTCCCAAGTTTGTAGCCCACTAAAGGTGCAGTTTGTGGTCCGTAGCATGTCGGCTGATCTCTCTGCGAGGAGTATAGGCGCCAACGATAGTCATCAAGATGAACCCGTGTCTTCAAAGCAGCTGCAAGAGCGATCCAAGCTTCTTCATACCCAAATGTCCATGTATTGAGATAAAATATGGTTTTCGGAGGATACTCGGCGGCTTTCTTGAGCAGTTCGTCCAAGCCCTCGGCCTTCGAAGGCATTTCGTACTCCAAAGCATCGCCGGAAGTGAAAGTTGTGTCCAGGTAAAGATTGTCAAGTCTCTGAGTACCTTTTGTGTATGGCAAGAGGACGGGGCTGCGCACGAGAGTGTTCACCCACCATGTTTCTGATCGAAGATCACCAGTGTAGAGAATAGCCCGTCCATTACCTTCTATCAAGAACATGCAAGATCCCAAGCAGTGATTGGCATCGAAGAGAGTGACTCTGATTGATATGCCAGGAGCCAGTTCAATCTCGGTAGGTGTTTCGAGAGGAATAGGTTTGATGTGATTTTTGAGACGACGATATGTCTGTTTTCTGGACTCCAAAATACCTTTTGCAAAGTTCATGCGGTGTGGGAACTTCTCCAAACGAAGAAGCAGCTCACGAGTTTGCGCAGTGCAATAGACGAAAGTAGATTTGAAAGACTCGAGGCCTTTCAAGTGATCGCTGTGGACATGGCTGAGGAAACACGCGAGTGGTGGCGGTTCGTCTGGATAATTGGTAAAATTGTCGATTCGGATATAGGGAAACTCCCTGACGATACCGTCAAAGGTGGACATTGAGGCCTGCACTTCATTGATCTAATGCCTGCATGTGGAGGATCATCGATTGTTCCAGATTAAGATTGGCACATGGAGACGCGTTGCGGCGAGTCGGCGACGCGGCATGGGAGAGTTTTCGTTCGCCAGCCCGTTGTAAATCGAGCCGCAAGAGTTTCCTTCACGTTTCGTAGCCAGCCAGAACAATCTATGAGAGACGGCTAGAGAAGCCACAAAGCAGGAGACCTCGACTTGAGTGGCTCTGCTCAGATGCAAGACGGAAACAAACAGGAATGCAGAGAGATGAGAGCAGTTCACCCCGCAATTGACCCGCTGTGCGTCACGATCAAGCTCAGCTTGGCACAAAGCTTAGCCGCTGGTCGAGCTCGTGGTGACGATTGAGCTTCTAGTGGAGCTCTGAGAGCTTGGTGGGTAGCCGATCTGTGCCGGTTTCTGTTTCCTGCTTTTGTTTATATCCCGCAGGTCCTCCCTTCCTCCACAGCTCTTGTTCCTTCTCACAGTTATTCTCGCTACCCCAACATCACATCAGCAATCATGGTTCACCTAGGGAAAGTCACCAACGACTCCGAAGTCAAGAAGGATGCTCCTGGAGATGGCATTGATCTGTCCAAGTTGGGACCCGAGGGAGCTCAGCCTGGTGACTTTGGTGTCTACGGCAGCCGCTTCGCAGAGGAGGATCTACCCCGACACGGTATGCCCGAGGACGGCATGCCTAGCCAAATCGCATACAGAATGATCAAGGACGACCTGACGCTGGATGGCAACCCTACTCTCAAGTGTGTCCAATCTCACCCATTCTATCACAACCACTAACATGTACACAGCCTTGCCTCGTTCTGCACTACGTACATGGAACCCGAGGCAGAGCAGCTAATGATGGAGGCCCTCTCCAAGAATTTCATCGACTACGAAGAATACCCTGTCACTGCAGATATCCAGAACCGCTGTGTCAACATGATCGCTCGTCTCTTCAACATTCCCACGCATGATGACGACTCCAATGCCATGGGAACGTCGACTGTTGGCTCGTCAGAAGCCATCATGCTCGCAACACTCGCTATGAAAAAGACTTGGGTCAATAAGCGCAAGGCAGAGGGCAAGGATTACTCAAAGCCCAACATCATCATGAACTCGGCTGTCCAGGTACGTATACCATCGTACAGCTAGCACGCTCCTAGAGCCAGTGTTTCGATACGGACGGCAATTGTTGCATTGCAACGTCCGTTCAGGGGATAGGAGGTATGGGTTGAGGATTCTTTCACAAGAAGCTATCATCAAACATATGCTCGCTCCTCGATTGCACTCTGCGACATGGCAAGGTGCAACTATCGTCTTCTGGCTGGTGTCGCTGTTGTTCCCCACACAAAGACCATAACACTGACTGTATGTACAAAGGTCTGCTGGGAGAAGGCTGCTCGCTACTTCGATGTCGAGGAGAAGTACGTCTATTGTGAGTCGTCTTATAACAGTATCCCGCTCCACGCTTCGACTAGCTGACGTTTTTTGGAATGAAGGTACCAAAGATCGTTTTGTGATAGATCCCAAGGAGGCCGTCGATCTCATCGATGAGAACACTATTGGCATCTGCTCTATCCTCGGAACGACATACACCGGCGAATACGAGGATACTAAGGCCATCAACGATCTTTTGGTCGAGCGTAATTTGGATATCCCTATTCATGGCAAGTCCACACGATTCTAAATTTGCGTTTTTATGCTTACTACTCGCAGTCGATGCTGCCTCTGGTGGCTTTGTTGCACCTTTCGTCAATCCTGACCTCATCTGGGATTTCCGCCTCGAAAAAGTTGTCTCGATCAACGCCTCAGGCCACAAGTACGGTCTTGTCTACCCTGGTGTTGGCTGGTGTATCTGGCGCGACCCCAAGTACCTTCCTACCGAGTTAATTTTTAACATCAACTACCTGGGTGCCGATCAGGCTTCTCTCACTCTCAACTTTTCCCGCGGAGCTTCCCAGGTTTTGGGCCAGTACTACCAATTGATCCGTCTCGGCAAGAAGGGCTACCGTTCAATCATGTTCAACCTGACCAGGACCGCAGACTACCTGGCTGCATCTGTCGAGAAGATGGGCTTCTTGCTCATGTCGCAGACTCGCGGTAACGGTTTGCCCCTGGTGGCCTTCCGCCTCAACCCCGACGATGGTCACTTGTTCGACGAGTTCGCCATCGCACATCAGCTCAGACAACGTGGCTGGGTCGTCCCTGCATACACCATGGCTCCCCATTCTGAGGGACTCAAGATGATGCGTGTCGTTGTCCGTGAGGATTTCTCGCGCAGCAGATGCGATGCTTTGATCGCCGACATCAAGCTTGCCATGGAGACCTTGGGCAAGATGGACGAGAAGAAGGTCGAGGAGCACAAGGAGCATATCAAGCAGCATGCTACCGCCACTGGCCGTTCCAAGAAGACGAACCAGCATTACTCGGGCGAGAAGCACTCGTTGCAAGGAAAGACTGGCAAGACCCACGCTGTCTGCTAAGGCATCATGACTTTGAACAGACCCAATGAATCCTATAGTCTTATGAATCGATGAAGTTTTAGCCAATAGTGCGGCGCTGCAGGACCCTCAGTAAAATTGGCACAATGAAGGCATTATTCGGTAGCGCAACGACTGGCTGCTTTGACCAGTCGTAGCTGACAAAGTCGAAGACAAATCTGTAAAGGAAGTCTGCGTCCACTCAATATGTTATATAAATCGCAATCTTGATCTCGACGCTGGACCGAGAACTTGAGACCCTGTCAGTCTGGTACTCTGGTATTTGTTCGTGACATTCTTGGTCGAAAGAATGACACGTCCAGTAGACCTCACCAGCACGAAGTGTGACAGTATTAAGGACAGGCGATAAAGGCTGCGAAAGTATCCTTATCAAGGGCATAATTATGAGAGTTGCCTTCTTGCTTCTTTCGACGCATCTAGACTTGCTAAGGGATAGAAGGCGGCGGAGACAAACATACTAGAGCGTCTATTTCACAAGCTGGCCACTATCGTTGCCGTCGGTCCGTCGCGGTGTCAGCAGGCTTCACACCCGATTGCGCCACATCGCTGCGAAAATTGCTTGTCCTTGTGAGCTTAACGTAGCCATCTAGCTTGGCATACTTGTAGAAGGTGCTCGGCGTGCTCGGCGTGCTCGACCATAGGCGATAAGCAAGGGGGAATCGCTATCTTACAATCAGTTCAACATTCTCTTCGACTTGTTGTTTCGAGTCAGTGGAGTTCAACAGCGTCGGCCGTATCACTGAGATGTACACAATCTTCTTTGTCAAGACGTTGCGTAGGATGCGACTTACGCGTGCCACTCCGCATATCGGCACGAGCAGTGATCTCCAGGTGGCCCATGACATCAGTTTTTGTGTGGTAACCAAAATTCACTTCCTCTGGGGCAACCGTCCGGCGAGGACTATCTTTGGTCAGCTTGAGGGGTAAGATATCAACCTTTGGCCTTTAAGAGATCTTCTTCTCCCTCTGCTTTGTGTTTTGGACAACCGCATCTTCCTGCTGCACACCCTTCTCGACATTCCAGCGTTTCCAGGAAGGAAAGAGCCGGAGAAAAAGAGGCGATACACAACAATACCATTACCATGACTGGCGGCGGCATCACGGATGATGCCTTGCAACTTGCGGCTCTGGGTCATACCCAGGAGTTGAAACGAACATTTTCCCCGCTGGCTATGCTCGGCTTAGCCTTCGCTATTCTGAATTCATGGACTGCCCTGGCGACATCATTGTCAGTGGCCTTGCCTAGTGGCGGGCCTACTTCCGTTCTCTGGGGATTGATCACAGCAGGTGTCTGTAATCTATGTCTTGCAGCCAGTCTCGCGGAGTTTCTTAGTGCGTATCCCTCGGCTGGCGGCCAGTACCACTGGGCAGCTATGTTGTGCCCCAGGAGTCGCATTATCTCCTGGATCACTGGATGGATCAACGTGAGTTCTACCCCAGACGTCCGTCTCCGCAACCCTCAATATACTGACACATAGATTCTTAGGTCGGCGGATGGATGGCCCTGACGGCTACAGGTGGCTTGCTCGGATCGCAACTCATCTTGGGTATCATCTCGTTGATGGACCCTTCCTACGAGGCTAAGAGCTGGCATCAATTCCTGATATACATCGGCTACAACGTTTTTGCTTTCTGCTTGAACGCTTTTGCCAACCGCATCATCCCTCATATCGACAAAGGTGCCATCATTTGGTCAATCACTGGATTCGTCGTCATTTGTATCACGATTTTGGCATGCTCGTCTCCCAACTACAACTCGGCTGACTTGGTCTTCACCGAGTTCATCAACGAAACTGGATGGCCTGATGGTGTTGCATGGTTGTTGGGCTTGCTCCAGGGTGGCTTTGGACTTACTGGCTTCGACGCTGTCGCACATATGATTGAGGAAATTCCTAACCCAAGAAAGACTGGACCCTTCATCATGATCACTTGCGTGGCCATTGGTGTCTTCACTGGATTCATCTTCTTGATGTGTCTCTTGTTTGTGGCTGGTAACATTACCGACATCATCGAATCGCCAGCCGGACCTCTTCTTGCCATCTTGTACAATGCTACAAGCTCGCGCGCCGGAGCCGTCTGTCTGCTCATGTTCCCTCTGGTCTGTACTGTCTTTGCGACAATTGCCATCATGACTACCAGCAGTCGTATGGCATGGGCCTTCGCTAGAGACAGAGGTCTTCCATTCTCTAAATTTTTCAGTAAGGTCCACCCGGGGCTCGATGTGCCTGTCAACGCACTTGGCCTTACCCTGGCCTTGGTCATCATCTTTGGCTGCGTCTTCCTTGGAAGTACCAGTGCCTTCAACGCTATCACCAGTGCGTCTGTTGTTGCTTTGAGCATCACTTATGGTATCCCAATTGCTCTGAACGTTCTTCAAGGGCGCAAGGGCTTGCCTGCAGACCGCGCATTCATCCTTCCTTCATGGTTTGCATGGTTCGCCAACTTGCTTGGCCTTGCTTATGTTGCAATCACTTCTGTCCTATTCTTGTTCCCTCCAGAGTTGCCGGTCAACTCAAACAACATGAACTATTGTGTGGTAGCATTCGGCATTTGGCTGCTGATCTCATTGTTGACCTACATCTTCGATGGCAGAAAGAACTACACTGGACCTAAGGTGGACATGGTCGATGATCACGTTCTCACAGCGTCGCCCTCGCCTGAAGTTGCGAGGATGAATAACGATATAGACTATTCCGAGAAGGGTAAAGAGTCGGCGCTTTAGATTATCTTCACTTGCTCGGCTTGATCTTGCCAAATCTTATGTTCTTTTCTACTATCAATTAGCTGAGGCTGTTCTATGTGAGGTGCTGTGTTCTCATGTTTCAAATGATCAAAGTGTCTCTATAACAAGGTTGTCAAGAGTTGCTGGAATCGTCTAATGGATTCGCAGATGTCAAAGCAGGATAAGAACAAGTCTAGGCTAGAACTGCCGTTTGCGGAGACTTCACGATCGACCGTCGCATGATCTCAAGAGTCTCGACTCGAAAGTTGCCATCGAGCTTGTTTGTCGTATCCTTTCTCAACCAACATGATGGACGAGAGATTAAAGGCAGACATAAGAGAGGTCGACCCTGAGGTGGCCTTCCCAGCTAATGAGCAGCACGTACATTCAACATGGGCCCGTACGTTCCATTCGCGACCGGAACTCTACGTTCAGCCAGAAACAACCGAGGAAATCCAGAAGATCGTCAAGCTCGCGCGACGAAGCAGACGTCGCATTGTTGTCGTTGGCTGCGGTCACTCTCCGAGCGACATCACATGCACATCATCATGGATGGTCAACCTCGACAAGTACAACCGTGTACTGAACGTCGACAAGGAACGTAAGCGCCTTACAGTCCAAGGTGGCATCCGTCTGCGCGACCTGAATCTGGCTGCGAGCAAGCATGGCCTCACCATGCCCAACCTCGGAAGTATTCACGACCAGTCCATCGTTGGCGCAATCTCGACAGGCACCCACGGCAGTACCCTCAAGCATGGCCTCATGTCCGACTCTGTCAAATCCATCCGCATCGCCCTTTCTGATGGCAGCATCTCATACTGCTCCGCTGATGAGAACCAAGATCTGTTCCGCGCCGGTTTGACCTCTCTGGGAGCTCTTGGAATCATTACCGAAGTCGAGTTTGAGATGACAGGTGCAACAAATATTGAATGGGAACAAACATTGAAACCCCTTGACTGGGTGCTTTCGCGATGGAACACAGATTTGTGGACAAACAAGGAGTTTACTCGTGTCTGGTGGTTACCTTACATGAAAAGAGCCATTGTCTGGTCTGCTTCCAAGACCGACAAGCCTGAGAGACCTCCCGTTTCCAGCTGGTATGGCGGCTCTGTTGGTTTCCACACCTACCAGATTCTGCTGTGGTTCTCCAACTATGTTCCTCGTATCCTTCCCGCAATCGAGTGGTTTGTGTTCGGTATGCAATACGGCTTCTCGGATCACGCTGTCACCAGCGGTATCGAGCCCCAACGCACTGGTCTCCTGATGAACTGCTTGTTCTCTCAGTTCGTCAACGAGTGGGCACTCCCTCTTGAGAAGGGTCCTGAAGCCATTACCCGTCTCTCTGCCTGGATCAACGGTGAAGAAGGCTCGAACATTCCTGTCAGCAACAAAGGTCTCTATGTCCACGCTCCCATCGAAGTCCGCGTTTCAGACACCTCTCGTGTTCAGCCTCGACCCTGGATGGATAACACCAACGCCAACGGACCTACTCTGTACCTCAACGCAACTCTCTACCGCCCCTTCTTGAAGGACCCTCCTTGTCATGAGCGCTACTACGAAGCCTTCGAGTATCTCATGAAGGAACTCGGCGCAAAACCTCATTGGGCCAAGAACTTCTCCACTGTCACTAACGATGACATGCAAAACATGTTTGGTGACAACCTGACCTCATTCCTTCGTGTCCGTGACGAGGTTGATCCTGATGGTGTTTTCCTCGGCGCTTGGCACCGCCGCTACCTATTGCCTGCCAACACTCCTCGCTACGCCTGCGAGGAGAAGGAGTTGGCAAGGACTCAAGCCACCGATGGTGGCAAGAACTGGTTCGGTGAATTGACCAACAACCCAAGGACTGCAGATGAGAAGACTGCCTTGCTGTCGTCGACCGAAGGCCCTGAGCATGATGATTTGAAGGACGAGCGTCGCTTCAGAGAGACTTCTGTTGAGAGTCTGTTTGGGACTCAAGTGTTTGATAAGATGTAAATGATTTTGTACGTCGCCAAGTCACTTGCATGAGTATTTTTCGTCAGACGCCTCCGCTTATTCTATCCAGTTCGGGGACTGGTTTCATAATCTTTGTTCTCCATGCCAAACTCTTCATTTTTGATGAGTATGTATGCTAATCATTAAACATGACCACACTCTTTGTTCTCGAAGTTGCATATTTTCAGGTGGAGGCAGTTCCGGAAGTCGCGATTCGGACCATCGCATGTTGATCGTAACTTCCATATTCATACACATATTGCGTAACTTGGCTTCCTTGATGCTTCGAGGACTCCCTCTTTCGACGCACACCAATGCTTGCGAACCCACACACCTACTGCTCATTTCCGTCCTTTTGTGGTCTTGACATCTTCGTCGAAGTGTCTCAACCACTATTTCCTACATGCGAAAGATTAATACTCGTCTTTTCCAACCCAACATCAGCTGGTCATCACTGCGCCAGCCTAATTATCACTTCCCTGTCTTTGTCCGTCGAGTCGCATCATCTCAGGCTTCAGATACATTGAACTCACCAATTTCCACACCACATTCCTGGTACGCCTCTTCGCTGGTCTCGAGCACGCCCATCGACCAAGATGTCGGCTGGCAAAGCGCAATCGATACCTGCGACACCGCTTGGCGACACTGGCCTTCCTTCAGATGAGCGACGCGCCCAAGAGCTTGATCAGTACTATACACCTAGCAACAAGTCAGTCTTACGCCTGACCGAGCGAGACTCTGCACTGCCTGCACACATGCAGCTCATATGCTGGCGTCTTGGTATGCGAAGAGCACTCGTCAGCCTCATCGACCGAGACACCCAGTACTATGTCGCCGAATCGACAAGGACGATGGATTTGCACGATCCCTACAAGTTTGCGGACGAAGATGACGGACCCTTGGCTCTCGTGGGTATTGTATTGACCTGTTGAACACAGCGCGCTAATACCCTTCTCCAGAACGAGAGTCATCCCAAGACAGGTATCCTGTGCGCTGAAACAATTCGAGCTGTGGTCGGGGCTGCCAAACAACCTGCTTACTTCGAGATTTGCGATTTGGGCGCTGACCCTCGGTTTTCTAAACTCAACATTGTGGAAGACCTCAAACTCGCCTACTACTGTAGTGTCCCTATTCGTACAAGTAACCAGATTGTCATTGGGACTGTCTTCATCTTGGACGACAAGGTTCGAGAGCCTATCTCCCTTGAGCATGTTTTCTGTGAGTTATCATCATCGCTCTGACCGACAATCAACATATCTGATCTTACCCCCTCCTCATCCACACTCTCTTCCTGTCTCGCGCGCTCATGAATTTGAATCCACAAACCTTATCGTCACTGTGCGCTGAGCCTATATGTACATGTTACTGACTCTTCCTCGAGTTCTAACATCAATGGCCGACAACGTCATGGTCCACTTGGAGAATCGTAAGCAACATATGGACGTGATCCGTATCATGAAGATGAACAAGTCTCTGGCATCTTTCATGGATGCTCATCAAGATGAGAGAGCGCAAACGCCACCAGGAGAGCCTTGCATCAAAGAACCCGACCCTACACAATCGACCGAATCTGTCAGTCGGTGTAGCAGCACTGGCAAATCTTCCGAAGACGAGCTTCCGGAAGGCAATGGCGGGAGAGAGTACAACGAGATTTTCAGCCGTGCATCCGCCTTGCTTCGGCAGTCTCTATCCTTGCAAGAGCATGGTGGTGGAGTGATCTTCCTTGACACAGCAGCCAAGCAATCAGGAAGGAGTATGGCTGCACATCGCCCATCTAGACGTCAAAGCGGTCCAAAGCGTGACTCTTACAAACTCACGGCCAGTAACGGCCCACCTGCACGCACTCCCCCAGACGAGGGTGGAAATGGTGACGAATGTTGCATACACGCTGCCATTCTCGCTTGTAGCGTCTGTGTTGCGTCATTTGGCAAGCCTGATGATACGTGCCCGCTGGACGAGACGACGCCTACCAATATACCTGTCAAGGCTCTCTTGAAGTTCATCAGACGAGCGCCAGCTGGACAGATTTATCATTTCCCAGAGCTCCGCGACCCCAGGACTAGTGATCTAGTGAACCATGCTGATTCGCCACACCAAGGCAATGTTGAAGAGACCGACATCAGGAAATTGTTCTCGCATTTACCAGGAGCCTACGAAATTATTTTTGTGCCCTTATGGAATACGCATCTCGGCCGGTGGTCCGTCTGCCTTGTATATACACTGTCAAGTGAACGGAACTTCACCTTCGAGATCGACTACTTCTTCTGCCGAGCATTCTGCAACTGCGTCAAGGCTGAAATCGATCGATGCACCGTTGTGCTCTCTGATCATCAGAAAGGTGACTTCATCGGAAGTGTCAGCCATGAATTGTTGGTCTTTCTTCTCATTTGTGTTGATATAGTCAATAGCTAACAATCTCCAGGCGATCTCCGCTTCACGGTATCCTAGCATCATGCGAGCTCATTCAAGAGACCGAGATGTCTTCTTTCCAGACGTCTCTCATCGACACCACGGAGAGCTGTGCACACACGCGTCTTGACACCATTCAAATGGTGCTCGACTTCAGCAAGGTGAATGCTTTCACAAAAGATCTATCCGGAGAAAACCTTAACATTCGGCCACACGTCGTCAAAGGTGGTGTTGAACCACTGCTTAGCACCTTTTCCCATGTCAACCTTGCTGCTATTGCAGAAGAGGTCATTGAGGGTGTCACGACTGGCTTCCTTGCAAAGAGTGATCCCAGTATGGAGCTCGGATTTGCTGGAGAGAGATCAAAAAGGAACGCCAAAACGTTTGAGGATTTGGTAGCCCTGCCTCAATCACCTGTTGAAGTGATACTTGACGTCAGTCCGCCACGGGACTGGACCTTTGTTACCCAGCCTGGATCTTATAGGCGTACAATCATGAACATCTTCGGCAACAGTTTGGTCAGTCTTTCCACTTCCGAGATCATCCACCAAGCGTGCATCTCTTGCTAACAGACGCTTACAGAAATATACGGTAAAGACTGGTCAACATTATCGAGCATCCCAGTACTGACAAAGATCAGGAACACGGCTTCATCAAGGTGTCTCTTAATTGCGAAGAGATGAGCATGAAGGAGTCAGAGCCCGCCATGGCCATGGTGGAGCTAAAAGTCGCAGACTCAGGCAAAGGCATTTCTCAAGCTTACATGGACACGAAGGTGATTACATGTTCTTACCACCAAGAGTACTCTGCAGGAAAATGCTGATTTGATGTTCTAAGAAAGATGTTCACATCATTCGCCCAGGAGAACCCTCTCGCTCCCGGAACGGGCCTTGGACTGTCTCTGGTGAGGTCGCTGGTCCAAATGATGAATGGAGAGATTTCAGTGCAATCTGAAGTCAATCATGGTACGACTGTCACAGTCCGCATACCAATGAAACGTTCTGGGTCAGGAGAGCCCCGAGACGGATTTCACAGGCCCAACGAAGACGACATACAAGTCTTGCGCACAATCCAACCTCGACCTCAGATTGTGAATTTTCAACAAGACGTACTGCCAGATGATACGCCTCAGAAAAGGGAGGGCTATGAGATGCAGAAGCACGCATTGGCTGCCTGTATCAATGGTTGGTACAAAGTTGAAGATCTCGACGACTGGGATATGAAGACCAAACCTGACATTGTCTTGGTAGACGACGTTCATCTCTTGGCCATCACGGAGCACTTGCAACTTCTGGAAGAGTTTGACGCCGTGGTTATGATCCTCTGTTCCGATCGCTCCAGAACCACAGCCATCTCGAACAATGTCAACTACCCCAAGCTACACGTCATGCCAAAACCATTCGGACCGTTCAAGCTTGCAAAGGCTCTAAAGCACGCGCTCGACAAACGTGGTCCTACCGAAAACTCATCTTCCGTCCCCGCGTTAGTAGAGGAGATAGGACCCATTCCGGAACTCACACAGCTAAGCCCGACCTTACGACGAAGTCCGTCTCACTCACAAGATTTGTCAAAGCGAATGAGAAAGCCCTCGTTCGGTGGAGGCTTTCCTTTCCCATCAGTGACGATTACTTCAGCTCCTAATTCACCTACACTGGAGTTTCAGTCACGAACTCCATCTATCCCAGGGATCACGCCTCAGATAGAAGTATCCGGAACTCATCACAGGCGCCTCAAGACTTTGGACGTGCCGCTGTCCGAACAGCAGCCTCTAAAGAGACACGATGAGCTTGTAAGTAGCCGCAGCGAGGGCCATATAGACCGTGCCTATTTCAAGACTATCAAGCCAAGGATCCTGCTAGTCGATGGCAACGAAGTCAATCTCAAGCTTTTGCAGACCTTCTTTGTCCGTCGCGACTTCAAGGATTTAAGGTTGGCACGAGATGGCAGTGACGCAGTCAAGGTATGCGAAGATGCACTGCTTCATGAAACTCCATTCCAGTTGATCTTCATGGACATCAGCATGCCAGTAAGTGATGAAGGCGCGGGAACACTGGGGCAGACATAAGCTAACTTCACAAATCAGGTCATGGATGGTTTTGAGGCTGCGAAAGTTATTCGACAGAGAGAAATTGCAAAGGCAGCACAGCGAGTTGATCAACCTATCGAGACGTATCAGAGCTTGATCATCGCTTTGACAGGTAACGCAAGTGCAGAAGACCAGTCCAATGCCTTCACGCATGGCATGGACATGTACATGACGAAGCCAGTGTCTCTCAAGGAAGTGGGAGAATTGATGAAAGCTTGGGAGGAGAAGGCGGCAGTTTATGGCGCAGATGGTGCACGGTCAGCACTTCTCGAGAGCAATTCCGCTGCGGGTGAAGGATAAGGGTTGCTTTTTGTGTTTGCAACTTCGCACAAACCTGTGATGATCGGGTATTCTTAGGCTTCCTCTGACTGATGGTAGTAGACCTACTTGATAGTACTGAGGATATCGAATGACAATGCATTCCTCTTGAATCTCTCTAAACCTTTCAAACTCGAGAACTTGTTCATGCGAAGAAGACCAGGGACTTGCAAGAGTTTAAAAATTACGGCCAGTGTAGAGCTTTACTAACCTTCTCGCTGAAGGCGGCGATAGCCATATTAAGAAGGCATCTCAGAGTCATACCGGTAGTCACTTTCAGATCCAGGATGGTTCGACCAGAAAGTGGACGGCCCTGAATTTTAGACAGGGCGAATGCACAGACCAGATGCACCTCAGGCAAAGCCAAAAACCTGCCGCCCGCCGAGGCAGGACACAGATGTCAGAAGCAGATGCAGATGCGCCGCACAGCACACACGACCGCGCGGCTACGAACCATGCAAGACCAAACAAGCTTCCTTTCCGGAGAAAAGACTGATCTCAAAAATGATACCTCCTGTTCACGCATGTCTTGGGTCAATTACAAGATACTCTAGAACTATTGCCCCTTTATCACACCCGCTGGTTGTCGTCGGGTGGGAATCTGGCGGGAGGCTTGTATAGCCTGCAAGATGAGCGAAGAAACCGTTTGTGAAGAAGGAGAGGTTTAGAGTGGGGGGGGGGGGGGGGGGGGGGGGGGCAAGTTCGGGGGTCAACCCGGGGCGATCCTCTACTGGGCGGTGCGCGGTTCACCGCTGGCTAGAATGGGGGGGGGGGGGGGGGGGGGGGTTGAGGGATGGGCGTGTCGAGTTTAGAGGGTTGGATAGGCGGATGATGAGTAAGGTAGCTACAGCTAACCATCAATGCAGCACTTTTGGACACGACTCTGTCTAGAATGTCCAGTGAGTTATGTCACAGTTTCTCTACTCTTACTGTCTTGTGAGGAGCAGTGGTGGTGTCGAAAGGAAAAGCAATCAATCGAAATCTCGTTCATCAAATTTTAACATGACGTGGAAGGGTGGAAATATGGTATGACGGCGCTCTTCAAATATATGAAAGAGTGTGATTTGGTTGCACTTTGTGCCGCTTTTGATGACTTCAAGATGATGGAAATGAGAGATATTCGATGTCTGGACTGCTGTGATAGATGAGGATAGGCAGACATACGGTGGAAGACCGTTGTGGAGAGGGTGTAACGTTGTGGAAATGTAAGAGATACTTGCCATGACGACGACGAGGGGACAGGAGTTGGACGGACGTGTTTGTCGAGTGAATCAGGGTGTTGGACTCCTGAGGTGTAGATAGTCGATCTCGAGATTGTGGCCATGACGGGTAATCAAGCATGGTATATTGCTGATAGAATGAACATGGAAGCAGTCGAAGATGCATAGAACAAACAGATCCCAAGGTCTGGTGGGTTTGATGATGTCTGGTCCGACGGGTGAAATTAGCTTGTTCATGGCACGTGCGCTCAGCCAGACAGAGTTTGAGCCGGCCGAGCTAACCGGAAATGCTCAGGGGAAGGATAGCACGTTTCACAACAGGTGCTTTTGGCTGCCTCATCGCCGTTGATGGGTTTCTGAAGGGTTGCTACTTGGTTACTCGAATCGCAGGTAGTGGTGTGCTCCTGAAGCTGCGCGGTCCACGAAACGAACGACATTTGCAACGTTCTGTTGAAAACTATTGCGAGCGAGCGATATTATCAGTCTCCATTCCTTTGGCTGTGTCTCGACGCGTCCCTTCCTTAAGCAAGCGCCTTTTTCCAGACCAACTCGACCCGGCATACAGTAGCAATACCGTAGGCTGCTTATTGTTTTCTGCATCACTCGTCGAACCGACATGTTATAGACAAACACAGGGATTGCTGGTCACCCTCAATTGCATTTTACACCGAGACACGACATCATACACCTACAAACATCAACAATGACGCTCGAAAAATCCGTCGAGACGCCTCTTTCTGGCTCCTTTTCACACTCCCACCACGCACATACAGACTCTCTGGTCAGCGTGCCACTCACAGACTCGGTTCTAAGCTCTCCAGTAGAACAATCGACCCCAAGAATTGGCGGTCACGACGATGACGAAGTAAGCCAAACGACCGCGTCTTGACCCAAACCTTCGAGTATTGATCCTTTTCACAGCACATGGCTGCTCTTCTCGCTCGCCTCGAAATGGAAAACAACGCCCTCGCTACCGATCCCAAAGCTGGTATCACCACCGTAAACATCTCCAACCACGATCGCAATGTTTCCATGGGCGGTGCTTCGCTGCTCAGCCTACACATTCCCAAGGAAGCCCTCGGCATGAGTCTTGGTGACTTTTGGGCTTTCGTCACACGCGACTATGAAGAGGCTTTGATATCCATGCCCACCATGACACCAATCATGATACATAAAGGAGTTCCTGACTTCTTAAGGCCGGTTGTTTGGGGTGGCATTGCTGGTGCACGCGAAGAGAGACTCTACTCGGAGTTCGATCGACTACTGGCACAAGTTGAGAGCGAGCCACCAACCTCGGACACTATCATTGACAAGGACATTGGCCGCTGCTTCCCAAGTCATCCTCTCTTTGCCCAGGCTGGCGGCGAGGGTCAGACTATGCTAGGCCAAGTCCTGAAATGCTACAACCTGTACGACCCAGAGATTGGCTATTGCCAAGGCATGGGCTTTATTGTCGGTATTCTTCTCATGAAGATGGATGCAAGAGACGCCTTCTGTGTCTTTGTCAGACTTATGGAGAACCACGGCCTCCGCGACTCGTACTCACATTCTCTTACTGGACTTCATTCACGCATATACCAGTTCCAGCAATTACTTACACCTTTAGCTACTAAACTGGTCTCACACTTCAAGGCCTTGGGTGTTGAATTCGCCTATCTTTCACAATGGTTTATGACCATCTTCGCGACGACATGTCCCCTCGAAACACTCTTCCGCATTTACGACATCATTCTGGCTGAGGGCGCTGACGAGACCGTCATGCGCGTCGCCTTGGCCTTGATTCTGAAGAACGAACAGAAGTTGCTGGCTATGGCTGAGTTGGAGGACGTATTGCAGTTGCTACTGTCTCGCGAAATCTGGATGCCATATGAGAACAATCCCGATCAACTCATCGAGGAGGTCACCACTCTCTTCAAGCAAGTTGTTACTCGCGACGCTCTCGACAAGCTAGGCAAGCAGTTCTTCAAGCAAGCTGAACGAGGCTCTGCAGACAGGACTGTACGCGCACTAGGCTTCACCAGCACTTACGGAAATGCTTTCAGATTATTCGACTTCTGGTCGACATCCAAGAGTGACTCCTTGTCGCCAGCTGCACCTCTTCGCCGCAAAGCATCTGGACAATCGCTTTCAACACTCAACTCCATTTCTGGAAGTGGAGCTAGTATGATCAGCACTGACAGCTATGCTAGCACTGCACCAACTGAAGTCGACGATCTTGAAAGAGACAGTGCTACGCCGACCAAGCCTCACAGATCTTTCATCTCGCAAGACAGGAACTTGCACGAACAGGTAGAAGGTCTGTTGATTGCTCTCAGCGAAGTTCAACGCGAAGCTGCTCAAACGGCGGCAAACCTGCAACGAGAGGAAGCAAGAGGAATCAGAGCACAGGAGATTGTTGGTGATCTGCTTGAACTTCTCCGCGAGAAGAAGACGGTAGACGCCTATCGCAGACAGCGTCGCACCACACTACCATCCAGAATCGACCACGAAAAGACTCGGGAAGAAGTTACTGCACTGAAAAGACAATCCAACTTTGTCAGATCAGTAACGCAGAGTATCATGGCCGACAACACGCCTGGCCAAGACAGAGATGCTGGTCTTCATTCGTCTCTACTCAAGTTGTGTGCTTTGTTTGATGCTGAGACATCACTTGACTCCGACAGTGGATCCGAGACTGGAGAGACAGCGCCTTCGCAGGCACCTCTAGCGAGTGAGTACACCATCAAGCTAGAAGCCGAGCTTGTCAAGCTGCGACAGCGAGTGGCTAAGGATCGCGCGCACCGCCATAAGAGGAGAACACTGGACTTGAAGGACACACGACTATCTCTCAAAGGCGATATTCAAACTACCGAGTCGATCAGAGTCCGTCGCTCTCTATACCGTGGCCATGGGAAGAAAGCTTCTCGCGACCTCTCAGGCTCTTTCCCAGACATCACAATCTCTGTCCCTCGCGTACGGCCTCACCAAACTCTCCCATCTCCTCGCTCTGCAACTCAACAACATCGCCCTGGACCTCCACTTCGCATGATCAGATCCCAAGACGGAACCGAGATCCGCGCAAAGCCGCAAAAATTCGGTTCTGCCAGGAAAGCCACGGAGACTGACATTGGAAGAGAAGGGTCTGGCTCGATCACACCAACGACCAGTACAACAACAATCCCCAAGCGCAACTCTTCACTGTCATCCCAAAACATTCTTTCCACGCCCTCTCACGCCCCACCATCAGATGAGACCCTGCTAGTCGAATTAGTAGCAGCAAAAACCCGCGAAGCAACAGCCATCCACGAAAACGAACTCTTGCAGATCAGCCTCGACAAGACACGCCGACAGATGGAGCAGCAAAGGGAGGAGATGCAAGCTAAAATCGATGCCATGGAAGCCATGATGATGGCACAGATGGAAGCACATGAGAATGAAATGGAGAGATTGAAGATGATGGTTCCGAGACCTGATACACCGAGTTCTATGGGACCTAGTCCGATGAATACACCGGAGATGTTGGCGCCTGTTGCTACTGGGGGAGCTGGGGGAAAGGCGGGACCTTGGGGGTGGTTTGCTAAGGGGAGGAGTGTTAGTCACTCGCCTACCATGTAAGAGATCAGATGAGACTTGCGGGTAGTGAAGGATACGAGCGGATGGATTGGTGAGAATTGTATCGTCGATATGTCATGGTTGGCTTCTCGTTTTCTCCTAGTAGTAGCGATGGGTGCTCTAGAGTGCTTTCCTTGTTCTCTTTTTCTCACTCTTTTTGCTATAGATAGAAATGTGTTTTTGAAGAGACAAGAATGTATAGAATGTAGCTGCTGGCAAAGATTAAGTAGGATGTATCAAGAGATCTTTACACCTTCCGTCTCCTCATTGTTCCAATCGTCAGTCTAATCACTTCTTCACCTCTGCATTCTTCTCCTCTTCCTTCTTCCTCTCCTCCCCTTTCTCCCTCACCTTCCTATCCTTCTCCTCCATCTCCTCCTCGTACCCTTCAGGAGCAACCCACCACCCACTCCTCTTATTCTCCTCGAAGAGCTTTTCCTCCTGCTCCAAATACTTTTTTGCGTTTCCATTATCTTCAAAGGTCTCGCGTTCAAGCACTTCATTGGTATCTGCATTGTAGAATGTGTATTCGATTTTACCATTGTCGTTTAGATTGTAGCCTTCGAAGATATCGCCACCTCTGTCTTTGGAGAGGAAGGCGAGGAAGCGGGGGAGGTCTTGGGGGAGGATTGTGTCGCGCATGGAGAGGGCGTTTGAGGGGTAGGGTGCTGGACCTGGAGAGGAGGGCGCAGGGGAAGACATGATGAGTTGGTTTTCGTGTAGGTTTTGGTCCTGGTCGTAGGCCTGGTTGTTTAGGGAGGTTGTTGCAGTTGCAATGCTCAAGAAGAGTGTTGCTGTATTTCCAGAGTTAAGTGTTTTGCGAATGTCATCATGGAAGTTGAAAGTAGTTCACATACTGATAAGAAAGATATTGATCATGTCTCTTTACGCTGTAGGAATTTTGGTGGCTTGCTTTAATATGTGCTTTCTCTAGCAATGCTTGCGTGTTCGAATGTGTAATTGATTTGAACGTTCGTAAATCTACCCAATCGTCTAGTTTTTGAAGTGACTCGAGAGGAGTGGAAAGTATGGTCTCTATGTGTCTGGGTGCTTTACGTGCGTATAAGGTTTGCCTTTTTCGTATAGACGCCCAATCGGTATTTCGGCAAGGGCAGAGGAGGAGGTTATCGATCCTTCATTGTTGTATTTTAGGCAGCCTTGATATCTATGTGTATTCTCTTTGATATGTCAAAGATAGACAAAAGTAACATCAATACAAATGAATTGTCAACAGAGCGAAAAGTATAATGATGTCACGCTTAGTATTGCTAAAGGGGGTATCTTGAGGAAAAGCAAAATGCAAACAACTCCAGACAATGAGTCCTACTCATCATCATTATCTCCTTCATGCTCTTTGCCCATAACGACATCTAGTGCTCTTCTTCCCAACTCTACAGTATGCTCAAGCGCAACCAGTTTGGCCATTGCGCTGATCAGGCTCGGATCCTGACTTTCCACTCTTACCTTCTCTTTCACTCTGACCTCGGTGTTACGGTAAGTAAAGACTTCTTCGGCTTCGTCGTGGGCTGGTGCTCGAGGACCAGCACCTAGTGCATGTGCGAGTCTGTCGCGGAAACCGAAACCAGTAAATGAAGGACCGCCTGTGAGAGGTGTCGAGGAGCCGGTGTGAGATGCAGGTTCAAGAGTGCGAATATGGAGCAGTAGCGCTGCGTCGGAGATACTGAGGTGGAAGGAGAGGTTCGAGGGAGGTGGAGGATCGAAGATCTACGAAGGAGGTCAGCAAAGCAGTCGGCACTCTAACCAGGGGGCTGATGCGCACCTTCTCATCCAGGGGTTCGGAGGCCCAAGTTTTGTCGGCCTCGGAGCCAGCTGGAGATCCTTTGAGGACTGCTTTCGCGTCGCGAATATTCTCATGCAGCAGGTTCAATTGACCTGAGATGAAATTCGCGTCCCCTTTGTCTCCTGTCCATGTCGTCGCATCCACTACATCCAAGCTCGAATTGATCAAAGTCCTGACTTCTGCAATCTGCTTCAGCTGAAGAGCAGGCGCAGAGGGTGAAGTTGAGATGGAGAGCTTGCAGCTCGTCTGACCACGTGGAGGTGGTAGCGAAGCGAGGCGCAGTTGGACGTCGCCTTTGGTGATGTTTGAGCCATTGCGCGTAATGAAGCCTTTGATGGCCTCGCTACGGTGTGAAGAAACGACCAGGGTGCTGCCTTGTTCTTGTGGTGCTAGTAGAGAGCTACACTCCTCAAGTCCGGATTTCAAGCTCGACAGAGTTTCCTGGAGAGCTTCGAGCAGCCATGCAAGCTCACGTTGTCGCGTTTCGTCTGCCTGTTGCGCGAGAGAAGCGGCTGAGACACCTGGCAGAGGGGGCCATAGTATCGTTGACATGGTGGTGCGACTGACCAGTATTGGAGGCGTATACCGATGGCTCAGACAGGGTCGGTGTCGTCGTTGGCTGCCAAATGCGCCTGCCTAGGTCTGGGCAGGCTGACGGTTGTGGCTTGATTCGTTGTGCAGATCCCAGTATTGTATCCCTGGGAACCGTCATCGGTCGGACGTTCGCATCACAGGAATGTACAAATCAAATTTCAATCCCATCTGTCGCCTCTCTTTGTACCTGCAGAAACAACAGGAACAATCATAAAGCCATCCTCCAACGCGATACCTCTTCGACGACTTGCCCATCGTTATACATTCAGGCACGAACGACATCCAGACCCTTGTCTGGACCTACGCACCGTCCACCTCATCACCTCTTCCCGCTCGCTAGCGTGACCGTTCCGAGCAGCCCTGACATCATAATTTGAGTGATCTTGTTCCACTTGCACTCGAACTGGCCCAAAGCAAAAAAGCACAAGGCTCCCTCCACTGCGTCACCCCCAAGACACCAAGTCCGAAGATCGCATTTTGCTTTTAACCACCTGTGACCTGCGTCAAAGAAACAACCTTCCTTCTGAACATAGCACTCTCCACTTTCGCCCTACGACTGCCCTGGTCATTACATTAATTAATAACATATCGACTCTCCACACACGGCAATTGCAATGGCTGTAGCGCGTAAGTATTGGGACAACCATCAGTCTCTTTGCGACGACTGACCATCAACCCAGGTCCTCTATTGGGATTGATTTCCCTTGTCCTCGTTGGTGCTGGACTTCTCTTCCAATTCTTCGTTATCCTGTCTGGCGTGTCAAACACCACGCCTCTCAACAAGACCTACTTCATCCAAGTCGACACTGCTGGAACTTCTGCTGTTCGCAACCCCGCTCGCTGGACCTTCTTCCACATCTGTGGTGTAGTCAATGGCAAAAATGGAAACTGCCGCTCCCCTACTCCCGCTCTGCCTTTCGACCCCCCAAGAAACTTTGGCAGCGACCAGGGCATTCCTGAGGCCTTCATTGGTACCAACCACTACTACTACCTCTCGCGTTTCATGTTCGCTTTCTACCTGATTGCTCTCTTCTTCGCTGCCATTGCCTTCCTCACTGGTATCCTCGCCATCTGCACTCGTCTTGGCTCCTACCTCTCTGGTCTTACCGTCGCCGTTGCTGCCTTCTTCCAGGCCCTTGCTGCCGCTCTCATGACGTAAGTTTGAGCCTATAAATCCCAGCACTGTCAAAGACTAACCACTCTCACAGTGCATGCTTCGTCCAAGGTCGCAACGCCTTCCGTCGCAATGGTCAGGATGCTCGTCTCGGTCGCTACGGTTTCGGTTGGACCTGGGCTGCCTTCGCCGCCTTCTTCATCGCCATGGTCCTCTTCTGCGTCGGCGGTGCGGTTTCCAAGTCCAGCGAGCGCACCCCCCGCAAGGGTGGAATGTTCGGTCGCAAGGCCAGCACCCGCTCCCGCGGCAGCTTCATCGATTCCGAGAGCCAAAGGCGCGTCAAGGAGGAATACGAGTAAAGCAGAGCTAGAACCCTAGACTCTTGTTTACGAGCTTCTTTGTCGTCGTCTGTTTTCACGTTCATGATATCCCTAGATCTATGAAATCTGCATCTCTCGGGATGTACGGTCTTCAAGGATCGGTGTTGACAGCACCCAATCTTTTCGTAATGTCCTCTTTTTTGGCTTCGGTTGTATCATTACTACCCCTGCATTGTGTTTCAGATGCCTTATGCGAGTTACGAGCAACAATACCTAATGTCTTTTTTTACCCTGTAAACATTTCTATTGACCATCATTGTGTTCCTCTTCCCTTCTTGATACACATTATACATGAGAATTAAGAAGTCACTTGCTCTAGCTTTCTTTCTTATTATCGTTCTTGGAAACGTCTTGAATAATGTGCATCTGACCGTGGATAGCTCTATGTATACTTTCCTCTGTGGTAGCAGCCATCTTTCACCCTCCATTCTCTGCTTGAACAGAAATAGGCTGCCTGTCATTAGGATACCTTACTCCCTAAGAATTCAGTTATAGCAAGTCTCACTTCCCCATCATCTTTCCCAATAAACGGTTAAACGGTAGAATCGAAGATATGATGTTGTCGCAAGACTTTGTCTTTGACAGGGTTATGCCATTTACCACTTCCCAAAGCTCTCATTCGCAAATTACGGCCGCCACAGAGACTTAATCATACTTGGGAGTGTATCTCTAGTACATATGAGGTGTGTGCAAGGACAAAACGAGACATCAAGCCGTTGACTGGAGTGTTGGTTGAGATATGCATAAATAACTGGTTTGTAATTTTGAAGCCCAAAGGCATGAGTGGGAGACGCATTCGAGATAGACCTCTTTCAAAGCTCATGACAAGAAACAGACGAACATCCATCGATCATCATCCCAGCAGCTCATCCACCTTCTACCGCCTCACATATTAGTGCTTCCCCATCCTGCCGTGGCAATCGATGCGTACCGTCGGCCCCAGACGGCACGTGAGCTTTATATATCATCTTATAGCCTGATTATTCATCAATCACATCCGGTGTGGTCTAACGGCTAGGATTTCTCGCTTTCACCGAGGAGGTCGGGGTTCGATTCCCCGCACCGGAACGTCTTCTTTTGCTTCTTCACATCCCTTCTAAGGGGTCCGGATAGGTTGTTAGCAACCTTTTCGCTGTGTTTTGAGAAATCGACGCTGAAGCCTGATGGCGAGGCAGGAGCGTCGGGGCTGGCACTTTCCCCCAATTTCTCAAGCTTCTTTCTTCTTGTGATTTACTTTTAGAGGATACGAGTACTTCGCTTGGATAGCTGGTCTCCTTCTCTTTTTGATCGGGGTGGGAATATGCTTTACTGTTGTTCCGTCGCTTGGATTGGCGGCGTTGGCTTCTTTTTGGGAACAATGCGTGTCGGAAGGTCTTCTTTACACACAAGACCCTGCTGACCTTCGTCCTACCTGGCTCTTATTTATACACCTGAACTTTGTCACGTCGGAGAGATGTTCAGGTCCAAGCAAGGGAGCAGCAACATACGAAATGACAAACCTGGACTGTGTCGAAAGGTCGCGTGACAAGCCGCGGAGGGCAGGTAAACTCGCGACATGCTTTCGCAACGGTATCAAGTCACACAGCTGAGCAAGGAACAATCATGTCAATGTGATCAAAGGGGTTCGTATGCTTTTGAGAATACGTAGGTATCGATCTGCCCATTCGACAGTCGTGTGATTAACTCCCTCCATATCCCCGAGTGTGTAAACGCCTACCCCAAAACAATAGACCTTCCAACGCCTTGCTGCCACAACTTTGTGGTAATGCTGTCGATGATATGAAACTTTCCCTTGCTCTTTTCAAAGTCCCGAAACCTTGTAGTGTCCTCCGAGATCTCCTCTTTCTGCGTCGTTGGAGGAACGGTAACGATCGCTGGAACTGCGCTTCTTCTCCTGGTGATGGGGACCACTGTAGCTCGAACTGCGCCGTCTCTTTTCGTCGTTAACGTGGTCGGGAGCACGGTGTGCATCTCGAGGCGCGTTTAGACTATCACGAGTACGGTCAGAATCAGCACCATCATGAGTCGTACCAGACAAGGTACCATTTCCACGTCCTGGGGCAATAGCGTTCTCTTCACCGGAAACCTGCTTGATAGGCGGGAGGGCGGGAGCGGGACCCGAGGGGTGAGTGTTGCCGTAACCAGTGTTGCCGTAGTTTGCGGGAGCACGAGGAGCAGCTACAGCTTGACGGACATCTTGTGAGTGGTAGATGCCGCGGCCATCGGCAATGTACTCACTACGTCCGATTGCCACGTTAGGTCTTGCCACATCTGCTCCTGTTGTTGCTGTATCCTCGTCCACCTGGAAGACCTCGGCCTCCTTGTCGTTGAAGTCCTGTCCAGGGTTTGCCGTCTCGTATTCCAGAGTCTTGATAAATTTGTAGAAGCCGACGGAGAGGACGGATCCCAGCAAGGGGCCAAGCCAGTAGATCCAGTGGTAGCCTGGGAAGGAGTGTAGAATGACGCAGGGTCCGAAAGAGCGAGCAGGGTTGAGACTGCCGCCAGTGAAGAAGACACCGGTAAGCTCAGCGACGAAGAGAGCCAAGCCAATGCCAATGGGTGCGAGAAAGGTTCCCTTGTGTTTCTCTGCAGCCAGCATGAGAATGGTGAAGACGAGCATGGCGGTGAGGAACATCTCAATGAACAGGCCTCTGACGATTGAGGTACCACCTCCGAGGGTTGTCGAGACGTTCATGGCAGCGGGAAAAAGGCAGGAGACGATGCCAGCGGCTGCAATGGCGCCGAGGATCTGGCCGACGAAGACGAGTGCACCACGAGTCCATTTGCATGCACCGATGAGGCAGAGGGCGAGGGTGACCTGTGAAAGAATCTGTTAGGAAGCCTTGACCATGCGGATGGACCTGTGTTTGACTTACTGCTGGGTTGAAGAGGCCGCCGGTGATGCGGAAGAAGACCCAGGCGTTGACAGCCAGGGAGAAGCCAAAGGCCAATGCAATGTACAGCAAGGCTGAAGTGTTCGGTGCTTGGGTGATAGATCCATCATCGCTATTTTCGGATGTATTGCCAGTGGCAGCGTTGGCGACTTGAGTAGCGCTGAAGGCGAAGAACAGGAAGAGGAATGTGCCGACAAACTCGCCAACGACAGCAATGAATTGGTTGCGAATCTTATTGGGCAACCAGCCAAAGCCAGCGAGACGGTGTTCATGGTGGTTGTTCTCGCGGTACTTCATGAATGGGAGGGTGAGGCCCTTGCCTGGACGGTCGAGATTCATGATGAGTTAGGGATGAGGTGAGTTGAGAGGGATGCAGTAGTAGTTTGTGCTGGATTGAGGATGTTTGCTGCAGGGGAGACTTTGTGCGACGAGAGCACTAGATGCAGGTAAGAAGTAGGACAAGCACAGGATAATGCCAAAGGCTTGATGCAACAGCTGAAAGGTATGAGAGTCGAATTGAGATGCTGAAGGACGATGATGAAGAGACTCGAGGAGGTCAAGGCGACAGAGGCGCATACAAACGGCAGGGATACACCAAAGACTTCGGAGAAGGAGCCACTGAGATGTATTTGTCGACAAAAGCATGACGGAAGAGCAGCTGCCCGCACGGCAAGCGCCATCGTAAACCTCTCTCCTCAACAACTGAACTTAGCTCAATAATTAGAGAAACGGTGCAAGGTTCATGCCCTCACCGTCGCGCCGATCTCTACTTGAGCCGCATCTTTGTACGAGTACAAACGTGGGCAGAACGATGCTCAAGGACGAGGAAGACGTGAAATGCTGAGACAAAATATGCCGCTGACGCAGGCCATGGATACGGACCGTCTCCAAAACAGAAGAATGATCGACTTTAACAAAGCTCCACCCCCACTTCACCCCACACTGTCTGTCGACTTCTCCGATGAGACCTTCACAAGAGCTCGAGTCTGGCAGCATCTTGCCTTCCTGATGCTCGCTGTTCAGTATTTAATCATCGCCTACCCACGATGCATCATGCAAGGCAGTTCTGCCAGTTCTGGTTGCTGCTGACCGTTCCTTGTATCAGTATTGGCAAGGCTATATGCAAATCTGCATCCAGCGAAGAGATCGGGTTTGTTTTTCATCGGCCACACACGGACCACGGCGGGTGATGAACGTTACCGGCAAATCGTTGATGTCACGGACGCTCATCTTCCAAGACGATTTCTATGAGCAATTGATGTTACATGCGATTATTCTGTTGAGCAGAGCCTCGAAAAGTGTGTGGTTCAAGAGAAAGAGATTTTCTTGGTCAACTCAAAGAGAGCCGATATATCGTAGTATAAAGCCAGAGAGCGACTCCAGCTGGCAATGCAACCTCGAGGCTGAATGATCAGAGAGAAATGATCGAATGATAGTGGAGAACGGTGTTGCAGCATGTCGCCAAAGGCTTGCCTTGCCCTTCACACAGCCGTTGGTGACGATCATTCAAATGTTCCCCATCAGCTTTCACGTCTAGACTCCATGATGTCTCGATGTTGATGCTACTCGCTCTCACTGGATCAAGGATTTGTTAGAAGGTGAAGATATTCATGTACCGGTAAGCATCTATATCGCGCCGTCACGTGTGGCTTTTCGGCTATCGGCAAAAGCTCAGAGATTGAATCATGACTTCTTGGGACGGTCATGCGGCGCGCAAAAGGCAAAGCACACAAAAGGTACTCGACACGCGGATTACACCCCTCAAGTCTGGCCTGGTGCGGTGTGTTGAAAGAGAAAACGGCCTCGAGTGTTTATATTTCGCAAGCCATCTGTTGTTCACTGACGAGTCCGTTTGTTCATACTTGTTTCGCCTTGTTAGATACAGCGAAGCACTTGTCGCCATCATCACTACACGCTACCGCTGCCGCCGCCACTTGCTGCCCGACTGCCGGCATTAACGGGCGCATACCAAACGATAGAATACTGATGATCTGATCCACGCCCAAGACAGGCACATACCCGCATCGTAACTGCTGCAGAAACGCGCCTTGTATATTTAATCTCGCATCACAGCCAAGATGCGGCCTACACGACTCCTCTTATCGCTGTCGTCGTGCTTGATCTTCATCATCGTCCTGTCATTCGTCGCCGCATCCAAGACGAGAAGTGTATCTGCTGCACGCGACCGCAACAACCGTCTTGGAGCTTACTTCAGCTGGAACTCTCCATCGTCGTTGTTTCCACCCTCAGCTATCATCAGCTTGACCGATGACAATTCGACATTCTTCCTCGCTCGTCCCGCTGCTTTCGGCCCACCATTACCTGGAAGAGGCCTCAGTGGCCAAATCTGGATAGGCGCCGGCTTTGGCGACAACGATTCTGGTCATGGAGGCATCACTGGCTCCGAGGGAGAGCTTGGCTGTAGTGATGTACCAGGATGGGGAGACGGTGAATATCCCCCTGTCACCTTCGACACAACCCCTGAAGATGTAAAGAGCAAGAACTCGGGCGTACCAGATGGCAAAGGCAGCAAGCACAAGAGAGGGTCGAATTCGGATACACAAACGGAAGATGGCGCTACAGTCGTCCAAGTCGACGGAACAGACGACCATCTACACCAACCCCTATCTTCATCGCCTGACGCATCCTCGACACAGATGAAGCAACCTACTAACAAGGCCAAGAAACCTGGCCATGCCGACATCCAGTCTTTACAAGAGACGGCTGAAATCGCAGGCAAGGTTGTGCTGCTGAGTCGAGGTGGGTGTGGCTTCCTGGAGAAGGCCAAATGGGTACAAAGAAGAGGAGGTGTTGCCTTGATCGTGGGCGATGACATGCGCGGTGGTCCACTGGTGACAATGTATGCCCGGGGTGATACATCGAATGTCACCATCCCTTCCATCTTTACCTCGCACACAACCGCCCACCTCCTGTCTAAGCTGGTTCCTTCAGGAGGTTTCCGCAATGGCATATCCGCTCAGGACGCTGCGCGTCTGGGCCTTGGCTTACCAGTCGGTGGAAATCCTACTGAAAAGGATAAGAAGCAACCCGACTTGACTAACACTAGACCAACTCATTCGCCTGTTGTCAACCACAACAAGCAAGACGGAGAAGAGGAGTCAGGAAGTTGGCTCGGTTTACTGTTCTCGTCTTCTGACGAGGATCGTCATGACAGCAGAAGACCTCCGAGCAGTGGCAAGATTGACTGGGTCCTGCAGAAAGACTTTGAGGATGAGGTGCCAACGAAGTACAATACGAAGTCTACCAGTACCACCAAATCCATCAAACAAACGAAGGCTTCTAGCAGTGACGAGTTCGTCATTGGTGTTCACGATTGGCGGGACCCTGACCTGCTCGATTCCCAAATCAACGCTGCCCAGGCAGCATCAAGCAAGTTGCCAAAGTCGGCTGAACACAACTCTGCTGCCTCTCATGCAGGTCCAAAGGGTGGCAGCATTACTCCTGGAAGTGGAGAGTATCACCAAGCTGATGAGAAGCCGGATAATCTCAAGTCTACTAAAAAGCCCGAGAAGGGCCCATCTGAGTCTAGCAAGAAGATGAATTCTGACAAATCAAAGTCATGGATCGGTCGCATCGTCGGGTCTGATGATAAGGAAGCTCCGGCTCCCAAGAGCGTCAAATCACCTCATGTTGTGTCACAGGTTGGCCATAGCAAACCTGCGGTCAAAGCTACCAGTAGTTATGACGACACGGATGAGCCCCATGATGGTCTCTGGGTCACCTTAACACCCGCTTCCATGTCTTCGTCGCCATTCTTCGACACCTTGTTAGTCCTGGTCGTATCGCCTCTGGTCACGTTAACCATTGTTTACGCTCTACTACTGCTGCGCTCCCGCATTCGTCGTAGAAGGTGGAGAGCACCAAAGTCTATCGTTGACAGATTCCCTGTTCGGACCTATCACACTATACCTAGCAGCGCCGCTTCGAACGCTTCGGATAGTGCCACGACTTCACCCGCTGCACCAACTCAGACTACACCCCTTCTTCATTCTGGCGCCCGAGCGATCTCTCAGACCAGACCAAGACCAAGATCGCGTACGACCAGCGAAGTGCCTGTATCCGGATCCAGTCCGGCAAGTTCGCCAAGCCTGGATCAAGTGCAGGAAAAGCGTGAAGCTGGATTGGCCGAGTGGCGTAGAAGATACGGTGGCAGACAGCGCGACTGTGCCATTTGTATCGACGAGTTTGAAGACGGTGTCAGTCGTGTCATGAGCTTGCCTTGTGGCCACGAGTTCCACGTTGATTGCATGTAAGTTTGTCATATCTAAACACGATTGACCTGATCTGACATTATGCAGAACTCCATGGCTCACAACCCGTCGTCGCACTTGTCCCAATTGCAAGGCCGACGTCGTACGCTCATTCGGCCGCGGTGGCGCATCTTCTTACTCTTCAACATCTGCCCAACCCCTTCTCGCACATGCCCACGACGACTCGCTGGACATCGATGACGTACAGGAACAGGCAGCCAACACTCGTAACTACGATCCCGTTGCAAACGAACCAATCACGGATCTAGAGCAAGGTAGCCTCACTCCTGACCGCACTAGATGATCAATCTAGAGCAATTTTTATGAATCGGATGGTTGGCGTTTTCATCTCGCTTTTATGAGCAGGCTCTCTCCTCTTTTATGCATTGCCCATTATAGCATCAGTGGTGGAGTGGATTGAGGATCCGGTCAGATAGATCTTTGCTACATGTTCTCCGCTTTCTCGTAAAGAGGCTTTGGTCCTCTAGCTAGGCATGCTCGAACAAACACTCCCTGCACAGTGACAGAGACTTGTCATTCATGTGTTTGCCCATTCCCATTCGTTGCTCGAAATTCATCTGATTTGATGTCTCGTGGCGACTGGCACGATCGATCAGTCTACCGACAGAAGCCGCGACCCGAGCTAATATATTGCACATGGCATGCACTCCCACAAAGCCTTGCCACAACACAGTGTCCTGCAGTTGCCCGAAACCAGCAATGTGTGAGTCTCAACTTCCAACTCGGCCGGTTCCTCATTTGTCAGTGTCAACTCACCGTTCAACCGCAAGGAGTATGACAACACCATGCCGTGTTCGGGGAACAAGTCATCGAGTATCCACGTGCTAGACAAACACCCATCGCACGGTTTGTCCAAAATCGAACAAGAAAGGAGTTCACTTTGACAAGCGCGACGGTCCGTTACTGACCGGGCCGTGAGCCATCAGAAACTAGAGGCGTCTTGGCGGCGAATCTCTCCGCCGCTGCCGCTGTCGGTTTGCCTTTCTCCCACTTAGCTTCTACCCAAAGTCGTCCCCTGCATGGTGCAGGACGCGCTATGAAGGCCCTGAGAGCCACACCATCATGAAGGTAAAGAGAAGAATCTGGACGCCGCTCTATTGCCCTCTCGTCGCTGCAAGGGTCTGGAAGCCTTCGCGTAAATACGCAGGCTGGAAAGACGGGCCTACTCGAACACAATTGACATGTATAGCTATTGTGGCAGCCACGATTCTTTTTGCCAAAGTCACTGTAAGTACTCGAGCATACTTCTTTTTAACCAGGGCTCGCTTTGGGCTTCTTGCATGAATGTCTGCGATCTCTGTCGACGCGAGATTACTATTCTCGCAACGCATCTACGACCGAGTGTCTCAATCAAGCTGCTTCACAGTCCAATAGGTGAGTACCACCATAACGAGGAAGCCATACGCAAACACATCAGGATGGCCATGATTCGAACTGGGATAGAGTCACGGGCTGAAGACGCCATCTTGTACGCGAATCTACGCCAAAGATGCAAGTCATGCTGCAAGTCGACAGTTGACGTGCAGTGGCGCTTTGTGGAGACACGGCTAAAATCTCAGGGCCAGAACCTCCTGAGCAACCTTTTGACAGGAGTGTCTAGTAATACGCCGACCATTCACACGTCGCGAGAAGTTGGAACCAAAAGCAAGCCTCGACCCGACATCCCGTGTACATGTGTCTGAATTCAAGTCGCCATGCGCTATCTACCCGCATCTGCAGAAGGGTATGAATGGGCGGGCCATGTGGTCGCTAGCGCAAGTATACCATTGCTAGACCACCACACGTACCCCGTGTCCTGGTTTCGCTCGTTGCCCCTTCATATATTCATCTAGCCGTCATCTGATCTGGTTTATATGAGTCCACCTTTGCTCCATCTGAACTGAACCAATCTCCCGGAACATCGACTCGAAATCGGCGTTCTTCCCATCTCAATCAGTTCCCTGACTTCCGGATTCTCGATTGACCACCATCTATCCCAGACGATCTAACAACGTGACCGTTGCGAGCCCTGCAGGACTGTTCCCATCTGTCTTAAGGTGGGGAGAGCACGAAGATATTAGGATCCATTGAGCACCGCTCAAAGCCACGGTCGATCCGCTTCTCGTGGTCCGAAGAATAATTGTCCTTCCCTCGCAGATACAGACTTAATGGCGACAGTACTTGGAGTCGCGGTGGCATCCGCAACGACACCAACATCAACATTACCGTCCGAGTACTTTCCCTTCCCGGAAAGCATGTCGCCGTTACCACAATCGCTAAAAACTGGAATGCTGGTTCCTGGAACTATCGGTCTTCTGTCAGCTGCCTCGTCAATTGGCATGTTGCTTTTCATCATCTACAGATTCTTGACATGGCGTGCTCATTACAGGACGTTTGTTGGCTATAATCAATATGTGGCACTAATCATCAACCTCCTCTGTGCGGACTTGCTACAAGGTGTAGCATTCATGTTCTCGTATCATTGGGTGTTTACCGATGGCATTGTTGCACCTTCGCTCAAGTGCACGAGTCAAGGCTTCCTCCTCAATGCAGGTCAGTTGCTAATATTTTCACGATTTCGTGACGCATGACTGACTGTTCGTTTGCAGGAAACCTGTCTTCGGGCTACTTTGTCATGGCTATCGCACTTCACACGTTCTACGGTGCGGTCAAGGGTCGTCATCTCAAACCTGCAATCTTCTATCCCATTCTCGCTGGTGGCTGGTTCTTCGCACTCTTCTTGTCTGCCATGGGTCCTATAATCCATGGAAATCACTACTATGTCCGAGCAGGTGCCTGGTGCTGGGCTGCTCCGGAGTTTCAGACCGAACGTCTGGCCTTCCACTACATCTGGATATTCGTTGTCCAATTCGGTACCGTCATCGTCTACCTCTTGATCTTCCTACATCTCAAAAATACCTTGACCACAATCTTACCATCTTCACATTCGACCACACACGCCAAAGTGGATAGAGCAGCCAGGCTGATGCTCATGTTCCCACTTGCCTATATCATTCTCACACTACCTCTCTCTGCTGGTCGCATGTGGAGCATGGCCCACCACACCTACAACATACATGAAGGTTATCAACTAGCGTCAGGCGCTCTTATCGCCTGCTCCGGAATGGTAGACTGCCTCCTCTACACCCTGACCCGCCGAAGCCTGGTCCAATCCACAACATCCACCACCAACAAAAGCACAATTTCCAGCAACCTCGACAGCTACGACCTCTCCCGCCTCAACGGCATAACCCAAACCCGCACCGTCACAGTAACCGGCGACAGAGTTTCCACAATCTCCAACACCTCTCACATCAGCGAAGACGACGACGCCTACTCCATGCGCACCATCTCCACCACACCCAGAAAAAAGCACACACTCCGAGAACCTCCTCGTGCACATTCACCCACAAGTTCCATAGATAGAATTATGGGGGTTGAAGGCTTGGATCCTAGGAAACCGGCTCACAAGGTTCAGATCTCGACGTATGAAGCTAGGGTTTCTGAGGATGTGGATAGTTTGAGGGAGAGTGAGAGGTCGGATTCTCCGGTCAATGTCATGAGGGGGCTTGCTAAGATGGTGAAATTGCCGAATTTGATGGATAGGAAGTAGTGATGGTGGTGGTGGTGTGGCCTTTTCTTTCTTTTCTTTTCATGATAGGATGATTTGATTTTTCTTGTAGGTTGTATATACCAGTTTTCCTTTACGATTAGTTTGGCAATACATATTGTACATGGTAGCATTGTTTCAACCAAGAGCACTTGCCTTTCTCAGCTTCGTCTCGGTGTCTTCAATTCCCTATCATTCTCGACATCCCACGACTCTATCCACTGTCGCTAAAGCCCACGAAGCCAAACATCCACTCCCCACACAATCTCAACACGATTTCCAACCACCGATCACGTCACTTTCAACAAAGCGATACAACACCTTTTCAATCCCCCTTTGGGCTGTTGCCTGCGAGGTATATAGTCGATTCCAGCGCCGCACATCTCATCAATTCCATCAAATTGATCCAGGTCTCGTGGTCTAGCGGTATGATACTCGCTTAGGGAGGCAGCCTCACAGCAGCCTTGAAAACTCTAAGCCAATTGCGAGTGGTCCCGGGTTCGATTCCCGGCGAGACCCCTTCTTTTGCCCGTGTGAGCATTGTTTTGCATGTCAAAGGGCGTAGGGAAACAAGAAGCAGGCTGTGGTGAAGTTTTGAGGGATTTCGGTAAGAGGGGGAAAATCTTGGTGGGTGTAGAGTTGGAGTCTGAAATCGGCGAGTGCAATAAGCGTTGATTGGGGGTAAGGGTTCGGCAGACGGGCTTTAATCGCCAGTGGTCCTCTGTTTTGGCTTTGTGGATAGAGGTGATGACATAGACTTGGTCTCCCCGAGGACGCAAGGAGAAGTTTCGATATCGAAGCTTGATTGAGGTAGCTTATGTGGCACTGATTTCAGTAGAGGCCATCGAGTATCATGTCATCATTCATACATAGGAGAGTGCCAATACCGCACCAAGAAGTCACTGTGCTTTCGGTCGTGAAAGAGTCAAGATCTAGAGTGATCGCGAACCAGGTGCAAGAATGTTTGATGGTCGTGTGTAATTGTGTTTTTTGGGGTATCTATCCTACAAAAAGCCGAGGAAACAACTCGCTAGACTACTCGCTTCTTCCTACTACAATTCAATCAGACTCTCCTCGACCTTTGGCTGGACAGGCATGTTTTGTGGTGCTTGAGGAAAGCTCTCTTGACCATAACCGCCGTGCGTCGAGGGTGCTTGAGGCCATTGCTGCTGCTGAGGCTGAGCTTGGGGTTGCGAGAATTGCTGCTGTTGCTGAGGTGGAGGTTGTTGTTGATAGGGTTGCTGATATTGAGGTGGAGGTTGTTGATGTTGTTGAGGAGGTTGGGTGTATGACTCTGGACTGACGGGTTGGGGAGCGGATACTTCAGCGTAAGAGTGTTGGTGGTCAGGTGGTGAGACTGGGTTTTGTTGAGAGGGAGGGGCGTATTGCTGATTTGGCTGAGCATATGGTTGTTGATGTTGATGAGGAGTGCTGGGAGGTTGAGGTTGTTGTTGTTGTTGTTGAGGCTGGCCTTGTGGAGGGTATTGAGAGTATTGTTGTTGGTAGGCAGCTTCGGGGGGAGCTTGTTGTGGGTAAGGCTGTTGAGCATATTGTTGATGCTGGTTGAAGGATGGGTACGGGCTTTGAGTGTAGACGTGGGAATCCATGGTCGGAGCTGAGCTGTTGTAGTAACTCTCGACACCACCCATGGGAACACTAGGCGGCGCACCGACGCCACTGGACAACGAAGGATACATGTTGGATTGAGGACGAGGGACGACGCCGTAACGGCTTTGGTTGTATGTGCTGGACAAGCGCTCTTCCAACATGCGGTCGTAGTATCTCACAACAGTGGCCATTTTGGAGTGTATGTCAAGTAGTGTGTCGTGCTTGCTCATAGTCTCTCCATAAGTCCTTGCCAGCTTAGGCCTCAGCGACCCAATACTTTCGTACAGCTCTTGAAGTTGGGGTTCGCGGAGGATGGCACCTGGTGGCTGATGTTGCAGACGATCGACCAGAGTTGCAAACAGATTGATATTCTCGGCCTCGACAGCGGTGAGTTCGTGGTTCGTCTTTGGCACGTAGACGCTGGGAGTGCTCGATCTTTGCTGTTGTTGCTTGAAGCTAGCCAAGTGTTTCTTCTTTTGTTCCTCCATGTCGGCCAAAGATGCTGCAATGGCTGCTGCCAGCTCCGGATCATCTTCTTCCTCTTTCTTCGGTGGGGGTGCCTTTTGGACAGGCTTTGGTGTCGTCATTTGTGATTGTGGTACGTAGCCGGCACCAGATTGACCCCTTGAGTCTTCCAAGCTCATTTCCAGCGCTCGCTTGAGGTCGGCATCAAATGAGTCTTCGGCGACACGAGGATCGCGTGCCTGCATACGGCCGGCATGTGGAGGTTTCGTGGCGTAGACTGGGAAAGGAGCGGTGCGGGACGACTTTTCGGTAATTCTGGCGAAACAACCATCGTCGACGCGGACTGGTGTGAGGATACCGAGGTGTGGTAGAGGGATCGACTTGGACGAACATTGTCCGCAGAAGACATTTCCGCAGTTTCGACAGTGGTGCTTGCGGTTGGTAAAGGTGAAGCGTTCTCGACAGCGCATGCAGACGTCCGAGTCTGCCCATTCCGGTGGCTTGATATGCGTGTTAGTAGAGCAGAGCGACTTCGGGGAAGGAGAGAACATACAGCACTACTGTCGAACATTGTAGCAGCGACGTCGGTCTTGGGCGGGAAGCGGAAGCCCTCTCTCTGCAAGGAGCGATATGTTTCGTCAATGTAGCCAAGCGAGGAGCGGCCTGTAGCGGCAGTAGCCCAGGATTGGACAAGGTCAAGGATCCTCGTCTTGACTTCTTCGTTCAGTGGAGTGTTGACAAACGAGACCAGGTTGTCCATAAACTCGCGCGAGGCAATCTCCTGGATAAAGTGCTCTCCACCGTTCTTGACGCAAGTGTCGGTCAGGTTGAGGGCGGCCAGTTGGATGTTTGGATTCTTGTTGCCGATCCTCCGTTTCAGCGAGCGCATGGCCTCTTTGGGAGGGATGGTCTTGCTTCGGATCAAGTCAGTGATCTCGAGGTTGAGAGCAATGTCCTCCAAGCTACTTGAAGTTGCTCGCTCGACCTGTTCATCCATGGCCGATGAGCCGGCACCGAACCACGACGCCATGATGTAAGCTGTTCAACCAGAGATGTGCTGTGTAGCTTGAAAATCTACCTTGGTTGCGTCTACAGGCAGTTTGAAGGTGGCAGGAGTGGCAGGAGAGGTGGATGGGGCGAGAGGTGAGTTGGTTTCGAAAGTCGGAGCTCTCTGGTGATGCCTAACGGCGGCTGCTTCAGCTTGGGGAAGGCGCGTGTGGCGGGCGATCGCGGCCTGCCGAGCCCCGAACGTCATCCGGCTGCGACTTCTCTGGGGAAATGGCATCCACCGGTTTCATCATCATCGCCATACAACAAACGCCTGCCTAATTGTTCAGACTCGTTCTTCACCTGCCATTTCCTAGACGCGACTTCTCCACGACATGCACGCCTTCTCATTACCTCGATCGACTCAGTCATGAGCCCGCCCTACCCCATCTCTCCCACCAACATGGCCGTGCCCGACTTCAATCCCGTCGCTACGCCGAACAAACCATACCCGCACATCGAGGACCTGAAAGACCGGGCAAAGATCAGCTCTGTAGACAAGAATCAATCGCTCAACCATCTGCTCACCGAAGCCTCGACTGCTGTCAAACAAGCTGAAAGTCTGGTCGAATACCGCCGTCCTGATCTCGCCTATGTCGAGTACTTGCGAGCATTTGAGATCGCTGTCGCCATCATCCCACAACACGAACAGTACCCAATCCTGAGCAGTCGCCGAGGCTCTCAGTTCAATTCGCATCAGTCCATCCTGCGCAAGATTAGTCACCTTGCGGACCGCTTCGACAAGATCAAGGAAATCATCGTCAACGACAACAAGCGAAATGCTACTCCAAGACTCTCCGACATTCCTGCCCGCCGCTCATCTATCCGCTCGTCACCTCCTGCCGTCAACGGCAATGCCGCCCTCGCCGATCGTTTCGCAAAGCTTCGCATGCAACCTGCTCCCGTAGACACTTCTACCTCTAGCAGGCGTGTTGATTCCCGTGCATCCATAGCCTCCAGCAATGGCTCAATCACTTCTCCTACATCTTACAGCAACCGCTCGTCTGTCGAATTCTCAAACTCGTTCACGAACGGCTCCTCAAGGCCCGCTGGTCCGCGCCAGATGCCCAACGGCGCTTCGGGCCACCCATACGCCAATCGCATGACCCTCGACACGTCCGTAAACGACTCCCTGCCGACTGCCCCTGCACCTACCTATAGTCCAGCTCGTAACATGAACACTCCTAGCCACATCGACCCTCCAAGGACAAGTGCCCGTAGTATGGTTGGAACTGGCGGAAGGAGTAATTCGGTCGCCTCGGTCGCTTCCTCATATGCGCCGGGTAACGAAGGAGAAGACTCAGCGGGCTACTTCCCGCGTATGCCGCAAGATCGACCACCGCCTGGTCCACCTCGACGAAAGTCCGTACACCGTCCTTCTGAATTGCGCATTGGTCCTGAACGCCTTTACGATTACCTCAAGATGCATAGTGTCTTGCTGATAGACGTCCGAAATCGCCAAGACTTCGACGATGGCCACATATACGCTCAGTCAATTATCTGCATCGAGCCAGCCGCCCTGGAACCTAATATGTCTGCAGAGCAACTCGAAGACGCCCTCATCCTGTCGCCAGACATTGAACAGTCCATGTTTTACAATCGTCACAAGTACGATATTGTTGTCTATTACGATCAGAACATTTCTTCCGAAAGCTTCATCCACAGACCGACTTCAGAAAGAGAAAGGAACTTGAAATATCTATACGACGCACTATACGAGTTCAACTCAGAGAAGCCTCTACAACGTCCACCAATCCTGTTGATGGGAGGCATTGAAGGTTGGGAAGACTTGGTTGGTGATCAAGCCTTGAAACGATCAAACACTGTCGCGCAACAGAAGTCTGGCCGCCCAATCAAAAGGGTACCAGTGGCTAGCAAGGAGTCGAGACTATACGTGCCTAAGAAGCGCTTACGAGACTACAATCCGCTAGATCCTGAAGAGGAACGAAAGTGGCATGAGCGAGCCCGTGTGGAGAGTGTCGTCGTCGAGCGTAAACCTTCATTCGACGAAGAGGACGAGTCACGGCAAAATGAGAACGGCACCCAAGTCTATCAATCTATCGAGGAGTTTGTACGTCGATTCCCTGAAGCTGGCTCGCTTGAGCAGCGATATGGAGTCCAGGAACATCCCACATCATTACTCCCAGCCCGGCCACAACAGGTGCCATCATATCCCTCACCCCCACCGAAATCAGCAATGCCCTCAATCCCGTCGCGACCAGTACCTGCTGCGGCTCGCGTCTCTTACAGCGGTGTTAGTGATCATCGCGCCGTCTCGGCTCAAAACAGTGGCCCTGCATCTACAGAACTCCCACCTTATGTGCCTCCAAAGTACTTACCCTCGAACCTCAGACTACCACGGACAGGTCTTGTCAACTTTGGCGTTACATGCTATATGAATGCGACCATACAGGCTCTTTCAGCAACCACACCTCTTACACTCTTCTTTCTTGACGACAGGTTCAAGACCATGGTGCAACGAGACAACTGGAAAGGTAGCAAAGGTGTGTTGCCTGAGTTGTACGCAAATTTGATTCGGAGCATCTGGAAGGGTGATGTTGAGGCTATCCGCCCAAGCACACTACGATCTTTCTGTGCTCGACTTAATAGCGAGTGGGGCATTGATCGTCAGCAAGACGCGAAAGAGTTTTTCGATTTCCTGGTCGATTGTCTGCACGAAGATCTGAACAAGAATTGGTCAAAGACACCACTCAAGGCTCTAACGGCGGATCAAGAAGCAACTCGAGAAAAGATGCCCAAGCCCATAGTCTGTCGAACAGAGTGGGGCAGGTATACTCATCGCGAGCAGTCGTATCTCACTCAACTCTTTGGCGGCCAACACGCTTCTCGTCTGCGATGCACGACTTGTCATTTCACATCCACAACCTACGAAGCATTCTACAGTATCTCGGTTGAGATTCCTCGATCCGGTGTTGCCAGTATTCAGGACTGTCTGAGATCATACTGCGCAGAAGAAAGATTATCGGGTGACGAAGTCTGGAAATGCCCTCGCTGTAACTGCGAGCGTGAGGCTACCAAGAAGATCACCATCACGCGAGCTCCCCAGTTCCTCGTAGTGCACTTCAAGCGCTTCAGTGCTGGAAGAGGCGAATCTGCACGTAAAGTCCGCACACCCATCGACTTCCCGCTGAAAAACTTGGACATGTCACAATACATGCTGCCATCACCTAGCGAGCAGGAAACACACCTCATCAGCAAGCAATATGGTGGTGATGCACTGAAGCCAGATCCTACCATGTCACCGCCGTATCTCTATGATGCTTATGCTGTTATGAGACATATTGGCACAACTCTGACATCTGGTCATTATACGTGTCTTGCCAAAGACCGAGCAAGAGGTTGCTGGAGACAATTTAACGACACCAATGTTGGCGACTTTGACCCTGAGAGATTGACGGAGAGGGATCGTTTACAGAATGAGATGGCATATATAGTATTTTACGAGCGGAAATTGGGAAATGCATAGCGAAGGACGGGAACATATTTTGTATATCGAAACCACTTTGTGTCAATCCACTTTCAAAATCCTGATGACAGATGCAAGGAAGGGAGCAAAGGAAGTTTGTTGGAAATCGATGTGCGATAGGCTTTGTAAGTAAAATCATACAAGAGATGGCATTTCCACATCACAAGACTTTCAAATCTTTACCGGAGCTTTCTCCTCACATCCAAAAGCCACCTAAACTGCCCCTTCTCCATCCCAAAGATCACCCTCAAGCGAAACACTCTACAAAAGCTCCGGCTCCACAACCCCCACTTGGTCCACAATCCTTGCATAAGCCTCCGTTCTCCTATGTCTACCAAAATCAAATGTTTTCTCCCTTCCTTGTCTACATTCCTCCAAGTCGATTTCTGCAACGACGAGTTCGTCATCTTTTGTGGTTGATTCGGCGAGGACATGGCCTTCTGGGTTTATTATTGCAGAGCCGGAGATTAGATTGTAGTGGTTATCGTCTAGACCGCAGCGGGCGGCGGAGATGCTGAAGAGGGAGTTCATGTATGAGTTTGATTGTTGTACTAATTTGCCTGTTTGTTGGTTTCTACGTATCAGTTGTTCATCTCCCAGAACATGATGTTTAGGGGAAGAGGTGGGGTAGAGACACACTTACTGTGGAATAAAGCCTCTTTCTCTGCTTCTTCTTCACTCATTGGTTTTGTGGTTCCCCAGAGGTGTGGACTGTGTGCTACGGTGTTGTAGCCTAGGAGAAGGAGTTCTGCTCCTTGAAGAGCATAAGATCTCCAAACTTCTGGCCAGCGACGATCGTTACAGATCATCATTCCCAACACCGGATCGCCTTTTCCTTGCTCTTCTTTTCTCTCCACTAATCCTGTGGTACCTGAAGATTGCTTTGTAGTGATGCTAGAGGAAGGCAAAAGATTAGGAGCGCGGAAAGCAGGGAAGCCGAGGTTTCCAGGTGTAAAGTAGCGTTTTTCGAGTTGGTTTACAGCTTCTGGATCGCTGAAGGGTTCGACGGTGCCAGGCAGGTGTACTTTGCGGTATTTGTTGATTATTTTGCCTTGGCTTGCGGAAAAGTAGATGCAGGTATTATAGCCTGTGCCATCTTCTGTGCGTTCGGCAAAACCGACGCTGATATCGATACCATACTCGGCAGCTTTTTGGAACAGAGGGGCAGTAGAGGGAGAAGAAAGGAGGTCGTCGTTGTGTTCAAAGTATGTGTCTAGTTCTGATTGAGAGGTAAAGAGGTGGCGGGGGAAGAATGTTGTAAATGTGCATTCGGGGTAGAGGACCAGTTGCACTTTTTGAGAAGCTGCTTGGTCGAGGAGGGAGATTAGACGAAATAGTGTCTCTTGTCTGTCGGCGTCGCGATGAACAGCACCGACTTGTGCAGCTGCTACTTTGAGGATTCGAGGCATGTTTGTGGGTTTTGGAAGACGATGGGATGGAGAAACTCTTGGACGGATGTGAAGATGGATCTTGTAGATGGGCACTTTTTAATGGAAGACGTGGAGTCGCGTCTCTTACTTACTTGTGCCTCGGCCAAGGTGGTATCAACCTCATGTGCCTACCTTGATGTACCTACAATCATTGATAGTGGCCTATTGATAATGGCCGCTCAGATCTTGTCCGCCTTGTAGGCGTGTGAGCTGACAATTCCCTATCGCCCGCTCCGCCTGCCTATCGCGGAAGCTTCGGGCAAGCTGTACAATGCGCCTATCTTTGCGATCGGCTCACGGCAGTCAGTGGAGATACGTTGATTCCGAAAGTCATAGAGAGTCTGCGGAGTACTGAAAAGATCGATGGCATTGCTGCGACACTTGTTGAATTTCCTCTTCTGTGTCACAGGAAGAAGAAGTAAGAAAGAACGTTCGTCTGTGTCGAAAATTGGATTGGAGAAACGCCAAGACCTTATCACGTCTACACATTCGACATGGACTTTGATCTTGTGGTCAAGAATGGTCAGATTGTGAGTAGAAAATATCCAGATGCTAGAGCTTGTGGACGCATCATGTAGATAGGTCTCGAGGGCGAGATTGTTTGCTGTTAATCCACTTGTCCTCCAAGCCTGACACCAGCATCGCCATCATCAAATCGCACAGAAGTCCAAAGCGAGACTTCGAGATGAGCGAACATTTTACTGACCACTGCTTCAGGTCACAGCCAGCGAAATATTACCTCTCGGCCTCGAGATTGGAGTGAAAGGTGGCAAGATCTCTTGCATAGGAACATCTCTCCCAACAACCCCTGCAACAAAAGTCATAGATGCAGAAGGAGCCTACATCACACCCGGCGGCATAGACTCTCACGTTCATCTCGCCCAAGCAAACTCTCCCACCGGTGATGACTGGGAAACTGGATCCCGCAGTGCCATCGCAGGTGGCACAACAACCATCATCGCCTTTGCCAGTCAAGAGCGGCATGAAGAGTCTCTGATGCCTGTACTGCAAGACTACCATGCCAAATCCAGGGCGCAGAGTTATTGCGACTATGGCTTTCACTTCATCTTGACAAATCCTACAAAGCATATTTTGCAAGAGGAATTACCTATCTTGGCAGAGGAAGAAGGGATTACCAGTGTAAAGCTTTACATGACTTACGAGCCTATGAAAGTCAATGATCGAGAGTTACTGGAGATCATGCTGGCGTGCAGGAAACTAGGCATGACGACCATGATCCACGCGGAAAACTCGGATATGATTGCCCTGATCATCGAAGGACTAGAGGCTAATGGCAATACGGAGCCTTTCTTCCATTCTATCGCCAGACCGCGGATTGCAGAGGACGAAGCCTCTTATCGCGCAATCTCACTGGCGGAACTTGTGGACGCACCAATCTTGATTGTGCACATGTCTTCGGAGACGGCAATGGGGCATGTGAGAAAAGCACAGACGAGGCTCTTGCCCGTTCATGCAGAGACTTGTCCTCATTACTTGTTCCTATTGTCGGAGGAGATCAAGGGCAAACCACATGATCATTTCTCTGGTGCCAAGCATGTTTGCTCACCACCATTGAGACACCATGCTGAAGACTTGGAAGCACTTTGGCGAGGTATCGCGAATGGCACATTTACTGTCTTTTCCTCCGATCATGCGCCGTCAAAGTATGATCATCCTGGAGGCAAGAAATTGGGTATTGTCGATGGCATACCTCGTTTCGCCAAGATTCCAAATGGTGTGCCAGGTGTTGAGACGCGTATGTCGTTGTTGTTCAGTCAAACTGAGGCATGTCTTTCGCCAGATGAGGCTCGTCTGGGTCTGCCGAGATTTGTGCAATTGACATCAACCAATGCGGCCAAGATGTATGGCTTGGGTGGAGTCAAGGGAAGCATCGCACCTGGTTATGATGCTGATCTTGTCATTTGGCATCCTGGCAACAAGGGCGAATGTGTAATCAGCCAGAATATGCTACATCATGGGGTTGACTACACACCATTTGAAGGGATGAAAATGCGTAATTGGCCAAGATATACTGTTCTGAGAGGCCAGATCGTATGGGACAAGGACGGAGGAGGTGTGTTGGGAGAAATGAAGTACGGCGAATATCTCAAACGAGGAAAAGGACAAGTGGTCGTCGGGAAGACCGGCGGCAGAGCCCATGGTATGCTGGAGAATGAGAGACGATACTGGATGCAATGATGTTGGGAAATTATGGACGGTAATATCCGATGTTTTCGTAGGGGATTACAGGGCTGGGGATTCCATTTCACTCAGCTCCTTGTACCGCTTGCGTATATCTCTTAGGGTCCGGATGTCCTCGTAGCCTCTAGGCATGGCCGTTTCCCAGTCTGATGCTGTATAGTGCTTGTTACATAGCCATAGTTTTGGATCATTGAGACTTTGCCACTGATAGAACAGAGTCAGCATAGAATCAATAGACAAATATCAGAAGTCAGGTTTTGACTCTGTGCTGTTGACCCGGCATACAAGACGAGTGACTGTACCTACCCATGACCTTAACAAGACACGTTCCATCGAACAGCCAGTGCAATAATGCGCGAGTCCCTCTGAATTGTGGACAGGCCGATAACTCTTCCAAGGAAGATTGTCGCGCGCCCACGCGCCGCGCTTTGCTTTAGTCGAACTGAAGCATAAGTCGTAGATGAAGTTGTTTCTGATACGATACTCATCTCCCTTATGCGCTCGTGCCCAGGCAGCGGATCTCTCGCGCGCTCTCGCTGCGAGAGCGGGATCCTTGGCATGTCTCCTAATTCGTGATTCGCGCCAGACCTGCAGATGCATCTGATATAAATCTGGCTGCTGAGTGCGTAGCTATTCCAGGAACTCTTTTGTGTTCGTCCTGGCTTTGCTTCGCATTTTAATCAACTCGGGATGCTCTTGCAGCTTCCGCGCATAGGCTTGCATGCTGCTGAGAAGCCGCGAAAACATCGGCGTCCTGGTTGGTTGGCTTAAAAGATGCGCTACCCGTAGATCCCGCATTTGAGTTGTGATTCTATTCATGATCGCTGTTCTAGAGAGCTTTGTTGATGATTTTGACAGGGTGTATCCAGTGGGACGTGTATTGCGAGGCATATCAAAAGAATCCTGTGCCGCGTAGACACAAGATGGAACGCCCCAGGCTTGGCAGACGGGCTGTCGCGTGAAAATGGTCTGGCAAGAAGCATGTCTTGTTCATTCATATAGCTTTGTCCCCAGCAAGCTTTGAAGTCTTGGGTCTCTCCTTGCTCAATTGCTCATAACGTGCGCGGATTTCCTTCATTGTTCTAGCATCTTCGTAACCTTCTGGCATGAAATCTTCCCATTTTGCTCGGGTACAACAGCCATTGCAGACGAACTTCTCGCTTACGGGCGTTTTGGATTCCTGGACCCACCTGTGGTTGACAACTTGAGTTAGTACGATGCTTGAAGAGACTATAGGTCATGGTCTGTTCGAACGATACAGGACAACGCTCTGGATTCTGATATGTACAACAATGTGTTGAGGTAAACCCACAAAGTACTTGGCTGACCTTGAGTCGCAGCAACTGTAATCCAGTGAACGTACCAATTTCTTCTTTTGAACCAATTCAAGCAACTCGCACATTGACACTCGATTGGCTCTTTTGCCCGAATAGGACGAAAGTGTTTCCAGGGTAGCATCTCGCGAATCCAAGAAGAAGCGTCTCCTTCCCTGAAACACCAGTTGTTTATCCGCCTCCATTTGATCACTCTGTCGTTATGTTTGTTCAGATGGTGAGAAGCTAGCGCCCTGGCTCTGTTTTTCATGGCGGTCTCAGCGTCAATACTGGCCATGTAAATAGCCATAGATGCTCGGTGCCATTCGTTGTACGATTTGATTAGTTCAGGAGATGCTTTCACCCTGGCATACAATTCCTTGGACATGCCGTGCGCCTCCTTGTATTTGGCATACAGTTCCGGATAAGCTTTCAACTTTTGGTAAAAGCTGGGAACATCCCTGTAGGGGCGATAGGAACGGAAGAGGCGCATATACATAAAATTCCTCATGGATGTCGTGAACGAGCTAAGACGTCCAGTCCCTCGAAAGTGCCGGCACGACGCTGTGGGAAACCTTATTGACACTTGAGAGTGCATTGATGTAAGATGGAAATCGTGTCATTCAAGACTGACTGATGACGGAATGTGTTATCTGGAGGTATTGCGGAGGTCGATCGTCTGGGGTGGTCAGAGACAGAGAAGCATCTGCCATAGTTTCGCATCCTCGCACGCTTGGAAGGCCGCCAAGATGACGTGTTTGGAATCGGGCTTGGCGCGTCTACGCATGCCGACGTCGAGCGTAATGAAGTCTAGATGGCAGGCGAGTATTGAGGAATAGCAAGACCATCATCAACAGCAAGCAGCGCGACCATGTCGGAAGGACTCTTCTTCAACGTCACTACCGGCTATATCGAGGGCGTTGTCCGTGGTTATCGTAACACACTATTGACTGGTCAACAATACAGTAATCTGGCACAATGCGAGACGATCGATGGTATACTCTCCCTCCGTGTCGCTTGGAGTCACAAAGAGCTCTGCTTACCCATGCCACAGATGTGAAGCTTCAACTCGGTCCAGCATATGGAGACTTTCTTGCCGACCTCCCTCCAAACCCTTCAACGAGCACGCTCGCCGACAAGTTACTTGACAAGCTCGTCTCCGAGTTCCGCTACGTTCAGGCCAACGCTACAGGATCCTTGTCCAAGTTCATGGAGTTCTTGACCTACGGGTATATGATCGATAATGTTGCCCTCCTCATCACCGGAACTCTCCACGAAAGAGATACCCGCGAACTCCTCGAACGCTGCCACCCCCTAGGCTGGTTCGAGACCATGCCTGCCCTCTGCGTTGCCACCAACATCGAAGAGTTGTACAACAGCGTCCTCATCGAGACTCCTCTTGCTCCCTACTTCAAGGGCTCCCTGAGCCATCAAGATCTTGACGAACTCAACATCGAAATCATCCGTAACACCCTCTACAAGAACTACCTGGAGGACTTCCACAACTGGGTCAACACCCATTCTGGTGTCGCTGGCAGCCCGACTGCTGAAGTCATGACCGAGATTCTCGAATTCGAGGCAGACCGCAGAAGCATAAACATCACACTCAACTCTTTCGGCACCGATCTTTCAAAGGCCGACAGACAAAAGCTGTACCCTGGCTTTGGAAAGCTGCACCCTGAAGGAACTTTGATGTTGTCAAGAGCAGATGATCCGGAGGCTGTCAGGATAGCTGTTGATGGTGTACATGACTACCGCACTTTCTTCGACCAGACCGGCATGGGTTCTGGCTCGAATGTTGGCAACATGGCTGGTGGTTCGGACGAGGGCAAGAGCTTGGAAGATTTGTTCTATCAAAAGGAGATGGAGTTGTCCAAGCTTGCCTTCACTCGGCAGTTCACCTATTCTGTCGTCTACTCATGGGTCAAGCTGAGGGAGCAGGTATGTTACACTCATCGTCGACCTTACTGGCATGTACTAACAGAAGCGTAGGAAATCCGCAATGTCACTTGGATTTCCGAGTGCATTGCTCAAAACCAGAAGGACAGAATCGGCAACTACATCAGTGTCTTCTAAGCTGATCTGCACAAGCCTCTTCTAATTCTTGTTTCCGACCCTGGCGTTCATACCCATTTGTTAGCGTAAGATTTTGTTCATGTTGATTGTTCTTCTATGGTTTTGCTAGGCACGCTTCTAGACCTCTTGTTGTTTCACGTACAAAATGCATGCAAGATTGACTCAGACTTTCTGCCACATTTCTAATATGAGGTCTGTTCGCTGCTGTAGATTTGGTAAACGCTCATACGACCAGAGCAGGTGCGTCAAGGTAGATTGATAGTCACGGCCTATTTGCCACTGGAGCATTTCATTCTAGTGGTTCGAACAGGTTACAGGATGAAGGTTCCTGCCGCTTCTGTCGCAGCTACCCGCAATCTGATCGTACCCTCGTGCCCGTCCATCGATATCTCCAAAGTCTCACATGCTCTATGTTTCAAAACAAACAAAACCACTGTCATCAACTTCTTCCAGCTCCTTCGAAGTACCAAGATGGGCGACACTTCGATGATGACTCGTACCTCTTTCAGCTCCAAGTTACAGACTCTCGCTTCGAAGGTGTTCGGCACGCTATTCACCAGGCGTCATCTCACGCCAACACTTGTGGAAGGCACGCGTCAGGCTGCAATTCCCTTATCTGAATCCACCTTGTCCAGCGACTCAAGCCGCGCAAAAGATTCAGCCAGCCATCAACAACATCATTCTTCCAGTTCGTCATACCCTCCTCCAATCTTTCATTACTGATCACTTCAGCTATGACAAGCGCATACAGCTTTGCCGACGGCGGTGAAATACCACGAGGAGATCCTAACAGAGACGCCCGACCGGCCAATGTATCAAGACCAGTTGAAGGCTTCACGGGACACTCTCAGCAAGATACACAAGCAAAGGATGCTTCTTCGCAGCTGAATACCCGCGCAACAATTCCCACTAGCGATCTCTCTCAAAAGTTCAAGCCCCGCTTCGAGGACGGATCTGAGATCAAGCTGGAATACATGCCGTCACTCGCTCGCAGGGCTGATCAGGACTTGCTGGCATACCTTCAGAAGCGGAAGATCTCGCTTCATTTCCTCAACGATATCGATAATTTCCTGAAAGGTCATCCGGAACTCTTAAAGGCTTGTCCGAGTTGGTGTCATTCACTCAATGACCTGCCTCCACTGCAAGCTTACTTGTTCTTTGTCAAGGGCTACCTGCGCCCCGCAAGATACGAAGACGGAGTAAGTTCTGAACTACATGCGAGACGACAACTTCCTCTGACAGGCTTCACAGGCTCTGCCAGGTCCAGAGGATGAGCAAATCCCAACTCGCCCAATCTCATTGGAGCACCACTCACATGATCCGGAGCTACACGAACACGTAACTGATATTGGCCAATGCCTCGAACTTCTAGGTGGACTCGATCAGGTCATTTGGCTGCTAACCCAGGCATACCATTCGGGTCAACGACTCGACGAACGACAGATAATTCTTCTGATCATGGCCACTTATGCACAACCAGTCGACGCTCTCAAGTATTACGAGTATTGCTACATGGCCAGCTTCCATCCTGACAGGTATGCAACTCGGTGACAGTCACGTCGAGAGCCAAGCTAACTACTAGTACAGACACGTCCAGGAGCACAGTCCGTATGCGACTCCCGCAATGCGGCCATTGCTAACACATTATAGATGTTCTCAGTCACCTACCCCACATAGAGTCTGTACCAAAGCGCCAGTCGGCTTCGCGACCCGCACCCCAAAGTCAGGCAGCTACAAAGCCTTCGACCAGATTGAAGACCACACGAACAAAGAAGCGTCAACAAAAGCGCAGTTCAAAATATGATCATGACCAAAGACGGAGAGGACCACCCAAGTCTCGGTCCAGACAGCAGCCCATTATCGACCAACCCTATGGCCTCAAGGCATCGGGCGTAGAGTTGATGAAATCCCACCGCCGAACACGCATTGCCATGGCCAGGGCAGCCGACCGCGGCCACGATGCCATCCCGGTTTTGATTGACTGCTTCGCCGAGACAGTGCATCACCGGTCAGCAAAAAGACCAAGTCGAGAGGAGATGATTCGAATGTGTGAAGTTGCCTACGAGGTAATGGAGAGAGAGTACCTCACTGGAGGAGGCAGAGATATTGTGGACCTGGTCATGATGCTGGCACCCCAAGCTCGCTACAGCAACGTTCCATCTCACTTTCATCCTTATGTCAACAAACCAACCGGAGCATACTACGGCGTCCGTTCTAGGTATGTGAGGTCTGCCACTAATCAGTTGAGAGCGCTCTACGATCTGGAGGTGCGCAAAGGTCATGACCCTCTGTTCGTTCGCGAGGTGAAGAAAGCAGAGTATAGGTTGACGGATTTGATCGGCTGGTATGGCAGATTGGATGGCTCGATGAGCAAGGAGGAGTACAACTTTCTTCGCTCCAAGTTCCCACATCGCCGATTCAACGACGATCGGGAGTATGACGAGATCAACCCTGGCCGTTATGATGTTCTACTGTTGTTGGAGAGGTGGCTGTGAGGGGAGAGAAGTCTATGTATGCTAAAGAAAGACTGGAGATGAGATGGACCAAGTTTGACGGAGGATGTGAGAGAGGATGCATGGCTATGGTGATTGTTATGGGAGCATTTCTTAGATGGGAGTTCCTTTGCTGTTATGGGGATAGGCTGATGATGCGATGGGGGATATGAAGGACATTGAGATCATGGTTATAACGATGAGAACGACTAGGTTGTATATTATCGCAAGCTCGAGCAACACGTCGAATAATCTACCTTGATGTGAAATGTGAGGATCAAGACGAGGACGATGATGGGAGTAGAGAAGATTATTGCCAAGACATGGAAGCTCCGCAGCGGAAAGTCGTCGGCAGGGACTTCCGCTGATCTTTCGGCGTCTCAAGAAACTTTTGCGACAAGCAACTTTTTTCCCAAACACAAAAAACAAAACAATCATGGCACGCAGAACAAAGACACTGGCCGAGCAGCTCGCTGAGCTTGACAACCCTGCTCCCAAGGGTATGGAGGATCTTGCGCGGCTCATTTACTCAGCAATCTCTAACAATTACCTGCAGACTTTGATCCGGAAGAGGAGCCGCCACAGGACGACAGCGATGAGGATGTCTCGGATGACGATAATGCCGCCGCCGCAAGAGAACATTACGTCGATGTTGGCAAGAGCAAGTTGCGCAAGCGCGATGTAGTACCCCTCGGACCCAGATACGATGGAGCTCAGATCAGCAGAGATGCGGCTACTGGAGAAGACGAGGATGAGGATGATCCGTTCAGCAAGGGCTTCGACGAGGAAGAGAGTGAGGATGATGTTGATGACGCTGCTGAGCTTTCTGCCTCCGAGGGCGAGGATGAGGATGTCAGTGACGAGGACGAGGACATGGAAGATGGCGACGAGAGCCCCGCTACCGACATGAGCGACGAAGACGATCAAGACTCGGACGAAGACGACAACAGACAAGTCGAGGACAAGACGGAGCTCCGCAAGATGATGGCCGAAGAACAAAAGACCGTAGCAGCCAGCCTCTCCCAAGCCGCAAAGCAAGACGCAGAAAAAGGTCGCGCCGTAAAGGCCCAACGCACAACCTTTGACTCGCTCCTCAACACACGCATCAAGCTTCAAAAGGCTCTCATCGGCACAAACACCCTCACCGGTGTCATCACCACCTCTCCACCTACAAAAGACACCCAAGCCGCCTTCCTCGCCGCCGAAACCGCAGCCTTTACACTCTGGTCAACGCTGAACTCACTCCGCGAAACCCTGGAATCTTCCCGCACAGGCCGTAAACGCAAACACAGCGCATACACCCTAGATACACCAACCTCGGACCTCTATGCTTACATGAAGTCGCAAGAACTTTCCGTGCAACCCACCCGCGCCACAATCCTGGAGAAGTGGAACCAAAAAGCCAGAGGAGCTTCTGCAATCACCACAAAGAACAAATTGAACAACACTTCCTCATCGCAAGGTCTGGTTGACGTTCTGCAGGAGCAGTTACATGGAGATCGATTGATCAAAAGAGCCAGAACACCCCGCTCTTGCGCTCCTCTCCAACTCTCCACCCCTGCCGCTTCCACAGAGCAAGAAAGCAACATCTACGACGACGCAGACTTTTACTCTTTGCTACTCCAATCCCTTCTCTCCCAACGCAGCGCCGACTCCATCGCCGCATCGACCTCATCCACAATCTCTCTAAACTCAAGCTTCCAAATGCGCCGCGAAGCAAAAACGAAGAAAAACATCGATACCAAAGCTAGTAAAGGAAGGAAAATGAGGTTTACGGTGCATGAAAAGTTGGAGAATTTTATGGCCGTGGAGGATAGGAATGTTTGGGAGGAGAGGGCCAAGGATGAGTTGTTTGGGAGTTTGTTTGGGAGGAGGGTTGGGTTGGGTGAGGATGATGAGGATGATGATGGCGAGGATGAGGTGGATGGAGATGGGGAGGGCGCTGAGGAGGCTGGGTTGATGATGTTTAGGAGTTAAGATGGACAGTAGCATGGGAGTATAGCATGGCAATTTTGTAGCGGATTCCATAATGGACGATAGTCAAGTTCATTGTTCAAACCCCTTTGGTTGTTCGATTCCCGTAAAATGTTCCGTGTCTAGACATCTCACCATCTAGGATCAGATCGGTACAGCCCATCTTATCTTCTGGCGAGCCAACAGGGCCTTGCAACCATAAACCCCCACTGATACATGACCCTACCAAAACGCCAATCCAGCTATTCCTTACCAGTGACCAGACAATGTCTATAAACGAACAAGAGAGGACGGCGAGATTTGGACAAAAAAAAATGGACGGCAAAAGAAAAGGAAAAATCCATCGTGATTGTTGGAGCACCCTGACCCTTTTCTACGAGGACATTGATCATTGATATATTATACAAAATGTACTGCCTGTCGACCGCTTTTCGCCATGGCCTCTAGTACTGTGGCCATCGAATTCATCTAGCTCTAGAGGTTTGAGAACGGGGGCACAGTAGGTTATATGTGGCGCTTTACAATGATATGATTTGTGATCGAAATCTTTTGGACACTTTTTAAAGCTTGGCTTCGAGATTTGCCTGCAGATCAAAGGATGGAATGATAGATCATATGGAGGATAACTAGCAAATAAGATAAGAAGTTCTGGAAAGATTATTGTTGTGCTTGTATACAAAAAGTTCAAAGAAGCTAAAACTCCTTTTGTGGTCTATGGGAAAAACAGACGATTGTACACCACCACCCGCTATGCGTTTCGTAAAACAGGATGGACCTCAAGAAACTCCAGGTCCTCTATGGACCATTTGATTTTTTGTACAGATTTGTGGAGAGGGGAAAGTATGAGTACAGAGTAAGGAAATAGTACAAGCTTGGCACCTACACACGGCCGGGCACACCAGTCTGAGCGGCGAGCATGGCGTCAGGACCTCTCTTACCAACGATGGAAGGACGAGGGGCACCAGCAGCAAGTCTTTGTGCGACGAGCTTGGCAGCGCGCTTGGGGAACCAGACACGGCTGCCGAGAGCAATGGTTCCGGTCAGGAGTGCCAAAGCACCTGCTTGATGAGCAGAAGCCAGTGGTGTAGGGACCATGTAGAGCAAAGTCGAGATACCAAGAGCAACCTGAAGCCAGACGAGGTGAACAACACCACGCATACCCTTCTTTGCACCAGGAGTCATCAATGTGCGAACGCGGGGGCTGAAACGTGTGTATGCCCAAAGAGCCATGACAGCGGTGAAGGTAGTGGTAGCCAAGACACGGTGGTCAAGCTGGACAAGAGAAGGGTTCTCAAGAGCATTGCGCCAGACAAGATCTGAGTTGTCGGGCACGTGGCTGTAGAAAGTGTCGAAAAGCTCCTTCTTCGGGGGAGTCAGACCAAGACCCATGTAGGGGAACTCGTTGTAGATGAGACCAGCATCCAGACCAGCGACAAGACCTCCAGACATTGCAGTGATGAAGACCAGGACGAGAAGAGCGCCAACACTGCGACGGAAGAACTTGAGCTCGGGAGCTCTCATCTGTTGAAGAAGCTTGGACGACTCTTCGGGGTTGGCCAGAAGACGGTTCTCACGGAAGATAGCCAGGGCGTTCCAGAACATGGCGAGGTAGCAGATGAAGGCAGTACCCAAGTGAGCAGTGAGACGGTACTGACTGACGCGAGGGTGACTTCCAGGAGCAAACAAGTCATCCTTGAGACCACTTGCAACCATCCACCAACCAATGACACCTTGGAAACCGATCAAACCGCAGATACCGGTAAGCTTGAGAGCCATACCAGCAGAGACCTTGCGACGAGCGATGAAGTATGCGGTGGGTAGCAGGAAGGTGATGCCAATGAAGCGACCCCAAAGTCTGTGAATCCATTCCATCCAGTAGATTTGTTTGAACTCTTCCAACGTCATACGAGGATTGAGAAGCTTGAACTCGGGAGAGGCACGGTAGAGGGCGAACTCGGACTCCCACTTCTCGGCGTCCATGGGAGGGAGGGAACCAGTAACGGGCCGCCATTCGGTGATACTCAGTCTGCGCCACGCTCAGTCAGTTGACAGTCGTAGAGCAGGGACGGGAAAAGACACAAACCCAGATTCGGTCAGCCTGGTAAGACCACCAAAGATGACGATACCAAACACACTCGCGGAACTGGCCAGCAACCAGTATCCCACCTTCTTGTCTGTTGTTTCCGGGAAGGCTCTCTTCTTTGCAGGTGATACTGTCTGTTGACCAAGTGTCTTGCTCAATTCAGATAGCGGAGCGGAAGGTGCCGTTGTGGATTGGTGTCTAGCAGGACCAGCAGATCGGAAGGCATTTAGGAACGGAGTCTTGCGGACAGACTTGTATCCATTCTTGAATCCTGTTTGTGCCTGGTTGTGAACACTCTTGCGACACGCAAACGTTTCAGCAACATTGAACGCTGGCAATGTACGCCGCAACGCTCCAAACACAGCCAATGGTGGGCGCATCTTGAATGGTTGTCGAAACAAGAAGTTCGAAGGAAACGAAGAAGAATGGAATCATGAATTCATTCCAGGTCATGATTCATCCCACGGCCAATGATCGTCTGGCGTGATGCCAAGCACTGACTACCGCCACCTCTTAGTCTAACTACGATCGGCTTGGCTCGTCTCTCCACACCAAGGGTCCTTCCCATCGCGTGGTGGCTTGAGCTTCTTTTTCTGCCAGAAACGCCGACCGCCCCGACCATTCAGGTGTTCGTATGGAACTTCTGACGAATCTTCGACCATTTTCTTACCTATGTCATCCTCGTCTTGACCAACAGAAACTTTTTCCTCGTTGTAAACTTCCATGTCGATCAAATCCTCATATCAAGCATATCCTCCTGCACGCTCGACCTTGTTTAGTCGATAGGTGCACGTGTTCTCCTGCCTAGGACTATCACAGTACACAGTTACCTGTCTGCGCCCGCCGAGCTATCGCGCATGAGGCAGAGTCTTGTGTAGCGTGCATCCGCCTCATCCCTCCCACTCCAAGTCCACATTTCTTTCCAAGTGACCTTGACATCATGGCCGACGATAACTCCTTTTTCGATGCCTCGTCACTCTCCCATTTAAATCAGAATAATCCTTCCAATCAGAGGTCAAACATCCCTCGCCGTTCCCTCTTCAACTCATCGCCTAACCATTTTGTTCCTACACCTTCCACCCCCACTCCCGCCCCCGCTCTTCTCACCTTGAATTCGTCGCGCGCTATCGCCGGCGACTCTTCTCCAAGTCTGGATTCCCCGTCTTCACCAGAGGACCAGGTCCGCGCTACTATCAACCGACGGAGAATACCTCGCGCGGAAAAGGATGTTGATGATCCCAGCAACCCGGTCTCGTCAAGCCGCTATTCCATCAACAGGCAACAAAGCACCACCCTAACCACCCTCAGTCGTTTGTTTGCCGTCCAGTCAGTAGCATCCCCCCCTGACTACCGTCCTCTGTCCGACTGTCAAATCCAAAATGGCATCCCTCAACCACGTATGTCTTATCACCTGAGCCTTATCTCATGACCATTTCCTCATGTATCTTGTATTGACTAGTCTCAGCTATCCGTACCAGTGAAACCGCACCTCTGAATGACCATCTCTATACACGCGGTCTACTAGGAGGTCGACATTCGGATATCACTGTTCACGTCTTTGGCTACCCCTACAAGCTTCACCGCCTCATTCTCGATCGGGCGACTTTCTTCGCGTCAGCCTTGTCTGGACCATGGTTGGAAAGCAAGGCGAGCGAGATTTCACTACATCCCGAAGACATCGACACAAACATCACTCAAGTCTCGTTCGAGCTGGCTCTGAAACGTCTATATGGTGCCACTGTGTCCGAGGAGGAAGATGTTGAAGCAGTGAGCTTGTTTGCTACTGCTTGCTGGTTGGAGATGCCTGATCTCATCGACTCAAGCATAGAGTCCATGCTGCGACAGATGTCAACTGCGACCTTGGCACCTCTAATCAAGCTGGTGACCAGCAACTACTACGGTCGATCTGGAGACAAGATTCTTGCGTCAGCAAAAGCTATGCTATGTCGAGATGGCTGGAAGATGTCAACAAAGTACTGGGACGGCATACCTGGTGATATCGTCCGTGAGATAGTTGGTGGCGATGGCTTCTTCATCAATGGTGAATGGGATAGATGGGTACTAGCCAAGCGTCTCCTGGATCGTCATCTCAAGGTTCTTGCCATCGAAGCTGGACTTGTCGATTCAGTGTCATGGTCCAAGGTGCGGAAAGCGCCTGAAACAGCCAACCTCATGGCTGTCCGTTTTGACTCAGTCTATCGTAAGAACGCCATGGCAGCTGGTGCCGCTCCAGATGGTCTGCAACGGTGGATCAGCCTTTACACACACCCAGACATTGAGCCCTTGTTGGTGCTGCTTGATGAGGGCATACACTACATCCATCTTGACTTTGAACAGCTGCAATATATCCGAAGAGCTCGCGATGTCCTTGGCTTACCTATGATGCCTGACAAGGTCATCTCTAACGCATTGTGGATGCAGATGGAGCTACGTCAAAAAGTACTGAACGCCAAGGATGTTGACATGGAGCTTGGTCTAAGTGAGGGTATCGCAGAGTTGACAAGTCCGCACATGCGAGCAGCATCTTTGACGGAGCCGTCGATTAAAGGCAAGCAGAAAAATGAGGTTGTTGATGAATTTGATGACCTCGAGGACGAAGACATTGCTTCAAACTCCTGGGATGGCAATGGCAAACCCCGCAAATTCTGGATCCCTTCCGCGGACTGCAACATCGTCATGGGTGGAGCGACTGATGCTGCAATGATGACTGCTGCGAACCCACAGGCTAACCGTCTCTCTGCTACCATCCAACCCGAAGATGTGCAGTGGGCTTCAGATTTCGCCGCCAACCCATCAGAAACACGATCAATCCCACAGATCGTTCGGCCTGACTCAGTTGCCGACTCGAACACATCTGAATTACGTCCAGTCAGCTACTCGCACTTCCCGCCATTTAGATTTGCTGTCGAGTTCCCCAGCCCCCGACTGCTCAAGGAGAAGAAGCGTGTATACAGCCGCACAATCTTCTACTGTGGCTCTTGGTGGAATTTATACATTCAGAAAGTCCGAAGGGGTAAGAACCCTCAACTTGGTGTTTATCTTCACCGCGCCAAGGAGCGTGAGACAGAGGAAACACTGGCTGCTGGCGGTCAGACTGTACCCAACACGCGTGTAGACGAACGAATTGGTCATCTTGAAAGGGAAATGATCTTGCGAGCTGATCGCCGAGCCGAAGAGCGCAGGCGTTTGCTCACACGACGACGCAGTGGCGATGTTGCGGATCATGATGGTGCCGATAGCAGTGGCAGCACAGATCCGGACGGAGGTCCTGCTGGTGTAGAGACAACACCAAGAGCTCGTGGGTTAGGTGGATATCGCAAAAGCAGTGAGTTGGACGTGCTGTCAAACTTCCCGACCAAACCTGCATACTACGACGAGCAAGATTCCGACTTCGAAGACGAAGACCCAGAGATCGCAAAACTCACACGTAGTGTACGTGTTCCTACATTGCCGCCCTATGTCGACAGCCGTCCGACCATTAAGGCGTACTTCAAAATATACTCACCCAGTAAGGGAGGTCGTATGTTGAGCGTCTACGAAAGCGCACCAGACACTTTCAACTTCAGTCAGAGTTGGGGATGGAAGAGCAGCACATTGATGCTTGATGATGGAATGCTCGGTGATGAGATCAATCTCGAAGCAGAGATACCGGTGCGAGATGCGAACAAGTTACGATTTATGATTGTTATTGGCAATGTGTAACTGTTGGCAGCGAGGGTGTTGGTGGATTCTGGCGGGCAAGCAAGCATTTTTTCGTTCTTTATCCTTTTTTTACTTTCGCATGCTACCTCTTCAAATGTGGACGTTCGCTAGGCACGGCTTCTGCATACATATACCCAAGGTACATACATACATAGAGTTGACATGGCTCAGATCCTGCAGGCTCGTGACGTCTGCTCCTTCGAATTGAGTGCGATACACGCGAGACAAGCTAACATCTAACGACGGTCTGATTAAGGCTTACGGTCACCCTGGCTTCCCCGCCATTCGGACTCCTACATCATCTCTTCGATTGCCATCTCCAACAGCTCCGTCATCATCACTACCATCATAATGGCAATTGCAGATACTCTCACATATCTCGGCGGGGTCACTGCTCTGTTTCTGACATACAAAATCACCTGTTTCGCCAGTATATACCTCAAGTCTGGGAACCTGCAACGTTACAACCACGACAACAATGCCTGGGCTCTCGTCACGGGCAGCACCAGTGGCATCGGTGACGGTTTCGCCCATGCCCTCGCGGCCAAAAACTTCAACGTCCTTCTTCATGGCCGCAATCAGCAGAAATTGGATGCGTTGAGATCGACTCTAGCCCAAGAACACCCGAATGTCCAGATCAAGACAGTGATTGCAGACGTCTTTGAATACAACGTCGATATCCCCACTATCGTTTCTGCCGCTGCATCTCTACCTGGAAAAATCACTGTACTGATCAACAATGTTGGTGGCTCGCCCCTCTCACCTTCCTTTGGCACTTTGGAAGAAGTGGATAAAGATTATGTGGATAAAATGATCAACCTAAACTCTCGCTTCCCTACCCAACTCACCCGCGCTCTGTTACCAATACTAGGCGACAATTCTCCAGCTCTGATCCTCAGCACATGCTCAATCACTGGCTTCAAGGGCCTACCCTACCTCTCTGTTTACTCGGCAGCCAAAGCCTTCAACTACACCTTCAATGCCTCGATGTCCCTTGAGATGGCTGCCGAAAACAAAGACATCGAGTTCCTGGGTATAGTGATTGCGAGTGTAAAGTCAGGGGGTAATAAGACTGAGGAAGGAGCATTTACGACGAATGGAAGGAGTATGGCGGAGTTTTCATTGGATAGGGTGGGGTGTGGGAGGGTTGCTGTGTTTGGGTGGTGGAGGCATGCTGTGCAGTGGTGGGGGATGGGATTGATGCCGGAGTGGATGGTGCGGAAGGTGTTGATTGGGGTTATGAAGGAGAGGAGGGTTGAGGAGCAGAAGGGAGAGTAGTTGTGTCGTCCGCAGGGGGAGGCTGACCAAAGACACAGGGCATCTGAATGATGGCAACGGGCTTGGGGAGGATGTAATACAAGACTATGAAGGGGACTCCAAGAGCTCGAGGGTGTGGAGCGATAATCCCGAGTCTGGCCAAGAGAATTGTTGTTGTCGTTTGCCAAAAGTGAAGTCCATAAAGAGGCGCAGCGGCGTCAGTAGCCCGATAGTGCATGGTCCAAGACTCGGTGAACATTCAAGATTGCACGACGAATTGCAAACCCGCTATCTCGAACTTATCGGTGCCGATGAAGTTGAGGATATCCCATTCGCCAGACATACTCGGTAAGGTTCAGCGACAAGATCGAGATCAGAACTTGCAGGTTCAACACGAGCGATAGATGCGACTACTTCATTAACCAGATCCTTCCCCTCCATGCCGAGGAAAGTATCATATGTTTTGATCCATCTAAGACGCGTGTCAGAGAGGCGAGCGAGAAGTGCGGGATGAGAGGAGTTCAGTCCAAAGTGTTCACGACAGAGCCTGAAGATCGTGAGAACTTGGAACCCTTTCGCGAAAAGGAGTGCAAGATTTTGTTTGCCACGACTGCCGCAGTGGAAGGAATTTGCTACGCCAAAGATTTCAAGACGATGGTGATATTTGCATCGCCGTACGAAAGCTTTTACACGAATGAACACGGCCGTACTAAGAAAGGCGTTTTCAAACAGCGTGAGGACTGTTTGCGAGATGCAGTAGAGGCCATTGGTGCCGCAGGAACGACTGCGACCGTCTATGTCTTCGTCGCCAGGAAGACAAATCAGAAGATCATAGACGCTATTGCTCAAATCAAGCGTGAGGCTGGACTCAAAGTTGATGCGCAACTGGAGTTCGGCTACTCACACGACTATTGGGACTATTGATGACGACATTCAGCCTGAGTCGTTGCAATTTTGGTAAGCATTGAGGTCAACCGTGCTTCTCAGAGCAAGAGAACATCCAGACTGACGCGGCTCTAGATTATTCCCTCATGAGTTAATCCAGTGTTCACGCGATGACAGAAAGTAAGGGGAGCTTTATGCGCCGGAGGAAGAACCAGTGGTCTGACAGGAGGACCATCAGCACCACGCTTGCGGAGCCTAGATAGCACAAAAGGAGGTTGGAATTTTACAGATACAGAGAAGCAAAACGATCCGCAAGTCTTCTCAGCGTAGCGGTTCGAGATCCACAAATAAGTTGTCGCGATGCATAACTTTTTCTCGAATCAGAGAGACAGCAACGAGAGTTGGAGAAGTGATGGCTCTCGATGCCAATCCTAGTCTTTTGAATTGTTTTGTGCCTCGAGTCAGGTGCAGGAATGATTAACTCTAGCCAGTGAGAAGACGAAAGTGTCAGACCAACACGTCAACATCCTTCGACATCAGCAGCATTGTATTTGACCAAGGGAACGAAAAGGCGTTGAATGGCTTGAATCGAATCTTGTCGATTTTCAATGGTCACCATCATACCTACTTGTTGGAAGGTTTGAATTGGAACTTGTCGATTCTTGATAGTCCCAGACACACTCCATGAGAGATTCGAAAGGAGATACATCGATTGTCAATAGTCCCGTGGCCGTGTTATTGCTACAACAGCTGGAGAACAGGGTGCAAGTCGGGGTCGCATCAAAGCTGTGAGGAAAGTGATTAGGGCCTAAGTATGTTGCCAGACGATGTAGACTTGTAATGACTAGGTTCCGATGTGGGCTGTCATGACTTTGGAGTGAAGCCTGCGTGTCGTGCTGGTATGATATTTGGGCCGGCACCAAAAAATCGAGCAGAAATCCAGCAAAAACCGCCCAAACTCACAAAAATGAATGGGGCTCAACCGGGATTCGAACTGGATAATGATTGTTAGGTGGTGCAATGTGGCGCAGGAGGTATTATGACGTACCCCGGGACCTCTCACAATTGAGCTTAGTGAACCAAGCTGGTTATACCCGAAGCAAGCTACAGAGACGTTAGATTACGGTTGACTAAGAGCGGTTTGGGAGTCCTAACAATCGTAGCCACTAGACCATTGAGCCATTCGCAGTAGCCGGAACGATCGTGCTAGTGTACAATAATCATGGTGTGGGGCTTCGGTATCCTCCAAGGCGAAAATCTGAGTCTGAAGCTTAAACCTGGACCTTCTGAGAGGTGTATGGATTCCAGACACGATCGGCTCCTGCTCAGTCTGATAGATGATCTTCCAGATGTTGTAGAGTATATCGTGTTCGCTAAAGCAAAGAGTTTTGTGCCGGAGGAAGATCCAGGAAAAGTGTGGTCGAATAGACTTCACTGGCCAACAGATTTGGCCAGACCGATATCCTTGGCGCTTCGCAGCAACATCTGCGAGGCGGCAGAACAGGTTCATCTGGCTCGAAGGTCCATCGCCTTCGAGAGTGCTCATTTGCGCTCGAGAATCCGACCCAGATCTTGCCGTGCAAAACAAATTTATTCTGCTCGAGGGTGCCTTTAGGCGATCGATGCGTGAAAAGATCGCTAGATGTCGACGTGCAAAACAAGTCTATTTTGCGCAGGGGTGCCTTCACGCGATCGACGCGTGAAAAGTCCGCTAAATCTTGACAGCTAAACAGATTTATTTTACCTAAGGCTTCAACGCACCGGTTGCAAAATGGATTTATTTGACCGAGGAGTCATGCTAGAAGAAGTTGTCGAGTTGTCCCCTCGATGAGGTATCTCTTGACCGGATGGCTGATGATTTTTGATCCCGGGATCAAACAAAACGCTCCGAATTTTTCATCCCTGGGCCGACCGAAACGCTCCTGCCAATCTTTTGATCCCTGGATCAAAAAATTGTCCCAATTGCCGATTTTGAGGTCCCAGGATGGAAAAAGCACTCCATACAGAGTACCTCATGGCGTGACTGTGTGATTGGCCACCCCTTGGGGGGTACGCACACGGGTACCTGACAGCTTGCGGTATATGATGTTCAATTGGTTCTTATTTGAACGGTATGACTGACACCCCTTGGGGAGTATGCACACGAGTGCCTGACAGCTTGCAGTAAAGGACATTCGATCGCGAATTACCCCCCAGGGGGTGTGCATCGTGGTGCCCTATCTGTCAACTTCAAAGCTTTCGAAATACCGGTGGGATACCAGCAGATACGTTGGAACGCGCATCCCTTAGAGGGCCAACGTGGAGGTTCGAAATCGTAAAGATGTAATAGTATACTCGGCCGACCTATGTTCGTGCTTCCTAGCGCTCATGACGAATCTTGGGAAACCACCACCGACGTTGCATCATGATTGGGGTGGAGGTGTCCGATGTCCATCGCAACTTCTCCTACTGCTCCTGCCTGATCACTAAATCGGCACGTGAAGAAATGCCCTTCCGTCTCGACGAGCGTGAAGCCATGTCTCCAATGCTCTGAGTGGTATTCCGATTATCTGGCTCCGTTCAATGGACGACCATTATGTCTTCAGTAAAACCGCACAATCGTCGCAACATGAACTCTCTTTGGTCTCGGCTCTCGGGGAATCAAACCATGATACTACAAAGCATGAACCTACTTCTCCAATCATGCCCGAGAGACTAGATCATGATTTCAAACACTCGATGCAACATGAGCCTCGTTCTCCCTCCGTGTTCGAGGGACTAAGAACCGAGCTCGCCCGTCACCAGATCGATGTCTCAGGTATACATGCAACCGATTTTGCTTGGCTCTCAGAAGATACCGCCAATGCCGCCGATCTTCAGAGACTGAAGCACTGCGCTATCCTGACGACCAACGATCAAGTCCTTGGAGTCTTGGACCTGCAGCTCTCGCTACCGAATACCCCGCCCCTGACTCTGGGTACCCACCACTACTTTCGTGCATGGACCTTCGAATTTGCGGAGCTTCTTGCAGTCATTCAGCATATGAAGGACGACGACCACTACTCTCAGGAGACACGAGCATGGAAGCGTATCATTGAGGATTACACAGGGTCAATCACCAATGTCACTATCCGATACGTTGGAACCGTCCAGGGGCCTCGTCGTCCTATAGATCGGTACCTGGAAGACCTTGGTATGCGAACCTCTGGTCTGCTTGCCGAGTTTGCGAGAGCAATCTCCGTTGTATGCCCCCATGTCGAAGCACAAGCCAAGATCTTTCTTATTCCAGAAGCCTCATTACCCTTTACGGAGACTATTCAACGCAAGGAGAACGTCGAAAGAATGCTTATTGCACTGTTCGACTACACAACCCTCCTGAACCGCCAACTAGGGGGCTTTCTTGTGTCTTACGTACCTCCTGCAGGAGACAACGAGTATTTCGCAGCTCTCAAAACCGACGTTGGTGCACGCTTCCGTGCCTCCAGTCAGGGTATCATACCTCCCGGTCCTGCAGCCGGAGTCGAGAGACGATTTTATGTCTCCAGTCAGATCACATCTCCAAGTCTTTTGTCCGGCCTCGAGAAACATTTCAAGCAACTCCAAGCCTATGCGAACTCAAATCCCGAAATCTGCGGCACAAGTCACCATTTCATTTCGGACGAACTATGCGCAGTTCTGTTGGCACAAGCCATTCCTACACTGTACAAAGGACAAAATTTGACGGTTTACGTCGGGAAGGACCTTCCGGTCGAGGAGTTTTTGTCACCAACACATTTTCTCGGAGTGGAGAGCCATGCCGGAAACTTTGTGAGACAAACTCTCGAATCGGTCGCCCGCATCGAAGCTTCAAATCATGGCAGAGAGTTTCAGCATTCGGATTTCTCACCATACGAAGATTCATTCTGTATCGTCGACCTTTGGTGTTGGCTCAAGCATGATCATCTTGCTCCTGCATCCGAATTTCTCCGCAGATACCTCGAACTCGTTCAACCTCTCGTCGTTACCATCTTTGGTCGTGACCCTGTCGACCTGATCTTGAGCGACTTCGATGTAAACTGCGACCGAAGATTACAGAATCTCACTCCTGTCGTCGGAGTGCCATCTATACAATACCACGATCAGCCTGGAGCGAACGAGGCACATGATCCCAACGCCGCGTTCGTGGCCATTCCTGCCTTCCATCCTGGACGTGACAAGCATGGAAGCCAAACCCAACCTATTCGAAGACTGGTAGACATTTCGATGAAGCACACGTTCCTAGTCACGCAAATCGCCATGGATATGTTGGACGAGCCAGATGTTGAGTCCAGGTTTTCCACCAGATTTGATCTCTGCCAAGAGATATTGCATCGCTTGAGCAACCTTTCGCAAGAAGGAAACAATTTCCTGCTCCTGCTGGAAAAGACTAAAGCAGATGTGGAATCAATCCTGCGCCATTCAATGACAAAGTCCGAAACGGATGACGCTCGGTCGATGCTGAATCGCGATGCGTATGAGATTTTGCTCTCTTTCGGCATAGCGCGTGGAGACGCCGGCTCAAATGAACGTATCTCACAGATTGACTCACTGTGGGATGATGAGGTCGCTTTGTTGCACCTCGTCTTCTCGCATATACCAGAGCTGAAGCGACTCTGGATGAATCAATTCTTGCAGCTTGCTCCTCGCCAATCACTTCTCCTCGCAGCTATCGCTGGAGTCCACCCTGATGCATACGCGGACATGGTCATGAGTCTGCTCAGACCCGAATGGCAGGAGCCTGGATCATGGCTCCAGAATCAACCCTACACCATTCAATATGGTCTATGGGTCCACCGCGGCGAGTCAGAATCGCTCAAGAATAGAGTCATGTATCCAGATCAAGTTCTCACCGCTTTCGACTTACAGGCTAGACCCATCGGATTCCCAGTCAACGGAATCGCCCGTGTGCGTTAGCAGCGTGCTGATGGCAAGATTTTAACCGTCGACTTCAACTTGCCCAAGTCTGCAATCCCAAAAGGCTCGACAGAGTCGAGAGCGCTGGTTTACACATCCCTTGGTATTGATTTGGTAGATGGTAACGGGAGGGTTTTTCGGTCTGAGAGAAGTGGTAGAGCCACACTCGGAGCTACCATACCCAGACAAGCGATCAAATCCCAGAGTGTCAAGCGGGAACTTTGGTTGGAAGTCCTGAATGCACATGATATCGATCCGCTGCTCGAAGACAATGAGGACGATGATGCTGCGGATGATTGGGGAAGGAAAGGCGTGGCTATGCTTTCTCCCAGAGCCAAATCAATCACCCCGCGTCAGAGTACACCTCCAAAACCCAACGACGCCAACTATCCACTATACTTCTTCCTCGAACAGAGCTTTCCTCACGGAGGCCATTTTGACCTCGCAAGCCTCGAGAAGTACAGCATGTCAAAAGAGCACACCAAAGCTTTTGTCGACCTCCTCAAAACTCCCAGGTTTCGGGAGCATCCATATTCGAAGGAATGGCTGGAGAAGCTCGATCTGCCTCTACCCTCGACGGGACTGCTCACGAGCAATCTTCCTCTCCTACGTAATGTCAAGAGGGTGCAGCGTGCAACCCACAAGAGAGATGAATATCTGTTGATCGGCCCTCCAGGCTCAGCTGTGCCGGATCCGTTCGACATGATGGAAAGGCAATGCTGTATCTCACAGGAGGTGATGAAGACTTATCTGAAGAACAAGAAGAATGTCTCGACTGACGTGGAGGAATCGGTCGCTAACAAGAGGACAAGCAAGTATCCGATCAAAGGCTCGCAGAAGCGTAGCAAGCAGAGAATCTAGCATTGATTACACAGAAAGACGTACTCGTGGAGCATTGTTGACATGGATTTGTCACTCTTGCTTTATCGCTAAGAAAGCGTTCAATTGAGCTACCTTGGGCAGGGGAACTACTAGGAACAGACAGATGTACATGAGTTTCAGCAATATCATAATTCGATGTGCGTGTACCACAAAACTGTCCGTTCTGTGAATCTTGGCTCGAGCATACCCGTCGTGTTTTAGTCCTATCGATATGTCAAAGTCTCTTACCCCTATATACTTCCGATAATCAGAGTAGAGCGACAACAAGCTGTAGCAAGGCATATTCATATGTTATCTTGACACATCTAACCAGAAAGTCGTTCACAAAGATGTATCTCGGCCATAAACTCAAAATGGTTTGTGTCTTACGACAGCTACAAAATGAAATAGTGTTTTGTACACCAGGAGTGTGATGGGAACCATGGAGGACGATGAGGCTCGATTCGAATCTGGGACGATTCTCCCTTCGGGTACAACCAGCTTGGTTCACTAAGCTCAAAATGGGAGAGGCCCCGGGGTACGTCATTACACCTTCCACTACAACTTGCTCTGCGCTAACAATCTCCCAGTTCGAATCCCGGTTGGACCCTGTTCTTTTTGGCGATTTCGCTCTATCCTTTGGTGCTGGGGTGTATAACATCTCATTGGCACAACGCGCAGATTCCGGTGCAAAGCAGACTGGAGCGCGTTACAGTTGCTCGTGACAGCACAGTGTGTATCGTAATCACCTTGTACCCATTGCCATCTGCCAATACACGATGCGAAAAGAACGTTGCACCGTATGATCCAGTTTTTCTGACAAGAAAACGCTACTCAAGTATGAGACAATTGGGAATCGACAACTTCTACAAGTATGACAGTGTTTAGTAATGTAGAGGGTCTGTTTGGACCATCAAAAATCGAACAATTTCGATTTGGACATAGCAGGAGGTGCGTGTGGATCTGCCCAATCTAATACTTGAGTTATGGTGACGTTTGCTCGATGATTTTTTTGGTGATAATCTGAGTATCATACTAGAACAATGGGCCGTCTCCGCGACCTTGGAACAACTGATTCGTGATTCTTGTCCTAGTACTTCAACAACAAGCAATCGATGTTATGACAAGACAGAACAACGCGCTCGATATCTGGAGATTTGGACGACACCTGTATCTGTCAGATCTTCAACACTGGGTTTCTGCTAGACATGAAATAAAATTTAGCGCCAATGACAATTCACAAACAACATTGCTTCAGCAGATACTACAATTCCTCGCAACAGCGTTCTGTACTGCCTCAGCTACGGCGAATTGCTATGTTGAAGTGGCGAAGCTTGTAACCTTGTGAATAAAGGTGAGAATACAACAGTGCTATCGACCCTGCAGAACAGCAAGGAAATTCTGCAAAAAGCCTAGATCATAGATGTTCTCCACCTGATCCAAACTCGTGCACTTTTCCCAAAGTTGCTCTTGGCCGGTAGGAGCTTTTCCATCTGTCGTGCTAACCAAGACTTGATCGGCAGCTTTTGGCCACGGCACGAAGTCTTCCTCTCCATCCCCAGGATCTGCTTCCTCTGCAGGGAGCCCGCTCATTCTATTGCGATTCCTGAGATGTCGCGCTTTTCTCTCTTTGTTGTAGGCGTCGACGACGCTTCGCTTTCCTATCCAGGCCACGCCATCTGTCATGTCGTCGCGCCAGTCCGCCCACTTGGCACTCTCATTCGTCGTCATACCCGCCCAGACGAGGTAGAGATGATATGCGAAAAGTGCAAAAGGTAGCGGCATTGTGGTGATGGCCAGAAGTCCGACGCCAGCAACACTAATGCCTCCAATGCTCATGGCAAACACGAACGCATTGCCCAACTCTGCCCAGAATTTCTTCTCGAACCAGCCGTATGACGAGTTACCAAGATGAAGATGTGGAGCCAAGATATGCCAGCACAGATATGCGCCGTAGAGTTCCACGATCCCAATACTGAAAAGCAAGAGGAGGAAGTAGCGGTAATTGTGTCTTCCCACGCAGTTGTTGATCCAGGCGCAGTGGTGATCGCATCGCGCTACGCATACGCCGCAGAGTGAGCAATGTTTGCTTCTTGCAGGTTTTGTAAAGTTGCAGGTTCGGCAGACGTTGTCGGGGCGGAAGAGGATGTGGTCGTAAGGGTATTGCCGCATGGCGGATGCATGATTGGTGGGGGTGATGTAGTCGGCTTTGCTAGTGACGCAGAGATAGGTAAACGCATACGGCGCCAGTAGGACGATAGGTATCGGTAGGATCAAGGAAGCTTCTAGGTGTGGAAGGGCGGCTTGGAGAAAAAAAGTCGCACTGCCAGTCAAGAGGACGAGGAACAAGAGCAAGACAAGCGGATTCTTCTCGTTGAAGAGGTAGTTACTGGTCCTCGCTATGGCGATATTCATACGACCGCCAGTGAATTGCGTATCAACCCGTCTAAAGCCATTGGGAATGTAGATGCACAGAAGCCTGTGACTGAAGCCGATGGGAGTCTTGCGGAGAGCTGGCAGTCGACCGAAGAGAGCTATGAAGGTGAAGAGAGAGATGACCACCACAGCGATGATGGTGTTGCGAAAGGCGATCATGTTATCTTGCGCGCTCCTTCCATTTTTGCAGATCCAGATGGCTTTGACATGGATGGATGGAAAGGGCTGAAAGTTGACAGCTTGGGGAAGGCACGACACGTCATTGCCCAAAGCGGACAGGGTCGGCTTCGGCTTCACGCGTGGCGGCGCGTCACCCGATGTTTTCGGCTTCACCAGGCAGGAGCGGCCGATCACTTTCGCCAGCAACTGCTCACCACGCCGCCGGCGATTGTGTATACAGACATGGCCAATCCGACAGGTATACAACGGGGCGTGTTCGCTGACAAGAAGTTCTTTATTGTTCAACGTGTACCCCAACGATCACATTTCATCTCGCTGGTCGAGGGGAATGGCGGCAGAGTGGTCAAACTCGAGGCTCAAGCCGACTACCTGATTGCCGACCACATGCGACCCGATGCTCCCGCCGGATCCTTGTCTTACAAGTTCATCGACGAAGTCATCAAGAAAGGAGAAATTCCCGAGGACGAAAGCACCTTTCTGGCCAATCGCTCCAAGCCTACCAAGTCCGACGCAACCGCAGGCGCCTCTTCCTCGAAGAAGGCGACTCGAACTGCCTTCACCGATGACGACGACAAGATGCTGTACAAATGGGTAGCCAAAGCACACGAAGAAGGTCTGGCTCTACAAGGCAACAAGCTATACCAACAATTGGCCGCTCACAACGACCGACACACGTACCACTCATGGCGTGATCGCTACATCAAAGTACTGGAAGCGAAACCTCCTGCTGGCTGGGAAGACTATCCCGACGAAAGACTGCCGGGTATGGACGCCCCGATCACAGACTTGTCATCGACTGCTCTTCCTCGCTCCACTGCCACGCTCGACCGTTCATCCATATCGCCGAGGAAAGCGCATACATTCTTCACTGACGAAGACGACCGCGAACTGCAGGAATGGGTCTCGAGATTTCCAACCAAACCACGAGTCCCATTCACTGAAGAAGATGATCGAGTCTTGAGCATGTGGGTAGAGAAGGCACAACAACGAGGTGAGCCACTGCTAGGCAATGAGCTATACAAGAAGTTGGCGGCCAAAAATCCTCGTCACTCTTATCACTCTTGGAGGGACCGTTGGATCAAACACGTCTCCCTGAGGGTCTCCATAGACGAGATGGATGAGGCCGCCCCTGTTCAGGACGATATCCCTTCTGCTCGCCCTTCTCCTTCACCCAGTCGTCCTTTCAGTCGACCTCCTGTCAGACAACCTGGATTCAGAGTGCCCCCAGCAGCTTCAGCGTCTGCTGAATCCCCTATAAACGGCGAAATTCCGTCTATAGCACCACGCCCAGCTACAAGTCCCAGGAAACTGGTCACTTCGGCCGCTCCGCAGGCTTCCGCATCAGCATCTGCCCCGGGTTCAATAGGACCTCCACCCACAAGCGCAAACTCGGGAGAAGAACCGAAAGCGCTTGCGGAGCCTGTTCGTATGACTCGGCCTGCAGACTCTACATCTCAGATCTCAAGCCAGCGCAAGGCACAATCTAACTCGACTATCTCTCGAACAAACGGCTCTCCTGCCAAATCCCAACCCGTCCAATCCCGAAGACAACCTTCTTCCGTCCGCCACAGATCTACACAGACCGATCTTGAAAGTCGAATCCAGGATGATCTAGACTTCACAAAGCAGGAGTTCGAGAGCCTTCTATCTGTTGCCATCGATATTCAAAACGTCTGCGTAGGCCGTTACCAAGAATCATGGATCGCTTTTGCCAAGTCAAATCCAACCCACAGTGCTGTTGAATGGCGATCTTTCTACGAAAGAAGAGTCTTGCCTGTTGCTCTGCAAAGAGAGAATGACCCCGAATACGTCAGCGCTCAGGATGATCAACGATGGATTGCATTCTGGCAAAATCAAGCTCAGCCGATCGAGACTCTGCCGTACCAAAAGCAGGATTGGACTGACGAGGACAAAGAGACCCTTGCAGTGGTGGAAGTAGAGATTACGCCCCGTGCTTCGAAGACAGATACCAAAACAGAGAATGATGTTGTTGATGTAATTTCCAAGCGCAAGGTAGAATCTCTGGACGCCGCCGTGGAGCCAGAACAAACACCAAAGCGTCAACGTACGATCGACTCGACTTCAGCTCCAGCCAGACTACCTGCTGCTCAATTACTAATCCAAGGGCATGACGCCGGTAATATAATCACTACCTCCAGTCAAGTCGCACCGTCGCCAAGTTATCACTCTAATACAGATGAAGAGATGGAAGATGAAGAGATTCGGGATTCAGAAGTCCAAGATGATGAAGCTGCCGAACAGTTACAACGAGAGATGGCGGAGAATAAGGACAAACGACATCAACTCACCAGAGCCAATCTTGCACGTATACAAGCAGAAAATGGCTCACCCGAGGAGCAACGAGGCATCGACATAGAAAGAGATGATGATAACGATGATCAAGGCCACTTTGCCGATTATCTCGGCGAGCTCTTGCCAGCTGCACTGAAAGCGAGGCTTCTCGAAACTGCCGAGACAAAAGACGACCAGCATGACGATGATTGTAACGAAGATGATGACAGCGGCGATGATGAAGATGATGATATGCCCATCACCAGAACTCAACATGACGAAGAGCAAGCCTATGACCCAGCAATGCTAGAAGTCGATCCGAATCTTGATGTCCCATCCTATCAGTCCTCGGCCGAATTTGCCACCAACAATACACAACTACGCCTTGATGTACCTGAGACGCAACCTTGGGAAGTCTCATCCGCACCTTCTCAGACTGAACGTCATCGTCTCAGCACTCAAGCAATGTATGACATCGATGCCCAATCCTTTGATGCAGATATACCCGACCCACCTTCCGACGTCGAAGAAGACACCACACCCCACAATGACACTGACTCACAGATACTCGCCGACGATGAATGTTGGCCGTGGATAGACTCTCAGATTGCTCTTAGCTTCCCGGAAGACGTGGTAAAAGAAGCTCTTCGGGCCACGTCATTTAACCCTAAACTCGCTGCTGAGGTGTTACAAGCTAGAGGTGGCAGAGTCAACTTGGCCGGGGTCTGGACGTCTGTAGAAGATGATATTGCGGAGGGAGGGGATGCTGGTGCTCTTCGAGCTTTGGAGGAGAAACATGGAGTGGGGAGTGTGATGAAGAGGTTGGCATTTTTGAGGCAGTGGAGGGAGGATGAGGAAGCTGCTGCAATAGCTGAGAATAAAAATGAGACTGGAAAGTAGACCCGGAATGCATAGTCTCCTTAGTGACTTTCCATGATTGCATCATCCTTGTCGGCAGTTCGTCCTGCTGGATATACAAAGCCTCTATGTGTGCAGTATGCCGTCACGCGCGTGGACACCTCTTGCGTCAAGTCGGGTCCTTATCACATGGCGATTCTTCTCTGCATTCAAGATCGTCTTTTCCGTCCTACTCACCTAAACGAAGTGATCACTAAAGCGCGTTCCTGATTTCCTCATCTACCCTTCCCCAAATTTGTCTGTATCCTGTCTATCAAGTTTTACCTCGTCATCATATTCGATAATGTGGTATCGACCACGCATATCATCTCAGATCTGCCAGGTACAAATCCAGGAACGACCAACGTATTGTAGCCACTGTGTTAATCTAGATGTCGAGCTAAACCCTCCGAGGATATTGAGCGCTTTCACGCGTGTTTTTAGACTTTGCAAGGCTGTGAGCGATTTTTGGCGAACTTTGTGGTCAAGATGACCTGGCAAATACTTGCTGGAAGCGCTTTGTCGATTGCTAGGTCGACCACAGCACGGAGAAATTGATTTTTCTAGACCCTGCTCGCCGTCGTGTATCTGGGAGTCTAGAGATAGTCGGCTTTGCGGTTGCTGAGTCCAGAGGAACGGCTCCCAAAGAAAAAGGGGTCTTGCAATACATGGAGAGGTGCAATTTGCGAATGGTAGGAAGTCTTCCCAAACTCTGGTATACTGCCACTCCACTGCCATCTCCTTGATATTGCATTAGGGGGGATTGCAAGTTCCCTCTAGATTCAGGCATGTATGCTGCATGCTGTGAATGGAGGATGTAGTCTCAAGAATACCCGTGCCGAGCTGCATGAAGCGGTCCCAGAAGAAGATGCCGTAAAGAAAGATTACAGCAATCTTACACGAACTGTAACAATACGTTGACTGTAATCACCAGTCAACTTCACACTTCGAAGTGGAGGAACGGACGATAGGAAGTTCTCCACAGAATCTGCTAGAGATCACACTTGGCATCACCTTCTCCATCTTCGATGCCAAGTTTAAACAGCTTCCTGGGTTATGGCTTTTGTCTGTATGGCGGCACGATGAGTAAAGTCAATACAGGGAAGGAGTCTTGGGGTCCGGGTCCCCTTCGATATCCTCAGACAAAAGAAGATTCACGAGCTGGATGATCCTGTCAATACCCGAATAGCGACAGACATCGCGCTCTGCTACGAGCAGATCTATCGAAAAAAAAAACTTCGGACAAATATCTTGACACTGAGCCTAGAAGATGAGACTGTGAAACTTACTCAGCCAGAGCTTGAAGCTACCGAGGACATCTGGAGGACACTGGATACGGGTAATGACATTGAAGAACCCCATCAATTGGAGACCTCATCGGGAGATTCATGAGCGGGATCACCCTGACCAGCAATGACCGAATCCTCCGGAAGAAAGCTCTTCCAAACACTGGACGGCCTATGCCGGCTCACCTGTCCATGAGCGCTTAGAAATACGGACTCTCCTAGTCAATTTTCTATCAACTCGGAAGTCTCCACACATGGACGGAATGGAAGGATCACTTAATGCACCGCAGAAATAATTCACTTGGGTCCACATGATGCCGTCCGCTCCAAGAAGAAAGGAAGTTACCTCCACTTGGCTGAGGCGGTCATGTCAGAAAACCCGAAGGATCCGAGAGGTGTTCTTGTCGTCAGAGGGCCGTGTGGTCCTTTTGTACACATTGCCGCCTCGGTTTTGCTCATCCATTAACCCGGTCATGGTTACCCAACCATCAAAAAATGCAATCCCCATCAAATTGCTCATTGCAAGACTCGTTACATCTTCCCTTCCAATAACCCAGACGCAAAGATTATGCACCAGAAGAAGCCAGGGTCGGAAATTGTCGTGGCCAAGGTTCACAATCTTGGGGACTCAGGTAGAGGTTGGCTGTGCGGTTGTTCATTGGTTGTCGTTTTCTAAAGTCGGGGCTTTGTGTCGGATGATTTGGGTCGTGGTGGTTTTTTTGGCGTGTTGAGAGATTAGGGGGTTGTTGAAACTCCTCCCTGGGTAAATGGACAAGGATATGCTTGTTGCTTTGGGCGCACTTGTTGATGTTTGGTGAAAAGAAGCCTTTTGTTCTTCTTTCTCTGTTTGGTCAGGCCTACCGGACTTCAATCAGTGCAGGAGTGATGTCGTTTTTTGTACTCCAAACTCAAGTCTCGGTCTTGATCTCCGTGCCACTCAGATGTCAATGTCATCGAATCAGTGCACCTATCTACTTCGGCCGAGTAAGTGTGAGTTACTCGGTACATTCTACTATATCATGATTCAGGCATCACTTGTTGAATTGGGTTGGACTTCTTCTTTGTCTGATTGAGTACTAGGACCGACCTGCTTTTGTGGGGCTGAGACGCCGACTTGGCGTCTCGAGTCAGCTTGACTCGATGAGATACAGTGTGTGAAGAATTGATGCTGGTCAATGTATGCTGAGTGGATATATATATGTACAACGAGAAGGTTGCGTATATCTTGCTTATGTCCTTCGCTATGGGTTTTGGGTGTTTCATGCATCTCGGCTTCCCCCAGCTGCAGGTGCCATGGCAGCACTACCTCTGCCTCTACCACGGCCTCCTCGACTCTTTGTTGATTGACCTTGAGCTCCGTGTCCATTGGCATTCGGTTCTGGCTTCTTCTTGTCCTGCTTTTCTGGTGCAGCCTGTCTGACCTGCTCCCTCTTCTTATCTTGACCGCCTTGCTTGCCGCCTCTCCCCTTCTTCTTTCGTCCAGCCTGCTCAGGTGTCTTGCCCTCGGCGATCAGCCTTGCCAACTCTTCGTCTTCCTTCATCCTGGCGGCTTCTGCATCCCACCATTGCTGAAACTCTTGTTCGGCTTGGATTTCTTGCAATGATCTAGCGGCAGCAGCTTCCTTGATAATATCCTTCTCGTACTGCTGCTGTTCAAGAATCTCTTGAAGAGAGAGCTGTAGTGCCGGTTCAGCAGACTTTGGATTATGTACGATGGATTGGATCGAGGGGAAGGACTGCGACGAGAGATCTGGAGGTGGCGGAGGTGCTAGCGCTGATGCTGCAGTCTGTTGAGATGGCTTGCGCTGGGGTTGAGGCTGAGATTGGCGAGGCGTTGGCGATGGTCTAGCTGGAGCGAATGAAGCTGCTTGAGCTTGAATTCTTGGTGACGCTGCCGCATGTGAACTGATATCGGCTTGATTTGACGGCATGCGCTGAGGACCAAGTCTCGGTGATGGTAGACCAGAGGCAAGCGGTGAGCCAGGCCCCAGGCTCTTCGGGGAAGCAGCAAATGATGAAGTCGGTTTAGGCGAGGGTCTTGGGTTGGCGATCGTCTGCCTCATTGTGAGATGTGGAGTATTGCTGGGACGCGTAGTCGGTTGCGGTCTGTTCGACGGGCCAGGCGATGGTGGCTTCTCGCCGATCACATCCTTGAGCGAAGGAATCTTCTGTCCGGAGACCACTTGCCACGGCGAGGCCACTTTTGCCGCAATCTTCTCCTCAATCTCCACAATCTCAGTTTGCTGAGCTTGCTGCATTCTCTTTCTCTCCTTCTGTGACAGCTTGGCAGCAGACCTTATTGCTGAAGCATCTTCACTTGCTTTCTCTCGGCTAGCCGCTATGCCCAAGGATAGGTTAGACACGCGACTTGTAGACGCTTGTGCCATGATATCCTTCATCTCCAACTTAGCACCAGGAGACGGTGTAGCTGCCCAAGGCACACTTGACGAGCTAGCAGGAGTTGCAGGCATCGTGCCTGGTGGGAATACTCCCTGCTTCGGGGTGCCGGCATGTGGTGTGAGAGGCTTTCCGCGCGGATCAAGCCAGGTGTCAGTGGGAGTGCCAATAGCAGTGTCCCTGCGAAGCGCCCTTTCGAACTCGGTATCGGTGTTCTTTGCCCGCATTCCATCGACGTCTAATACCGAACCCTCCTCCATACTTGTGGCCAGCGACGGCATGGGCGTCTTCACCCTGAGTGTGGTCTCGATCGTAGACGACTGTGCGTCCTTTGACTTCCTCCGTCCTTTCTGTCTAGCATGTGCGACATCGTCCAAACTGCCTCCTCTAAACGAATTGGGACCCCAGCCATCAAGATCTTGATGCTTGGTATGCAGCATGATAGAGTCAAGCTTGACTTGACGGTCGCGATCAATCAGAGCAGCGAGCTCAGGATGACGCTCGTGAAGTAAGGCTTCAGCACGGCCACTCTTAGCAAACGGCATCAGAGCAAGCTGATTGTCTCTGACAATGGCATCAAGCTCCAGGATCAAGTCTTCATCAAGCTCGTCCAAAAGCCCACCTTGTAGCATAGCTTCCAGACTGAGGCAGAGATACTCAAGACTTGCATCCTTGAATTCTGTGACAGAGCTAGGAGCGATGGCATTAAGGAGACCGCAAACGTTTCGAGTTGTGACGTACTGGCCGACTACTCTCTGGCAGACTTGAGACAGACGATCCAACATGAGCTCATTGGCGACACTCATGACTTCCATCACAAAGTCGAGGAATTCGTCCAAATCAGCGCTTACGATACTATCAAATAGTTCCTCGCCAGTGTCTGCGTAGAGGTGGCGAAGGACCATGCGGAAGATGTCGGGTTCGATGTGCTGCAGATCGACATCAACAGCATCAGAGGCATTTTGCAAAAGGCCGCGTCTCTCGTCAAGCCAACGGCCACCAGCACGACCCATGAACATGCCCTCAAAGAAGGGACAACGCTGACAGACCAACGAGCCATGTACCAAGACTTCATCATCAGCAAGCTGGACTCGGATGTCACCATTGGACAAGTAGCCTTGATCTCTGGTCGCAATCTCCAGATCCATGTGCAGGCAACGTTCTGGCTCAATCATCTGCCTGACTGCGGGCTCTAGTTTGAGAAGCTCGAGTTTTGCAGCAACTTTCATCAACTCAGTACGGACCTGACGATATCTGAAAGCCATCTTTGGTGAGCGTCTCGTATGATGCCAGAAGTCGACGATGGTGTCTGTGTAGCAGTAGAGAAGGTAGTCAACCAAGGTTAGGTCGTCCAATCCTTGGAAGATCAAGACAGGTCGATCGAGAGAGTCACGCTCGCAGATCAGTAGCTCGGGAACGTTGAACTCGCCCTCGTTCTTTAGAGTCTGGAAGCCAGCTCTCAACACTCTGCTTCGTCCTGCGAGAACGAACTGATGAGCTGGGAAGCGGAGATCAGAAGTGTTCGAAGTGATGATAGCGTCAAATTCAGCAAAGTCTTCATTCGACGCTTGTCGCAAATGTTCTTCCAGATCTTTTTCGATATCCTTGGACTCGAGTATCTGTTTACGAAGAAGTTGAACGTCATCTGGCTTCTTGCGACCCTGCCAGAATCGTGGCTGAGGCATCTCGCTTTCGCTGTCAGGCTCATCTGCGTGTACAGGAAGATCGTGGAAGCAGAGAAGAGGGAACAAATCTGCCCAGATGGTCTTGTCTTGGATCAGTGTCTGTGTCTTGGTGACGTCGCAATCTCTGCGAACAGCAGCATATGCACCGTATGCCGATGATCTGACAGCTGTGACGCGAGACAACCCTGAAATGCGAGAGAACTTGTAGTCTTTGGGCTTGTATTGCGCAGCCTCCATCGACTTTCCATCTTTGATCTTGGTGCGCCTTGATCTCTTCCAGACACTTCCTTCCTCGGTAGTCAGAATGATGGAACCGTCAGCATCAACGCCAACATCACGAGCAGCCATGTTGTTCTTCTTCAATGACCAAATCTCCTGAGGCGAAGAGAGTGCGCCCCTGATCTTGGTAGGATTGGTTGTTGATGCATTGCTCTGATCTTGGCGTTGACTGACTGATAGTGTATAGACTTCGCCGCTGCTTGACATCGCACAGATGGTGTCACCTCCTGCGGTGATCTTGCTGATGTGGTTGACAGTGTCGTCGTAGCGCGTGACGCGGAAGCTGTCCTTCAAGAAGCTATTTGAGCCATCGAGAGGGAACTGTATTTTAGCATAGCCATAGTTTGCGAACACCCAAACGTCGTGGTTCTCGAGCAGACAGATGGTCGCACGATCAATGGCAGCGACTGACACAATCGGAGCTGCGAATCGAGATGCTGCGACTTTTCGCGGTGTTACTTGGTATTCCAGCGAACGTGCATCTGAGTCGACGATGCCAAGCTGACCCTCATTCTTGCCAAAAGTGTACAAAGATGTCGAGGTATATGCAACTGAGTGGATTCGAGAAGCAGCGACACCGATGACAATCTCACGCTTGAGAGGTCCGAAGATTTGCGCAGGCACACAGCTTACAGGATCCTCGTCCTTGAATCCAGTCTTGGGCAGAGAATAGCCGAGTTGACCATAACCATTACTGCCCCAGGAGAAGACTTCACCACGATCATCAACGGCCAAGGTATGATTCTGACCAAGCGCAACAGTGGCGATCTTCTTTCGCGACAGAGCACCGTTCTCGATACAAACGAACCTGAAGCGAGATTGCTCATCTCCGGTACCCAGACGTCCTCCGGGCCCATGGCCGCACATGTAGAGGTTGGATTCAGGATCTGTGGTCAATACTGCTGTCGACAGCTTGGACATGAAGACGTCCTGAATGATCAGCGGACGATTCTTGATGACCCACGGCATCGACTCGACGGGTAATGAGCGTGCGAGCGCTGAGTGGCCAGTCTGAGCGATGACAGGATCGAATGTGGCCCATGTCTTCTCATACTCTCGGATGTACTCGCGGTAGAAACGTTGCAGCAAATGGTCAGGACGTCTCAGTGTGATACGCTCAGGATTCTGGCGGTCGTCTTCGTCTCCGAAGCCCAGGGTAATGTTCTTGTTGCTGCCAAAAGTGTAGACCTCGTCGCCTGAGATGTTTGTCGCGAACTCGATGACTCTCGGTCTGTATTCTTGCTCATCGTTTATGACGACCTCCTCTTCGCTAGCATCAGATGCAGCTCTAGCTCTTTTTTGACCTTCAGGTCGCAGCGTGCGATCCTTGATTGTCGCAGAATACAGATCCAGCGGACCGAGTCCCTCGCGATCCTTGATCTTCACCAAGCCTCCTCCTATTCCTCTGCCGAGGGCATCCGATGTGTCGCGCTCAATAATGGCACGAGCGATCGTGATGTTTCCGAAGTAGAAGGCGCGATGTAAGGCAGTCCACGAGTTCTCGGCGTCTTGTATGTACAGGTCAATCAAGGGGTGTTCAAGCAGAGCCTGGGCAAAGTCGAGGGCGTTCTCGGACGTCGAGGAAGCGGCGTGATGCAGCAATGTCATGCCGTTCGTGTCGCGCCAGTTGATATCGGCTTTTGTCAGTGGAGCCATGTTTCCGGGGACCGCGGAAGGCTTGCGCATCTTGGTGGTAAGAGTAGGTGATGTGCTCAATGTACTCGGACTCGAGCTCATGGCGGCGGCGGCTGTCTGCATCGAGTGAGGTCTGTTTTGCTGAGGACGGGCATTGTACGAGGCCGTCTCGAGCACATGTCGAAATCGGTCGACATCATCTTGAAGGTAAAACTTCCAAAGGTGGCTGCTCATGTGCTGGGACTGGATGGTCTGACTCTGCGACACCTCGCGATGACCACAACGGATCAAGGCGTGTTTAAAGGTGTATAGGCAGTGCCGACTGACGGAGGAAGGAGGGGAGAAGAACCGGTAGACAGTTCCTGTTGATCAGATGGGATATGACTTTCTTCTGGCAGTTGCGAAATTGCGACTTGTCTTGTGTGGAAACGGAGTTTAGGAGAGCTGTACGGGTGGCGACTGCTGTTTCCGGAGTCGCTTCTGTTGAATATGATAGTCACGATTGCTGTGCTTGCTGTTCCGGTAAGCTGTGTAGCTAGGATATGCGATGCTCGAAGCGATCAAGGTGAGAGATGCAGTGGTGGGCGATAAATACAATAGATCAACTCGGCATGGAGGGGTCAGCTGTGAACAATGACATGTGGGATGATCCTCGGACCAATCGCCAGTCGACCCGCCGCCATGCGGATCCATACTCCTCCCTCGACACTCCCGATATCCAACAACTCTACCACATGTCTGTCGCATAGCCTATGACTTCCTGGGAAGTCGAAAAAAGCTCGTGTCTGACCCCTCATACCCCTCTTGGTCTCGTCACAGGTTCGCGCATCATACAAAGGCCTTCTTGGCGACATATGATGCGGCGAAGCTTCAGCGGTTTCCCGTCGATGCCAGGGTGTTGGACGTGACGAAAGAATTTCCAAGAGCAACAAACATTACCCGGAACTAGAACATGTTAGCGGGTATCAAGTATACATGGAAGAATCAAGAGATCATGTTTGGATCGCCTCTCTCAATACTGAGCTAGGTGAGTGACTGGATCACTCTCGCAGAGATCCCTGACACGAACGAAGACGATTGTCACCCCAGTTTGATCCCAGTCATGCAAACCGTAACATATTTGTCTTGGCCAAGTCTTTCAAACACGTCTAACCCTTACGTTCCGTGTGATGCTGTACAAGTGGAGGATAACGACGTGTGCAGTAATCTAGGAAAGGAGGACCATACCGAACGATGCTTAGTCAGCCAAGCTTCTCCAGTAAGCGCCGCCATCATTCTAACGAAACCTCCAACATCGAGACATCCTCATGAAAGCACCACAATAACACCCAACCGGCCAACAAAGTCGCTGATGCAAAATAAGAATTTTTGACGAGGCTTTCTCACCAGAATCATAGTCATCGTGTCAGACTACCACCGCAGATCACAGCGTAATCGACCCCAGCGCTTCCACTATGTCTTTCATCGACTACTTCTCGCACCCCACCACAGCACTCATCACAAATATAGCATCTCTCCTCACACCCTCCTTTTTAGCCCTCATCTCCATTGTAACCATCCTCTACACCCTCACCCTATCCCCTCTTCCCTCCACTCCTGCGTTATCAATAGACTACCTCCTCCACCTCACATCCTTCCTCTTCCCTCCCATCCAATTCATCTGGTCCTGCGCCCTCGGCTCCCACCTCTCCTACCTCGCCATAGCAAAAACCCCCTCTTACCTCCCCTTCACCCTCGCAACCTGGTATACCCTCCTCTACTCCCTCTCTGCCATAAACACCCGTCTCGGCAATGGTAAAGCGAGAAAATTGGTGTGGAGTCAGCAAATTGCTGTCATCACGGGAGGAGCAGGAGGTTTAGGGTGGTTGATTGCAAAGATCCTCGAGCTTAAAGGTGCGAGTGTGGCGGTTTGGGATGTCAAGGCTTCTGAAGAGTTGGAGCGGGAAGAGGGAGGGGTCAAGTGGTATAGAGTTGATGTTACTGATGTGCAAGAGGTGGAGATGGCGTGGCAGAGGGTTAAAGATGATGTATGTAGGCTTTTTTTTCCTTTTCTTCTTCAATGCACAATTTCCTTCTTCCATCCTTTTTCAAAGTCAAGGCAGTCACGAAAGAGTCTCAGAACGTAGTAGAGATGAGTTGTTGACATACTAACTGTTATTTAGCTCGGCACTCCGACTATTCTCATCAACAATGCTGGTATTGTGAATGGTCTGCCCTTGCTCTCGTTGACAGCGACTCAATACACACGCTGCTTCGCCATAAACACCCTCTCCCACTTCCACACAACTCGCACTTTTCTGCCTTCGATGCTTTCGTCACCTCTGGGCGGCACAATCGTCACTGTGTCCTCCGTGCTCGGACATCTTGGAGCTTCCCATCTCACCGACTACACGGCTTCAAAGGCAGCGTTGCAAGCTTTCCACACTTCCCTCGGCGCCGAAATCTCCCAACTATCCTCTTCGCCCCAACATCCAGGTGCCAAGAACACGAGGATGCTGCTGGTAAAACCAGGACAACTAAGTACAGCCATGTTTTCAACCCTCAAGTCGCCATCAGACTTCTTTGGCCCTGTTGTACAGGCTAAAGATTTGGCGAAAGCGATTGTGGATGGCATTGAGGAGGGTCGAGACGGTGTTGTTGCTATGCCAGTTTATGCTCATTTGGTGGAGTGGTTGGGGGTTTTGCCGACGGGGTTGCAGAGGGCTGCTAGATGGATGAGTGGGGTTGATGGGGCTATGAAGACTTTTGGGTCCAAAAGAGAGTGAGCGAGTATCCTGTTCGCGGCTCATGTTTGGTGCGAGGCGGCTGTTCAATCGAGGACGGCGCTGAGTGTGTAGAGAGCACCGAGGGCGAGAAGAGCGACACCGCCGATGGCTTGTTTGCTCAGTGTAGATGGTTGATGCAGCAGTTTAGCAGTTCCAAAAGCGTGTTCTTCTGCCTGAGAGGGAGAGACGGTGGCTTCGGCATAATCGACGTCGGTAGTCACGTTATTCAGCTCTTTGATCAAGTGCCTCGACTTGTCCATCAAAGCCTTCAAAGCCTCAAGGTCGGCCTTCCACTCTGCAAGTGACTCCTCCCCACTCTTTGTATCATGCACCTCAACGCCTTGTACGTTGCCGAAGAAATCAACGACTTTTCTGTTTCTTGCTTCTTGCTCTCCTCCAGTAAAGAGATCATAGCGAATGCCAGCATCTGAGTGGACTTTGACGGGATCATAGGAGTCGAAGAGTTGTCCCAGAGTGACGTTGCTGCTTGTAGAGCTGATTTGCTCTTCCAAGAACTCGAGGTTGTAGTAGGTCCAGCGGTCGATGACTGCAACCCCGACATCTTGATCTGCGTGATGCGAATACGAAGATTGATGGAGCGCCGACGAGCCAGTCGCGATGATGTTTGGCGTGTAGAATTGTCCGTACATTGTGTTTGCCTGGCAAGTGTCGATCATGAAGAGCAGCTCGTTGTATCTGTTGCACTCTGATCAGCATGTATTTCCCCGTATAGCTTGTCAGCTAGTTCACCTCTTCTTCTCCCACATCTGCTCAAAGGCATCCGCCAAATCATGCGAAGAAATCTCCTCTGCATCCTGAAACTTCAAAAACTCATCTCCTCCGTGTCCAGTCATGTAGATCAAAATGTTACTCCTATCATCCGTCATCAACCTTTTACTCCTCGGCCAACTCTCCGGCCACCTGTCTGTGAGAAGCCTGATGAAGTTCTCCACCGTAACCTCATACCCCCTGTAATCCACCTCGATACCACTTCCCATGGCGTCGTAGAGATCCAAGTCGCGGGACTTGTCGTTGAAGACACTGCCAGGAAACGAGTTGCGAGGGTTGCACGCCATATCATCAGGCAGCATGAGGATAATCTGACTGTCGGGGATTCCGAGCCGTTTCACAGTGCGGTAAAGCGAGAGTGTATTTGCGAGATGGCGGTAGTTGAACCAGAAGCGGGAGGTTGAGACGAGGACGGCCCAGTTGGAGGTATGTGTTGCCGAGCATGCGCAAACACATAGTGTTCCTATTAACAAGGCGCATTGTATATAGCTCTTCATCTTGAGCTATGGAGACGCGATAAACGTCACTGGCATGGAAGGAAAGAGGTCAGGAGATGGTGTTGGTGATGATGCAGCCCCTCAAATGTTTGGCGCTCGGGCGTTTTGTCGGTGGAGAAATGCGCCGAGGGGGCTGATGCCGGGCGGTGAAGCCTTGACCGTTACCTTATGTCTTTCCTCGTTCCACTCATCGCGTCCCTTACTTCGGGTATCGGCCCTTGTAGCATTGCTGATATACCTGCAGCTGTGAAGATGCAGATGACTATAAGCTGTCCCAAGGCATAATTTGACGTCACTTCATGACGTTGCGTACGGAGATGAGTAGTACACTGCTGTCTCAGCAGGTTCGAGTATGGTCCAGAATATGACTGTGCCTTTTCACCACTACATATTTCACGGGACACTGTGCACGGAGATCGAGTCGACCCGAGTAGAGATCATGAGGGCTACAACGAACCGGGCTTTCAATGGCTTCGATCAACTTCTGTGCTTTGAATGGTACCGTCAGCGCTTCTCGTGACGTTATGCAGGAAAGTATATGGACTACCTGCTGTTCTTGGTGTGCTGATTTGAGTGACACCTGTGTCGGGAGTCGCGGTGCTTTCGAGGTCCTGTGTGCTTGAGCTGGGAATTGCTGGTTCTTCTGTGCTTGTATCGATGGGGTTTGTATCGTTTACATTCGCAATACTCGGGCTAGCATCTTCGGTGGTTGTAGCTTTCGGAGTCGTGACAGTATCGTCTGCAATGGGATCTTGTTTGTATATATCATCTGAAGAAGCGCGGCCTTTGCTGCTTGATCTGGGGACAGGTGCGACGTCTGTGGATGCCTCGTCTTTCTTGTCCAAGATCGAACTGGTATCGATATCTGCAGTGGGTATACGTTTATCACTCGCGCTCGTAGAAGAAGTGCTGCTGTTCCTCATTGATTTACGAACAGGCGCTCCGAGCTGCTTCGATGCAGGTCGCTTGATCATATTAGTGATGATGAAGACAGAATGACGTATACTGGTAGAAGAGGTATAATTGACGTTGCTATTGTAATTTATAAGAATTGGAAGTGGTCACGAAGCTTGGGATGGGTCAGCTGCGCAAATTCCTGGGAGTTGATATTTGGGAGGGAGCGACTACGTCTTTGCTAATTACATCGTGGCGAGCAAGCTGAAGCGACCTGCGCCTCCCTCGAAGCTGCGAACCAGACAGCGTGTACTTGGCAGCCTCTCTTTCCTTGGCCTCTTGCGCGACCAAAAGAGCGGCTTCGACTGATCTGGAATCCATCTTTACGCTCATCAAAGGGTAAAGTGGCTTTTTCACGAGGCTACCAATCTTGAAGACCGGCATTTTGATCTTTCGCGATAGCTTGACTGGCATCTTGGTCGCGGTAGGCGAAGAGGTGGCAGGAGGAATTTCATCGACATCATCGATACGACTTGACAGGACAGCGTAGGCAGTGTCGTCAAGAATCTCTGCAACCATACGCATCTCCTTCTTGCAGTGCTCCCTTGCCTCTTCCTGGCGCTATAGAGACTCGTCTTCCTCGAGCACGGCACGCTCAAATCTTCGAAGTTCGGCGTCGACGACCTGATTCAAAATGTGACAGAATCTGGTGCCTGAGAGCACATCATTGCCAGTTTGCACAGTGTAGGTGACGGTTCCGTCGGATGGATCCGTCTCGCTGAGAATGGCTCCCGGGCCAAAGGTATGCACGCCTCCGGCACTACCTATGTAGCGTCAGTATACTGTTTGGTATGACAACGATTCCCAAGTATCAATGCTGCGACGGGGTGGTGCTCGGGATAGAGCTTCGCAGGGTATCTATCCTACTTCTCGGGCGCAAAAAAGAATCCAAAGACTTGACGTGAGGTATCAGTAGTGTTTGAGATCAAGTAGACCCAGAGGCTGGCTGACAGTATGAAGTGGTCTATCGCGGTGAAAGGTCGGAAGAAGGCGATGTAAAGATGATGTCTCGACTAAAGAGTGCTGACCAATTTGGGCGCAACTCGCTTCGCATTTCTATTGAAACGAAGCAGATTTTGGAAAGCCGCAGCACTCGATTGAGGACTTTCGAATATATGCCAAGGCAAGCACCGCGAGCTTGCCTCGGACACAAGACGTCAGATGCAATGACTGATCAAATCAGTCCACTGAGGCTGACATAGTAGCAAGAGTGCTTCTAGCGTAACACCGAATCCTTCATGTCGAGGTTCGGGCTCATCATGGACGTGCACGGAAACTTCACTCTCTACTACAATGCCTGCTATATCCCGTCTGAATGGGGGCATTGAGCAAACGGAATCAGAGATTGCACTCTCAAGAACGCTATACACCTACACACGAAGATGTCTACCTGAATGCCGAGTACTGCGCTCAATCGTTGCAGTCACTCAGGACTTTGGGAATGCTCACACGGAGTAGCTAGCCTGGTTTCTTGAACGAAAGTTGATCTCGATCGCTTCTCGTCCCTCTCACATCTGCAGCGGTAACATCAACGTCGTATACTCGACGAGGATCGCGAAGACCTGATTCAGGATAATCAATTTCTGATCATGTCGCAGATAGCAACAAAAGAGGATTCAGATCATGGACAACGAGGATTGTGAGTTGAATATGCGTCCCGCCAGATGCAATTGATGTGGGGACGGAGGCCAGGAAGTTGAGAGGACAAGTGCGGCTCAGAGACGCAATTTCTCGATACATCCATGTAATAAACTATGAACTACCCAATCATATGAACGAATGGGTCTGAAGCTCGAAAGCACCATTTGGACATCACAAACAAATATCAGGAAAAAAGTGCAAAAAGAAGAAGAGCTGATCATGAAATCAAGCCAAGAACCTTGGATTCACAGCCTGCTTGATTGAGAGATTCGACTGAACTGCAGTCACTTGACTCTCACCAATTGGGCCAACTCCAGGAGAAAGTGGTCTGAGCTGGCAGTATACAATGGTTACTTGCGATGCTCGTCCGCCGGAATGATCAACTGTGCTCTCGACGCCCTGAGATTGAGATGCGATGGTATTGGTATCCTTGCTGCTGTCATGTCACGATGTCTTCTTCGGGAGTTCATGTTTTCGTTCAACAACTCTCTCTTGTCCCACGCCCTCTAATAACTCCTGCGTCTGTCTAGAACTCCACTGCGAGCAAAAAGCTGATACACGCCCTCCAGGAAAGCGTGCTGGTGCAATGCATAATCGGTTTCTACAGTACGAAAGCCTTCAAGCATAACAAGGTCCGTCGCTCAAAGATCCTCCACGTACCTACCTGCCTAAGATCCAACACTCGCATCACTCCGCAGTTTGGGCGAAGTTGTCTTTGCAAGAGTCATAATATCGCCGCCGACTAAGCGTCGCACGTCCATCAACCTCTGAGTGTCTCAGTACATCTCGTGTTGCGACTCCTAGCGTGAGATGATGCTGCTGTCACGCAAGATGGTCCGCCCCTTTACATTAAGAAGCGAGAGATCGGTGATGGTGTGGGGGCTACAGACACAGGAAGCTTGTTACTACGTACCGCAGCATATAGGAGTAGCAGAATACAAGCAAGCGCAATTTGTGGTTATAGCCAAGCATTCAAGCCCAGGACCTCTGCACGGGGCCTCGTATAAGTATCATGGTGAGAAATCTCACGCCGACTTGAGTACACAATACCGCCCAGCAGTCCTGATATCCAGTCCACGCGCTATCACTAGAGCAGTGCAGAGGAATAGCAGCGTATGGCTATTCGATAGGACTGTGTAAAGTATACTGATTGAACCAAAAGAAGTGCGCTAAGCGGCCTGTTCCGTGTACCATTTGAGTATCTCGATGACATACCTTCCGAAGAAGAGGGATGATCATGATAGAAAGCGAGAGAGGGAAGTACTGCCTCGAAACCTTGCTTATCCGCCGTAATGAAACGCCGACTCCATGCTCAACCGCAGAGACCTATCATCGAAAAGTGTCCAAAGAAGAAAACAGCCAGAGAAAAACAACAGCGAAAGGAAAACAACAGCCAAAAGGAGGGAACGCTTGCTGTCGTGAATCTGCGCAAGAAACAAGCTCTCGACAGGGGTGGTGAGAAGATTGGAGGCAAGGTCAAGGGGTCGAGACAGGCCACTGACTATGACATGTCAACAAAACGTCATGTAAACAATGGAGAAAACAGAGATCACGGCAAGATATCATGCAAGAATTCATCTGGCGGGGCTGGTGGTAGAAGTTGAGAGATCAAAGGATGTCTTCGTTTACCTGAGCTACTATCCTGCTCATCATTGGAACGAGGGGCAGCGACAGCATTCTTCTGCCTTGGTGCCATATTAAATTGCTGAGAAGGTAAGATTTTGACCACTCGAGTAGAGATCACGGTAAGGAACATACGTGCTGAACGTTACGATGCGTGAGAGGTTGTTGTGGAGGTAAGGCGCTGCGAATTTATCTTTCTCGTGTTCTTGAGGCGTAATACTGCCTATACAAATTAGAACGCAAGCTCAAAGGTGCGTTTTATGTGCGCGAACACAGGAAAACTTACAGCAAAAGCTGGTGATACGATCAGGTGTTGACGAAGTCTCAGAGTGCTTTTGATGGTAGTTAATGGAAGACTGTAATTGATTAATGTTGCGAGAGGGCAAAGTTTTGATGGAGGAGGTGGTGGTGATGGAAGCGCAGTGGGAAACGGATCCATTCACAAATTAAGCACGAGCACCACGGACTATCCTAATCTGGAACACTCCTCTCAATTTAGAGCCACAACTTTTTGACAGCACAGCGATGATACTGTAGATCCTTCAGACCTCTCTTCTTCTACCACTTCCACCACATCAGTTTGTTCAGATCGAGACAGATGAGTTGTGACTTGTCATGCCGTCGCTGCTCGACCTAAAGTCATGCATGCCGCATGGGAACTTTAACGAACGACAGACTCTGGAGGTACTACTTTCCAGCGATAGTCTCAGTCTAGGTACTCTGGGCTATAGGTCCATTGCGTTCCGTGAACCAGCCCTGGTATATCGATATTCGTGCTCGATATGCTTAAGACTTTCGGTAGCCGCTCTTCGAAGGATCAGTAAACAGAAGCCGTGACATAAGTCTACTGTAGCATAAATGTAGAGATATTGAACCGTAGCCTTTGTATCTGGCAAACATATCACTGCTCGTGGATGCGGACAAAGTCCGAGTCGTAGGAAAGAGACCACTATTTTGCGCCCTGTATTCTCCTGTTGCATCCATATGACCAAGCTTCCATAACAATCAATTGGCTCATAATCTGTCAGCAGACTGCATCGTTCTTAGCAAATGCTACTGTTCTAGTTCCCTATTGGGTGGGTGTATGTGGAGCTCCAGGGCTTCGCTCGCTCGAGTCGGGCGCACCGATAGGTCCTGATGGAATGACAATGCATCTTTTAAGCTCCTCTAGGCACCGTTACAGTACTTCTTTACCCGAGATTGCTTCATAAAGTACGCCTCTCAAGTCGTCTGTTCATCACCTGATACCGAGCTTTCGCAAATCTTGTGGCCGGCCGTGACAACTTTCGTCCATCATCACAACGTCAAGAAGGCATCCAATGCATTTATGAAACATAGCCTATAACCAGAGACACTAGAGGAGTGGAATGGTACATAAGCGCAAGGTACGGTCAAGCTTTTTGTTTGGTGATGGACGATCTGGCGTGCAGCCGAAAGCAGCTGAAGTTGATCCCGGGCCGAGGCGGCTGAAATTATCGACAACACTCCACCGCCAGACAAGAAAGGTGAGCTGACATTATCATCGAACATTGCCACATAAACAAGACGATTGGAGAACAAGATTAGAGGTAGTGACAACTTCTTGCCGAGATTGCTGCGCTGTGACATGCCACTGCATACTTCTCGACTCGCCGCTAGCACCCAGCAATAGCTACTCCAGATGACGGCATGGTCACAAGACTTAGACTCAAGACACTCAAGCGGCAGTATGACTTGTTCCAAAGTGATTAATCAGTGTAAAAAAGAAATCCCAGGCTGGTGAAATGCCATCGACCCAAAAACCACCTTCTCCAAATCCTCCCTCCCTTTCCTGCTATCGTACATGATGTGTGACGCTTCTGGTCATCCCAATAAAAGCATCCTGCTTTGATGCAAATGAAGCATGTCCCGAACTCCATAACGCCGCAATTCCCCGACAAAGAAAACAAGAAAACCCCAAGGAAGAAAACCAAAGGACAAAGAAAAGTGGTGACGAAAGCGGTCGTGAACAGAAGCCCAGAGGTATAGTCGTCGGATTGCGCGACTCAAAGAAGTAAGACAAAGAGCAAGTTGGAGAGTACAATTAACCGCTCTTGCTGATGGAATCCTCTGTCGAGGCTGAGACTCATTCCTCGCGGTTGGTGCGGCCATCGTGCTTGAAACCTTGGGTTCCGAGTCGGCGGCGGATGTGCTGCTGTCTCCACTTGTTGGCAGCATGTCTGTGTCCATCGTTTGCCCAGTCGAAATTGTTCACGTCCAACTTCCTCGGGGCATATGCCAGGTATTCCCAGCGGGTGCTATCAGCATCGACAGGGAGTTGTACGCCCAAGGGGACCGGAGTGTTTTTCTTGAAATGCTGGTTCAGGCTGAGCGCTCCGGCAGGAATGTGAGTGTCGGTTGCGGGTGCGCTATTGGGGAGATCGGCATGGCGGTCTACGAGGTCCTTCTTCGACTTGCCGCCCTTGGAAGGGGTAGAGTTGTCTTCCTCATCCTCCTCCTCTTCTGCTCCATGTTCTTCAGCAATGGATGTGAGCTTACTGGCCTGCTTTGCAGTGGTACTCCTGGGTTTCTGACTGCGGATAGCACGCTTGACAGGTGAGGAGGTGACATCAAGTTCATCTTCAGTCTCTTCGACGATTATGGTCTTTCTGGCTCTCAGACGACGCTTCGGCTGTGATCTCTGTTGAGAACGCTCATCGGTGGATTGAGCGACTGACGGCCTCTTGGTTCTCTTGACCAGGGGAATTTTATCAGAAGAGATATCATCACCTTCGTCGACCGTGACTGGCTTCCGCTTTCTGAGAACCCTTTGACTGGTGGGGCTGTTCAAGGCAGAATCGATCTGCTGGCGGCGTGAAGAGGCGAAGGCTCTTGTGAGGCGCTTTGGAACAACTGTTTCCGCGGGAATAGGGGTGTCTTCATTTGTCTGAGCAACAGGCGACTCCTTCTGTCTCTTGACAAGCGGAATGTCGTCTGAGGATACTTCCTCGGGCTCCTCTTCGATCGAAGCCAGCTTGTTGCTTCTTGTCGCTCTCTTGTTGGTGAAGGGTGCCTTTGTCTCAAGTGACTTCTTTCTGGTGATAGGGGTGATTACCTCATCTTCAGAGCTGAGAACGACAAGCTTTCGCTTGGTGGCAGCTCTACGAGGAATACGAGGAATTGGAGTCTCGGGAGAGGTGTGGTCAACAGAAACTGTCTCCTGAGAGACGACAGCCTTGCTTTCTCGAGGGGTTGATGAGAGAAGGTTCTTAGCAATCTGTCGAGGTCTCCTGGGGTTCGAGATGACCTGCTTGGGAGTAGTTGCTTTTCCGGCCTGAGCGTCGTCGAGATCCTGGAGTTCGGCGTCACTGCGACGAGGTCTCGTAATTCCAAGAGGTCTACGCATCGGCTGGATGGGCGACATGGACCCATGAATAGAGGTAGGGGCAATTCCGGCTTGCTCGACAGCAGGGACTTTACCAGCAGCACGCTTCGTGATGAAGATTGTCAACTGGCGGGGTGCAGCAGTGGTTTCGGGTCGGGATTCTGAGGCAGGAGGGCCCACTCCAGGAGGGGCTCGCCCGGTGTAGGTCGCGGGGGAACCGGATGCTCCAAGACCCATCAACGCGACAGCAGCATTAGCGTCGACGGATATGGTATGATCCAGGAACCAGAAACCGTGCTTTAACTGCATCAAGACAGTTGCAGCCTCAATAACCTCCTCGCGCTCACGCTCCCTATCGACAACGACCTCAAGTGCTTGCTCATTGATGGACGCAATCTGGGGGTTACTGATCCATTGTTCCGCGAGTCCTCCGGATCTGAGCCATGCCAGCTCCTCTGCGCCCGTGTCCATCATCAACAGGGTAGCAAACGAGTTGACCCGGTCGGTTTCCCATCGGTAACCCTTCCATTTCTTGGTCTCTGTGACGCATTAGCAAATGACCATGCTGGGCATCAAGCGATGCTATAAGTCGAGAGCTGTGCACGGGAACGTGCTGTAGAATTTGTGCGCAACTTACCTGCCGACACTCTTGGCTTGGGCGCCTCTCTGGTGACGACTCCTGTGGTGGGTGGAGGTACAGCTCCGCCGATCCGTGAGGAATGACGGAGCTGGTCGACACCGGTAATGGATGCGGTTTCATCCATGAGTGGAGGGTGTGTGGGTGGTCTATCTGAAATACAAAGGTCAACACTCGACTACTACGAAAATGGGAAACGAAAAGCCAAGACTTACTTTTGATGGAACAGAGTATGAGGATGTTTACTGTAAGCAGTAACAGTGGTTTGATGAGCCAGGTAGGCTTGAGGATCGTAATGAGATGGTTGTCGAAAAGGATAGGTGCGTCAGGCGCAGGCTGGAAGAACGTGGAGTGTATACAAAGCAGCTTGCGAAACGCAATTGGATCGAATGACCAGGGAGAAGAAAGATAATCGACACTTGAAGGTAAGGTTGACGGTGATAGTCGTCTGTTGTGCAGGTGCGAGAGAACTGCACGGTGGTGGAAGAGGATGGCTCGAACTGCGCAGCGATATCATAACATTCGACCGCGCCGAAATCACCACCACGCCAAGACTTTCGGATCCTGAGCCCTAACAAACCACAGACAAGGCTAGCTCTCGAACAAGATGGCATTGACTTGGTACTGTCAGACTGTTATGTACCCGAGCCCCCGGAATGACCTCTGATCCTTGCTATATCTACTCGATCTCCTCGTCCACCAGAGTTGCTACACCTTGATCGAACGAGTTATTCTCCCCAGACTTCTTCTTGAGATCGCCAGGAGCTTAGCTCGACTTCACTATCTCAGTCTCCGGTACCCATGGCTTACCTTGATCTCGACGGCCACCGGCGTTTCTGCTGCCAATTGCTAAACCGTTGGACGTAGATCGATCTTCAATTGAGCAGAAAGGGTTTGATGCATTTCACGGACGGCCGGAGGGGCACTCAGAGTAGACACGGACGGCCGGAGGGGCACTCAGAGTAGACACGGCCCGGATGGTGACATTGTAGCCACATCTCACTGCCGCCGTAGTCAAATTCTATCTTGCTCCACCAGCAGGGATGATTGATTAGATAAGGTTGTTCTTCAAGCCCTCTTTCTACGGTCAGTGTAGCCGCCGAAGGCCTTGACTTTGGCACGGTAGGTTCTGTTTCTCCAGTGGTTCAGCTTAACTAGCTCCGGAATTGATGCCCAGTCAATGGTGCCTTTGTGATAAAACTTCCAGGGGAAGCGTGTACCGGCAGCATTAACAGGCATCTTCAGACCGAGGGGACGTGGGTCATTGATGTGGAATGGCTCGTCCGGCTCGAGGGCTCCGGCAGGGATACCGTCATCATCACTCTCCTCCTCTTCCTCAGCAACAACCTCAGGGGCGATATCAGCAGCTTCGTCAACCTCATCATTGACTTCGCTGGCGGCCTCGTAGACGGCCTCACCATCAGCATCGTCGACATACTCGTCATCAACCTCCTCGGTGGTCTCATCCTTCTCGTCATCTAAAGCACGGAAAGAACCTTGGTCGTCGGTATCACTCTCCTCATCCGAACTGTCGACCATCTCGTGGTCTTTGGGGCTAGCACTGACCTCGCTGACCAGAGGGGTAAGAGTTGAGTCGGTGCTGTTAGAGGCGGTTGAGGTAGGACGAGCGTTGGGTACCCGGTCGACGTCACCCTCCTCGGCAAGACGTTGGGTCTTCTCACGGACGTTACCTGCGAGGGCGCGGAAGTAGATTCCCTCCTCGCGGTATTCCTGGGCAAGGTCGTCACGAACGTTCGACTCAACCCACTGCTTTGAGCTGCCGGCCAGGACGTGCACTGTGTCAAGGTCAGTCATGTATAATAACACTACAGCGGGAAATGGAAGATGGAAGGAGCGGGGACACGTACCTGCTTGACGACGGGGAACGTCGGCAGCGAGTGTTTCACGCTCCGATGACTCTGGTGCTTGGGTGGCTTTCGTAAAGACCTTTGCAGCATTCAAATACATTTCAAGCTGCTCGGGCGAGAAGCCGTGAACGTGGGTGGAAGAAAGGGTAGGGGGGCCGTTGTTGGTGATGGTGTCGGCAGCGAGGGTCTCGACAGGCAGACCCATAATGGCAAAGTCTTGATTAATTTCGGCATCGGTGAGGAGGAGCTTCGGTATCTTTGAGGGACCGATGGGGGCCTTGAGGATCTCGGCCAACCAGGTCTCCTTGTCGACTTCGCCCAAAGGGATGGCTCTGGTGTTGCGGGTGCCTTCGGCGAGAGTGGTACTCTTGGGGGCCATTTTGACTTTCCAGCCTGTCATGTCAGATCTGATAGACGTACAAGATAGCGGGGGGTCTTGTGCTTACAGGTTTGTTGGCTTATTGTGTTGTTGATAAATTGGGCGCGCGTCGAATCTTGTTTGGATGTGTGTGCGGCTGTGCCCTGTCGATCGAGAGTGCGAAGAAAGCTCAGAAAACTGTGCAGTCTCGTTGATCAGAGTCTAGTGAGACACAAGTTGAGATTTACGTGAGTAGAGATGAGAAGAACTAGAATTGATGTTCTCGCGCGTTCGCAGAAGAGATAGCGTCAAGCCTGAGACTGAGGAAGATTCAATCACCTCCCGCCAGCGCGCACTCTGTTGCTTGGCATTACACTCGCGATTAACACCCAGAAGCTTCCGAATATCTGCAAACACTGTCATTGTAACGTCCATCTCGATTCTGGACTCAGCTGTTGTCAATGGGTCGTGGAACAAAAGTCGAACCACTTTATTTGTCCGTCCCTGGAGGGTAACCAATCAGATGGGTGTGTTCTTAGGGGTACTCCATCCTTCGAGACCCACCTCTGGACAAAATGTCCACATTCTGAGAGGCACGCAAGGGTCTCTTGTACCACTTACCATGCTAGCGGTATAGTAGTAGTTTGTCACCGATGCTCACGATGGAAAGATACTGGTACAGACCTTACCACGTTTAGTCCCACCATCTTTCTCCTCAGTCGTCCTTGGCGCTCTGAGTACCAGATCGAAAGATGGCACATAGACCTAAACCACAACTCTTTGACGTAATGTTTACGAGACGCAAGCTATCAGAGATGGGATGAACACCTTCGTTGTCCCTGCATCTGCTTGTCTCACGAAACCTAGCTTGACGGGACTTCTTGGTCCTTCGGTATCTGTCACATGCACCCTCTTCCTCACGATTGAACACTCCGCGCACCCGAGATCTTTAAGAACTTGTGTTCAGCTAGGTCTGTATGGTCATCTAAAAAGCACGCAGTCGACTGATCCACAAATGAGATGACCCGCCTTGTATGCATATACTCGCGATCACGGCTGCTACCCTATGGTTCCGCGAATTCATATCGTATGTGGGCCGCTGTCGAAAATGGCAGTAAAAAGCAAGAAGATAAATTGTATCAAGGTACAGTTCGGTTTGCGGAGGGACGTCGAGGATGACCTTCTTGGCTGAGGCTCTGCGTCTCGTGCAACTCGCATGGCCTGAAACTTACACAAGAATATCGCTCAATCTACATAGCCTTGTCCCGACACCTGGAAAGTAAGATGATGGGCAGAAAGTGCAGAACGCGGAATACCTAACGACTTGTATCTATCCATCTACTTCGCGTTCTGCACTCAATAGTCTATACATTTGCAATATCTCTCGTGCTGGATTGGCTGTTCATCATTCTAGACCTCAAGGTCAGGTATGGAGCGGTCGAAGAAGATTTCAAGATGACTCTTCCTCGGCGACTGGCTGCCTATCGCTGCATGAGATCAAGGATTACTGCAAGCGCTTCGACTCGTGCTAAGACAACTACCCAAATCTCTCTGAAACTCAAGCTATTCTTGAAGACTTCTAACTCGAAAGCTCTCACGACAATATTTAGCAGCCGTATACTCTTACCTACGAAGGACAGTACATTGTCTTGCACGACCGTTTACATGCTCGAGGGAGAAAGCTGTTCGAGACTCTCCTCAACGACTTTGCACACTCTGACATTTCGGTACATGTGACTGCCTGCTCTAACCATCCCTGGCTTCCAAACAGAGTTGACGGTATGGGTATACACTTGCTTAAACTTATAACAGAGCGATTGTTGGGCATCTTGATGTATTGCCCCAATTCCCAGGTGGCGTATACATGTCCGAGCTTCATGTCATCTGTAACCTGATCGTGATGACCTCTCTATACGCCCATGCTGGAGGCTTATCACTGTATCGATGCCTTAAAGCCAGCTCTCATGGCGTCAGGTTAGTGTCTGGCGACGTGGTGAGCTGCTATCCGCTAAGATGTTCGTGAAACCTTGTAGATGAGACTCTACCAGAATAAAAAAGTGATGAGAAGGTTACCAGATAGACATATCATGAACAAAATGGAGATCAAATGATTACTTTCCACCCATAACCCGTCTAATCCATCTCGCTCCTTGTGCTAGATGGTGTCACCAACAGACAGTTGAAAGCAACTGGCTTGAAGTTCGTTCTCTAAAATCCCACAGCATCCGAGATGTTGTAGATTGTACTAGATACATTTTGAGGTGCAGAAGTAGTGTTCCAGCCTTGCGACAAAATCACTTTGGCCGCGATGCACCGATGGCCGCTGACCACCTACCAGTTCTGCCGGATCTTGGCAGCAAGGCTCCCAACTGCCTTCCCAGAGTCTTTCCCTCTGGTTCTGGAATGCCATGAACGCCACAAGAGGTTGCTACATCAGTCTGGTGACTGTTTAAGCCGCACTACTCGATTATGATGGCAAGAATCATGATCTTCGGCCGCGAAAGGTAAGCCCCACGTCTACACATTTGTGACCTACCCCATTGCATCTCACGCCACGGCTGTATCCTTGGAAGTGCGCTGCACTTACGCAGCAAGCCTTCGCCTCTTTTGTACCCGCAGAGGAGATAGTGAATTGTGTTGGTCACGTTCCGGAGCGTAGTGCGAAGACGCACAGGCGGCCTCTACAGTCGCAGGGAAACCACGCTCCCACACCGTGACGGAAAGCGAGGACGATCTAGAAGGGAAGGGCATAAAGTATGTCCAACGAGGCACTATAGAGATGATCAAGAAAGCTGACTTAGTACGTGAGTGATGGTTGCCATTGGTGCAGCCTTACCACTACGGGTCCGCAGTAGAGGAAGGACGGCCACACCGCCATCTTGTTGATCAAGTCATGCTGTCTAGAGTTTGGTCGAAGAGATTGATGCTGAGCAGGTAAGGACAATCTGGGCGAGTTCCTTCCTGCATTCTCTGCACATCTCCAATCTGTCTTCGTTTTGACCAAGGGAAAAGTCAAATCAAGACGCCCCATCACCGATCTTCTCCTCCACGGATTAAACGCTCTTCCTGAAAGCATAACACTTTCTCTTTCTCTACCCAATCCTGGAACGAGCTTGCTGTTTGAGCTTCCCTGGACCTCAAAAATGCCTCGTTGTGTGTTCAGAACCCTGTAAAGCAAAGAACGGTCGTTTCCATGGTGCTCGCATTTGATAGCCAGCCAGGAGTTGTACTTGGTGCGCACCTCGATGGTGAACATAATCTAAGGCCTGATGTCCAAGAAGCTGCACAGCTGCGGATACCCTGTTGAGTTGCTTGATCTAGTCCATGGACTTCTTGACAAGGAATGCGCGATACCCCATGATGCTACGATCAACAGAGTCAGCAAGATACACGGATGCCAACACTTTGGATGATTCTCACCAATACTTGACAAAATCCACGTCGGACAATCCATTGAGATATTAAGTGGAGGGTCAGTCGGGTCGGGGAATCTTGGCTGTCTGAATGAGGAGTTGAGAAAATAATGGCCTGCTGTTGTATCGCTTGGTTCTTCTGCCACTCTCCCATCATATTAATGCAATCCGAAACGACTCTTACACTCTTGCGTGCTAGCAATGACACCGACCTTCAGGAGGTAGTTCGCAAGCTCGAGACGAGTAGCGACCTCATCGTGGCAGGCACTGTCAAGGAAAAATATCAGGTCCGCAAGATTCATAAGCAGATCAAGTTGATCATCGACATCCTCGCTTGGTATAGAAAATGCCTTGAACCACAGCGCAGCCATTTGCGCGGAGTTTGTAAGCTGGAGGACCTAAGAACCAAGATCACTGAAAATTGAGAACTTGGAGAAAATGAGGTTGCTCATTGAGTTATTGAATACGGCAATGACTGTGGAACAGAAGATGAGGATTGATTTGAGGTTGGAAATGGATTGAGCTTTGACTGCGCGGTCAGATGGCAGACTGCGAGGCACACAGATGGTTTCAGTCTTGCAGAGCGAACGTGAGAAGTGCCTCGGGCGTTATGGTTTTTTTATTTTTCACTATGCTTTTCTTACATCACATCAATCAAGTTCCTGTTCGGAACGACTCGTGAGAGACTATCGTGATGAGCTAAAACAGTTTTGCCTGCTCTTCCTTCGTCAGCACTCTTCGAGCTGGCCCACCACGACTACCATCTCCTGGCATGATGGGCTCAGCAGACTCCGTCCATGCCCATTTTTTCCTCTGTTCTTCCGAAGCTGTACCCTCAAAATTATCGGCCACATAACTCCCGAGTATGGGAAGGAATTTAAACGCGCTATAGCAAGTCAGTCAAGTAAGTTGGTAGTCGTGAATGTCAAACGTGACTTACTGTCCGCTGCCACCAGTAGCGATGAAAAGATTGGTGTACTCAGGGTGATAATCCACGATAAAGTCGCCTTTGGGTGTATCTGTGTACCAACACAACTTCGCCTTCGAGAATGGTCGATCCCTGAATTTCGGGAGAAAGAGCGCCAGACCATCTCTGAGAGCCTGTTCTGCATCGGCTGGTAGATATTCACACTGGGAAGCCACACTGGGCGCTGAGTATCGAGTCGAGTCTAATGTATGAGTGGTCTCGAAGCCGTAGCCATGTCTTGCCATCTTCAAGGTGTGGTCATCCGTGGGTGGGAAAGCAAACCAGCCAGTGCTCAGGTTGATCATGACAGGGCCGCCTTGCATCTCGGCTGCTTCTTCGGGCGCAAGTTTCAAGTAGCCTACAGGTTGGCCAGTAGACAAGAAACGATTGCCAGCTCCGATCAGATGTGGTGTCCATGCTCCAGTAGCCAGAATGACTGTGTTTGCGGCCGTGGCCTCGCCATCGGCTGTTCGCACACCAGTGATCGTCTGGCGACCGGCGGCATCGGCTGAAATCAGCTCGGTCACAGTACCTCTTTCTCCTGTCAGGAACTTGATATCAGCTATTTCGCAAAGACTTGCCAGGTGCTTGATACTGCCTGCAGCATCCGCCCATCCGGCATCAAGGTTGCAATAGCCACTAGTCTGAGACAAGTCGCCATGGATGCCAGGATACCTCTCAGTCGCTTCCTCCCCTGTATAGGACCACAAGGTGGCTTTACATCCTATTCTCTCCAGATTCTCTCGAGCTTCTTTGAGGTAAGCATTTCCGAACTCTCTTCCGGACTGGGCACAAAGAAGCCCGCTGCGGTGAAAGAATGCGGGGTATTCCTTCTGCCAGACCTCGAGGGCTTCAACGCCCATTCGAGCATAGAACTCATCTGCATAATCTGGTCTGACAATACGCGATATGTCGACCGATGAGCCGTCAGGGACTGGTGGAAGATGGCGGTCGAGGACTGTGATGTCGCCGTAGCCGCGACGCTTGAGCTCCAGAGCCGTCGACAGGCCGAAAACGCCAGCTCCAACAACGACAATTGAACCTTCTTTGTGCATCTCGATGGTTTGATGAAGGACAAGTTGAAAGACACAAAGAGAAGTTATCCAGAGGCTGTTAACGGGCCTTTTTGATACTTGTTAAGATAAGGGCGCGAGAAGGATTATGACGTAGTTACGAAGCTCGTATTCGCAGCCAGACGACAGCTCCTGGTTCAACACGCTTCACGTCTTCAGTCTCATGTGTCTATAGTCAAGACCTTGGGGTATAAGACAGCCGACTTGTGCCCGAATCTCGCGACGTGAGCTTGATTTAAGATATCGCTCAGCGGACCGTATAGCTGCTGACTAGTTTTCTTGGCCGTCGTGGGTCTGGTCTGGTTATACAGAAAGACTGCGTACGCTATTGCTGACGACCTATCATACCAGCATGGTTGATCACATTTGGTAATGTCTGTAAGATAGGTGTGAGGTGGGGATGAGATGGCAAGTATCGTGAAGGCTCAGGTTGATGGCTTGGTCGTGGCCGGACAATTCGAGCCTCCAGCTACGCTAGCACATGACATACATGACTTTGAAGACATGCTTGCGTCCTGGGATTCACTTCTACGAATCACAAAGTCCGAAGAACGCCCATATCATCCCATTAAAATCCTCACTACCATCACCATCCATCATCATCATCATCATCGTCATCATCTCCATCTCTCGTCAACAATCGCAGAAATGGTCTCTGCCTTCCTCTGCACTCTGTGCAACCAAGCTGGCACCATCAAGGTCAGCGGATCCACTGGCAACATGAAGGTGCACCTGGGCAGTGCCGCTCGCGGCTGCCACAACATGGGGCCTTGGGTCTGCCAGGTCGCCGGTTGCAACGAGCGCGCCGCCAGAGCGTGAGTCTTATACCTCTGATCTATGATCCATATCAAGGTCAATTGAATCTGACTCGGGTTACATAGCGACCGTATCAACCAAAGCCATGGCACTGGCAACGCTATGCACATCGCACAACTTGTGCACGATCAGGGACTGGCCGCCAACATCGCCGCCGAGACCGAGAGATGTCGCCTCCTATACATCGCTGCGCAGACCGCGGGTATTCTTCCTGCTCCTGCTCCTGCTCCTGCTCCTGCCCCTGCCCCTGCCCCGATTCTCGCCCCTATCCCGGCTCCTGCTCACATTGTAGCTACAATCGGCGCTCCTGGCCTACCAATTGCGCCACTATACCTCTGGCGCGACTTCTCCGGCCCCCTGGTCAACTCGGTCGACTCCGTCTCAAGTACCGAGTTCACATGGCCTCCCAGCGCAGTGGAGCGTGCTCCTGTGCACTGGCGAGACTTCTTGCCCAGCAGCGAAGACGAGGATGAGGAGATGGAGGAGTCGGGCGAAGACGAGGATGACAACGATGACGATGACGACGAGACCGACGAAGAGGACGAAGACAAAAAGGCCAAGGGCCCAGACAAGTAGAACGGCGTTCCCGAGATGGAGTGACGAGAAGGTTTAGAGATGGTCAACGAGCACGAGGATTAAATTTGTTCAGAGTAGTAAGAATTGATAGACTCACATTGTTTTGTAACCCGCCGTCGATTCCTTCTGCTGCTCGTTCTTGTTTTATCGCTGCGTAACTTTCCCGTCTGTTTGCATGTTTTCACAATCAAAAGTCAACAAATCTTCCGCGACATACCACAGTCTGACTTCTGAGCACAACTCACCTTTCTTCCTCGCACTACGGATCATAATCGCGTCTTTCCCCCTTACACATCAAAGGACAAAGAAAACGCGATGAGGGAACTACCACCTCAACAAACATCAATGACAGATAGGGTTTTGTGGTTTTTTCAAGAGCGCAATCTCGCAGAGGCAAAGAACACTTTCGAGTCACGCCGCCCCAGAGCTGATTCTCCTCCCTGGCTCGACTCTGGAGACGACGACGACGACTCAGCTGAATGGTCTTATCAGACGCATTATGCCGATGGTATCACCCCTGTTCGGCGCCGCATCCAGGACAAGGAGATTCAGAAGTTCAAACGCACTCCATTGTGGGTTCCCAGCCGCGAGACATACGAAGACGAAGGATGGAGAGCTTTCCGGCTCCCCGTCTTCGTACGCGATAGCTCGCCCGCTCCCTCACCTCTCCCTGCAACAAAACCTGGGCTTCGTGACGCTTTCCGTGCACCTACGATCTACGTGTACAAGGACATCGGATTCGATCGCTACAGAGTCGAGGCAATCGAGAAGACCAAGCTACCGCAGTACAACAAGGTTGACGAAGAGGAAACTGTCGATCAGCTCAGCCCCCACAGCCAATACATCCTCGACACGGAGAACGGGGCCATCTTCGACTCTGACGCCGAGGACGATGACCACGGTACCTACAGCACCGATAACGAGGTCTCCAAGACAGACGGGATCGAAACTCAACACGGAAGCATTATGGACCATTTTGAAGATACGAGGGGTACTATCGGCGGTATTCACCGTGGCAGCAGCGCTGCTGTGGGAGATGCTGTGCAGCCTGATCTCTCTAGCAACCCGACCATCCAGTTTTTTCAGAACAGGTGAATTTCCAGTATTTCAGCCGGCGATGAAACCTCGAGAAGTGTGACTGACGAGAACTGTAGTTTTAGCATCAAGTCCTCCGGCAAGGCAAGCAATGTCGACCTGTTTTTCCGGAGACCCGCCAAACCCACGCAAGTACACGACAGTGGCACACACCACAATATGGACAACGCATCAATCATCGACAACAGCCAGCAACAAGCCGCTACCGTCACGCAGGATGTTAGAGAAGAGCCTACGCCGCTCCACATTCGCAAGCGCAAGCAGATAGCAAGCCGCAGCTTCGCAACCGACCGCAACGTTCGCCCACAGATCAATCACTACCACGGATATGAAACAGTAGCTGGTGACATACTTCCTCCTACCTCTACCGCTACCGTCATACTCCAAGAGTATATCGAGGAGATCCAGTACATGTTGCGCCATGAAATCATGAGTTGGCCCGTGAACAACCACTTGCGTCCTCTGCTCATCCGCCTCCACGCAGACTGCGGATCTTGTCAGAAGAGCAAGCCCATCAAGCAAGACTTGCTGCCTCTACTCCTTCGTCTCAAAGATTACTACCGAATAGTTCTGGACGAAGGTATCGAGGACATGGACAGGATTAGTGCTGATCTCGATGGACCTGCTTCCATGCTCTCCAACCCTTCTCTCAATGTATACCGCGCTATCGATGGCTTAGCTCCTCTTAAATACTCCAACAATGCTCTAAGAGCTATTCTGGCCAGAGCTGAGCACTGCACCCAGTGCATGCTTCGTCTGAGCTTCTTGTAAGTAGACAGATTATCCCAAGTCTCTGAACATGTCTCTGACCATATTACAGGGAAAGGAGAGTCTCGGAGCTCGGTTGAGCAGTTTTAAGAACAGAAACACGAAACTTGCGTTTCTCCACGGAGCAAAGTCGAGTAAGAGCAGAGCTGTGGAAAGGCAACATGATTTTGTCCAGATCGAGACCTCAAAGGGGAGATAGCCTAGGTACACACTCTTTCAAGCCATTGTTTCAATACAACAAAAGTTCTTGCATTTCCACAGCCCGTTTCTCATCGTAGAGTGGTTCTGAGAGTCCGCTAGATTTTGTAACCACGTCCTCCGTGGATGAGCCTCTCCCCCAGCGCCGTCGCCAGCGTCAAGCACCTGTCCAAGAGAGGCCCAAGAAGACCTCATTCCTCTCTGAGACCCTTGTGCATCTCACTCGCAGCCTTGATGACGAGACTGCCGATTACGAAGTCATCTCTGAAGATGACACTGAAGACCACATGACCAGCGCCACAGCCAACATCATCGAGATCCATAACACTTCCGTCCCCAAGCGCGTCGTGGCCAACATCTCTGAAGCCGCTCACAAACTGTTGTACCGCCAACGCGTTCTGATCCACGACTACGAGAAGTTCGACGTCCAGACCTACAACCCCAGAGGTCGCCTCGACCCGGGTACCAAGGATCTGAGAGACTTTGTCGAAGTCCTCAGAAAGGATTTGGCTAGCATGGAGGAAGCTCTGGGGGAGCTCAACGATGTGTAAGTACCTTCTATTCACATTTTTGCAACTCATACTGACCACCGATCTAGTAAGGCCGGTCTCTAATCTATTAGTGTCTGTATGAACAAGACACCTCTGTATGCTCGTGAGTGATGCAGCAGAAAAATAAGGACTAGACAGTGACGGAATGTGACGGTTAATGGATAATTCAGGAGCAGGAAATGGCAGTTTAAGGATCAAATCACACTCGTTCACACCCAATATTACATGCTCCAAGGTGAAGTGAAGTAGATGTTTACACAAGTGAAGGACTATCGCACGTGACAGCAGCACGACCGGAGTTGAGTCCGGACCTTTTCATCCCTCTCTCCTCATCGTAGCACCGCATTGAACATGGCTGTAAAAAGGCACAGTCAATTCCAAAATCATGGTCATTGTGCTTGAGAGAGTTGGAATAGTGCTATCTCAATGGACAGTTCAAGGTATCTGAAATTGATTGTGCCTTTTTACAGGTCCCTTACGTACTGGAGAGACGTGATGGAGAACGTTGATCTGACACACATCCGCCCCGGGCTGGATGGACAAAACCCACTACTCCACATCCAGGAGCTCATGCATCAAATATGTTTCTGCCTTTCGACAGCCCTAGTACCACCCTACGTGTCCCGTAGGAAAGACCACAAAATCACTGGCTGACGGACATAGATGACGATCTATCGAGCTTGGCTGCGTTTCAAGTTATCTATACGTGTATACAGCTCGAATACGGCGATACGAGACACCGAGACGTCGATCACGTATTCACGTATCCAGCCATCCGTACCACATCCGGATGGCATGGATGTCGGAATCTGTGGACTAGACAGTCAGGAAAGAAGTCTATAAGAGAGCTGTTCCTGCGACTCACGGCTTCTCTTTTGGTCATCACATTAACGCGTTCTGAGGAAATTCCAGAATTATCAAATATGAGATCTACCATCGCCATCACTCTTGTTACTGCTGCTTCGGCTTTTCCTCAAATGAGTGCTCAAGCCGCTATGACCGATGACATCAATGCCTGGCATCCAGCTGGACCTAGCGACCGTAATGCTTGAACTTCCTCTCACCTCCACTGGACGCTCAATACTGACACTTGATAGTCAGAGGACCTTGCCCGATGATGAACACTCTCGCAAACCACGGCTTCATCCCCCGCAATGGTGGTAACATCACAAAAGAAAATGCTATCAAAGGCCTCCGCGATGGCTTGAACTTCGACGCAGATCTAGCAAGCTTGATGTGGGACCAAGCCATCATCGCCAACCCTGAGCCCAACGCTACATTCTTTACTCTGTGAGGCACCATTTACCTGAACGCTTCGGCGAAAAGATGCTAACATAGGTTCAGTGACCATCTCAACCGCCACAATGTACTTGAGCATGACGCAAGTCTCTCGCGTATGGATACGTACTACGGCAACAACCATCTCTTCAACCCGGAGGCTTTTGCTACTAGCACTCGCTACTGGACCAATGAGACATTGACTGCGAATATGCTTACGAACAGCAAATTGGCGAGAATGATCGAGTCTAGAGCTTTCAACCCGAACTACACCTTTACGGCCAACAATGAAAATTTCAGTCTCGGTGAGGTTGCTGCTCCGTTCATTGCTTTTGGCGATACGACTGCGGTCACTGTGCCCCGGGATTTGGTGATGTACTTCTTCGGTGAGTGTTTGAGCCAGCCGTCATGAGAAGGCGGAGCTGACATGGGTACAGAACACGAGCGTCTACCTCACGAGTTGGGCTGGACCAAGAAGAACGAGACAATGACGTTGAAGGACATTCTGAGTGTCGTGTCGGCTATCAGAAACGCTACGAGCTTGTTGACTCCTGACTCGGCTTCGAACCAGACTGTTGATGGTGAGTCCCATGGTATTCCTGAGAGTGCGGAGAGTGCTCGTCGTAGCCTGCATGTGCCTTTGAAGCTCTAGGTCATGTTTGGACTGGAAGATTGGCTGCTTTTATATCATAATCGGGGCGGATGCTGTGAATGTCGGATCAGATAGGACAGATAGATCGTGAGCAGAATTGACGATCTCGGTATGACCATATTACTTGATGCATCTACTCCCAGTGATGCTCCAAAGAACTGTGCTGGCTGTCCAGATGCATAATCAATTTCGGTTACGATACACCAGACTCGAAAGACCGTGAATCAAGCGCCCTCTTGCAATGTTCCGTTGATCATAGAAATGATCTTGCCATTCCATAAGGAGAGATGAATGGCAGTACTGTACAAGGAAAACAAGTCAAGATAGAATCTGAAGTAGTCGCTCTTCCGATATGTCGCTTATGTCCACTCAAGAAAATCTTGCCTTTGTACAGTGAGACGTCTGTGGCGAAACTGCACAAGGAGATTCTTGCTGCTCAACGAGAAGGGCCAGGTAGATAGTCCATAGCGGCTCAGGCCAGTAGATAAGATCTTGATCGATATGCACTTTATCTTGGTGTTCCACTTTGGGCAAGCAACGAGAGCTGTCTTGGCTGTTCGGAGTGGATGCCACAGTCACAAGAATTTGCGAATTGATATTCGAAGGCGTGGAACATTGTGAAGCCAGGTCATATCGCGTCTCAACACTCGCAATTGTTTCCTGCATCGACGACGCCCTTTCGATCCCATCTTGACGCATAGCAACATCCATCAACATGGCTCAGTTCTTCAATCTCCCTTCTCAAACCGGTGCATACCGCTGCAGGATCTGTGCGAAACAACAGACTCAGATAGAGAGGTCACCCTTGCTGCAGGTGATGTCAACTGTCACCTCGGGTCACATTAAGACAGCTGCACTTGCAGGAGGTGATATCGGCTCTCAGCGGTCACTTGAGGGATGATTGTGGTCAAGAGCAGAATGTCGGCAAACTAGTATTTCGGCCGAAGATATGGAATAATACAGGATGGATGCTACGTCGCCATGAGAAACAAGAAAGAATGGAATGGAGAGCATGCGAGCGAAACCGAGCTGCTATACGAGAACACGAGCGATGACGATGGCCGAACGGTGTGATGTCATTGCCAAAAATAAAACAGTTTGTCTTTAACCTCGGCCAAGACCCTGCAGAGTGCTATTTTTGACAACCGTTCGAACGCCTCATGGGGCTCCAAGACATGTCAAGCTTCCAGATCACACCTGAAAATAGAATCACATTCAACTTCCACCGTCATTCTCTCGGCGTGCGGAGCTCTTACGAGAAGATCAGCCGGGGCAAACCCTCGTTCGTGGGGTCGATCTTTGGTATACGAGAATTTGCCTTGATGTGGCATCGTAAAGACTCAGACATTACACCGTTGGGGGAGAAATGCCTCTAGGCTTCTGTCATGTAGGGCAGACTTGCAATTTACAAGGTAGGAATGTTGGATATATAATGCCTTGGGATCCTTCCATCAGCTCTCATTCCTCATCATCAAATAACATCTTCACCATCACAACCAACACTCCTCACACCAACACCAACACCAACACCAACACCGCAACTACTTTTTCAACACCCCAAACACCAATCAATCAATAAGATGCTTTCCCAGTCTCTCATCTCCATCCTTGCCCTGACCGGCGCCGTCTCTGCCTCGCCCGCTCTCCGTCGCCAGGCCGCCAACGCCGCCTGCCCCACCGCACTCTTCGATGGATGCAACCCTGCCAGAAGCGCCTGCCCTGATGGCCCTGGCACCTTCACCACTGTCTCTCCTTCCACATACCCTACCAGCTATGTCATCAACGGCCAGACTGTCTCGTTGACTGCTGCCCCCACTTCGTGCTTGCCCACTGGCACTTCCAGCGCTGCCGCCAGCACTTCCACTGCCGCCGCTTCCGGCTGTGTTGCCAAGTACAACACTTGCCGCACTACTCGTGTCAACGGCCTTTCCGCCAACCAGGCACAGTGCGCTGCCGACAACGCTGCCTGCCAGGGAGCTTGCTACACCGCCTACAACACCTGCAGAACTACTCGTGTCAACGGTCTCTCCGCCAACCAGGCTCAATGTGCTTCTGAGTACGCTGGATGCCTCGGCGAGAACCCCTTCACCGAGGGCTACTCTACCCTGCCTGGCGCTCCCGCTAGCTCCACCGCTGCTGGCACCACCGCTGCTCCTTCTACCATGACCACCTCGGCCGCTGCCGCACCCAAGGCATCAAGCAACGCTGCTGCCCCTGGCAGCAACCCCAAGAAGGTCGATGGCAAGACCTGGACTCTCCAGAACGTCAACCGCTACTGCGGCGAGACCTCCGGAACTTGCGACTACAACTTCGACATCGTCGCCAACGGCGCCACCCAGCACTGCACCATCGTGAACGCCAACAACAAGTCCTTCAGCAACCAGAAGTGCGCCAACGACAACTTCACCGTCTCATGGGGTTACGTCGCTGAGCCTGCTCCTGCATACGCTGTTATCACTGTTGTTGACAAGAGCAACGAATTGGCCTGGTTCGGTGTCAGCAACGTTGATGGTCAGGCTGTTACTGCCTCCAACCCCAAGGGCTCTGGTCAGTACGGTAACGTTGGTCCTGAGCAGGTTTACACCTACAACTAAGCTATTGAGCTTGAGTTTGAATAGTTGGCGAGAATGAAGAATATTGTATATATTGGCACGACAGGACTGGATTTGAGATTTTGATATTGTTTATTTAGCAAGCACACTTTCGTTAATTGCATGAATCTATTATTTTTCACCCGAACGTTTTTCTTGCAACTTCCCCTGCCTGCGATAAGTTTTCTTCGCATGATACTTTATTCGAGACTCGAATGACTTTAGGTGAACCAGTGCAAAAGAGCCGAAACCTGGCCCAAACTACGAACAAGCTCAAGTATCGAACTCATGAGAAAGGTGCTTCGTCTCCAATCAGTCGAATGTCTAGAGTTCACGAATTAATGAGAGTGGCCACGCAGCGTTCTCCAATTGTACCCCATGATCACAGTGGAATCCGCTGCTACGCCATCTTCGCAGGCTGGGGTTAATTTATCTAGACCTCGGTAGCTACACCGTTGCTCGAATGAAAATCGTCGAGATCCGTGACTTCACACACGTCGGCGGTAAGGCGGGAACAACATGCTCAAGCTCGAAGATGCTTTGTATTGTGTCTATCCACATATGATATGTTGCAAAAGGCAAAATGCTAAATATGCCCCTTCCCCAACAGCGGATTCCCAATGACTCAAACCTATAACGCCTTCCCCAGCCCCTGCTTTTCGACATCGTCGTGGTATAGATAATTTGACCCGACCCGGAATTTGAATTCTCAATAACTCCAAAAGTATGCAATCGTATTCTCCAAATTGTTCCAAACGAACAAGCGGCGTTACGCTTACTTCAGTGCAGAGAGAGTAAGCGTAGTCTTTCCGTAGTAGCTGTCTTGGTTGAGCTGAGACATGTAGAAATAGCTGTAATCGTTGATGTGCCCTATGCCTACAAAGTCCTTCAAGATCAGACCATCTGATGATTTGACAGAGCACTTTACTTCACTCGGTAGAGCTGCTGCTACTGTGCAAATCAGAGGCGCGTGGAAGATGTTTGTAGCAAGTTCGGCTGCAGTGAGGAAGTTTATGCTCGTGAGGGATCCGCTGGACACACGTGCGTAGACCGCGGCCGTGCGTCCTCCGCCAACGTCATCTTTAAGATAACCAGTAGACGATTCAATGTAAAATCCAGTCTTCCTTACAAGACTAGCGTACTTTGGAACGTTGCGGATATTGATGTAGGGAAAGTTGCCGACGCCATAGGGAGGATCTGCTCGGTTGACGAACTCGAGCGGTCCCGAAGAGGCAGGGTTGTTTCCCGACCCAGCGATGTTGAGAACAAGATTGTCGACGGGTGGCGCAGAGGTTGCAGTAGATACCACCGATACAATTGTGGTGCTGACGACGCCAGTGACCGTTGCGAAGGTCGTCAGGATGGAGGTAGATGATGCGGGTTTAACTTGCATGGAACAAGCTGCTGAGACAACAGCAGGTTGGTACTTGGAAGGCCCGCGGGAATAGCCACAGACACATCGCGCTTCTTCACTTGAGATACATCAGGACCTTGGTCCGTGATGTTTGGATTGTACCACTTGGTACCATTGGCATCGATGACAGCCAGTGTACCGACCGAAGAATCCATGCTAAGTCCCGGATACAAAGAGTCAGTGCCATCACGCTTGCGCATAGGTGCAACTGTTGTTGTCGAGTATGAGGTGGAAGTCACAACAGGAGTGATGGTGGCGGTCGAGGTGATGGTAGAGAGAGGAATGGTGTAGCCAAGGTAGGCTGAGCAGAAAGGCTGGAGGGACGACCACTTGATGTCAGCGACAGCTTGGTACTTGGCGCCATTGGAATCTCCGACAGTAGGATCAATACCAGCGTCAGTCATGGAGAAGCCAAAGCTGTAGTCGATGGTGTACTGGTCCTTTCCTTGCCACGATCCGCTGTTGACAGCGTACTTTGCAGGCCAGGCTTCGGTGTAGAGCGAGCAGTACTGTCCCTGGGGGATGATGGTGCCATCGGCCTTCTTGACCTGCAGGAGATAGGTGTTGAAGAATCGACAGGCCTTGTAGGGAGTGCCGTCCTTAGGGGCCGTGTTCTTGTTGTAGGTGGTCTGAGCCTTGCAGTACTCTGAGCATTGAGTAACGTCCCAGTTGCCAATGAACATCTTAGCTCCATGTACTACTCAGTGTCAGCGGAAGTCTTCTTTCTAACAGCTAGGTTACTCACAGTGTTATAACCTTGAGCGTCATAGGGTGCGTTTATAGCGAATTTGCTAAAGGGGACACCGGTCTAGAAGCCATCAGGCGTAGAAATCTTGTTGGTCACATAGCCATTGTTTCCGGCGATGGCAACTGAGAATCCACTACGTGATTGACCGACATTGACGGCATTTGCAGCAGTCACTTGGCCCGACCACATTACACATTTAATCATGGTGAACGCAGCAGGGTTCGAGCATGAGGCATCGTTAGGATCGACTGATAAGAGATATTAGGCTTTCGTGTTAATGTAGACCAATTTGGGGTGATGCTTACTAGAAGGATCACGCTCAAAGTAGATGTTAAAGGATGAGCATCCATACTTGGCCGTGCACTGAGTTGCACACTGGTTGACATCATACGTGTCCATGGTGCTAAGTAACCAAAACTAAGATTTCGAATCAACATCGTGGATTTTGAGACAGTCCGGCATTGACTTACGCATTGTTAGAGGCCTGCTTATTGATGAACGCTTAAGTGTAGCCAGTAGGAGCAGCTGCGTTGGCTGAAGCAACAGAAGCGAAGTAGGGTTCCGCGAGGAATTGAGCAGCGGTATCTCCAGAGAAATCCGGGACAGAAGTCGCCCTAGGTGCCTGCTTAACACAGGTTGCAGCAGCTCTTTTGGCCTGCACAACAGCAGTGGCTGAAAGGACATCGTTGATGTCGACAGCTACGGAGGAGATAGCAGCTGTAGCCGAAGCGATGAGAGCCTCGGTGTTGATGGTGATAGACTGTGCAGTGACACCAACAGCTTCGGTGAAGGTCGGGTCAGGTGCAGCGAACACAATGTCGAAGTCGATCTCTTAGGGCCGAGGCATGGCAGCAGCCAAGTTGGCCGCCAAAGCGAGAGGAGCATAAGATGAGAAACGCATCTCGATGGAGTATCAGACTGGGAAGAGAAGGAGGAGATGAGTTTGAACCCGACCTGTATCGGCCGCAGTCTCTCTGACCTATATATCACAACATTTCCTTAGAGGCTCGGGTGTAGAAGACGTCCCGGCATGGCCGAACACTCAAAAATGTCCTTGCCAGCGCCATGAGGCACAAATGGCAAAGGTAAAGCCCACCATTTGCTCTCTTGGAGATGTCGACAGCAGCTGAAGATCTAGGGGCTTGAAGGGGCTTGACGGTTACGGAGTGTGTGGCTTGAACGGGGCGGACTTGGCCAGAGAGAAGGGTATCAAGAATTAGGGTGAGAGAATCTAAATCAGGTCGCGTCGACACCACGCGGGGAAAAGCGCAGTCCTTCCATGATCGGAAGCAGCGAGATTGCATCTAGAAGTGGTTAGTGTCAAAGCTTACCACCCATTGGAGAAAACTCCGGTTGGCCGTATACTTCTCCCTCTCCCGTCTTACGCGCAAATGTCCATCATACTAGCCGCTTCAATCAGCCTTACGACCCGACTACTCGTATGTCTCTCCTCAGACGTGCCTCTTGACTCTCCACAAAGCCCGTCTACCAAATTCCCTTCTTCTTCGTTACTCAAGGCCAATCTTCCGGAAAGACCGCGGCCTACAACGGTGCAGGGCTGGTGACCGTTGCAGGAGGGAGCAACTTGACCGTTCCCAGAGCTAAACGCGAGATGGTCAGGCACGCCTATGATCATTTTCCCTTCGCGATAGCTATGGTGGGGGATCTGCAGGTTTGCGACCTCTTTTGAGGTGGAGCTGGTCGGAGGACTATCTCCGACGGACAATGGTGAGGGGTGAAAAGGCACCGACAGATGGCTGCTTCTCGAATGGCTGCGCAAGTTGCTGTTCGTCTGCGCGACAAAGGTAACTGATTACCAGTCTAGCATGCGTTGCCGGAACGAAACTTGCGCTGTGGTGCAAGCGCTCTCTGACTCCTTGATCTTGAAATCTTGCAAGAAAGGAGCAGGCTCCTCTACTCCGCCAGTCCTTCATACATGCCCTGGATGATGGAGCGACGAACACCCAGAGATTGATGATTTGGCTGGGAAGAATCGCAATGGCTGGAAATATAATTGATTCTATCCTGTCGTCTCATTATCTAGTTCCTTGAGGTAAGTGTCTCTATATCTCTCCTCTGGTCTGGTATCGCGTCTATTCCTTGTTCTCTTCCTTCTCTTCCTTGTCGTCTTTCTTCTCTTCCTCATCATTTTGCTTGCCGGCCTCCTTGTAAATGTCGCTGTCGAAGTTGACAGGGAAGTGTTCTCTACCCTCGGCGTCCTTGTTGACCCAGACAGCAACACTGCAGCCAGGACACTTGAACTTTCCGTTACCCTCTTCATCAATGGTAACCTCGCCCTGCTCCCAGCCCAAGAGATCTGTCCACACTTCACCCTTGTGCTCAGGACCGACATGCATTTGAATCTCTCCAGGTCCGGTGTTGCTCATGACGACTGCGCAACCGTTCTTCTTGTCGTGTGTTCCTCTTCTCACCCAACCGATGCAGTTGGGGTTGTCCCAGTAGTCGTTCAGGTCTCCGTAGGCGAAGAGCTTGCGTGCGAGGATGAGGTCGGCGAGTTTGTCGCCGCAGGATGGGGGTTCGGGGTTGTCACCCTTCATGCCGTAGAGATCGCCGTAGAAGACACTAGGGTAGCCGTCGCGGCGGAGGAGAATGAGGGAGTAGGCGAGGGGCTTGAAGAAGCCTTCAACGGGCGTCTCGACGGTTTGACCGGGTTGCGTGTCGTGGTTTACCACGACTGTCTGTTTGTCGCAGAGTCAGTGTTCTGCTTTTGCGGTGGGTGGGAGAAGATGAGAATGCTTACCACAGCGTTGACGGGCATGTCCTGGACCAAGGTATCGTCAAACACCTTTCTCAAATCGGCAGCCTCGCCCTTGCTGATGTTTGAGAAGTTGTTCAACAGCGGTGAGTCGTACAGAGAGAACTTTCTCTCCATCTGATTGACCCAATCAACGAGATCCTTCTTGTTTCCAGTCCAGAACTCGCCAACATAGAACAAATCGCCATGCTCCTTCCTCAGCGCCTCAATCCACTCTTTTGTGAAGCGCTGCGAAAAGTGCTGCACAGCATCGAGTCTGAAGCCCCTCAAACCGACCTCCTTGACAATCCACTTGCCCCAATTTGTGACATCCTCGCAAACTTCAGGATGCGAGTAATCCAGATCCGCAAACATGAGGAAATCGGCATTACCGCCCTCATCATCAACAGACTCACTCCACCCCTTATTATCACCCTGAATCTGGAAGATCGCATTCTTACCCGTCGCAGCATCAAAATCCGTACCACCAAAATGATACCAATGATACTTCTGCTTCGAGTACTTGTCTCCTCTACCATCAAAGTTGAAGCCCAACCAAGCGGTAATCTCATGACGGTCGGAAACCTGCTTTTCGCGATCGTTTTGGTCGACTTCAATGACGTGGCACTTTTCCTTCTTGTCGGCTGCGGCTTTGTGGTTTAGCACGGCGTCCCAGTAGAGGCCAATTCCTGCGTCTTTGGCTGAGGAGGAGAGGGCCATGAGATCGTCTTTTGTGCCCCATTTTGTGGCGACGCCGCCTTTTTGATCGAATTCGCCGAGGTCGTAGAGATCGTAGACGTCGTAGCCGTTGCCCTGGTAGGTCGAGTCAGTTTGGCTGTGGAGACGGAAGTGTGCGGAGAAGGGATTCGTGGGGTCAGAGGAGGGTATGCTTACATTGGGAGAGCTGGCCTTGCAGCCGGGAGGAAGCCAGATGTTGGAGATACCAATGTGCTTGTAGGCGGGCATTGCATCATGCAGACGCTGGTAGTGCTTTCCATCTGCAGGAACGTTCCACTCAAAGCCTTGCAGCAGAGTGTAGTTCTCAGGTGTGGGTTCTTCTGCTCCCATCTTTGCGATTGTATGTCTTGCTAATAATGCGAAAAGGAGTTGGGAGAGTGTAGAGGATGCGAAGCAAAGCTCAAGAAGATAAGAAATGGAGAAATGCAATGAGACCAACAGCGTAAACAGGTATTCAATCACCTCAACAACCTACAAGAGCCTCCCCTTCTCAACAAACGGCTTACACACAGCCATGCCGACTGCCTAGGTCAAGATTACACGTGGCAGTAAACAGATTGTCAAACAGGGAAACAGAGTCAAACGGTCAAAGGGAAACAGGATTCTTAAGCTTCTAGCGAGTAGGAAGAGGGCTTGAGCCTGACGTACGTGGATGGCGGGAACGGTTGAGCTTTGACAGATGCGAATTTGCGGGATGATTGAGGGGCACGGGCCGAATGTCCGATGAGAAGATGAGGGGCAGGGTTGTGGGTGAAGCATTGCGTTGAAGCAGTTTTTCGACCTTTATCCAGCAAACATTGCTTTTATCGCTGACAGACTCACGGAGGAGGGTCTTATAATAAAGTTCCAGGACAGAATATCTTTTGGGATATCTGAGACGTGATGTGATTGAGTAGTGTCAAACTTCGTGTTTACGGTGACCAAACTCTAGAAACCAGTCTCGTATGCACGCGAATTCTGTTAAGTCCAATGGCCGTGCGTGAAGCAGTCCCAAATCTCGCAATTCGATAGTCCTGATCGCGATACTCTATCAGTAGTTACCTATGAGGCTTGCTATCAATGTGAGCACATAGCTAAGATAACTTTTGTCAAGTTACGTGGTTGTCTGCCCGTATAAGTGGTTACATGGCAAAGTGGCCCTCGAACCCGAAGCCCGAGGATCTACCACAACGCGTTTCGTCATTGATACTCAAATGAGACGCGTCCTGTCTACTCGCTATTCTTCGACCACCTCGACATATAGGTCACGACGACGTGATAATTGTCCCAATACCTACGCGTCTGCTCGCTCAGCATCTTCCATAGCTTTCACCGCTCTCCTTGAGCAATCAACAATGTGGTCAATGACACGCCCGCCTCTGCTTTCGAGCTCCAACGCTTCCACAAGTTGTTCTTTCCAGAATCTCCACCTCTCAACACTATAGCCATCACCTCCAAGCCAAGTAGGCTTACTCCCATCACTCTGACCCAGCCACTCTCTCCAGATCTTCTCACCCTGATATTGTTCTCTGCGCATGCAAAAGCCCCAGAGCTGATGGCTGGCGTGGATGAAGTACTGAGCAGCTGCGGGGATGTATATGTCTGCCCGACGGATCTGCGCTGACGATTCGACAACGACTTCTAGTGCGTCTTGGATATTGTCTAGAGCTAATTGACTGAAGCCTGTAACGATCTTGGGTGCGATGTCGGTGTCGAAGCGGTTTAGCAGTATTGCGCAGAATCGATTGGCAGATTCGAATTGTGCTGCTTGTTCTAACCATGATATCTGGACTAGCCCTTCATCCATACTTCCGACGGTGTACACACCGGATTTGTTCTATCAGCACACGGTATATGGTCAGCCAGGGCCCACGGACTAACTCATAGCTTGCTCCATAAACCAAAAACTGAATTCTGGCATGTCGCGCCAATAGACACAACCATTCTCTTCGGCAGGCTTGCCATCAATGACAACATTGGGTTGTTGCGTCAGGTGGATCAGCATCTCTACGACACGTTGCTGATCGCCAAGAGTAGTCGTCGGATAGACGATTGCCCGAGATAGCAGAGAGAATAAATACCAGGAGATCTTTTCGCCTGCCAGAATACGAGGCTCATAAGTGCTTGCTATGGCAAGGGCTGCTTACTCGGGAGTTATAGCATTGTCGAGGAGATTCTGGATTATGGAGATCGCCTTGTGTTCTTCCGCTAGCTTTGAACAGTATTTATCGCTTCTTGTTGCATCTGTCCAGTTCAAAGCCATGATTTGAAGGGTAGGTGTCAAGAAGCTCATGCTTAAAGATTCTCATTACACATGGTCTGTGAGCGCGGTGTCCGAAGCAAGATTCTCATCGCGTCATGGTGAAAAGAACACAAGTCAGTGTTTGCTAAATTGCATATATACGTCCGTATCCTGGAACAGCTACTCGATACCGAACATCCTTCATCAAACATCTCAAGTCATACTGAGCTTGTGCGACTAAGCCAGAACCTTTTCAATCACGGCGACACCATGTTGCTCGCTAACAATAACTTGCTTCTTCTCAAGAGACTTCTTAACTGGGTTGGGAGCCTCAAAGATGTCATCAAGTTCCTCGAGCTGAAACGATAAGTTAGCAGACATTCAGTGTCAGGATAATGTAGCCGTGTACTTACAGTGCGGTTTCTGGTCTCTGGGAAGAAGAAGTAAATGATGACAGCCTGGACTGTGCACCAGATGATGAAGATGATGTACGTCTTCCAACCAATGTTCTTAAGCGACACAGGCCAAGCGAACTGGTTGAGCAGACCACCGGCATTGACAGCCAGACTGGAGAAAGCCATACCCTTGGCACGCATCTCAAAGGACAGGACCTCGACAGGGTATAGAGCTTGGAGTGGAGTGAGACCGAAGGAGAAGATCGCACCGAACATGAAGATCATGGCGACGGTAGCCTTGGCGGCACTCGGGTCACCAGTCTCGTTGAACATGCCACTGGCAGTGGTCATGCCGATCCAGACGACAGCACAACCAGCCATGGCACCGATCATCAGAGGTCGTCTTCCGAACTTGTCGACAAATGCGGATCCCATGAGTGCGAACAGGAATTGGAAACATCCATAGCCCAAATTGATGTTGGTCTGTTCAATTGCCTTGTGGTAGCCAGCAGTGTCAAGGACGGCGGAGATGAAGTAACTCAAGACAGCATTTCCAGCCCACCTATGAGCCAGAATGATTAGCTCGGGTTGTTCGGAAATGGGTGATAGTGTGGAGACTTACTGAGCGAAGATACTGAACGCGCAATTACATGCAAGTCTGTAGCGAGAGCTGCGCTTCTTGAACAAAGCACTGTAGTCCCACCATCTCTTGTCGGCACCATCCAGGTTCAAGAAGTCTTCGTACTCGGAGAGCTGGAGCTTGACCCACGCGCTCTCAGTGTTGCCTTGTCCATGCCATTTTGCAAGAGTCGAGATGGCAGAGTCTTGCTTGTTGTTCACGTAGAGCCAACGTGGCGATTCAGGGATGAGCCAGACGAAGAGGCAGATGATCAAAGGGCAGGCCATCTGGAGCCAGACAGGCACGAGCCAAGACGAGTTACCGGAAAGATTGAGAGCACCTCTGACGGCACCAGCTGCGACAATGTTGCCAGTAAACCAGAAGGTGTTACAGTACGCTGTGACCTTGCCACGGTACGCAGGGTGGGACATCTCAACGACGTAGATGGGGCCAGCAGAGGAAGCGATAGAGACACCGAAACCTGTCGCCGAGTCAGTTGTGTTTCAAGTCTGTGGACCAAGGAAGCCTACCGAGCACAAATCTTCCTCCCATGAATTGCTTGACATTCGCATCGTTGAAAGTTGTGCCAGAGATGATGGTACCAACAGCGATGATGAAGGCACCAATAAACATTCCCCAGCGTCTGCCCCATGTGTCGATAGCAGGACCAACAAATGGAAGTGCGACAACACCACCGATTTGGTACATGGATGAAACGATACCAGCCCAGATGCCGGCATTACTTCCGTGGAAGAAAGTTCTGAATTGTGGGTTGGCAAGCAGACCATTGAGAAGACTTCCGTCGTAACCGTTCATGGTCCTGAGAAAGATGTGTTAGCCGCTGCTATGACGATACAGTAGAGCGCATGCATCTTACTGGCACAGACAACCAAGGAGGGTGCATGCAAAGAGCAAAAGGGTCGTTGGGTTCATCAATTTGGGATGTTCTCTCATCAAGGCATCGTTGAAGGCGGTACTGCCAGCAATGGTTTCGATGTGTTCATCATCGCGAGTATCGACCTGCTACTTTGTGTCAGTATAACTGGTCGACTTGACAGGGGCTGGGTTCGTGATACTGCAAGGTCTTGGACAACATTCTTCTCGTCCATCGTCATGATGAAGGTGAGTCTCTGTGAAGCACGAGAATATGAATATGGTAGTGATAAATGATCGGAGATCTGGAGTGAAGATGTGTCGAGTTGACTGTGGGGATGTGGTCTATAGTTATAGATCTGCATGCACCCCGCGTGTTGACCCCGGAGTGATCAATTTGGGCAGATGAAGACGGAGGCGAGCCCTCCGCTTGCAGAAGGGGAACCGTTGAAGCTTACCGAGCCTTGGAAAACACTATTCTAGCCCAACATCACCAATGTCAGATGCTCAGAATATAGTGCTCTGTAGCCAACTTATTGACGGTGTGTGTAACGACTGATCATTCCTTCAATAATTTGCCCTTCACCTCTTGAAGGATTTCGAGTCGGCGTCGGGATAGAGGGCCGACATCCCTAGATGCTGAGTGGCTGGATCCTCCTTCATCAATCGTTCAAGACGAGTTTTCAACGTGAAATGCGTCAAGCGAGATTGTTTGATGGCTTGAAGTACCCCGCAAGAATGCATACTGCAAGGTCCCCATCCAGACCGGCGCGATAGCTCCGACTAAGGTCCTTTCACTCGGGTTTCCTCCAATCGCGTGACATGAACAAGCATGATTTGCAGTGTAAGAGAGACTACTGATGGACCTAGACCTGAAGGTTTGTCACATGGAACAGCGGCCCTAAATGCCTGACCCGAGTCACTGGAGGCGCGAGTTGATCAAGTCCTCGGTTCGTAATATTGAACAGTCGTCCAATTCGGACCAATATCAGGTCGGCACACAGTAGCTGCGACGATTCTGATGAAAACTTGTCGACCTAAAGAGAAAGACGCGAGGTGAGTGGCTTCAGTGCAAAGGCAAGTAGTTCACTCAAGTACCAGAATATTTTGTCAGTAGTTCAAGCACTGAGGCACATGATAATCATGTATGGATGCCAAGAAATGCAACATCATGCTGGTGAATTGTTCCGATACAACATCTGTGTCTCGGTCGTCTTGCTCCCGGTATAATGGTATGGATCGAAGACATATTCTGATGCCTCAACTGGTGTGGCATCGATCGTCCGTTACGTCCGTGACAGTGGGCCCGGACAACGCTGCGAGGAACATCCAGAGCCGCATATTGCTAACCATCGCGTGATCTATGCGACAGTGTTAGCATGACTGTTGGCGCGCGTATCCCATGGTGGCGCGAATGCGTGGTGGAGAATAAACAGGAGGACAGCTTGTATGCGGAGGGAGCTGCTCCGCTCCCAAAAGGGAACCTCGGGTAGCCCGACTGCCAAGAGCGGAGACTAGGGCAATCTAACCACATTCGGAGCGGAGCTCGAAGACAGCTCCGTCGAGCTTCTTACCAAACTTGGTGGCTCCGTCAACCTTCGAGCAACAAACAGCCAGATATTAACCGACTCAGGGTCGCGCAAATCACCCCAGTGGTTTATAAGATGTAAACGCTCGCCGCAGCGGTTGCTGCTACTTACACGCACATCAAGCAGACATGACACAAACAGCTACGAAAAAAGCCTTGGTGACGCGGGAATTGAAAGCATCATGGGAGTTCAAGCAGACTGATCTGGACGATTGGATGCCAGTGAAGACTGTACCTACCAACGTGCATCTCGACCTGATTGCAAACAATGTGTGAGTCTGATACTGGTCGCACCTCGAATGCCAGCACTAATCTGGAGGTTGCAGCATTCCGGATCCTTTTCTCGGCTTCAATGAGCTCAAGTGCGAATGGGTCGCCGACAAAAGTTGGACTTACAGAACAACGCTTCCAGACGTCGGAGCTGCCAAAGATGGTCAGGTTCATGAGCTTGTCTTTGACGGCTTGGATACCTTTGCGACAGTAAAAGTCAATGGAGAAGTCGTGCTAGAAAGCGACAATATGTTCATTCCCCACCGTGTCGATGTCACTGAAGCACTCAAAGATGCTGAATCGAATGTGCTGGAGATTGACTTCCGCTCAGCTCTGGTGGAAGGTCGCAAGATTAAGAATACCCATCCTGAGCACAAGTGGGTCGGCTTCAATGCGGACATGGCTAGACTGGCTACAAGAAAGGCTCAGTATCATTGGTAAGTGGATCGAGAACACATGCTAGATGTTCACTAATGTGGAGCAGGGGCTGGGACTGGGGTCCAGTGCTGATGACTTGCGGCCCATGGAGGGCGGTCAGACTCGAAACCTCGTGTGCTCGTATTTCCGACTTGAGAGTCGACTATGATCTCAACAAATCTCTGGACGATGTCATTGTTCGTGTCTCGGTCAATACAGAGCGCTCCAATGGAGCCGATGCCAGAATATCAATTCTTGACGGCAGTGATATTATCTTTGAGAAGACCGTAGCAATCGACAGCAAAGGTCTAGCGAAGGCAGACTTTCACATCGCTCATCCCAAGCTATGGTATCCGCACGGGTACGGCGAGCAGCCACTGTACACTTGCGAGGCTGTACTTGTTATCAAAGGACAGGACATCCAGACCTGCAGTAGAAAGACCGGTTTCCGTCGCGGTGAATTGATACAAGAACCAGACGAAGTTGGCAAGACCTTCTTCTTCAGAATCAACGGAGTCGATGTTTTCTGTGGCGGGTCTTGCTGGATCCCAGCTGACAGCTTCACACCTCGAGTTACGAAAGAGAAGTACCAGTCATGGCTTCAGACTCTGGTTGATGGCTATCAAGTTATGATCAGGTAAGGAACAACTCTTGATTTTTGCTTAATGGTGCTAACACGTCTTATCAGAATTTGGGGCGGAGGTATCTGGGAGGAGGATATCTTCTATGACACCTGTGATGAGCTCGGCATTCTAGTCTGGCAGGACTTCATGTTCGGCTGTGGCAATTACCCAGCCGCTATCAAGGAATTCAGAGAGTCTGTCGAAGCCGAATGTGTCGCTCAAGTCAAACGCATCCGTCATCATCCTTCGATTGTTATTTATGCTGGCAACAACGAGGACTACCAAGTACAGGAACAGTGTGGTCTGACATACAACTACGACGACAAAGATCCTGAGAACTGGCTGAAGACCGACTTCCCTGCCAGGTATCTCTACGAGAAGGTAAGAAACAAGAGTAGACCTTCGCTAGTTCCTTGCGACTAACACCAGCACAGACTCTACCAGAGGTCATCGCAGCCCACTCACCACACGTACCATACCACCCTGGTTCGCCTTGGGGCGATGGTCTCATATCGTCTGATCAGACTGTCGGAGACATGCACCAATGGAATGTATGGCATGGCACACAAGAGAAATACCAGATCTTCGATACTCTCGGTGGCCGATTCAACAGCGAATTCGGCATGGAAGCATTCCCACATATCGACACCATCAAGTACTATGTCACCGATCCTGCCGAGCTGTACCCTCAATCGCATATGATCGACTTCCACAACAAGGCGGATGGACACGAGAGAAGAATCGCAACATATCTGATTGAAAACTTCCGGACCACAGATACCAGTCTAGAAGCATACATTCATCTGACACAGCTCAGTCAGTCGGACGCACTTATGTATGGTTACCGCGGTTGGCGACAACAGTGGGGAAAGAAGCGACTCTGCGGTGGTGCTCTTGTATGGCAACTCAATGACTGCTGGCCGGTCACATCATGGGCCATTATTGACTATTTTCAACGCAAGAAGCCTGCATACTACGCCATGCGAAGAGTGCTAGCTCCGATTGCGGTTGCAGTAAAGCGCGCACATCACGACTGGAGTGTCGTTCACGCACGCCCTGCAAAGACGAGCTCCTTCGAATGTTGGGTATCTAGCAATAGCACGAAGGAAGTCACTGCCACAAAAGTTGAACTCAAATTCATTTCCATCGCTACTGGCAAGGAGATCAAAGAGGCTCTGGTCAAGAAGGACGTCAAGATCACCGCGAATGGTACGACCAACGTCTTCGATGGTGAGCTGAACAACGAGAAGGAGGAGCCGCATGTCCTTGCAGCGAGGATCTGGATTGAGGGCGAAAGCGACGTCATCTCACGCGACGTGGACTGGCCTCAACCGCTCAAGTATCTGAACATGGACGAACGAGGTGTCAAGGTGACCTTCGACGACGGAAAAATCACAGTGACATCAGCGAAGCCCACAAAAGGCCTGGTGTTCGAGGAACGTGAGGGCGTCTTGGTTAATGATAGTGCCATCGATATCGTGCCGGGAGATCAACAGACTATTACAGTCAAGGGGTTGAAGCCGGGTGATGCGCCCTTGAAGTGGCGTTATTATGGACAGTAAACTTTCATAGGTTGATCCGGCACAAGGATCGGCTTGTTTCGCCGTGTTGAGAGTATTTGCATGCTCTCGATGTGTAGTCTTAATTCAAGAGTGGAGAGGGCTGGGTACTCCACAGACGTTCAACGCCGCACGTACGGCAGGGACGATCAAGAGAAAGGTTAATTACCATGCCCTGCTTATAAGAAGCTGTTGTGCCCCAAGAAAATTGTTTCCACTCCCCTGACGACATCGATTCGATGAGTATATCATTTGAGGGCAATCTGTTGCCCGCACCTTCCTTAGTTTTCAGACGTCACCGGAATTGACACTAGAAACTTACCCCGCCTCCATGTTTCATTCATTCCAGGCCACCAAAGCGTCGAGCGAGGAGACCACGGCATCCGCAAAATCATCACGACCATCGGGAACACGTCGCATCACGACGAGTAATGCTTGCGGTATTGGGACACCTCTGTAGTCTTCTTTGGGAAGCTGCTAATGGACGTACAGGATCCTGCAGGCGGAGAAAAATTCGCTGCGATGGGGCCACACCCTGCGGCCAATGTGAGTAATGCTCATCTTCACAGGTTCTGAACGCTTGCTGAGTTGATTACAGGTGTGTACTATCAGGTATGATCACTCCCATCTCAGTGTCGAGTCGAAAGCTGATAACTTCTGACAGCAAGCAGATGCTTGTGTGTACTCGAAGCCGCCTCCTCGGGTCGTGCCATCCAAGAAGTAAGCCCAGTGCAAAAATGGCAGAATCCATGATATCTGACATGTAGAAGATTAGTCGAGGATCTGGCAGCCTCGGTCGAGCGATACCGCCTGGTCTTTCAACGTCTCTTCCCTGGCAGAGACATCGAGCAATTGGCTTCACTTTCCAAAGATGATCTCGTTGCCGCATTAGATGCACCGCCGCCAGCGACCGACTCGAGCACTCGAACATTAGAACTGGGCTCACCAACTTCAACTCTGGAGTCGGAAGGAGCTGATAGCCTGGAAACGCTGATACAAGCGCCGGAACAAGATCCGGTGGCCGATGAGGCTACTCGTCATCAAGCCAGGGTACAGGGTATCTCCGACGATGTCAACGGTCTTTCGCTATCCCTGGATAGGCCATCTTCTTATGTAGGCGTCTCATCAATCACAGCTGCGCTGAAGGTCATATGCAGGGTAGCTCCTGCGACGCGGAGACTGTTAGCGTTAGGCCAACCCGAAACGGCTCTGCCCAGCCGGACAGGCTCACCATCCCTCGATTTGGAAAATTTGGACCCGATGTATACACCACCTGCCGATGTTGGACATGTCTTGATTGAAACATATTTCAGTAAAGTCCATCCACTCATGCCCATGCTCGACGAGCAGCAGTTCTGGCAAATATGGCTTTATGGTGAGCGTAGAGACTCTGCCTGGCTGGCCTTACTGAACACAGTACTGGCCTTGGGTTCTGTCATGTCCTCAGAATGTACCAGCAATGCGCATGAAGCATACTATCAACGAGCTATGCAACTGCTGGACTTGGACAGCCTTGGAAGCGGCAACACCCTCGTCGTGCAAGCCTTGGGTCTTCTCAGTGGCTACTAGTAAGCTTCAAGCAAGACTCCGTGACACTGCGAGATGGCTACTGACAATTCTAGTCTCCATTATGTCAGCAGACCTAATCTGGCGAACAACCTTATGGGTGCAACACTGCGCCAAGCCACAGTATTAGGTTTGCATCGGGAGTACACAGACGCGAGCCCTGACGGTATAGTGACCACCAAAGCGACGTCTGCAGACGTCAGACGACGGACGTGGTGGAGTTTATACGTTCTGGACACATGGGCGAAGTGAGTCGATCATAAACGTGACGTACATCCTCTCTGACACAACGCTAGCACAACAACTGGAAGACCGTCGCTGGGACAACCAAGCAAAGGCATCACAGTCAGAGTTCCGAATGTGGGTAGTGTCTCTCGAGATACGGTCCCCATAGCTGACGTATAGTAGGTGCCAGATGCTCAGGATCCCGAGACAGCCAAGTTCCTACCTCTTGTATACAACGTTCAATTTTGCAGGATCGCTACTCAGATTCAGGATGCACTGTGTGCTACGCCAATTTTGCCATTTGATGAGCTCAATAGACTGGATAGAGAACTACTGCAGTGGCACACCGATCTACCGGCTTCTTTGAAGCTCGATGCTTCTACAAATGGCAACAGCCAGCAATCATCGAAGAGTCAATCAGATACGGCGGGCATTCTCAGGACAACAAGTATGATCATGCATTGGAGGTATCAAAATCTCAGACTCTTGTTGCATCGACCTTATCTTCTGGCTACGGCTTTGCGCAGTGGAAGTGATGCCACACTGTCTGCAGAGGAGAAGGTCGGTGTAGGTCGTTGCAGGGCTGTCGCGGCCCGAACAATATCAGATATCAGTAGCATGTGTCCGGAAGACCTGCTTGCTGGCTGGAATGGAGTCTGGTTCATGTGAGTTCCTCCACGACCGATGTCCTCAGATTTTGCCACTGACGATATCATAGGTATCAAGCAGTCATGGTTCCGCTTGTGTGCGCCTTCTCGTCCTTGGGCAAATCACAACCTCGGCCTATGGAGGAGACGCAAAGCGAGACTGATGGCAGAGAAAAAGCCAGTGACAAGGCCAGGACTCGTGACCAAACAGGCTTGCAGGAATGGCAGACTCAGATCGAGCAAGCACTACAATACTTTGAAAGGATGACTCGTTGGTCTACAACAGCCAAAAAATCACGAGATGTCGTATCCCGACTCTATGAAGCAAGCAAGCATCTCGCCGACCAAGACTTCCGAAGTCGCTTCTCCGCTCAAGATCAGTTTCTGCGAGCTACGAATCAGCATCAAAACCTCGATTCAGTCGCCACCAATAAAGACGTCAACGAGAATACTCTAGATCACCCTCAAACATCTGTAGCGACTTCAGATCTACTGACAGAAGATATCTGGGGTCTGTCACCCAACGGAGCGGCTGCCATGAACAACTTCTGGTTCGATGACATGATGTGGGATATTCCTGCGGCAGATACTGACATGTTCGATAATACTGGTACCGGCTTCGCGTATAATGAGCTCGACTGGCTATCCAGCTTGAACTACCAAAGTGGTGGCGACCAGGGATGGCAGTATCAGCCACAATAGCGCTAGTCATTCATCACTTCGACATGCCAGTCAGTCCAAAGCAAAGCGGCGCGTCTCTTGATGCCTTACTGCATCTTGACCATATGAAGCTTGGCATGTCTGGCAGGATTGTCACGTTCAGCCTTGTCAATGAGGACGTACAATGTTTGGTCACTCTCTCTTCATAATTTGCGCTTTGGCCAAGGCTACTGCAAGGCAAGCGCTACTCGGCATCATTCCGTGGACTACGAGCCATATGTCGAGCAGAAGATGTACCGTCTTGCGATGTGATAGCTTGATCAAGGTCATCGCATCTCATATGACGGTTATACCAGACCACACCTCCCCTCTCTTGAAAATTGTCTGATAGATTGCATACAAAGTGACGAATCATGAACACATATTCCATCTATCCAAATATCTACACATAGTCCTGCTCTGGAAAAAAAAAACACGCGTACTACTCCAAAAACCCCTGCAAAGCATCGGCACCACAAACCGCCACCCCCAAATGCCACGGCACATTCCCCTTGTCACACCCAGGAACCCCTCTGACCCGGCCAAGTAACCCAAGACCACGAAACGCCAACATGGTCTCCCTCAAGACCGTCTCCGGCGCCCTCTGCGTGAGCCAAGAAACCTGACCCTCTGGGATACGAGGAGGCATGACATCCATAAGATCCACAGCCAGCGCTGGCAAATTAGCAACGCCATCTCCGTCGCCACGTTTCAATAGCAGACTACAAGCAAGAGGACGTTGCAGCATGGTATTCTTCGTGCATGAAAAGGGCAGAAGAAGGGTATACGTCTCATCCGTGATATCCATAAGAAAAGCATCAGCATCAGGATCAGGAGGAGGAGGAGGATGCGGAGCTTGTAGAATTTCTTGCTGGGTTGAAGGTGTTGCTTCTGCTGGGGTAGAGGGCTGAGGGCCGGTTTCTGGGGATGTAAAGGTCGAGGCTTGGGGTGTGGCTGCCGGGGTCATGAAGGGATTTCCCAATCCTCCATTGCTTTCTGGGTTTGCGCAGACTTGTAGGGCGGGGTTCACGTCCACGTCGAGTAGTGCGATGCTCCAATTCTCCGACGGCCGTTCTCGCCAAATCCTCTTTTCCCAATCGCGCATTATGCCTGCACGAGCGACGAAGATGCGATGAGGTGAGTTTCCCGCGAGAGAGAGAGTGGTATCCCGTACTTCTGTGAGGATCAAACGGCCATCGGTGTTGCTGAGACAGTAAGCTGCTTTGTAGGACTGGTTTCCTGTATTGTCTGTCCATGCTGCGCTGAGCCAGCTGTGATCGGCATTTACAGCGTAGGCAACATGTAGGATCCCAGCTTCCTCGAGAAGGGTCTTTGGTATGCGGTCGGAGAGGGTGAAATTGACTTTGCGACTTTGAGGTGTCGCAAGGTGGATGCTGGGGGATGGGTTCAGTGGCCAGGAATGATTGTGGTCGTTGGTGTCCAGGGGTACTCTGTCGTAGATGAAAGATGCCAACGAGTTGAGATATGTCAAGTCTGGGACAATCATTGCGGTCGGACTTGCGATGCGGCTGATCGGGACGATTTGCAGAATAAGTGGTGGTGGATCCTCGCGGTCGGAGGAATAGGCTATGAGCATTGCTTGGAAGCAGCCGCATAGATATTTGATCATTGCCTCGTCCTCGAATGGATTGATCATGTAGATAATGATAGTGTCTTCAAGCTCGGCGTCATGTAACAAGTCACCAAGTGTGTTGCAAGCTGTTTGTATGCCCTGCAGTATGTGGACGACAGACGCTTCTCCATGCGATCGGTATGGCATAAGCCCATCTTCATGCTCAACAGTCTCACCACCAATGAAGTGTTTGCCGAGCTTACGACTCTCATAAGCCAAACGGATATCTTGCATAAAGTCAAAGACAGCCTCGCTCATAACACCAGTATCGGGGTAGAGAGCAAAAGCCGCAACGTCTTTTGGTCCATGCGCCGGCTCCAGACCTAGTGCGTCCCAGAAGTTGACTGCTGTAGGCTGAAGTTCCCATCCTTGCCCTGCTCGACGAACGTGAACAGGAGGTATCGGCATTGTGATGATGGCGTTCGTAGTGCCAGGAGGTCTTCGAGGCATGGGACGTTGCTGACTCTTGGCAGCGGCCGCGATGGCCTGCTCGGTATGAATGGCAGCAAATGTACCGACTTTGGCAAAATCGCAGTCTTGCGCCTTCTCAAAGACATTTCTCAGAGCGTCTTGAGCTGCTGAGTAGATAGGCGAGGATACTGTAGGAGGTGGGGTATTCTCGAGCCCTGAAGATCCGAGAAAGGTACTCTGCTCAGCCGTAAGCTGCGCGATATCGACAAGATCATCAGCGGTAAAGTCAAGAACTGGCCAAATATTGTAATCCTGACTTGACGACAAAGTCTTTGACGGTGTCCTCCATATCGCAAGATTATCCAAAAATCTGTAATGAAGCTCCGTGGTACGATTCTGAGACTCTTTTGCCGTGACCAGCTGGTCAATGACAGGTTCAGGATCTGCCAAGGCAGTCGCGTCAGACATCACGCTCTCCACATCACTATCCATGACAGACTCGGCAAGCAATCTCGGGGTCGGACCTTCCTCTGCAGATCCTCGCTTCCGTTTCCTGATGTCCAGTGATCGCAGACTCCCCTGAACAGACGACATGCTGTCCGAATCAGAGTCCTGGCTAGTTTCGAACTCAGAGTCTTCCTGCGACATATCATCCACCTGAGGCGTGAATTTGGCATCAGCAATCGCACGTCTCTGAGACAAGGACTTGAATTGGGGTGTTTTGGGTGGCTTCTCCGGGAGTGCGATGCTGTTAGACCGGTTGGTGTTGTCAGGCTTCTTTTCGAGCTTGCTGTCGAATTTACCAAGATTTCGATATTTAGCGTCGAAGTTGTTCACATCGCCTCTGAAGACCACAGGCACAAAAGTGCTGTCTCGTCGCAGTCTGGGAACTTTATGTTCTTCCGCAGCCGGCAAAAGTCTCTCCTTGATCTTCAGTGGACTCAGGGGTGGAGTAGATGCAACTGCTTCGGCCACATGCTCAAGTTTGATTCCCTGCTCTTGTGTTTCCGCGGTCTTGACAGATTCCTGCGGGACAGTCTCTTCCGTTTCCAGACTCATTGGCAGAGGATGTTCGAGGGCAGGTTCGGTTTTCGGCTCAACTTCCGGTACTGCGTCCTCCATCTCCTCGGTAGGTCCAGTTATATTGGCCACACTACGGTCAGCTCCAGGGTCGTCAAAGAAGTTAAAGTCCGCATCTGTAACGTCAGGGTTGCCGAACATTTCTTCATCCACATCTCCAAACAAGTCATCAGTGCTTCCTTTGCGATAGTGTTGAGTATCCAGGTCAACATCCGAGGCATTGCTGCTCCTTCTCGTGTCCTGTATCCGATGCTCATTTGCTTGGTCGTGGTTATCCTCAGGCAAACCAGGCAACGGGTCGATGATATCATCAGAAACTATGACGTTGGGTATAGATGGATCCGAGCAGATGATAGGTGGCACAGCATCTGGAGGGGTCGGATATATGCCGTTGACATTGATGTGGTCCTGTAAGCTCCGCGAGTATACAGGCGACGTGACTGAGAGATGATCGGGTATCGTCTCCTCTGGCGGATTGTTAGTAGCAGCTTCTTTATCCTTCTCAGCTTGTCGCGTCTTTCTCTCCAAATCAGCACGTTCTTCGTGTCCCAGGAACCAGGATTCGGCCGTGCTCAAAGGATTCGTGTATGGGTCTCTCGAGTCGAACCAGGATACGCTGCTCGTACGACCAAGTGTAGGTGGCTGTTGTCGCGAAGGGATTTCCAAACATAACGGGCCAGGCCAAAGACATTCAAGCTGGTCTTGAGAAGTGGAAGAAGGTACGCTGACTCTCAACCAAGAGTCGTCGTGCGGCAGACTCGACCTTTGTAGCTTCGTCGCGGCTGAGGCCTTCCAATTGTCATGTTTTGCGCGGCGACTGAGCCGCATACGCGCTTCCCGACGGGCTTGTAACGGAGGAGCGTCGTCGTTCGAGGTGGTTGAGAGCGAGTGTGCGACAGTGGCAAGGGTGCCCGAAGGAGCGAGTATGATGTTGGCGCCGTCGGTTCCGCTAGCTGTGGATAGACCAGTGTTGGTGGCGTGTGGCAGAAGAGCGAGGGTGCCCTGAGCCGTCATCTGCACGCGGAGCGACAAGAGGTGGTAGTCGCCTTCGGTCGGCACGATCCACGCCAAATGACCGACGCGAACTGCGCCACATGCCGAAGAAAGAGACATTGACAGCGAAGCCTCGACGGCGATGAGGAACATGCTGAAGATCTGTTGGTTCTGCATGACAATCTTGGCATCGTTGTTGGCGCGTGTCATGACGGCCGCCTCGAGTCGACCTCGTTGATGCACTACATGTCGCTTGTTAGTGTCAGGAACATGCAGCTTGTGTGTCGCCTCGGAGCGCTGTCTCACCCTGCCATCCCAGCTCTTTCATGTGTTCATCTGCCGTGATGAAGCCTCCGAAGACGCAGACCTTCTTCTGCAGCACCGCCGTCTGCACCAAGACCTTCTTTTGTCGCAAGCTGAGGAGAAGTTCATCTCGCTGCTCTTGATCGTCCCACTCGCTCTTTTGGCCTTGGATCGCGTCTTGATGTTGGTAGATAAGGTAGTCGATGTGGGAGTAGCCATCCTAACGTGTCCGAGTCAGCCCTCCTGCTTTCCCCCGAGTATTGCGAGGCGAGGCGAGACTTACTACAGCCTGTAGATTGGTCCAGCACGATTTGAGAAAGTCCATGACATTGTCACCACCAGCGACACGCGCTGCTTGGGTTTCTCGTTTGTCGCGACGATCCAGAGGTCACAAACCGTCAAGGTCATGGATTATCTCCGAGGCCAAGTCCCGCCAAAGCTCGAGCCTCATTTGTGGGGGTCGTCTACAACTTCTTGCATCTCGGCATCGCCGAACGTGTGCATTTGCAACCCTCCATGGCCCAGTTTTCCTGTATACCATTGTTTCCGTCTACCTTTCTGCTCATCAAGCATATCTCTTCCCATTCTGTTGTGCATGTCGTCTTCTTGCGCCGTTTTGTCGTTGTAGACCACTCTGATGCTCGATGACCACGACTCGGCTGCTCTTGCCGTTTCGGCACATTGTCGCATGACCCTTGTACGAATCTTGGTTCGTCCCTCATTTCCGCTTCATCCAAATTCCCCTCGACTCCTCTCCGTCTGTTGTGAGGATTGGCATGTTTGCGGACCAGATCGTAGTGCGTCTTCATATCATATCTGGATTTCAACAGAGTCAGCATCAGACTGGTAAGTAACTAATTTAGGACAGTGGCGTAGATAGCCGTCACTTTACCGGACATGAACTTGCTGATCGTGTATGCATCCCAAATGTATACTGCGATTGGCTCTTTATATTACAGATACGCGATACCACCTCGTTTGTTCAAAACTTCAATCTGTTCCTCATTGCGAAGTCGGAAATAACTCTCCCATCCCAAACTCAGCATCCAATAGATCCATATGCAAGAAATCCGTCAACGGTCGATTTTGCCCAGCCAAAGAGCACAGAAAAGCTGATAACGCGTCCTGATCTTGTCCTTGATCCGTGATTGAAGCAGCCATATCGGGTTGGTAGTTTGTCTCCGCTGATGGCAGTGATAGTGTTCCATCGTTGCGACAATGCCAGCCACTGAGCGTTCGTTGAGAAGTAATAAAAGCAGCAGCCACTTTCCCAAAAGCGGCGCAAACATCATGCAGACGACGAGCTGCCGGTGAAAGTACACTGACATGCTCAAGACTGCGCACAGTCTCCTGCAAGAGCTGCAACTCCTCCGTATCAGTGGTAGCAATAGCATGAATGAAGACCACCGTGAACGGTGTGAAAGATGGGTAAAGCAAAATCCAGTTCACGTATTCAGCCTGTTGGTCCACAGATCGATTGCTGAAGTTTGCGAAACAGCGGAGATGGTTGTCGAGGGCCAGTCTTGCGGCTTCGTAGCATTTGGGACTGATCTCGGTTGTGCTGCTTGTGAGTGGTTGGGCGCGGTAGATGATTGTGAGTACGGAATAGCAGACAAAGTCGGCGGCTTGAGCCATTCCTAAAAGGCGTTCTTGGTAGTAGGCGCCGGTAAAGTCAATCTGTGTTGTTGTCAGTCTTTGCGATAAATGACAAGCCCATGATGACACTCACAGAAAGAAGCTGATTCCGAAGAGCGTTGATTTCATACGACAACTCGTCAATGGCACGAGTGCGGGCCTCTACTGATGAGTTGATAGCTGAAGCCGAATAAAGTCTATCGTAGACTTGTCCCTGAAGTTTTGCAAACAAGATTGTTGCAAGAGACATCAAGTCCCAAGGTCGTTGTGCAGGATTAGATGACGGAGCAAAAAATTCAGCATCGATATCCGAATCTGGGAAGTTGGAACCACGTCCCAAGTTCAGGGAAAGATTCTTGTCGAGCATGTAAAGCTGCCAGAACAGGTGGCGCTTGACATCTGCGGTTTCTGGGTCTTCGTGGATCAGCGAGGACTTGCGGTGGAAGCCGAGTGTATGGCACATTGTGGCCGCAGCTGACATAAATGTCCACGAGAGAGACAATTTGCATTCTTCCTGAGCCTTGATAGCCTGCAAATTGGTCAGCATTGAAGGCATCCACACGAGAATACGGGCTTACGCCAATCATGAGTGCTTGTATATGTGGTAGCACAGGCACTGTCAAAGTCTCGAACCTCTCAAGTCCAGCACAAAACCTTGTCTCGCAGAGATCAATAATTGACTGTGCGTCGTATCCTTCGAGTATCGGATCTTGTTGACTCCAGTAATCTCTTATCACCAAGTACAGGAAGCCGTAAAAGAATATCATAGATCCTGCTGATGGTGGTTCCAGAGGAAAGTAGGCTTTTTGACATAATGCTTCCAGCTGTGACACTCCTCGATACGAGAATGCAACCAAAGACAAGGATGGATGCGCTGTGAAGCTAGGATTAGCCTCAGATTCGGCCAATCGAGACCTCTACTACAGCCTACCTTTGGCTCTGTTTATCAGGGCGATGACCAGCGGAGCCGGTGGAAGCTCGTATTGCACCACAGCACTAGGCTTCACCCTTGTATTGAGGTGAGTTTCGTGAGTCCGCGACAAGGCTTCATGTCGCTTCAAACTGTCCTTGAGTAATGACAGCGCACCGAACAACTCGGTCGATGCCGGTCCGTCGGCCACCGTCGCGGTGACATCAGCAAGTTGACCTGCCTGGATAGTCGAATTGCCGAAAGATGACTCTCCCTCGTAAATCGTGATAGACTTGTCCGATTGAGCGGCGCCGTTCACAGGCTCTGTCCCGTGAGATCCAAGTCTCGGAGTCGAAGCTCCAGAGCCATGCGACAATTGCCTCAGACTGTTCTCAATCCCTTGAAGTCGTTCTTGGATTAAGGCAATTTGTCGTTCATACTGGCTAGTCACGACAATGCGGGGTCTATGCTCTGCAGCACGCGTGGCAGCAGCTTGACAAGAGATACCCAATGTCTGGCAACTAGCGCAAGGAATTTGCTTGTCACATTTGATCTTCCTGAGGCGACAGTTCTCACACTGCGAAAGGCCGTCAGTCCAGACTCACCGTATTACGTGTGTTACATTGAACTGACGGCTTTCTGCAGGAACGAGCGCGGTGTTTCGGGGCCAGACATCGAGGACGGTTCAATGCGTATCAATTCTTCTCTCCATAGAACTCTGTCTCGACAGCAGAGTATTGTAGCAAGACAAGATATGTGATTTGGTGAAGACGGTCGCGACTCACGACCTCCAAAAGACAATCGCGAAAGAGAAAAGTGGAGCCTGAATCGTCATGTCTTGGCGCGGCTGAGACCGCATCGGTACAACTGCTCGTCTTCCACTGCCTCAGTGCCGTGCTCGTCTCCGTCTCCAAGTCCACTGGTCTTCATTCTGCGCCCGTTTGACGGCTTCTCAAGTATATTGCAAAGCCTCCAACAGTTGACGGCAGTCAGATGGAAGTTGACTCAGACAGAGAAGCTGCTACAAGAGCTACAGTCACCGAGCTCTGCCGCCCACTATGCTCGCTCATCGAACAAAGTACAGTCTCGATTCTGTGGCCACGCTGTATCTTGTGAATCTATTGCCTGGTGACACCTGGTAGGGAAGGCTCATATCGATATTGCTCTTCTGTCGATGCGAAGTCAATATCTCTTCATACTGGGCCATCAAAGAGAATTTGTCAACTGAAATTGCTCGGCCATCAAAGAGTAAGCAGAATATCAGAGGCCCACTTTGCCAACAGAATCACAATTTAGTGTGCATGGAAACGCGAAAGAAAACTTCCATTTTCTTCGTCAACGGCCCCCCGGATCTACGCATACGGTCAATACGATCGGCGACTTCCAATCCTGCTTCCTCCCGGCTTCTGATTCAATCTTGTGGTCTCACATACTTCCATGCGTTACTCCTAGCAATTCGGACGACTCCATGTAGGCGTAAGCAATTTCAGTCGACAACAAATCAGCCCATGGTTTACAATTGAGTTCTCCCTTGACTTACAAGATGGAGCGGTCTTCAGCCCTATAGCATCTCGTGTTTCAGGTTCTGTACGCCGTATCGGACCCAATGGTAAACGATCAATCTGAGAAGCAGCTGTTGGGTAGCGTACTTCCCAAACTAGGTCCAGGGCTGTGCGGTTTGTTTGCACAGCCTGTCATCGTGTTGAGCGTATCTTTCGACGTTCTTGTCTCCACTGTAGCTTTGTTGATATGTCCACTGCCCGCACTCCTCAAAGTCCTTGCTGCACACTTCCTTTCCTACACTCATCACTATCAATCCACTTCATTGCAACCGTCCTCTGCGACATCCCGCTTTGGTTGCCTCAGACCTCCATATCAGCTATGGCTTTCGCATACTACGAATACATCCCTTCAAAAGCAGCCGCGATCATATTTTGCCTAGTCTTTGTCATCATCACCCTCATACACGTATGGCAACTTTTCCGCACACGAACCTGGTTCTTCATACCGTTCGTGCTAGGCGGCCTCTGTACGACCTACTCCATCAACGTTGGCTTCGAGCTCACACTAACATGCCAATAGTCGAGATCATAGGCTATGCTGCTAGGGCAAACTCTGCTGGCCAGCATCCCGATTATACCTTGATGCCATACATTCTCCAATCTCTCTTCTTACTTCTGGCACCTACCCTCTTCGCAGCAAGCATATATATGGAGCTCGGCCGCATTCTAGATCTCACAGAAGGAGAATCTCGCTCCATCATCGGCAGAAAAAAGTTGACCAAGATCTTTGTTGCTGGAGATGTCATATCTTTTCTAACGCAGAGTGGTGGTGGCGGCATGCTGGCTTCAGGCAGTCAGTCAGGTAACAAGATCATCATCGGTGGTTTGGTGTTACAGCTGCTCTTCTTTGGCTTCTTCATGGTGTCGAGTGGGATCTTTCACCGCCGCATGAATGCGAGCCCGACTGTAAAAGTCATGGCTATCCCGTTGCCTTGGAAGAAGCATTTATATGCGCTGTATGCTGGTAGTGTGATGATCTTGGTCAGATCGCTCTATCGCCTGATTGAGTACATACAAGGAGGTAGCAGCGGGTATATAGTCGAGCACGAGTGGACTCTGTACGTGTTCGATGCTGTGTTGATGTTGGGAACAATGCTTGTTTTCTTCTGGATTCATCCGTCAGAGATCAGGGCTTTGCTGAGAGGAGGACCCGCGCTTCAAGGTTGGATGCCGTTGAGAGTACTGGTACCCCTCCAAACTTCAGTCTGAGGCTACGCGAGGCAGTCGCGACGGATTCTGCAGATGTCTCAGCTTCGATGAAAGCACCAGTCGTCCAAGATACCAAGACATCAGTACTGAGAAGATTTAAAGTTGACCAATCGAGGAGTGTACAGGAGCTCGGCTGTAGAGTAAAATCCCGTATTAGCTGCCCACTTCGGACAATGATCGGGAAAAAGTATACAAATATACATGTTCTTCTCTAATCCGGTTTCAGACCTAGGCAACGTCCTCAGCATTCGTCTGAGTGCGATGAAGTACGACCTTCTGTAGTCCACAAGTGGCGTACCATATCACGGCGTGTGGCACTGAAGAGTTGGTCACGATCGCCAGTCTCTGCACCAGCGAAGACGGTCGTCTTAGCAGCCACCTAATCGAGCGCCACATGTCTTTACGCGCCTACTACAAGCCAGACATACCACAGCTCCACACCTTGACTTTTTTGCTCGCTAAAGCTTGTGTAGCTGAGTGACAGTGGACTTTGCCATTATATGATGTTATCCACTGTTCGGTGTACACGAATACGATGCAGCGCATCCAAGATCGCTTCACGGTATCACCGAGTCTCTTGTGACATCCGAAGTTACTTCCCATAGTCCGCAAGTTCTCTCAAGACAAATATCAATGTCCAGCTGAATCATAGAGCATTTCAGCTGAGCTCGCCTATAGATCGAAGCTCGTCAAGACGACAGACCAGTTTGGAGAGACAACGGTATAAGAAGGAGTTTCACAACTCAATGACATCTAGCATCTCAGCACTTTGAGTCCATCACCGACGCTTCATAAGTCATCAGCCTGAGTCAACATGACTGAAAATCAAACCGTACCACCACTCACCACTGAGTCCGAGGCTCAGTGGGCCAGCGCGAGGGATCAGATCCATCTTGTCGCCGACGACCAGACTCCTTCCACACTTGCCCCGAACCTCACTGCATTCGCAGACTGGGGCGTGGCTTTGGGTGGTCTGATGTCTCCTCGCTGTCTCTTCTTTCACGGTTCCAATTCTCTCCTGCCAGTCTCTACAGTCATCTAATACTACCAAATTCTGCTTATGCTCGCAAGTGTTTTCTCAAATCGATCCCTTCAAACATCTTGTCTCGTATATAAGGTAGCAATACTACAGTGCTGAGCTTCAAGTTCCATGTCGGCTGCCGGGTTTAACCCCTTGCTTCCATGGCGTCCGAGCCTTTGTAGCTTCTCCTTGCGTTTGACATCCCTCCATATACCTCGATGCTCGACTCGTCTTTGCTTCTTTCCTCCCCAATATCCTTTCCCCCCATCCGTAGTTCATCTTCACATCATGCCTTCTTCTAGTCAACAAAACACATTCCTTATCTGGGGCGGCAACGGCTGGGTGGCTGGTCATCTCGAGACCATTCTCAAAGACCAAGGCCAGACCGTCTATACTACCACAGTCCGCATGGAGAACAGAGAAGCTGTCATGGCTGAGCTCGATAGAGTCAAACCTACTCATGTCATGAACTGTGCAGGTTGCACCGGTCGCCCCAACGTTGATTGGTGCGAAGACAACAAAGCTGCAACCATTCGCAGCAATGTCATTGGCACTCTCAACTTAGCTGATGTATGTGATCAACGTGGCATACATATCACTGTGTTTGCTACCGGCTGCATCTACGCCTACGATGAGGCACACCCGATGGGTGGACCAGGCTTCCTCGAGACCGACCCAGCAAACTTCTCTGGCTCCTTCTACTCAGCCACAAAGTCCAAGGTCGAAGAGGTAAGTCTTCTACATCGCTCACTCTACTAGAAGATCAAGCTCACAAGTAACACAGATCATGATGAAGTACACAAACGTTCTCTGTCTCCGCCTCCGCATGCCCGTCTCCGACGACCTCCATCCCCGCAACTTCGTCACGAAAATCTCCTCCTACTCCCACGTCGTCGACATTCCAAACTCCAACACCATCCTTCACGACCTCCTCCCCTGCGCTATCATCCTCGCCTCAGCCAAGGAAACCGGTGTCTACAACTTCACAAACCCTGGTACCATTTCACACAACGAAGTTCTTACTCTGTTTGAGAGAATTGTCAGACCAGGATTTAGATGGAAAAACTTTACGCTGGAGCAGCAGAGTCAGGTTATCAAAGCTGGAAGGAGTAATTGTGAGCTGGATACTAAGAAGTTGGTGGAAAAGATGAGGGAGTTTGGAGTTGAGATGCCGGAAATCCATGATGCTTATGGGAAGTGCTTTGAGCGTATGGTCAAGAACGGTGTCAAGTAGACCTGGAGTTGTGATCTCTTGGTGTGTTCCGATGGTCTTGTTTTCCTTTGCAGGAGAATGGGTAATCTTCAAACTCCTTACTTCGCGTCCCAGCTCCAAGTGTACTGAGCCTATACTCGATCTCGTGAGTTACATAAAGATCAGATCACCGGATACCATTATTGTGAGAGATGTGTTGTTGGTGAAAAGCCTTGATGAGATATATACAGGTAAGGCAAAGATATATACAAAAATTGAAACATGCAGAAACGATGAAACATAATCACCGCCAATTGCCCCCGACTCGCTAACACTCGTGCTGATGATAAGTCAAGAACCGAAAGCAGATATTTTTGGTGAGATTGTTGCTTGAAGTGAGAACATAACCAGACGGAACGAACAGAGAAAAAGCAAACCAACAGAGGAAATATTCCCCGAGCTAAAGAGCTCACTTGACAACTCCAAGATATGTAGTTGCTTAGAAAGTGTAGTAGCCGTACTCTCTGAAAGCCTTGGCAACAATCGAGCCACCAGTGGTGTACCAGAAGATACCAGTCTTGCGGACTCCAGGCCAGGTGTCAACGCCCATCTCGCCGTTACCAATGTAGAATTGGTTGTGAGCAGACAAGTAGCCATTGTATGTGTTGTAGGTGCTCTGGCTGGTGAGTTGGGCCTTGCCATAGACGATGGAGAAGATGGATGAAGAGGCAGTGTTGGGAGCGACGTTGGTGTCGACGACGTTGGGAGCAGCGTTGGAGCCTCCGGGAGCAAGAGTGTAGGAACCGGTGTTATCGGTGGCGATGAAGACACGAGTTGCGGTGCCGTTCGAGAACAGGATAGACAAAGCCTTCTGCTGTCCGCTGTATGGATCGCTACCAAATTGGCTGACCATGTTGGCAGTGTTGATGTTGATGTTGTTACCAGACTTGAAGCCCTTGACAGTGTTGGTTACGTCGAGGTCATCGTAGAATGCGGAGATAACAGTCAGGACGTTGATCTTGCCGGTCTTGCTGCCAGTGACGACGTTGGTACCAGCAGAGGTGGGCTTACCGAGCTTCTGCTTCAACCAGCAAGTGCCGCTGCCCACACCATTGGCACCACCGACATAGGTGAAGGCATTACAAGAAGAGTCAGCATCGCAAGCAGTCTCACAGTCCTGGTAAGACTTGGAAGCTTGGGCATTGGAGTAGGCACCGACGTTAGAGTCATAGCCAGAGTAGATGTCGTAGGTGCTTTGGGAGCTAGACTCTTGAGAAGTGGGAGCAATAGCGTCGGAGGGAACCTTTCCAGAGGCAAGAGCAGCAGCGTAGGCAGAGTTGATGTATCCGTTGCTACCAGCAATCAGGACCTGGAACTGATTGCGCCACTGACCAAAGTTGTTGGCGTTGTCAGTGGTGACCGCACCTTGCCAGTAGACGCACTTGACCTGCACATAGGATGCAGGGTCAGAGCAGGTGGTGTCGTCAGGGTTGACACTAGGGTCGCGCTCGAAGTAGATATTGAAAGATTTGCAGGAAGAGATGGCGTTGCACTTGGCTGCGCAGCCGGCGACGTCGTACGAGCTCATCAGGGTGAAACCTGCATAGCCGTCGGCGGAGTTGGAGGCGTTCAATCCGACGAAACTAGAAACATAGCCGGCAGGGACTGCAGCATTGGCGGCGCTGGCGACGGATGGGAAGTGAGTATCAGCAACCCAGCCAGCTGCAGTGTCAGGCTGGACGGCATAATTGATACCAGTGGGTTGAGGGACACAGCTAGAAGCGGCACGCTTGTCGACAGCAGCGCTGGAAGTGGCAGCAGCGAGCTCAGAGGCCGAAGACAGGGCTGCAGTGACATCTGCGGGAGAGTCAAAGACGTTGGTAGCCGAAGGGTCAGAAGAAGGAATGGCGCTGGAGGCGAGAGTTGTAGCTGTGACGGTAGGTGCGTCCTCAGCGGTGACATAGACGACCGGAAGGTTGAAGACCGTGGTGGGGATAGCGACAGAGATGGCATCAATGTCGATGGAAGTGGTGCTCTGAGCGCTCACAAAGGAGGCACAGACGGCCAAAGCTGCAATACCGCGACGCATGTCGAATGATTGGAAGAAATGCGGAAGACTTGTTGCGTCAAGAAGTGGACGAAGTTGGTAGTGGTGTAAGGAGAGTGAAGAGTTGGTGTCAATGAAAGAGTGGCAAGAGAGTGCTGAAGGTGCTTGTTGCGAAGGATTGAGTTGCTGATGGGGATGTTGGCAAAGAGTGAGATCTCTTCTGATACTTATACAGCTGTTCTTGATGCCCCTCATACCACTCAGGCCGATCACTGAGACATGGCGGGGGCTGGGTATAGCAGAGAATCTGCTTGGAAGAAGTGTATATGTTCGACCGTTGGACTCGTTCGCAGATGGCATCGAGAAATGTCTCGCCCAATGCCGAGGGCGAGGATCCTCCGCATGCAGCTCCGGAGGCCGTTTGTCCACGTTCCTTCCATTAATAGCTCAGATATTCAGAGCATGCAGATGCTCATGATGCCAATTAATTCCTCGTAGTGTTTGATTAACTGCTGGCACTCGAACCACCTAATGACACTGAGTGGCAGGAACCAACATCACTACTCGAGAGGTGCTGTCTGAATGCCAATGCTGCTCGACTCACGCGTCTCCTGACCGTTGACCACAGCTCTCAGCCATCAGCCTAGAAACTTCGTATACCAATTCTTGTCCTGCTGCGCAAGATCACGATTTGTCGTCAGGCTGAGACAGAAGATCAGTTCAGCTCAACGTAGAAGTCCAAAACGTCGCGGAGAAGAGATCATCCGATGTGTTTCTGCTTCTTCTGTGTAACGGTTTAGGGCATCTTGATGCCGAAGTCTGGACTTTCGGGTCTCGACGAGTGCAACATTTAGACGTTGGCCGTTGCACACGGGGATTTCACGGACATGATTGGTCTGTCTTCGTTACTGAGCATTGACCTGGTATACGCGAGCTGAAGAGGAGAATGGTGAATGGTCATGAGATCAAGCAGAGGAACTTTTTCGAAGAAGGTCAGAACGTGCAAGATGCAAGATTATTCGAGTTTTGTGCTAGAAGAACGCGTTATGCTCGAGGACGCGCCAAGACGTGCGTTCGGGAGACCGGAGCGCCAGAAGTACGTGATCCGCCAAGTGCGACAAGATCATGAAACTCTGCATAGCAATATACAGTATGCAGATAAATATTGTGTATGTTTACCAAAGCTTCTTGTGTTGATCTGAACCAATGGTTACGTAGTCGTAATATAAGAGCTGTTGGTCGGTTGTAGCATAGATATGATGGAAGCGTGCGAGTGACTCGGCGCTGGTGGACATCCGATCGTTCAATCACTACCTGGGTCAAATAGAGTCGTGCAAATGTAAAAGCATGCTAGGATTTATTGTCGATTCATTGTCCAACAACAATTTACTGTGCCGTACAGTATGAGTCAGCTCAGGTCAGCGTAAAGTGATGATGGTTGTTGTAGAACTCCCAAGCAGGGTCACTCCCCTGGCATCCCGGCGTGTTTTTGTCATTTCTAACGTACATCAACTGCACAGTAGACGAATTGCAAGACAATACGTTACCAGACTTTTGGTCTACTTTTGCGGGTTGGTGTAGCTAGCGCAATAACATTCTTACTCGAGTCCTTCTACTCTGGCTAATGATGTATCGAATTGGTTCACAACGATCCAGAAACCTGTCTTATGGCTACTTTTTGCTTAAAGAAAGACTACATCTGTGTAGAGGATAGTAATCAGGATACATTATCAAGAGAAAAGGAAAAGTCTATGTCTAAGAAACGCTTTACACTCATGTCTCCTTGCCAAAGGCAGGGAACTTGGCGCCCAGTGAGCTGTCACAAGGGAAAACCACGATATCTGGGTTCATGATACCAGAATTGGCCCCGGGTGCGCTACTCAAGATCTGTGCACCATCCGGCGCGTACACGTTGACCTGGAAGTTGCCAACCTCTGCCCCATTTCCAAAGTGTATCCTTGCTGCGGTGTATGTGTTTGCTGTGAGGTAGAAGGAAAGCGTCACAGGTGTTGGGGTGCCTCTGACGTAATTTTGTACCATCTGGGCATTTGCACGAGTGTATCCTGACAAAGCATTAGGACCGACCCAGACAAGAGTGATGTCATCAGCTTGAGGCAGATTGATGCTGTAGTAACCAGTCCCATGGCCTGCAAAGATGTAGAAAACATGGTTGAGGGTGACAATCTTTGCTTGATTATACGTAAGAGACTTGCCATACACGACAGGTGCTTGATCGACGCCGTTGTATTCACCGATATACGAGGCGGTAGTTTGTGCATAGGGCACAACTGTCTTGAAGGCTTCGGGCTTGTAGGCAGGGTAGCTTGTGGTTCCTTGTTTACCAGAAAATTGAGTATTAGAATAGAATCCTACCAACGCACCCTTGTTATTGCAGGTGGTGGCCGGAGTGGGATAGATAATTTTGACTGTGCCGGTCATGCCTCCATTGGATGGCGCAATAGTCTGCGTAGCGATGGTGGCCGCTGTGCCGGAGTCGGTTGCAACAGTCACATATGTGGTTGTAGTTGCCGCTGGAACAGATCCTGGGACCTCAACAAGGATAGTACCAAGGAGACCGTTGAGTAAGGTGACAGTCGTAGTGCTAGCTCCAGTCCATGCGGTAGTCATTGTGGTCCAGCTGACAGTCGCCGCGACAGTAGAGGCTCCGAACCCGGCATAAGATGATGGCAGCCATGCCATATCAACATTGTAATCGTTGGCCTGAGGGGTGCGCGTAACACCTGCCAGATTCTTGAAGTAGCAGGTATTGCCAAGGTAAGCGAATCCGGAGCATCCAGGATAATCGCCACTGTCGCAAATTGCAAAGCAAGAGTAGAAATCGGGAGTGGTTTGATTGCCAATGTCAGCAGCGTACTGAACGTCGTAACCGCATCCAAGAGTGTATTTGACGCCGTTGTAGTCAGTATAAGAATCTCCAGCCTTTCCGAGGGAAGAGCAAGTCGCGTTCTTGCCAGTGGGCGCAGCAGACCAGACGACATTGGTCAATCCCTTATCTTGCGGGTAGAGCGCGTAGCCGTAGGAGTTAGTGAGATTGTACACAGTACCACTTGAGTCGCTAGCAGTCCTGTACGTGCCAAAGTTCGCCGCGTCGGAAGTGCCGAAGAGATAGCAACCCATCAGCTGTGGTTGTCCGTTCAAGGTGAGATTGAAAACATTGAAGTAATTGCAAGGGGTGTATGTCGATACCCGATTGTTCTGAGCGGTGGTTCTGCTATTGGCGCTGTATGCAGTGCATAAAGCGCTGCACTGACTTGCGTCGTAGGTGGAGAAGTACTTCTGGGATAAAAAGATATTTGCACTGTATGCAACACCGTCGAGCGCATTCGGGCCTTGGAATGAAGTGACTGTAGCAGGCACAGAATTGAGGTTGTAGCCGTTAGATCCTTGGATAACGACCATGAAGTCTTTACGATATTGGCCGATGTTGGTGGCCATGGATGAGTCGATGTAGCTACCAAATAGCGCACAAGTTATGGATGTACCAGCACTTGGGTCTGGGCAATTATCATCCGGGATGAAGCTTGGCGTACGCTGCATGTAGATGTTGAAAGCATTGCAATCGGAGCGAGCGTTGCAGTAAGCAGCACATGCGCGAGTATCGTAAGAGGAGAGTTGCTGGTAGCCGAGGTAGCTTGGCGCTGAGACGCCAGCCAACTGACCAGTGAAACTGGTGCTATATCCAGCAGTAGGATAATACTGTGCAGAAGCTAGACCAGCCAGGGATGTATCGACTAAAAATTGCGCGGGGGTGTTTGGGCTTGGAATGTAGTTGTACAGAATGCTGTTCGGGTTGCTACATGTCGTGGCAGTGGCGCGCTTGACCTTTGAGGAGCTCGCCTTCTTGGTTGAGGTCGAAGTCGAAACCTTGCTGGACACCGATGTGACCTTTGTCGTCGATGTGGACTTAAGCGAGGACGAAGAAGCGGTCTTCAAGAAGCCCGCGATGAAGTTCTTGCCAGCAGCTATTGCATTGCCAGCAGAGTTCTTCAACCAGCAGGTTCCCTGGCCCTGACCGTTGTCACCCCCGACGTAGGAGAATGCTACACAACCAGAGGTAGTATCGCATGCGATCATGCATTCCGAATATGAGTTTGTGGCCGATTTACTAGTAAAAGACCCGATGTTGGTGTCTGATGAACATTTGATGGTGTAGACCTTGCCCTTAGAATCAGTGATGTCCTTGTTGTTGATGGCTGGGCAAAGATTGCTCGGGGCAGCACCAGGTGCAGTGGAGGTCTGTTTAGCTGACGACGAAGACTGTTTGGTCGACGATGAGGATCTTATCGACGACGAAGACTGTCTAGACGAAGAAGTAGAAAGTTTGCTTGATGACGTGGACGCTTTGGTGCTCAATGTGGAAGGTGCCTTAGTCGAGTACGTAGACATACTTGACGACTTGCTCAAGGCAGTGCCAGAGCTACCCGACAGTTGTTTTGAGGATGCAGCAGACGACGACTTCGAACCGCTGCTTGACTTGGCGAAGCTTGCCGAAGTTGAAGAAGAGACCACCGAGGCGGAAGATACCATGGTTGCCGCATGCTGAGAGCTCAAAACCGAGATAATGGAAGATGCGACCGAAGATGTCTTGATTGAAGAGGTCGAGGAGCCAGTATTGCTGGCCGACTTTAGTTGCGGCTTGACCGAATAGACTTTGCCAAAGTCGACATTTTGAGCTTCCGCGATGGTAGACAAGCTGACCAGCAGCGGGATTGCAGCATCAGTGATACGCATTTTGTTGCCGATTGAGTGTTTGAGATGAGTTCTTCACAGAAACAATTCTCGCGGCAGAGGCATGCTATATAACATACTAGAATGCGACTCGACCAGAACGGCCGAATGTTTCAGCGAAGAAATCGATAGGTGAAAGCCTTCTCACCGGCCATGCTATCGCGGCATATAAGCCAGGTCTTAGTTCCTCGTGTTGGCGTACGAAGGATTTCGTGTACCGCTTGGCTGGCATTCCGAAAAATTGGCTGTATAAAATTATGTCATGATCTAGAAGACCGTTGGCTTTAGGCGTCGGAATTTTGATATCGCCGTTGTGCTCGGAGAAACGTCTGCCCCCTCTGACATTGCCCAGCCTCAAACTTGTGTCACTTTCGGAGAATATCTATGAGTGCTTTGCACCTTGCTGTAATGGTAACTGTCCTTTGCACGTGGCTGTAGCATACAGAATTTAGCAGATCATAAGTTTTGAAATAAGCGCATGTAGCCCGCAGTTCTGTCAGCAGCACAAGCGTAAATTGCAACGACTTACAATGATGGACATGGCGAGAGCTCAAGCAAGCAAGTGTCGGATCAAACTCTGTCCCCCAGGTCACCTGCCTTGCCGCGTTGCGAGACCTTGCAAGAGTTCCCTGGAAAGAGGATTTCGCTTCGCTCACCTCTTCGAAGCAGTTGAGCCCTCGCCAGGGATCCTAGACATGTCTCACCTGTGCCTGGCTTCATTGTCTTGCGGCATAATAGGAGTGATGTCTGCATCTCAACAACCGCACGGCTCCTGCGGATGTTGAGCGGTATAGTCCACGTTGCCAAGTTAGGTAGGGCATACTACCGTGAGGACTCATGAATCGACTCGGCCATATAGGACCGCATGCGGTTGGACATGTGATTTATGCGTGTCTTGTGTCCCTGGTACATTGCAATCAAGCTGTGTCCAGCGCCAAAAGATGATGAATCTCTGCTTGTCTTGTGATTCCCAACTCTTATTGCACGACTAAGGTAGCTCTGGCGGGCTAGACAAGTCGTGCGACATGGAAGCATCCTCTTCTTGAGGTCAACATGAAAAGCAAGTCTTCTTCGAGATCATCCTGAGGCCGCACAGGTTCAGCGAAGCGGCGACGTCGCGCACACTCGCGTTCTCCTCAAGTCGACTGTCGCAGGCGTGAGCTGTCAAAGCAGACATGGTGAATCTAGTCGTAGATGCTACTGCTTGATAACGGAGTTCTCGTGGGCACCGACGAGAGAGAGCTCTCCTCGAATACACCAAGAAATGCCAAGATTCATCACCCGAAGAGCAGCCGTGCTTTTGCAGCAATCTCATTGTCGCCTGCAAATTGTCATTCATCCTTACTTAATACAAGTTGCACACCTGCTACTTAACTCCTGTTGGCAATTCGCACATACAAATCCTGTGACACGTCCTTCTACTCCCAGAGCGGCCCAGAACCCAAGAGAGTTTGAACACGGCATGGTACGGAACCCTGTTCTGTCAATGGCGAACGACTGCAACGGTCGACATAACGTCGAACTGGAAAAGCATCTTGTGTGATGGTGATATCGAACACGCGGTACATGCTTTCGTCCACACCATTGCCCATGGCCAAGGATATGAGACCCATACGATGGTTTGGGTTGATAGTAATTTAGCATACACAACCCTCTCAGCCACGACTTGCCCGATAGACTCCGCTCGCTGGAAAACCTTGATACTCGAATGACGACTGTGTGCTACCTCAATCTGGCCAACTTGAGTATGTCATGCCTGTAAAAGAACTCCCTGTTTCTTTTGCCGAAAACATACATTGGAATGCTCAATAAACAGATGCCGACCTCGATGCTACCGAAAATCACAAACATGCGCTCGAAGCCTCTCTCCAGAACCCACTGATAAGCATAGTAAGCAAGCACAAATGAGAATAGGTTCTTGAAGATGATTAGGCAGGTGAACGTCTCAATGGCGATATCGCGATGAGCGTCAAGGAGGTATTGGGCTGACGCTGTGGCCCCCATGACCATAGAGATTGTGATGCTGGCGAGGAAGACCTCAACAACTAACCAGCCATACTTCTCAATGTCGGATGCGGCGATGCCAAACCCGTACAGGCCTATGCCTGAGAAAACCAAGGTTGGTATGACAAGTGCGATGCGAAATTCTGGCTCGTATTGCCCGCCGTTGCGGACGATAAGGATACGAGTAACGTATTCGGTATAGAAGCCAGCCAGGACCAGACCGATCATGCTACCAATGAATGCGGCAGTATACATCTTGCCTGCCTCTTCTTCCGTGAAAAAAAGAGGCGGACCAAGAAATATCATCGCAAGGATCACGCCGACTATGACCGTCCAGCCGATGATGACTCCTTGCATAAGACATCCCCATGCCACTGCTGGCTGAAGGAAGAGAGGGAACGGTCTCAACAACAGCTTCAAGAAGCTCTCGTCTGTCTTGCGGCCGCTGAACGGCGCGAGTCGATGTAAGAAGCTATGTTTGGGTGGAGCGGGAACGGAATCATGGAATGGGACTGGACCGACGTTGACGTCGATCTGGAGATATCGAGGCCGTTGGTATGCCGTTTCTGGTAAGAAGAGGAAAAGAAGGACGAATCCAGCGCCCATGAAGATGGAAAGAAAGTAAAAGGACCATTGCCAGCCTAACGAGTCGTTTGACGTTATGAAACCAACTAACGAGGTCATCAGTAAAACCCTCACAAACATTGAACATCATAGACTCACCGCATACTGGGGTCAGAAAGGCGGCTCCGAAGAGGCAGACATTTGTAAAGGCCATGCGGAAGCCTCGCTCATGTACAAAGTACAGGTCACCGACGACATCATTTACTAGTGATTCGAAAGGGGCGAGTGCGATACCCTGGAATATCCTTGCCCAGACAAGACTCTTGTAGTCCAAGATCTTTCCAGTCGAGCCACCCCAGGCTGAAGAGATGACCATGAGTAGAGCGCCGAAGAGGAACACATGTCGTTTACCCCATACTCTGGCGAGAGGTACAAAAAGCCAACTGGCAACTCCGACTCCACAAAGGTGATACGCAGTGAGAAGAGCGGCGTCCTCGAACTTGACCCTGAAGACGACAGCCAGGACAACAGAGTTGGCTGCAACCAGTGGTGATGCTGTTGTTGCAATCGCGGAAACGACACAAAGCAGCAAGAGCATCAAGTCCCTCTGCCATAGCGGCCAGTTCTGGAAAAGACAATCAGCGATATTTCTTGGCCGCTAGGTATCGAGGAGATTACCAGAGGATCATTCGGATCTTCGCTTGGTTGTGGCACCAGGATAATATTGCCCGTCCTGTCCCTTTTCAATGTCGGATCTCGTTTCCATTCTTGGTCGAACACATTCGCCGTTCCTGGTACTTTCTTCGCTCTTGGCTCGAGGATCCCTAGAGCCATTCTCTTATCAACATGGAGATCTGCTTCGAATTTGGGGCGCGTTACGACTGAGTTGCGGTACGAAAAGTGTTAGAAGTGGCAGAGAGCACAACAAAGATGGAAGTAAGGGGGCGGGAGTTATGCTTAGCAACAGGATCAGAGGCATGCTACCAAATGATCGTATCGCCACGTGTGGGGAACAAAGATTCAACACGCAATACGCTCGGAATGTAAGTCATGGCGGGCAGAAAATCGAGACAAAGAATAGTGGCTCAACGCGGCGAAGATGATCGGTAGGTACTGTTCGTGGCAAGGATTGACGGTTGTCTAGTATTCACCGAGGCAATCGCCTTGGCTTCCGACGAGCCGGACTTGATTGACGCGATGCGATGTGCCCTCAATCGAACAACTTCGAGGGACAGCGCGAGCTTTGCTCATTTTAGGGCCCGTATTCACCATTGAGTTGATTCGCTATGTCTTGAAAGTGCCCGATTGTCAATAAGAAGATGTCAGATGTCGACCAGAAAGCCCTGCTTCTCGGAGAGCGCTGAAGCAGAGAGTAGCGTATTCTTGATGGTGTGTATCTCGAGCTGATCAAAGCCAACCGTCAGCAGGTATTGCTCGATACCACCATGCTTTTCTCGAACGTGTCGTTCGATGGTGTTGACAAAGGGCAAGTAGGGATCAATATGATCATCCGTCATCCCCGAATCTCTGATGTCTTTGAGTCGTTCTTGGCGCACACCTGCTGTTTCCTGATAAGTCCGCATGTAATCGTGGTGCATATCCTGCATATCTGAGTGCAGAAGAAAGCAGACGAGTGTTACGATCAACGACACCATCTCACTGCCGTACTTGTTGACAATAAGGATAGGGTAGGAGGACGGATCTGCCAAGACCTTGAAGACCGCTTTGATCTGGGGGAACGACCGATCGATAACAGTGATTGGGATAGTCAAGCGGTCTTGAGACAACTTCGCGCCCTGGAGCTTTTTCCAACGCGCGATGCCGTTGGTGGGCGAAAAGGCGACGTGAGCGATACCCTTTGTTCGTTCCCAGAAGCCCATTTGGTTCATCATGTATTGACCGAATTGAGGACCACAGAGATCGATATAGTGTAGTCGAAGACCAAGTACGCTTGTGCTGGCTATCTTGTCTGGGTATTGCATGGCGTGATCTGTGATGCTGTTGCCTGGCACTTCCGCAGTCGACACCAGTGGCCATGGTCGCCTGATATTGTTAGAAGAGGAATGTGAACTTTAGGAGAAGCCTATCTTACATGCCACGCAGATCTATTACTGATCTTATGTGATAGTGTTCTCGCAGGAGATCCAGGTCTTCGCGACTTGCATCATCTGCATTACACTGTCAGCCATACGCGCCCACGATACTCTCTTGTGCGGTCACTACCTATCTGACCACTACGAAACAGCATCCCCGACTTCATATTCTGAACATGGCTTGCCACGTCACGAAAGTTGGTCACAGTAGTCGGCAGTGGTGCCTTTTCCTCTTTGTAGTTTGCCATGTCTGGTGTTGCTTCACCCAACTAATTAATGGCGACACCCTACACTTGTATTCGAATATAGGATATGATCCTTCCGCGGAAGCTCGTGGTTATTCACCGAGCATCCGAGAGATGAGCAAAATGATAGGCTTAAAGATGCGGGGGAGTGCGATGATGATGTTCAGGCGGGAATACGGCGGTTATAACGGCAAGCGCGCTGCCAAGAAGGCAGCCAGGGACCGAGTTGTTCTGGCACCTATCGCTCTTTCTCTAACGAGTCGTGACGACAGCAGGGAGATTCGGCCACCATCGCTGGAATCTTGATACTGACATTTGCCCAGAAGCGCGGGATGGAGAGCCGTCGGCAGCTTGTATGTGAGCAAAGTCGCCCGTGCCTCTCGACAGAAGAGATCATGCCTCCTTGCAACTCCACTCCGGACCTTGACATCATGACGAAAACAGCAAGTCAGATGAGCCCATGAGAACCAGTCTCCAATTACAACCCATCTCTCTTTCAACACGGTAAAGACAGCCGCGAGCGAGACATGACGTGTCTTGAGCTGTTCGCACAAGTGACCCGACGCGCTCTCGCCGACGTGGTACGTGCGTCAGCGCGGCTACACTTCGGCAAAGTGGTCCGCCGCAACTCAAGCAGACCAGGGATAGGCATTCAAGATCGCAGACCTCGCTGATGTTATCTGAGTATATTGTGCGTCCGTTTGTCGTGTTGTCTGCTATCGTTGGCCAATCGATAGAGCTACACATAGCCACTATTTTGCCCAGCTTACGGTGACTTTAGCCGAATCTTGGCAGTCAGGCATGTCGATCTTGACACACCGGTTTCCAACTACTATTCCATTGCTGATGATTCTGCTCTGGTTTTCTCTTACACCGAACACTGTGCTGACGTGAGCATATCTCAAGATGCACTACTATCGTGACTTGGTCATGTCGAGAACAAAGAACTGCTCGGTGGTCTTGCTGCGCACGAGGCTGCGACATGCAGGTCAATATATGCTAGATTGAGGTGCATGAATCCTTCGACCGTTGGCGACTTTGACGTGTTAAGATCAAAAAGTCGTCTTCTTTTTCTTTTCAACTTCGAATCCGAGTGATCCTCATCTTGATCAAAGCATGACCGATACACAGTTTGACCTCGTGGTCATCGGCGCAGGTAAGTCAGCCCGTCGACCGCCCTCTGAGTTCGAGAAACAGCCGTTGATCATAAAGCAATAGGTTGGTATGGGTTGCCTGTCGCTGCAACATATTTGCAACTCCATCCTGATGCCAATGTCCTTGTTGTTGAAGCAAAGTCGACAATTGGCGGAGTATGGAGTCAAGAACGCCAGTACCCGGACTTGAGATCCAACAATATGCTTGGTACATACGAGTATCCCGATTTTTCAATGGACACAGACACCTATGGTGTCAAGCCTGGCGAACATATCCCTGGTCAAGTCGTTCATCGCTATCTCAGCGATTATGCAAAGAAAACTGGAGTACTTGGTCGCATCAGATTTGATACCAAAGTTCTTGAAGCTTCCAAGGATGCCGACAACGAAGGCTGGGTGCTGAAAACCGACAATTATGGGTTAACTCGTATCTTCACGAAGAAATTGGTCTTGGCTACAGGTCTAACTTCTGAACCCAACATGCCTTCCTTTGTCGGTGAAGAAAGCTTCAAAAAGTCAGGTCTTCTGATCCACTTTGTCGACTTCAATGCCCACATCGACAAGCTCGTCGCCCAAGACACCCCCGTAACAGTCCTCGGCAGTTCAAAATCAGCCTGGGACATCGCCTACGCCTGCGCAACCAGAAACCTCCCCGTGAATCTCGTGATCCGCACCTCAGGCCACGGACCCTCCTGGATGGTTCACCCCTACGTGACACCTTTTAAACTCTGGCTCGAAGGTCTAGCCCACACACGTCTTTTGACCTGGCTATCCCCCTGTATCTGGGGCGATGAAGATGGCTATAGCTACATAAGAAGCTTTTTACACTCCAATTGGTTGGGCAGAAAACTTACAAATGCTTTTTGGTGGGTTCTTTCGGATGATGCAAGGCAAGGGATGGGATATGATAATCATGCAGAGACGCGAAAATTGAAGCCTAGACATTCGGCTTTTTGGACGGGGAGTGGATTAGGTATCATGAATTTCGAAATTGATTTTTTGGGATTGGTGAGGGAGGGGAAGATTCGCGTTTGTAATTCTGATGTTGAGAGTCTGGAGGAAGGAAGCATGGTACTGGCAAATGGCACAACACTGGATACAAAAGCCATCATCTGCGCCACAGGTTGGAAAGCAACACCACCCCTCACCTTTTCACCTCCTGGTCTCTCAGCAACCCTTGGTCTTCCTTCCGCGTCGACCCCAGACTTCTCAACCATCGATGCACAAATCCTCTCTCGCTTTCCAAAACTCAAAGACCAACCCGACGTCCCAAAACCCGGCGGCGACACAACACCCGACGCCACAAACTCACCCTTTATGTTATACCGCTTCATGGCACCCCCTTCCTCCCTTCTCTCAAAACCATCCATCGCATTCGCAGGAATGATGGCTCCAATTTCCACTTCTACATGTGCCAGTATCCAAGCCCTTTGGATCTGTGCTTACCTCTCCTCTTCTCTATCCCGTTTACCCGCTTCCGCAGCTTCGGCGCAGGAAACGGCGATTTTACATGCGAGGTTTGGAAGATGGAGATATCCTTGTGGGTACGGGGCTAGATTCCCCGATTTCGTGTTTGATGCTATTCCGTATTTGGATATGTTGATGAGAGATTTGGGTTTGCAGGGGAAGAGAAAGGGGAGTTGGTGGAGAGAAGTCGTGCAGGCTTATGGACCGGAGGATTATAGAGGGGTGGTGGAAGAGTGGCGGGAAGCTCAAAAAGCTAGACTTGATGGCGATGAGAGCAAGAAGAGCGTCTGATGATTGCAGCACTTTAAGATTAGGTCTGTCAGAGGCTCTCATGTAGACCTGGTATTGGAGGTGACTAAGTCTACCACTCCAACATCATAAACTTCTTCTCCTCCTCCTTCTCCACAGCCTCCACAACTCCTTCCAGTCTCTCCCTCTCCACTGAGTACTTCGCCCCAGCCTTAATCCTCGAGTAGAAAACCGGACAATCTCTACTATCGCATTTGACCTCGTCGCCCACAGGCACATTAGTACAAGATCTGCACACCCGATCCATATCCTGTTTCTTTGCCATTGCAGCTCTCATCTTCTGACGAAGGATGGGAAGTGTCAAAGCAGGTGTTTTTGCACACTTGGCGCAAAGAGGCAGAATGACTTGTCCAGCAGTGGGAGCCATAGGAGCAAGTTTGACGCCACAGACCACGCATGTGGAGATGGCCATGTACGACTCCATAGTCTTATGTGTTGCTTTGCTTGCTCCACCACCACCCACAGACCTCACACGCTGAACTTTAGGCATCTCATCATACCACGCCCTAACGTTCGCGCCCACGAGATTGAATATTCTCTCCAGTGGTGGAATGAGGTTCTTACTGATATAGTACTCAGCATCCAACTCGGCATGTTCGTCAAACAGCAGTCGTTCAGGTTCCACACAACGCTCGAAAAGTCTTGCGCCAGGGCCACCTGCAATGACTACATATGGCACTCGCTCTCCATATTGTGGCTCTTGTCTCGCATCCTTCAGCATTCGTTTAGTTGCAATAAGTGCACCAGGAGGCGCAGGTCCCTTGTCCGAATACGTGCCCAGTTTGACTTCTCTCGCAAAGCAAAAGTCCTGGATACTGAACTTGCCAGTCATGATTTTATGGCATTGAGATTGGAAATATGCTTTGACTTGACTGAGATCAGACGTACGGAAGAGTAGCTTTAGAGCTTTTTCTTCAATCTTCTGCTCGGCGGGTGTGCCGTCGCGGCGGACTGTTTCAATACCTTTGGCGTCAAAGTCTGGTTCTGTCTGAGAGGGGTGTTCGTATTTGAAACCGACATAGCGTTTCTTGGCTAGCAGGACGCAGGGATGGTAGACTTTCTCAAACTTGAGTTTGATGGGTCGAGGGTTCATGTCTGTGACTGCCTTCGCAATCTCATCACCAATCTTGAAGGCTTCATCGCGAGAGCGACCTTTGAGGTAGACAAAGAGAGAGTCTGTATCACCATAGACGACTTCTGCTCCCCATCTGCCAACCGAGTGGATGAGTGCAATGGCTTTCTCTAGCGTCTCTCTGCCGGTCTGAACGATAGAATCGGCAATCTCTGAACATGGCATACGACCAGAGAATGAAGCAGAAGTGTAACCATAAGTGACGTTCGCAATCAGCTTCAGTGCCAACTGTCTGTTGTTGAGAAGCTGTTGTAAGGTTTTGTCGTCCTTGTCGACCTTCATGCCTGATTTCACCATGACCCTCGTCTCCAGGATCTCGCCCAACATCTTCGCGAGTAATGACTTGCGCATCTCGGGCTTAACGTACATCATGCCATTGGGAGATATGTTCAGCTTGTCTTTCACCAGATCAAGTAAGCCTGGGTCACGCTTGAAGTCTGTAAAGCCCATCTTGTTCTGACCTCGCCAAGGAGTAATGCGACCAAGACAAGTCGAGTAACAATAATTGTATGCAATCATGACACTCGGGTACAGACTCTGGAAGTCCAGTACAAGCAATGGGCTATTGTAGAAAGCACTTTGAGGTTCCATGACAAGCGGCAGACATTCAAGAGCATTTTGCTGACCGACCTGCTTGCGGCTGGGAGAGACAAGAACGAACGATTCTGGTTTGGCGATTCGGAACATCAGTGACTCGACCTTGAATTGAGAGCCTCGACTAAAGACACTGAAGAAGTCAACGCCAAGTAGACGTGCTTGCTCGGAGGTACGAGGCACCAATTCATTCGCATCCAAGATCTCCAAGTCGAGCTGAACGCGGGTTATGAAGTAGTCCAGAGCTTTAGCCAAGTCTCGAGGTTTTGCACTCTTGTACCATGTTGTCAAGTCCGCGAAAGAGTAGTGAGGAACACGCTTGTGAAGAAGATGGAACACGACATTCTCCATGGTGTACTGCAGCAGGTTGAGTTCGCCTCGCATGGCGCGCCAGATGTTGATCATGTGTCTGCCAGTGATGCGAATAGTCGATGTATGCTCAAAGCCCCATTTGTCCGCGTCTTTACCAAATCGACCGTGCGATTGTGACTTAACACGAGACAGCTCTTCGCACAAATTGAACTCATATTGGAGCCGAGCACGTTCGATCAAGTATCCCCAAGACGAGTTGTGTACCTCGAATCCAGCAAGAATATCCGGGTCATATTCGCGAACAATGTCGACCAGTCGATTGAGAACATCCAGCTCGTTGTCCTCTTCCTCGACATCTACACCAACTTGCTTTCTCATACGCTCAACCAGATCACCATCTTTAGACAGCGCAATGATCCCAACATACTTGTCGTCATGTCCGGCATTACCGACAAGATCAGTATCATCAGCCTTGAGAGACCAGATCACACAAGCAATCTCATCATGCTCAGGGTCAGGGGCAAGGTCTGCTCTCGAGTTGACGTGGACCTCAAGACTCATGATAGACATGTATTGAACTTCATGCTGTACACTGGTCGACTTCTTCCTTTGCGAGAACTTGAAGCCATGTTTGTTTCGTTGTGTTGGGCCTTCGATCTGCGACAGCATAGTTTTGGTGCGTTCCAAAAAGTCTTGTTGTGAAAGAGGATGATCGACTTCACCATCATCTTCTTCCGGCGCATCCTCGACAGTCGGGCACTTGGCATGAAGCCAATTCTGCACTTCCGAAAAAGACGGAGGACGAGCTTCAATCTCCCAGCGCTGGAGGAAACAGTCCTTTCGTCGCACTTGATGCTGAAGTTCTTCTTTGACCCTATCGAGGACTATTGGGAGCTTTGCTCCTCTCGAAGCATCAGACCCACCAGTGGCATCAAAGTCAGGCAAGAAAGGGATAGTGTTGCTCTCGAGCTTGAACTCCTGACCGGCATACTCCCTTGATCGCTCTGGCACATCTCGTTCATCACTATAGAAGGCGTCCTGGTAAACGACTGGCGGTGCTCCGTGATCAATCATCGTAGCTGCAACTTCTGCACGTTTTGGAGGAGCTTGACCAAGAATGACAACGCCATTGACGCCTTCGTCGAAGCTCTTACAATACGTACTTGCTAGCTTACGTGCAGCCGGAGAGATGGTGGCATGCTTTGATGGAGTAGCATTGGCTGTGTACCTCGACTTGATCCAGGACGAAGAAGAGGAAGGCTCGTAATTGCGATTCTGACTTGACTTGGCTGGTGTGACAGGATTCCTCTGACTACCACCGTCACTTCTCTGGCTTAGACGCAACATAGTACCAGGGTCGTGGGGGTTCTTCACAGCCGGATAGGACTGTGAAATTCTCCACTTACTATTCTCTTGACTATTCGGCAATTGTGTCGAGGCAGGAGGGAGATCATTGAGTAAACCATTTTCTTGATCTGCTTCGGCGTCTGCCATGATCTGAGAGTTTGTCACACAATCCTTGACTTTGAAGTTCTTGCGTCTCGACTTTACAGCCTCTTTCGGAGGCTCCTGAGTATCCGCCGCGAAGCCGACCACCTTTCGTCGTTTGACAGACGCCTCTCCATCAACGATCTGGCGCTTCTTGCCATGCTGAGGTTCTGGGTCGGGAGCGATCGGTGCCGGCACTGGTGGCTGTTCGCCTGATTTGGGTTGAGAAGTCTTGGGAAGGGATGACGTTGACAGAGAATCCAGAGGGTCAAGGAATTGCTGAGCATAATCATCACCATCAGGACGAGTCTCGTCATCAGCAGCAACATCTGGCGCAGGGTCCTGCTTGGGCTGATGGATCTGTGTCAATGCTATTTTTCGGGCCACTTCCTCGTCAGACTCGTACGACTGCTCATCTGACACGAATTGCAAGATGCTAGACTCATCTACGAGCGCATATCCAAGCTCAAGCTCTTTACTTGAAAGCTTCTGCGTTAGATTTGTGGCAGCGTCGGCAGCAGGGGTCTGCCACTTCTCATGGAAAAGTTCCTCGACGCTCTCCAACGTAGTCTGAACAGGAAAGTCTTCCTCACGAGGCTTGACGAAGGAGTCGAAAGAAGGAGCGTTTCCGCCCATTCTCTCGCGTTCGTCCTTGGCCAGCTCTTCCACAACTTTACGAAACTCTGCTTCATGTATCCAGCCACCGTTTTCAGTGTTCCTAGGATCGTGCGACATAGACACGAGCACTTCCGGTGGGAAGGGACTGCTGCTGGGATCTGTGATGCCCATGCGTTTCTTGCGTCTGATTGTTTCATCCCTCCAGAGGCCAGCCATAGATTGAACAAACTTTTCCTCTGGTGCCAGATGGTTGAGACGTTCGACAAAGTCATGATGCAACGCCCTGTCTTTCACATCGTTCCTGTTCAGAATGTCTTGTACGCGAATGTCGACCTCGAGACTGCAGTGGCTCTGGCGTTGAAAGTGGTCTGGGTGTAGGCGCTGCGAGTCGGGTATGGATCTGTCGTGCCACTCGTGATGAGGGTTGACGAGGTCTTGGACGTCCGGGACAGGGTCGCGGAAGAAGGGATTGTCGGTGTCGATGTAGTTGCAGCCGTACAAGTTGAAATCGCACATCCATTGAGCAAGGAACTGCAGATGGCTCTCGTAAGGTTGGAAGACCTGCTTCAGGATGGCACCTTGGTGAAGCAGATCCGACAGACGAGTCATGTTTGAAGGGTTGAGAAGGTAGACCTTCAAGAAGTATTTGAAGCCAACATGGTAGCCAAAGTATGGGACACCCTTGACGAGACTGATGTGGGCGACGAATATGGCTTTTGTGTCTGCCGTGTTTCTCCTATATGAGACTGCAAGTGCATGGTCTATGGACAGTCGAAGGGCTGCAATGTATTCGTCGACCGAGAGGCGGTCAAGAGGGCCGGTGTATTCGATGTAGAGGTACGGGAATGCGCCGTGGATGTGAAGACACACTTTCTGTCCGCTCTTGGTCGCGCCAAACACACGGACTACTGGCACTTGGGGGAGATCTCTCTGTGACAGCAATGACGGATCGCCCCATAGCGGCGGGTCGAGCAGTCCCGGGTATGCTTGATAGTGGTCCAGGCAGTTCAGTCGTATGCGACAGAGCACCATGACGGGCCTGTATCGGGTAGGTGGGCTGGACAATTCGTGACTTCCACTCTCATCTTCGCTTGACTCGATCTATGGGACGCGTAGATCTGGCCATTGCGACATGTTTTGCCACCGTCAGTCGCGTGAAATGGAAGGTGCGACCAAGGAGACGCGATCAGGGAAGGATGCAATTTGCACGCGCTGCCTGCATAACATTGCATAGTTGCGGCCCGGTCCATCGGCGAGTACGCAGGGACCAATGACCGCATACATAAACACCAACTTGAAACAAACACCTTCTCCGCCGCTTGAAACAAACGCCATTGCAGCCTGAATTCATTTCTGTTATCCAACGCAACAACGTCTTGATCTTAGACTCTGCAGTCCAAGTCTTTTCCGCGACAGACTATCATCTTCACTGCAGTCAAGATGGATGTTCTTCTGGCAAAAGTCACCCAGCAGGCTATGAACTATGCCATACGCTCGGGTATAGCAATCACAAGCACATATGCCATACGACAATGCACAAGACTGGTCAAAACCGCCCCTCGCGGTGGCAAGCGGGAAGAGCTACTAAATCTGCAAGTCCGCCTGGAAAGCAAGATCAGAATCATCTCACCAGCCATCGATATGATAGAGTTGATCGCGGCTCGTGGAAACACTTCACTGGAGTCTGCTGTTGTTCTCACAAAGGATCTACGCTGGGAGATACAAGCTCTCGGTATTCGTCTAGCAAATGCTGCAAATGAGGAAGAGTTGTACCGGCGCAAAAGTTCACGGGCAAAGTCAAAGGAGCAGAACGAGCTTGAGTTGCAACTGATAGTCTCGGACGTCAAGAAATTGCTCGCTCGGATTGAAGATGCGGTACCACTTATCAATCTCGCCATCACAACTTCCGGCGTCAACTTGTCTACAAATCTGCCGGCTACCGTCTCCCCATCACGACTTCTGCAGGCCAGCACATTCCTCACAGCGGCAGATTCTCAGTGTACGGCGGCGCCTGGTCAAAACGTTCAAGTGGGACCGGTTTATGTTCTATCCGTCTACATGCTCTTCGCCAGTCACACCAATAGGCCGCACGATGAGGAGAGCGCTCGCGAAGCTACCTGGAAGGAAGTGATCCACAAAGCCAGAGTCAAGCTTGTGCGCGTACCACTGGACAGTCTGTACAACCTACCAGGAAGCTTGACGACTCCAAGCGGCGCACGTTATTTTCCGAAGGAGCTGCCTTCAGATGGTGCATCGGTTGAGTATGCCTATCAGCTGGTCGTGATCGAGGATCTGGACGACGATCGAGTACACACTTTCGAAGAAGACGAATCTCAACCCGGTCCATTTGAGGAAGTCGCGCTCGCAGGTATCAGGGATGTCATTCCCATTCACGAAATCTCCAAGATTTTCTATGCCGATACTGGCAAGATTCTGAATATTGGCTCCGAAGGCGAGGCAAATAATCCGATTCTTTTGCTCAAACGCGACATTCATGCAGAGCCACCAAGACGTATGATGGAAAGAAAATACACAGAAGACCAGGAATACTACGACGATGATGAAGACTACGATGAACGACCTAAGACGCAGGACAGTGACGACACCGACCACGACGAACAAGCACAAATAAATGCCCAGATCCACCGCGACTCAACGCCACAAGTCCAAGGCGGCAAGGAAGAGCCAACGGTACAACAAGACCCAGACGCTCACTGGCGACTACCTCCAGACTTGGACCCCGAATGGATAGCCTTTGAAGTCTACACCGAAGACCCACCCACCGACGATGAGGAAGACGAAGAAGAAGAAGAAGAAGAGGACTCCACACCTCAACCATCTTCCTCTTGTACACGCAAACCCTCCCTCGACCCCACCCTCACAAACAGCATCTCCTCCCTAAACCTGACCTCATCCCCCACAAACAAATCCACCCAACTCCTCCCCCCCTCACCTCCCCAAAGTCGTAGAACCCCACAACAACAACCACCCCCCCAAATCCGCACTTCCCTCTCCCTCCTAGAAATGCTCATCCGCCTGACCGCACTCCAACAATTCCGCCAATCCTCTCACTTGACAATCGAAGACGAACTCCTAAACTTCTTCCTCGAAGACTCTGCCACCACAGGAGCTGGCTCCGACACCTCCTCGCGTCAACGAATACGCAGAGATGCGAGGAAAAGAGTGGGCTTTGATCCGTATGACGAAAGTCCGATCAAAAGGAGGGGGGAGGAGTATTTACAGCATCCGAGGGCTGGGAATACACCGGGGAGGGAGTTGGGCGAGTATGAAAGGGGTTATAGAGAGGGGAGTGAGAGGGTCGAGTTTGAGAGGGGGTTTAGGGCTGCGAGTGAGAACTTTGGATACACTCCAGAGGGGGTGAGACCGAGTATTGAGGGTGCGGGATACTTTTCGGGTAGGAGTAGTGAGAGTATGCCTTCTAGTCCTTCGCCGCAGATTCGAGGTACACCGCTGAGGGAAAGAAAAAGTCAAAGCCCAAGACTACAGACGCCAGAGTGGAAAGACAAGGGCAGAAGAAATGTCTTGAGAAAAGGCAACCCTATCCCCAAAAGTCCGTTAGGCAGAGAGAGCCCTGAGTCCTAAGTTCCGCATCGGAGAGGAGATGATTTAAGGAGACATCAAGCATCAAATACATCACAAAGCCGGGCATTAGCATAGCATAAGCATAGCGAATTTTGTTGTTCCTTTTCACATCTAACCCACTTTGCAAACGAAAACGAATGATTACTCTCCAAACTCCCTTCCACGCTACTAAAAAAACGCCATGCCTCAATCCTATTAGCACCAGAAACCTTCCTTGCGCCTCAAAATCCAGCGTTTGACCGAAAGTGATCATTCCACGTCTCATGTCTCGCGTGCTCATTAGCCTCGTCTGACTCCTCGGAATCTTTACGGAGCAGGGGAGTAGGTTCGTCGAACTTGAAACCAGACTTGTCCTCCTCAGTCTCGGATTGATGCTCCTCGGTCTCTGATTCGTCCTCCTCGGACTCGTCGGAAGCAGAATCGTCGGAAGAGGATTTGTTGGGCTTGGGCTTGGGCTTGTCCCTCTCGGATTCAGAGTCAGACTGGTCAAAGTCGCCGTTCCCGTCGAGCTGAGCATTTTTAGCAGAATCATCCTCCCCCTTAGACTGCTCCTCCTCTTTCTCAGACTCATATCCTTTCTTAGACTGCTCGTCTCCTTCAGCCTCATCATCGTCCTTGGCCTCGCCAGGTTCATCCCACAAGGCCTCCCGATGGATACTCTACTCCCAATCCTCCTCGTCACTCTCCTCTTCAATCTTTTTTGTTTCCTTTGCAGCATTCTTCTCACTCTTTTCGTCTTTTGGACTTCCTGCAGCACGACTGGTTGTTCCTGATACGATATCGTAGCTTGCATCAGACGAGGACACAGATTTGATGTCTTCCTCGTTCTGAGGCTGGGTGGGTGTTTCTGATTTCGAGGTCGCAGAGGCGGTGGACGGTTTGGTGGGTGTTGTGGTGGAAGGAAGGGTAGTGGTAGAAGCAGGCGACAGGTCTTTTGTGGGTGTGGAGGACTTGTCTTCTTCGTCTTCCGAATCGTCGGAGCCCCAGGATGTTTCTTCGTGGGTTGATTGTGCTGCACCTATCACGACTTGTCAGTATACCTTCTGAAGACCGAGGTAGGGTGTGCGACTCACCCTTGAGCACTTCTCGTCTTCTGACTTCCTCTTCCTGGATGACGTTGCGCAGGAAGTAATATCGTGTCCAGAAAGTAGCATAGTCGACCTTTTCCGGCACGACTTTCTCCATTGCCCTTCTCAACTCTGGGTACTTTTCGAGGTCCGCAGCAATAGCATCGGTCTTTGCCGAAATGTCAAAGTCCTTTGCAAAGTCGCTGTACTCGGGACTATCAGGATCGGTGATGAAGCTCTGAGCCGATGTGTGGATGACGTGAAGTTGAGCGTCGAAGCGAGAAGAGTGAATAACCCTCTTGCCTTCAGCGTCATTTGTTTCGAACAGGACTTCTGTGCTGGACGAGGAGGTTGAGGGAGCAGTGACGGTGACGGCATCGCGAAGGAAGGACTTGATGTTTGTGCCGAATTTGAGGAGGGCCTCGTCTGCTGCATCTTCGGCTGCTTGCATCTTTTGGAGGTTCAGGTTTGCCGTGGCTGCCGTGGCCTTTGAGCGCAAGAGCGCGACAAGCGAAGAAGCCTCCTTGACGATGTCTGCTGGCAATGAGTCTGGTCGTGCAACTTCTGCTCCTGCCGACGTGTCTCTTGTTCCTTCCTTTTCTTTTTCTTTGGAACTCGCCGTAGCTCCTTCTGGCAAAGCGAATGTCGGATCTGTGAAAGAAGTATTCGCCGCTCCAGCGTCTGGCTTGATACTGATGTTCCTCGTGCTCTCGACGATGGACTCTCTAAGCTCTCCAGCCACTTTCACCGCTTGTTCACTGCGACTCGCATATTCCTTTTGAGCGTCCGAGTAAAGACTTTCTCCTTGTTTCTTGGCTTGTGCGAAGAGGCCGCCCAGACGTGCTCCCCATGGTGATGCAGACACGGCTTTGAACGCTTGTTGTAACTCGGTGTTTAGGTCGGTAGCTGGACGGTCTGAGGTATTTTGTTGGCTTGAGCTGTCGGAGGGAAGAGACTCCTCTTGGATCTGATCGTAGGCAAAATCCATGGTGGAGGCGAGCGATGAATGTGATTAGAATGTCGGGCTGAGGATGGAAGGTTGGATGCTGCGTCACGACGAGCTCGACGCGCTTCACCGCTGCTGGGGTGGACAAGCTTTCAGGGTCGAGCTCCTTCTTCACATGCACCCAGATTCCATTCTCTCGGGAAGCCGCTGCTGTGCCACAATCAAGAGTTGATAATCGATTGTGACGGATGTGAGCTTCATCAATCGGGGTTGTGGTCTAGTGGTATGACATCTTCTTAGCATTGCTCTTAGAGCATTACTGAGTGGAGAAGGTTCTGGGTTCGATTCCCAGCTACTCCATTTTTGCCCTCCTGTTGCCTTGCAGGAGGGCTTTGTTTTTACTCGTTGATGCAGCGGGTGTGGGCAATTATGACCGGTGCTAAGAAAAGTTCGATTTCTGGCTGCTGCTAGTTTTGCTCGCAGGATGTCGACCAAAGTAACGCCGCAGTCTCAAAGGCCTTCCAATGTCCAGACTAGAGCGAGTATCCGCTACAGAGCTCCCACGTACAACTTAATGCTCTTTGCATAATATCTCATACTCTTTCATCTTGTGTCAATCATCTCTAGTGACTGCAGAGTCTCTAGTCGACTGAGCTATTAAGAAAACGTGAATCTCAAGCGCCGAAGTCAAGTATATGGGGTGACCCTGCCTGGATGATGTCCGTCTTCATAGTCTTGGCGTTACGCTCCTCTCTTCTCTCACGGTCGCGACTCAAACACATTCATTTCTGGATGAAGAGAATCTCGGTGACTCCGAGAAACGCTTTGTCCTACCAAGGTCGCAGCCAAGATGTTGGTGTACGTCGATCAACGTAAAGGGCACCCAACAGACACGCGACCTGCATCACCGGAAGGATCAGACAGGTTCTCGTAGCCGAGCTGTGTCGACTATGTGACCAGCACTCGCGCCTCCCATCTCGGACCATGTTCACTCTGACCACGGTGAGAACGACAGTCTGTTTACGAAAATGTGGGATGCTATCGGCCGCTTCGTCTTTGACTTTATAGTCCACATACCACTTAGTCGCTGGTATGCTTATCAATCTCAAGCAATAGCTACAGCTGAAGTTAAAGGTCCCAATGCACTGAATCAAGCTGCTGCAGATGGTGATGAGGAAGAAGTCCGTAGACTCCTGGAACAAGGCGCTTCTGTCGAAGGAATTCTGGATGATCGCCAAACGCCATTGCAATTCGCTGCTCAGGAAGGCCATACACGGATCGTCCAACTCTTGATCGAATATGGCGCGGATATCAATGCCCTCGGCTACAATGGCTCAGCACTCGGTCTTGCAGCCGAAAAAGGAAACGAGGAAGTCGTGAACCTTCTACTATCACGCAGAGCATTGGTAGACGGCAATGAAGGACCCTCATGGTCAACGCCCTTACAAGCCGCTTGTGGAAAAGGCCACTTTGGAATTGCAAAAGCCCTTCTAGATGCTGGTGCAGATGTCAATGCACTTGATGAGCCACGGCTTTCTCCATCACCATTGCGTTATGCGTGTCAAATCGAGCGGGACGATATAGCACATTTGCTACTGCAAAGAGGCGCCAATGTCGATGAGCGAGATACAGATCCTTCCTGTGGCTTGACTCCATTGCAATTCTGTGCAGCTGTGGGACATAAAACTCTGGTTTACACACTTGTAGAGTTTGGAGCAGATCTCGATGCACATCATCGCCTAGGCTGTCCTCTAGTGCGCGCAGTGACGAAACTCAACGATGCTGCTGAAACGAATATCGAGGTCGTCGAGTTCCTTCTCGACAAAGGGGCTGATATCGAAGGTGCACCTGGAGGAGAGACACCGTTACAAGCTGCTGCCGTCTCAGATCGTATTGCTATCGCGCGATTACTTCTTGACCGTGGGGCTTATGTTGATGCTCGCAATGCGTTATTTCTGTGTCCTTTGTATAACGCTTTTGTGGAGGGACACGAGAAGACTGTGGAGTTGTTACTTGAGAGAGGGGCGAGTGTGGATGTTGCTATTGAGGATGCGTTAGGGGTTGATAATCTTGTTGTTGCTGATGCATTGAAACGGCTCCAGGCATCACGCGAGGAAGACCAGATCAAGAGTCGCTTGCTCTTGTAGGCTTGATTCGACTTGTATCTGATGCAGTCGTCTGGTCATGTATCAATTCTGATCATTCAGCAAACCCAAGTTCATGCCATGATTTTGCGAAGAAGACAGTGTGATAAGCATCAATCTTGATGGAATCAGCAGCCGTACATCCGTAGGAAGGAGTCGACCCCCAATCACATGCAGATACGTCTAATCTTGTAAAAGGCTTTACTGGGACTCCGCAAATATTGTTCGTGTGAGACTAAGCTCGTTGCCAGATGTCAGAGTTGATGTATAAAGATGAGAATGGCGGAAATGCAAGATAAGTACTTGTCAACCTGTTGTGCTTAGTCAAAGACAAGAGGTTGTTCGAGGTCTTGTCTATAATTTTCAACATCGGAGAACTTCCCGGAGCGATCCTACATCTTAGATCATCTTTATAAGCTATGCTACTTTTACTGCTTGAGTCCCTACCTCGAAACCTTTCGCATGATGTTTAATTGTGCTACAAGAAACCTTACGATTCCAGCCGGATGGTTGATGACTTAATCTAACGTAGTCGTATCCAAGTCTAGAAACTAGAGCAAGTCCAGTACCTGCCACCTCAATGGAAACCGCCATCTTGATGAAAATCGATCAAGGGGGCGCCTTAAAAAACATAGTAGGAAAATTTCCATTTGATATGCGTAACCTAACGTACTTCCTAGAATAATGTAATAAATTAGCATTATAAGTAAAGTTCGCTATAGCCTAAAAGACTGCCGATCTAGAAATGTTAAGATTTGATGGCCGATCTGTAAGAATCTCTTATATCTTTTCGCATGACGGACATGAAGAGCTCTGAGACTGCAATCGAAACTCATGCGGAGCGGCTCACAGTCAAAGTTGTTTTCGGTGACGGAGTGATACTCAACGAGACATTGGGAACGGAGCATTTTGAGATGACTGAAAACGAGTTTTCAAGAAATCCTTGACCCAGACAGATATTGCTTCGGCATAATTATCAGTGCTTAGACACCATGAGCATGAGGCGATCGTGTCATTGACTAGATGACGACTCTCGAGTTTGAGAGCTTATGGCATTTCGTCGTCGTTAATATAGCGCGTAGCACTTCAAGACTTCGCAAAGTACAAATAGACATGATCTATCTAACCCAATCAAAACTCAGATTGAGCACGACACGCTCAGCATTATCCATCTGGTTCATTACCTGGTGTCATCTCAATAATTCTCCGCCAACCCCATACCAGCATAATCAGGCACACTCCCGCATGTAAACGTCCTCTCCCACGTCTTACTCGGTAAGATGCCCGCAGCCAATCCATCTTTATAACTCCACTGCGTAGCACTCTCAGTCTTCCACGTCCAATAAAACCACCCCCACCCTTTCTCGAAACTATACATTTGCGCCTCTGCAAAATCTCTCAACCACTGTTTATAGCCATCCGAGTAAGACGAGGGCGATGCATTTGCATTCGTGCAAGAACAGCGAGGAGAATTGGCGGTAGGACAGGTGGGGGAAAGTACACTGCCGTCAAGAGAGCCGCCGGGTGTGGAAATCATGTTTAATGTGCCTTCCCAGCGAGAACCTACGCCTACGTTGTTGAGATAAGTGGCGCAGTCTGTGTCTGCTTGACTCCATTCTCCGCAAAGTGTGGGCCCAAAGCCTGTCGCTGTGTCTGAGGAGCGTAGAGTTTGGTTTGTCCAGCCTGAACATGCAAAGTCTACTTTTTTGCTGTGATCGAGGGCGATTTGTTGATTGTTGAAGATGACGTATTGGTGTACATCTAGGAGTAAATTGTCATAGTCTTGGAGTTCTCCTTGCCAGTTGTCTAGACCGCGGAAGCCGTCGCCAAAGGTTATGATGGCTGTCATGTTGTTGGCGCGAATCTTTTGGATCGCGGATTTGGTCCAGGTCAGCACTGTGTCGACGTCTAGATATGTCATTTTGGGTTCGTTGACCAGACCGTAGATTGTGATGATGTTCTTGTAGCGCGATTGTGAAAAAAAGATCGATAGTTGAGAGTGAGTGTCGAGAGTACGTTGGCCGTTCAGCGTGCCGTCTGTACCATTTAGCCAGTTTATGGCGCCTTGGTGTCCGCTGTGGTTCCAACCATTTTGACTGCCTGGGGCACCATGAAGGTCGAGATTGATACGGAGACCATATTTGCGAGCCCACTCTATGGCTCGAAGTAGATAGCGCCAGGAGATCTTGGAGACATATGGGTCGCCCTCGTATGTTGTGACTGCCCAGTATGAAAAAGGGATGCGTACATGATCAAAGCCAGCAGCCTGTATACCTGCAAAGTCTTGTTCTGTGATGAACGTGGCGTAGTGCTTTTCCAGTGTCGTTTGAGCTCTGCTGGCACCGAGCTTACTGCAGAGCGTCCATTCATCGATTACTCTATCGCTGGTCTTGAAGTCGGAGAAGAGGGAGGGGGTGATGACTGGTTCGATGCTGAGCCAGCCTCCAACATTGACACCTCTGATGGGCATTTTGCCATACTCCCAGGACTTATCTAGTGCTGGCACATTGTCGTTTGCTTTTGCCGAATCGTCCCAAGTTTCGTTGAGCCCCATGAGGGAAAGACCACCAACGGTGGCAGCGGTATACGTGACATTAAAGTCCGAAGTGTCGTACCAAGTGAACGGGTCTAGGATAGTTCCTTGAGCTTCTGTTGGTATGTCCGACTCTTTCATACCGTCCAGATTCTTGTTCGAAGGCGAGCCTGCCGAAGAACTTGTGTCGCTGGCTGTATCCGCAGGTGAAGATGACTTTTTCTTGTTGGACAAGACCACGCCTACTGGTATCACAATTGCTAGTATGACTATAATGATGATACCAACAATACCTAGAGGAGCTGTCAGAGTCACGACATGCCCTTTTCTGCATCATACTCACCAATCTTTCGTCGTTTGCGCCTTCGTGCCTCATTTCCCTCAGACTCGGCACTACCGGCACCACCTCTCATTCGCACCCGTCGGTCGACCAGTACCACCTTCTCATCGTAAGGCTCAGCACCACGCTCCAGATAAGTGCCGCTCACGACTCGCGGTTGTTGTCCACGCTCGCGATAACGGTGTTCTCCTCCTTCTCTTTCTCGCCTCCGTCTTTCTCTTCTCTCCCTTCTTTCCCTCCTCCTTGCCTCATCCTCGATACTCTCGTATCTCTCAGTCCTCTTGACACCTCCATTGCTATTCCAAGTCGCATCCCCCACATTCAAGGCGTCCAATTGCCCGAGAGCATCCGCACTCAACCCCCGACTCGCAGAGTTACTGCTTTCCGTCCTCTCATCTTCTGTATAATGATATTTCTTTTTTCTCGGTCTCTCTTTCCTCGGACTTTGGGACTCTGAATCTCGTCTACGATGGTGTCGTGGTGACTGGGGGAGTAATTCGCTTGCACTGTCGTTGTAGCGATGCCCTTTTCGCCGTTGATGGCGTTGTGCGTCTGGATCTCGTGGATCTCGTGGATCTCGTTCGAGGTGTTCGCGGGGTGTTCGTGGCATATTGACGGGTGGGAATTATGGTTATCGGGGAATGTTTGTAAAATAACGGTTGGTTCGAGGATTGTGATGTGATGGGTGTGCATCATGTTCCCCAGACTCTGTCAACACAATGGTTGGTGGGGTGACGGATGTGGGGAAGAAAGCAGGGTCGCCATTTTCCATGGCCGTGTGTTCAATTCTGTCATAACCATTCTTCTGTAATTGAAGCAGAGAAGCAGAGCAATGACGAGCTGTAAACGTGCGCAATTTCTATCACGCTAGAGCAGGCAATCGATGGAGTTGAAGAAATCGAATATCTCGACGACATTGCTGCGAGTCAAGGGAGTGCTATGCCTCAACGCAGCTTCTGATGAGGATTGATCTGTGAACTTGAAGCAAAAATAAATGTTTGCTTATAAATGGTGCAGCGAAATTTGTCTCGAAAAGCTTTTGGGGATTATAGTTTTCATAATCAATTGCACTTCCTCGTCACGTTTACGACGCGAACGATGCTCGTGTTCAAGAAGAAGGTTCAACGAACGTGACGAGGCGTTCATCCAGACTCTCCGATCGTTGGAACTGTGATGCTGCGGAAAATCCATTCAAAGACGAATCCTTGGTATCCAGGAGCCAAGCGCTATTAGCACAAAAATCCAAAGGAGTAGAAACTTTTTGTTATTGTCTGAGGACTTGCTCAAACCAGTGAGCGATATGCTGTAAGTCCTGCGTTTGACCTAGCGACCACAGTTGTAAAGCTTCGGGCTGTCTGTGATATATTTGACGCTCAGCCAGCATATACGCGGCTTCCTTTGCCATCTCGTCTCCTTCAGCCGCGACCGTCCGGATCTCTTGCTGCACAATACTCCTCTGGATCAGTCGAGCGAATTCTTCGGCTTGATCAGATAGCGGACTAGTCACGGCAGACGAGATGCGCATCTGAGGTATTCTGAGCCCGCTCCCTGCATTGGGCCATCTCTTGTGACTCTTGCGAGGCTTTTTCGAATGTACTAAATCATCTGCCTGCTTGACCGGATTCTGCAGTCTGTATGAGAGCGAGCTCATCTTCATCTGCTGCCGGTGAAAGTCATCTCGTTCGAGCAAAGATAGCTCGGCGAATTCATCTGCAGGCGTCTTGGGCTGGGGTGATGGTACTGCAACTCCTGGCGATCGAAAGTTGAACATTGGCGATGCGAAGGTATCAAAGTAATCTTCAGGCCTTCTGAAAAGACTGTGCCTCGCTTTGAGCAATGCGCTAGCGCTGAGTACTTCGTTGTCTGCAAATGTCGAGAAACTGTTCGAGCGTAGTTTTGCTTTGGTCTTTGGTCTTCGGCCACGTTGAAGCCTTTCAACAAAGGAAGAAAACTGTTCTTCGACGGTCTCATACTCGATTTCATTCTCCTCAGGGAATACCCAGTCTAAAACGGGCTCATTGATGGCAGCAGCGGCCATGTATGGACCTTGTAGACGACATTCAGTCAAGGTGAGCATGGCAGCGAGACTACCTCCAAGGAGTTCACCACACACGCCGAGCTTGACTCGTTGGTTGAAGTCTCTACCAGGACGATAGAAAGCTTTGGTGGAAACCAGATGTTCCAAGACCCAGTCGTAGCCTGTCAAGACATCATGAACAGGTGTAGGATAACGATGTTCTTGCGAACAACGATAGTTTATCTGCACGACAGTGGCCGAAGTGACGGCTGAAAGTGCGGCGCCAACATTAACCGCAGGAAAGGCGGCAGGCAGCAAGGGGCCGGGAGGAAGGTACAAAATTATGGGCAGCGCGGGCCCCGAAGCAACAAGAGGGTGGAACAAACTTTAGGGGTAATTCGAGTCAGAAGGGAGTGTTACGCAAGCCAGCGATGGATTTAAAAATACGATGAGGGATATACGAGCGCCCCAGCGACGATGAAGACTTGCCTTAGTGTAATGTGACCATTAGATCTGCACGGAATGGTTACCTGCTCTCTACGCGAAGAAGATAGTGTCGAGTACTGGTCGTAGATAAAGCGGTGAAAGTTCAAACGTGAAGTCTGTGAGGAGCGCAACAGACAGCGATAAGACAGCAGCATGGGAATGATGATAGGTTGGAAAAGACAAGTGTAGCGACATCGAGGGGAAAATGTCACTGTGGTGGGACGTTTCGATCGAGTAAACTAGACGATTTTAGGTTGTGGTGTCTTGAGGAGATTACGGCTGGCCAGGCGTCGACGACGGCAGAGGAAGAGAATTGGCACGTGTTTGTGGGGAAGGAGCCCGTGGACCCCTTTGAGAAGAAACAAGCTTCGTCGACCGGGCGCTAATCGATGAATGCAGCACTAGCTCGACGCCGCATGTACCATTTGACAAGTCTCGTCCTCAGCCAGATGGCTGAACACCACGAACTCACGCAAGCGGTCGGCTTTCTCGCTTCTCTTGTTCCTCGTGTAATAATACTCTGAGCGCCCCACTGTCTTTACCGCAACTGTTCCTTCAATCTCTCCCAACCTCATCTCTTCAGCTCAAATTCCTAGTTCTCCTTCCGACCTTCCTCACACAAAAACAGCCTGGACCCTTAGCATTGTTATGGTTGATCGATAATTCGACATTATATTTCTTCGAACCTAAGAAAGTGCCTCTGACCTTGTCACTGATCTGGGTCGCTCACTTTATAATCAACACCTTCAATTTGTTGCACCTCACCTAATATTACCTATCCTGTGCATCATTCCTCCCTGCGTTGAGCTGCAATGCCTGACGCAGGCCGAGTCCGGGCAATCTTCTCGCTTGTCCGCAATCTTTCTCTGGCCCTCATTTTCTACGCCGCGATCTACGCCACTATCCAACTTGCACAGGATCCTTCAGCTAGACACAAAGCCCGTCAACAAATCACACACCTCACAGATGTCGACATCATCAAGCAGAGCGAGACAGAGAATGTGCAGATACCACTAGTCAGCACTTCTCGCACCGTAGTCATCAATCCTCACGCCAATGTGTTCAATCGACCCTCAAGTGCTGTTGTCCCCCGCGACGACTTCTTCGGTCCTCGGCCGCATGTCGACACAGAAGCCGACATACAAATGCTCGTAGAAGAATGCAGAGGCTCATACGAGGGTGTTGAGAAGATGCGCGATGTTTTCAGCTGCTTGGAGTTTCTCTCGAATAAGGAAGAGAAATACTATCGTTTGCCTGAGCAGGTCAATCGCGCAAGTGAACAAGACCCAAAAAAGGCAGAATATCTCAATGCAGATGGATTTGGCAACACTTTGAAGCATTACGTCTCTACAAAGGTCGTCAAACCTTCTTCGAAGACAACCCTTGGATTCTGTTCTGGCCCTATCATTCCTTATCACGTCTACTGGGCTGGCCCCGCTACATGGCGTCTTGAGGCCTTTGTCAAATCATATCTCTACACTCAAAATCTGCCTTGCAGTCGACTATGGCTATGGGCAGATACCGACAGAGCTCCAGATGCTGTAGACAAGATGCTAAATCATGACCCTCTGTTTGCTCGTTTCTTACCCCTGGTCGAACGCGGCGACATCAGAGTCCTACCATGGAAATTTCCCACAAGGATGCCCCTGCCGAAAGAGTTCGACAACACCGACGGCGTAGGCTACTACAAGACTAAGGGCCTACCTAATGCTGAGGGCGAAGTTGCCATCGCTGACGGTCTTATCGAAGATGCCAATGGTCAACAATGGATTACTCTGAGCCCAAAGCAGATGACTTTCTTCCCACAAGCAATCTCCGACACCGTGCGCTTCATCATCCTGCATCAACACGGCGGAGTGTATCTTGACATGGATGCATTGATGCTCCGTGATCTCCGGCCTTTGCTTCTGCCTCGAAACCACTCTTTCGCCGAACGCTGGGGCGCTCATAATAATCCCGGCGATTACAACACTGCAATTATGAGTCTGACAGCCAACTCTTCTCTCTCCAGTTATCTCTTACGCGGAGGTGTACGTATGGGTCTCAACTTCCACCCTAGAGTCATTGGCCGCATGATCTGGAAAGAAGGTCGCGATCAAGAATTTCCTATGCTTGAAACCGCTGCTTTCGATCCCATCTGGACAGAATTCAATTGGGATAGACAGGGCAGATGCACGATACCTTGTCTACGCGACTACGGCGCTGTATTCAAGAATACCCTCAAGAATGAGTGGGAGAGCTACGATGATGTTCAACTTTCCCGCATTAATCAGAACACTACAGCTTCCAACGATGAGGGCCTCAGAAGTCAAGTCTCTCGCTCTGCCAAATTCCGCCAGAGAGCCGTGGCAAAATCCCCTGCTTCTGCATCTACGCATATCACTATAACGCCCATGCCAGGCCCCATGAATAGTTTCCCTGCCCCTTCTGCTTCTGACATCTATGCTCTAAACCACTCTGGCGCTGTTCTGGAATACAAGCTCGAAGAAGACAAGTTCCCACCTACCAACCGCACACTGGAGCATTTCTTCAAGGGAGCATGGACATATCATATTCACAATCAATGGCTAAAGGAGCCCGAGCCGGGGAGTTGGTTAAACGTTTTGCAACAGGCGCACAATGCATTCTTCGAGGGCAAGAGAACGAATCCCTATGGAGAGACATGGTCAGGACCGGATGTAGCAGCTTACAATCTCTGGAACGATATGGTGTAGATGAAGGCAAAAGGCTAAACAGAGATGGAATTGAGCAAACGCTGCAGTTTATCACCCCAAGCCAGAAAAATAATATGATCAACGACCAAAATTCTTCCTTTTCTTTTCCGTCTTTGACTCGTCTCAACGTGGACTTTTTCCCCTTCTGAATCTTTGCCATCACAAATTTCATTCGCTGCAGACTTAAGCCACTGTATATCTTCGGAACCTGCATAGTTCACTTAACACGCAAGGTCACATACAGAAGAAAGGCATTTCAATCAAACCCCCACAAACTCTCTTTACCTCGACTCAAGAAAAACGCAACTGCCTATTTTCCAATCTCTAGCTTAATTACCTCTTAAGTCCGCCTCCAGCTCTACACACCACACAAGCTTTTCTAACCCCCCCCTAATCAAATCAAGCCTTATTTAAAGCTTTTCGCTCCTTCCCAAAGTAGCTCGAAAACGAAATCGTGCAGAGGGTTCAGTGACATATTCTCGGTGACATCTTTCGTATCATCGACCACTCATATCCTTGATGTATGTATTTACGAGTAGGACGCGCGGCAAAACGAGAGACTTTCGCGGGCTATACGATAAACGGGGTGTCAGCCACATCGAATCCTTCCACCTTTAAAGGACAAAAAAAACTTTCAAGACGAGCTTTCGACACGAACAAATGTTGTTGCCTGGAAGAAAGTACGAGAGAGGTGCAAACATCAATGCTACTGCTGCCTTGAAATACGAGAAGTCTAGCAAACAGCGGCAATGTAAAGCGTCTCTTTTTTTTTCTTTTTTCCATACTTCTATACGGGAAAAGGGGGTATCTCTGTTTCTTGTACAAGGACTGTTGGAAATGCCTTTGGAGCCGGGATACAAAAGGGAAGTAAAACGCCAATCCTGTGCCTCTTACTCCTGTCTTCCTTCAAACGTCGCTATGCCAAACACTCCATGCTGTATCCTCGTGAACCATTGTCTCAGTCTTAATTATGTAAGCTCGTCTGTCCGATCTTGTTTATGCAAACTCGTCTATCCAATCCGTTCACTTCATAGGCAAATCTTTAAACACACGCTTAAAGATGTCCTTACTCTTGTAGAGGTTGGTCAAGCGAAGACGCTCATTGTCCAGATGGGCGCTGTCAGAAGCCTGTCCACAAGGAAAGTGTGCAGCTGGGGCTCCAAACTCCTTCTCGAGGAAGCGGATGGCAGGAATCGAACCACCTTCTCTAATGTACAGAGGCTTTGTGCGCGACTTTTTGGTAGAAGGTTGCTGTATGGGCAAGTTGATGCTGTCGTTGGTAATATCCGATAGTGCAGAAGTGTTTGGTCCACCGTTCGCGAGGACTGTTGAGGTTGTGGGTGAGGGCTTGGATGCGTGCATGTTCTGTATGTCTTCCTTCTTTGGTATCGTGACCTTGAGGACGTTCTCCTTGCTGACTGCGAGCGAGGATTTTCTGCGATGCTGGGGCACTTCTGGGATGGGACCCCAGACATCCATGATTGCCTTGTCGAGAGTTTGGAAGATCTGGTTGTTGAAGTCACCCAGCCAGGGCTCGGCTTGATGGTCGATTGTGACGGTCATGCGGTTGTGCGAACCAAGCTTGTTGAACTCTGACTGCAAGTACTTGATCAACGCATCACCAACAGTGTCTGCTTCCTGGTTGGGTACCAGACGGAGTGATAGTGCTGCCTTTGCAAGTCTAGGGATGATAGTTGCGTTTGCGGGGCCCGAAGTTTGGAAGCGGTGAACCGTCAAAGAGGCTTCACGCCAGCGGCGCATCAGTGAGAGAGCGAGGTCGTGAGGATCACCAAGATCAGGATTTCTTGCAACTAGTGCTTGTGTAATGTCCTCGTATAGGATCTCCTCCTCTTTGCTCAAGTCTGGGATGGGGTCGTAGAAGCTTGGAATCTTGATCTTGCCGTGAGTACCTGTGAGGGTGGAAAGGAGCATGACAAGATCTTTTAGAGGTTCGTCAAGCTGTGAGCTTCCGTCAACACCACTGTGCAGATCAGGGTGATCACTTTCCACTTGAACAGTAGCATGAACAACACCACGAAGGCCGTAGGTGATGCAGGGTATCGAGTCGTCCAGCCAATAACTGTTAGCAAGCAGGATCCAGTCGACATCTCCAATGATATACTTGTGCTGCTTGACAGCCTTTGCAAATCCACGCGAACCACTTTCTTCCTCACCTTCGATTAAGAAGATGACATCTGAGCCCAGAGCTTGTTCAGACATGAGTTCGGCGCAGGCAAAGATGGCTGCCATAATGGGACCCTTGTTGTCTGATGTGCCTCTGCCGTAGAGGTAGCCGTCCATGCCTTCCATGACGAAAGGATCAGTGACCCATTTGCCTTGCTCGTTGTCGGCAGCGACAACGTCATAGTGACCGTAGAACAGGACTTTTTTCCTGGTGGCTGCAGTGGATGGGTTACCTCTAAAGCGAGCGAGGATGACAGGGTTTGAGCCGTCCTCGGTGGGCAACATCTCGGTAGCAGCACCGAAGCTCTTAAAGACGGAGCGGAGATAGGAAGCACCACGACGACAGTCAGCCTTGTATCTGGGGTCGGAAGAAACAGTACGATAAGAGATGAAACGCTTGAGATGGTCCAACATCTGTTCGTCGGTCGTTCTCTTGACGGCCGTGGGAGACATGATGCAGTCGCTGACATCCCAAACAGCGACAGTGTTATCGTTGGCTCCAGTAACATACATGGGTTTGCCCTTGTAGTAAGTGAAAGCTGAAGTCAAGATCTGACCCTCGTGAGCGTGAAGTCTACTCGCGCATTGATATTGACGGTCGAATTTCTGCTCCATGTTAGTCCAAGTTGAAGAAGAAGACGGTAGACTACTTACTCTGACGTAACCGGTGACGGCGGCCGAGAACATGTATCCGCCTCCTATGCAGATAGATAGGACATCGTCTCTGTGTGCCTTCAAGCTTCTGACAAGCTGTCTCGTCTCGAGGTCCCAGACGTTGACTTCACCACCAGTGCGACCAGAGTAGAGAAAGGTGCCGTCAATGGCAATGGACAGGATGGACTGGCCTTCCTCTCTACCGTCATCAAGACTGTAGAGAAGGTCAACGGCACCTCCACGGTCGGCATCCATGGTCCAGAGGTTGATCGCACCGTCTCCACCAGCAGAGATCAAGACCTGATCGCCAGGCGCGTCTGGCACGACGCCCTTTGCCAACATCATGCAGTAGACGTAGCCAAAGTGAGCAAAGTGCTTGATGTTATCCCGATCAATCTCCAAGACTTCACCTCCAGCAGCATGACGAGCAGGAAGACCGTGATCGGCAGGTCTGGGAGTCTGCACTCCACCAGGTCCGCGCGAGTCGAAGAAAGGGTCTTGTCTCAAGGAGGGGTGATCATTCTTTTTCGGCTTGGGTCTCTTATCCTTCTCTTTCAAGTCGTACCACTGGATACTGGTGTTCTGAGCTCCGAGGTAAACGGTGCGTAGGAGTGATGAGTATGCGACGCAAAAGACATCGCCGGTATCGTAGCGCGAGTATAACGAGTAGACGTGTTGATACGTCTTCAAGTCCCAGACGTTCGTGATGCGGTCTGCGGCGCTGGAGAAGAGCAAATTCTCATCTTCGCAGATGCAGAGGTCGAGGACGCTGCTCTTGTGCGCTTCGAGCAGAGCGATGCGCTCGTACGTGTCGAGAGAGTAGACGAGAATCTCACCGCGTTGTGTCCCAGCAAACACTGCGTTGTTCGACAGGGCAAGCGCGAGGATAGATGCGTCGTGGCGGAGTCGGTGCGACAAGGTGGGAAGGTTGTGCTGTTGCTGCGTCTCTTGCTGGTAACTGCCTCTTGACGGAGGAAACGATGGCCGATGGGGAAGGAGCTGCTCATCCGTTTCTGAGCCTGCATTCGATGAATTCACCGTTAGCGATGAGCTATAACGAAAGGCGGCCGCCATGATCTAGTAATGCTACACGCAGAGTTGACAATTGCTTGTGATCATGCGACACTTAGTCACAGCTCACTATCGCTACGCAGTCAATCCCCAGCGCCTAACAACAACTCACTGCAATCTTCACTTTCACTCACCAGTCCCAACTTCGTGCCCGTCTGCTGCTGTTTCGAACACCGGCCATGCTCCACCGCAGTTCATCTTATAGTCCTCAACTGAGTAACAGAAGTACCCACAGACTATCCTAATCCGAGCTACAACTTTTGGGCTGTCCCTGACACGCACGTCATACTCGCCAGACTTTGCGACATCGGCAACGCTTTCCCTCTGAATCATTGTCACTTCTTTTATTCAAATAATGCATAAATCATAACTCTCATCTCTTACTGTGCCATCTACATTTTCTGATCCAGCTTTCTCAAGAATCTTCCGACTCCTTTTTCTGTCTTCTTCAACCTCTCCTCGAAGCCTCCGGGTTTGAATGGCACCTGCTGCTGCACCTTGGATCCGTGTCCGTGTCCATGCGCCGATACCTCTTGCTCTGTGGGTCTGTACGCTTGACTATGCACTGCAAATGCCTCGGTTGGCAATGTCAACCGCGAAGATTGCGCTCCGTACGTGTAGTTTGAGAAACCACCATGAGGTGTTGAACCTAAGCCTGGTGACTGAGGGAAATGCTGCGGTGCAAATGCTGGCGACTGTAGCGGTGTGTGTATCCCGTACGCGGGCGGCTGGCTGGGCGTACCTGGAACACCTGGTGACTGCAGAGGCGTGTGCATTGAAAAGCCAGGTGACTGTGGGTACTGAGCTGACTGGTGTTGCGGGTATGATGCGTATTGAGTCTGGGCATGATGCTGCTGTTGAGGCGTGCTGCTTTGTGAAGACGTCGGAGGTCCTGCGAACGAATGCGCCGTCTGCAAGCTGGGATGAGTGGAGTGTGTGGCAAGAGGTGGTGGAGGTGGGAATGACCCGAGGCTCGTCGCCCTTTGTGGTGGCCCAGGAAAGCCACGCTGTGGTGGAACATTGTTGTATTGCGCCCCAGCTGTTGTGTAAGCACCTGGATGGTCGTGAATTGCTGTAGCAGTGAGACCAGTTCCGCTACCTGCATCAGGTGGTGGTGGCGTTTTCTCTCGATGAGCTATTGGTTCGGGTGCAGAAGGTGCTGCTGGATTGTACGGAGCCAATTGAGACGCCGACATAGGTGGTGAAGCTAGAGCTGTCTGTAGAAATACCGTCCTCTGACCTTCTGGAGTGTGGCCTTGTCGACTCTGATGCGATGCGTTCGAGACAGTACTTGCCGCACAGGCATGTGGCGGAGTGTGGATAGCCATACTCTCTAGCTGCTGCACCACTGGGCTCATGCTCCCGTCGTGCTCTGGAAGAGGTGCTGCTTCATGTATGTCGAGATTCTGCTGAGGCAGGATACGCTTCATGAGATCCAAGAACTTGATCGCGTCGTTGGTCGTCCAGAGATAGAGGTCCAGAGTGTGTATCTTGTACAGATATTTGTGTTCATGCGTCAGGCCAAAGGCTGGAAGATGCCAATGAGAGTGGTCCGCAGGTCTTGGTGAAGCGCCTCCATGTCTCAGGCTTTCCACACCTATTGTGAACAAGTTCGGATGCTTGTATGAGTTTGCGAACATGGCATGATCCAGGTCTGCGAGTATTCGTCAGTCACCAATGCATGATTTGGGAATGTCAAGGCTAGACATACAGCCATTGAAGGCATCCTGGTCAGGAGTCCCGGCCGAATTGGCGACCTCGAGACGAGCTCGCCTCTGAGTAGAATTGTAGTACAAATACAGATACGAGCCTTTGTCGAAGCGATGATGGACAGGCTTCGAGGCAGGTTGATTGAAGTAGGCATGTACATCGACGAAGCTACTACAAGTCAGTACTTGAAGAGCGAGGATATACATGCTGTCCAACGTACATGTTCAGAAGCAGTGCCTCTCCAGGTAAGGCAGGCATTCTCAAGGTCGTGTTGTTTGTGGCCTCTGAGTTCTTTCTCGATAAGGCTGATACCTCACAACATCCACAACATGAATGTAAGCCTCGATGAACTCAACAAGATGAGCAATGTAATCAGTGCAGAGGTAATTGAAGATATATTCAATGGAGAAAGCGGTCGGGAATTTGACCAAGAGGCCCAACAGCAAAAGAAAGAGCGGAGACATGTTGATGGCGGGGGAGGGGATCTAAATATATATGTGGCATGACAATCGCTTGCTTCTTGAGATGCAATTGGATGGTGGCATAGAGATGATGCTATCTTCTGCAGGTAGTCGGGCGCTTACCGTGTCGCAAAGGTGGTGGGCGCTATCACATGTTGATGATGAAGGGCGGGCTGTTCGGATGTTGATTGGCCCGCTCTCGCCTTTTGCTCCATAGCGGAACCCCGACCGCCAAGACTCGAGACAGAATGTGAGAAAGCCGACCGCGATATTCATGAATTAATTGTTCCTGCATCGCCCTATACCACACCACATCCGCTCACACGCGCGACGACTCTACGCTTGCATCCTGGGCTGTCGAACAAATCTTCCCTCCACAAATCTTTCGTCAATCACTCGCGCCGAGAGGGCGTCCTATATCAACACCATGTCTTTGGTCAACCTCGCCCACGTCTGCTCGCACATGCAGAACGCATCTCTTGCCCGCCTTGGAGTTACGTCAATCCCTCTTTCTCGCATGCACCTCTCGCTGTCTCTCCTCCTCCAAAAGCAAGGCTTCCTCTCATCCGTCACCCTCGGCGGCCCCACACCACCCGCAAAACTGCTGCCACCAGCACACGTCGACGAGAGCGCCACAACACCGTCAAAATCTGTCACTCAAGAGCTTGAGGAAGTCACACAACAAAATCGCGCAACAAGAAGGCTATGGCTTGGCATGAAGTACTGGGACGGCGAACCCGTGTTGAGAAAGATGAAGTTGTTGTCAAAGCCCACAAAGCGTATCTGGTTGAGCAGCAACGAGTTGGGAGAGATTGTTAGAGGCAAAGACTGCAAGTTCATCAGAGGGCTGAGACAGGTTGGAGAGTGCATTTTCGTCAGCACTGACAAGGGCATCATGGAGGCACGAGAGTGTGTCGAGAGAAAGATCGGCGGTCAGGTCCTTTGCCGCGTCTGGTAATGTGTTGCCTTGCTCTGTCAAGCTCAGTAAGCCACCACTGCGCTGATCGTCTGTTCTTGTGTAGAAATACCTGGCATATCTGGCGCTCCACGGTTCTCCTTTTCTTCTTCTACCATGTACAAAACACAACTTTTCAAACAACTCCAAACCGTACTTCCAAATTATGCAAGTGGGACTTCAAACATTGCGCATCAGTCAGCCGCGCATCATCTGCGGCATCATTATCCGTATCGAGTCTGGCTAAACAGTGAAAGCGAACAGGATAATCCAACTTCCCAACTACTCTACACTGTCCTCATCACTCCTTGTAGTCCATCACCAACACCTCTTCTTCAACCCCCAGCTTTGCAGCCAGTGAATCAACGAAAAGAGATTTTCGCATCAGCTCGAGATAGTGCAATACGAGCGACACCATGCCACCAGACAATAGAGACAAAGCTCCAGAGGTCATGGGCTGTATTCCAAAAACATGTTTGATAAATGAAAAAAAGATTCCAAGTGGTCAAACTAGGAAAGAACAGATACTACACTTGATCTAAGCCAGAAGGCAAGAAGACGTGAGGGAAGGAAAGGGAGAGGAGGGAAGAGGAGGGCCGTTTATATAGGGACGAGGAGGGGGGGGCGGGATTATGTAAGCGTGACTGCTGCCTGGAGCGCTGCCTAGAATGTGTCATTGAGAAGTGATGGTGATACTGGCAGTGAAGGATCCTGAGGAAGTCACGATTGCTGGACGTGTTGTTGTTGTGCCAGGCAACAGTGGCATGGTGAGATGGATCTTATCTAATCTTGGCAGATCAATGAGACGCCCAGGCATCCGAACGAAAGTTTGTTTGACACTTCGTTTACTCCTCCACGTTCAATCCTTCGATGTAAAGACCGTTTGCACATGATTCGAACAAGAGGGCCTCATCAGATTCGAAGGCTATCGACACCGAGGCAGTATGAACACTAAGTAAATAAGTACTATCATATTCCCGAGATCCTTTCGCCTCCAATCACGCAAGAGATTTCTATAGATAGTCCGGTCAGGAAAACAATGGCTGGTGATGGATCAACTTTGCGCTCCTCATATACGTCCATGAAAGGTCTAGACAGTTCCATGCATGCAACATCTCAATTTGGCAATATGATCGAGAGATTGACCACCAAGAAGATTCAACCACAGTCCACGCCAAGTGTCCGCGAACAATCTCAAAGGTCAGGAATTTCCGCGAGAGAAAGCTTTCTATGGTTCTAATCGGTCTGAGAATGTTGAAACATCAAACCCAATTTGGAGGATGAAGTTCAAATCCAACCCAAAGGGCACTATCGGCTCGAAATTCGTGCCTACCTTTCAGTTACAGATGTTCATAAACCAGGACGAGTGCTTCCAAACCATCACATCCATAGAACCATTCAAAGATCAGTCGCTAGAGCAGTTGAGGCTGATTGACTACGAAAGTTTGCATCAAAGTGACTCGTCGCTAAGCAGTGAACCTGGTCTGCCTGTCGCGCCGGGTAGTGCAGCCCCTAACGCCAACACATTGGCTGCTTCTGGTGGTTCTGACAACACCAAAATGGAGACACAATCTGCACAGCCAGCGTCTGTTCTCAAATCACAGCACTCAGTGAAAGACTCTTTCGCATCTGGTCACAACAACATGTCATCAGAACAAGTTTGTGCCTGGCTCAACGCTATCCCGCCGCGCGAACCCAAGGAAGACGTCGCTGATACGACTGAGTCGAAGTCATTCTTCGGCTTGCCAACGAAATCAAAACTAGACGGCATTTTCCAGTCAGACACTACTCCAACGTTCAGCTTTGCGCCTGTCAAGAAGAAAGCCGAAGTTTCTTCCTTGAAACACTCAAAGCAGAACGTTGACATACCAGCGCCTGATTCAATTTTCGGCTCTTTACCCAAGACAAAGGCTGTCACTACTTTCTCTTGCGACACATCAGGTCCAAACAGCGACAAGAACCAGAGTGCAGAAAAGTTGCTGAAGGATGTCTCAGTTGTCCCTGCACCACGGAGCATATATGATCCATCGACTCGCAATAAGCCAGCTTCTTCATCTAAAGTCATGGCTAACGAACTTTCCACCGACAATCCAGCATCGAAACCTGCCATGGCTGAGCAAATCAAGCCATCTGGCTACCACGATCCTTTCCGATCTATCTCTACAATGGCAGCCGATCTTCCTCAGGCTCTGAGTGCGGACAATCCGCCAGTGAAGGTTTTGCCTTCTCTCCTGTTTTCCACCGCTCCGCCTACCAACCTCTTCGGATCGCAATCCACTACGAACACGGCTTTGCCTAGCTTTGATAGAGGCTCATCACCTCCTCAAGTCAAAATCACCGCGCCAGCCTTTAAGTTTGACATTCCACCTTCTCCATTTACTTCTGCATCGAACCAGCAGCAGTCTAAGCTCGGATCGGTCTTTGGAGAGCGCGGCAAATACATGCTGCTTCACCATACTGGAGAAAACCACGCGTCTGGTGCAGATGAGCAACTTCGCACTACACCCTTGCTATCACTCACTGTCAAGGAAGCCTCGGAGGCAAGATACAAGAACGCCAAGATGTTCCCCCAATACGCCTTCCTCGGCTGTCGTATATCTGATCCTTTGCCTGCGAATGAGGAGAAGGAGGTCCATGAATCCGTATCCGAGCCCGAACCAATTCTGCTCAATACCAACACTCCCTGATCGGCATTCATCTGCGGCTCTCAGGGTAGTGGCAAGGGTTATACCCTTTCGGCAATCATAGAGAATTGTTTGTTCGCATCGTCCAAGGTTGGAGTGCTGCCCAAGCCGCTGGCTGGTGTCGTCTTCCACAACAACACTGCATCTTCGCACAACATCTGTGAAGCAGCCTATCTCGTTTCTCTGGGCGTCAGAGTCAACATTTTGGTTTCTCGCAGCAATTACCACGCTTTATCGTCTATCTACAAGACTACCATTTCCTCCTCGGCTGCACACCTTCTTGACATTCAGCCTTTAGTCCTGCAGTCTCATCATCTGACAGCCGAACGCATGCATCGCCTCATGGCTTTCCAGGAAAGTGAAACCACTGTGCCTTTGTACATGGAAGTCATCATGCGCATCCTTCGTGAGATGGCAATGTCCGGCTTGCCCTTCAATTACGCAACCTTCAAAGCAAACCTCGACAATGAGGGTCTTCAGCCTGGCCAAAAGGTCATGATGGACATGCGTCTCAACCTTCTCGAATCATTCCTCGATCCTAGCTGCATCAAGGCCACCAAAGCCTCCAAAACTGCCAAGAAGAGCGACATGTTCACCACGTCCCCAGGTACCCTCACCATCGTCGACCTCAGTGACCCTTTCCTGGATAGCAGTACCACATGCACACTCTTCGACATTTTACTCTCTCTGTTCATTTCGTCTCGTCCGGAGTCTGGCCCTCTCCTCTGCCTCGACGAAGCTCACAAATTCATGCAAGCCGCTCCTGCAGCAGAGACCTTCACCGAGAATTTACTCACGGTTATTCGTGAACAGCGCCACAATGCCTGCAGAGTAGTCATCGCGACACAAGAACCCACAATCTCGCCAAAGCTACTCGATCTCTGCTCCATCCCCCTTGTTCACCGCTTCACGTCGCCAGATTGGCTCGCCACTCTACGCGGTCATCTGGCAGGTGCATCCGACCTCGTCACTGTTGAGCAAGGTCAGGGCAAAAAGCAAGGAGCAGCTAAACTATTCGAGCAGATCATCAATCTAGATGTTGGTGAGAGCTTATTGTTTGCTCCTTCTGCTATCTTGGACGAAGACGAGGATGGTAGGGCTAAGAAGTTGGGTACGCAGTGTGTGCGCTTCAAGACTAGAGTCAGACTTGGCACTGATGGGGGAAAGAGTATTCTTGCTGTTAGAGCTTGAGTCATTACGTGGAAGTCGAGATATGTGAATGAATGGCACACTCATATCTCACAGTTAAAAGTCTGCGCTACGAAGAGAACTTTGCATTTCTGTGACCTCTCTTTCAGCAAAGTAACATGCTTACGATGCGCAGTCTAGATTATCGCCATTCGATTGTTCCAGGAATGCGACAAGCTTTTATAATAGATACTTTCGGTGTAAGTAACTGATGGAATTCCATGATGATTGCAGTCTATCTCTTCAGTCCACCAGATTCAAAGGACTGTCCAGGGTGATTCCTTTGGCAAGAAAGTCAAGCAGGTTTTTTTTTTTCTTGATCACAATCCACGTGGGCTCCCTACAAATGTTTGACAAGCGCTTGATTATGATTGAAAGATCTTACTCGATCATTCTGCATCTGTATAAGCGCATGGAAACAAGTTGTGCTGTGTGAATGAGGCGTGACTGTCTTTCGCTTCGTGCTCTATAACATGGATGGAAAACATCGGTGAGGTAACGTCACAAATTTTCAACCGAGATTGACTCGAGGCATCACGTACATACACAAGTCAGTATAGCTTTCCAGACCTGTCGAGTCAGAGTTGTGATGAAGTCTTCATGGTTCCTCGAGGTGATGATCACACCAGTGAGATTCGATGGGCTTGATGCCGCCTACGCCTTACGCCAGATGTCTATAATCATCATTTCTCCGCCAAGTTTCATCAACCAATCACAGTTGATCAGGTCTCGTGGTCTAGCGGTATGATACTCGCTTAGGGAGATTCGCTTCTGCGAACCTTGAAAACTCTAAGCCAATTGCGAGTGGTCCCGGGTTCGATTCCCGGCGAGACCCTTCTTTTGCTCGAGAGGGCATAGTTTTGTCGAGGAGATGGTGCTGGAAGTGCCATGGTGTGGTTTTGGAGAATTTCGAGCATCTTTTGGTGGGTGTGTGGGTGAGGATTCTGGAGCTTCGAGAGACAGCTTGACTGACGGCCGAGACTCCTTCTCGCTTCTATGGCGACACTGCATGAATAGGAGATTATTGCGTTCCTTCTGGGCTGTTCGAGTACGAGTGATGTACTATAAATATGCATAGATCTACGGACAATCCACCTCTTGGCTTAGAGATACGGAAGAAAATGAGTGGGGCAACAACCTCTCGCTCCGCTTAGATGCAGTAATCACCACACTTGCAAACATGCAGCCAAGCATAGTTATGACTCCTGTAGGCGAGTGTGAACAAGAGGGTATATAAGGTAGGTCAGGCTGGGTTCTCTTTCACTCCTGCTCTACTAATACCATCGCATTCCAAATCCTCTCATCATGCGTGCTTCCATTCTCCCTACTCTCACCGCTATGGCCGTGTCTACCGAAGCAGCAAAAGCCTATATTCCATACGTCTGGAACACCACCGCCCCCACCATCCACGACCAAGCAGTCCAGGCCAAAAACGGCTTCTTCACCATCGGCGGCACCGCAGACGGCATCTGCCCGTCCTACAACCCCAACTGCTCATCCGCAAACAAGACCATCATAACAGGTCCAGTATCTGGCAAATACACCGGCAACAAAACCGAAGACTTCTGGCTCGGCATCACAGACTCCAAGGGACAGCAAATCTACGTCTATGATCAGACATTGAAGTACACCCTGCCTCGTACAGATGTGGTTTCTGGTCCTGAGGAAGAAGCTATCAATGGCCCTTTCAGTGTCGACTTTGATGACCTTGCTCAAGCTACTGTGCTTAGATTCCAGGGTAACGACTGGGCGGCCTGCGCAAGCTATGATATCAGGAACGGCATTTCGACTATCGTGCAGCCATTGGTTTATGGAGGTTCGCTGTGGGAGAATGCGTATGGATGGGAATGCACGACGTTCAAGATGGTGTTGGAGGAGACGGATGCAGATGCTGTGGATCACTATAGAAGAGATTGTCCCTTCAAGTGGTTGAACTGCTGCCCGGAGCTTTGCATGGGTCAGAGTTGGGCGATTGTTGATGCGGATGGTACTTGTCTTGCACAGTAAAGAAGACGTCAAGGTAACATGCCGGAACAAGGAACATCAAGCTTATGTGGCAGAGAATCAACCAGGGAAGGCAGTGGAGAGACGATATCGTGTCGTGATTTTATAGCATGGGCTATGTAATGTTTATCGAATCTCGGGTAATCCCACTTCCTTCGATTGGATCCAAGACGATGAGCAGTGACCACGTTCATGCTCACTTACGCTTATCCGCGCTACACTTGTCAGCCTCCATGTCACCCTCAAGGTTTGCCAAATTTAGATCTCTGCCTCAGTCTAGCCCCACAGCGATGTAAAGCAAACAGCCCGAAGATACATCCAATCATCAGTCCAGCTAACAAACTACAGGCCTTGCCCATCCCCAGATACACATACATTGGTCTGCTGAACAACACCGCAGCAAACGCAAACGTGCAGCGAGTAAAGTCCGACGCTGCAAACAGACTAGCTGCATACCTGGGGTAAAGTGTGGGTAGATACATGAAGACGCATTGATAGACCACAAATACGCCTAGAGGAAAGAGTGTGACGCCTATCATGGAGACGATCCAATGCACATCAGGGCGGGATGACCAGCCGAAGATAAAGAGGCCGATAGGAGGGAAGAAGCAGGAGACTAGACCTGGCAAGAGGAGGTCTTCGGGGTTTGTCGGTGCACCGGCTTTGACTTTGGGTATCTGTGAATTTGAGTCAATTGATTGATCTATAGAAATGAACGTCTCCCTGGGCGCGGAGCTCTGTCAAGATTGTGGCTATCTCAAGGCACGCAGATTTCCTGAACCTGAAGCTGAGTCGTCGGAATACGTCTTTTCATCGACTCACTTCATCTGATTCAAGATGTTGGAAACTCATTGTGCCTTACTCCAGCGTGGAAGCAGGAAAGAGTGACGGAGCGAAGCAGAGGGTGGGACAGCAAACTTACGCGGTAAAACACCAGATATGAGTTGTACAGCATAAACGAGAGTAATGTGCCAATGGCGATGGGCAAGAAAGCCAGCCCTTGTTGTAGGAGATCAAAGCCGTACATGTCCCCATAGACCAATGGAAAGGCTTCAAAGAAGGAGTAGTATATGCCATAGATAAGGCACATATAGACGTTAGCGAATAAGACAGCTGGGTCAAGCAGTGCGATTTCCATAGGCTTGATCAGAGAGTCGACAATGATGGCTTGCAGAGTCAAATGCTGCTGCTCGATCTCAACTTCGGAGCGGATGTTGTCTGAGTTCAATGCTTTTCGTAGTCGATGGGCTCGATGATGAAGGATCGTCGCGGCGCTTGTCTCTGGAAGGAACAAGAACATTACGATAACAGGCGCAGACGCGATGAGTGTTTCCCAGATAGTGAACCGCCAGCCAAGATATGGGACCGCTGCACCGGCGATGATCTGCCCAACCACTGGTGCTGTGAAACATGCGAATGCCCATCCTGTCATGGCGCAGGGTAGATATGCCGAATCATAGACATCAGCCAGAGACGCACCACCAGTTGCCAAGATCGGAGATCCGAAGAAGCCTTGCAGGAAGCGCAAGAACATGAATGCTGGTGCATTGCGTACCAGTGCTGTAGGTATGGTCACCAGCATGTATAACGCGAAGGTAGTGATATAAGGTAGGTTCCTGCCGATACTGACAATCTCAGATAAGGGGCCGAATAGCAGGGGTCCAACGCCATAGCCAAAAACGAATAGTGCCAGTCCGAGAGCTGTGTATGCATGATTGGTGCCGAAAAATTGCATGAACTGCTGTTCACCAGATGTCCAAATGGGTGCAGACATGTAAACGACAAAGGAACAGTAGCAGATACACGCTACCACCCACAGCTTCCGGGGCGCCGACCAATTCATGGGGTTTTCGGGATCGGATTTGCTATACCAGTTGCATATAATGGTGCCATTCTTGTGTATCTCCGGTGACCACTGGTGGCCTTTTTCCGCGTCTTCGGGCTTTCCAGCTTCCATATCAGCCGAGAACCTGTTCTGTGTTGGACATGCCTCATCTGAGTCTGCTACCGCTGCGGCCTCAGATGGTGTAGGCGACGGCTCGGGCTTTTCGCCGATGATGAGATCCGCATTCCTGTACTGTTCTCGCTGTGGAAAGACCTCTTGCTCCTCAGGATATGGCAACCAGTCCGGGCTGATCAAGCGTAGAATCTGCCCTGCAGGACTATCCCGGATCGCACTTGTCAAAGTCATGATGTTTTGTTGATGTAATGCTTGAGAACGCTCAGGCTGATGAGCTGAGGGGGATTGTTAAGTAGTAGATCAGTCAGTGGGAATGACGGCTGCGTGGACATGATCGCGATATCTCTGATTCCAAACCAACGCTCAACAGAAATTCGATTTCTCCAAATTTTGGACGATGAGATGCGACCACAGTGAGAGCACCCGAAGTATCCTTCCTCCCCGTGTGCGAAAATCCTTTACATGTAGCTGTCTCAAGGCACCATCCTTTCTACATCAGAAATGATGAGACCAGGATACATTTCTCAACAACTCCCTGTGTCGGGGTTGTCGATGTGAGATATAACTGTGCATTGCTACAGCGTACAGCGCGTTGGTGCTCTGCTCTGGCTGCGGAGAAGGCATGGGTGTGACAGGACAGCGATGACGTTGGTAGACATTCTGGTCTTGGCAGCCCTGGGGCTCTCCAAAACCCCAATTGTTGGAGAAGCTTGCGAACAAGGAAGCCTTGTACCTTTGGTGGGACCTGCATCGCCTACGTGACAGAGATCTGTTCGTTTTCACATCCGGGAACATGCACGAACTGCCTGAGAATGTCAAGCAACACTTCCCTGAGAAGGACTAATCCCTCAAAACCGTTTCATTGCTCCTTTTGCAATCGCGGCTTTGCACGGCATGAGCACCTCAAGCGACACATTACTACCCGTATGACGGCCCTAGCACTATGACGCTGTCAAAGCGTGCTAATACTTGTCCGAAGATACGAATGAAAAGTCCTATGCCTGTTTTTGTGGTAAAGCTTTCGCTCGAAAGGACCTACTCAAGCGGCACGAACAGAATGGCAAGCACTTGGTCACTCCACCGTCCGACGAAACTCCACCTGCTCAGTCAATACAGACGGAGTGCAATGGCATTGAGATCGAGTCTTCGACTGCGACACCTGAACATTTGGGCAGAGGCCAGATGATGATGCTAGACGGGCACTTGCCTCAACAGTCAGCATACCCACTACCAGCATATGCCGGGGGGAGCAGAGCGCCAGACGCAACAGGTACTAATTCCACTCAAGAGTCGTTTCCTGCCCTTCTAATCTCGCTTTCTAGACCTATTTGCGCCCGATGCAGACTTTACGTATTCCAATGACTTTGGCGACTTCTTCAACTTCATCGATACCATGGGCTTAAATGCGGGACTAGATTTCTTGCACGACCCCGAATTCAACATGCACGATCCATCATTCTCGGGCGATGGATCATTGTACTCGACAGCCGAAGCGCTGCAAAAGCCGTCCCAGTCTCTAAATGCTACGGCAGCTGTACCTCCATCTCACCGAATCAGGCCTATGGAAGACGACTTTGATGAGCTGGGACCTGTTCCGTGTCCTTGGAGAGTCCATGAAGAGCAAAGGGCATCGATTGCTGCCGCATTGCTTCCGTTCCAGGATAAGCTTACAGGCTTCAAACTGCCGTCACGACTTATGCTTGGTCGCTACGTCACCGCGTTCTTCGAAGACTATCGGGATCATCTACCCATCATTCATCCTGCAACATCTACACCTTCACAATATTACAAGTATCCTGGACTGTTCTTGGCATTGACAGCTATCGGAGCCGTGTATAGATACGAGAACAAGACTGCCAGAGAGCTATTTCGAGCTGGTAAAGAGGTCGTTCTCGCGTCCTGGCAAGACGAAGACACGTCCCGGTTAGATGAACAGCATCTTTCCGATCAGTGGACCAAAAAGCTGCGCAATGTACAAGCAGCCTTGTTGCTCGACAAATTTGCGTTTTGTCAGTGCGACCTTCGCTCAGCGAAGGATACGTTGACCATACAAAGCTTACTTGCTGGCTATCTCCGCAGCAGCAGTTCCATAGCTACCTTCTCACCTGGGTTGGGTCGTGATAACTGGAATGAGTGGGTACTCCACGAGAGCTTTCGGAGAACACAGCTCGCGACCTTCTTTGTATTGAACATGCACACTGTCTTTTTCAACGCTCCGCCGATGGTCCTAAGTAGTCAGCTAGACGTCGATCTACCCTGCTCAACGGCTGAATGGATGGCACCTTCAGCGTGCGCGTGGGCCGATGTCAGATCGCGTTCGCTTGACAACGTCAGCTTCAGGGATGCTTTCCAAGCACTCTTCTCAGACTCACCCGCAGGAAAGGAGGTCAACTATTCACCATTTGCTAACCTCGTTATTGTTCATGCTCTAGTACAGCGTGTCTACCTAGCACGCCAGTTGCATAACAATCACCACGGCGCCCTTCGAGATGCCGACATGGACGAAATAGGGTAGGTTTTGATGAGAAAAGTATTTTTAGCAACACAGACTGACTCTACCAGACTAGCACTCAAACAATGGACTGCCATCTGGAAGCAGGCACCTGAATCTATACTCGACCCACTCAACCCTGACGGGTCCAATTCTCTTACTTCCACTGCATTCTTGGGACTGGCACGCATACGACTATACTCCAACTACACTTATTCGATGCGATTCGGCAGTTGGGATGCAAAGCAAATAGCAAGTAGCCTCTTCGAAGATGTGCTACCGGCACGCAGTAGCAACATGACATTGGCATTACTGCACTCAGTCCACGCTCTGAACCTTCTGGTCAAGTTTGGAATCAGGTACATCAGTCGTATCATGTTCGTTCGATGGGATAGTCAGAATCTGTTCTATTATCTCGAAGCAGCTGTCTTCTTGAGTAAGTGGCTAGAAGAACTCGCGAATACCCACCACGCAAATCACGCTGCCGGTAAGTGGTCCAATTTTTGGATCTTCTGGTTTACACTGACGATGAATTGGTGGTACAGAGGCAGAGCTCAAGGTCGTTGGGATTGTTGTACGCATCGTAGAAGAAGTGGCAGCATCTCTTGAGCCGTTCGAAAGCTTGGGCCATATCTATACGCTGAACGATCTGGACCACGGCGATCTACCTGCCATGCTGCATGTTCTCAGCTCGCAACTCGCTAGGTCCTGGGCATATGTCTTCAATACTAGCGGATCGCCTTGGCCCATCGTCCGGTTTCTCGGTAGCATTATCGACCACTACGCAGGCATGCTGGAAAAGCAGAACATGCTGCGCCGGACAGCATCGTCAACCGCCGATCAGGGCATGTATCGAGGCTCCTGATACTTCTTTTTCCAGACGCCTGCAATGGTGGTCTCTCCCACAAAGGTAGCTCTGACACCTGGAAGAGAAGAGATTCCGCCGTTTATGCAGACTCAACCGCGGGTTACCGGTGGAGAGGAAGATGCTGTTGCCGAGATAACAGCGTCTGCGTTTCCCATCGCGTTGTTGTCTGCTGCGTAAAGAATTGACGACCTGTCCTCGGAAATGCTAAGGGCAAAGCTGAGGCATACACATTGAAGGGATGATTACGCTCGCTCATCCCTAGATGGTCTTGAGGCTAGCGAATATGCCCAGGGTCGCATACGAGCGGCTGCAGATATTCCCGATGGATTGGCAGATGACTCTGAGTTCACAACAGTCTATAGTGCGCTAGTCTGGCGTTAATTTGACCGCTCCCAGTTCTGGATTCCCCTGCACGACCCGAAACTATACCGTTCAGCAGATTACCTTTTCGATAGTCTCGAACACAGCGTCTCGGCAAGGAAGAATATTCAGCTTGGAACTCAGTCACAGCAACAGTCTCTCCATCACGTTAAGGCAATCACAAAAGTCGGGGGAAATCCATGGTGTCACGTCTTGAGAGCACAGGAGCTCATGGAGGGCATCAGGTGACTTGACAAGGCAAACAATTAAGCAGATGGCTTAATGTTGCAAGACAGGGCTTTCCATTGCAGCTGCCAGCAGACACTACTTACGTATCGTGTATGACCGCGCTCCACCACGCCCTCCTAGACCATCAGTACCACATTTCTCGATTGGAGGCTATGAGGCAATCGACAGCAGCTCCTCGTGTGCGATTGTCAAAGAAGGCTTTCTTCTCTTTGTTGTTGGGAACAGGGAGACTGAGGAAGAGTGTATTATTGACAATAGCCAGGGCTCGAAACAGGGCTCTAATAACGATTCGCGAAGCTCATGCATAGAAGAATTCTTCTCGTCTCTTGACATGAATTTATCGAGGTACAAAAGTCATTGCATATCTTTACAAACCAGTTCAGTGCTTGTAAATAGCAGCTGGGCAATGAGAGTATTGATTGTATTTCCCTGGCTGCGAAATCTCGAGGGAGGTCATTGTAGAAAGCGATCGCAGTCGTATAACTCTACCGTTTCCGATAACAATATGCATTGCAGATGAGCATTTCGGTGGACCATGAACGCGCTATGTCGTCACATTTCAAGCTGAAAAACGCTAGCCACCGCCATGATCATCCTGTCAAAAAAAAAAAAAACGACTTAGAAGCAAAGCGACAATGATCTAGTGGTCAAGATACTGCAGTAACATGTCTCGCAAAAACGAGCTTGTATTGTTACCTTGCCCTGAACGGCTATACGTCCTCAGATGTCCCTAGCTCCAAGAGTATACAGAGATTGTGAATTTGGATTTCACTTGCCGCGTTCTCCCTCTACTTCTCGAGTATAGTCATTGGAGGGAACAGTGGATCTCGTCAACATTTTTGTTTCCAGGAGAGCTTGGTCACAGCCTATGATAGGCTTCGGAAATTACTCCCTTGAGTCACTTGCTGATGGCGCCACGCAAAGAGCGTATACGGATTACACAGGGGTGTTCAATATTTCTTTCGATCGCATCACTTTCTTTCCGCGTACATATTGTGTGAATGTATGTTGTGGAGATAGAGGCGAAGAGACGCGGCCGTCGAACAAGTCCTCATATCCGCTGACTAAGCAGAAATTTCCTCGGCGTTGCGCAACTTCACCTTGATGTTTTTGACACCACAACGCATCATAATTGCTCAGATTTCACCAAAATCTCACATCGTTCTCGAAACCGGAGTATCAACACTAAGCAATGCTCCGAGAAGTTCCTGGTACCCTTCCCTCTCCAACAATGTCTCCTTCACCACAACAACACACATCCGAACTCCACGACGACATTTTCGGCTCAGCACCAAACTCACCTACTCTTTCTCCTTTACAAAATGACGACGACAGCAATCTACAAATCCCATTACAAAGTCTCAACACGACGAATTCAGAACGTTCGGATATCCCTCGTCTACGTAGCACACACGTAACATCCGGCTACCGCGATGGCATATCCGTCTCAAAAGCCTCACACGTGCAATCTGGCTTCGACGAAGGCTTTTCACTGGGTGCTGTTATAGGGCAGAAAGCTGGGTTTTTGCTTGGTGTGCTTGAGGGTCTTGTGCGTGCTATCCAATCTTCTTCTGCTGTTTCTGCAGAGGTCAAGGAAGATGTTGTGGCGAAGTTTGTGGCGGCGAGAGGGGAGTTGGGGTTGCAGAGTTTGTTTGGGAGGGAGTGGTTTGGTGAGGATGGGATTTGGACGTTTGAGGTGGAGGGGGTGGAGGAGGAGGATGTGACGTTCAGGGATGTGGCGGATGCACATCCGGTGGTTGGGAAGTGGGTGGCGGAGGTTGAGGGCCTGAAGAGGAAGTTTGGGTTCGAGATCAAGGCGAGGGAGAGGGTGGAAGAGGGAGAAGACGAGGAGACAACGTCTTGAAAGGTATCGCTCTGCAATTCTTTTACAGGAGATCTCGTGGGTCTTCGTGTTTGAGTAACGAGGCTTGTGAGTACTACTGCAAGATGATACGAAACCAGAGCAACGCAAAAAGTGCCTCTTCCGGATCTTCGAGTCGGTTTTTGCTTCCACGAAGGTGCCTCTGAGCAGCTGCTACCAGAAAACAAAGATCGTCACGACATATGGCGCACGGCTCGTCCAAGCTCAACTCCGAACAGAATGGGCGTGCTACGATGACGATGCTAGATCATAGTCATGGTTGCACTAACACGCGAGTAAAGTTTGGATCTATTGCATACTTTCAGGTGCTGAAGGTTATCGCGCACAGCTGAATAGAGGCATCCAGGAGTCAATGACCGTCTCCTGCCCCTGCAAGGGCCTGAAGTGACCATGATCACGCTTCAATTGCTATAGCTACTATCCTGCGCCGTTGTTAAAATCAGACGGACTCAAGAAATAATCTTCTTAGGATCCTCGTCCACGGACTTTCGACCGTCTCTCATATACTTATGCGCATGAAGATGTTGTGTAGGTCCATGTGTTAGTGGTCATACTCTGGACGAAGAATATACTTCGATCGGACTGTGTATGCTGAATGCCCTCGTTCGCGTTCTGCTTACTTGTGCGCCTGTTCACACACTCGAGTAAAGTCTTCTAGTCTTCAAGTCGATCTTGGGTTATGATGACGATCTGGGTTGGCCCAAGTGCAGCTACCCAGCGTGACCCAATTGGGCAAGAGATTTCTATGTGGCAGCTCTTCCATTATAGCAAAACCTGGCTGTTGGTTGAGCTTGGTGTCGCGCAGGAAATACTCCCGATCGACTCTGTATCTGAACGATAAAGCAGGGTCCATCAGCTCGACACATGGTCGTCGACACTCGTTCAATAGCAGCTTGGCTTGTGACCACTCGCCTAAATTCGCAGTCTCGCTGGATATACTGGACGGTGAGCATTGCACCACATGATGAGTATCGATAAGATTGGGTGGCAACAACCAGTGGAAGTCCCATCCATGCACTTCTGCGCACCTCTCTTTGAGTTTGATACCGAAGATAGTCTGAGAAGAGCCGGCCAGAATGTCGACGAGGATCTTTGAGTCGACATCCGAGCGTAGCAGTTGCAGGTCGGAGCGATTATGCATGATGCGCTTGATCCGAAATATATACCAGGTGCGAGCCGTGACGTAGCGTACCGAGAACATGAAGAGCTCCAGCAAGTCTAGATATCATCGAGTCAGCAGAAGTACGTGCCATCACTTGGTATTATGCCAGTCGCTCAAGAGAAAGCAGAAGTCAATAATCAGTCGAGATCTCAGTAGCTTATTGCACTGAGAAAGGTCGAGACGGGGTTTCATGCTTACCAGGAGGTATACCAACTGCGATGCAGGGATCGAAAATCCAACTCTGCGCTCGAGCCCTCGCATCCTCAAGTTCGTTCGAATTCGGTCCTGTCTTGGACCAGGAGCTGAGTAGCTTGCCATGGTCTTTGCAGAGCGCCTTGAACAGACGCGCATCCCTGTCATTTGGCCTCTGCGCTTTAGGAATGTATCGGTGCAATCTCCAGTCGAATGCAATTCGCCAGATAACGTTGCGGGAAAGGAACATCGTCGCGCCCGAGGCCAATTTCGAGGAAGAATACGAGCGGGATTGTTCGGCATAAGGAGGTGGCGATATCTCAAATATCTTGTCTTTGTCGACAGCATCATTGGGGACACTCAGGGTCGGTGAATAGAGGGGTCGTTCGCGAGGTTCAGACATGCTGGTGTAGCCTTTGTTGGAAGAAATCACTGGGTGAACGAATATCGCAAGATTGTAGATGGATCGGGGTGAAGTAGGAGTGTTCGCGAATCACATGGTGAAGTTGAATGAGGCAGAAAGCGGTGACTCAAGCTTCGTAATTACCTAGCTCGGGCAGGGATCTCAGATGACGCACATCGTTGTTTCCGTCTCTAGTGGCTGACCCGCAGCCATCACAGGTGTAACAATGCGAGGCACAGTTATGTTGCATGTCATCGATACTGCTTAGCGCAGGGAGTTGAGATCGTGATGCGAATCCCAGTGTCCTTGGTGCAGATCTCACTTACATCGATGCGGACTGTAGAATGCTTGTGCCTTGTGACAGCTCGATTGTGTGGGTATCCCACACACGGAGAGATCTATCTACGACTTGCATCTCTACATTCGTACTGACAGTGCGTTTAGAGAATATCGATGCGGATCAGTTGTCCAGCATCTCTGCAACTCCAGCCCAGCATCTTCCCACAGTCTCTCTTGCTCTGCCTTGTCGAACTTGTGGCTACTGACAACATACAAGCCTTCTCCTCCCTTCAACTTCATGCCATCAATCTCCAAATCGTGCGCTGGAACAAGAAATTGATTATGACATCCTTGCTCAGCATCCCAAGTTCCTTGGACCCTCCAATCTTCGGGGCGGAATGCGTAATATCCCAGGAGTCTGTTCGCATGGTGCAAGACATTGGCGATAAAGCGATAGTTGCAGCCTTTTCGATCGTTGTAAGCGTGCCAGACTCTGTCGCTATCTTTGCAGCCATCGACTCCAACAATGAACATGGTTGTTTCGGTCGAGTCCTTCACGGCTTTGACGAATCCATTTAGGAATTTAGCAGCTTGCGACACTGGATAACTGCCGATGGTAGAACCAAGTGAGGATATACACTTCGGTCGCTCGGAGACCACGTTCAACCAGCCAAGACCGTCATCGTAGGTACCTAGCAGTCCATGACACCTCACGTACTCAAACGACGATGATGAGATATCCTTGAGTGTCCTCAGAAGTTCTGAATGGCTTAGGTCGAGAGCGTAGTAGTCGATTGGCCTGGTTTGTGCTTCTAGGGCGTCGAGTAGGATTTTGATCTTCCTGAGGCAACCACTCCCAAGTTCAAGTATGACTGATCCAGGCTTAATCTGGGTAGCGAGCTCAGTGCTATGTTTCTCCAAAAGATCAATTTCGCAGTTTGTGAGGTAGTACTCTGGCGAGTGAGTGATGGCTTCGAAGTGTTGCAAGCCCTTCTCGTCCCAAAGAAGCAGTGATGGAAACTGAGATGGCGTCGCCGCGAGGCATTGTTCGAGCTCTCTCTTTAGTGAGACGTCGTGTGTTGAGGAGCGAATGTCGATTATGTCGACATCATCCTTGTCGTGATATGAGTCTGCAGACATCTGAGGTGATAGTGATTGAGAAATATCGAAGTCGAGGCTGGCTGTTTGTTGTGCGAATACGAGGCGCGAATGTGATGTTGTTGGAAATTGGTGTTGTCAAAGCAAGAACAGAGCAAGTCGTCGAGAAAGTGAAAAAGACTCTGCTTTGCATCAAACTAGACCGCGAAGTCCAACACGGTGTGAAAGTCGGGCCAAACACGGAAAGGGTCATCTGGTGACATTTGTCGCTCGCACTTGCCATCTTCCTAATACAGTCGGAAAGACGTGAACAAAGAATTTCCGTCTGGACGAGTTCCAGATTCGGGCTCGAATGGACGCTTGATGGTGTTCCTTGCACCCTTTTTTTCACTCTCGAGCCACATCTAATGCGACTGCTGTCTTTTGCTGTCACCGATCCACTGCTAGAGCTCCCACCCAGCTTTCCAACCGCTCATGCAATGTCTAGATCCTCTTCAACAGTATCTCATGTTGACCTTCTCATAATTCGTGCTGGGCCTACAGGGTTGGCGGCTGCTGCTTGGGCAAGTCATTGCAAGCTCAATGCGAGAATCAATGACGAGAACAATGCGAGAGCAACAACAGACCGAGCGGACGGTCTACATTGTCGAATTCTCGAGATACTTGATAGCTTCGGCAGTCCGAGCATCGCCCGTGTAATCCTTGGCCAAGCATGTGTGATCAAGGAGATCAGTTCATGGGTATGCTGACAATGTATAGGGAGTCGGAGAGTCCCTGCTGACTGTCTCGTGCAGAATCCGAAACAAGGTTGCCTAAATCACATCAAGCGGTCCGAGACCATACGATCGGGCGAGGAAGATTTGCCCGGAAGTCGTTAATAATGATGCAGATGATGATGATATCTATAAAGAATATGGCATTGATAAAGACGAGCGAGCTTTGGTGGTTATGATGGACATGTCGGATACATTGGACCACTAAACGACGTTGCATCCGCAGGACGATACCTCGAAACAACCTTAGAGATCAAGACGATAAAAATTAAACAAAGTAAAAAAGACCTATACCGGAGATTCTACCCCCAACAGACTCGAAGTTTTAGGTGTGATTTAAGAAAAAATATTCTCATGTTGACTCGTAGACATCTTTATTTCGAGATGTTTGCTGCATACGAGATATCTGGGATATATCTTTGTTGACTTCCTGTGTCGGTGTCTTTGTATGAAAAATTTGGCAGTTATTGCTATTTCTATGCCAGTCGTGCTTTATTTGACTTGCTGTCAATCTGTCGTGTAACATGTGCATATAGAGACATGCACCTCCCTACGTGCAACTGACTCACGCTTGTAGCTGCAGCAAGGCACAGTCCTTTTCCAATTTCTAGCCTTGATCACCGAGATCACTGATCATAACTACTCCATGTAACAATAACTCCTCTCCACATTCAGTGCAAGGACAAAGATAAGAGCTGTAGAAAGGCAGAGTCACATTTCAGCACCATTGGCTGATGCAGGGAGAAGCTGACATCCGCCCTAAATCTTATAAAAGCAGAAGGCGTGATAGAAACCAGCCGCCTCCATTTCCTCCTTCGTACCAAGAAACCTGCCATCTCTGTCTTTTACACGCATACGTTCGCTCAACGGCCCTAATTCGTAATCGTCCTTTTCATCCTCCCATACCTCTGGAAAAGGCTTACGGTACATGAGTTCCAAGCCATACTCCTCGGCAAGCGCGCGGAAACCCTCCCACGGTACGACGAATTCGGGCACATCGACGGCTTCCTCGAGGTAGTAGAAGTATTTCCACCCGAAGGGGGGGCGGAAGACACCGTCAAAAGGCAGGGGTTGTGACTCTGGAAACTTGACCTTGTAGATTGAGTTTCCCCATTCCAAGGGTTCTTTTGGGATGGCTTTTGTGATGGGTTCTGGTTTCTCTTCTGTAGCGATTGCGTTGTCGATTGGTGCTTCCGGATTCCAGTCATCGTTATCGGCGGGTCCGTTTGCTGTAGGCTGCAAGCTCTTTTCAGGGTCCCATTCATCATCTTTGGCGTCATCGGCCACTTGGGGTGGGTCGAGAGGCTTTTCCGGATCCCAGTCTGCTTCGTCGGTTTGGAGATGAGGATCAAGACTCTGTTCGGGGTTCCATTCGTTGTCTTCAGTAGCAGCGCCTGCGGAGGGCTTCTCAGGGTCCCAATCATCATCATCGTCGTAATTTAGACCAGCTGGAGGAGAGTCTCCGTTCGTTGATTCCGAAGGCTTCACACCACCTTTCATGTGCTGTTCAATCTTCCTGCGGATAATATCCGAGTTTGGCATGACGCCGAGGAAGCGTCCACCTTTTTTCAGAGCACCAGCAACGTTCTTGAGCATTCCTCTAGCCTTTTCTTCGCTCTCGTAAGAATAATGCAAGCAGAACATCATCGAAACCACGTCGAATCCTCCTTGTGTGAAGCGAGCAGTGATAGCGCCAGTTGTGTCAGGTCCGGCATGTGGGTCGAAGCCAACCTCACGGACTATCGGGATGTGCGCTAGACTGACACCGAAGGCGTCTTGTGCGAAGAAGTGAGCCTCGAGTTGTTTTGCGTTCCTTGGTCCCCTCCTTCGTCGTTGCATCTCGAGATATCTGCCTCTTGCTTGCTCGATTGAAACATCGGCAGGGTCGACACCGACGTAAAGACGTGGAGTTTGAGGAGCTGACTGCCATTTTTGCAGATCACCACCTTTTCCACAACCCATGTCGAGAACGATAGGACGATGATCTCTATCGTCTGACGGTGAGAACTTCTGGATCATGCACGACTTGATCCAGTTGTTCAAGGAGCGCAGGCCTTGAATCTTCGACTCTGACCTCCTCCAATCTCTGCCTCTTTCTGGGACGGCATTGTAGTGAGCACTAACAATGTCTGTGGGCACAGTAGCTCTGTTTTGTTGTACCTGCTTGCGATCCTCCTCTTCACGCTGCAGTCTCTTCTGCTCAGCGGCTTGTCTGGCAGCAACGCTGATTCTAGAAGAAGCACCGGGGCGCTTTCGTGGGGGAGAGCGGGGAGGAGAGGGCGGGTCTGGGTCGTCGCGGCGGGTGCTGCTAGTGAGAGGGCTTCGTTGACGTTTTGGAGCTCTGCTCGAGGGAAGGTCGGCTTCTCTCATACGCTTGCGAGAAGGCTTCTGGTAGGAGTCCGACTCAGGAAGAGGAGATTCGGTGGGTGGACTGCGGCGTCCTCTGCTCGAGTCTTGAGGCTGACGAGGCATTGTGTCGTGTGTGAGCTCGAGGCTGTGGGCGAGTCTTGGTGTTTTGACGTGCTGTACACTTGATGAAGTGACCAGAAAGGGGAACAAGTTGTATGCAGAGGGTTATGCTATGCAGAGAGTAGGATTGGAGGGTTCGCGAAAGTGCACTCTTTAACGCTCGTTGGAAGGAAAGGGCGCCTCGTGAAATCGCCAAGATCTAGACCAGTCGAGGATCCACTTTTGGAAGGTGCAGAGAGAGCAGTATCCGTACTTCCCAAGATAGAGGGAGCTCAGGAGGTGCAACTGTAATCACTAGAATCTATCTAGATGCGATCATTCAAGAGGGAAGGCACGAGTGACGGGGCATCAACGAGTGAATTCATCGGGGCTCGGTGAAGCTGGCCGGCGTTGCTCGAACGCTCGGACCCCTTGGAGTCTGATTGGGGAGCTCCAGCATCATCATCATCGCCGTCGCCATCACCAACCATCACACCAAACACACGACCCTCTCCCAACTTCATCCACTCTCTCCGTCGTCATCATCCAATACTGCAAATATGGGTGACCCGCAGTACATGAAATTCCCCGATCTCAGACTAGCTCAGTCTGTCTTCACCCTCGCCTCGCCGTCGGCCACATCCACAGCGAAACAATCATCTCTCACAACCCTTCAAGATGCCATCCGAGAGCACAAGATGGCCCCTCTGTATCACTACCTCGCACATCCCCAGACTGGCAAGCTGAACGCTACTGGAGAATCTGGCTCGTCGCACAAGGCCTCATCATCGTCCGCACCGTCGCTCCGAAGAACCTCCAGCATCAACACGACCAGCATCATCGGCGTCCTCGGCGGTTTTAAGCAAACTGGCGGAGCTGACTTGCCATGGGACGAGAAGCTGTATGAGTCAATGAAGCGTGAGAACGAGGAAGAGTTGGCTGCTATCCAAAAGGAGGAGGACGAGGCTGCCGAGCGCGAGGGCGACACAGAGGTCAACACTGCTCGTGGCAAGCGCGCTGAGCTGTACGCTCGTATTGGCGACAAGGAGAAGGCGCTCGAAGCTTTCGAGAAGCTGTTAGAGAAGACGGGTATCCTGGCGTCCAAGATCGACATTGTTCTGGCCATTATTCGTATCGCTATGTTCTTCGACGACAAGGCTCTGGTCAAGAAGAGCGTTGATCGTTGCTCGGCTCTGGTCGAGTCTGGCGGTGATTGGGTATGGCGCAATTCATACTTCCGTCGACCATCAACCATAACTAACACGTCCCGTAGGACCGTCGCAACCGTCTGAAGGCCTACCAAGGACTCCACTTCATCACCATCCGCTCCCACGCTGCCGCTGCTCCTCTCCTCCTCGATTCCCTCAGCACCTTCACCGCTACTGAGCTCTGCTCGTATAGCAATCTGGTAGTCTACGCCGTCCTCGCTGGCAGTGTTGCTCTACCTCGTCGTGATTACAAGTCGCGTGTTGTCGATGCTCCCGAGATTCGCGCCATTGTTGGATCCGAAGACAGCAACGAGAGACTTGCCGGTCTCTCTGGCGCCGTGTCTGCACAACCCTCGGCTGGCACCGACCCCAGTGCCATGGACGTCGACACGACATCATCAGCCACACCAAAGCCCGCTGTCGTAAACCTCACCACCCTGAACTCTGGCTCCGCCGAGCAAGAAAAGGCCGAACCTGAAATCGACTTCTCTTCTCTCGCCCTCATGATTCGCTCCCTCTACTCTGGCCACTATCAAAACTTTTTCCAGTCACTCAGCACAGTCGAGACACAGTTCCTCGCACAAGACCGCTACTTGTACGAACACCGTCGCTGGTTCGTCAAGGAGATGCGTCTTCGTGCCTACGCTCAGCTTCTACAAAGTTACAAGGTTGTGGGTCTAGAGAGTATGGCTCAGAGCTTTGGTGTTAGTGTTGATTGGCTGGACCGTGACTTGGCTCCTTTCATTGCCAGTCAGCGTCTACCCTGCACCATTGATCGTGTCAAGGGCGTTATTGAGACACAACGTGCTGGCGACAAGAACAAGCAGTAAGTTCTTCTTGACCTCCGGTTTTACTATCACAATACTAACGACATATCAGATACACCGACGTGGTCAAGCAGGGCGACCAGCTCATCACAAAGTTGCAAAAGTACGGTCAAGTTGTCAGACTGCGTGGAAGCGAGAGAACTTGATTGTTGGGTCGGTCGAGGGGACGGAATCATAATGCATTGATGGAACACCATAAGGAAAGAGGGGTATGACATGTACCATATAGACAGGACTGATGATGGAAAGTCCTCTGTTATAAGGAGGCAAATGAATTAGTGCTTCTAATTCGCGACACCTCAATCAAGTGCTGATGCTTTGGTCCAATTGACCTTTCGATGCGCGAGGTACTGTGACACTTGTAGCTGACTCAAGGCACAGTCCTTTTCAGGCTTGCAGCGGTATCGTTGGGGTACGTGTTTCAATTGACTGCCTGTGCCAGTGCTACTTGAGCATATGCCGGTGGACTCATGATTGCATGCAGAAACAAATGCTGGGTAGGTGGACAGGGTGACCAGAGTGACAGCAAGCCGTGTTTCGGTCGGCGCACCTTCCCCGCAAAGACCCCCGAGGCGCGACTTCATCATTGGCGGTCACCCAAGTCAATTGCAATTACATAGCTACACACAGCATATCCAATCATGTCATCAACACAGATTGCCTCCTCCTTCGTCGAGGACGCTCCCCCAGGCGAGGTAACAGAATTGGGATGTTAAAGTGCAAGTCACACTAGCTAACTCCTGATAGCTGTCCAATGTCATCACCGGTACATACATGGCACCCTCCCGACTACCCATCAATCTCGCTCACAAACCACCATAGACATCAAGGCTCTGACCCCATCTGAGTCCAATTTGGTCTCTCAACTCTCCCCTGCCATCACCAAATACCACGAGACGCAATTCAGCACAGTCAAGCTGCCGGGCAGCAGCAGCAGCGTTCTGGTCAGCCCGTACAATAGCTTGGGCAACAACCGCTACTATGACAGCGCTAGCAACACAGCCTTCGACTTCGATCCCGTCGAGCAAAAAGCCACCAACGCACAAAGTCACTCCCTCGACAGCCAGAACGCCGATCAGATCCAGAAGCTGTACAAAGGTCTCCGTGCCCACGCCGATGAACACTACCCAGCTGCCACTGTCGGGGTCTTTCCCGCCGAGAGCGACAGCAAGATTGCCCTTGTACTCGTGAGCAACAAGTACAGCCCCAACAACTTCTGGTACGCTTCCTCCCACAATCTTACTTCTGATCAAACTAAGCTAAGATACACCACGCAGGAACGGTCGCTGGCGCGCGCACTACCTCTTCTCCCCCACAAGCTCATCTCTCTCCGGCGCCATCAACATTGACGTCCACTACTTCGAAGACGGCAATGTCCGCCTGCAAACATCCAAACCCATCTCCATCTCCAACGCCAGCGATGCCGTTCGCGACATCGCAAAGGCCGAAAAGACCTATCAGACAGAGGTCAACCAGGCTTTCACAAAACTCAACGAGGGTGCTTTCAAGGGCCTGCGAAGACAGCTTCCCGTTACTCGCCAGAAGGTCGAGTGGGAAAAGATCAGTGGCTACAGGGTAACTTGTACATTCAGGACGCGTGCATGTGACGAGATTGCTGACTTGTGCATAGCTGGGCCAAGATATCGGTGGTGGTCGCTCAAGATAGATGGGTACAAAACCATAGCCACTCAGAATTTGACATCATCATGTCTGCATGTTTTCCTGTCAGCGGGAAGCTGCGTTTGCTCAGTTCAAAGATCCCGTGCCTAAGCTCTCAGAACCTGGCGCCTTCAATGAGGCTCGATTTGAACACCCCCCCCCCCCCCCCCCAAACGTGAGGTTGCTACCACAGCAAAGCATTCAAGCAGGCAAGTCTCCTGTACCTTTTATTTGAAAGAGATGACAAAGCTAAATGACCTGCCACAATATCTTCCCGTGCATCGCCAAAAGTCTGCGATAGAATTGCTGGCGTCACAAAGTCTACGTGATTTATCACGCATCCGAGACGGCTCCAGGCGTCCTTTCCGAACCCAAACACGGCAAGAGCACGAGCTCTAGGCTGGTAGTTTCCTAACTCATAGCTTGGAGCTGTCTGTTTGCAGTCATAGCTCCCTCCTTCACAGCAGATATCCTGGTCTTTTCTGCTGCTCTTCTCCCACTTGTTCCTTCCCTTGTCCTCTTCTCCGGTCTTTGCTTCTGCTTTGTTGCTTCTCTGTTTTTGTGTTTGCTGTTAATTGCATGATGTTATTGTGAGTAGGAGTCTTTTTCTTTTGTCCTTTCCTATACTCTTTGTCTTTGAGTTTGTCTTTCCTTTTGGGTGTGCTTTTGCTTGTGATGTTCTAGCCCCTTTGTCCTTCGTTCGTATACATAGTGGGTCGCAGGTTTTTCCACAACACCAGAAGAACTCCAGCGTGTTTGTTGTCTGCTGTCTCTTTTGTCTTTTTATCTCCTCTACGTTGTGTTGTTTCCTAGATTCTTGCTGTCTCTTTTGCTTGGTATATAAGAAGCAAGAGTTTGACTTTCTGTTCCTCGTCATCCAGCCTACTCAGCCAACGGAGGCGGCCGTTGTCTCTTTCGCTTTCCATCTTCTCAAGGATCTCTGCCCGACATGTCTTCTTCTATCTATGATGACGTCCGTGCCAGCATTCTCGCAGCCTGGCCTCAGCGAAAAACGTTCTGCTATTCCAATTGTCTATATACGACTTTGCCTGGTCATCTTCTTGATGATGCTCGACACATCAAACGTCGCAACAGCCATCAATCTTGTCACGCCACAGTACCACGTCTCTCGAGGATGTCGGTCGGTATGGCAGCGTGTGCTTGGCTCGGCCAGCTGTGCTCTACAGCATCCCTTGCAGGCACAGATATGCCAGGAATTTTAGCCACGAATGGACCTTTCTTTGCCCTGTTTAGATCCAAGTCAGGAGGGAGAGAAGAAGAACACGAAGAAGGAGGCTCAGAACAAAGCGATCGAGAAGTACAAGGACAAGCATCAGGCAAACGATCTACGCAAGCGCATCATTTCCGGACTACGCGCGGTCGCTACAGACACCACTCACGCAAAGGCTAAAGGCGACTACCATGTCAGCATCGAAAATCTCGCCTACATCGACGACTCCCTGTTCGAACTCGAATCCCTCGTCTGCGGTGAAGCCTCATCCTTTTCAACAAGCTCCCGCGCCGGAAAACAACCTCACCCTGGTCATAGTGAGGAGCATCTTGCTCGCATGTGTCGAGCCAGATGCATGGTTCCTAGTCTCAACGGCGGGTTCAGACCGGGTGCCCCCAGAGCCGACTACAACAATCGAGTATGCTGCCAACCCTGCCCCTAATGTTCCCGGAGCTTTCAATGTCGAATCGTGGGCTTTCGCTCATGTCGTGAACGAGACATTATCATTGTCCTCACGCACGTGTACATTGCGTCTCCACAGACCGCTTCTTGTGCAAGTCCTCCGAGCAAGATGCCACCCAAGAAAGGCCGTCAAGTACGACTTCTACACTCCACCAACTCTGGACTTGTTGATATATTGGCTGTCTCCCTTGGTACAAAACTTTCCAGCTTGGATGTAGAGTCGGAGGCCTTTTGCTAATCGCTGCCATAATCTACCTGTGGCCGAAGCAGAGATGCCGTCGTCAGTATGAGTCGTCATCTCCATGTCACTTTGCTCTGAGCTGTTCTTTCTTTAGCGAGAATCTTTCCTTTCGCTCGTCTTGCGTTTTGTCACTTTGTGTTGCTTGACCTACATGCGCGGCATTCTGGAGTTCTGCCACTCCTCATTACGGGGTCAAGAGTCATCTGTGGCTTTACGCCGTACCTCTGGTCTCCCGCTACCTGCCTGCTACAGTCTCTCTGATCGCCTTCGCGTCTTACTTCTTGAATGAAACGCCCTGAGCGTTTTGCCAGCCCTAGAAGCCCCGCATGTTTCATCTCTGCAAGGCGTGGCTCAGATCCTCCTGGAAACCAAAATGCCATTTTTCTGGCTGTCGCTAGAGTATTGACGCGATTCCCTGGGCTCATCAGTGAATCTGACACGATCGGACGCTGGAGGCACCCTCACCCAGAGACCTCACGATTCCCCTCTGACATAAGGGAGAGTTTGAAGAAATGGCTTCTAAACAAGGCAGAACGCCTTGCTGGCCTTCCTGGATATATATGCTGGAGTGGTGAAGCTGATGAGGTCGTCAGAGCCATCGCACATGCAAGCCGTCGTCACCAGAATCTATGCCTCGCTCGTGGAGTGACTGCAGTCCATGGATCCTCTCTGAATCTCACGTTCTTCTCTTGCCACAATTTCCTACGCTCCAAAATCTGGACCCGTCCAAGGCATGAAGGGTCATCGGTAAAGCGCGCACGAAATGAAAGAGAGCGTCCATCTTACCCTCGACTGTGGCTTTGTGAAAGATTTGCTGCGGTACAATACCATGCCAGCCTACACCACTCAGACACTAGCTCGAGCGACTCTGCCAGCCTGCACGACAGTAACGATGGATGCAGGATACAGCCAGTCTCTTTTGAATCTGCAACGAGCGTGGAGACAACTCCGACCCATCTCTCCCCGCAGGCGGTCGCCGATGAGGTCCTGGGTGCCTCAACAACCATCTCAGGAAAGCGAGACATAGAAGCATTAGTTGAAAGTGGTAAACAGTCATCCGAACTGGTGCATGAGAGTCTCATGATAAGACTCAAGCAGCCACCGCAGGCTCCACAGCTATATGTCTCAGCCCAAGAAGAGCAGAGACGTCATGGTGTTCCTTATGGAAGAAGCGAAGAGTCCAACAACCACCCTGTCTACCATCGCTTCATCCTCAAACTCTACCCAACGGACGGTGGAGAGACATTAGCAGTGTCTATTTACGCGACCGAACTCGGCAAGGGTATTGAGATAATAACTACCTCTGGTCCATCCTGCTGGGGTGTTATCATTCGTCCATGTATCTGCGTGTCTTGCAGCTACAAAGCCATGTGTTTGTGGACTGGATATACCCGACGAGCTGTTGCTCATGACCTGCACTCATCTCGCTGGCAGCGACATCCGTTGCCAGCATTGCCGCGATGGCCACCGCAAGTGCTTCCCCATCCCCAATGTTCACCTCAATCTACGACTTGTTGACAAGCGCATACACTCTATCAGACGTCCAGCCCTCAGACTTGTCTACTTCTCGGAGAGAGTCATCGACGTGTCTCTTCAAGATTGTCAGCAGCTATGCTCTCTGAGTGTTGGTCCTTACGCCCACCACCTCCCACCGCTGAGATGGTCAACCAGTACCACGCCAGCATCGCGTCTGTGGTGGTATCTGAGATGTCCGCCAACTCAACCACAGAGCTGGATCCTGGAGCTACAGAATCAGCTCCGAGTAATTTCTCGATTCAGCAGAGCTCGCTGAGTATGCTGGAACAAAGGCGCGCTGTCAGCACGAGGAAGTAGACAACATCATCTATGACACGCAGACCAGATCCTGCTGCAGATCGCCCAAGACCATTCCATTGCTGGTCACTACCATCCAGGTATGCCAGCTGGCGCATCATCCGTCCTCGAAACGATCTCGAAAAGACAGGCAAAATCAGCACTATCCCTTTTGAGCGGGTTCAGTGTTCGTCGGCCAACGAGTTGCCGAGATATAAAGCCAGCAAAGTTGGTCTTCTTGTCAAAGATCGTCTGGAGAGTCACACACGTCTTGATGTGACCTGCAGCCTAAACACATCCATTGAGATGACACTCGGTAGCTATTCAGGCGCAGACATGACCTCTGGCAGCTTGATCAAGCATGTCAAGTACAGATCTAACTCCTACCAGCCTGCTTGAGGCATTCAAAGATCTGGAAGGTCTTCTCAGACTGCCTCAAACCTCAAAAGCTACACATATCTCATCCGAGCCCTACTTATGAATTTGGGCATCTGCGGCAAAAGATCGTTTCGCTTATGGTGTTAGGAAACTGACCTAGAGATCTGTATTGTCAACCGGACCAGGGACAGAGCTTTAGTCAGTCCGCTCAAGGACTTTACTGGACCGTTGCCGCGCTCTAGCCGGCAATATCCGCGAGAAGGCAGAGTTGCTCGATCATGGAGAGGCTCTGAGTGCTCGGAAACCAGTCCAACCTCTGTCGAGTCAGCCAGCGGCGACCGAATCCATGTCACTCTGGCCACAGACACTGGCACTTTCATCTTTGAAATCATCGTGATCAGCGATGCACATGTTGCTGCGCAGTCCTGTTCGCCGAATACATTTCTGTTGCTTACCCCAATCAGCTGAGAATTCGGACGGAAAGTCAAGGTTCATCCCCATTTCTTTTTCAGGGTCGAAGATTGTGGCAAAGCTGCTCTGAGAAATCTGATGTTTCCATACTGGATATTGAGAAGCCTACAAGAGGATGTCGCAGTGGCGTAATCAAGCAAGTCGCTTGCTCTGACCTCATCCTACGTTGTGCGCTTTACCCTCTTCGCTACAGGGCTAAGAAGCCTTCCGAGACTAGCTTGTCAGACTCGAACAGGGCATAGCTCAGAGAGAGACCGACAATCAGAACCCAACCAACAATGACAAAGAGCTATTGAAGTGGTGAACCATGAGTGATCATCCCGCCAACTTTGTCTCGACCGTTCGTGACCACATCGTTTGGAAGATCATCGTCTGCTATTGGGCGCTCTGCTGTAAGGGTCGCGCCGCTGCCTGGAAGGTTAACGACATTGCTGGTGTCATGTTCAACCAGCAAGAAGTTGACTCAGGCACAACATTAACATTTTCGCCATCACCAGCCTTAACATTGGGCACGCACTGGAGAACTTATTCATTCCTCGATATTTACTTAGGCGCTCCTGCAGCTCCAGTAGACCCATCGCTCTAGATGTGGTCTGCAGAGCAAGGGCCCAACTCCTCCTGGGAAGACTCAGCATCAAATCATGGTATCCAAGATCATTGTGAATGTTGGAAATCTTGCTTTTACCAACGATGGCGGCACACTTGGTGACATTCCGTTGCTTGACTTCACCAAGTGCCCAAAGTCCGCCTGCAACGCCGCCTCCGCCGAGCTAATCAACCCTGTGGCTGCTGATGGCTCCAAGACTACCACCAGTGGATCAAGAACCCAACATTCCTAACTTGACTAACAGCGTGGGCGACGCTCTTTCTAGAGCTATGTTCGAGAAAGCATATCCGCTGGCTTTGTGGATTTTTATCTTCCTGGCACTACGCTTGAGTGGTTCTCCGAGCACAGAGATACTAAGGGTTAAACTTCCGTAGCAAGACTAGTCCGAAGCTATCAACGCAAACCACGATTGGCCTCTTCTGATCTCTCATCTTTCTGTTATTTATATACCTCGCCGTATGAGAATGTGGATGGAGCTCCGATGGAATCAATAATCGACCATGTAGGTAAGGTTGTCAGTAACGAAGAGGCAGACCTTCCCGGGTCTAGATTCTACGAGCAGGACAGAGCCAATTGTTGCTTCTGCCTGGCTGGATCCGGTCTGCTGAAGTCACTCATTGGCTATCATCCGGAACATTGTCACTGCCACGGCCGATGAGGCCATCCCTGCCAGGGTACAAACAGCGATACTCTCAGTTGGGGGCCTGGGAAACTTACAGAGTTCAGACTGAGGTTTTTGGGGTGACCCCGAACTCAACTCGACCATACTTGTTTCCCTCAACAACTTAACCCTGACAAAGCTCAGCTTGGGCGTTGGTTAGGATGACGCACCTACCGAGTGCTATATATCGCCAATCACCATATATTTGATCAGAGTAGCATGGGCAGATTCTGTCTCGGATCTACCCGCTCGATTTGTTCTGAAGTCAACTCTGGTTGATCGAGCAAGCCTCCCAAGCGCCTGAATCCGCGAGTGAGCAGCCAAATCGATGTGATCTCACAACATTATACGCGGTAATACTAGCAAATGTCTGTCTGGGCCTTCAGCTCGTTGATTGTGGTTCTAATAAATCTTGGACAGACTTCTAGTCTCTTCTCCCTGATAATGGACAAGAAAATGTCGACGCCACGAGTGTCGCAAGGTGTTCGGCGCGCATGTTATCTTGGTGAAGTTTTGGTCAGATGGGTTTCTCGCCCAGCTTGGAGTAGCAAAGAGATGAAGGTAGACCAGTAAAAGGGACTGGTTACCTGTGAGGGCAAGAAATGCTCAAATTGCGCCGAGACGGGCCATAGTATCTTCGATTGCACAGCGCTCTTGGTGGTCGCCTTTGGAGAATGATTAAAGCCTAAACTAGCCTCTCTTAATGTCAAAGGCCTCTCCAATCCTGGCTGACTCTCAAGCTAACGCTGCCGTTGACATCGACAAGAAACTCTTGCGATTCCTTAGCATGCACGACGCCCCAGCTAACTTCATCACAGCTAAGTTCATGACAGACATTGAGCCCCACCTTGCTTGGAGAATCGTTCTTTGTCACTGGACCGCTGTGTGTCTCAAGTAACTACTTCGACGCAAAACATAAGCTTCAGCAAAGATGATTGATCCTCGCTGAAGAGTTCCCTCCAATTTTCACAGCTACAGAACCTCGTCTACGGCATTGTAGCCTATTAAAGTATTCAAGTTTCGAGTAGACAAGAGTATGGCGACAATTTGCCGCGCATTTCTTCTACCGTGCAGTTCACACACTTCAGAACATGGCATGTGATGTATCCATATTGAGCTAGTGATCCCGATCTGGTGTTATTCATGGGACCTTTTGTACTTAGCAGACTGGGGGGCATCAACGACAATGAGCTATAGCAAGGCATAGATGCATCTTTCAACGATCTACCTAACACAAAGAGTCGTTAGAACTCTCTATCCCCGTGCCATCATTGTAGAACTACAAACGTGACAGTATATTGCACACGGGAAGGTCGTAGTATACTCGAATCACTGGAAAGGTAGTTTGCCTTGCCGGAATAACCTGAGTTGTGTGTGTTCAAGCTCCTCGGCTCCACATCCTCCATGTGACGTCTGGTAAACTACGAGCACTTCTCGACGACTTGGTGTTGACTTTCTTGACAATACCGGAACATATCTTCTGATTACACAACCTCTAAGCACGTCAATTGATGACCGGTCTCCTAAAAGCGTAGATATTTGTAGAGACCATGCCATCCTTCCTCCTCTTTTGTATGGCCCAAATACCCTTGTCGGTGAGTAACCTGAAATTCTGAATGCCCATCATGAAACACTAGTGACTATAGCTAACTATCTCTAGACCATCAACACGTTTCTACAATTGCCAGGGCATAACTTCTTCTCTCTCGTCCGAGATACGTCTCAGTCGACTTCCGACCCCATCGCCACTTCACCGCCAGTGGATGGTTTCACTAGCGCCTTTATGAACACCGACCAGATTCGCGACTATCTCTCCAATCCTAATGCACCAATGATAGGCGACCTCGAACCCTGTCAATACGCATATCTAGACGAGCGCGGTGCTAGAGATTATACGGTCGTCTTGGCACACTCATACAAAGCTCTAGAGATGCAAGACCCAACTACCATGACCGAAGACGAGTTGGCGCAGTGGGATACTGAGCTTGAGGAGCGAGCAGATGAACCTGATGATATGTGGCGTGAGTGGCGCGTCAAGTTTAAGGATGCAGAGCGGCTATCGACTATCCTCTCTCTCGAGAGTGACTTCACTGTCAAGTTATACGATGATGATTTCTTGGCAGCTCACGTTGCTGCTGAGGGTATCTTACAGTTGGAGACTGCGTGGGCGGCGTTCGTTGCTGCCAGCTCTTCGGCTGGAGAATAATATCTGCATATGACAATGTGGGATGTTATGCGTGGGAAGAATGTGTGGCTAGAGATTGTCTTACATAAGCATAATAGGTCAAGCGATCTTTATGTATCAATGCTCAAGCTCTCACATATTGACTAAGACACATCGTCAAGATCAAGCCCCCACCAAACATGCCTCCAGGTAGCTTTGCACTGTCCTGATCGCAGATAGACGACAGAGGACACCCACGTATCCGTCAGGTCGAATGACAGCAATAGCACCTTCATCTCTAGCGATACCGTAAGTCTCGTAGGCATCTTCTTTCCTTGCCAATCCGTATGTTCGCATCTCTGCGAGTCGCTTGACATCCGATGGAAGCTGCGTCCACTCGAATCTCTCCTTGATAGGATGCAGGACCGCAAAATCGATTGAACCAGCAGGATGTTCATCCACCATGGTGGCACATGCTCTCAGCGCTTTCTGAGATAGACCGTCGCTCTTGAGAAGATTTGTACTGGTGAGTACGAGTATGCGGTAGCGACCGTTTGACGGGAGTTCTGTGGCAGTGCGAGTCAGCACAAACGATCCAATAGACAAAGCAAGCACGATACTCACCATCGTGCAGCTGACGAGTGGTGTTGTCAGCATATCGCTTGAGCTCAACATTCAAGAACCTCCGACCTGCGGTGAGTGCACCGTAGAGTGGATCTCCTTCCGCGGCTAGCATACCCTCTGATTCTTTCGCTGACTTGACAAGTTTGTTAGACTTGTATTCAAGACCACATCCACTCGTGAAACCACTTCCGTCACGGAACACCTTGAGGAACTCATCATGTGTAAGTCCTGCTTCTGAATCACCGGATCCAATCTTGCCTGAGAACATGTGAGAGAATTTCGCATCGAACTCAATGAGTTGACGAGCAGTATCCACACGCTCCAGATCGAAAGTCTCGAGAACCTGATCAGCTTGCTTTTCTGATTGTGGTGACAAGCCAAGAATGGAATGAGCAAGCTTCCAAGATAGATTGTACGAGTCCATCATCGAGACATTCATGCCTTGACCTGCTTTGGGGCTATGCGTGTGGCATGCTAATCTATGGTCAGCCATAGTCCTCCAGATAAACCCCGGGTCTTCACTTACCATCTCCGACAATGAACACTCTATCAACACCATCTGGCGTCCTCGAAGAAAATTTCGAACTCATTCTTTGACCAATCTGATATGCAGCATACCAATCAGGCGCAGTACCCTCCTTGATCTTGATGCTGTACGGTGCAAACACTGCGTTAGCTTGCTGGAAGATATAGTCCAAAGTGACCTCAGCACGCTTCTTCTTGCTTGAGTTCTTCTTTTCATCTTCGGGCGTTGTTGTGCGGTCTGCCTTGGCATCAACATCACCAGGTACCTGAACATAGAGACGTGTAAGGAATTCGCCCGTTGCAATCTGCTCTCTCGGAATGACCATGATAGAGCCAGACTCGGAATGCACAGCGGAACGTTTACGGATGTCTGGGAAATCGGTGTCGGCTACGAAATCGCAAACGCCCCAAATATGGTCAGATGTCTCTCCTTCTAAGGACAATCCCATAGACTTTCGCACTTTCGAATGTGCACCGTCGCCTCCGACTAGATATTTCGTGCGCACCGATCCTGGGACCCGACTGCCATCTTCAATCTCATGTTCATAGTTGACCAAGATGGGATAGTCCGGGTAATTGACCGTGTCGACTGTATAATCCAAGAAGTGATGTGATCTCCTGATGGTGTCCCTCGGAGCATAAACATCCAAGTTTTCCTGTAGGATCCTCTCAATACGACCCTGATGGATTGTTACCTCGAATGGAAATCTTGCCGGTACATTCACGTCGGGCACAAAAGAAGTCCGCTCGATACCACCCTTTGAATTTCCATTGGCGCCTTCAACCTGAGCTATCGGGTTCCAGAAAGCTACTTCTTCCATATGACAGCCATCCGCAATGATCTCCGAAGCGATGCCCAGGCTTTGAAACACTTCAAGAGTACGAGGCTGGAGCCCATCCGCTTGACCCGCTTTCAAAGTGCCTGGCTTAGAGTCTAGGCAGAGAAGGGATGATCCCGAGATACCATATCTGGCAAGCAGCAACGTGAGGAAGAGACCACTTGGCCCAGCCTGGAATTACTTATTGGTGATGAGCCTTCAATAACTTGGAATGGGAAACTTACTCCAATAACAACGACTTCACGTTCCTCGCCAGTGATAGACACTTTGGGTGAGAGTCGTGGTAATGGCAATGCCCGTGACGGGAGGATTCTCAAATCGCGGTGCGCTGTAGCGGTCTCTTCGAAGACAGGCATTGTGGTATTGTCGCGCGGAGATTGCCTGAGGTCAAACAGGACAGATTTGATAAGTAGATGTAAGAGTATTCAGATCACTGTATAAAGACTTTCCATAGACATACTCGACGTGTGAAACAAGAACGAGATCTTGACGACGACAACAACTGGCCAAGCTTCCGCGCCGGAAATTTTGAGTTCAAGAAGGCGGGGAAGTTTACCCATCTTCCGAGATCTCTTCCGGGCTTCTTCATTTGAGCGAATGCGAGCCAGCGCGTAGTAGCTGACACACCGATTGGGCTGGACCTGAGGATACAGGAAGACTTCAGGCGTTAGTGAATTCAACCATCTCCAGCATACCCAGGTAATTCTCTCCAGATCGGAGTGACGCAAGTGCTCGACAAGAGGCGCCAAACCCTACCTGGACCGTGCGTACATCGCCGTCGAATCTTCCGAGCAGGTTTCCTCAAGCGCGTTCACCGCTAACAATCTTAGAAGTGATGCTGGAATACGGAGTCTGTGTGGGATCAGGGCGAAGATGACCGAATACCCAGATCGCGAAATGTTGGATACGTCCCCCAAAAGTCGCACCCTGGGGCCCCGTAATCTGCCCCGGGCGTCACATGCTTGTCAGCGATGCCGGACGAAAAAGGGAAGGTGCAATCAACAACGACCTTGCTCAACTTGTGTTCGTACCAACTCAGCTTGTATTTACGGAGAGCGAAGGAAAACGAACAAGAACAGAGACGACCGCTCAAACGATGACACCCTCCAGCATGAGATAATTGAACGATCTTGGTCTTTGGTTAGTGGACAAGCCGAAACCGCGCTTGACACCAACGACAATACGTTCGACAATATTCCTAGCTCCGTAACTCCTAATGTGAACATTGATTCTGTGCGATCAGGTATGACCTCCGTCCCAGCCAGATTATGATCGCAGGCTGATTCTCAAACAGAGGAAACTTTTGCCTCGAATGATCGCGATGTAGTAGGCGAAGTTAACCAGCGAACACAAGGAACAGAATTCTACGGCACGTCGTCGAACTATGTGCTGCTCAATCAGCTCTTCTCCCATGTGCGACAGCAGAGTCAAGCCAGACATGTTTCGGCGCTAGACACCTCAAGCCGTCCAGCGACGACGATTGCAGGACAAAACCAACACGCGTCATCTGCACGAATCTCGCTTGTGAACTTGTTGGCCAATGACGACGAGCTGTTACCACCGTCCAGAGAGAAGTCACCATTGCAAAGCTCCTCTTCTGCAAATCAGTCTTCCGCCCCAATGGCTCTGACAAGTGTCTCAGGAGAACGCAGCCATACCTCGAATATTACTGTGCCTGCACTTACCCAACGTACAGCCGAAAGACGGCTAGAGGAAGCGCTCGTACGCAGCTTCATGCACAATCTTCATTATTTGCATCCCATGATCGACAATGATACGTTCAACGCCCGATACGAAGCTCATATGGCAGAGCATAATAGTCGACATGAGAGATCGCCCAGTCTCAGGCACTTTTTCGCTCTTTACAATATCATTGTTGCTGTCGGAGCACTTGTGGCCGGATCGGACTTCCACGAAGAATTTGGCCGTGAGATCAGGGCAGTGATGCAGAACAAGAACGCCACACGAGGGCTGGAAAAGGCACCGCTCCAAGGCCTCTCAAGGCATTACTTCCAGAGGTCACGGAGCTTACTCGGCGATGTGTTTGAGGCCTGTTCTCTGGAAAGTGCGCAGACACTCTTCTTAATGGTAAGTCTCCAAAAGCAACAAACCATCAGTGCTGAAGCTGACTCTCAACAGTCTCTTTATTGCCAAAATTCGTTAAAGCCACATGCGTGCTATATGTATTGTGGTATGGCTGTTCGAACAGCTCTAGCTATAGGGCTGCCGTCTCAGTCTATGTCTAACTCGCCCGATGCTTGTAAAGCCGCGCGAAGAACATGGTGGTAAGCGACAATCGCCCAGACCCCGAGGCTATATGCTCACTGATCAATCTCCAGGTGTATCTACTCCCATGAGATGTAAGTCAAACGCTGTCCTTGACCCAGTCATGATTGATTGATATGATACAGAGATATGTGCTGCTCCGCTGGGCGCTTTGATAGCCTTGGAAAACCTCGGAAGTATCCTATTCCATTACCTCGGATCAAGGTCAGTACAGTCACAACCCCGTTTTGCGTGCGATACCCTGTCATGTGTAGCTGTCTTAAAGCTTTTGAACTCAGAGCAATATCGCCGAGATGTGGCATGTCCTCAGCTCTCTGCACCAGTCTCGCTGAATTAGAATACTCTAATGCAATCATTGAGAGTGAGAGTGACGAACTTCAGCACCTCGAGAGTCTTGACGCGCACTCTGCTGACAAATCACAAGTCTTTAGACATAGATGCGTCCACGGACGCTCCAGATCTTGAGGGTCGTAGCATATCTATGATCAACGTGATGGTCGACTTCGCGGTAGTCCTTCGACGTATCTCCAAAGAAATCTACCATTGTCAGAGGGATACAACCATCTCCGAGAAATCTTCCTCTGCTCTCCATCTAGACACGCTTCTTGATGAATGGAAGCGCAATCTTCCACCATGGCACAACTTCGATGCTGTCAGTTTCAGAGAGCCCGAATGGGCCGCAAAGCAGAAGCTGGTCCTTCAGCTGCGCTATCTGAATGCTCGTGTTATTTTGCATCGTCCCTTCATGTCGGACACAGCTGCGCATGAGCTTCCGACCAGAGACAAGCATATTGGTCTATGTCTAGACGCCGCTCGCAACACAATACAAGTGCTATACGACTCATACGCAAACAAGCACTACTTCCGAACTTGGTGGTACAATTCGACTTACACGCTGTATGCTGGCATGATCCTGCTTTACATTGTCATGCTTGGAAATGATACTATGACGCACGACAGCCTACTCGAAGATGTGAAGAAGAGCCGAGACATTTTGAGGTCCATGGAAGAAGCAAGCGTTGCTCGCCGTAGTGCTGATTTACTGAGTGAAGTTTTGGAAGTCGCTACTGCGTACATGCATCTGAAGCAGGGTCAAGGGACCCATCAACCTGGTGTCAACCCTAATGAGAACAACTTTGATGGCTTACAGCAAGAAATATCATCAGTCAATGACAACGCCCAGATTGACTTCGCCCAGGATCCAGAAGCATTCATGGCATCCTTGATCGATCCGAATATCCTTCAGGACTTCACTACCGACTTCGGCGACTGGACTGATCTTGACTTTGCTTTGTCAACTTCACACGACACAGTAGGAGTTGTGGACCATCGAGACGATTTCAATCCTATCAGTTATGCTTGAAGGACATGCGGAATGTCACAGCAACAAGTCGTTATGAATAGTGTGAGCAACCTACTTGCGACTTCACAGCAGCAGCTCGCATCGGATATTCCGAGATTCGGTTGAGAGCCCTCAATTCGATTTCAGATCCTTATTTTCGGATATATCTAACACGTCAATCTTGATCTTCCAGAGGTACACATATAAATCACCCTAATTTACGCGTCACTTGAGAACACATCTCTGTCTTACTCTTCTGGATCAGAGAATACTATATCGAAACACGTCTTGTGTTTCTACAGTCCTCTGCTCCCCCCAGGTATTCTCACTCAGGAGAACCTGGCCACATTCAACAAAAGGAACTCCCCCTTCAATCCACGTCTGGTACAGGAAGATCATCAATGAAGCGTACCTTGCGCCCCTGGCTTGCCATGGCTTCCTCCGCCTTGCTGCGTCTAAGCTCTCGTGCGGCCTGGTCAGCGACCAAGACGAAGTCATAGGTCATCAAAGACGTTCCAACCTCCACCCCGTACTTCCGAGCCTGTTCCTCGCGCTCAACTTTGCCAACCTCAACTATGAGAGACTGTTTCACGCCAAAGACTGCGTCCTAAATTTTGGTCAATATCCAATTCTCTTGAGGCAAGATAAAGCATGACCTACCGTCGTTTCATACGGATCATTCTTCAGATAGAGGGCGCTACTCTATACTTAGCACCGGACATGAATCGTTCGCGCTCGACTTACGTGATCAGCGGGTCAAATCCAGCTTTGTCGAACATGAAATGCATGTGACTTGGTCTGTAGGGATGACGATTGAGCTTCCCTAGAAGTTTGCCGACTGGCCCGTCATGAGGAATCGGATAGGGCACAGGCAGAATCGCTTTGAACCAGAAATCACCCTTTTCGTCACTTGTCAGAACCGCTCTGCCGTCTGGACCAGTTCTGTCGGCATGTTGGACGTCATAGAAGCCCTTTGAATCGGTTTCCCAGACATCGATCTTGGCATCAGTGATTGGCTTGCCATCTACATCCTTCACAGTACAGACGACAAGCAAAGGCTCACCATCTGGATCTTGTGAGATGTGGCCACCATGATTGCTGTGTTCGGCCTCGTGTGTGTGGAATGGCCCAAGCACTGTACCTTCGGTGCTGTTCTCTGGCTTAGGATGATCAATCGAGTCTACCAAAAGAGACAGTCCTAAAACATCAGAAAGCAGAATAAACTCCTGCATCGAATTAGCTGGTTGTCCTTGGGATCACCGACCAGGGGTTCTTACTTGTCTGACATCCGAGCTGATCTGGCCAACTTGTGTCAAGAATTGAAGAGTAGCCATCCACTCATCCGTGGTCAATCGTGTCTCTCTTGCAAGGTCATGCAGATGCGAGACAGTTCGTTCTAGCAAGAACTTCAGCCTTCGGTCTGGACATTGCGAATTGATGGCATGGACGTTTTCGGTGATGTTCTCGATTGTAAGGTCTCTGAGATCTGGAATGGAGCTGGTCGCCATGGTGGGTGTCCTCTGAGTAATCCCGGTGAGTATGCTTCTCGGAACTGTAGAGAGAATTGGTCGAAAGATCTGGATCCATAAGGTCAAACAGCGTGCTCTTGGTATTAAGCACGACTGCAATACCTTGTCCGGGTAATGATTGACCCGGATCGTACGAAACATCCGGCCGGAAAATATAGCGCCCTTCCGGATTTTGGCTTTTGATCACTTCCGACCCCGCATCCACCGCTTACCTCACCTTCTTCCGCTCATGCAGACACATCTCAGACAGGTTCTCAAATTGAGCTGAGCTGATCGCGGTAATAACATGCTTCTGGGATATGGATTCGTTTGAGTACAACATCAACCCGAGTCGAGTCGTCTTTGGAATCGGGAGCGTTAACAAGCTGCCAGAGGAAATCAAGAAGCTCGGATGCTCATCACCCTTAGTCCTTACCTCAAAGGGACAAAATGGAATGTTGCATGGCGACCTCTTGACTGAAGTCCTGTCAAAATGCTCAATGTCTGCCGCTGCTACCTTGAATATGGCAGTGATGCATACGCCAGTGCCTGTCACTGAAGCAGCACTCCAACAACTCAAAGCGCAAGCCGCGGATTGTATCGTATCCATCGGAGGAGGTTCTGTCGTCGGTCTGGGCAAGGCCCTTTCCATTCGTACTGGATTACAACACGTCTGCATACCTACGACCTATTCTGGCAGCGAAATGACACCTATCCTTGGCGAGACGGACAAAGGCAAAAAGACTACTCGCTCGAATCCAAAAATTCTCCCGGATGTCGTGATCTACGATGCGAATCTCACAAAATCGTTGCCAGTAGCCATCTGCTCAATTTCTGGTATCAATGCGATCGCTCATGCCGTGGAAGCATTATATGCGAAAAACACAAATCCCATTACCAACTTGCTGGCTCTGGAAGGCATCAAAAAGTTAGCAGAAGCCCTGCCAGCAATCGCACGAGATCCGTCAGATCTATCTGCTCGTGAAGGAGCTCAGTACGGCGCATGGCTTTGTGGTGTTGTCCTCGGCACTTCCGCGATGGCTTTGCATCACAAACTTTGTCACACTTTAGGCGGATCGCTCAATCTGCCTCATGCTGAGACACACACTGTTGTGTTAGCACATGCACTGGCATACAATGCTCCGGCTATACCAGAACAGATGGAGAAAATTGCTTCAGTGCTTCCTGATAGTGATGGAGACGCGATCAAAGGACTCAATATTTTCCTGGACAAACTCGGTGTGTCGCGTGCGCTGAAGGACTTTGGCATGCAAGAAGAAGATATTGACAAAGCTACGGATATTGCTATGAGTATGCAGTATGCCAACCCAAGAGCGATGGAGAGAGATTCAATCAGGGAGCTGATACGCAGAGCTTGGTCTGGTGAATCTGCGAAAGCCGATGTGTAGTTCTCAATGATGGAAACACCTCGCATAATCTATCAATGAGCATACATACTCAAAGTGTCACGAGGTTTAGCATGCATAGCTGGATCAAGCCACAACGCTTTTCTATACCGCAAAACCTTTCGTTCAGATTCAAGCGTTGCGGTACTGTTTGACTTTTGAAGCTCAAGATGTGGTACTTCACGAGCGAGCATGAACAAAGGGTACGGGACTTCGGAAAATTTAGGTTTACCAGCGGTTATCACAATACAACCACTCCCAGAAGTTGGCCGGAAAGCGGAAAGCGACGTTGGGAAGGAGCGGCTGAGTGTCTATATACATTGACCCCGCACTCGGGCGGTCTTGATAAAGGCATTCCCCATTTGGTCCATATAACCTGTTGTACGACCATATCTCATAACACTAAAGCTTCCTGCCAGATATCATCATGGACCAAGAGAAGCTCGATGCCCAAGCCATGACGGTGGAAGATATACATGATGTTCATGGCTTTAAAGGATCCGAAGGCTATGTCGCCGACATCGAAGGTGCCTCACGAGACAACCTGAAGACTGCCAAAGATGGACATACGGTCTTGATCCCACAGCCATCTGATTCTTCTTTGGACACGTTGAACTGGAGTCAGACCAGAAAGCATGTCATCCTGATCATCATCAGTCTTGCTTCGTTCCTCCCAGATTATGGAAGTGCCACAGGTGCTGTGACTCTACTCCCTCAAGCAGCGTACGTCGAGTTATGTGTCATCGTATCTTCTTCAAGATGCTAATCAACCCCTAGCCAATGGAAGATATCCCCAGATACGGTCAACCATTCTCAAGTTGGCAACGTCTTCATGCTCGGAGCCGGAGGCGTGGTGGCAGTCGTTCTGTCAGCATGGGCGGGCCGTCTTCCAGTGCTCTTTTATTTCCTGATCTTCTCCACTGCTACAGCAGCATGGTGCGCAGCTGCAACAACCTTCGAGTCATTCATGGCAGCTCGTATCTTGAATGGCTTCTTCAGCACCGTAGCCCAGGGTGGTGGCCTGATGTTCATATTCGACATGTTTTTCTTTCACGAGAGAGCTCGCAAGATCAATATCTGGGCAGCTTTCATTATCTTGTCACCATACATGGGACCGCTGCTTACGGCATTCGTCATCACTACTAAGAAATGGCCTATCGCGTTTTGGGTCTTCTTCACAATGGTTGGTTTGAACTCTCACATCGTTGCTGACATCAACTAACGCAAACAGAACGCTCTCGTCCTGGTCTTGACGGTCTTGTTCGTCAGAGAAACTTACTACGATCGATCCATTGCCCCTGCCGACCAGCCTCCCAAAGGCACACGTCTCGCACAGCTGATTGGGTTATCTCAATATCGTTCTCGCCACCTCCGAAACAGTCTTCCACAAGCCTGTATGCGCACCATTCGTGTACTCATCAAGCCGACCGTACTTCTATCAGTCGTATATTACTGCCTGACCTTCGCTTGGGTAGTAGGTATCAACACAACCCTCGCCATATTCCTGACACCCCTGTACAACTTTGGCCCAAAGCAGATTGGCTTCTTCTACTTCACCCCAATTGTTGCCGCAATCCTCGGTGAAGTCTGTGGTCACTGGCTTCACGATGGAATAGCAAAGCGCTATATCAAGAAGAACAACGGACACTTTGAGCCAGAAGTCCGACTCAGAACCATTTGGCTTAGCACACCGTTCATGATCGCTGGTCTAGTCGGTCTGGGCTTTGCTCTTGAAGACGCTTATCATTATATGCTGACATCGCTGTTTTGGGGATTGTATGTGTTTGGTATCATGATCACCACTGTTGCCCTTGTAGCCTACAATCTCGACAGCTATCCTGAAGCCTCCGGGGAAGTTTCTGCATTGATCAATTTTGCTAGAAGTGAGTTCCCTTCTTCTTCTAGACTACTTGTTACCTCTTCTGACATACACTAGCGACTGGTGGATTCATTATCAGCTACTTCCAAGTCACATGGGCGCAGTCCACGGGCACCAAGGTCAGCTTTGGCACTCAAGCTGGTATCTGTGTGGGTGCTTTTGTGATTATTGTTGCTCTTCAGCTGTGTGGAAAGAATTTGAGAGCTAAGAGCGGTGGTTTGAACTTCTCTACTGCTTGATTTGGTGCCTTCATTTGTTATCCAATGCGTTGCGCCGTCCTTTAATGATCCCGAACTATATCTTCCATGTGTGCTAGATTGCGTCGCTTCCGCTTCCCTGTAATATGCGTAGAGCAGAACTGAGCCGTCAATGAGGACGTGGAATCGTACAGAGTCAGAAAGAAGCATTTTAAAATCGATGCATCGATAGGTTCCATGGAATTTGTCGAAGCACAGCACATCCCGAGTGTTGAGTAGTGATTAATGAGTCATCGCTGATCAGATGTCCGCGCAGAGTCCGACGGTTGTGAAAACGCCTGCACCTCTCTACAGCTCGTTATTGTAAGACGATGGAAGGCGACAAATTAGCACGCTGGAGCTCGTTCGTGCCTGTGGTATCTGAAGACCTGCGGATGAGGATGATTCGCATGCCGATAATACCGACCAGGTTTCGGATCGACCACATCCGGTCCTTGGGTCCGGAGTTGCAAGTGCAGAGTCTCGAAGATGGAGAGTGTGTCCAGAGACATTCATTCAGAGTCTTCCCCTGCACTGTCCGTCGCAGAAGCAGTCTGCTCTTCCGCTCTTGCTTGCATATCCTCCTGCTGTCTATCCTTGACAGTCCTCGACTTCCTCGCACTAGGTACAGAGGCATCTTCCCCGCTCTGCCCTTCGTCAGACTTTCCCTCCTCTTCCCTAGCTTTCATCTCCTTCCTCTGCCTCTCCTTTACTTTTCTCGGCTTCTTTGCACTGATAGGGCCATCAGCATTTCTATTCTTCCACTACCACTTTTAATCAGCAATGTTTTTTTTTCTTCCACCCCTTTTGCAAGGAAATTTTCCATCTCTAGAGTATGGTAAAACTTACCATGCCGCCATATCTGTAATGTGGATATTGTGCATTTAGTCCTTTTGCATCTTCGACGCCTCCGGATACTGATTTCCAGCACGTGCCTGGGCAGACGAAGTGCCATTTTGCGGTTTCGTCGACTTGACAGCGGACCAGCACATCTCTGGGAGTGGAACAGAGAGTGCAAGATTTCGTCATGATTGATTTGTTTGATTTGTTGAAAAGGGGAAGGTTGAGAGTGATGTTGTAACTGCCAAAAATCGGTGATGTTTGGCGAAAATATCAATGACATCATCGTTAAACGCTTCGGCGGTTCTTGGTTGAACATTTTGTTGCTCGTTCTGCTTGACGAACATCCTTCAGAAACGAGTTGGAAAGCACTGGAGCGTCTTGAAAAGGGCAAATGCGACTAGTCAGATACTTTACTACTCCGACTTTGGGCGCAAAGAGGCAACATTAATTCTTAGCCATCACGGTGAAACATCGATGTCTTCCCATGCTAACTTATTTCTAATGGTTAGAAACATCATGCACTAGCATCATACTTGACAGGCTCCTCGTACCCAGGTACATCTCGCAAGTCGCTTGGCCAATGGAGCGGCCAAGTCCCCATCCTCTTTGCAAAATCATGTGCATCCTTCGCCGTCGGATCTTGATCTCCGCTGCACTCTCCAATCTCGAAGAGTCGTCTCCTCCAGAATGTTTGTCTTGTGAGACTCATACCATTTCTTGACACTCCATCTGCGGTCGCCAGATCGCCTGGTGCCACACTCTCACCACAACCTGATGGTGGCTCAACGCCATCTTTGACAGCCCGTTCGATTGGTGGAAGTCTTGTCGACATGAACGAATGTGTGTGCTTGAGCCAGAGTAGAGCAGCCGGTAGCAGATCGGCGACTGACTTCTCCCCAGTATCCCCACCGTCGCCAGTCGGATATATAGGCCGTTCCTCTTCCAGAGCCTCTCGGATAGTCTCAAGTCCAAAGCGCATCAAATCCATCCCAGTAACCGCAGCCAGTCGAGACACAAAAGCATTCAAATTCGTCCAAGCATCCTTGGACAAACTCGCTCGCCCTCCCCAAGCTTCCTCCAATGCAACTTTGAAGAACGGCAAGTCCCTCCACATCACTTTTCCACCATCAGCCTCGAAGGGATCCTGCGTCGTACTCTGCACGTTCTCCCTCGCTCTAGCAGCAGCAATCCAAGCCACAAGTTTATATTGTCTTGCCTCATCATCAGCCGCAAACACTTTGGCGGCTTCTATAGTTTTGAACCACAGAAGTTTGAGTTGTTGCTCGAGTTCGTCGTCTGTCCTGATTGATCCATGTTGAAGATAGACTTGTTGTGGATACTCGAGGAAGAAGCGGATGTTCTGAAACAACCAGTCATAATTTGTGTCGCTGGCTATAGAGTCGAGCGTGGCTTGTCGACTGCGTTGGTAGAATGATTTTTTCTGTTGCTGTGGCGCTACGGCTGGACTCGAGATGTCCGACATGGTTTTCTTTGGCACTTAGTAGTCAGTAATGAGATAGGGGCTATCAGCTTTTTGAGGAATATCGTTATTGTGATGGAATGTGGGCGGTGGTTTACCTTGATATTGGACTGAGCCGGAATCCTTCTGCCTAATTGCGTCACTTTCCCAATAGGGATCGATGTGCACGACTACCTACACATCCTTCCTCCGCTGGCCGAATCTTATTTATGTTCGTGGCCTGAATCTACAACATCGTATTAATACCATCGTCTAACGATAATTGCTATTCCTAGTACTGGATCGCTTTGCTGCTTCTGCTCACTTAAGGTGCTACACCTCTGAGGAATAATATGCTTTGCAGTTTACATGAGAGATGTGCCTAGGTATAAAGAGCCTGTTAAGTTAAATGCTAGTGCATGATGTATGCAATAATTAGAACTAGTTTACTACAACACCGTCTCTTCTTAATAACTAAAGTAGGCAACAATAAGCTATAGAAAGGCACATGACAAAGAGTACATGCTACTAAGCTTTACATAATCCTATATTGCTAAAAGAGTGTAAATATAGCAAAAGGTTGACAAAAACTAATTATACAATTGTCTAGGAACTTTTCCATTCCTTGCAATTCCTAAGTATATTATCTAACAAGGTCGAAGAATTTAAAAAGCTAGATGATTACTTTCCAATTGGTTTCCCTTAAGTGTCCTCTTGGGCACTTGCTTCAGTAACGCTTGACAAATTGTGATGAACAAGGTGTGGGTGCAAGAAGGGGAAAAAGTGCAAGGGCCGGGGGCGTTATGATACCTACAAATGCGACTCTGCTTGCTCGCCTGTATGATGTATCTTTGCTTTTTGCTTGATAAATACAGCAAACTCCGACACATGTTTGCCTTTTGCTCCTTTCCCCTGTTCCTGCTCTTTGCTTTCTGCCCAATGCTCGATGGACAGTTGGATGACAACGATATCTGTGAACAATGCATTGCTCCTCTTCTTCATGCTCCTGCTTCCATTTCATCCTCCACTCTTCCTTCTCCCTCCGCCGATGCGATGATAAAATCAAGATGTGCCTTCCCTTGAGAAGGTATAGAACGCCCCCAAAACAGAAACAGAAAATCAGAATAAGCAGACAATAATCAAATAACATGGAATTCTTGTCTCGTGTCAGACTCTCACAGTCAACTCATATCTGTTGTGACTGGGTCGACTCCAGTGGTGTGGGTTAAGTATATGAATCGATACCGGTCAATGAGTGGTTGTCGTCGTGATTACACCTCTCGGTGTGTAGTGTTATGTGCGTTGTAGGTCGCCTCTTAGTGGACTTTCTTCAGAGGACGTTCCAGCTGGTTCAGCAATTCGTCCAACTGGGACCAGTTCTCCGGGGCCAATGCAAACTTGCGGTGCTTGCGTGACTGACAGTGGGCGTCAAAGTCGTCAAACTTGTCTCTGCAGTTCTCGCAGTATCCTGCCTTCATCTCACGCTCTACGATGATCTTCTTGCGGACCTGCTGAGCACGACGAGATTTTGCCGAATCCTCTTCCCCTTCTTCACGAATGTGTCCCAATGTCTCTTGTGCCTTACGCTTGGCCGCTCTAGGTGCCGGTTGACGGTCGCCATTGATGGCGGCACGCATGTCGGTGAGATATGACGACTGCAGCGGCTCGTTGGAGTTTACGCTGGCTCCTCTTTCCAAGGCTCTGCGCTTCAAGGCAGTAATCTCCTTGCTCGCACCAACGTTACGTGTTCCAGGTGCTGTGGATGAGATGGTGGACGAAACAATCTGCGAGCGAATGGCGGAGGTGATGTTCGAAGGTTGGACTCCCGATGCGACGGGCTCGCCTCCAATGAAACGAGGTACTCCTCTCATGTTGGCCTGGGTGCTACCAAACAGCGCGGGCATGCTGCCTGTCTCCATCGAGTTCTGTCTCTTGGATGGAATACCCTTTGGAGGATCCAGAGGCTTCACGTGATCATCGGCGATTTCCAGCTTTTCCTTCTCCTGACTCTTCGCTGGCTCCTTTGGTTGGGATGTGGTGGACTGAGACAGGGTAGTACCTGCAGCAGCGCGACTGCGTGTGACGGGAATACCGGCAGCCAGCTTACGTTCCTTCTCTGTATCGGCAGCCTTCTGCTCCTCTGCTAAGCGAAGCTTCTTCGTGTGGGAAGGGTCTTCGACGAATGGACATCTTCCAACAGGGGTTAGACGGAACTGTGGCCACTTGCCCTCCTCCTTATGGGTGACCTTTGGGTAATCGCGGACCATGACGGGGCGGGTTCTCTCGTCCATGTCGTGTACATAAATGTAGTATCCTCGGAACTGAACTGAATCCTGGGCAGCGACAGCCAGGTCACGGTCGGCAGGACCGATGATCTTTTCGTTTCGCAACAGAGTCTGTAGATCTGCCTTTTCTCCTCTACGCAGGGTCGAGGCGATGTGTCTTCGTTGATTAGGTTGCTCACCAGTGTCAGTGTCAAACATGGTTGTCATCATACGCTGTAGCTTTTCCAGAGCCCAAATCTTGATACCAAGCTCTCTAGCCTTGGACAAGATATCATTGCCTTGGACGCCGAGCTTACGTGGCTCGACAGTTTGGAGACTGTGATCAGGTGTGTCAATAGGCAGAACAAGAGGAGATTCGACATGAAAGACTCACGATTGCACATTGTTTGAATGGCTACGGCCCTGAAGACTAGCCTCGAGGAGGTCGGCAGTCTTCTTCTGGGCATCGGTCATGGTAGAGTCCTGAGGACGGTCGAGGAGAGAAGGGTCAATGGTCTTCAGGGAGGCGTGGTGGGAGTCGTTTTTCGAAGTGCTGTTAGCATCTTCGAAGCTAGTAGAGGCAAGCTCTGGAGGGATAGGGCGGGTCGTGACCACATGAGTGACTGAGCGAGAGAAGAACTTTTCCTCTTTCTGTCAAGCAAGTTAGTGTTGCGTGTTTGACTTGTGGGGGAGGGGTATAGAGCGTACAGCGCCAAGATATTGAATCTGTCTCGAGACCTTTGTCCGGACGTCATCGGGCACACTCTCGAAGTAGAAGACGAACTGAGGGAAAGCCTTTCTGTAGTGCCGTTGCCATTGGCGGATGCTCTCCAGACTGTCTGCAGTCCTTTGTACGGGCTTCTGTGCAGACGGAGGCTTCCTGGCGGCGGCAAGTTTTCTCTCAAAGGCCGTGGGAGGGGCATTGCCAGGCTTCTTCAGGAACAGTTGTGCATCCTTCTCTTGCTGGGCCAACGACTGACGCATCAGCGAACGCGGTTGGTGGTTCTCATCGTGGTCGTGGTCGTGGTCGAGGCCGAGGTCGAGGAGTTGCTTCTTTGTCGGGGGCAGGGCAGCATCACGCGGGTCTGGGGCTCTGGAGCGCTTGCCCGAGATGGGATTGACGGTGCGGAAAGGAGAGTTGACGGCATTGGAGTTGTTGGCCAGCGGGAGCCGCTTGCTGGACATGTTGGACAGAGCGTGGATGGTGGCAGCCATGTATTGCTGGTGCAGGCGGGCGGACTACTGCTGTTGCTGTCGCTGTTGCTGCTGCTGCTGTCTCGCCGTGGTGGAGGGCTTTGCACGCGACTCGGACGCGCTCACTGGCACATTCTCGCTGCGCTGTCAGGGTAACAAGAGAGAGAGAGAGAGAGAGAGAGAAGAGGCTGTTGTATTAGTCGAACACGCGATGTTCAAACACAAGAAAGGGCAAAGGAGCGAATGTCAACAGGCACGAGTTGCAAACGCGACGACTTGATCAACTTGTGCATGTTTTGATGTGTGCATGCTCTTTCCTGACAGAAGACATGAGGCTCCGAGCGCGTCGAATTACTCTGTATGCACAACTCCCCGCACAACTCAATCACCCTCACAACCCTCGAAATCTCTTTGTTTTCCATCTTGTCTTCTCTGCAACATTCCTATACATTCTCTGATAATAGCCTCTGACTTTCGCATCTTGTTCGTACTATTCCCGTCCTCCTGCGGTGCTGCATCGCACATATCACAACTTGTCACTCAAAAGCCTATCTGTATGCAGCCCAGACAACTACATCATATCTGCTGCACTAATCACTAATCGGGCCAGTAGCGCGTTCCACTTCTTTTATTTTGTTGGTAAACATCCCCTAACGGAGCGCCTCAATATCAACAACCTCCTTTACTGCCTCTGTTGTCAACACATAAGGATGCTCTTCTGTTATGCACACGCTGTCTTCGATTCGAATTGCCAATCCGCGGAAATGCTTGGGCCATCGTTCGTCTTCTGGAACATAGATTCCTCTGTGTCATGCGTCAGTCTGGGAAACCTTCAACCCGCCACTCTCGCCAACGTATCACTTACGGCTCAATCGTGATACACTCTCCCGCCGTCAGTCTCCCTGTCCTGGGATGTCCAGGAGCATCGTGAACATCTAGTCCAATAAAGTGGCCGACGTGATGAGGAAACAATGTCTCAAGAGCCTGTACAGATTAGCGTCAACCTCCAAGTCCTCATCCTGTCGCGACATGACTTACGTTGCCGTCCATGTTGAATCCAAGAGACTTCAATCCGTCGCGCAATCCGCTTTCAGTGATACGGTGGAGTTTGTCGAGCGAAACATCCGCACTCTCGCTACACATCGCTACTACCTCTCTCTGCACTTTGAGAATCATTTCGTACAGCTCCCTTTGCGGATCGCTAAATTTGCCATTGACCGGCCATGTGCGTGTAATGTCGGTGATGTAGCCACCATACTCACCACCGGCATCTACCAATACCAATTCGCCGTCCCTGTGTCGCTTGTCAGCATGCATGTTGGTACGCACTAGCTGCATCCTCACTTTAAAGTCTGGTCGTTGCGCGTATAATGAATGCTTAACCCGTTCTTGTGTTTGTCAGTACTTGGAATTTTAGAGTAGTGATGCTTTCATACCTTGCCGCCAGCAACAACAGGCACATAGGCGGAGCCGTCCAAACCACCAATCTTGAAACCAGTGTCGAGCATGGTCCAGAGATCTTTCTCGGTAGTCATACCTGTCTTCATGGTCTCGGTGAAAGCTCGTCCAGAAACCTGACCAGCCTTTCTCATATTCAGGATCTCGGATTCGCTCTTCTTGACACGAAGGTTGTTCATAAGGGGTCTGAGAGGTCTGACATTGTTCTCCTGCAAGAGACTGCCGAAGCCTTCTGAAGGGACCTTTTTCAGACTCGAGAAATATCTCCTAAAGGCAGACTTGGTAGCAGTACCAAGGAGATCTGTGTAGACTTCCTTTGCGCGGCCGATGATATCTGGGAGGACAGTATGGCAACGACCGATGTCACCCGCCTGATGTATGTTGGTACGGGTCGTGAATGTCGGAAAAGATGTATCGTACCTCGTCGGCGTTGAAGACGTCTAGCGCAGCCTGAATGCCACTTCGTGCACCATCCCATTGTTCGGCCTTGGGGTCTTTTGGTCGGACGAAGAGGTGAAATGTGTATTCGACGTCCGAGTCACCCTTTTCTGCAAAGCCGTGAGCCAACTTTGACTTGATACAACAGGTTTGCGACGCACGCACCAATGACAGCAAGTGCTTCTGGCTCGTTGAAGCCTGTGTAGCAATTGTTCAGTATCCTTCTCTTTGTATCAGACTAGTCGCTTGTGATTACCAGTCAGGTAGAAGAAGTTTGGCTCTTGGTGAAACTCATAGAAGACAGCACCGGAGCGGTATTTGATGTCGGAGGAGGCAAGGACGGCGATGCTGTTCTTGGGAAGGGCTTTGGCGAGGTTTGCGCGACGATGATGGTACTCGAGAGCAGATATTCCGGGTGTCACTGGATTGGAGAGGATAAGCATCTGTCTGAAGAGAAGTTTTACAGCGTGGGGGGGGTGTACAATCGCCTGGCGCAATGAGATGCGGGTGTGTCTCATGCAAAGGTTGGCCGAACTGCAAGTCTGCGGCAGAGACTACGGTGCGACGAAAGGTTTGAGGGAGACATGATGGTCGGAGAGTTGCGAAGGCTGTTCGAGGCCTCGATACGGCTCTGAGCAGGTTGCGACTACTTCTCATGCTTGATATTGTGTGTCGAGAAGGCAGTCGCGACACAGGCCATGACTTAAACTTGGCTCGGTGACCCTGGACTTCAACTCCGAAGCACAGACCCAACGGCGATCTGCAGATTGTGGGGGACGGCTTTAGCCTCCAAGATGCGACCTACGTCACAGGAATTTGTGTCCTATTCGAGTCTTATCGCCCTTCTTACCCGTAGCCTGTTCATACCATGTCTTGACCACCAATTCGACAGCGGCATCAGCTTGGAATTTTCGCCCTACATTACGTCCTGAAGTCAGCATCTATTCGCCAAAGTGTCGCTACGACGAGTCGCAAAAATGTCCTCGGACGTTGAAAGCTTCACTGCTCATCTACAGTCCTCAAAGCGCATTCTGGCCCTACTTGGAGCTGGACTTTCTGCTTCCTCTGGTCTACCGACTTTCCGTGGCGCAGGCGGACTCTGGAGAAGTCATGATGCCACCTCTTTAGCGACACCCGAGGCCTTCAATGCCGACCCGGTTTTGGTCTGGCAGTTCTACAGCTATCGCCGGCATATGGCTCTCAAGGCTCGCCCAAACAGAGCCCATCTCGCTCTGGCCGAGTTGGCAAGGAGGAACCCTGACTTCATGACTCTCAGCCAGAACGTCGACGGTAGGAGCGAACATGTCTCACGCGTGGAGTCCTGAACTAACGGCACTCTGCAGGTCTGTCGCAACGTGCGAAACATGCGCCAGAAAAGCTTCAACTGCTTCATGGTAGCCTGTTCAACGTCAAGTGCACTTCCTTCTACTGTTCGTATCAGGCCGAAAACTTTACAGATCCCATCGTACCTGCCCTGGCGATTCCGTTCGATGCATCGGATCCTACTACAAAAGACGCCGTTGAAGAACGTAGAGAAATGGACATATCAGACGTCGACATTCGACTACCATCCCTGAAGATAACAGATCTACCAAAGTGTCCGGAATGTCACCAAGGTCTTTTACGACCTGGAGTCGTCTGGTTCGGCGAGTCTCTTCCGAGTAAAGTACTCAACACTGTCGACACATTCATCAACGACTCTTCCAAGATCGATTTGATCTTGGTCATTGGCACGAGCGCTAGGGTCTACCCGGCTGCTGGCTATGTCGATGACGCGAGAGCAAAAGGCGCCAGAGTAGCAGTCATCAACGCAGACCCGGAAGACATCCCGGCTGGAGGCTTGGGAGACAAGGATTGGTTCTTCGAGGGCGACGCTGCTCAAATCGTTCCGGATATCCTCAAAAGCGTCATTGGAGAGATTGAGCAGCCGACAGAGAGGCTGCAGTAATACCTTGCTTTTATACGATTGCACGAACACCTGACGGCCGATACCCGGCATCACGAAGCATCATACCCCGTTCGGATCATTTCAGCATCTGCGCGCTCATTGATCCTTCAGATTTTGGATCGAGATATTCTGATCCTTGTGCGCTGCACTCAGACCATCACTACATATATACGTATCGAGTCTCTCAATTGGAGAGCACCTCATCTAACACCTTGACAAACTGCTTGATCTCATCCTCTGTATTGTTGTTAGTTTGAGGTCATGTCACTTGCATCGATCAAACACTTACCAGTATTGTAATGCACCAGACTGACTCTGATAACGCCATCGACCGGGTCAAGTCCCATGACCTCCTCAACCAGACGGTTAGAGTAAAATGCACCCCAGCGGAAACCAAAGTCGCTCTTTGCCTCAACCGCATCAACAACACTCTTGCTGCTGCGACCATCCACCGTCCAACTAATCACAGGAACACGCTTCGCGGCATCCTTGACAGGCTCACCCCAAATCTTGACATCCTCTCTCAAATTCAAGTAATCAATCAAAATCCCCTGCAACTTTCCCTCATGGCTAGAAATCTGCTCCCATGGAATCTTGCTCAGATACTCACAAACTTTTGGAATGGAAGCAGTGAGTTCGTAGTTTGCAGCCGCCAAGCCCAGTTTATCCTCTAGTGTCGCAGAGCCCTTGAAGTAATGTCCTAGAGTTTGCAGAGAGGCTTGACTGGCTTGTTTGGCATAGAGCATGGCGATGTGAGGACCATAGACTTTATACCATGAGAAACAGTAGAAATCAACGTCTAGATCTCGCATGTCTACTTGTCTGTGGGGAGCATATGCCACTGCATCCACGACAAGCAGTGCTCCTGGCACCGTGTGTACGAGATTGGCAATCTTCTTGATTTCACTGATCGTGCCCAAAATGTTGCTCGTGTGTGTGCAACAGACCAGCTTTGTCTTTTCAGACAGCAAGGACTCGAGGACTGAACATTCGAGTTTTGGGTTTTGCTTGTTGGGGGCATCCCACCATTTTATGGTTAGGTTTCTCCAAGAGGCCATTTGGAGCCAGGAGGCTATATTTGCTTCGTGGTCGAGTTTTGAGAGGATGATTTCGGAGCCTGGGGTTAGGTGTTCGTAGAGTGCTAGGGAGAGATTGCGGAATAGTTGAGTAGTCGAGGGTCCGAGTACTTTGTGACGAAGGGTTAGCTGTCAGTACTTTTATGTCATGCAATTTCGATGATTCCTTGGGAACGTACCGACTTCATCTGATGAGGCGTTGATGTACTTGGCCACAGCGTCTTTTCCTGCTGCGAACAAGTTGGTCGATTTCTGAGCAATCGGGTATGAAGCTCCGAGTTGCACGTTTGTACCCGACAGATAGTCGGAGACACTGAATCATCTTCAGCCCGGCTACTTCATTTCGGTCATTCAGATACTCACGAGTCAACTACTTCCTGGATGACCTGGCTACCGCCCGCATTATCAAAGTACACTTGCTTCTTATCAAGAGCAGGGAAGTGCTTGCGAAGAGCCGTGACGTCGAAAGTTTGAGCCATGGTATGTGATTTCTGATAGATGAATATATATTCTCCAAGGAGTGTGTTGTTTCAGGATGTAAGATCAAGTCTACAGCTGTTATCACGTATGTCTACTCACCAACGCCCTACGGTCGATCAATACTGTTGTCCTCCTTCCTCACCAGCGGCAAAGCCTCGGTGTCCCCACGGCATCTCGGCTACAGATGTCCCATGTTCGCGAGAGACATTAAACCATCGACGTCCAAAGTCGCCGTTTCTGCAAGACATCTTGGACACATACTGCTCCTAACATCTAGGGGCTACTGGAATGGATCTGACAGCCAGAGATGTCAAATTCCTGGCATTTGGTGCAGTGGCGTCGATAGGCGTTATAACTCTACTGACCTCATATTTACACAACAATATACATGAACCATGCCGGATCATTGACTCGCCATTACAATCGATACGAAAGACTCTGACAGAGGGGCAACAAGAAAGACTTCCGTATGATCCGGATGCTCTGGAAGGAGCAAGAGATGTTTCGACACCATTCGGCAACATACGGGTCTATGAGTGGGGACCGGAGGATGGCAAGAAGGTGTTGCTGATACACGGCATCAGTACGCCGTGTATAGCTCTTCATGGATTGGCTGATGAGTTGGTACAAAAAGGATGTCGAGTCATGATGTTTGGTGAGTTGTGCTTTTCTTCTGTCACGACCGTGGGATCCAAGGTGTGGAACGTTGAGATGAAAGATCAACGTCTCAAGGCATCAACATCCACTTCAGATGCTAAGGTTGGCTCTTTGAACCATGAACGGGTAATAAGAGCCATCAAGATCAAGTATGCATCACGTCAGGCGAGTCTTACAGTCTGCAAGTTGAGTATCAGTATTCGAGCAGGGTTATCCCGTCGACCAGCACAACTTGACAACCCTGAAGCTCACGATTCAAACCATTCTCACCGACATACCTTTTCTATACACCTGATAAGTTTACACCTGTACGTATGGGGCTGACTTTTTGAGCTTCAGATCTTTTCGGCAGAGGCTTCTCCTCCACCCCTGATCCAGCCACTCAATCCCAAGACATTCAACTCTTCACCACTCAAATCCTCCTCGTCCTCTCTTCATCTCCACTCAACTGGACAGGGAACAAGACTCGATTCGCCTTAATAGGCTACTCCCTCGGCGGCGGCATAGCAGCATCATTCACTTCCTTTTTCCCAAACCTCGTCGAGAGTCTCGTGCTCATCGCACCAGCAGGCCTCATGCGCTCTACCCGCATCCACTGGACCAGTAAATTTCTCTACGGCGGCTATCTCCCTCGCAGACTTGTCGAGTATCTGGTTTGGAGACGTCTGGGTGGAAGTTCCACTACTCCTGTCAGCAACGACGAAGATGGGAAAATCTCACCCACACAAGCAGCAGAAGAAGAGCAATCCTCCCATCCAGCACTCGCCCCCGACTCCCCAGCATCTGTCCTAGCCCGCAGACCTTCCGCCACAATCTCCGCCATCGTATCCTGGCAACTCGCCAATCATGCAGGTTTCGTACCCGCTTTTGTATCTAGTATCCAACATGCCCCCATCTCAAACCAACAGGACGCTTGGAAAGCAATCGCAGACATGCAACATCTCCCTCCATCTCAACGTCTGCTCGAAGCTAAAGTCCTGTTGCTCCTAGGCAAACACGATAATGTAGTCATTGCAGAAGAAATGCATCAAGATGCAAAGAAAGCCATGGGACATGTCGTGGATATACGCATCTTGCATGGCGGACATGAACTCCCAGTCACACATGCAGCTATCGTCGCCACCACAATTTTCGCATTTCTGGACCCCAGCAGTCCCCCCCACGAGCGATGACAAGTATATAAAATCCCACAGTTGGGGAAGAAAGAAAAATCATGCTAAAATAAAAATAAAAAAGATAAAATACAGCGCCTGTCGTGTACCTGTCATCCCCGTCCAAAACCCGCATATTGCCTGTACGTTGGGGAAGATCAGAGAAGAAAACCAGGTTACATCAAGCAAGGAGAAACATCAGGACTGCAGCGGCACTCTACATCCGATGCGCGTTTGTTGTCATGATCCATGGTCTCACAAGAAAAGAAAAAGATTTCTTCCATCGTTACAGGCAAACGGGATCAAGTCTTTTTTTTGGTAGAGAAGGTCTTTTTTGGATTATTTTAAAGAAACACGTTCTGCTTTTTTGTGTTGGGGAAAAAAGGCCTTCTTTAGCTCGTTTGCATTGTGTGGGTATGGGAGGAAATGACAGAAGAGAAACGAAAGAAAAGAAAGAAGGACAAAGTGGTATTTCCCCTTTTCCTTCCCAAAAAAAACAGAAATTGCAATTTGGTATGAGGGCCTCTTTTGTGTGTAAAGGCCAACAAAACAGAAAAACAAAGCAATGCACGAGTCGAAGCAAGACTCGGATGGTTATGCAATCATCATCGCCGAGCAACTTGTGATGGTACTTTTTTCTTCTTTCTCTGGGGATAATGTTTTGTAGTAGCAAACTTGGCTCTGCATGATTGAAATTTTGCGGCCGTCATAAGTTATGTTCGAGGGTAGTAATGTGCAGATGCTGACCATCGAATGAGGATGGACAATGAGAAAAGGAACGCTGAGAGCAAAAGGAATACGAATGGATGCGGAACGCTTGCAATGCAAAGAAAGACAAAGTGACGGATGCAACGAGGCTGGCTGATACATGTTGTTACAGCAGAGAAGCACAGAGCTTCATGGTTGTGCACGAGGCAGTGTGAGCTTATTGTGAAGGGTATGATGTCGGGTATGAGCTGTACTGGTATGACTGAAGAGCTGAGGCAGAAGGCACGTTGGAGCAAGCATGGAGGCGGTGCATCAAGTTCTGGTTTGCGTTGTAGTTCGAGTTGTCGTAGAAGTCCTTCTCTGGGGTCTCGGGAGGCGTTAGGACACCGATGGGAACTGCGTTGTAGACGGGCTTCTGGGGAGTTTGAGGCGTCATTATGGGACCGGCAACTTGCTGAACATCCAGAGCGGATTGTGCGGGCGAAGGGTATGGTTGCTGAGATGCGGTCTGCTGCTGCTGTTGTTGCTGCATGAGGTTTTGACGCTGCAAGAATTGCTCCAAAGTCGTGGCGACATTTGATAGGTGAGCGGACGAGTACTTGCGGAACAGGGCCTGCGAAGGACGAGAGAGCTGGTTTGACAGATCCATAACAACGTTCGAGTCGTATCTGGCAGCCCACTCGGGGTGGTGCACCTGAGGACGGCCAAGGACGTAACGGGCAAGAGCGAGCGACGACCTAGCCATGACCGAGGGCAGCACGGGGATAAAGTCCTTGTGGTAGAGAGCCATCTCAGAAATGTATGTAGCCATGCTCTGCACTTCAGCGTCGACGCCTGTCTGGGACAGAGCAACGTCGAGGAAACCAGTCACAGTGGGATGACCGATGATCCAGTTCAAAGTCTGCAGCACGTGCCATTCCATTTGAGTGAACATGTCGTCGTCGTAGAGAGAGCAGCACATGGACTTCAGTTCCTTGATGGTCGGCACACGCTCCTTGCGATCACCGTACTTGGCGGCAATGAGCAAGGCGGCGCAACCGACGAGCTGGTAGTGACGCTTGTACACGACACGCTTCGAGCAGTATCTGTCGAGAAGGTTGACGGCAAGGAAGAGGGTTTCCGGGAGCAGTTGGAAGGCGTGGTGTGCTTCAAGGAGGAAGTCGAGGAGGTAGGGACGCATGAACCATTGAATCTCGGTCTGGATCTCAATGGAGTTGATGTCCGGCATCGTCTCGCCCTGTTAAACATTAGCGCGTGCATTGATGACTGACGAGTCGCCGTGACTTGCCTCCATGACCTCCATGTGGTCGAGCACATCGTTCAGGTACGCGTCACTGGTCTGACGTGACAGGTCGGCAGCAATGTGCCTTTGTTGTGCCTTGGCGAGGGCACGCGTTCTTTCCCGCTCAGCGGCCGCTCTGGCAAACATGCCGTCCGTGTCCTCGTAGCTCTCGACGAAGAAGGTGTCGCAGTAGCCGTAGTTGGCTTGTGCTGTTGTGGATGCCATGCTTGAGTATGTGAAGTGGGTGCTTGAAGTTGATCAATTCTCCAGGATTGACGGATGGGGATGTATTAATGAGTGAATGGTGGGTGTATGCACACTGGTTGCTTGAATGTAGACACGGAAAAATAGACAGGGTTGGTGATAACGCAATGGAAGGACTGTGAATTAGTTGGACGACGTGTGTCGTGGATGGTCCTAGAATCACTGATCGCTCTGCCTGGGATGGCTTGAATGATGCAGGTATACGGAGCCTACAAGAGAGTCAGCATTGAAAGGTAGGAGTGGAGATGAGACGCGAGTGTCTACGTCGAATATCGCACATACCTTAGGAAATGGGTGGCAGCTGGTAGGTGAATCCCTTGCGAATGAAGGCTCGGATATCGAATGGAAATCGGAATGCCGTAGATGGTGCTTGCCCAATCTTACAGCCAGTAGAGAACGAGCTAACGACTCTACCAATTCCAATGCGAGCGCGTCGACCTGGCTGGGCTTGACAGGAAGTTCGCAGAGAGATCTGGGGAATGTCAGTCATTCCCGGCTATGATGAAAGGCACGTGCGCTGCAAGGGACCGAAATGTGATAGGTTAGAGAAAAGGACTTACCAAAGATCGTTAGTCTTCTAGCGAGAGACTTTAACAGACGAGTCGTAGAGAAGGGCGGATGCTGAAAGAGCTGTGATGTTTGGAGGTTAGTGAATGTGATTCCAAAGATGAAGTCAGTCTTGACCAACGACGCTGAGGATTAAGTGACGACGCGGAGCTGCCGCCGATGCCGGGCTGGAAGGACAGGAAAGGAGCCATTTGAAGCCATACGGGAATGAGACACGACCTCAAACCTCGTCCACGTCCACGTCCACATTCATCAAGAATGCAGGCGCTGGCCCTTCTGGAAGCGTCCATGCCTCGGCCGGCATGGAACGTAGAGACCCTGCTTTGCCGTGTCGACTCAACACTGTTGAAGTGTCGTATAGTGTGTCGGCGCTCCATTGTACAAATGGTATTGTTCCATGTGTCCATGATGCTTGTTATGCAAGAGGCAGCAGAGAGGTCGAGACGCCAAGGTATTTCGTATGGTGCCTCGCTCTCTCTTTGGGTATCCAAGGCAAGCCTCGTGGCACATCATGAACAACATGGAGGGCTTCATTGACGCGTCAACGAGCAAGAGCAGGGTCCCACCTTCCTTCTGGCGTCGAGTATGCCGATGAACCATCGAACTGTGCTTCCTTCCCGTCTTCCTTGGTATTGGATCCCAACAACGTGTCCACCTCTTATGTCCAACGTCCGTCATCTCACAACCGCCAAGTGTCACATTGACCGAAGCCACGTCCCAGGCATATCAAGAGGAGGGAAAGGGCAGGATAGGGGTCAAGGACGAATAGCTTGAGCGACGCTCACTTACCTTCTGCCGATGAAAGACTTGAGTCGAGGTCAAAGCGAGATTGAAAGCTGATGCAGTTGACGAGACGAGGTAGTAGATAGGCCGTCCACAGCTCTACGTTCAACGAAGAGGAGAGGTCCGGGCGGCGTGTGAGGTCGAGGTTGAGGGTAGGCGGCAGCGACTTGAAGGTCGTAGCTAAGAGTTTGATGGGGGCCTGATGTCGAAGGGCGGAGGTCGGATAGTGAGAGTCGACAGGCTTCAGGTCGAGGTCGAGGATGATACGACAACGACGGTTGTGGGGTTGGAGGAGGTAATAGTAGGTGTGAGAGGAAGCCGTTTGGAAGCAGTGACCGCTTATCAAAGCTCCATTGACTTGAGGGAGAGTAGGGTTTGGGAAGAGGTGGAGAGGGTAAGGAGGGAGTAGAGAGAAGAAGAATCGACAACCTCGGACGTCGTGTCCAGCTGTCGGACTGTCTTCGTACTCTGCCTCCTGGTGGATATGGTGTCGGCCTGGCTCTTGTAAATCTTGGCTAGCCGCTACCATTACTAGCGTGAGGCAGGTCAAAGCGTTGGTACGTTGCGTTCTACATAAATGCTTCTGATCAACAGTTCCATACACGCACGCTTGTCAGGTAGGATACCGGCCCGCTTCTTTGCCTTTTCGAGAGACTATCAATCCGGATCGTCTGACTTGGAAACAACGCCCTTACCATATTTCTGTCATGTACATGAACAAACGTACAGCTCGCTAGGCATCGTGGCAGCAAGCATCTCGACGTGTATCACCTGAAATTGGGGCTGCTTAGCTTCATAAAACTCGGCTTGAGCAACCGCCTAACATGCGACATGCGACATGTGCCTCTGACAAGGCCTGACGATTATCCTCAGCCAATCTTCGCATCCTTCTGCAACGGTCACGAAACACTGCTGTCGAGACTCTGCTTCCTACGCGTCCGGTAGCGCAGGCTTCGTTGGCGAGCACGAGATCGTGTATCAGCTCCGCCCGGCCTCCCGCTCACGTCCACCAATAAGCCATTGTCCATCAGCGCCAAACTGCATCATTGAACTCCTTTATACCCCAGAACCTTGAAATCCACCGCCAATCTTCCTGCACCGCAGATGCACATTCGTACCGTTTTAGAGCCCTGTCTCTCGACCCCCTGCCTGCCCGTACGGTGGCCGGTCTTGTGCCGCGGGGACCGATCATTCGGCAAGCATCCTGACCACTTTAACGCCGTTTGAAAGTCTCGTCCAAGACGCGGTTCGATCGCGTTTCGTCCGCGTCTCCAATTTCTATATCCAGATTTCACAATCTGCGTTAAATGTGCAAAGGAGTATCCCCTGAATTAGATGACTACTCTATCGCAGGCGATCATTATTCTGCTACTAATGACTTGAAGGATTGAAATCATGCCTGCTCACTCGTCTTTGCAGAGCAATCAAATGTAATATCCAATATCATCCTCCAATAACTGGTAATCTCGTTAAGAGTCGTCCGTTGGATAGATCGAGCAAAGTGTGTCACGCTCGGCGTCTCTCGGGTCTGAGGGCAGCAAACATGCCTATCTGTATTGCTGTATCCATTATTTGAACACAAAAATGCAGATTTATATGTACTATATGCAAACAGCCGACGAGAAGTTTCGATCTGTCCGAATGAAGCCAGTCCAAGTTCTCAACAATGCAGCGTCGGTGGGCTTTTTTTCCCTGTCAACGCACAGGTCCAAACTCTGCGGATCGTGTGGATGTCATGTCATGATATCTTTGCCCTTTCTGCATGTTTTTCCATCCACCGTGTCGTGCCAATGCACGGTGGCTGTCGATAAACTCGGGCGGACACGACGAGGGCTCGCAAGTGATAACCACCAGCCCGCAGCTTGCATGTCGAAGATGACATATCGCGCCGCCGAGTACGGTGACTTGCCCAGTCAGGCTGTCCTTGCTCTGAACTTTGATAGACGATCGTTCCACCATTGCAAAGCCTGCTGCTGGTATGCATACGTGAGGGATGACTGTTTCTTTTCTTCTCTTCACATGCACTTACGACTGCATATGCCGTCATACAAAGTCGCTGGCCGCACCACTTTGAGTGGAAGTTTTGGCCGACAGCTTTCTCCCTTGTCCACCAGTTTCTTGAGCAACCAGCTGCCGGCATCCCGTCTCAGCAAACCCACATTGAACAAAGCCTCCACGAAAAGTATGATCCACAAGCGAAAAAGAAGAAGGAACCAGAACTCACGAAAAGCCACGAGGCCAACAACAAACATTTGTTGTTGCACCTGTCTATCTCTCCATATCTCGTACCTGTACACAACATTATTCCCATTAATTTCTCCACAAAACGCTAATCTAGATATGCTTACATTAGATCGGCATCATTTGAACAAGCCTCGATCATATTTATTAATACACCCCATATTCGAATTGAGCCTCCACTATCCCGTTTCACCAGTTATCCATCGTCTCATGAATTCAACTTTTGGAGCCCTTCGGTTTCACGTCTTCACAGACGGATTGATTTGCTTTTTCGTCTCGCTCTCCATTCAGCCCCTACTACCACATACCACTCTTCCATCTTCCTGCCCTGATCTTGCCGTCAGAGACATCATCGTCGACCACGGCAACCAAGTCTCGGGTCGCTTGGCAAGACTTATGGACGCTGGCTGACTCCACATCACCGATCAACATGGATACCCGCCATCCGGGCAGAGGCTTTTCCAATAGTTCGAAGACATGCAAGAGAGACTTTCGATGAGCAACAATGGTAAGTTCTGTCGCCATGCTTGCCCCGGATATTCGGTCTGCGTCTGGGCTTCGCGCGTAGCGACGTATCGCTGACTTGTGTGCGGTATGTGTCGTGTCCATATCACACCTCCATCCACCTTTGTTTCTTTTTGGTCTCGTGGCCAACGCAACTAACGGCAGTCTCCCAACCTTTCGCAACACACACACGACTATTGCACCTCCCCTTCAACTCCATGAACCTGGCTTGACAAGGGATCCCACGGCAAGAGTCCTTGCACAAAGTTTACTCTTCTCCACCAAAAGGATCAGACCTGCCCTCCGTTTCGCAGCCTCAACGGCACAAAGACTCCCGCCATGCAACTTATGATTCGCACATGATATAATCCACAAACGCGATACATACACGGGTAGACGCGATGAGACGCGGCTCCACTTTCAGCCAACCTTGGTAATCCTCGTCCGATCTCATCTCCTGACTCCTGTTCTAGCTTTCTAGCCCCAAGCCTTCCCCTGTTTTTTTGTGAGAAGCTGCGGCAACGTTTGGAGGGGATCTCTTTGTCGGCCGAGAGGCGTTGCGTCTCACTCGCAAGAGACGCGGCTGATCGCGATGGGTTCGCGTTTTCCCGCGACCGGAGCTCATTACATTTCCTCTTTTGGGCAGGTGGTCACAAAATGCACCAGTGCAGCATATTTGCATTCCGGTTTCATGAGCATGACCATGGTTCCACTGATATGGAAGGTACAATATAGCATCACGCGGCTGAACGGAGAGTCACTGTTGTGCAATTGATTACTATCGACAGGTATGTGAGGCTTTTGACACGACCGCTCAACGCAAAAGAAATGGCTTTCGCGGCCTCGCCTAGCCTCTCCTCTCTTTCAGCCAGCCAGCGACATCGCGAGCGTGGAGAATTGCCTTCCCACAAGGAATAATGCCCTGTTGCCATTGAATTTTCACCAAGTAAAGTGTTGCGTGCATTCAAGCAGCCTTGTCTTCTTGTCTCAGAGTCTAGCAGGCAGAAAGGAAGGATCTTGAAATTCACAAAGAACAAATACATAGTCAGCTTGCTGAGAAAAGATCATAAAAGACCAGGAAATTATTATCCTTTGGGCAATTGCTCGCCATTACGCACCCAAATTATCATAGACTGCTGTCTCTGCGCCGAACCAAGCGCCCATTACATTGGGGTCTCCGAAGGGCATGACTTGACTGGCAATCATACCAGCGACGCCCTTCTCTCTGTCTACCCACCAGAACAAGTTTGCAATGCCCGCCCAGAACGCGGTGTTCTTGCCACGTCCTGTCATGCCCGGTTCAACCGTCAACATGGCGCTGAGGCACCAACCCTGTTCTCATTGTCAGTGTATGGTCAATGATATGCGATGATGGATGGGGACATACCTGTGCAACATCACCTTGCGGGTACAAGTCACCCAACACATTGGTATGCTCTGGCTTCGCATCCGGAATACCTCTTCTTCCAAACTCTGGGAACTGAGTAATCTGGTTCTCAAACATGTGCTTGACAGTATCCGCCTTGAGAATCTGCTTGTTCGTCTTTGGGCAAGTGCCCTCGTTCAGCAGCACAGCAAGAACCTTGATATACTCGGTCGGACGAGAGAAAAGACCAGCACCACCACTACACAGGATGGCAGCTTTTTGTTCCTCAGACTCTGCAGCTAAAGGACGACGGTATACATGATCTCTTTCTTCAGCCTTTGAGCCACCAGGCCAGCGTTGATGCATAGAAGCCAAATTCGACTTCATCTCTTTGGTCGGGAACATGTTTGTGTTGTTGAGACCGAGGGGTTGGAAGATGTTTTGCTGCATGTATTCGTTGAGGGTCAGGCCGGTTTGACGCTCGAGTGCTATGCCGGCCCAGTCGATGTTGATGCCGTACTCCCATCTACTGCCTGGTTGGTTGACCAAGGGCATATTGAGCACTTCGTTCTTGTCGCCGCTGAAGACGTCGAAGCCGACGGGACGGCCGTAGTCTCTGAGCTTGGTGTTGAAGAATTCGTATCCGAAACCTGCGGTCTGTGTTGCTTGTCAGGTCATGAGATGATAGAGGCGAGACGTGAGACTTACATGCGACAACAACATTCTCAGAGTGATCTCCGCCTCCTTGTCCTCCAACTTGCCATCATCAGTCAACACCTTGACTTTCTCCAGTTCAGGACACAGCTTATACAACTGCTTATGATCGTCAAGGTCAAGCTTGCCCTGCTCAACCAACTGCATGACAGCAATGGCAGTGATCATCTTGGTGCAACTCGCAATCCAGAATGTAGTCTCCAGAGTCATGGGTTGCTTGGTGTTCAATCCACGGTTGCCAGAGGCATTTGCAGTGATAATGTCGCCATCTTTGTTGATTGCTGCAAAGACTAGACCTGCTACTCCTGTCTCGGCGTTCGAGGTCACGCTGTCGAGGGTGGACTGTACCGCCTTGGAAGTTGCTTCAGACTTGCCTCCCATCTTGAAGTGTGGAACAGAGCTCAATGATCGTGATTTCGAATAGTAGATAGATAGTCGATTGGCAGGTTCAAGCTAGATCCTAGCAACGTATATAAATTACAGTGGGAATCGACTCGAGCGCACGCTTCACCTTAACGTCAGGTCTGCATCCCAATGACCTGCTACCCCTCTTCCATCCTTAGACCCCGTTTCCTCCGGCCGAGGGTTCTCATGTTGCATGCTGACAGAGAGCTAGAGCTTCTGGCTTCTGTACCCCGCTTCCCCGCATGATCAGGGCTGATCTGCGCGCACGAGCCAACAGATCTCCGGCTTCCGTTGTCCTTTGATCCGAGTATCTGGTTGGCCTCGATCAGACTTGAGGCTCTTTAATATATCTTCGCAACGAGGGACTCTTTAGATATATTGATGCATGGAGTTCCAAGAAGGATAAGATGTTGCATTCGTGTATACATCTATCTCGCATGACGGACAAGGCGTCCGTCTTCGCGGGACAATGCGGCGTGTACCAAGGTCTGTCGTTTCAGATGAAGCGCTTCATGCACCATGCATGACTTCTTTGAAGGACAGCCAGCCCCATATGGTCCAGACCTTACGAGGCCGGTCTATGGCATTCACGACTTCGAGTGCGATCATTGCAATCTCCAGCCGTCAAAACTTACACCTCGACAACATCCCTGTGTCAACACGACCGTTGTGCTTGATGTAGTGCGAGTTTTGCCTGGAGGATGTCTTGTTGACCTGACGGGGGAGTGGAACTTTGCAATTGGCCGAAGTTGATTACACAACTTTTCAAGCAGTTTTCGCCCGAGCTTGCTTGAACTTCTTGATCTCTTTCAAGGCAGCCATCACCAGTGGTACTGCCATAGGACCGAGCAGTGGAACATATACCGCTACTTTGTGTTCATCCGGAAAGTAGACCTGCCCAACCATGGAGGGTTCGAAGAAGGCTTGTTCAGCATGGGCTTCAGCAATTCGTGCATGTTCCAGCGCAGAGTCGTAGTGGCCATCGTGGATGTGAGAGCATGCAGTCTCCAGGTGATGTATAGTCTTCTGCACCGAATCGGCGACGTTGTGCGGAATGGCGATACTGGTCAACTTGAGCGTGAGCCTTGACAATGCACCGAGAGTCGATGAGGCCGACAGAATGAGCGATGCTGCTCTTTCGCGTGTCAAACTGGATAGGCGAAGAGGTAGCGAAGGCGGAGACTGAGGCAAGCCGATGAGAGACTCCAATTGCTCTGCGAAGATACGTACAACCGGCTCGAGATCATGCTTAGTAAGAACAGTGTTGTTTTCCTGGCCCGCGGAAGGATTGAGTATCTGGACTCCACCCCATTGAGGAATCAGCCAACTGGTACCGCCCGATTCTTCAATCAGCATTGGAGCCTGCTTTGGCGAGGGCACGTATGCGACAAAGTTAATGGTGGGGCCAACACCAATGCTCGGACTGAGAGGCCACTCTGCCGCATTGATAAATGCACTCAGATCAGAGCGCAAAAGTGTCCATTGCTCCGATGTCTCGTCGTATTGAGGGCCGTGAAGTGAAGACGAGAGCGAAGCGTATAGCTGAACTTGAGTATCGACGCTAAACTTGCTGACGGATGAGAAAGAAGCCAAGAAGGGGCCCAGATAATCATCGAGTGCTGCTTTGATATCCCAGGCGGATGGCGCAGCCGCTCCCGTAAACAGCGAGAATGTCAGATGGTAAGTCGATGCGTACTTGAAAGCGCGATTAGACCTCTTTCTGTACCCCTCTATAATTGACGAAGAATCTATGTCTGTCGTCGACTCATGATGTGTAGTCTGTCCAGTCAAGAGATAGTCAAGAGTGACTTGCTCCTCGGCAAACAGCTTCAAGAGCTCAGTCGTGATGAAGCCAGCGAGGTCAGATACACCGGAAGGCTGAGAGGAAGACAATGAGCCATGGAAGATGCTGAGAGTGGGGTCGAAGGGCTGGACCTTGGCCACTGGGTGAGAGTAAGATGGGTCAAGGACGAGATTGACATTTGCAGCGGCCTGACTGCTTACAGCCGAGGAGGTGGATGGGTCAATATATTGCGCATCTGACTGATCTGCAGTACCGTGCCTCGAAGTAATTACTCGCAAGCGGTATATGGGAGACTTGTTCTGTCTGTCCAAACCCTGCTGGACTTGTTGAGCCAGTTCTGTGGTGGTTGCAAAATCGAGATGACCAGCAGCGAGGGCAACGTGCACAGGGAACTCGAGTTTACATGTCTTTTCATTGTTTAGTAAAAGATATAAGATGGGGTAAGAGAGCGAGGCATACCTGACCTGAGGCCCATGCATCCATAGACTCCAAGGGCAGTGCAGCGCGGGGCACTGTGGTCGTGGCGTACCAAATAGGCAGGCCGAGCAGACCGACAATGGCCCAGAAGCAAAAGATGATCCATCTACGTGTCTTTATGCCGTGGTTGGATTCTGGCGGTGGTTGTTTAGTGGCCAAAACAGCATGGACGACACCCTCAGCAGGAGCGTCTTTGGTGACACTTTCAGCCTGTTGAGCGTCCATTCTACTTCTTGAAAGCACCGAACACTGGACGAGTGCCAGTCGAAAGGAGAACTTGAGGCCGGAGCTCGGTGAGCAGCGGCTAGGGGAAGATCTTGGCGATGGGAGCCTCGGAGGCCGGATAGCAGATTATGATTGGCGCGCCGGTAAGCCACACTTTCCAACAGGATGGGGCTGAGGCAGGCGCAAGTAGAACAGGTACGAGTTCGCCAACCAAGCCGCGTGTTCCGCTTGATCTGGTCTATTCTGGGTCCCTTTTCATATGTGTGCCGTTTGGCCTCAGTCCGAAGCTGTCTTTTGTTTACTCTTCCACCGTTCATCGATATTTCTTGACAAAAAACCATATAGTATTTGGCACGAGTCGCGTGTCTCATAGTTGCAAGATTCCGCGGCCGTTGCGACTCTTCAGCCATTCGTCATCGGTTGTCCAAAAGTCGTTCCTGAGGTCCGTGCGGTGTTGGGGTTGGTTCTCGACGAGAGTCTGCACATATCTTATAATACATGCTTGCCAGCCATTCCGGCGTGCTGCATTCAGTATCAGATATGGTCGTCATGATCAAACGTGCCCTCCAGACGAGCGACAGGTCTGGGAAGACCAAGGCTGCTATCGTAAGACGACATCCGAATTAGACTGATAATGCCTCATAGCAAGCTGACATGTTCAACAGATTGTAGGTAGTGTTGGTGCTGCTCTTCTTTTCGCCATTATTCTCTTCTTCGTCCTAAGGAGTATCCGACTACCGAAGAATATACGACGAGCGCAGGCCGAAGCGCGCGCTCGTGCTCGCGCTCAAACACCACACCGACCATGGAGCGAACGCATCTTGTCGCCTTTCCGTCGCAAGCACAATGCGTCTACCACTACTCCTGCTCGCGAGATGACCCTGGACCCCGAAGCTGCTGTCAATAGGCACACGAGCATCCGTAGCATCGCCACTCTTCCCGCCTATTCCGCTGTACCACATGAGAATGAGGGTGTCCTTGGTCGTGAGGGCGAACGAGCAGGCATGGATACCGTAGTCGAGTTCCCCGAGACAAACGAGGAGGAAGAAGGCAGAAGAGAGGCCGAGATGGAGTCTCTTTGGCAGATTCGCCAACAGCGAAGACAAGAGGCAGCTGAAAGAGAAGACCGTCGACGTCGTCGTCGTGAGGCACGTGCTAGAGGTGACATGGAAGCTCTCAACGCTCTGCGGCATGAGACTGCTCTACGAGTGACTCTGGAGCGTGCCAACGGCTCGAGCAACATGGTGGCCGAACATAATGCCAGGCCGAGGGAAAGAAGAATTAGTGCTGTCTCGTATGGCGACCTTGGTGTTGCCCGTCATGACGGCACACGAGTGCGCGCAAACTCGACAGAGTCGGACAGCAGACCCCTGCTTAACGATGCTTCCAACGCAGGTACTGCTGCTCCCCTACGACCCTGGCTGTCTCGCGCTTCCTTCTCTACTCATCATCGCATGGCTTCTGCTACCTCGGTCCTTACCACCGATAGTCTTGACCAGGATGATAGCGATTACGAGGTCATTTCTCTTCAACAGACTTCCTCTCGCCCTCGCTCTTCTCGTATCCATTCTCGAGCCCACTCCATCAACCTGAGTCTTAGGAGAACCTCGACCTCACAGATTCCTCAGCTTCCTCGACCGGATGGCGACCTGGGTGAAAGTCGTATTCCTCTTCCCGAGCTGCCGCGTTACGACGCTATGGGCTTTGACGAGGCCCCGCCCTACGAGGAAATTCACTCCTCGCGTCCCTCTCTTTCCAGGGCGAACAGCCAGTCGCGCCCTTCACTCTCCAGAACTGACAGTCAAACACGAGGAAGCGAGAACAGCAGCCCGTTGTCATCTCTGCCCGAGATCGTCCGCCTCCCAAGCATCCGCATCAACGAGGCATCACCAACAGAGTCTCCACGTCATTCCACATTTCCAGCAAATCTGAGACCGACGACCGCCTCAACCATTGATGAAGAAACGACCTAAACACCATATCACGACCTCTCCACTTATGCTTATCATGTTTCCTTATATCTTGTTTTGATCTACGACTTGCATGACTCTTTTCCTTTCGGTCTCTTTCTTATTTACCTAGACTGTCGAGGCATTGCATTCATCGCATTCGCTTAGCGCCGGCGTTAGGTGAGGGAGCTCAAAAGGCATCCTTCAAAGTTGATACCAAAGCATAAACTACTATTTTTTCTCTCTCGGATACTGATATATGCAACCACATCTTTGGCATTTTCAGTTGTCTCCTCTTGGTATTCACATTGTGCCCTCATTTCAATTGCCTTTACCGCATATGCAGGTGGTTAAGAACAAGAACCCTAAAACAACAATCAGTGTGGTCTGTGCCCACGCACGTGTTGGCATCCCTCGATGATACTTGACTACACTCACCCGAGTCCATATCGCAAACCTCGCAATTATATGCCGTGCTGATATGCCTCGGAGATCTTTACTTGCTCATGGGTGTCAAGCGAGCGATTTCGGTATCGGTAAGGCCTAGCTTTGCCCTACAGACATGGCGAACGAAATCGCCCACGTGCTCCCCAGGTGGGTGGAGCGGCAGGCATATAAAGAGCAAGATGGGTGCACAGAGAAGACTGGAAGAAGGTGTTTCACACGTCTTTTGATCTACAGTATGGCTTTTACTGCTGCGAGTCTGTTTGCTCTGGGTGTTATTGGAAGGTAAATACGTTCCTTGTGTCTCGCATTTGTTTACTCTTCCCTCAACTCTATGCCTCACCTCTCCGTACAGATTATTGGCACCTCTCCGTACAGATTATTGGAAACACAAATGCTATCCTATGTCTTCACAATGCACAAAATGTGATGAACGGCTTTGACTGAAGTAATCGCTAATACCAAGTCAGCTCTTCGGGCACCTTCATCCCTAAACCTCAAGCATGCGATAATATTCAAGCTGGCTACCAATGCCAACCACAGATCAGCCACTTCTGGGGGCAATATTCGCCATTCTTCTCTGTCCCATCAGAGATTCCTAACAACATCCCTTTGACCTGCTCCGTCACGTTCGCACAGATCCTGTCAAGGCACGGAGCTAGAGATCCCACAGCCTCAAAGACTGCAAAGTACAATGCGACGATCACAAAGATCAAGAAGAATGTCTCCAGTTTCAGCGGCAAATATGCTTTCCTCGCCGACTACGAGTACACGCTTGGAGCCGACCAATTGACAGATTTCGGAAGACAGCAAATGGAGTATTCGGGAGAAAAATACTATCAGCGCTATGCCGGCCTTGCTCGCAAATCTGTTCCATTCATCCGCTCCTCCAGCGAAGACCGCGTAGTCGAGTCTGCAGAAAAATGGATCGACGGATTCACAGAAGCCAAATCTGGAGATTGGTGGTCTGATAAGAGATATCCTTCTGTGGATGTTGTCATCAGTGAGGCTACTGGTAGCAACAACACACTCAACCATGATCTCTGCACCACTTTTGAAAACGGACCGGACTCGACGATTGCAGATTCTGCACAGAAGACTTGGGTTTCTGTGTTTGTTCCTGCTATTCAGCAGAGGATCAACAATGATTTACGCGGTGTCAATCTCACTCAGACGGAAATCATCTATCTGATGGATTTGTGTCCTTTCAACACTGTTGCTTCACCTACTGGTGCCATCTCACCATTCTGCTCCTTGTTCACAGAGACTGAATGGCAAGACTATGGATACTACGAATCTCTCAACAAATACTACGGCTACGGTGCTGGAAACCCTCTTGGACCTACACAAGGTGTTGGCTTCACTAATGAACTCATTGCTCGCCTTACCAAAAAGCAGGTGCAAGACCACACTTCTACAAACCGTACTCTGGATAGCAATTCTGCTACTTTCCCTCTCGATCGCGCGCTGTATGCGGATTTCAGCCATGATAATGATATGACTGCTATTTTCTTTGCGCTTGGCCTTTACAATGGTACCGCCCCTCTGTCTAATACTACTGCACAGACAACGCAGCAGACCAATGGTTACTCGGCTGCTTACACTGTTCCCTTTGGAGCCAGAGCGTACGTGGAGAAGTTGCAATGTCTGGGACATGCAGAGGAGCTGGTCAGAGTCATTGTCAATGATCGGGTCATCCCTTTGAAGAGCTGTGGCGCTGATTGGTTGGGAAGATGTTCGCTGCCCGCTTTTGTGGATAGTCTTTCCTTTGCAAAGAGTGGCGGTGCTTGGGGAAGCTGTTTTGCTTGAATCAACATGGCGAGAAAAAAAATGTCTCTAGAAAAGCTTTCTCGTAACGCGATAAAAATTATACTACAAACTTTCAGCAAGACATTACCATGAAGAGTTTAGCTTCCAGAGTTCAGCTTGACGATAGCCTCGTACAGGGGGACAAACAAAGCACAATTGCCATCCACAGTACTCTGAGGCAAGACAGTGACGCCACTTCCCTTGACCCCTCCCACATCACCCAAAATACCAAGATCCCAAGCTCCTTGTTCCACACTAGCATACGAATCCGTCAATACTCCACCCAACAAGCCATCAGATGCCGTGGACAGAATGACTCCAGCAGCACCAGTACCCACAGCATTCCACCCGGGTCCATTAGCCGGATTCTTTGCAAAAGTAGCCCAAGCACTACGCATATACCGGCTCAAGGCGTATTCTTGGGTAGTGATGTTGTAGGTTGGGTATGTTGAGAACACAAGCGGTATCTCAGAAGAGTGATAGACGCCTAGATTAGGGAAGAGCTGAGTGTTTGCGAATGAGGCATTGAAGTAGTATCGCCAGGTAGGTATGCCACTTGCAGCTGATGCATTGGCCCAAAGAGCTTGTGACTGGAGAAGGGAGTAAGCAGGATGTTTGATCACCCCAGATGTAGAAGATTGACTTACACATTGGAAGTAATAGTCGGTGAAGATCTGAGAGGCTACATCGTAAGGCGTTTGCGAACTATTAGCAGCTAGTGGGTATGCCTTCTCAACCAAAGGAATGATACTTGGAACGCTGCCGAAGAAGCCATTGAGAAAGGTTGTGAGGTTTGTGGTACCGACTTCGAATACACGTCCCTCCTGTGCATTCGTACCACCCAAAACAGGTATCTTGGCAATCTCACCCAAGACACGTCTTTGAGCAGGATTCGACACGAGCGTAACGTTGTCAGGAATCGGGCTGAACACGAGACTATTGACCTCGATGATGCGTTGGATAGTAGTTGCGTTGGCTGCTCTGACACAGCTCAGATTGCTCGAGAAACTTCCGGGACATCCAAGTTCGCCAGAAAGATTGTACCATGCAGGTTTGTTGTCAACCATTAGCTGAGGTCTATAGCTATATTGACCACTCTGTAAGATTGCGCCTCGGAACGGTGGTGTCGAGTTCTTTGGGAAACTGGTGAGCAGGGAGTCCACAGAGAATGCTCCAGCCGACTCTCCAAATATGGTAACTTTGTCAGGGTCACCGCCAAAGGCATAGATGTTACGCTGCACCCATTCTAGAGCGAAACGTTGATCTAAGAAGCCCAAATTGTGTCCAGTCAAAGGTAACTCCGGCGAGCTTGGGAAGCCAAACACATTCGTTCTGTAGTTCGTAGTCACGACCACCACATCTTCGTAGCCGGCCAAGTGGCTTCCATCATAGGCAGGCTGTCCAGCGTTTCCGAATTCAAGAGAACCTCCGTAGATCCAGAACATTACTGTCCTGCCTTTGCGACTGTCAGGCTCTGTAGCAGGGGCGTAGACATTCAGGTAGAGACAATCTTCCGACTCTTGAGGCGGCGGGTTGTTGAACACCAGCTCGGTAAACTGCTGTGCGACCAAAGGATCTAAAATGGTCAATTACGCTATACGTAAATGTGTTCAGTGAATAATCTTACAATTGAACTGCTGAATACAGGCCGGCTTCCAAGCTGTTGCGTTGATAGTGGATACTTGACATGCAGGTCTTGGTGGTGAGAATCTTTCAGGCGGTGACTGAGCAAATGGTATGCCGAGGAATTTGTTGACAATCGCAGTTGCAGCTGGCAGACTAGTCGTTGTACCTATAACCAGTCCATTCTCAATGCGTGCCGTCGGGCCATTGTAGCTAGAGCCCGAGGCATGAGCGCTCGCCAGACCAACAATGGAAGTCCAGAGGAAAAATTGACGCATCGTAAGTATTGCAAGGAATCACACTATGAAAAGCAAGCTGGATGTCTGAAGGTCATCTGGCAACTTATATATGTCTACCTGGACAAGGTTCTGAGACATATTCCGACCGAGGAAGTCTGCAAGAATGGAAGCACTAAGCGGACTAGGCGGCAGGAGCGCGTGTGAAAAACAACCAAGCGCGGCACAGATCGATGGTATATTGAAAAATGTATTCATTAGTAGTATTGTATGCATAGCGGAAATTAGATTTACTTGGCCGCATACCTAGTTTTACTATTATAATTGTTCTCGAAGGTGAAGTCAATGAGGCTGACAGACTGACTCTGTGTCCTGCCATTCAGGTACAGAGTATATCACACCTTCATCGGACAAGGGCGTCATACAAAGCCAGAGAGTAGATCGTCCGCAATATTACTGTGACGTGCAGATGGGATATTGCGGGGTAATGCAATGCAAGCTTCCGTGATCTCCTTGCATAGCACCTCAGACCTGGTTACGAAAATGCCGAGGCACAAAATCATTGTTCGGGTACAATCCAGACGCAAGCGTACGAGGCCGCACGGAACTTATTCGGGACTCGCATATGTGTTTGGAGGGCATTAAACAGCGACTTACAAGACTATGAGGTCCTCGGCCAGCTCAGCCCAGTAATAGAGATCGCGAAATGATCATTTCTTGGAAACCCATCAAGACCACAACAATGCCATTGAGACATGGACAATCATGATTGTGAGCCTCGAAAGTGCCCAACGGTCGTGCCGTGGTTTCATCGAATCGAGCGCTTTCTCCTGGACCCGAGAGCCGACTTGAAAGCGATGCCAGGAGACAGACTGGAAAGGGCGTAAAGAGTGATCAGTAGAGCAAAGGTCGACGTTTGACGACATTTTCCAAGGACAGCGGGTACAACCAATCAAAAGCATTGAATTGTCAGCTTGCTTGCTTCTAGAAAACACTGACGGCAAAACCAGGACCGTGCCTCCTCGCAGATGAAAGAATTTGTTTCTGGAAGTCAAAGCATGTCATGGCGATGGCGCCTGCTTGGACTCGAATGGTTAGCATCGACGACTGTCCAATGAGATGTTAAAAGACTGTAAGCAAGTGGCTGTCCAAAAGACTCGGATGGCTTGCTCTCCGGCGGCGGCTGTCGCCGTTCGTGGGGATGCAGTTTCGTGAGCCAATCAAATTGTCTGCAAATAAGCATCCAAAAGAATGCTCCACGCGTTGGTCAACGGCTTTCTCTAAACACATCCAAGCTTGATTCTGCTTCAAGTCGCGATCTTGGAATACAAGGAGAAATTCTTGAGACAGTGCTCGGCGGAAGGTGCTATGAAGCAACAAAAAGTGCTCGATGCCTTTACCAAGATGCTAAGAACCGCTTTCGAGTTTCACAGTATAACAAGCTCCGGTTTGTACACCGCGGAAGCTCCATGGTGTAGGTAAATGGCTTGCGGGGGAGGCACATGAGTAGCGCGTGGAAAAAACTGGTCAGGGCTGCTCTTGACGCATTACCAACGTCTCGTACAGGTATTTATATTATCAGAGTCCTCCTCCTGTCGACGTACAATCATCTCTTCCACAACCTCATCGCTTGCCCATCCTCTTCTCATCTCTATCCATCTCCAGAGCAAGCATTCAGCAAACCTCTCGTCCATACCATCACACTGTCTTTTCTACATCATGGCACTGCTCTATATCAAGAACATTATCTTTCCGGCAAAGAAACAAACTGCCTTGTTACCATCTTTCAAACAGCAACAACAATACGGCTCTTGTGACTCGGCATCAGAGATATCTCAAGCTGGTTCTGACACCTCGACATTGAGAAGCGAGGCTGGGAGCTCTTCATCTTCGTTCCGTGTAGACCCCCGTATCATCTCAGATGCTACTATCGGTCTATCAGACGGCCTCACAGTACCATTTGCCCTCACAGCCGGCCTCTCGGCACTCGGAGACACAAAACTCGTTATCTATGGCGGACTCGCAGAACTCATAGCTGGTGCGATAAGCATGGGACTCGGAGGATATCTAGGCGGCGTTAGCGAGGCGTGAGTCAATCTACAATCCTACCTTCCTACTCAAAAACCCTAACCACTAACAAGCAAGCAGACAATCTTACGCAGCCACACTAGCGGAAACACAAAAGACCGTAACTCAAGACCCGAAAGAAGCAAACCAGATCATAAAATCGACATTCCACTCCTACGGTCTCTCCGAAGATGTTCTCGACGCTTTCGCTACACAAATCAGCTCTTGTCCAAAGAAATCGGAAAACTTCATTATGCGTTTCCATCACGATCTTCCAGAGTCGCAGGCAGATATGTCACGAGCCTATATTTCAGCATTGACGATTGCTCTTGGCTATTTTTTGGGTGGTCTGGTACCTCTTACACCTTACTTTTTCGTAAGCGACAACCAGACCGCTTTATGCTGGAGTATTGGTGTAATGGCTTTTGCTCTGTTCGTCTTTGGCTATGTCAAGACTTTCTTGGTTGGCGAGGAGAAGCGGTTACTCTGTGTAAAAGCGGGTGTTCAGATGATGGTCCTGGGTGGTGTTGCTGCTGCTGCGGCCATGGGCTGTGTCAAGGCGATAGGATCGTAAGGGCTGACACATCTATTCCGATTGCCAGCCACGCCCCATGCTATAACGAACTTTATGACATTTCTGTTTTTGTACTACCATGTAAAAGATACCCATTCTATTTTGCAAAATAAGCATTACAAATTATTCGTCTTCCTCTTATCCGTGTCACATTCCATTCTACCATCGCAGCCAGAACGTTTCGCGCGGAAGCTTCGGAGCCTCTTCCAAGCCTTCTCCCAACCAAAAGTATAAAAGAGACCATCACATCGCTTGGACACGCTCAACAAAAAACAAAAATGTATGCTCTCCATCAGGGAATCGAACCCTGGTCTCCCGCGCTTGACGAGATCTTACTCCTGACAAGCGGAAATCATGACCACTAGACCAATGAAGATAAGCCAGCTTTGCTGGTATTGGTTTATGGATGACCGGGAGAAAGTATGATATATATCGCTGCAATCGCTCAAACATCGCGTGGATCTCAATCAGTGCATATGGCTCTATAGAAGTCGGAGACCCATCATGTGTGAGCCTCCTCTACCCAAGTCTAAGCTAAGTAAGTCATTCAGTGTTCCTAGTGTCGATCTAAATTGCTTTTGCTCGATCGATCTGGTGCTGGATTAATCACTCTCCGGGACCTGTTTTACTTAGGAGTGAGTCACGAACAAATAACGACCCAGAGTACATATTCGTGTATTAGTCAACCACAACACATCCCAAGAGATCCAGTTCGTGATCGGATCTATATACAGCATTATAAGAGGCGTATAATCTTAAGGAATACCTTCAATGACCATGGGGAAGCTCATTGTGATCTCGTTGATAGCTAGAAAGCTTGTCGAACGTATCACCCTGTCTATTCACTCTCGGTGGCTGAGACTGTTTGAAAATGGCTGGAAATCTAGACCTCAAGATCGTCATCGAAACGATGATGGGAGGTTGGGAACGAGCACCAGAGATCTGAATGACGTGTCAGGAAGTCTCGACACTCAAGATTCTCAAAAGCTGTGATACTTGTACAGATAGTGAAGCCCAGCCCAACCTGTCAACAGACCATGACATGAACCGAGCTGTAAAGTGCGTGCATGAAGAGGAAAAGAACCCACAATTTCCAACTGACGATATTTCACTCATCAGATAAACTCAAGCAATCAACCGCCGCCTGTATCTGATCCCTCATCCCACCCAATGCCTCGAAAGCAATAGAGTAATTATCCAGTGCTGCGAGTATAGCCCTCAACCCTCCCTCACATCTCTCCAGAAGCTGTCCTGCTTTGACTCTTCCATCTCCAACCTGTTGTTGCGCAAGTACCCAAGTTCGATGATATACCATAAGTAAAGCGTACGCAGATTGCATAGCACAACAAGCAAATGAAGGCATAGTACGCGGTTGCAATGGCGATATCGTGTGGGGGAAAGGTAAACTCTCAAATGCTGCAGCGATGGCCAGAGCAGAGTTCAGGCATAAGCGCGAAGAGTCGTGGCTGCTGAAGGGGAAAGGATGGAAGTAGTCGGTAGTGGTAGAGGATGATGTTGTCGAATTTGGAGGGGAGACGGAGGTCGTGAGACTGGGCACTTGAGTCGGTAGAGCAGAGCTGCAGCCACAGGACGGTGACGAGTCGACAGACATTTGATCCAATGGGTCGCCATTTGTGGGAAGTAGTGGTTCGGACTTTTTGAGATCGCAGTGCTTTTCTGAAAATACCGGAATGTCGAAAAAGGCACAGTAGCGATGGAGCTTTATCCTTGCACTGTTGTTTCACAATGTTGATCAGTCGATGGCTCCTTCCTTCTCCTTGTTCACCATCACTTACCTATTAAGTTTGATCTTGGACATTTGCTTCAAAGAGTACGCGGTCATGGCTTCGGGGTCATCAGAAGCTGGGTTTGAGTCTGTCCAACTGCAAGCTTGTGCAATCAGAGGTTCGATGGTGTTGTGGAGCTCTTGCATGCGTGCAGAGATGTCTGTCCAGTCTTCTCGTCCATCTACCGCACGACCTACCGCGGAGACGAACTGAGTCGCTAGAAGGATAGTCTGTTGTGACTTGATGAAGAAAGGCCATGCCTGGTAGAGATGTCAGTCGCGACCTTATACTCATACCGATGTGTCTTCATACCTCTGGATCTGATGCTTGTGGAAAGCTTGTTGTAAACCGAGAGTCGAACAGCGGTATTGCTGGAGGCTGTCGAAAGGATTAGCACACCCAAGCATATATATCGTAGCTCGAGAACGTACCGCAGAGCTAACGATCGAAGCCTGGCAGATGCAAATGTACTGTAATTCAAGTAAGCCCACTGGGTACTGCTTGTTTCAATGTTGTAAACTCACGGTCATCCACCAGACTCTCCTCCTCGACTCGGCATAAAGATCAAGTTCAGTGCCGCGATCATGCAATGACAAATTCATTGCCATAATCAGTGCTTGGCTAGCCCGATCTCTCATCTTCGTGATGTTTCCACGCTGTGCATACTCGTACACGCTAAGTATACTTAGCGCAACAACACTTTCAAGCTCTATCGGTACGCGCACATGAAAAGCAGGCCGTGAGATGTGCGAACGTTCGTCCAGCAGGGCTTGTGCTGGTGAGATGGATGAATTGGGTATTTCCGAGTCGCTTTCCATCCTTTCCAGTGTGCGTTTCACGAAGACTTGAGCAGCTTCTCTGCGAGCTCTAATGCTTTCTTCCTCAAAGGGTGCTCCTTCTTCTGGGTGAGGGATCAAGGCCAGTATTGCAGAGATGGCAAGACCAGTTGGTGAGAGAGAGTCATATGTAGTACCTGACGATCCTGGATACCAGAACTGCGGGTTGTCCTTAGGATGACCATTTACTGATGCAGGGAGAATTGGGAAGTACGGGTGTAACCATATGTAGTAGGCGTCCAGACTGAACCATCCTATGAGACTTTGTACAGAAGCAAAGATGGGAAGAGGAACTCACATGTCACTATCCGATCGATATCTTCGTACAGATCCAGTCTTTCGTGGAATGTCATCTTGCTGATCAATAGCTCGAGGTAATGGTGCTGCTGTAAATATACTGTCAAACAGCGTATCTGTGTTGTCGAAGTTCAAGTCCAGTTGCGTCAACCCAGCACCAGGTTTGACCATAGTTGGCACAGATTCGTCGAAACCTAGACATTGTCAATCGACCATTGCTAGTTGGCTGACACACAAGAGGCCTGACATTCTTGTGCAATCTTCACATAGTCTGCTTTCTCAGAGTCTTGATTCTTACTGCGTGGCACACGAGCACCACCTCGTCGACTCTGGACATAGATGCATTCTTTCCTGCGGTGATTACACTTTCGAACGTCAACTACAGTCCGCGGAGCGAGAAAAAATCGCCCTGACTTACTCCAGAACATGGATCCTTTCCATCACATCTGATACGAGATGAACGACTTTACAGGGCATCATCAGCAAATGCCATGCCATCCGCTTCAGTTCTTCATACACACCAAGATAAGCAGGCTACTTTGACCGGAGGGACTGCGAACGGCTTTTTACGAATGCCAGTGCTACTCTTCTGACGCGTTTGGGTCTCTGTGCTCATAGTGAATTGTGATTGTTTGATGTTGAAAAATTCATGTAATGATGTAGCGAGGAAGCATACGAGGTCAGGGAATACCAATCACGTACTCGAGTAGTGGCAATTAATCTCGACTCATTGGACGCTTAGAAGAGGAAGTCGGGACGAGCCTGAGGGCAAGGGTTTCTCGGCCGTTTCGGACTCTAGATCCTGAATTTGGTGTTCGATCGCGATTTTTTACTCGGGTCACGTGGTGGCCTGATTCGTCATGTAACAGTTCCTATTCTCCCATAGCAACAATGTAGTAATTGAAAAGGAGCTATCTAAAAAAGTTTCTACAAGTTCAACAATGCTTCACCTAGCAAAGAGCAAATTTTTAATGTCCCCCAATCATAAAATTCATTCGTAAAAAAAGAGGTTTTTTTTTTTGAAAATGCCAGCATTCTTAGCGCCAAGAAAAGAAGATTTCGAACAAAGACATTATCCCAAACCCATGATCATGATATTTACTTGAGAAGGGGCAACAGAAAGAGGGAGAGTAGAATTGTAGTATCAGACTGCCACTGCCTTGGGCTGCGCACCAGGCGGAAGCTTGGGAAGTGGGAGTGATGGAGGCGGTGCGGGTGGTGCTAGACCGAGGATTGGCATGCCTAGATCAAGTGGTGGCAGCGGCGACGAGGAGGGCTTTTGGACCATAGGAGCCCTGGGTAGACTAGCTACACCACGGAGGCACGGTACAGATTCAGCCTTGGTAAGATGAGGGCGATTTCCGGCAGTCTTGGGTCGGACTGAAGAGAGGAACGGGGCATGGTTGGTACGAATTTGGATGCTGGCTGGTCTACGAAGAGGACGATCTTGAGATCGTACCATGTCATCTACTGGTGAGGGTGGAAGGGCTTTGGCGTGAGAAGGAGCCGATGTTGGCGCGGCCACATTATCAGCATTGGGGAAGAGTGAGAGCTTGATCGAAGGCGTTCGTTGAGGCTTGCGAGAGAAATTCTCAACAGATCTATCGACCGGCCTCGAGGGCATTGTTGGTATGGCTGGTAGCGCTCTTGTCGGCGGAGGCGCCGGCTTATGAGGCGATTGTGAAGGTCTTTGTCGAGGTAGGGATGTGCCGTTCGAGGACGGGTTGACTTTCAAAGGCAAGCGCTTCATAGGCGGCGAAGGTGTTTGCTGAGTGGTTGACGCTGACAACCCATCAGACACCTTACGTGCTGGCCAGAGTAGGGGGAAGTCGGCGACAAATGAGTCAGGACGGGGTCTGCCAATGATGGGGTTTGGCTTTGGGCGTTGGAGCTGGCCAGTCGTCGCAGATCTTGGAAGAACTGGACTATCAGTATCAAATTCGTCATGCAAAGACCCTATCGAGGACTTTTGGGATGCATTCTTATCACGAAGCATGCGCTTCCCAGCACTCATGCCGAAACTGACAGCTGAATCGTGAGTAGTGACAGAAAGAGGCGAGTCATTTGTGTCGAAAGACGCCATCTTCCTAAGTCTATCAATACCGTCACGCTCTGGTAAGGGCTTGCGAGAAATCGTCGCGTTCGAGTTCCTCCTTTGGTAGGAGTGCATTTCAGTCACCTCGGGCTGGATAAACGGCGCAACCCCAGCACTGGAATCACGTCTCAGTCCACCTGCGGATCCTATTTCAGGACTGGCCTTTGGAAACGAGAAATTCGTGAAAGCTGGCTGGTCTTGTTGACTGATGGAGACACGTTGCTTGATGCGCAACTTTGGTGCTATCGTGCTTAGCTTCTCAAGAGCTTCAGGCTTCACGCCATCTCCCAAGACTGCACCCAAGATGACGATCTGCTTCCTCACGGCGTTCATCCAAGAGGTGAGCTCTTCGGCAGTGCCCAGGATAATGAGTATACTGTGTTCGCCCACACGAGGGAGGTTTTCTTTGAGTCCGATCTTTGTGAGGAGTGATGTCTGCGAGTGAAGCATGTGATGCTCTGAAACAGCACTCGGCTTTTGATCTACTTGCAAAACATAAGGCCTTCCAGGGACCAGGTCACATGCGAAGGCGACAGACTCTTGTCCTAGCTGTAAAGCTCGTTCGGGTAGTCTTTCACCTCCACCCTTCTCAGGATACTGGAGAATGAGACCATCGTTGGAGAGAGCGAAGATCTTTCTCTGGAAAGGTCCTTGACTGAGAGAGTTCCTGCCACTCCTGCTTTGTGCCTTGTGATCGCCTTTGATGCTGTCGACACTGCCTCTTCTTTCCTCGTGGATATGTACTGGTATGATGTGTGATGCGTTTGATTTCCGAGGTCTGGTCAAGCGAGATGTACCAGACTCGTCAATGGCCTGCGCAATGGTCACTTTACTCGAGTCTGAGTAGATGTCGAACAGCGTCGGTAAGGATGGCGTCTCGTCCTCTTCCTTGACATCCTCAGAAGTGGGGGTGCGGCTCCGGGCAAGTTTTCGAGGGTCCTCACGAACGGACAATGAAGTGCTAGGTCGACGGTGTACTGTTTGCGGTCCGTTGTTGGCACGAGGGGATGGTTCGCGCGCAATCAAATCTGGACTTGGTGTAGCCCGCCCGGGGTCAATGATTGGAGTGACGGCATAACCAGACTCGTTGAAACCTCTTTGCTTTTCCACCTTTGGTCTGCTGAAAAGGTTGAATATGCTAGATTTCGGGTTCAGTCGTCGGTATCCTCGTCCTGTCCGGTTCGAGCTTGGCGTGTCTCTCCCGTTATCCTTTGGGGGTTCCCTTATAGCCGGTAAAGGTTTATCTTTAAACGAAGTTTGGATCGGAGGCAGATCCTTGAACTTGCTCGTGTTGATTGCGTCAAAAGCGTCATTCTGATCGGCCGCCATCTGGCCTTTCAGTTCATCCAAAAAGCCGAGTCTCTGATGAAACGAGATGGACGGGTCGAGAAGAACAGTGGAAGGAACAGAGGAAGATGAGCGAACAGCTAAGAAAAGAAGCAAAGGAGCCGTGAAAGCGGCATTTGGGTTATGACAGGAGCGGACGTGGGATAGGAAGAAAGAAAATGAAGGAACAACAGAATTAGATTAGCCATGTTGTATTGGGATGTCGAGGGCTTAGTCGGCCCAAAGTTCTATCTGAAGCAAACGAGACAGTGGAGGCGGACCATGCGGACCGCGCACGCAAGCGGATTTAGCAGGACCCATTTGGAGGTCGTGCTGTAGGTGGCGTGCAAGCAAGCAATAAAAGGTCGAGTCGAGGAGAGTCGCAGTAGCACCGAGCAGACGGTCCTCGGACACGCATTACAGCACAAAAGAAAAATTAGGAAAACGATGGATTGAGAAATCTGCACGCAGCACTGTGACAGGCAAGGGCAAGTGTGCAGGCGGGATGATGGAATCGACACCGGTGCAGTGGGTTGCAGATGAAACTCGGCTGGAGGAGGGGACGAGCGTGGACGATGGGAGTCGGGCATGCTGAAACGAAGGTAATTTGCATAGCCGGCGTGCACGCCCAGACGCCAAAAAACCAAGCGGGTCGATAGCATGGAGCGGAAGGCGCGCCAGATCTCCCGTCTACGATGCAAGCATGGACTGTAGAGAGAGTCGAGGTTGGAGGTTATCGGGAGCGTACCAAAGATGAGCATGAGGGGGGGAAGACGGAAAGTGGATTGCTCGAGAGAAGGTCAAAGCATCTTGATTGTAAAAGTGGCCATGTGCATGTGGTATTGGCGAAGCTTTTCATATTTAGGACAGCTACATGCATGGCACCATGGATTGGTTCAAACCTTGTTGTAGAGTATAGGGGTTCACAGAAGAGCAAGTAGTTGGCTAGAGTAACGCTGTACGAGGCCGCAAGAAAAGGATGAAGGCTTCGGAGGTGAGTGGAAGCAAATGGCAGGGACAAACGGCGCGACCGCGGGCAGTCGAGGGCAGCGTCGCGGTTGTCGAGAACAAGACAAACGCAGCAGCTTCGGCATGCAGGAACTCCAAACGGGAGAACAGGAGCACAGAAGTGGCCGCGAACACAGCAAAAAGTCTCTGAAGCAAAGTCAACCAAACCTTGTGAAGAAGATTGAGGGTTTGGCCGTTCACGTGGTGTGTCTTCGGACGACAGGCGTGATGTAGGGATCAGGGTCTGTCGAGGCTGAACAAAGCCCTCGGAGGCCTGACGTATGAGAAGGCTCAAGCGACCCGACACAATACATTGTTATCCCGAGTGAAGCGATGCACGGATATCTGATGCATTGTTGACTTGGCTAGACAATGGAGTCAACGGCCGACACGAGATACGATGGTCACAGGGTGAGAGATGGGTAGGTACGAGTGAGGGTGGTGGAGTGACAGTGAGTCGAGGTGAGGTGAGCGGGGCAGCTTTTGGCAGCAGCGGTCAAGCAACAAAGTCATGCATATGAAGAAGGCGCCTGAAATAAAAACATGGCTCCAGATCTCAACTCGCTCCCTCCATCACCAACCCTAGGACGCACGCCAGACACCATGACTGCCGCCGAGAACCAGCCGTCGCCGCATTCGCCGTCGCTTTCGTCGCTCCAAGCAGCTGCAGCCATCAATGCCGGCATGCGCAACTCGCACTCTCCACGCGCCAGCGCCACCCAGCGCAGACGATCCAGTCTAATGACCAACCTGCATCTGAACGATGCCCAAATGCCTGGTCCTGGAGAGATGCAAGACTCACATCACCACCGCGCCCCTAGCCTGGGCCAGATGCACCAAGAGCTGGAGAACGAACAAGAGGCCCAAGTCAATAGACTGCTGCAAATGATCCGAGCACAACAAGACCAGATCGACGAACTGCACGCCGATCAGCCTGCCACTGCCACTGCCACTGCTGGCACCCCCTCGGACTCCGACACCAGGCCGCGCACTCTGTCAAGCTCGAGCAGACATCAACCGCTGCCTCAGCGTCCCGTTTCGTTATCGCGACACTCTTCGCAAGCCGTATCCGTCACCAGTGGCCCCCGAAGCAGCAGCAGATCTCCCGCCCTGCGTCCCGTCGTCTCACCACACGACCCGATGCGCGAGGACTGGCTGCTTGGTGCAAACCGCGACGAGAGTGCCTTCTACCAAGCAGAGACGCAGATGCTGACGCGCGAGAACCAAATGCTCAAGGCCCGTATTCGCGAACTTGGTCAGTCATATCACACACCTTATGCCAATCTCTCAACCAACACACACTGACCAACCACCGCAGAGCGCCAGCTGGCCCATCCCGACCCATCACCTACTCATCACCAACCACCCGCATCTCACAGTCCCGCTGTCATCTCTCCTCTGACAAGCCCTCCGGTCATCTCCGAGCCCACTCGGCAACAACCTTCATGATCTCCTTCGCCGTCTGACGTGTCACGATTCGCATCTCATCTCAAGCAGGAAAATGGCGTTATCAAGGAGATTCTCGGCCTAGGTACACCACGCCCGACTATTGCTTCCATATACTCTTCTTTGACGTTTTCGAATTCCGTCATCATCTTCTCGAACCTGTGCGTTTCATCGTTCTTGCCATGACCCTTGCTTCATCGCTTGGTCTATAGCCCGATTACTTCTCTCACTTAGGGCCAGCATGTGCCCTCGCTATATTCTACTATGTCGTCTTGTTGAGCTATTCATTGAGCCCTCACGAGTCCCACAGGTGGTCGAGCAATACAACGACGGCCCCACAACCTGTCAGTGGGATTTGAGACATGGACGCGGCTCACAACGTCTTGTATAGGTAAATCCTCCCGCTCCAGACGGCAATATAGGGCTCTAGACGATTACATGTAAGCCCTACACGTGTTTCGCTGCCGAACTCTCATCTATCATAGACTGCCGGCGTTTGTATTCTGCCAAGCACTAACCGTTTCCAATTTGCCCACGCCCAATTGCGTGGACTTTTGATATGGCCGTTTCGATACACAACTGATAGGCTTAACGTCCATAACGGCTCCGGCCAGATGGACTTTTTTCACTGGTCAATTGCCATCTACACAGCTTTTCGACCCTGCATCTCTAATCTTGTACGAGGCGAACAACGTGCCTGGGCTTGTCTTGATTCAGCGACATCTTCAACGTCTACCAGCGTCCAGCTCCTGGACACTCAACATGTGTGGTGTTATTTCTTTTATGCTTTATCTGTTGTGATTGCTATATAACCATGGAGGTCTTCTACTACTCTTTCCTCTTCTTAGGTCCTTCACCAATTAATAGCCCATCTCAAAAAAGCCTCGCCTGGTGCGTTGCTGTCGTCGCCAAATTCTGAATTATTCTTAATCTTTATTTCTCGATCTAATCCTTAATCATGAAGCTTACTGCCTCTGCTATCTTTGCTTCTGCAATCTTACTGCAAGATGTCGCCGGCCGTGGTAAGCCCATCTCTCCCATACATCACCCTGTGTCCAATATTGATAATCTCTCAGTCGTCGAACGTGCTACCGCCACACCTGTCAAGAACGCCGGCAAGCGTGGCCTTTCTTACAACAATGCCGCCTACACCATGCCCTTCTCGTTGTCTGGTCAGAACTCTCAGGTCTCCTGGGCATACAACTGGTACTCAGCAGCCGGTAGCGGCTTGAACCCTGCAATTGAATATGTCCCTATGTTGTGGAGCAATGCTTCCGATCTTACTAGGGACTGGCCTGGCAACGCTCAAGCTGCTATCAATGCCGGTAGCAAAGCCTTGCTAGGCTTCAACGAGCCCGACCTTTGTCTCGCTGGTGCCGGATCTTCCTGTATGGAAATGCCATCAGCCGTCAAGGCATGGAAGCAATACATGGAGCCTTTTGCCGGTAAGGCTCTTCTTGGTTCTCCTGCCGTGACGAATGGAGGCTCGCCTATGGGCTTGACGTGGCTTCAAAACTTCATGGGCAACTGCACTGGCTGCCACATTGACTTCATCAACATCCACTGGTACTCCAACCATTGGGCCGGTGCAAACTACTTCAAGCAGCAAGTTCAGGCAGCTCATGACATGTCTGGTGGCCGTCCCGTCTGGGTCACCGAATTTGGTCTTGACGGCAGCCAAGGCCAAACAACTGCTGATCTCACATCTTTCTTGGAGGAAGTCATGGAATGGATGGACGCGCAGGATTACGTTCACCGCTACGCCTACTTCATGGACACCACTGGCATGTTGATGACCTCTGACGGATCTGGCATGAGCGACTTAGGCTCCATGTACAACTCCTACCCCGAGGTGAGTGCTGCTTCTTCCGCTTCTCCCTCTTCGACAGCTGTGCTGTCCTCTTCCTCGTCTTTGACGGCTGCGCCGTCGATTTCGTCATCATCTTCCGTAACCTCAATCGCTGGTTCGACATCGACTTACGTTTCTTCAAGGACTACGAGTGTGACGACTAGATCGTTAACAACTGGTTCTTCCAATAGCCAAAGTTCTGCCGCCGTATCGACTACACAGAGCTCTTCCTCTTCTACCAAACCTGCCGTCTCGACGACCATATCTAAAATTGGTACTTCGAGTGCGTCGGCCGCTGCAACCGCTCCTGCCGGCATACAAGTTCTCAGCGCCTACTTTGCCGACAAAGACGTTACTGCTGCAGCTCACACTGCTTTTGTGCAGAACGGTAACTTGGTTGTCAATACGTACACACTGGCTTCGGTATTGTCTGTATCAGACCCTTGGTATGGCACCGTCAAGACCATTTCGGTTCTGTACACCTATAACGGCGCCACATACATCTTCGCATCTGCCGAGCAGACCGGCACTTACACAATTACTCCCTCCACCATCCCCGCTTCTGCCATGACACCTTCTGTTGCAGCGACCCATGGCGCAAGTATCACGATCATCGGTATGGTCTGGGGCGCGCAGCAAATCAAGACTGCCAGTGTTTTCGACCGCGTCGACTACCAGCAAGCCACAAACTGGGGCTTCCAGATCAACACCAGTCTGTTCGGCGTCGATGGCTTCTGGGGCCACGCCAAGGTTGGCATAATCTGGTACAGGGATGCTCAGGGTGTGTTGAAGTCACTTTTCAGCAGAGAAGGTGGGTGGGTCAAGTTCTAGAACTGAATTGGACCGTAATCGTACAAAAGTACGTACTCGTACTCTAATAAAGTAATGTTTATCTGATCCTTCTTTCTTAGTGCACACTAGAAGGAAATAGTATTTGCAATAGATTTAGTAGAAGCTTTCTAGACACATCCACTTTGTCTACCTCTGATTCATGGTGAATTTGTTCTAGTCGAGTCAAGGGGGAGAGATTGAGTCATTGGTATTCTAAATTAGAGCGGAGTGGATGTAACCCAAGCGACTCGACTTCGGAGACTCAGGCCGTTGGAGGATACCCCTGAGGGAGCTTGCATGTGAAAGGGCAGGATTGCTCTGAGCCGTTTGCAGAATTGGACTTGAGCGGAATTAGTCCGCGAAGAGACAATCAATGACGCGATTGCCAGTCGCGTCGTCTGGCGAAAGTGGGAAGCACCTGTGCCATCTTGAGCATGATCTAGGACTGTTTTCTGTGTTTGGCAGAGCAGACATTGCAATCACACAGCATCCTCACGTCACAGACTCATATCTCACATTCCAAGATGCGCATCACCACCGCTCTACCACTGCTGCCACTCGTAGCCGCCCTACCGACCACCCACCCCGACGCGAAACCCCTCCCTCTAATCATCTGGCACGGCCTAGGCGACCGCTACGACGCCGACGGAATCGCAGATGTCGCCGCCCTAGCCAACGAACTTCATCCAGGCACCACAGTCTACCCAATCCACCTCGACGCCGACGGCAGCGCAGACTCACGCGCCACCTTCTTCGGCAATCTAACCACCCAACTCAGCTCCGTCTGCGCAACCCTCTCCTCCAATACCACTTTTTCCTCCAACAATACCAGAATAGACGCTTTGGGCTTTTCTCAAGGCGGACAGTTTCTCCGTGGCTTGATTGAGAGATGTCCGGGTATCGAGGTTAGGAGTCTTGTTACTTTTGGCTCGCAACATAATGGTATTGCCAAGTTTCAGAACTGCGGTACTTGGGACTTTGTGTGTAAAGGTGCTATGGCTGCCATGAAGGGAAATGCATTTGGAGAGTGGGTTCAGGGCAATGTGGTTCCTGCTCAATATTACAAGGAGACGAACGAAACTACTGGAGAGCCTACGCAGAGTTATCTGGACAACAGCAATTTCATCGCCGATATCAATAATGAGAGAATTAACAAGACGAGGGAATACAAGCAAAGGCTGGCAAAGCTGGACAAGTTTGCCATGTATGTGTTTGAAGAGGACAAGACTGTTATTCCAAAGGAGAGTGGATGGTTTGCCCATGTCGATTTGACGAGTCTGGAAGTCACTGGCTTGAGGGAAAGAGACATCTACAAGCAAGATTGGATAGGACTGAAAGAGTTGGATAAGAAGGGAGCTTTGGTTTTCAGAAACGCTAGTGGTGGACACATGGATCTCTCCGAGAAGATCTTGACGGAAGCATTCATGGACTTCTTTGGTCCTGAGAGAAAGACGAGGAAGTCTGAGATTGAGGCTGTGGAGCAGGTTGTTTTTGAGGAGCTTTGAATGGTAACCCAATGACACGAATTTTCCTCAACTCAATTTTACCATGCATTGATACTGCTTGTGCCGCCATGATGCACGTGCTGGGGATCAGAGAGATTGCAGGCTAATGTCCAAGGGCTCCATACTCGGAATGACAGAGGTCAACGTCGTCCCAATTCCTCTTCACCATCGTTCATCAGTGTACGAGTGCTGTCATGGCTGCTACAAACTCGTCAGCAACAATCTAGCAATCAATCTTGTACACAGGTCAACACACACATACGCATGCACCTAAATCGACTATCACCCGTGTCATTCACCCCATTCCGAAAACACCCTTGACAGCAGGTCACTGAGGCTTAGGAGTGCCATCCGGATATAGCAGAGCCACTCGCTGTGGCTTCTGCTTATTCTTTCTTTTCTCCTGTCACAGAGTCAGTGTTGTGGTTTTGAATGGGGACTGAAGAGGGCTTACAGCACGGCTGAACAGGGGAAGCTCGTAGTCTGGGCTTGAGGGGGGAGGGCGACTGAAGAGACGGTTGTAGAGGGTCTTGAGGGGGAGACACATGGTGAGATCTTTTGCTCCTGTTATAAGGTGGTGTGGAGAGGAGTGTGGAGAGGGGCAGAAGGGACAGAGAGTGGTATAGCTGCAGAGGATCGGCCGATTGCTCTCGCATGTCAATTCAGGAGGATCGTTTGTTGTGACTCGACGCATTACAATGAGTCTGTTCGCTTATGTCGTCGTGCCGGAACGTTCTGTGCTCCACAAGGTTGTTGACCTCCATTCACAGTCTCTTCGTCTTCGGGCAGCGATCGAGCTGGAGCATTGAGGAAACTTCCACAGATGCTTGAAAGCTTGCGTTTCATGTCTGAGGTGAAAAGAGATGTTGATTGGTTAGGCAAGCATGAGCATACTCATGTCCTTGAGAGGTACTGAATGTACGAAGCTTGATCTACTTACATATGAGATTGGTAGGGGAAAGAAAGCGACCTTCATTTTGATGGCATGGCTTTTTACGATGGACCAATTTTGGAAGCATGTGTTTGCTTGTCCTATCTTTTTAGAAAATCACTACAATGGAGCGAAGTCCTTGACAAGAGTGCTTACGGAGTTGTTATTAATCACATAATTGCTTATCCCGGTACATCCTTCCAGCTGAAAGACAAAGTCAAACTTGAGCATGTATTGACGGCGTCGACTTTTCTTACAAGCAATGTCTTCAGTCCATTGGACATCATAGCTAATTTGATCAACCAAACAGTCATATAAAAACAGAACTTCTCTGAATCATCTCTTCTCTTCTCAACCGAGACCCATCTCCCGGTCCATCTTCCAGAACACCGAAATGTTCAAAGTGTCCTGCGGTGCTTCGTTCAGTCCTCGGCCTATCCTACGCAGCACACCAAACGCAGCAGCACGAACGGCGTCAGTGGATCTTAAGTGTCTATGGGCGATCTCGGTAGCGTACAGACATTCGCTCGACCACTGTCGGACAGCAGCGCATGGTGCGACGATGTGACTCCTGGCTGCAATAGTGGAGCGAACGGTTCGACGTCGGGTACACGGCTTACTCCTGACGTCTACTCTAGTACCTACAGTACTCCTGATTGGCTTGATCCGCCGTTTGTCTTGTCTTTATGAAAGGAGATCGTTCTTGTCAGTTTCTTTGTTGGATGGCTCCTGCTGCAATGGGAAGTGCCTATGCGACAATCCCGAAGTTTTGCCGGCCAAAAGGTCTTCTAATGCTCTGCCAAGCTGAGCGACTTCAACTCCTTTGTCATCATCCATGGGAATTGTTTTAACAAGTAGAGACAAAGACGCTGGTCACAACACTTTCCAGAAACTCCGGTATATAAGAAACTCCTGGACCGTTCGGATGAAAGGACCAAATAGTGAGTTCTGAGATCCGCTGAAAGCACGGCGAGAACGGCAAGTATATATCTTTTCTTATAAATTTCTCCACTTTCCGTATTCACGACAAGCAAGAGCAGGAAAAGAAGGAGTGGAAGAGCCAGGAGTCGTAGAGAGATGTTGCTAGAGCTGTCTTTGTCGAGAATCGGATGGACAACCGTAACTTGGATCTGGAGCCCTAGTCAGTACAGCGACTCATGACGATGACGACGATACTCTAAGATCATACATATATGTCTCCAAGCTCGTCGGATAGGGGTTTTTGTGACCTAGCTCTGCTGGAGTCATGGCAAACCACAGCCGGCTCATTCTAGCTTGTCTCCAGACCGGCTCAAAGCCTCAGGTCATAGAATATACCAGCGGCATCCTGGACCAGGGCTCTCTAGGCAGACTCTGGAACACAGAACCAGATGCTTCAAACACTGCTGAGATATCAGGGGCTGGCTACGCTCAGCATTGAAAGATCAAATGTCTCTTATCTGGTGTTAGACTTGTCTTGGTCTGTCGCACCTCTCAGGGGATTGTCTCATCGCCGCTGCAGACGAGATTTACATATACCGAACATCCTCGTCCAGGAAATGACAAGCTCTGCTCGCTCGAGCTCTTGGCAAGCTCTCGGTGTGATGACAGAGAATTGGTCGTCGTCGTCAGGGGGATTTACTCTTCCAACACATTGAGCACAGACCAACCGCACAATTGGCCATTACGCTCGCACAGGTTAAAACTCCGGCCTCGCACTCAGTTGCTTCTCCTCCGCGACACACCGTGCAAATTCTTGCTGCGCCTTCTGACCTGTCGTCGATTATCACCTTCGTTCTCGTACACCGCTACAACCCTATCTCACCCCTGTGTGCAGCCCCTGCCATCACGACCAGTACTTTCTGCTCACCATGGCCGGAATCATCTTGCACCATGAGTTGGAGCATGGTTCTGCTACAGCTGGTCAAATCCACAACAACAGCACCAACATTCAGACTAGCAGCTCTCTTACCCTGGTCAAGCCCATGTTCCATCGCAAGTACTACACCACACACACGTTCCACGACTTCGTAACTCCCGACCTCAACTCTATCATTCACATCATGGGACCGTGGCAGGCCTTGGACGCATTGGAACGCACTCTAACATCAACTGGAGACATCCATGCACTCCGTTACGATGAAACACCCAAGCTCTCGCCATGGCTGCCATTTCTCATCTCCTTGAACACTGTCTGCACTCAGATCGGACTGCCGATCATGACCGAAGACGATCTCCAGCAATTCCTTTGTACTCCATGGTTTCTGGATTTCGCCAAACACTCTGTCAAGCACAACAAGCTCGAGAATAAGCTCGACCTTGGCAAGTTGGCTTCCACTTCGGCTGTCACAGAAGACCATATGAGTGTAGTTCTAGAAGCTTTCGCGGCTTGCCATAGCATCGACAAGATCGAGCTTGGAATCGTGCACCTCTGCAAGAACGGTATCGAGGCTCAACTTTACCCTTGGACCGCAAATGGAGACAAACACACTGTCTGGATAGTCGTCAATGATCTCTGCAAGCCCATCGTCTTCTATGGCCTGGGCCGCCGCAACTTCTCGAAGCAAATCGCCGCGGTTGATCAGAGTAGTGATGACGATGATAGCGATCACGAGGATAGCGATGACGAGGATAGCGCCCAAGAGGAGGAGGAGGACGAGGAAAACACCGACGCACACCTGCCTGAGGTATCCACCACTACACTCAGCAACTTCATCACCAAGCCTCGTGAGACTGCCAGTCGTATCGTGGCACAAAGAACTCCCCTAAACGCTGGTCTGACTGTCGATACAATTTTGCAGAACCACATCGATCGACTTCATTACAACAATGTTCTCAAGGTTGGTCTCAATTACAGCAACGCCCAGATCGCCAAGAAGGTCAATGAGGCAGATGCCGCGGTAAAAAAATCGACCAAGGAATCGACCAAGAACTCAAGATTCGAGACAGGTGCTAGCGGTGTGGTCAAGCGCATCAACACTGCGATCAAGTATATTGAAGACCAGCTCAACATCAAGAGTGGTGCCTTTCGCACCGAGTACGATCGCACACGCAAGGCAAACGGTGTCCCCATCCGTGGCAAGGACGAGGTTAGCGAGGCTGACCTCGCTACCTTCGCTACCCAGATCAGAGGTGCCATGGAGTGGATCGAGGCAGGCGGCCCTCGCCCTCTCACCCTCGTTCCTTACGGTACTGCTGGACTCACTGGTTCGGCTTCTACCTCTACCGCCCCTTCGACCACTGCCGCTATCGCCCCCGTTCCTCACATATTCAACCAGTACCCTGGTATGATCCCAGCTCCAGTCTCACAAACCGTTGCCCCCACGTCGAACTCCTGGATCCCCGCAGGCTATGATCCCGCGTCCAGTGTCCCCATCGGTCGCGGTCCCCCTCCTGATGCTTCTCCCCAATGATCCGATCTTTGCTTCATTACCTTTTACCCACACAGCGATAACGAGAGAGAGAAGAATTATTACTTTTGCTTGATGACCTGGTGCCTACGTTTGTGCTCTGTGCGATCTGTGTTGTGCTCAGCTTTGTTGAGCGAAAGTAGTTGTCGTAATGCGAAGCAAATTATATAGCGCTTAGTATTCGTAGGTCCGGCTCCTGTTTTGATGGCTGCCAACGCCACTCAGATCGCTGCCGCCATGAACTGGATCCAGACTGGTGGTCCTTGCCCTCTCGTCAACACTGCTGTTAACGCTACCATTCACCCACCCTGCTCCTAGTTCCAACTTAGCACCCTAAGTTTCTGGAGCTCTTACTACTGGTTGTGTACCTACCTTTCTCCGCACTGCCTATAATTGCGAGAGAAAGGCTTAGGGCATCCCTATCCGTGTAAAGAACGGTGTGAGCGAGGCCGTGCTCGCAACCTACGCCCTCCAGATCAATAGAGCTATGGCTTAGATCAAGAATAGAGGCCCTCACCCTACCACTCTTGTGCCTTATGTCGCTGGCGGTTGCCCGACTACTGCTAATGCTACCGCTTCAACCGCTGCCGCCGCTCCTGCCACCGTTTCTGGCCCTCAACCAGTCAACTCATACTCTGGCACGATCTCGACCCCTGCCTCATATGCCGCTGCCCCCTGCTCCGTCTCTTGGCCTCCTTCCGGTTGGGCACCCGCCTCCAGAACTCCCCTCGGCCGTGACCTCGGCGCCACTGGTAACAGTCCCACTCAGGTCGATGACGGCGACTACGAGATGGATGACGAGGACGTTTAGTCGACCTCTGACAACTTCATGCAGAACCAGCAGCGTTTATGACGAGCGACTGAGATACTCACAACAGCGACGAGGAGAAAACAATAATTATTTTTGCCCGATGATCTGGTGCCTGTGATCGTATTCTATAAAATCTGATTTGTGCTCAGCTTCGTTGAGTGAAAATAGTTGTCGTAACGCAAAGTGAACTTTCCAGCTCTTGGTATTGTCGAAGAGATGTTATTGTCAACAAGAGGCCAGTGCTCGAGTGAGAGCCAGGAGCAAAATATATACAGTTCCCAAAGGAGCCAAAAACTCCTTCTCCGCGACACAACACTGCCCATCATGTCAGATATGAACTTCAGTCACGCGCACGGTACTCCTCAGGGTGATCATGTAAGTCAAGGCAATAACGACCATCATTACAATCGTTCTCTGACCCACACTCAGCACCACCACAGCCAATACACCACTCAGGTCTTTCGTGACTTCATCACCCCCGGATGGGGCGCGATCGTCAACATCAACGGTACCAAGCAGTCACTAGATTCCCTGAATCAGGCTCTCTCCCCCAATGTCATCGCTAGACAATTCCGTCAAAACCCTGGTTCCTCGCCTTGGACAGCCTTCCTCATCGCGCTGAACAGAATTCTCACCACGGCTGGTCTGAACCTCATCTCCGAGCCTGAATTGATGCACCTTTTGCGCATGCCCTGGTTTGTTGTTCTCGCAAAGCAGTCTGCCAAGCAGCATCGCGTCAAGAACTACCTCAATCTCGACAACCTGGTCTCACTCAGCACGATCTCCGAAGATCACATGGTTGTGGTTTTGGAGGCATTCGTAAAGGCTTTCCAGCTTGACAAGATCGAGCTCGGGTTCGTTTGCATCAGAAAGAGCGTGAAGGCCTTCCACTACCCCTTCACCGACCCCTCAAACAGACCTACTGCTTGGATTGTGGCCGATCTCCGCTCCAACCCTACTGTCTATCATGGCATTGGTCATATGATCATGAAAAACTCAGCCCCTGCCGTCGATCAAGACAGTGACGAAGAAGACGAGGATCATGACGAGAGCGATGGCGATCAGAACGTCCCCAGTGGTCCGACCAACACACCTGCCTCCGCCCTCCCCGTGACTACTCCTCGAAAGACGAACCCGGCTGTACTGGCTCAACAGGTTCCTCTCCCTTCGAATCTTTCCGCTGACGATATCCTACGTGACCACAAGAGCAGATTGCAGTACATGAACATCCTCAAGGTCGGCCTCAACTTTAGCAACCAGGAGATCATGGCTGCATGCAATGACGAAGCTTTGCCCAAGAACGAACAGATCAACGGAGGTACTGCTGTCGTCAAGCGTATAAACACCGGAATTGATTGGCTCGAGGGTCAATTTGGTATCAGCGGTGGTGCTTTGCGCACCGCCTATGATCGCCAGAGAAGAGACAACAATGTCCCTATCCGAGCTAAGGACGAGGTGGATGCCACTGTGATGGCTACAAACGCCGTTCCAGTTCGCTGAAACCGGCGGTCGGCGTCCTCCTCCACCGGCACTAACCCTGTCCTTGCCTCTGGTCACAATGCAGTCAACCATCTGCCTGCTACAGCCTCAGCTCTCAACGGTCCCACCGCTGGTCATGTACCTGGTTCTTCAGCCCCATCTGGTAACACCTCTTTCGGTCACGCCCCTTCTGGTCATGCATCTTTCGGTCAAGGCCTTACCGTTTACGCCCCTTCTGGTCACGTACCTCCTGGCTATGTCCCTGCCTCTGCCAATCCCTGATATACATGCGGAAGACTGAACTGCTCAAACAGCTCAGGTATTCAAATGGAGTGGAAAGGTCAGCAACCTAGCAGGCATATCACGACGCATTCACCCACGCAAGTGCAGGCCGGAGCCTTGATTCTTCCGCGCAGTCGGACACACCCCTTTACTTTTTCTTTGTTAATCTCTTTGCTCAAAGGGGAGTGCTACGCAACAAGAAACCATACCGCTATCACTCTGATCGAAGGGCACACATTTGACCAATCTGACCAAGAGCGGCGCATACGGCTGAACTTCAGGAGGCTGGGCAAAGCTGGAGGAAGATGGATGGTTAATCCGAGGGCACGAGGCCATTCTGAGGGGTTGAAAGGCGGTAGTAATTAGATCATAGCTATTCCGCATAAGTGGCATACGCCGCTGGGATGGGATGGGATAGTGAATTAATCAATCGATCAATCAACCAATTAATCTTCCATTCTCTATGGTTATGCTCCGGCTTCCACTATCCCCATGAACGTTCAGGGAACTGCTGCTCCCTAAACCTTTGCTTCAAGAACCCCGGTATCGTGCTCGTGCTCTGTATGATCTGTTCAGTGCTTCATGGCTGTTGATTGGTAGAATGGACTGGAGCAAAAACGTGTAGAGGGACGGTGAAGACGGCGAGAAGGGAGTAGAGTGCCGTCATAGTCCAGCGGGCTTGGAGGTAGATGAGCCAGGCGTTTAGGAGAGCCAAGGGGAGGGGTTGGGTGGAGAGTTGGGCGAGTGGAGGGGAAGTTATGGGGCTGTTGTGGCGGAGATGGTGGTGTGCTAGGTCCACGAGGAGGAGATTGAAGACGGCGGAGGCGAGGTTTCGTATGGCAAAAGGGATGCGTGGGGAAGAGGCTGGAGGTGCTGGGGGGAGGTTGCGGAGTTGATGGGTCCTGGATGGGTGGCATGGTCAGTATATCCCATATCTTTGTCAGAGTTACTGTAGATATCCTGATCGTGGTTGAGAGGGAACAGGTGTAGGAAAACAAGAGACAGACGACTCGAAAGACCTGCTGTCAACTTGCGTATGAAGACCACGGTCGAGGGAAAGAGCCATGGAGAATCCGACGTGACAGGAAAACGATAGCATCCATGGTTATCACCTCAGGGAAAGAAGAGATTGGCAAGAGCGAACGACAAGATGGATAAGCCAACAATCGGAAGAACAAAACAAAGCAAAAAAGCAGCAAGAAACACAAAAGAAGAAAAACTCACCATCCAATACCCCTAGCACCCATACACCCAACCTCCACCGCATCCCAAACCCTCTGCAACAACCCCCTCTTCTGGTTTCCCTCCTTTCCCACCTCTTTCCCTTTGTCCTCTTCCCCGTCATCTTTCTTCTTCCTCTCAAACCCCCTTTCCCCCAGCACACCCACGGCCAGAATCCTCACCACAACACTAAACATCGTACACCCAGTAATATAAACATCCAAATAAGCTCCTGCATACTTATACACCGCTATACTATATATCCAATAGATACCCCATGTAGACGAGAAGAGGAAGAGGAGTGTAGAGTTAGAGGTCGCGGTGAGACCAAAGAGGAATTGTGTCAAGAGGGTAAGGTAGGGAGGGATGGTTGGTGAAGGGATTGAAGGTGGGGTGTCGAGGGTTGCCATGGTGGGGAGGATGGCCCGAGTTGGCTGTTTTCGTGATTGTTGTCTTGTGTTTTGGGAAAGAGAAAGGGAAGAGGAGGTGAAAGGGTGTCGAAGAAGGTTGAATAGGATCTTAGTGGCTTATATCTAAAAGAGGCTGAAGGGCAGGGTACCGATGGAAAGGTGCATCAGTCTTTGACCGGTGTCTCGAATGTTGGACCTCGCGTAGAAATAGGCATCGTCTCTATCTCTGTAAGCGATGCCACAAAGACGATCGTCGGACTCTGTTGGGTGGTGGGCGGTGGGCGGTGGGCGGTGGGCGGTGGGCGGTGGGCGGTGGGCGGTGGGCGGCCTAGGGTACATGCATGCAGGTGCATATTGGCGCTACTTGGCTACAGATCAAGGTCAGTGCTTTTCCAGGACAATCACCTTCAAGCCATGCAGGGACAGAAGCATCAAGTCGTGAGGAAAACAAGTCTTTTGCAAAAAACATAAAAAAAATCTAGCCTATTCAGCTGCTATAATGCTTGAATGCTGCTGCACGCGATAAACAACAGGCGGTCTAAGACGTCCGGGTGCCAAATGTCCAATTCGTCCCATGTCATCCCAAATACCCTTCTTCTTTCTTCTTCCGACCTCGCCAGCGCAGGTCTTCTAAAGCTTGGCCTTGGTCTCGATGGTAGGAAGCATGAGCTCCTTCATCTCTTCGGCGGCCTCGTTGATGTAGTGGCTCATGCGTTCAGACCCAAGCTTCTTGGACACAATGTTGAACTGCAAGCTGTTCTCGTTGATCATGTAGGCGATACCCCAGCCCTCGTCGATGACTTGACTCCAACCGTAGCCATTGAAGTACTCGGAAGACAGTTGCGAGGAGGAGATGAACCAGGAAGACGAGTATGAGAAGGCAGGGTCGCTGAAGATGGAGGGGAGTTGCTCTCCTTCCTTGAGCAGCTTCTTGAGCCCGAAGAGGTGACGGTCAACACCCTTGCCGTCGGAGGCATCACTAATGTAGCCGACGTGCTGCTTGATGGCGGCTTGCAGCTTTTGTCTGCACTCGTCGGGTGTCGCGTCGGGGGAGGCCATGGCATCGGTGAAGGCAACGGACTCTTCGCTGACGGTGCGGCAGGTCTCGGTACGTCCTTGTTGGAAGCGGCGGGTGGCGGCTGATTCGTAGGTAGGTCTGTTCTTGCCGTAGAACTTGTGGTAGGCGAGCTGGATGATCATCTGAACGTAGGCGTCGGGACTGCACTTGAACTTCTTGATCAAGCCCTTGCCGTAACCTTGGTATGCCTGAACCTTGAGCTCGTGCTCACCGATGACCTTTGTGAAGTGTGCTTGGGCAGTCTTGATGTCCTCGAGGTTTGCAGGGGAGAGGTCGAACTTGATGGGGGTGGGGTCGGGGAGGTTGCTGCGAACTGAAGGGTTCTCGTAGTCGAGCTTGTCGTTGAAGATGAGCATGTTGATGTAGTCGTTCAGGCGGTGGGTGGGGGTGCCGTCCATCATGCTGTGCTCGCCCATGAAGCCTGAAGTTCCGTTGTCGTTAACGATGAACTGGAGCGGCTTGTCGAAAAAGCGGTTTGCACCATTGCCGTGCCAGTATTGATGAGCGCGCTCTTCGAGTGTGACGGGCTTTGCTTCGTCCAGGCAGATGACGAAGGAGGAGGCCTCGATTGTCTGGAGAGCGGCCTCGTTGGATGGGTTTTGGGCAATTAGAGCCTCGCGCATCTGCAATTGTTAGTATACCATGTCGAGAGTCCTCTCACTGGCCTGACGTACCTCGGTCCAAGTGTCTCTGTTCTCGCTAGTCATGATACCGATCGAGGGGACGTCCTCTGCCAATTGGTAGATGCGCAGGAACTGCTGCTCCAATTCCTTTGTGGTCAACTCCTTACCACCAACCTCGTGGAGCACCTTGAAGAACTGGTTCTTGCGAACGACAGTAATGTACTTGTGCTCATTGGGAGTGTAATTCTTGGGGTAGTCGGCAGGCTTGGCAGGAATACGGCAGCAGTTGAACATGTACTCATAACTGCTCATGGCGATGGGCAGCTTCTTCATGTACTCGGGCTCGAGAGTGCCCTCCACGACTTGCTTGCGGAAGTCGAGAACCGACGAGGCAATAGCAGCAGCTCTCTTTGCTGGGTTTCTTCTCTTACGGTCATCGCGGTGACTGTAGAAGTATGAGACGTAGGGGACGACGGGATCACGGTAGGCGAGGTACGCGGCCTCGTTCCACCACTCGTAGATCCAGTTCTTGTGCTTGGGGTCCTCTCTTCTGGCGACCAGACGCTTCTGCAGCTCCTGGCCGAGACTGTTGGGTGCGAGGAAGTCGTTGACAGCCTTTTCGGTCTGCTCGTACTCTTGCTTGCTAAGAAGAGGGTGCACCGATCTCAGGTAGCGCTTGGCTGTCTCTTCCAATGTGGGAACTGGCAGACGTGGCAGCGACTCCTCGAAGCGAAGCATGGGTCCCTTGGACGCGTCCTCCTTGTAGCCTGTGAGACTGTCAATTTGCCGTTCGCCAGATCTGTGGACACATTTGAATACACACCTTGCGGCAGCGAACTGGTCTTGCGGACAGGCGCCATTCCGATCTTCGCAATGTTCGAGGGGGTGGTGATGCGTGGGCGGCTTAGCGGAGAGGAGAGAATGCGGGCACGAAGACCAAACATTCCAGTGATGTGTATGAGGAGTAATAGGGAAGTAGAAAGGAAGGTAGATCTGCAGAGGAAGCAGAAAATAAAATAAAGGCTTAGCGATGAGACTCTTTCCGTCACACCTGAGAAATAGCCTGCTACGTAGTTGTTGTCTGCGCAAGGCCGAGAGTTCCTCGGTCGACTGAGCTACCCCAGATCAGCGCGAACCGAGGTTCACTGACAAGCCGCTTCACTCACCTCCGCGTCTGTAGCGGTGGAGCCCCATAGCCGCTCCAGCCTAGAGAACAATTGATAGAGACCGTGTGCTTCATTTCATACTCTTCACATGCTTCTCGACATCTGTCATAGATATCTGCGAGTCACAGGATGTCTGACCATGAGATCAGCTTGCCTCAGCGTGAGAAGAGATGCAAATGGCAGCATTCCTGCCAAGAGCCGAAGATACAGCAAGCTCGCTTTCTATGCGAGCTATCACATGTTCACTATACTTTCAACATTCGTTCTTTACTCTACCATCGGCCCATGCACAGCCGAGTCCGGGCCAAGATGGGCCACCGGATATATTTTCGGCCTTCTGACAAGCACCATGTGATGAACGATTGAAGCAGAAGTGTATGGCGTGCAACATAGATTTTAGCCATGTATATACCAATTGCTAATAGTACACATCATCAAAGAAGAGTCTAGCTCATAATTTAAGGGTTCTCCTTGGCGAACTTGACACCCTTCTCAATGTTACCCTTAAGGTCCTTGAGACAGGCGTCGAGGAGCTTTTGCTCGTAATCAGTGATCTGGCCGACGGGGTGGATCTTCTCGACACCCTCGGGGCCGAGCTCGACCTGCGAGGCGAAGAAGTCAACACCCTGGTCCTTGTAAAGGGGAGAGTCGACAAAGGTGGGCTCAATGACACCCTTCTCGCCCTGGGCAGCCTTGAGGAGAGACTCGGCGAAACGGGCACCAGCCATGGCCATGGAGAGAGTGGCAGAGCCAGCACCGCCCTTGGCCTGAACGACCTCGTCACCACCGAACTGGACGCGCTTGACGTAGGCGTCGAGCTGCTCGCCCTCGAGGTTGTAGCCAGACTGGGAGAGGAGAGGGACGATGGTAGCACCGGAGTGACCACCAACGACGACGATGTTCTCAGAGGCAGGGTCGGTGCTCTTGAGCTGGGAGATGAAGCGCGAGGCACGGACAACATCGAGGGTGGTGACACCGAACATGCGCTTGGGGTCGTAGACACCGGCAGCCTTGAAAACCTCGGCGGCGATGGGGACGGTCGAGTTGACGGGGTTGGAGATGATCAGGATGTGTGCCTTGGGGCAGTGCTCAGCAGCGGCCTTGGCCAAGTCGCGGACGATCGAGGCGTTGGTGTTGAAGAGATCTGGGAAACATCAGTATGTGTATCCGTCTCTTCAATTATGAGATGAGCATACCATCACGGGTCATGCCAGGCTTGCGGGGGACACCAGCGGGGATGAGGACAATCTCGGAGCCCTTGAGGGCGGCGGCGACATCGGCCTGCTCGTAGCCCTTGACCTGTATATGTTGTGAGCAATTATGCTCCAGATGGATTGAGATTGTATGATACTTACAACAGACTTGGTGTTAACGTGGGAGCAGTCGGCAGCGACACCTAGATTGACATTCACGTCAGCGCTGCGGAGGAGGAATTGGTTGGAGGCGACGACATACCGGGAGCACCACGGACATCGTAGAGAGCGAGCTCAGTGACTCTGGGGTTGAGCTTCAGGAGAAGCGACAGAGGCTGGCCAATACCACCACCGGCACCGAGGACGGCGACCTTGGAGGCCTGCGCGCATACATGTCAGTGTCTTGATTGACAATACGCCAAAATGGAGCTGTCCGAGACATTGACAGCTACAATGGATGCAAACTTACATCGCGGGCAGAGACCGAGAAGGCTCTGCGCTGAACAGTACTAATGACTTGACGAGCGGCAAACATCTTGATAGTAGCAACGAGGGTTTGTTGGACAGGAAGTGTAGAGATGGACTCTGGGAACTCAAAGATGTTGGTGCGAGAAGCTCGTGCACGAGCCAATCGATTGAATCAAGGATTGTTTCACCTCCGATCGTGGCCGCGTGCTTGGCAAGTGCAGTGAAACCCCTCTACCACCGACTCTTGCTCCGATACCTCCTCTTTCTGCAGGTACTGCTACGTCGGATCAGAGGATATCAAGCTGTGAACCGGGCTTGACTTGGATCAGCCCGTGAGGGGTGTAAACGACAGCTACCTTGGTTCAGGCCTATACCTCTGGACTTAAGAGCTTCCAAGCCATCTTCTCGAAGTTGCATAGTTCCTCACCTGCCTTGAATCTCAAAATCTCTTCTGGAACGATACGCATTGATCTGAATAAGTCAGGTGCTCGTAGAATCTGTATGTAAGACGGGCTTTGTTGCAAGCCCGAAGCCGAGTAAGCTGATCCTCAATGACGTCGAGCGGACGACCCATAATATATCATTCCAAGCTAAGGAGGTAGGTATGCTTCCATCTTCTTCAACCGTCTCTCACTCCAAAGACAATCACAGAATGCCAGACTTCGAAAACTATCTCATCCTCATAACCTGCGCTTCAGGAAAGCAGTCTGCAGCCCTGATCCCCCATATCCTGAACATGTACAAGAACATCCGTCTTCAATGCAACAGCTCTGCCTCAAAGCAAGAGCCCACCGATTATGAGACATGGGTGAAGATGAAGGTCGAGGAGATCAAGAGTAAGCAGGCGTGAATGTTTAAAGAAACAGAAAAGGGACGATGTATTGGGGAAAGAAAGCTGGCCTAAGAAATAGTTGAAAGACCATACCAAGCATAAAACAACGCTGTCGTAACCTCATGCGCGCTCAAGAACCCGATCGTATCATTCTGCTTTCGCATCAGTAAACTTGTGTTCAGGGCCTGGGAGATCACGACTGGTCGGCAACGGACCGCTTTTCCTCTCGACTTGGATCTCTTTCTCGTGCTGCACTTGCTTGTGCCCTTTGACTTCGCCATCGACATAGCTTTGTACGCCTTCAGTATCGCTCCCAATTCCGTCTTCTTCCCTTGTACTGCTGGCCTGGCTAACGTCTCTGCTGGCAGGAGTCTCGCTTCTCAGACCTAGATTTCTGCCTTGTCCAGGTGAAGGGTTGTTGTAGTGGTGGCCTCTCCAGTCTGCGGGACCTGTCTCCGGTACGTCTGAGCCTGGTGGTGGTTCTGTAATGACGCTGGCCCTTCTACCACGAGCGGGCTCATCAACAGCTTTCCAGACGACAGCGAGTTTGTCGAAACCCTTTGTGCCCTTCTTCAAACTTCCCTTGATACCATCCATAGCTTCCCAGTCAATCTCAAAGACGCCAGAGGAGGCTGGCGGTTTGTCAGTAGACGCATTCTCGGGGCCTTGGCCTTCGAAGAAGCAGTTAAACCAGACGTGAGCGACAGCTGTTACCATGCTCATGCCGTAGCCTGCCTTGTTTCTTCGCTCGAAGTCGATGTTGACGTCGCTTGTAGGGAGGATTATAGGTTGCGAGGGTCTGAAGACGACGTCTCCTGTCGCGTTGTGTAGCTTCTCGTTGGTGAGAGTGTTTTTGGTAGCCTTTGCCTTCTCTTCCTTTTCCAGGTTCTCGGCCTCCTTGAGGTGGAGGTTCTTCTCGGCACTGTTAATGCCCATGACGGCAGTGACGGCGTCTGCAAAGCCTCCAGACTTTTTGATCTCTCCACGCACAATCTCGCGCTCGTTTTTACTAAAAGTGTGGAAGTTCTTGATGACGCGACCTTCATCGACGAAACCTTCGACACTGACCTTGACACCATCTCTCAGACCCCAGACGTGAACCTCCAAGACCTGCACCTCGCGCTCGACGTAGACTTTTTTGTGTTGTGTCCAGCGATCGACGTAGCTGATCCAGCGCAACTGACTAGGAATGCTGACACCAGCGCCAAAGCCCGGCCTCATTCTGCGTTCTGTGAATCTGCGTATGGCGTCCTCGGCCTTCCAGCCCTCTTCTGAGATCAAGTAGCTGCAACTCATGGAGCCACTGCGTCCTTTGCCAGCTTTGCAGTGTACGACAGCAACCCTCTCTTCATTTTCCATCAACCAGTTGCGCATGCTAGCCATGATCAAGGGAATCATGTTGAATGGTGGAGGATGGTGGTCAGGCCAAGGGTAATGCTTGACGCGACCATAGACTTCAGAGTCAGGGTACCCAGTTCCCTCGGCGCGGAACTCCCAGATGGCCCAGTTGTCTCCATGTTTCTTGTCGAGGAAGGCGACGAGCTGAGATAGAGGGTTGCGGTAGGCGAGTTGAGGATAGGTGCCGCTGGGGCCGGAGGTTGCGATGATGTTGTCGGTCACGTAGCAGAGATCCAGTCCAGCTTCTGGATGTTTGGCGCGAGGGCCTGCCACTATCTGGCGTAAAATCGACGCCATTATTGTGTGAGTTATGTTTGGAAAGGAGGTTGGTGCTAAACGTTCATTGTTTGGACTGTTTCGCAGCGCATGACGGGTCGCGAAACTTGGTCCATCACAGCTGCCGCGACGTCATAGCCTCAAGCCGAGGAGCCTTGCACCTACAACCAATTGACTCGGCTTTGACCCCAATCAACGACTAGAACTGATGTCGGTGCCATCTAACGTTCGAGACGACGAGCCGTGAGACGAGTTATGCGTTGGTCTTCAGACAAGATACTGATTAAAGTTAGAGCGTGCATATCGACGCATGCCGAGGAGGTTTGTGTCAATTGACTTGGCCGCTTGCGCCCCTCGTCCGATAAGTCCGATGTCGTCTGTCTTATCGTCTTGTACCTGTACATCAATGTCCTTTTACTCCGAGGCTCGATAACAATTGACTCTATCCTTGTTGCTACCTATTTCATGTTGACAAGCCATGACATCCCTACTCACTCTTCCTGCTGAGCTACGGAACCAGATCTATGATCATCTATTCATTGAGACATCTCCGTACACCTGCCCTACTGATGCCGCCTCTGATTCAAGCCATAGCCTCAATGACTTTGGCAAATCAAGCAACCTAGACGAGACGACCTCGACACCATGCCAGTCGCTCCTCCTCACATGTCGTCAAATGCATGAAGAGACCCAACTCTTACATCTCCAACGCACCTCCTTCGTACTCGGCGGCAACTACGCAGACCCGGAAGCTTTTGCTCGTCTATGCAACGTCAATCTACCTCCACCACGTATCTCAGACATCAAACACATCACCCTCGTCGGTCGCATCAATCGTCTACGCGCCTTGAACGAAGCATGGAACGGCCTGCCATTCGGCAACTCCCATCTCCGCCTTACAACTCTAGTCATTGTACCGCGACGCCCTGCGCGGTATGACCTCCATTACGCAGAGATAGCAGACCTGGATTCGGCGCATACCCTGTCTTACACCTTGTCCGAAACATTGAAGAACTTGCACAACGTCAAAAGAGTAATAGTCAGAAATGAAGACGATTGCTTCAACGACATAGTATGGAGGGTCATCTACAGAAGCATGATAAGCCGTTTGCTGAGGTGGGGTGGGAAATTGTGTAGTTGTCGATTCAGAGAGGGCAACGGCTGGTTCGAGATCCTTGTCGATGGTCGAGATGCAGATCCGCAGGTTTATAGCGATGCCGACAAGGAGTTTCGACGCGTAGTCGGTGAAGTTCACTAGAATCCAGATTTCCTCCTGGGCTTCTTGCTCCGAGATCGTGTAATACGCGCTGCTTCTGGTGCCGCTTCTACCATGGGTCCAGCTCCAGTTCCTTGGTCGAGTTTTTGGTCTTGGGTAGAAGTCTCTTGTTCCTTTGGCTTCTCTTGGCCCAACGTATCATCTTGTGCTTCAGTTTCCCCTGCCACATCTGGCTCCGTTGCTTTGCGCTTCCTCCCTTCGATTTCTGGCTCCTTCGACTTCTTTGGCTTTTCTTGCTTTGCCCTCTGTTTCTCCTCTTTCGCAAGTCGCTTGCTCTCTCGCTCTTCTTGTCGTTCCTGCTTTAATTTCTCCATCTTTTTCTTTTCTCGCATCTTCCTGTTTTTCTCCTCTTTCCTTTGTTGCATGACTGCCCGCTTCTCTTCCTCGGATAACGCTTTGAAAGCCATCCTTGCCTTTCGTTGCTCCTCCTCGGCTTGACGTTTCTCTTCTGCGAGTCTTACTTCCGCTTCTCGCTCTTCTTGAGCCTTTTTCAGACCCTCCTCAATCTGCTGGCTTTGCTTGCGCGTTGTGAGCCTATTCGCTAGATTGAAATTCTTTGGGTTTGAAGACTCGCTGATAGAAGTGTCGTGGGAACCTGCGCGGACGGAAGAGGCCCTGCTCTGAACCCTGCTTAGAATTGGGTTGGGATGGGTATGCTTTCTTCGCGGTACTCCATCATCGAAGCTCTGGATGGGAGCGGCAAGTGGCTCCTCAGTCGGAGCGTCGTCCATTTTGATATCAACATCAGTCGGCTTGATCTTCCTCCTGATCACGGTGACTTCAGGTGTCTGTTGGGGGAGTGTGACGAGACCCTCTTGCTCAAGATAATCGTACGCGAGCCGTCTCCTTTTCCTTGCCTGCTCGCCTCGATTTTGCATGTTGGCAAAGGTCTCTGGTTGCACAGCATTGAATCCTCTCTCCCATAGTGGCTGATACTCGAGGCCATCTCTCCAGTCTTCAGCATCTGATAATCGTCGTCGGATGACGGGTTGACGGGGTATCTCGACTTCCTCGTCCTTGACTTCGCTTGGTGGCGGCACACCAAGAGTGTCCCATATCTCAACTTCCTGCGCTCTGCTAATTTCTTGATCGACAGCTTCGAGATACGCGTCGTGAGCTTTCCGGTAGTTTTGCTCCAGTCGTCCTTTTCTAAGGCGTTTCTTCTTAGCGGCATCTTGAGCTTCTTCGTCATCCGTAGGTTGATATGCAGCAGCGTCTCCGTCGTCAGAGGCGTCTGAAAGATGGTCATCAGATATGGTGATGGGCCTCTCATCCTCGTTATCGGATGCCTCGGTCCAAAGTTCGGGATCCTCGTAGTATTGATCGGGGCCTAGAACGTCTTCCTCCGCCTCATCCTCGACTGTATTCATCACATTGTCGCTCGCTTGCGTGTTCACTGAGGACGTATGACCAACGCCCAATCTCTCCTCGGCTTCTTCAAGACTAAGCTCGACTCCAGCCCTAGATTGACCTTTTGTAAACTTGGAACCGCGTTCGTAGACCCGCAGGCCATGTCTCCTTGGCACGCTGCCCCAGAACTTGCGCATGTTCGGTTGTAAATCCAACACCTCGACAGCTGTACGGACATCGGATGTTGTCACTGCCGCGCTAGGCTGGTCTTTGTCGCGTGCCCGCAGACGAGTCATGGTTTGGAAGATGGTAGTCTGTACGAGACGCCGAGTCAAGCTGACTGTTACATTATGGAAATCCTGGAAAGAAGTCTGATACATCGAAGGGGTTTCCTCACGAGAGGTGATGAAGTCCGTCCAACTATTTCCCAGGTCGGGTGACTGATGCATAAAGAGCTGAGACAAGCGCAGCCACATCGGTAGGTCGAGAAGTTCGGCTGCTGGAACCATGAGTTCATCAGCCGGCTCTGAAGATTGCTCATTGAATTCCTGATGTGGTGCAGTCGTTTCCAGGGTATCTTCGTCAGCTTCAGGGCCTGTTTTGGGATCAAGATCATCTGTTTTGGCTTCTTCGGAGGCTTCGATGAGAGCGTCTTCTTCGGCTCTGGCATCGTCGACGACTTCTTCGTCCTGTTCCTCGTGGTCTAGCTTTGACATCACGTACGATCCATCATGCGATCTCACCTGTGCCTCGACCTCCTGAGCAAGCTCCTGCGTCAGAAGCCAGTAATCGCCATGTCGTTTTTTCTCCCGCTTTGCATCGCTCTTGGTCTGATATTTGGCAAGACCATCTGCGTACTCCTCGAGCACTGCTTCAGACTGCTTGCTCACCTCAAAAGCACCTGGCACATCCGCAGCAGAGAACACAGGCAAAGCTTTTGTCACATTGCCCTCGGCCGTACCTTGATCGAGTAATGAGAGATACTGGCGAACTTCTGGCTCTGATTTGGTCCTTAGTGCGTCGGATATGGCCTTGATGTTATCCTTCCCAAGGACAGATATTCTTTGGAACAAAATCTCTTTTTCGAGAGGTGTCCACATAGCCACACCGATCTCAGATGGTGGTAGAGCATGAGTAACAGATTGAAAAGGTCGTGCAAGCTCCTCGACGTGTTCATTATAAATGTCTCGGTAAGCCTCGCTGTAGGTCGCCTTTGTTGATTTGGTGACATGAGGCAATACTGGCTTTCTAGCAATTGTCTTCTTGCCAGATTCGGATTTCTGTGACCGATCACTTCTTTCGCTACGTCCACTGCGTGTCGAGCGTACTTCATCGTCGCTGGAGTTTTCTTCGCTCTGGTATTCAGATCCAGAATCTTGCTGTAGATCGTCGTTTTCGATTTTATCATCGTTGACCGACTCACGGTCGGTGCCGTTGTCGCTCATCCCATAGTCTGTTCCTCGAAGAAGAGTTCTCCGATGCAAATGAAATAATTGTTCATCGTGCATCAAAACATTGCATGTGAAGAAAGCGCCGATCAGCGAAGTCTTGGCACGCTTACATAATGATCGCATGACTGGATTTCTCCAAACACTTACCCAAAAGTGAACACCATTTTCGAGCCGCATCACATCCCATACCACGAATGCTGAAGTTTGTCCGGCTTACTAGAAGCTGGCGTATACGTTGTACAGGCCGCCATACTGGCAGTGTCTCGCTTTATCATGAGCGACTACCATTTCGCCAATATGCCACTGTTGTCCAGCCAGTGGCGGCGTCGATCCACAGACCACAAATCCAATTGAGATCGTATCAAGAGGAATGTATCGAAGCAGTATTACGACATCTTGAACTTGGCGGTAAACGCCTTGGAATATCGCTGGCCACAGGCAGTGGTAAGACAGTCATTTTCAGTCACTTGATTGAACGCGTCCCTGAGCCAACCCAGGAGGCCACCCAGACTCTTATCCTGGTGCATCGCCGAGAGTTGGTGGAACAAGCGGCTCGCCATTGTCAGAACATTTACCCAGACAAGATCATCGAAATCGAAATGGGATCAAGGCACGCTACGGGCGTGGCTGACATTACAGTCGCTTCAATCCAGAGCATTATGTCTGGAGACCGAATTGTCAAATTTGATCCCAGCCGCTTCAAGCTTCTGCTTGTGGATGAGGCTCACCATATTGTGGCCACAAGATATCTGGACGTTCTCAAGCACTTTGGCCTTGATGAGGAATCGCAAAAGGTCCCTGACAACCAATGTCCAGCTCTGGTTGGTGTTTCTGCCACATTCTCACGTCACGACGGTCTCAGGCTAGGTGCCGCTATTGACCAGATTGTTTATCACAAGGACTATCTGGACATGATTGAGGGCGAGTGGCTTTCCACCGCTTCCTTCACAACTGTACAGTCTGGAGCAGATCTCAGCAAAGTAAGGTCGCTGGGTAAGCAAGGAGACTTCCAAACGGGTGACTTGTCTAAAGCTGTCAACAACGATGAGACGAACCAAATCACGGTGCAAGCGTGGCTTGCTCAAGCTCAAGACAGGAATGCCACTCTAGTCTTCTGTGTAGACCTGGCGCACGTCTCGAGTCTCACGGCAATGTTTCGTCGTTTTGGTGTCGATGCTAGGTTCATTACTAGTGATACGCCAAAGCAAATAAGAAGCGAGCGATTAGAAGCTTTCAAGAATGGGAAATTTCCTATTTTGCTGAATTGCGGCATCTTCACCGAAGGCACCGATATTCCGAACATTGACTGTGTGCTACTCGCTCGCCCGACAAAGTCTCGCAATCTACTTGTACAAATGATCGGTCGAGGTTTGAGATTGCACCCTGGCAAGCAAGGTTGCCATGTCGTTGATATGGTGGCATCTCTGGAAACAGGAATTGTAACTACGCCAACTCTGTTCGGGCTTGATCCTTCTGAATTGGTCGATCATGCAGATGTTGCATCTATGGCTTCTACGAAAGAAAAGCGCGAGAGAGAAAAGCAACGTGAAGAGGAGGCTGCACTGGGCTTGGAATCACCTCCTGTTGACGTGGGTGATTTGAAGAACTTGGCCGGCAACATTACATTCACCCACTACGACTCTGTCAACGACTTGGTAGAAGACACTCGAGGTGACGTCTACATCAGGCAAGTCAGCCAGTTTGCCTGGGTACAGATTGATACAGATCGATATATGCTGTCGAGCGGTGGCGGTGATACCCTGAAGATCCACCGAGATGATCCTGGTGATGAACGGCCGTGGATCGTCACCAGTGTCGCGAAGCTACCGGAAATTTACGGCTCTAAGAGTCCCTACGCAAGACCTAGGGAGCTGGCTAGAGTGAACGAATTTGACGAGGCTATTCACGCCGCTGATAGCTACGCAGGCAAGCACTACCCTTTCAGAAACATTGCTACAAGGGCACCATGGCGCAAGTATCCTGCCACGGAAGCACAGCTGGCCCGATTGAACAAGTCGCGTCCTGAAGATCAACAACTGACGCAAGAGAATACTACCAAAGGACAAGCAGCGGATATGATAACAAGAATGATCCACGGTGCCAAAGGACGTTTCGACAAGCTCAAACAGATTCGACGCAAGACTGAACAGGAGAAGCAAAAGCGACAGGAGCTGCAAGAGAAAATGTCGAGACATCAGATACAAGTCGGTCCTGTGCGATGATAGGCGCGTTTGCCGCTGTCCAGATGAGTGAAGCTGCCTGTCATGAGGTCAAGCGAAGGCACGCTCATGATCGACTGCACGTCTGAAGCAAGCCTGTCGTGCGACCTTGGTCTTGTTTGCACCTGGTCTGTGTATCAACCAATGTGGGGAAAGACACATCGAACATAATACTGGCCGCCACATGAGAGCCATCTTCACCTATACATGCAAGGAACATCGCAAACGTAGGACTGATGGGATTGGACTACTCTCGTAGCTCTACAGCTCTTTGTCACGGGTAGCTGTCAAAGCAATATATAAACTCTGGTCGACATCGCAGTCTGCCTTCACATCCACAATCCAAACTCGAGCAAAACTCGCACTCAGCTACAGCAATGACTTCTGCCATAATTTTGTTTGCTGCCTTGTCGACCGCAGTCGCTGCTCAGGTCGGTAGCCGCCACCCATACGGCATCTATCCTAGCCCCAGCGTCACATCTTCGAGCTCGGTAGATGAAAATAAAGCTTGATGGAAGCGCAATTACTGACTACCTAGATAGAGCACTGTCGTAACATCTTATGGCGGGTACCCAACCTCTGTGATACCCGTCAACACTACCTTGTCTAGCACGTCGTCGCTGCCGTCGTCGTCGTCTTCGTCTGCGTCGTCTATCGATACCACATCATTGAGCATGTCGTCCATCAACGCTACCTCGTCTAGCATGTCGTCTACCGATACCTCGACCATTATTCCCAGCACGACCACTTCAGCAGTCTCCTTGACGTCTGTCACATCCGACCGTCCACTCAGCTGGACCACCAACAGCAACGGAACTGTCGTTTTGGGTACGTCGACTACTTCGACTGCGGAAACCACATCTGATGCGGCTGCAACAACTACGACAGGCGCAACCTCTTCTAGAGCAACCTGCGTTTCGGTCACGATTGGAGATGTCTCAGCTCGAGGTATATGTGGCTGCGACTACAACATCCACACCTGTCTGGAACGTCTTTCCAATCTGAGCGAATGGTCTAACTCGCAAACAACCGAATCGTTCAATGGCTGCATGAAAGCGTGCGATTCCGAGCCAAACTGTTTTAGCTTCTCGTGGCAGATAAGCAATGGGGTGTGCAAAATGTTTGGCGGCATGCTGAATGGAGGGGCTGGAGTTGTGTCTGACGCGGATTTCATCTCGGGAGAGGTTGTCAAGGGATCATGCACTGGAAACTGCAGCGGACAGTGAGAGAGCTGGATGGCTTGCGGACCAGCCGCGCACGTGTGGGGGTTTCTTTGTGGAGTTCCTTGTTTTCAGACAGAAGTTACCTGACGCCTTTATGATAGTCTAGCTCAATACATGATATTCAACGCTGATATTGTTGAAGAGCCGTGATATGAGCGGCTCAATGCGGGGAAGGCTTGGTTGTCCAACGATTCGTCCGGTCAGAGTTTCCCGAGGCGTCTGGAGACGTGACGCCCCTGGTGCGTCCGACGGGCGACCGCGCGTCCCGTGTGTCGCGGAGGATGAAGATTTACGACACAGGACTTGAAATGTCGAGGGGTAGGGACAGTGGGTGGAGCATGGAGTTAGGGGAGCCGTTGACTCACAGCGGAAGGGCGCGGGCTGCGAACAAGCAATTGTAGCTACATCATTAAGTGAGGGCGCCAAGCATAGGACCGCGCAATGCGCAATGGAGGATGCAGAAAGGTGGTGGCAGGTGGATAGTCACTAGTATGGCCGACGAGTGACGAGTCTACCTAGGTTCCAGGAGGTGGCTGGAAGGTTTGCCCTCATGTTAAGCAGTGAACAGAGCGTTTTAATGACGAGGGGAGCCTGTGCGTTTGTGCTTTTTTCGTAACCAGTTGAACCTGAGGAAGGCGCGCGGGTCCGCAGCAGCATTGAGCATTGAGATTCGAGGGTCTCTGACTACTGCATCGTTCGCATCCGTGCCTCGATCTTTCCCTCTGCTCAACCAGCCCCTCTGTCGCTTCTGTAAACGTGTGAAATCCTGAGAAAGTCGAGGACGGACTTCTCGGTGACTGGTCTGGACGTGGAAGTTGCTCATGCGAAGACGGGCCTCTCTCGCGGGCGCCGACGAAGATGTCGGGTTGAAGGATAATATGCGAAGCAATGTTGAAGAGGTGGATAGCGACGACAACAAAGACGATCCATCGACGCAATCTCTGCTTGAACCTTCAGTATCTCGGAAAAAGGACAGCGCCGACGATATAGACTCTCAATCGACGCCTGCACGCACAGCGCCGCCTTCGGCCGACTCCAAGATGGAGGACTTCTATCGCAAACAGCGCCAACGCGCGAGACTCCGTAGCCCCTGGCACTGCTCCCTTGTGACAATGCTGTGCACTGCTCTGTCGCTGCTGCTATTGGCGACGATAGCGCAATCGTTCCTCGGACGCCAACTGGACACCAAAGGATGCAAGATGTCGTACATGCTGTCGGCCTTTGCCAAATACACAGACTTCGATACCGAGCATACGAGGTTCGCGACAAAGTACTCGCTCTACCTGTATCGGGAGGCTGGTATTGATCAGGACACGCGCGTGCGTACAAGAGCTCGACAATGGGACATGGTCGAAGAGGCTGACACAAGACACAGGTCAAGGGTATCCCGGTGCTGTTCATCCCAGGCAACGCAGGCAGCTACAAACAGGTGCGTTCTCTAGCAGCAGAGGCAGCCAACTACTACCACGATGTGCTGCAACACGACCAGCAGGCTCAGCAAGACGGCAAGCGCCCCTTTGACTTCTTCTCGGTCGACTTCAACGAAGACATCACCGCTTTCCATGGCCAGACACTACTCGACCAGGCCGAATATTTGAACGAAGCCGTCGCATACATCCTCTCGCTCTACCACAATCCACACCGAAGCCTTCGCGACGAATCGCTACCAGATCCCACCTCCGTCATGCTCGTCGGTCACTCCATGGGCGGCATTGTTGCCCGTACAATGTTCACAATACACAACTATCAACCTAATACCATCAACACTATAATTACCCTATCGGCTCCTCATGCTCGTGCTCCAGTATCCTTTGATCAAGACATTGTCGACACCTATCAGAACATCAACGAGTACTGGCGCAACTCCTACTCACTAGACCAGAGTCCACTGGATCATGTCACTCTGGTCTCGATCGTTGGTGGTGGTCTGGATACTGTCGTGCCTTCGGACTATGCCAGTCTGACCTCTCTAATGCCAGAATCACATGGCTTTACAGTCTTCACCTCGACCATGCCCCATGTCTGGACTGGAATGGATCATCTGGCTATCATATGGTGCGATCAACTTCGCAAAGCAGTTATCAAGGCTCTGTTCGATGTTGCTGATGTCAAGCAACCCACACAAACAATTCCGCACGAGGAGCGCATGCGCCACTTCCGAAGACGTTTCCTGACAGGCTTAGAACCCACTGTGCAGAAGGAGCTACCACACCAGGAAGCCAAGATGCTTCTTTCTTTGGACGATCAGTCTTCGGCCATTCTCACCGAGGGCGAACGCCTAAGCCTAAGACAGCTGGGTTCTTCCGCCAAAACCGAAGCTCATGTTCTGCCTGTTCCATCTTTGTTGGAGAACGACTCTAGAAAGCTGTCTGTCTTGACCAACCAGCGACTCGACGAGCATGGACCTGTCCAGGTCTTCCTTTGTTCGTCCCACATTCCCCAAGCTGGTGCTGGCGGCAATGCCTATGCCATCAATCTTGACCTTTCTGGTGGCTCTTCGGGCTTCATGCGCTTGTCTTGTAAGGATACCGCAGCTGACGCCATTGCGTTGCCTGCCTCGACTTCGGAGTCCAACTTCGCTTTCGACGATGCCTTGCCATTCACGTACATCGAGTATGCGCTCAAGGACTTGGCCGAGTATCAGTTTGTGGCTATCATCGACCAAGCCAGTGAACTCACAGACGGCTGGGTAATCGCCGAGTTCAACGACTCTGTCAAGTCAAGAGTCACTGTGAGGAGATCGTTACGCAGCTTGATGCTGAGTGGCATGCACCGCGTCCTGCCAGCTGCTCGTGCTATGGTCAACGAGATCTGCATCCCTCGTGTACACTCAAGCTTACTGGCTTACACTTTGCGCGTTCATCAGAAATGCAAGTCCGAACCTTTATTCCAGCCTCTGTTGAGACAGTACATCTCCGAGCCGTATGAATCGAAGTTCTTCCCCAACGTACGTGGGGATGTAAACATTAACCTGCATGGTGTTTCGCCCTATGTGCCTCCACCAGCAAACTCAGCCCATACCAAGGACGGACTTTCGTTGCAAATCTGGTCGGACCCGACATGTAATGCAGAAATAGAAGTGACTCTGGACATCGACATTCTGGGCAGTTTCGGCAAACTCTATATGCGTTATAGGACTGTCTTTGCCGCGTTCCCTCTGGTCGTTGTTGCTTTAGTGTTGAGGAAACAATTCAAGATCTACGACGCCACTGGTAAGTTTACTCATTCCGTCGCGTTGAGACATTCCTCTGACAACATGCTAGGCATTTTCATGAGCTTTACCGAAAGCATGGACCAGTGCATCAGAACCTCTCTTCCTGTTCTCTTCATAGCATTGTCCTTCTTGTCACTCGCCCTTGCCAACCACGCCACCGCTTCGATTGGTGAAGAAATCCTTGGACCGCAGCACGAAGCGACAGAATCATTCTTACAGTTTACCAAGAACGACCTTTTACTTGGCTCCAATGACCCATTTTTCTTCTGGTTGGTACCGCTTTTTGGTGTAATCAGTGTGGGAGTTTGCATTGTGCTTAATTACATCACATTGGCGTTGACACAAGTCTTCGCTTTCTGCTATTCAAAGTTAAGGAACGTGCGATTGAGGAACGACGACGGAAGGTGAGTTTTGCATTCACAATGGACTTGAAGCGAACAGAAAAGACTGACAATACGGGGTCAGACGAAGGACAACAGCATTCGCAGTCACCAGCCCTCTACAGCGTGTCATTACAACCAGCATCTTGCTCATCATGGTCGCGACCATCATACCCTATCAATTCGCCTACCTAGTACTTTGCCTAGTCCAACTCGCAACCTCAGTCCGGGCATTGCGATTGGCGCAAGAAACAGTAAGCTCTCACCACTTCTGTTACCTCTTTGTAATCAACGTCACTAACACGGCATCTCTTTCTCCAGAAATCCGGCAACAACTACAATTTTTACAACTACGTACACAGTCTTCTCATCCTCATGCTCTGGATCCTCCCCATCAACCTCCCCGTCCTCGTCGTTTGGGTCCACAACCTCGCCGTCCACTGGCTCACACCCTTTTCCTCCCACCACAACATCCTCTCCATCATGCCCTACATTCTCATTGTCGAAACAATGTCTACCGGCCACATCATCCCTCGCTTAATCTCTCCATGGCGTCTGGTCAACAACATCATGTTGTTCGCCCTCGCACTATACGCAGCAGTCTATGGCGTCAGCTATGCATATGTATTGCATCATTTAGTCAATGGGATGGCTGCATGGTTTGTAATAGTGCATTTCGCACCTGTATTGATGAGGAGAGGGGGGTTGGGGGATGAGCAGAGGGGCGCGGGAAGTCCTGCTCCTCCTACTCCACCGGGAGATGGACATATGAAGAAGATACCTTAGACGAAACACACACACACACTCACACACATGATTTGGAGTAGGGTAGGAGTAGAAGGATTGTTGTATATAGATGTTTTTTTCTGGTTTCGGATGTTTTTTTTTGTTTTCTTCTTGTCTCCCCTGGTACTCTTTTTCTTTTTCTTTTTTTCGGGTCCTCTTTCCCACTTGTTGCAGTGGGATTATTATAATGATTAATCTTTACCTTTCTCTGAAGTTTAGAGTGTCCAACGTTGTTGCTTTTTTGAGGGATGCTGAAGGGGCGTTATCTTGGAGGCAAAGTGCTGGTTAAAGCACCTTCCACTTGATGTTTAAACTCAACGCTCGACATGACCAGATTCATTGTGCATGCTCATTCAGAAAGAACTGATTCCAAAGAAATGGATAGAGAGTGGACAAAAAAAAGAATAAAAGACCAAAAGGAGCAAAAGAGTGGAGATATAATGCCGCAATAACACACTTGAAAGAGTAGAAAAACAATCCAACCAATCCGACTTTTTTCCAAACCACATCCCTATTTCTTGTCCTGCTCAGCAAGAGTAGGATTTCCATCACCCTTCTTCGCAATAGGCAAATCCTTAAACGGTACACTCAATCCAACACGATCAATGGTCTTTTCGACAACAAATTTACCACTACCATCAACCCTGTTGATCAAACTCTTACGATCGGTATCAACCACAAGACGCAAAAGGTCTGGACGCATATAATGACCTCCCTATCCAATTACATCAGTAACCCATGTATTCTAAAGAGCAGAGAGAGAGAGAGGGAGAGAGAGAGAGAGGGGAGGGAGAAAGAAGGGCGAGTGGTGTGGGGAGAGATCCTACAAAGTCATTCAGTGCTTTACTGAGATGTGTCTCGTCAAGATCAATGTCGACGTAAACCAAGCCTTCGAATTCTTCGGTGGGCTTTGTGATTAAGCTCTGTCCATCAGGACCGTAGATTCTAGTGTTGCCGTTGTAGATTCTGTGGTCTTCGCATTCTTTACCGGGGGGTGTTTGCAGAGCTACTCCTTCCTTTGAAATCATTTGGAAAGGAGCAAGAGTGAATGAAGCAGTCTCTATAGCATAAGCAGGGGTGACGATATCGGCGTTTGCGTCCGAGATGTTGGTGTAAGGATCTGGGTACTTGAGAGTGGTGGCGTGGGGATAAAGAGGCCAGCCTGCAATATGTACTTGTTCGCCGCGGGAGACGGCATAGGCTTTTAGGAATGGGTTCATGTTTTCCCAGCAGTTTAGGTGGCCGATGCGGCCGATTTCTGTGTCGACGACTGATTCGGTGGTGTCGCCTGTACCTGTTTTGGATCTTGATCAGTAAACATGGTCTTTTGTGTGATGAGACGATGAATTAGATCTGGATGCTCACGTACCATCTCCAAAGACAAGTCTCTCGACGTGGGTGGCGCGGATCTTGCGACGGTGGTTCAGGACGTCACCGGTGGGAGAGATCAAGACCTGAGTGGTGTAGAGAGAGTTCAAGTCGACTTCCGAGTAGCCCAAGGATACAAAGATACCGTTTTCCTTTGCAGCAGCACGGATACGGTGCATATCAGGGCTATCACTAGGTAGACTGTTCTCGCGGTACTTCTTTAGGAGCGGGAGAGACTCCTGGTAGTTTACACGCCACATCCAGTATGGGTAACCGGGGATCCCTGTGTAGTAGCCACGTCAGCGTCGTAAATGCTTGTGAGACGATAGATGGAGGACAAACAGAGTTCAGGGAAGGCAATGAGCTTGCAGCCGTTCTGACCAGCCTCGTCGATCCAGTGGATGGTCTTCTGGACAGAGAGCTCAAGGTTGAGCCATCCGGGCTCGGCATTGACGGCAGCAGCCTTGTACTTCTTGATAGTAGCGACCATATTGAAGACGGAATTGGCAGGCGAGAGAGTGCTTGAGTGCAGTGTTCGAGAGTGAGATGATTGAATGTGATGTCTTTCTCGATTGCCCTGACCGGAGGGGTTTATATATTTATCTTACCACGAGAGTTACCTGTACCTGAATCTTCCGATACCGCTCACTATTCGGTGGTCCATCACTCAATGCAGTGGCGATATGGTCAGGCCAATCTTGTCGTCGTGACATTCTCGTTTGCAGATGCCTGATAGTCAGGAAGTCGTATGATATGCTGCGTTTGACTCCGAGCACAGCATACATATCAGACCCCGAGATAGCGCTGATACATTCCGTCCGACGTTGTTTCGAGTGTGCGTTGCACAGATCGACTCGGGCTTTGGTTGCTGTGCTGGCAGTATCCCGGGATTTGCTTGACATCTCCGGCCAATCTTCTTCGTCTACGCACGCGCAGTAGGCAGGATAGACGAAGTCATGAGATATCGGGCATTGTAGCTACAGTTCATCCAGACGTCCAAGATGTCGCAATCGGACGGCTGTAAGAGATGATTCGGTATGCAGAACTATGGAGGACAGGCCACTTGTGGCTCGACGTCAGGTCGAAGGCTATAGCATGTCATATTGTAAAAAGTGTTTTCATAATTGACAGCCAGTTTTCGCCAGGTCACACTTGTTGATGGCATGGATATACATGATCATGTCGAGAGGGGTATATTCGAGGAAGGTATTCACGGAGTCATTGACAGAGGAAGCCACGATGACGACCTGGTGCTCAGACCTTGCCCTCAACGCCCGCTGTTGGGATGACCCTGCTTCACACCTCCATGGAACAATCACACCGCAATATCGAGCACTCCGGTCGCCAATACTTGCTTCCAAGACCACGGAGTCATGCATGTTGACACAGAGCATGATACTCGTTCATGATCTGCTTTTATGCTGAGATGTCATGGATAAAAAACGCCATGAAAGCTGTGAACGAAATTCACTGACGTCTGCGTAGGGAGATAGCATGTTCACTACAAATTCATCTACATACAGCTCAGCAGCTTGATTGAATCCACTCATGAACGACACCAGCAATTTGAGGGCTATTCAACTCGAGATATCCAAAGTGACCGTTACCAACGATGCCTTTGTCAGCTAGCTTGATCCATTCGGCGTTAACGCCAGCTTGCTGCAAGAAGTCGATTACACAATGCTCGTAGGTGATATGCGGACTAGCACTACCAGTAAGAGCGACATACTTGACTTTGGCAACCTCAGTGAGCTTGTGAATGGTTCCAGTCTGCATGTAGCAGCTACGATTGGCAGGTGTGTCGTCGCCCACGAGTTTGTAGGCGAGTTCGGAGGAGTTGGCAATCGGAGGATCGTAAGTGACATGAGTGTTCGTCATGCCCCAAGGACGAGCGGACGTACGACCAACAGAGGACGTGGCATTTCCGACGTACGACTGGAAGGGAATGTTTCCCGGCTCAAGATTGATGTTGCCAGCGACCAAAGAAGGGCAGTCATTAGAGAGGAGCAGGGGATGTAAGGCTCCAATGGAGTGGGAAACCAAGAATGAGGGACCGATGAGAGACAGCAACTGGCATCCCGAGGATCTCATAGACAGCTCCTGAACAGTCAGGTTGCTGGTCAAAGGAATGAATGTCGACTCAAAGGCATCGAAGATGGGATCACCCTTCAACCCTGAGCCAGGCCACTGAGTGTGCTGTTGCGACTGTGGGTAGGCGTTGGTAATCTCAGGTGCAGTAAATCCTTTCTCACTGATCTCAGCAGTGGAGCCAATGCGCATAACGTAGTCATTAAGGTTCTCCGCACTGCCTCTACCGACACTAGTTTGATCGACAATGTAGACTTGATAGCCGTAGTCCAGAAGATGAGAGGCAAAACCCTTGCGATTGTCGGGCGTGTTAAGCCATGTCTTCTCACATCAGCCACAAACAATCTAGAACAAATACTTTTAGATGCAACTCACCACACCAGAAGTGCCTCCACCATGGAACAAGACTACTGGTCTGCTCTGATTGACTCCACGCGCTGGAGTCAACTTCTCGACATAGAGCTGGTCATAAGTGAGATTACCAGCAGCTCCAGCTACGTAATGTCCTCCGACGTAGAAGAAGTCGCGATGGTGCAGTGCTTCTTTCGATGCGCATTTGGGTGAAATCGCGTTGATGCCAGTACAATTAGCAGCGGCGAGAGCAGCGCTCGCAAGTGAGGCGAGACCGAACAGGGTTGAAGAGATCATTTCCTGCTGAGAATAGAGGTCACGATATTTGAAACAAGCCAAGGAGAAAAGGTTGTCGGCAGGGTTGTTGCGGGAGTCGGTCGCTTTTGTATTCCTCGCCTGGCTTGCTGCCCGGGAAGTCGCCTATTCAGAGTAGTGCAATCGTCTCCTTCATATCGCTAAGATCCACCATCGTGACCGGCAAGACATAGCACAACCTACAATTTCGGCTTCGCCCAGCGAGTATGGAGGGCAATCTGGACGGCGCGGTCTGCCTGATGACAACCGATGGAGCCATTACGACTGCCGGACCGCATCAGCACGTTCTTGTCGCTGGCAATGCCCTGACAGCGACTCCGTCAATCATGTGTGTAATGATCAGCATCGTGTCGAGCGGTGTAAGGGTTAAAATTGAGTGCTCAATCACACCAAGGGTCAGTTAAGCGACGCGCCGACGCGCGTGAACAGATGGCTTGGCAAACGTGATAACTTTGAGAATGCATTCTCACCATGCTCCTTCCAGTAGCTCCATCAGCTCGGAAGTCTAAAGCTCCAGCAGTGTTGGATCCTTATCACCACTTGGCTGATGCGTCTTAGGTCACTTTCACTCTCAAACAATGTTCATCTCCATTGATGCTAGTGATGCTGGGTCTGTGCGAAGCTACCCTTGTCAATGAACGGGCCATCGTTTGGCGACCCTGGGTCACTTGGGCCTTCAGGAGGCTCAGGCGGGTGCTTCAGATCATGGACATCCTCAGATTTCCCATATGCACACGAGAATGGAGCGCCCACGACATTCTAGACGTCTGAGACATCCTACCACAGACGAGCTCCTGCAGCTGGTGAGTCCATCCGGAAGGATGAGGCTGCTTGGTTGGACCAGTCGCAGATCATGGAGGTCTAGAAATGAGCTCAGTCCTTAAAGGACGTTTGCCATCAGGAAGTTTGGCCCTAGGATAAAGGTAGGTTACTTCCGCTTAGGATGCAACAAACGAGTCCAATGTGTCGGCAGAACTCGAGATCCGTGAACGATCTGCATAAACATATGGCCTGAGTCCTCTTGTGCTTGTGAGACACTTTGGTCTCTGACCCTCCTCCACTCTTTGTGAGTCGCTGTGCCCTTGAATCGCGCCAGCAGGAATGTCGCGCTCAGCCTACCTGGGGCAACCACCGGCCACTCAAGATGACTTCTGGATCATCAAGGGGATGTACAGAGCAGCCTACTCTTTCAACAAAGACCCAAGCAAAGGATACCTTTTTGTCCCGAAGAAACCTGACCACTATGAGTACAACGACAAGCAAGCCGGCATCATTCTCGGTATGGCAGTGGCGATAGCCATCATGTTCCTCACCACAGCTCTGCGACTCGCTCTCCGGCAGTTCAAGACAGGAGTGAGATTTGGAGCAGATGACTGGATATTGATGCCAGCAGTGGTATGGGGCAATGTCTTACTACCCCAGTCGATCCTCTAGTTGCTGACGTGCGACCGCAGATCATGGCCATACTATACCCGATCCTACAAATAGCCATGGTGACTCGTGGAGGCGGCGGGAAGCATACCTGGGACGTCACTTATGCTGAGTATTACATATTCAACAAGGTGGGTACCTGTCCGTTAAACGAAGACATGACTGCTGACTGAACTTGTTTTAGCTTGCAATCGTCTGCAAAATCATCTTCTTCACAACCGTCGGCATAATCAAGATATCGATCTGTCTCTTCCTTCGTCGTATCTCGGAAGCCTCATCGAAATACCCTCGCATCGCCAATGACGTCTTCCTGTTCTTGCTCATAAGCTATACGTTACTCGCACTGTTCTGGTCCTGCTTCCAGTGCTCGCCGGCACCTGCTATGTGGGACAAGATATACTCCGGACAACTTGCACAGCCTGCCAAATGTTGGTCAACGCTCGTGGTGGCGAACGCCCTCAGCGTGATACACGTTGTCATGGACTTTGTCCTGCTTCTGACGCCGATAGTTGTTCTATGGAAAGTACGACTGAACAAAAAGACGAAGATCAGATTGTTCATTGTCTTTTCGATGGGATCATTGTCATGCGTGGCGAGCGTCCTACGTGAACTTGCACAGAAGAGTATTAGCAAGGACATTACTTGTAAGCACTTATTTACAATATCAACATACAGCATTTAACGTCATACAGATGGCTACACAAGTCTATTGGCATGGACCGTGGTCGATTTGACCCTTGCAGTAGTTGTCGCATCACTACCTGTAATCAGTGCACTCATCCCCAAAGCTTGGGGTGAAATAACCCATTCATCAAGAGTCCGCAGGACCACTCTCGGACAGGATACTACTAGAGGAACTCAAAGACAGTCTGTTACTGGAAGAGCTCGTCGAAGTAGTATTGACTCAGAAGAAGACGGCATATTGCGTGAGGACCGTATCGAGTTGTCTTTTGCCAGGAACTCGAAACAAGTCGAACCGCGAGGTCATTCTCAGGCTTCGTCGTTCGAGAATCGGCAGACTGTGCAAGCAGTTTGACGACGCAATTGCTCGTTTTGTGCTGACCCTTGGTCTGAGTCTAAAATGCCGAGCGGTAGGCTGGATATGCTGGGCGTGGGGGCTTGGGGAGGACAAATTCCTGCTGGCTCAGGAAACCCCTGTTACGAGACGCTCCTTCGTTGGACGTGTAGTCTTGCGTACTTTGAATGACAATAGCGGTGACGCTATCCTGGGAAGCGGTACAGAGAGACGAAATAATGATTTTAAAGAGTCTATCAAGGTCTACAGTCCCATGTCGAATAACAAGAACTCAGCAGGCTTATCACCAACGCTCTCAACCTCAATCTTACCAGGTCCAGTAGCGTTGGTGATGTAGGCACCATCGCCCTCACCCAACTCGACATCGCCAACTCTGATCTTGGCACCTCCAGACTTAGGCTGGGTCCTGCCACCCATGACAAGATGGACGAAAATGTTCCTCTTGCCCTCAGCCACAATATCATGAACAACCTTCTTCCCCGGCGACAAGATACTAGCATCCATGTTAAGATCCGCATGCAAAGGAATAGGCTGATCCTCTGCATCCCTTCCAGAATGCCTCTTCTGATCCTCCATAATCCTAACCAATTTATTCTCCTTCATCTCATCCGTAAACTTTCTCGTCACATAACTAGGCTTCAATCCCCTGGTATAAGGCTTTGCCCAAATCTGCAAGAAATGCACATCTTCGTCTCTCTTGCGGTTATACTCTGAATGCCTTATTCCAGTTCCTGCCGACGTAAATTGAACTTCTCCACGTTTGAGGTTTTCGAGGTTTCCCATGCTGTCTTTGTGCTCGAGTTCGCCGCGGACTATGTACGACCAGATGAGGAATTCGGCGTGGGAGTGCGTGCCAAATCCTGTGCCTTTTTCTACGCGGTCTTCGTTTATTACGCGTAGAGGGCCGAAGGATTCGTGACTGGGGTCGTAGTAGGAGGCAAAGGAGAAAGTGTGGAAAGTGTAGAGCCAGCCGTGGTCAGCATGACCGCGGGCATTCCAGGGTCGCTTGACAATTTTGAGAGAAGAGTTTGCTGAAGAGGACATTGTGCGTTGAACTGACGGGGGTGTTCTTGAGAATAAAGATGGGAGGTTGTTACGGAGTGGTGTGAGGAAAGCCACGGTGATTGCGGTTATACCGATGAGAATGGCGATGGCCTTGAGATTGAGCGTCGATGTAGTGGATTGTGTGTTGTTGCTTTCAGATGGTTGAGAAGACATGCGAGATGGCAGGATGTTGGAATTGGAAGATTCTTATATCACGTTGTGACGGGACGTTGATTATGATATTTATTCTATGGCATGCCAAAGGTTTGTCATGCCGGCCGGCGTCGAGCTCGGAAATCCAACTTAATTATGGTCAAAAAGCTGCGAGATGACCATCCAGTAATGTGATGTTCAATTGGTCAGATAAAGCAGGCTATGCCAAGTCGTGACGATGAGACCCGCAAACGAACGTTTTGACCCACTTCCCAGCATCATCGCAACGCTCTAGGCAAGAAGGGCCTGAGCCGTCCTTCATCAAACATCAACAATCGATTGATTTGACATTACTTTCTGTTCGTTCACTGAACCTGTGACTCTATATACTTGACTCCGAGGTCTTTACACTTCCGTGGCCGTCTGTCTGACAGAGTACTTCTTCTTGTCCTCCTGAGAGGGAAGCTCATCAGACATCTCAGTTGCATCGTCATACTTCTTAGGCCCCTCGATAGGGGTGTGCTCTTGCAGTGCGATCCAGGTAGGGACAACAGCAAGACCAAGTAAAACAGTGTTGACTGCAAGAGGAACTCTTCCACCCTTCCAGTTCTTGGTATTAATACCGAATGACACGGCCTGAGAGAAGCTCTCCTGACCGCGAAGAATACCAGAAAACCGTGCTAGAACCTCAGTCAGCATGTTGTGAATCGGAGCAATTAGAAAAAACGTACAGAGCTCAGAGATGTTGTCCGTCTTGGTAGACAAGAAGTAGTAGAGGAAGTTCTGAAGAGACTGCTGGGCAAAGCCCCAGAATACCAGTACGAAGAAACCTTCAACGAAACCAGGGTCGGTCCAATCCCAGACGGGTTCGTTCTTGGTGTACTTCTCCTGGATCGCCCAGCCGTACGACCACGCAAGTAGGTGCCAGAAAAGCACATAGAAGAAGCTATGCCATATCAGCTATACTGTGAGCTCACAGAATAGAAGCTGCTTACCAGATGTTCAATCTCTTCTTCACAGGCCATGGCTTGTAATCAAGCAGAGTACTGACAATGAATGAGGATATAATACCACTAAAATTGGTCAGGAAACCGATCAGACATCTTGCACGAAGGCCGAAGTAATAGGTCTGAAAGTCTGAGGTAGGATGTTAGCACTGCGGCTATAACGATTCGAGAATTACAAACTCACTTCCTGAGTACTGGTTGAAGTAGGCGGCCCAGAAAACTGGGAGCAAGAGAAGGATGTCACGTCTCTTGGAGGCTGCAATGAGAGCACGCATCTCAGCAGCGAATGATTTCTCTTGCACGATCTTGACTTTGCTGCCATCAGAGCGTTGTACCTGTTCTAGTCAGCGGTGTTGTCGCAAACGCGTTTTATGCATGGCTTACCTTCTCGGGCGGTGACAGTAACAGGCCAACGGGTACAGCAAGACATTGCAAAGCGATGAAAACAAGGTAGGTCTGATAGCCAACTTTGCCTTTGGTCTTCTGATCGGGAGAGCTAGATGGTGGTCAACGAGACGATGAGCGGATGCATGCTTGCAGAGACATACTGGTTGAGGCCGAGAAGGATAGCACCTCCCAAGATGGGACCTCCTGTTCTAAACACAAGCCAAATATTCATATATTGACCACGCTTGGCCGGTGGCGGATAACCCAGAGCAACAGCTCCTTCCGAAGCCCAGAAGAGACCAGCTGAGACACCACATGCAACAGCGCCAACCAATACAAACCATACGTTTCCCTAAAGAACCAGATCAGTCATCGAAAAGGCACACTGCATGCCAGACAGAGCGTACATATCTATTGTTCGTATACAGACCAGCGCTGTAGACTGGATAGCCCACTGCACCAAGGACTAGTGTCCACTTGAGGCCTATACGATTGGCGATTGGACCACCAAACAAGCAGAAGAAACCCATCAGTCCGAAGACCAAGGCATTTGCGGCGTTGACCAAGAAAGGTGATTGTTGACCGCCAGCGCCGAGCGAGTTCATGGCGTTCCATAGACCTGGAGCCATGAATCCAACCATACCAATGACACAGGCATTGAACATGCTTGAGCGATACCATCTCTTGTTCTCGATGATGGGATGCTCCTCATGGCTCTCGGCCACTTCGGAGTTGGTCGAACTAGACATTTTGGGAAAGGTCGATAGCCGCGATAATAGAGGAGCTACAGAGACCTACTCTTTGGACAAGAACCTATATACGTAGCTGTTTGGTGAGGTTACATTGAGTGCGACATGGAAAAAATTCTCGTTGCAGGTCGATTGTGCGATATGGCGCGAACGCAAGTACCCACTCGGTATGACAGCAAACAATATGAAGCGGGCGTAGGCGACAGTGAGAATACATGAGAAATGAAAACGTTCAGGCAATTGCATCGTATGGACGGGCGTTGGACGGCGCGATCGGCAAGTTCATGGTCAAATAGGGATGAATTTCCTGTGAAGAGCGATGGTGTGATTTTGCCCAGAGAATCCTTCCTGCCTCTTTCGACAATTACAGAGATGGGAGTGGATACCGCGGGGCGGGAACTGCTGTTCGATCTGCACGAAGGGTAGCCTGGCCCAGATGAAGGTCCTAGGGCTTTTTGGAGGTACTCAGAACATTCTCTTGAGGTGGCAGAAGATGGCATGCTGAAGTCGGTACCGGTATGCTGGAGCTCCACGGAATAGGACTGGTGGGCTGTCAGACGTCATGCCAAGGCGACATTCACATGCGAGAGCGAGCGGTAGAGTGGCATGCTCAACCATCGACACAAATACAGTAGCAAGGTCGGATCAAGATGCCTGCCATTCCTGATAGAGCGCAGACGGAGGACTCGTCCAGCTTCAGTCCGGATGCTTACTTCGAGGCATGGGAGAAGGGCGAAATCACAGCACCATACGATAACGACTTCCGGAAATTCATCCTGACCACTTTCGGCCTGCCTGAAGACGACACATATACCTACGCCGCCGTCGCCGAGGTCACGCTTCTGCAGGCTCAGACATACGTCGAGTATGGCGGCCAAGGAGGATTACATGCCTGGTACAGAGACGACGAAGGCAAGCCAGTAAGCCTGCCAACTCACACCAACACAAGAGAGCCATGAGCCATGAGCCAACATCACGTTCCGTCCAGAGATCGCCTCCGCCCGCCGTCGATATCGCTGCCTACACCAACGTATTCAAAAGCACCACAGCTACACAGAAGGCCCTGGTCGGTCTAGCTTCGAATGCGAAAAAGGACTCGATTCGTGCCTCTGTTGGCCAACACTTGCAGTCCTTGTACCAGCCGCCATCACCCGACCACAAGATTGTCATATCGAAGCTGAAGAAAGAGCACACAAATCCCTACTTTGATGTCTGGGCTTGGTCTTGCCAAAATCTGGAATGGGCTGGTCCCGAACATGCCACCAGCAAGGTCCGCTTCTCGCACGCAATCCTCCCAATTCTATACCACCACTTTGGCTGCGTCTGTCCATCGTACGAGTCATTATCTATCATCTACCAGCTTGCCAAGGGACGCACAGTCATCGATCTGGGAAGCGGAAATGGCTACTGGTCATATATGCTGAGGGTCTTCAACAAACAGAAGCCGCTGACTGTCGTGCCTGTAGACAATGGCATCAGCGAGTGGAGAACTGTCTGGGTGGGCGATACCAACCAGATCGATGGTGTCGACTATCTGAAGAAGAACGCCGATGGCAAGGATCAGGTACTATTACTTGTCTACCCTCAAGTCGGCCTTGAGTTCACCTCCAGGATTCTCAAAGCTTACAGTACGTGTCCAACAAGATTCTCAATCTGATAAAATAGCTTACTAACTTCTTCACAGAGGGTGACACCATCGTCTGCGCAGGCACCCAGAACTCTAACGGCTACACCGCCTTCGCCAAGGAGACCATCGCTGATTGGATCGCCAGAGAGATGCCTGTGTTTGAGAAGGTCTGTCAGATCCCCTTGCCTAGCTTTGCTGCCAAAGACGAGGCACTTTTCGTGTTTCAGAGAAAAGCTTGATGGGGTTTGAGCAAAATAGCCTCCACCATCTCAAAGCTACAAATACCCCACAATAAACATACCTCTCAACATGAAGGTGGTATCACACCTCAGCACGAACGCGCGATATCTAGCCCTCTTCCTTGTCACTGATCTTCACTACTTTTTCCTGAATCGTAACATGCATTCGAGGTTGTACTTTCGCTGGATTTGGTCACAATTACTCTTTGACCCGAGTCTGTTGAGAGATCCTAATACCCACCACAGATGGAACCTCACGCTTCCTTTATTGTAACTTGAGGCAAGCAGCTTGTTCTCAGCTACAAAATCGTATTGCTCCTCCATCCATCTTTTGTTTCTACACGCCACTGTTACGTGATATTTTCCATCATGAAGGACATCTACTTCATCCTGTTGCTCTCCATCCTGAGCGGTATTGGTGTTCTTGCCGCTCCGATCGAGCAAATGACAACAGGAACTGGGTCTCATACCGACGCAGTTAGTCTATCCTGGTGGCGCCGATTTGACAGTAACTGAGCCCCCACAGAGCAGATCTAGTAGGACATCTACTCGTTCCTTAGATCCTCACACCGAGACAGAATCATCGACCTCGCAGACAACGAAGAAGTCGGAAACTACCATGAGCAGCAGCCTTGAGATCAAATCCCATAAGAGCATGATCAAGACCAAGACTGGCACGGAGAAGTGCAGTAACAATGAGGGAGGCTCGACGATCATCATGATACTACCTTCCAAGTCCTCGCATGAGACCAAGCATACCAAACATCACTTGTCCGCCCCCATCGAATCAGGGTCTTCGACATCTCACAAGGACCCCTACGCTCCCACTGACACGCCTTCTCGAAACGTCTCTAGATCCTCTACTAAGCGTCATTACACCGAGACCCACGAACATCCTCCCGAGTCCAGCACCGAGACAAGTTCTACTAAACCTCCGAAATCGACATCTCATGCTTCTTCCAAGTTCGGCACCGAAGAGGTTGTTCTTATCACGAGCACGGTAGTCGAGATCTTCACAACACCAAAAGCTTCTCTATATTCTAAAAGGGATGTGGATGCCGTCAAATCTAACAAAGTGCGAGATTCTGCAGTTCTTACGACGGTTCGCACGACCAACACCTTGCCATGGCCCCCCAACAAGACGAAGACCAGTGACAAGACAGCTAAGCATGACAATGAAGAGGATGATGAGACACCAGCATCTACTGCAGCTTCTTCTCCTGATGGTCTTGCTGCTGCTCTTATCGCGAGACAAGATGATGGCGTACCGATCCCTACATCAAAATCCAGCTGGACACGCTCACCGGCGTTTTTGTTCACCGAATGGCATCCGGCTACATGGAAACCGATTCTGACCGCAGTTCCAACTGACGCTACCGTTATTAATGAAACGGAGACAGCGTCACTCTCCTCGAGCTATAGGACTACCTCGGAGGAAAGGGTACTGGAATCTACCAGCTGGAGAGAGGTCGAGCAGGAGTCAGTGCCCACGAGTTGGAGGACTATAGAGGTGATCGAGCCAATCCCTACGAGCTACAGGGAAGTTACCGAGCAAGAAGAGTCAATGCCTACAAGCTACAGGGAAGTCACAGAGCGAGAACAGCCAATGTCCACGAGTTACAGGACAATCGTGAAGCATGAAGAGTCGATGCCTACAAGCTACAGGACAATCTCGGAATATGAAGAATCGACGCCAACAAGCTGGGAGGTCATCCACGAGGACGTCCCTCATCAGACAGTCACTGTCACAGAAGAGGCTGAAGCGTCCACAGTCACCAGAGGACCTCACAGAATCACAGTCACTAAAGACGCCAAAACTGTCACGCAAACCATCGAGATGTCGACAACCTCCAAACCCAAAACTAAGCCAATCTCCACAAGCTTCAGAACTATTGTCGACCGCGTATCCACCAAGACCGTCACCAAGCTCGAGAAGCCGACTCAGGAAGTCATTCAGACTATTCAAACCATCGAACCTTCGACCACGAGCTCTCGCGGATTCCTCGTGACCATTGGAACTTCTGTCCAGACTATGGAATTGGTAACTGAGGTCGTTACTGATCTTGTCACTGAGCCGATCAAGACAAGCTGTCAGCCCTCTACTGTTATCATCCCGCCATCTACCGTTACTCTCCTTCCATCCTTCTCGAAGCCGGTCACACGATCATCGATACCCAAGCGAACATGGACGACTAGGCCAACTTCCAAGACATCGACCCTCTCCCTTCCAACCACGTCTGGGGGACCCATGGAGGAATCGATCTTGACAGCTTTGAAAAGCTCAGAAGGTGAGCAGCTGTTGACTGCTTTTGAGACCGGTAGCAAAAAAGGACCCAAGTCGTCTAGAGTCCACAAAACGTCCTTGGCACCAGTTCAGTCCGATGTGTTCAAGGAAGAGGACATTATACGTGCATTGAGGAGTTCTGAAGACGAAGCTCTGTTGACGGCATTCGAGACTGGTGCACACAAGGCCAGGAAGACTGCGACTACTCAAAGTTCTCTTGTACACACGCCACAAACAACACCAGGGGCTACCAGAGAAAAGGATGGCTCGAGCACTTTCGAGAAGATTGTCTCGAAGACGCAGGAGCCGGAACGATTGTCGAGTCTAGTCGTCAGGGAAGTTTCTACGATGAGCCACGGTGCCGCCGACGACACGTCTGCTCATGATGTCACAACCGTCAAGGCCGAACTACCTGCCATGCAGACCGGAAACGCAAGGTCAGATGACAACAACGAAGAAGCATACTCCACCACCTTCAGAACAATCACCTCCAACGAAGCTACCAGCACCACATCAGTAGAAAGAAAACCAAGTATCACCAGCAACTTCTTCAGCCTCTGGGCCAATTACGCCTCTTATCGCATCAGCAGACATTACGCGACCAACTCTGCCTCTCCAACACTATTGCTCCACGCTATCTCTACTCAAGAGGTAAAGGGCGGTTGCGATGGTGGACAATGTCTTCATCGTCATCCTGATTCTGAAGTCGAGGCTTCTGGTTCGATGGTCTTTACAGGTGTGTATACTACGGCTGTTGTGCAGGGTACCAAAAGGCATAGGAAACCTGTTTCAAGTCGCACAGATGTGGCTGATTGGCAGGTCGCAGGTGGACCTACTCCAACGGTCTAGGTCATTTGAGGGTGAAATTCGAGTTTGTTGGTATTTGTAGTGGCTGTGACTGAATTCTTGCAGATCTCCTGGAGTACTACCATCCCAAAAACGATGGGTTCAGCGAGAAAAGGAGAAAAAACGAAACAATGTATTCAGAGGGGATATGTAATGTATCTAGATTGTGGTGGTGTTTTTTGTTATTTCTGTTTTCTTCTTGTTACCTTGTTCTAATCTCCACTCTCTCTCTATATAGTGTGATAGTTGAAGAAAAAAAATGCTTGAGAATCTCTTCGTGTGTCAGATTTCATCGCTTCTGCTCTCTGCGATGGTTAAAGCAGAGTAGCCATGGGCTGCAAAAAGGCACAGTCATATCTCGTGTCAAGAGATACATTGCTGAGAGCCGCTGAGAAGACATATCTCGACGACCGTGCTGCAAGACTAGAAAGGATTTGTGGATTGAGAGGGCTACATATATGATAGGGTGCATACAGGGAGGAAGGAACAGCCTGCTTCGGTTCGCTGACCTGGTAGGGAGAGGTCAATCGACCTGTGTCACATCTTCTCTAACTTCTACAGTTGCTCAAGCAGTCATACAGAACATGTCTGTAGTCACGAGATCCAACAATGGTTCAACTATGGGGACCGAAGGTACATTGATATGATAGCACACGCCGAAAAGTAGACTTGATTAACTCTCACGTCTAAGCTATACCACTCAAAGTAGAGCAGTAGTACGTGGGAGCTTTCTCTCGGCGCTTAGTCGTGCGTAACGGCAGGGAATAGATTACGGATAGAGACGACGGTCGTGGAGAAGTGCACAATCACGGACAGGTCAGCACGAGGCAAAGGTCCATGCCAACAATAACAATGGGTCCCTTCAGTGGCTTGTCCTAGCCAGCTCTCCAGTTTGGGTGGTGTAGAATAGAACAGGGCTGTAGAAATGCACAATGCTTTTCAGATGATGCTAACATGTTCATGGAGAGATTGAGAAACCTGCTCTCCGATGAGCATGTAGCTGCTGTCGAAATAGTTTGTACATTGCCACAGCTAGTACTCAGGTCAATCTTCACGACGGAGAGATGGAAATATTGCTGATCGTCCAGAATCGTTTATGGGTAGGCATGCGGCTGTGAAATTGTCACATGATTCAGAGAGATGCCATCGAGGTTATTGAGAGATTGGAACATGTGAAGGCGAGGTTTTGATAAAGTCCCTTTGGAAAAGTAGACTAGGCTATGTAGAAAGAGCACAATCATGCAAAGACAGATCTGCTGTTGGGACTGCCCTTGCCTCTCTCATACAGCCACTTGCTGTTCAGTGAGACGCTTGCTTTTCCGGTAGCCAAACCCGACGAACTACTTCCCAAGCTGTTGTCCAGAGGCGAAGAAGTTCTTGCGGCCGAAGCACCTCCCACAGCCTTCTGCATCAGAGGACTGACAGAAAAGGGACTGCCGGAAGGGCCCTTGCTCAGACCGAGAGTACTTTGGTCGAAAGATGATGGACTTCCCTTTCGCGACATGGGAGAGCCTGAGGCGTGTCTTTGGGCGCTGGAGCGGGGTGTTGAGGAACGCGAGTATCTCGGGGGAGTAACGTAGCCTGGGGAGCCAGCAGGTAGAGGGACGTCTTGCGGAGTCAGACCGAGAAGTTGTCGTTGTTCTCTGGTGAGGGCAATATCCTGCATCTCATCGGTGGCGCGGAAGAGCGGCATGAGGGCGAGGGAGATGTTCAGGACAGGGATGCAGCGGACGACGAGGGAGACCCAGAAGGCGTATGGATCCATTGAGTGGTAGAAGGCGGAGAAAGCTGTGGGGGTGCTATGAAAGGGTAAGCGTTGGGCAAAGGTGGTCTTGTAGTTGGTTGGCGGCTTACTAGCTTGAGAACATGCTTGGAGCGAGCAGGAAGGCCAGCAAAGCAGAGGCATTGATGATGATGCTGTGAACATTGTCCGAGGTAAAGGTTGAAGCGTTCTTGCGACGGTTGATCTCGTCCATGTTTGGGTGACGCCAGGTTCCTGGAGTGTCGACCTTGATCGGTGACTTTTGTGGTGTTGAAGGGGCCGACGAAGGTCGCAGAGGCGTTGTTGGAGCGATAAAGCGCGAAGCTGCCGGACTTGGCTTGAGAATTGCTGTCGAAGACATGGTGTGTTGGTAGATGTGTGTTGGCGGTGTTGAGTCTTTTATCGTTGTGTTGTCGAATGCTGCAGGGGTTAGTATCTCTTCCGGCTTGTCGCTTTAGCACACAAAGCGCATGACTAGACAATGAACTTTATCAAGAGAGACCTATTGTCGCTATTACTGCAGTCTGTATCGTTAGTATGAAAGTGACTTGATCTTGTTTAGAGCAAGCACCAGCGACAGCGAATAGTCCATCGCAGTGTTGATTTCTCGAGCTTGGCGCTGTTTCCACGGCGGCGCCTGCAAGAGCCTGTGGCTGTGCTCCACCACCCCGCCATCCGTCTTCTGCCAGCACCACTGCTGACAATCGACCCCATTCACTCTTTTCCAAGAAGTCTTTCTTCTGGGTTTTCTTTCGAGATTCGATCTGGCGGGACAAGCCTTTAATACTGGAAAAATGGGAAACTTGATCGAGCAGTTAGATGCTCTCATCGCCGACACCTTTTCCGCGTGGAACCTCTATACCACCCTGATTGCTTTGGCCTTGTTTGCTTTTGTAGCATATCCTCTCATCTTCTGGCTTGAACCTGACACACATCCTCTGCTTCTCGCTCGTCAAGCTGCTGCGTCTCCCGTTCGTCAACCTCACGAGTCTGCCGTCTACCGCTCCACAGAGGTACCTCATGGTTACGGACTGAAGACAGGTCTCTCGGTCCGAGCCCCTGGTGCTCCCAAGTGGACGGCCGGCAAGGATGGCGACCTCAGAGATATCTGGCGTGAGGCTGCCAACTCTTCGTCTAGCGGTGCCACGGCAAAGATCTTGTCTGTCCGTGGAAAAGATGCCCCCATCGAGCATGACTTTGCAACTCTCTCCAAACTCATCAACATCGTTGGTTCCCATTTGCAGAAGTCTGGCCTGCAGAGAGTTGCTATCTACACTCCAAACTCCATCGAGTACCTTGTCACCATTTTCGGTAAGACTTTCCATGTTCCGGCTCTGCCTTGTCACTAATCACTTGTATAGCATGCTCCTTTTACGGCTTGACCCCTATCCTCATTCCTTACAACCAGGACCATGATACTGCTTGCAAGCTACTCGAGGACACTCAGACTCAATGCTTGGTCGCTACCGCTGGAGCACTGCCTCTTGTTGCTCTTACCAAGAGCGTTCCGTCTCTGCGTCAGGTTCTCTGGGTCACAGATCCTGCCAACAAGCATATGGACTGGCAAGGTGCTCCTGAGAACGAGACTAACGGTAAGCTTGCTGTTTCTGTCTGGGACAACATCGTCCAGGAGTCTTCCTCCACTAGTAGCGAGCTGCCCAAGGGCGACGATAGCCTTGTGCCTGGCAACCTGATTTTCCTGTGGCAGAAGAGCCCTAATTCTCCTGCCAAGTCAGTGGAGTTCACTCAAAAGGTACAACTTTCTTACATAATTCTTTGTAGCCATCTACTAACCCAAAACAGAACATGGTCGCTGCGATTGCCGCTCTGATCTCGGCATTGCCCCTTCGCCAGCGTCTGGGTCCTTCGGACCTAGTACTGCCTGCCGACTCATTCAGCCATTCATACGTCCTCTCTTTGACTATGGCTGCCTTGTTCAGTCACAGCTCCCTAGCCATCAACTCTGTTGCAGGTGCCGGCGTAGACATAGCTCTCGCATCTCGAGGCGTGGCGCCCACCATCATCATTGCCTCATCTGAAACACTCTCAAAGTTGCATCAAACCCACACGTCGGGAGCGTCTTCTGCTATCCACAGATTTGTGCACTCTCATCATGGGCGCGCTCTCGACGCAGGCCGTATGCCTGGAGAAGATCTACTGTCCCGACTCTTCGCGCCTAAGGGCAGTGCTATTGGCACATCCCCTGAAAAGCTGCGTCTCATTCTAGCCTCGGAGAGAGCAAACACCGGTGCTCAGACCTTGAGTAGTGCTGCTCTTCGTGATCTTCGCATAATCACTCGTTCCAGAATTTGCTATGCTTTGACTGCTTCGTCGGTAGCAGGTGCTGTGGCGCAAACTAACATCTACGACTACAGACACAACGATCGTCCCGGCCACAGCCACTTCGGCGCACCTCTGAGCAGCGTCGAGATCAAGCTTGTAGACAAGGATGACAACAAGGTTGACGGCAGCACACCAACAGGCGAAGTAAGCTTTTTTTTTTTCTCCCACGACTCATCTTGCCAGACGTCGAGGCTAACGTGTTTCCCATAGATCGTTGTATCTGGTCCTGCAGTTGCTGGAGGTGATAGCAACCTTGGTGTTAGGGGCATCTTCCGCGAAGACTGCACTCTGGGTTATGCTTGATCGTAGATACACAACAAAAGCATTGGTCATCAACACTCCATTTTCCAGGTCCTCAAGTGTAAACATATTACCTATCAGAGGAATCGAATGCAGAAGATCGTGTCCAATCGGAAGGGAAATGGTTGAGGACCCGAGCATGGCCAACGTAATGTGGGGGGAGGGGAACGATCACTGCAGTGATCAGCGATGGCAGCGGTGACATCGCCAAGGCTTGAATATATCCCGCAGCGAAAAAATAACAGCGAACGTGTTTGTGTGTGCTTCCCAGCGACAGCACGCTACCTCTTCCCTGCGAATTCATTGCTCCTGAGGCTTGTTGTCTCGCTCGTATACCAGACCCGGTACTTTGACAGGGTATCCGGGCTTACCTATCGTCGTCAAAATTCCACGGCAAAAGTCCTCTTTTATTCCTCTCTCGGCCAGGCCACCATAAGATCCCTTCAAGGCACCTCGTAACTCCCGCTTGTTGCTGGCGTAAGCCAGCCTCCCCTGAAAAGAAGTCATGGTCAACATCGATATCCCTAATGACTACACTGTCTCGCCCTCGTCGGCCACTCCTCACTTGACCATCAACCGCGATGTCACCATTGACCTGGACTCGACCAATGCCTTTGAAGGTCAGCTACTGTGGAGATAATATACCGAGTGCATATCTGACTGTAGTACAGGTCCCGAGAAGCTCCTCGAAGTATGGTTCAGCCCTTCTGCCTCGTCCCTTCCTGAAGGAGCCAAGCCTTACGGTCTGAAGGCCGTCTCGACAGACACATGGAAAGAGATGCTCGACCTTGTCAACTGCAAGGTTCTCTCCATTATTGGACATGGACATATGGACGCATACCTTCTCTCCGAGTCGAGCATGTTTGTCTTCCCACACAAGCTTGTGCTCAAGACCTGCGGCACTACCACTCTGCTGTACGGTCTGCCAAGAATGCTCGAGATTGCTGCCCTTGAGGCAGGCTTCCCTGGCATGAGGGCCGATCTTTCCGCCGCTGTTCCCGCTGCTGCCACGCCTCACCGTGTCTTCTACAGCCGCAAGAACTTCTTGTACCCTGACCAGCAGCGCGGTCCCCACCGGAGCTGGCGCGATGAGGTCAAGTACCTCGACCAGAGATTCCTTGGAGGTAGCGCCTATATGATTGGAAAGATGAACGGCGAGCATTGGTACTTGTATATCACTGGTCCCAACACTCAGCTGACTCCCCCTGCTACACCCGAGAGAGAGACTCCTACCAAGATCCTCGACTACCCTGAGCAGCTCGCAGCTGATCTTGCAAATGCTCAGATCGATGAATCTCAGGATGAGACCCTTGAGATCCTCATGACCGATCTTGACGAGCAGAACGCCCGCCAGTTCTACCTCGAGGACGCAAGTGCGATCGCAGAGGGCAAGTACCTCGAGCAGTCCCAGAAGGCTCGCAAGGATGCTATCGCACACTTGGGTAACATCAATGGCGCTGACGATGTTGACGTCTTTGCACAGACTACCTCGGATCCTTCTGAGAAGTTGACCTTCCCTGAGGAGCTGACCACCGAAGGCCATACTTTGGGCTCCGTGGTTTCCGAAGCCTGTGGATTGGCTGATGTCTACCCTGTGTCCAAGTACCCCGAGGCCAAGATAGACTCTTACCTCTTCACTCCTTGCGGATACTCTGCCAATGGTGTTGTGCCTTCCACCGGAGAATCTGGATCAGCTCACTACTTCACTGTCCACGTCACTCCTGAGCCCCAATGCTCCTACGCCTCGTTCGAGACCAACGTCCCTGCCAGCCAGACCGGGCGCGAGACCCGCGACATCGTCATGCAGGTCGTCAACATCTTCAAGCCTGGCCGCTTCAGCGTTACCATCTTCGAAGCCAAGACTGATGAGGATGGCTATGGTAGAGCAAGAGTCAAGAAGGACAAGAACATGGACAACATTGCCGGCTACAGACGTGTCGACCGCATCGTCCACGACCTCGAGGGCTACGAGTTGGTCTTCAGATACTTTGAGCGTCTTGACTGGAAGGGCGGCGCCCCTAGATTGGGCGAATACATGCTGTAAGCAAACGCAATCCTGTGAATCGGCGATGCACTGCGAACTGCGTTGTTTACATTGAACAGCAAAAGTCTCCCTGACCTCACCACTAGCCAGTCTACTCTGGGATGATATCGACACATCTACGCCGGATCTGCGAATGCGCTTGTGTACATTGATGCATTTGAATATTGACGGGATGGAAGAATGAAGCAACATATCGATGTTGTGTGTTTTGCGGCTGAAGAAGAAGAAAAATATCCTGTCGTTTCCTCTAGTCTATCGAGCGTTGCGTTATCGTTAAGCTGTATCTAAACATCACCACCAATTTCAAGCAGTTCGCATGCTGATCACAAACTGGCATATCGTTGATCGTGTACAAGTGCATTCACATCACATTCTACGTGAGCTCATACTGAGCCCATAAGCCTCAAATTGCTTTAAGTCAGGAGGCAAACAGAGTTATACCGTCTCGTAAACATGTGGTTCGATGTCGACATGTGAATCAGGCAACACAACTTTGACCATGTTGCTCAAGTTCGAGAACACGCAAAAGAATCTTGCTCGGATGATTCGGTATTGGCAGCATGACCTTTGTCCTTTGCGCTGCCGTGTGAGCAGTATTATTGCCGTAGATCATCTCGAGTTTTGACAAAGAAACCTCACCACTCATGTTCCAGCCTCCACACTCGGACGTTGATGGTCCAATTCTCAGACAGGCACACACCACCGTCCCGAGCCACCATGTCTTACATCATTCGCCAAAGCATCCCAGATCATCTGAGACCAGAATGTCTTTGCGGAAACAACTTTACCTCTTGAACCTGACATCATTGGCCTCCGAATTTAATGTTTCAACTCGAGGCGACACAGTTGCAGCAGTCCAATTTCGATTTGCTACTATTTTTTTTACGAAGATGCGCTCATGTAGGAGAGACTGTTGTGCGTTTTGATAGGGGGGGTATCGATGGCAACAGTAAAAGCCGTTTCGTCGCGTGCATGCCGCTGGCAAGGAGATTGCAGAGCGTTCGGGGGCAGGAGAAAGAGAAAAGCAGGCTGGCATAAGGAGGACACGAAACGGCGGAAAGAACACCCGAAGGTAGGAAAACGAGACCCTCGTGAACTTGCGAGACCGAAGTAAGAAGTGAGATGTTTCAGAGATGACCAGGTATTGAAGATGTCTAGATGATGCTGCCTCTTGTCGCAAGAAACAGTGGTTCGCTGTCTCGGCTGATTAGAGTGAACAGGGCGGCATCCAGAGCCATCTCTCTTCCAAATCTCAACTCTACTTCGAGTCAAGCGGTGGATGCCGTGCATGACGCCTGACGGTTGCGTTCACTGCGCCGGCTTGACGTGCACTCCTCGGCGAGAAGAACACATAGGCAGGAGCAGGGAGGAAACCGATTCAGAACTCTTCTCGAAGCCTCAATCGATAGCAATCACAAATGACAGCTGATGGAAAACATGGCGGCGCTCGGCCGTTTGATAAGGATACACGCAACTCGAGCAGGGATGCTGAGTCCTGACAGAGCTCATGCACGGCAGAAATTTTCCTATGTGCTGCTTGCTTGTGGAGTCAAGATGTATCGTCGCTTTGGGGACCTGAGTACCCTTGCAAACAACGAGATAAACTCGAGGAAGGCGCGTAGAAATGCCTCGGGCACCACCAATCGGAGTCGAGGTGTGCCTTTCGATACCCAATTCTTTGGGACGATGCAAAGCGCGATCGACTTTCCCACGCAACTTCCCCGATTAAGCTCGGCTTCCCGCTGAAACCGTTGATGCAGACGCGTTAGCGTCAACGACATTGTGCACTCTGTGAGTCTGTAGGAGGCTCCTACACGCTGATTGCTTGTCGGAAGATTCGTGGTTGCGGGACAGACTCGTAGTGTATGGGTGGATCAGAAGTCGTTGGGTTCTACGTACGTTTGTACCGTTTTCGACAAACGCATGGTACCTTCAAAAGAGGTCGCGTAGCCGCATCTCACGACAGCAAACAAGGCCGTCTCATTCATCTCGTGTGCACCGATCGAACGCGCACCACCTCAAGCCATTCGCTACCTGCCAACTGTTGACCGTCTTTTGATTGCTATAACGTCTTCCGACCTTGCCATTCTTTCGGACAAGCTGTTTCCGTAGTTTATTCATATTCACGCGCTCCTGCCGCTACATCTGCAAACCAACCAACCCAACCCCACCCAATACTAGGACCCTCCGACAGGCGAACAACCCGAGATCTCCAACTAAGAGACAAGCCACCGCTTGCACTGCAGGATCCATACTCACAACAATCCGATTAACGTTTCAGGACCCCTTTGCTGGGCACTGCTCCTCCACCCATTCTATTCAAGTGTGCCCTCTCCCCTTCACCAACATTCGCCCATCCTTTCGCTGTTGGTCAGCACCAGTAAGCGTGGTCACACTGCCAACGAAAACATGTCAGCCGAGCCTGTGATATCCACTGGGGATGTGGAGCGACTGCTACACGCAACGTGCGTCAGGGGCGTCGATAAATCTGGACCCGCACCTGCACCCCTTCAGGAGAGGACAATTGACTTCAGAATCCTCGTCGAGCCTCCTCTTCTATCAGCCAACATCACTGATCTCTGCAACGAACCTCTATTTTTCTCAGGATACCTATCAGAAGAAGAACCAATGTCGTCCGACGATTCCAGCCTGTCATCAATGTCCATCAGCACCGTTGCCGATGAGTTTCTTGACGAGCTCGAAACAAACTTTCCGGAACTGCTGGCCGAGGATTGCACTTTCGTTGAACAAGCCCAATGTAATCAGGCTGAAGCAGTAACTCTCGTCTCGCCAGGCAAGGCCAGAATGGTTCGAGTATCTCGAGTCGATCTGAGTGCCTCGTCGTCGCCGATCATCATACGTCCTACGACCTCATCAGATCTGAGGCCAAATGGAAGCACATCACGTTTAAGCATCATCTCAATCCGGGCGCACAGCCACGATGGCTCCGTCTCCTCTTCAAAGACGACATCTCCCAAGGTTCCGTCGACACCGGAACTTGAGCCTGGACTTCAGACTCCGGCATCGAGCCACGGGCCAGCCACTCCGGACTCACCGGCCTCTGCCTACTTTGATGCCCTTACCAGTCCGACATATCCATGCCCTCCTAAGCATCGCATGTCCCGCAACGGCTATCACCTCAAGCTTCCGAGCATGAACAAGCAACGTCCGGGATCTTCACAGTCTATGATGGCACCACCACTATCTGCTCCTCTCACAGCACCATCCTCATTCTTCAAGCCCAAGATGACACCCCGCGGCGCTGCCGAGCGTATGACACCCCGTGGTGCCAGTGAACGTATGCCTTCCCTGGATCTGCCACCCTATCCTCGCGACTTTATCCAGCAACCCCCGCAGAGCCGCTGGACTGTCCGCAAGGACTCGTTCAGCTCCGTATCCTCAAAGGATATGCCTAGATTCAGGCTCAAGCGGGCCGAAAGCGGCATCCTACCGACCTGGCAATGATGGTCCAACCTCATAACCCAAATAATGTTCTCACGAATTTGCTGCATATCATGAATGGAAAACTTAGCGTTGCTTTTTGCCTTTTGGCTCCCGGCTCAGCCTCTCCGGAATGGTTGTTTTACGATATCATATCGTCCTGCTTCTGGAGAGTATTCGGCTCTTTACTGTACCTTTCGATACACCTCACATATACATGCCTTATCCTCTCTGGCTTTGGGTAATTTTGGCTTTTGCACGATGGACAGACAACTTTCTTCTTCACGAGTAGCTAGAGAAACCAGATCTCGGAGAAAATGTATTCTTAGCAAACAAACACCTCGTTCCTTTGCATCGTATCCTGTGTTGGTTGATCCTTTCCCTTCGTTGGCTGATCCTCCATCTTCTCGAATAGGCATCGGATTCGTTTAGGCTTCCCCGCCTCCGTAGCCGAGGGATATCAATAGATCGATAGCCGAGCAGCCACGCCTCCCCAACTTGTCGAGACATGTGAAAGGAAACCTATCAAGAACTTCCTATCTGTTGAGTCGAATTGTCCGGTCTTGGAGTGTCGTACCAACTTGAACACATTTTGGGATCATCTCGTACCTTTTGTCTGACTGATAGCTTGGATTCGGCAGTCGCACCTCCAACATGGCTTCCGCATCTGTCATGCCCCGCAAATTGTGGGAGCATCCTAATCCGGATGCTACCAACATGGCTCAGTTCATGAGAGATGTCAACAAGAAAAGAGGACTGAAGCTCAAGGTAACATACATTCCCAATAATCAGACACCTCTCAGAGACACAATTGACACTTTTCGTGCTGCAGACATTCCAGGATCTTCATCAGTTCTCCGTCAATCAACGTACTGACTTCTGGTCTGATCTCTTTCAATTGCATCCTCTAATCCATTATGGCAACTATGATCAAGTCGTGGATCTAAAAGCTAGAATGGACTCTGTGCCTTCCTGGTTCTCTGGCGTCAAGCTCAACTTTGCAGAGAATATTTTGTATAGTGCCGATTCAAAGAACCCCTCCCTCCGCACAACTGCCGGCAAGGAAAGCGATAAAGTAGCTCTAACAGAAGTTCGTGAAGGATGTACCGAGATTAAGCACTATACCTGGAAAGAACTTCGAGCCAAGGTGGGCTTGCTTGCTCAAGCTATGAAAGCTCATGGCATCATGAAAGGCGACAGAGTTGCAGTTGTCTCGTCTAACTCTACGGATACATTGGCTGTCTTCTTGGCTGTGACGACTCTGGGCGGTATCTTCAGTTCGAGCTCGACTGATATGGGAAGTCAGGGCGTGCTGCAGCGACTTACGCAAATCGAGCCGAAGTGGATCTTTGTGGACGACTGGGCTGTTTACAATGGCAAGACTCTCGATCTCAGGCCGAAGATGAAGGAAATCGTGGCTGGTATGCAAAAGAGTAAGGCTAAAGGCTTCAAGGGCCTTGTAAGTATGCCCAGGTTCCAAGAGAAGCCTGCGGATGTCAGTGGTGTTGATCAGACTATGGGTCTGGCTTCGTATCTGGCAAAAGCTGGCGGTAATTCCGACTTGCCGTTTGAAAAGGTCGATTTCAAGGATCCTTTCTTGATCGTTTACTCTTCTGGTAAGCCGGCTTACTCATGGCCGTGGACTTGTTCTAACAAATTCTAGGCACTACTGGTGTACCGAAATGTATCGTGCATGGCTGCGGCCCAGTTCTGATCAGTTCGATGAAGGAGGGTAAACTGCATCTGGACTCTGGACCGACGACTGTCAACTTACAATACACAACCACTGGCTGGATCATGTATCTCATGTCAACGATGGCTCTCCAACATGGGGCACGATCAATATTATACGATGGTTCGCCATTCATACCAGACCTGACAACTTTCATCCGCCTCGTCGGAGAGCAGAAAGTCACTGATCTGGGTATCTCGCCCAGGTATCTCCAAACACTTGCCTCTGCATCTCCTCCGGTCATTCCCAAGCAGGTCACCGATCTGTCAAGTCTGCGTCGTGTTTCGAGCACAGGTATGGTCTTGCCAGAATCTCTCTTCCATTGGTTCTACGACTCTGGTTTCCCTGCTTCTGTTCATCTCAACAATATCAGTGGAGGTACTGATGTAGCTTCATCATTTGCCATGGGTAACTTGCTCACGCCACTATATGCTGGTGGCTGTCAAGGTCCAGGTTTGGCTATGAATCTCCAAGTCTACGACCAGACTATCGAAGGTGGAAAAGGTGTCAAGGGTAAACAGCTACCCGTTGGCGAAGCAGGAGAGCTGGTCGTAACCTCTGCCTTCCCTAACCAACCGGTCAAGTTCTGGGGCGACACTTCTGGCCAAAAGTATTTCGATGCTTACTATGCTCGATTCGATAGTAAGTCGTCGTGCAAATTGTGAAGAACATCAAAATCTAACAAAGCCATGCACAGACGTCTGGACCCATGGTGACTATATTTTCGTCCACCGAAAAACCGGCGGCGTCTACTTCCTCGGCCGCGCCGACGGCGTCCTGAACCCCTCAGGTGTCCGCTTTGGCTCGGCAGAAATTTACAATGTCATTGAATCCTTCTTTGGCGATGAAATCCAAGACAGCATCTGTGTAGGTCAACGCCGACCTTCGGACAATGACGAAGCAGTCATTCTCTTCCTTTTAATGAAGCCGGGCCAGAAGTTCTCGGAACAGTTGGTCAAAGCTGTCAAGCAGAGAATTGGCAAAGAATGCTCGCCTAGACATGTTCCGAAATATGTCTTTGAGACACCTGAGATACCTGTAAGTGTCGAATTGAGAGAGATGGGAGGTTTCGAGATCAGATGACTAATGAACATGAAACAGACGACTGTCAACCTCAAAAAGGTCGAATTACCAGTCAAGAGAATTGTTTCTGGCGAAAAGGTTACGCCGTCGGGAACTTTACTCAATCCACAGAGTCTGGAGTACTATTACAAATTCGCTCAAGTGGAGGAATTGGTGGGTGTCAAGAGTAAGCTGTAGATGGAATATTTGTTAGAACATAAGCTAGACGAGACCCCTACATACAGAGAGAAGAAAAAAATCTTGCAACAGTTTTCTCTTTTCTAGCCATTCAATCCACTTTCTTGAGCTTCCAAGTAGAAAATTCGTGTGCTGACATGGGGTTGCCATCATTGCCAATCTCTTTGTCTTGTGGGTTTTCCTACACATTGCGAGTATATTCAAGGGACATACGAGTAAGATGCCATGATAGCCGAGAAAGGTAAACACAACGAAAAGCTGTCATTAAATAGCCAAGGAAGAAAGCACACATGTATACATTAGAAGCTACAATGAGTCAACAAATAGCAGCCACGATCAGCCCAGACACAAAAGGAAGGAGCAAAAGTCCAGATCGAATCGCTCCTTCTCTCCTCAAGAGAACGTCTCTAAGTGCACACAGGGAAAGGAGCGGTTCGGATAAAGTTGAAAAAGGCACGATCACTAGAACCGCCCTTTTCCTCATCTAGATTTTATAGAGGTCGCTGGAGCAAAAACTGGTTTTTGATGTTAGATGATCGGGAAAAAGACGCAGTTCAAGTATCGCACCCTCCAATCTCTGAGCTGTATTTCTTACTTGCTACGTGCCTTGTAGTCATTGCATCGAAACTGCATGTTGAGTAACCCTGCCCAAGGTCCTCGTCTTGTAGAGTCATTTCGAAACAAAAGAGGCAGAAAGGGAAGATACAGATGCCACAGATCACCAAGGACGCAAGCAGTAGAACATGAGAAAAACAAGGTTGGAACAAATGAAATAATCTGAATTCGAGTAAATAGTCTGAAGAAAATGATTGACAGAAGTGGAAAATGGAAAATGGCAATCCAGAAGAAAGAAGTAACCCCTGCAGTATCGCTCGGATCGTCTTTTTGATCAGCGTGTGAAGATACTCCAAATGCAAAACGCCTTGGCTGTAGTATATAGTCAAAAGAGATGTTCTCATCCCAGTATATCCACAAAAGGTTCCTCCTTGTTTCATATCACATCATCGTGCAAGGAGTATCACTCATCTTTCTTGCTCGTGCCCGCCTCTTCAGCATCTCGCTTCTCCAAAGCTTCTCTCTCCCAGTCTTGGATCTGGAGACCGTAGTTGGAAGGTTTACGTTGAGCACCTGCTTCGGTGGCTTCTTCGTTGGTCTCCTCATTCTCCTGGTCCTTGAGAAGTTGTCTTGCGCGGATGCTCTTGGCACCATCACTAATGCTTCTCAGACTCGCTTTGTCCACATCGGCATTGACGACGCGGAGACGAGCTTTTGGCACTGTAAACATGACTTGGACGTCGCGATTAGCGGCTGCTTCTTCAATGTCCCAGTCTTCGCGCTCGTCATCCTCTGGGTTTTTAACTTCGTCTTTGGAAGCCGAGGTTTCGGGCACATCGCCCCAGTCACCGGTATCTGGGTCGTCTTGATAGGGCTTCCAACGAGGGTCGTTTTCATTGCCTTCCCAGTCGCGCTTGCCACGTCTGGTGCCGAGGAATTGGGAACTGTCGCTGGCTGCACGGCGAGGAGCAGATGTTGACATGGAGGAGTCGGTGCGTGCATGGCCTTTGACAGGACTATTGCTGCGATCGCGGTATTGTGGAGTGGGAAGCGGTACCATGGGGGCACCTACGCGTCTTTGAGCATGTGAGGCACTCATGCTGCGATCACCACTGAAGACTTGACGAATACTGCCCATCCAGCCACGACGTCTTGGAGGAAGCGGGGGCGTCTTTCCGATGGCGGCTGCGATGATTTCCGCCGATGTTGGTCGTACTTTGTAGTTCAACGGTGCTGAAGGCTGACTCGTCGGCGCAGTTCCCAGAAGAGCTTCACTCTCAGCGATCAATTGACCAAATGTTGTGCACTGAGTTGAAGAAGAATCGGCCGCTCTGTCCAGTCCAGGACGCAAACTTGGTGGATGCAAGCTGCTCGTATGCTTGGGCCTGTTCTCCCAGTATGCAGGAGATATACTGCGTGACATGACAGACGCGCTAGGTGCTTGCGAAGGTGTGATTGATGGATGACCCGACAAGCCAAAGAACAGGCCTGAGCGAGTTGATGACGTCCGGGCCACAGAGCGGCCTTCGTTTGACAAGCCTGATCTCTCCGAGTTCTCGCTCAGCCCAGAAGATGTTCTCTCATCTGCTTTATCAGGAGAGCTGGATCTGCTGGCAGGATAGGGAGACACCGTACGCCTCAAGGATGCAGCGTAAGAGTTGGTCCAGTGGTTGATCCAGGTGCTGACTTGATCTGTGCCATTCGTTGTACTCGTCATGACACTAGTATTTGTCGCCTGTCTGTGGATTGAAGAGCCTTGAGAGTCTTCTGCTGTGGATCCAAGCTCTGGAGTAACAGGGTGGCTTCTGAGAGGATTGGGTAGGGGATTATTGAAAGGGTCTTGCTCACTGCCTTTCAAGCCGATCATGTTTCCAAGACCTTTGAAAGACCGGTTACTATGTCTAGACGACAGTCTTTCTTCTTCTTCGTCTCTCTCTTGGATGGGATGGATGTTGCCACTTGCTCGACTTACTCTTCCGTCGTCGTAGCGAGGAGCAGCATGGTACTGATATTGGCTGCGAGACAAGCCGTTCTTCCTGAGACCTCTTGTCGGACTCGGTGCGTTGATGGACAATCCAGATCTCTCAACCTCCCGATTCCCTTCTTTCATCTGAGCAGGGCTACTCTCAACGCCATGAGGAGTCCAAGTGGTAAAACCATCATGCATGTCTTCATCCTTCTCTTGCCAATTGCCTCCATTGGCATAGTCGCTGTGGTAAGGCTCGTAAGTAGTGCTGCTGCGATAAGGCTCATAATTCGTGTTGCCGAACCAAGCTTGCTCAGTGTTGTTGCCTCCATTTTTGTACAGACGTTCCCTATCAGTTTCACGAGCTTCGCGTCGTTTTTCGAGATGACGCTTATACCAAAAGTAGAAGACTATCAGAAGACCAACGACAATTGCGCCGATGGTCAAGCCAACACCGAGACCTGCTTTTTGCGAAGTCGTGGTAAGCGCTCCTTTGTTCTGGTCCTGTGCGTACGTGCCACTGCTCGACGTCATTGCAGGCGGCGGACTGTACGACTTTATCCAAGATCTCGAGGTAGTGTTGTAGAAGAGAGTTTGTGAGTTTGATGTGGATGTTGAACGGCGCAGGAAACGCTTGAGTGATGTCGTAGGAATGTTGTAACCACCCATGATCATCATGACTCCACCAGGAAGCATGGCGGCGCCGTGTCCGTAGATACCTGCTCCAGACAGACCAGAAGCTGTTTGTAGAGGTGTTGACCATTCCCAGTCGCCATGACCTCCATAGCCAGAACCAAGTTCGAGAATTGCCAACTGTGGCGAAGCAGCGTTTGTGACATCTCCCACCCACCCACCAAACACCACCAAGCTCTTGCCATCTTCGGTGAGAACTGCTGTATGCCCTGATCTAGGCTCGACAGAAGTCGAAGGCTGATCCACAGGTTGATATGTCCAGGTCTCTTCAGGAAGAGAGAATAAAGCTACCGAAGACATGTTGATGAATGCGGCTCCGGTGTGTCCTCCTACCAGTACAAAGCTCTGGCGTGCGCTTTGCGTGCTACTCGAGTTGTCTGAGAATGCAGGTGCCAATGGGGTCATACTAAAGCCAGCCTCAGCGACAGGTGGACCTTTACTCGACAGAAACGCAGAAGTGTAGGCCACTTGTTTTGAGCTGTCCAATTCAGGAGAAAATGTCATCATCTGATTTGTGTAATTCGCTGCCGACATCCAGGTTTCATCGGTGGAATTCGTCAGTGGACACATTCCTCCAAAGACATATAAACTTGTCGTTGAAGCATTGCCCTTGGCCAGGTCAGAGAATGCGATACCCGAGCTCAAGAAGTCAGGTCCTAGGATCTTGTTCTTCGCCGCTGCAGCGGGTGTGCTTTGTAACCAGGTTCCGTTTCCATTCTTACTGTGAGCAGCGGGGATGAATGTCCATACTTCCGGAGCGTCGCCATCTGTGGAGCAGTCGCCAGCGACGACAGTGATGTTCTGTGTACTTCCTTTCAGAGGTGTATATGCTCTTGTTGATGTTGTCGCCAAGAATGGCAGAGAGTCGTAAAGCGTTGTCAATGAGAGTTTTGAAGCCTCGAGAGATTCAGTAAGGTCGAGCGATTGTAAGCTGGCTTGGCCATTTGTCTTTGGTTGTAGGATATATGCATAGGATATCGTCTGATCGTTCTCGTCGTTTTGCTCGGGTATCACGATATGTGTTGGGTTGTATGGTAAATCCGATGCTGAGACTTTCGCAGCCGTGAGCGCGAGAAGTCCTAGTACGTGTCTCGGGACGGCCGGTCTCGACATATTTTCGGAGATCGTATGTCACAGTCCAAGACCCTCAATCCATATACATGGCTAATTTTCTGACCGTCGCGTGTCTCGATCGATTTGTCGCGGGTGCAATAGTTCACAGAAAGAGCGGACTCAGGATTGCGAGATAGTCGTGTCGTGGTGAGACAGAAAGTGGCTAGGTAGGTACCTTCGAGGTAAATAGATGGCGGGGAACGAACAAAGGCAAGAAGCCGATCAATCGAGGACTACAGTGCTCTTCTGCAGCTGGACAAGGGCCTCGCACATGCGACCGCCCGATCATTCCGGTCCTCAGAGTAAACAAAGCTCGTCACGCAAGATACCCACCATGACCGGCACCAGCCACCGTTCGATACCCCGATACCAACGTCTAGGCCCTGCTCATGGTGACCAGTCGCCGACCAGCAGTGAAAAGGCATGCTTGGATAAATTGGCAGCCACAGCTCCTTCTCGCGACTGTGGCATCTTTTCGTTCCCTGAACAAAGTTTACCAACCAAGGTTGCTGCAGCAACCCTCCAAATCCGAACCCTTCTTTCGCTAGCTTATGCCCCTCCAACTCGGGCCAGCACTTGATTTTATTCTTCCGTCTCTGCCTTGACATGATCCTTGAATCGCGACAATCATGCTATAAAGCCAAGATTCGTAGGGAAAGGCTATATCAGAGTACGAGGATATCCACCCTTGTTCATGACGATAAGAACCAGGGTTCTGACGCTTGCTTGCAGTCGACCAGCCACCTCTCAGACGCGTCAGTGGTCATTGAATATCTCGAGTCTAGATCAGCGGTAAGCATCCCAATCTCTCGTCATTACTTCTCGCAACTGTAGGACCGAACTGTTACATAGCAGTCGGTTGCTATGTTTCGCCAAGTGGTGATAAACAATAGACGGTCACTCAACTACGAGGCAAACGAGCCGTTGTAGACATTTCTGGCACGCCGCAATCTTACAGCTGTAGCAACCACCGTTGAGATATCTAGAGATCACGAGCAACGAACGGTCAAGCAACATGTTGAGATGAGTTTGTCTTTGATTTTCTCCATCTGTGAAAAAGAGAGCAGTGCCTACCATTCAGCGATAGTGATGCTTTCTCATATCTAGCAATTTCCCTGCCACGATACAGCTCGTGTCCTCTGAATAACGCCCTTCTGGAGAAGCCAGAATGTGTACCAAATGCCGCCGCCAAAACTCCTTCCATGCAGGTTCATGCGCAGTCGTTTATGCGTAAATCAATAATCCCTCCCAGACGACGCCTCGCTACACATGTACATTCCCAGAAACTCAATTATACCTCTCCCGTGTTACTAATGCGCTTCTTGATCTGCTCGAATGAGGAGAAGAAGATCATGTTGATAAGTGCGGAGCGCATGACACTGACTCCAAGACCTGCACATCGTCAGTAGATGTCTCGGCGGAACCAATTCTCATCTCGTGTACCTCTGTAGGATCCAGGTTGGAAGAATTTGATGTTCGGACGCGTTACTTGCGCACGTCCTGTCTCCAGCTGGCGTTTCTGGAACTGTGTCTTTACGACATCGATAGGATAAATCTGCGCAATGATTAGCGATGAAGACATGTTTTTGAGACAGCGATAAACCTACCATCACCCAACTGACGATACCACAAGTCGCTCCAGCAAGGGCGACCGCTGCCGGTTCGGCGGGTTCGTTGCCTCGACCGTTCGAAAGAATCTGTTTCACGGTCTCGTAGGTACCGAAATATATAGCGGTACCGATAGTGTCGCGGACTGCAAGACAATTTTTTAGCCATCGCTCATGGGGACTGGAATACTGAGTATCTGAGACTTACCAAGATGTAGCCGATAGCCACAGTACAAGCCACGGATGCCGCGGTCTCGGATAAGTTGCTGAGCAGTCCGGAAGGCACCAGTGCGAAGATCGCTGATAGGTTGAGGCCGGTCTGAGGGATTCGCCTCTCTCTTCATCTTGCCAGCGAGTTGAGCATTGAGCTTGATGAGCTCGAAAGGACCTTCGTGCGGGTCAGCATACGGTCCATATCAACCTAGAAATGGACATACAAGAGATGAAAGTTATGGCGGCACCCGCAGTGGCTCCGGCACTACTAAAACAGGCGATGGTGGATAGAGTAGGGTACTGCCCTCTCTGATTCGCCAAATCAAGAGGTGATTGACCAGTCATCTGAGTCATGTAGCGATCAATGGCATGCTTGGAGCGTTGGTAGAGGCCGAATGAAATGGTGCGAACTAGGGTGACGCTGGCCATAGGAGTGCCCACACCTGCAAGTGTGGTGAGCAAATGGTAGTAATTTTTCAGTGAGCGCTATGCATACCTCTCCAGAAGCCACGGAGGCCTTCGACTTGATATGCATCTTTGACCGTTGCAAGGAAACGAGTATCGTAGCTATGTTCTGTCAGCAGTGGCGTAAGAGGAGTCATGACGCCTACTCACGATTGCATGCGTGTTTTAGCAAAGTCGAGCGGGAACTGCACCGATGTGTCAGCTTTGATGTGAAATCAGAGGCAGACTATGCGACACAACATACCGCTACAAAGGTCGAGAGCACACTCGACGACATGGAAGCCAACTCTGTTTTGTACTTTCTCGCCCACCTCTTGACATCATCACTAACTTCGTACTCCAGGACTCCGAATCTGGGTGGTTGTGTGGGCCGTTGTTGCTCATTGTGTGACTTGTCTGGATCAGAGTTGGGATCTCTCATGCTGATGGTGCGCGATCCGAGTGGTTCGTGGGAGAAATGTTGCTGAAGACAAGAGAGTCTTTCAGTTCACGCGCTGTTAAACTAGCGGCGAGCTTCGCTCCATTGGCTCTCGGCAGAATCGACGACCGAATAAGGCAGCGAGGTATGGGTGACTCGACGTGCGTCCAAGGCTTCACGGGTCGCCAGTAGTTCGAGGGATATGCTCCGTTTGCTCGTGAGCGATTTTAGATATGCGGGGACCAGGCGCGGGTCGAATTATGAATGACGATTCTGGCGGGCACGCCGTCGCCTGTCGAGGTTGGATCTTTGGTACGACTATTCGGCAGGGAGCAAGTTGAATGATGTTTCGACAAATTCAGCCACGGCGGCGTGGACAGAGGAGCTGCGTTGAGGACGACTTTTGTAACGAGCAGCGATGAGCAGCGATGAGCAGCATGAAAGTCACTCTTACTGCACTGACGTTTGATTGGCCGCTACAATCACTTCCCCGCGCCGCACCTTCTCCCAAGCCACCCGCTTAGACTTACATCGATATACCTTTTTGCTGTAGACATCACGCGGCTACTATTTCCTGACAGTGGTCGACATGTGAAGACGCGTGATATTCTGCTCCTCATTGTCATTCATGCCAATTCCTGAATCATATATACTACGTTTCTGCATAATCCCCGAACTTCTGAGAGAGCTCGCTTATGTTGCTTGGTCGGAATATTCGAGTACAAAGCGACCCTTCCCCGTCACATGCATGATGCTGGCAGATCAAAGAAAAATCATCCCGGCTCCTGACAATGTAGCCAAGCTCAGAAGCACCCATCCGCACCTTTTTGCATAGGATGCTTCGCTAGGCGCTCCCTTGCCAATGTTGCTCTCCCCACTAGTCATAGCTGTGCAACTGGCTCCACATCCATAGCCAGACGGGCAGCATCCTCCACCAACACTGGCTGCGCAACTAAACCAGCCATTAGCACAGTTGCCGGTCAGGACTGCAGAGCTCGCACCGCTAGGTGCTATCACTGTCAGTCCAGAATTGGTGATGACAGCCGTGCTTGCAGATGTAGGACAACTCGTCGTGTCACAATTCCTTCCAACTTGACAACATCCACCGAGATAGTATGCACTGCACATATAGAATCCAGTGGGACAGCCAGAGTAGATGATGGTGCTCGATGTCGAAGTGGGAGTACGTGACTCGATGCTTGACAACGACATCGGAATTGAGGCTGAGACCGATCCAGACCCACTTGTTGGCAAGACTGGTGGAGCTGCAGTAGATAAAGGTGGACATGTTAGTGAACCACAGGCTCGATCAGTGTGACAGCAACCACCTCCAAGGCTAGCTGGGCATGTTCGGAAACCAGAGCTGCAAGTCAACGGTCCCTGACCGGAAGATGATGGACTGATCGGTGTCGAGGGCACTGATGATGTTGTCGGTTCGCTTGAAGCAGGGAGTATTGTCGTCGTTAGGACAACTGTCGTCGTCTCGGTAGTTCCAGATGTCGCTAACACCAGCGTGGTGGTAATGGTCCGGACTGAAGCTATCTGGGAGGTAGAACTTGCTGGGATGATGAAAGTTTGAGTGGTAGTGCTTTCAGACAATGTTGACCATGAAGCTCCGGTGGTCACAGTGACTACTGGCAGTGTAGTAGTGGTTGTAGCTGTTGATGCATACACGCCTAGACATCGCGTTAGTTAGTTCTTGTTGAATCATCGTTTCGACATTCAGCTCACATCCAGAACCTTGGCACGCATAACCGGGTATGCAGCAACCGCCATTGTCGTTTTCACAAGTCATGTATCCAGCAGCAGTATCGCAAGAGCCAATCTTGCCTCCACAACTCGCACCATTTGGACAGCAGCCTATCGTTGCACCGTCACTCTCCGGAAGAGACATGCACGTTTCATCGGTAGCACAACAGCTGTTGGGGTACCCAATTGAGTCGCAGCTGTTGGTGCCAATTGGGCATTGATACGTCCGGTCGTGTAAGCTGCGGCCAAAGAATCTGTGAGGAAAAACAGACTGTTGTGAATCTGCATGTAAGAGTAGCGGTGGCAGCAATTCCTCAACGGTGGACATATTTGCAAACAGTATTGCAGGACTGATCGAGCGTCGGAGCTGCGCAGGCTTATCTCTATCCATGTCGAGGGGACCGAACTGCCAGTAATCCAGAAAGAACTTCTCGCCTTGGTCTCCGCTCATTTTTCTCACGCCAAACGGAGAAACATCATTGAGCCGCTGCTGTATCTCGAAATTTCGCCTGATGTGGTGTTCATGCTCAGGATAATACTTTTCACCTGGCGGTAAGTTGTAGGGCCAGTCTTGACTGTAGGTAGGAGTCGCGAAGATGATAGCAATCAAGGTAACAGGCAAAGCAAACAGTCCGGTCGCTGACGCACGCATCATTCTTGAAGCGTCGTAAAAGCAAAGGTGGGGACACGCTGGGAAAGAGATGACAACAATGTCAAGTATAGAAGATATCAGCTAACGTTGTGAGTGCTGGCTTGGTCATGATGCAGGTCTCGCAATATGAGATAGAAGGCAAAATAGATTGCCATCATAGTAGTACTTAGCGTTGCCTAGCTACAGTGCAGCAAGTAGGATGATGGCGCATCTTGAGCGACGAGTGAGAAGTCACAGAAATCTGGAGATGGACAGGCCGACGCGATCTTGTTACTTGCTTGATGTGGCTAGAGAAAGTGGCTGAAAGCGAAAGCTTGGCGTAGACGAAAATGTCGACGAGCTCGCTTGTGCGCACGGATATCTCCGCTTGGGACACAGAATTCGACGCCGTCAGCCAGCTTCTTTTGAATCTCTCGTCCGCGACCTGTGATATCGACATCAACCGACATCGACAACCGGTACGTTCATATTCCACATCCTCTCCAAGAGCCCTGTCAGGAGCACTACCGCCAGCCTCCTTTTCGCCGCATCGCCAACACCTCGCATCGACCCGCGCGCGCCGCCGCCTCCTCAATACTTCAAGCCTTCTCGAAACCATCAACTAACACCTTTCGCCTGCAGCAATTATGGGTAAAGGAAAGCCAAGAGGTCTCAACGCCGCCCGCAAGCTCCAGAACACCCGCCGTGAGGGTCGTTGGGCCGATCTCAACTACAAGAAGCGTCTTCTCGGTACCGCCTACAAGTCCTCTCCCTTCGGTGGTTCGTCGCACGCCAAGGGTATCGTCCTCGAGAAGGTCGGTGTCGAGGCCAAGCAGCCCAACTCGGCCATTCGCAAGTGTGTCCGTGTCCAGCTCATCAAGAACGGCAAGAAGGTCACCGCTTTCGGTACGTAAAAAGACGCAGAGCCCGTGGGGCGCGCATCACAAAAGACGACCAGGACAATTCTAACAACTCACCCAACAGTCCCCAACGATGGTTGTTTGAACTTCGTTGACGAGAACGACGAGGTCCTCCTCGCCGGTTTCGGTCGTAAGGGCAAGGCCAAGGGTGATATTCCCGGTGTCCGCTTCAAGGTCGTCAAGGTCTCCGGTGTCGGTCTCTCCGCTCTGTGGAAGGAGAAGAAGGAGAAGCCCAGATCGTAAACAACTCGTCTCTGCGTTGTACGACTCTTACGCTTTCTTCTCATCGCGGGCGCGGAAACAAGCAACAACAAAAGATTCTCTTTTCACATCACCTGGTGTCAACATCTATCATGCTTGCGGGTTGAATCGGCTGGCGAAAATGGGACTTTGCGAACAAAAATGAAAAACAGTTTCCAAAAACACCCAAAACAACTTTCGTCCGTCTTGCTTCTGCCCGCTGCACGGAGCAATCTTCTTTCCGCCCCTGCTCTCTGCTTTCTCTGTTTTTGGCATCAGATCTTTAACCCAGCGTCTTGTGACATAGCTTACGGAATGCACTTGTCCAGCTCTGGCTGATGAACGAAAGATACCCGCATTCTCTCTACTGTCCACACCTGCCACTTCTTGATTGACCATCAATGTGCAATTCTTCTGACTGACAACAGGCTAACACAGGTTCAAGCTATCCCCTCTTCTCTCTCCTTCTCTTGTTTCTAGTCTTTCTCCCTGGTTATCCTCCTTCTTTCTATCATTTCACTTTGCCACACTCTGGACTTCGCCCATCTCCCTGTGGCCTTGTCCAATTTTAAGTGCAAAGAAGATCATCTCTTCTGTCCTACTACTCACCGGAATGTCTCCTCTTCGGAGCGTGGGCATATCGGTCCATGTTTAAGGTCAACATCTTCTCTAGCTGTCCGTATCGCTTCAATGCAAACATATCACATCAACAACCAAATCCTTCGTCCCAGGTTTCTTACTTCGTCCTCGCGCTTGAATACTGTCTTGCTCAGACTTGAAGCCTTGATCATTGCACGGAATCGGATGATGTCATACTATAGCAACAACAATTATCTAGATATCTTACAAACTGATCTATTTCCAGAGCACATCTACTTTGCCTCCTTCTTCCTATCCTTTAATCCCTCAACACCTTGTCCCCACGCACCAGCCTTCTTTCCCCACTTCATCGTGCCCCAAATATGCGTCCATGAGAACTTTGGCGGCGGCTCCTCACTCCTCCTAAAAGGACTAGCTCCATGTCTAAACATGACTTCATCCTGCACCTCATCCACCCCTCTCGATGCACCCATTCTCGCATCCCGCCCTCCTTCTGTAAACACCCCAGATGTTTGAGCAGGAGATGGCAGAGGTTGAGAAACTTCCCATGAGCGAATGGAGGACGGGAGGGGTTTATGCCATCCTTCCTCCACTCTGGCCCACCATTTCTTACCACACATTTCCCAAAGACGGGATTGTGCTCGGCGGTAGGCGAAGCGTTCGTCTTCTCCGGTAAAGGAGCGGGTGTTGCTGAAATCAGGACCGGAGTTTCCTTGTCGTAGGCCTCGCATTCTCATATCGTCGTCTGGGTCGATGGGGCCACGCTCGTTTTGCTCCGAGAGTCTGCGGATGCGGTTTGGAGGGTCGTCTTCGAGGCTGTCTGCTGCTAGCATGCCTTGAAGGCGCGAGTGTGTGTAGTCGGGTTCTGAATAGTCGGGGTTGCTGGAGGATATGTTGGGGCGGAAGGGTGCGGTGGCGTCTTGATAGGCTTCGGCAAAGGTTTCGGCGTATACGGCATCTTGGGTTACTCCTTCGGCGGTGCTCTTCTCGGGGAAGAAGAGGTCGTCGGGGCCGGCGGAGGCGGTGATGAGGAGCTTACAGCGGGCTTCGTAGAGAGCATCGAGGAGAGTTATGAAGCGACGGGCTTCGTTCTTTTGGAGCAGCGAGAGAATTGGTACGTCGTTTAGGATTATGGTGTGATAGGTTGAGGCGAGGGTGATGTAGTCGGCGGGTCCGAGGGCAGAGGCGCAGAGTTCGGCAAAGGTCCAGGAGGAGATGCCATTCCAGCTTCGAGGTACGGGGACTGTGCGGCCATAGACACGCATGGTCGCAGGAGTCCATTCAATCTTGGAGGCTTCCGCGCCCAGTAGTGTCTGTTCGGCATCCAAGACTTGGATAGCAAAAGCTGCTTGCTCCTCCTTTGGAGCTGTGGATCCGGGATTGATCAGGAAGTATGTAGGTGCTTTTACGGCATCGGCCGGTGTTTCTGAAGTATCCTTGCCGATTTCTTCTGTAGTATCAGAGACCGCCGTCTCACTTTCGAAAGCTTCCATATCCGTGACATCGACAAAGCGATCTTCTTCGGCGATTGGAGGTGGTGCTTGAGAGTCGGCTTCGTATCTTCTGTAGTCCTTACCGCTGCTCATCTCCCAGACTTCACAACGGGCTTTGAGTACCTCGAGGAAGCCAGCGAATTCACCCTGTCCAGCAAACATGTTCTCGCTCCTACCCTTGGTCGCTCGTCCTATCCCTAGCTTCTGTGTTATGCTCTGCAATCGTGAAGGTGGTGAAAAAGCCATGCCGGCTGCTTTGTGTAGTTCTTCAGGCATGCGATTACTCGTTGCTATCAGCACACCACCTAGTTGGAAAAAAGAGGTCATCAGATTGGTCATGATCTTAGACGCCGCTCTATCCGGTAGTTGAAATTCGTCGAGGAAGAGTATTGGCGAGTTGTTGATCATGTCACGAGCAAGCCAGAGCAATGAATGTTCTTCCACGTCTGCACCAGCAGTATGTGGTAGCCTTGATAGACGGTTCCTCCTTAATTGCTCAAGTTTTGCAAAAGTATCCAGCATAAAGGTATTGAAGTGCCAGCGAGCCTTCTTCCGGTTTGGTAGACAGTCGGCGAATAGATCGATGAGCATACTCTTGCCTGTGCCTACTTCGCCATGCAGCATGAGGCCGCGAGGTGAATCCAGATTCATTGCGGCTTCGTGACTGGTGAGGACTTTGGTCAAAGCTACACTGTCCCGCTTCTCTCTTTGAGCGAGAATGGTCTGCCATACTCCTCGTTTTGAACCATCAGCATCTAAGTTGGTATTTACTGAAGGACCCACAGCGCGAGTTATCTGATCGAGTCTGTGCTTGTACTCGACTGTTGGTTCATAGTCTTTTAATCGGTCATATAGCTTTTGTAGATGTATTGCTACGAGATGTTGGTATGTGATCTTGCGCAGATGATATAAGATGACTTACCTAGTCTGTGCTGGGCAGGATCCTGAGTTATGCGATTGGTCACGACCAAAGCGCGGTACAGGACGAGCGGATTGGTGATGGCAACACCAGTATTGGGGATTGAAGACAACGACATTACAACAAATGCAGGACAGAAAAAAAAGGGGCTCCACCCGCGACTGACGAGATGTCACAATTGAAAGAAGACAAGGAGTTGTCGTCTCATGTTGCACGATCTCGAAAGTGAATCGAAGCGAGAGACGATCGACGTCACGGTCAAGCGTGGAGAAGACGGCGTCGCGCGAGCATCGGCAGAGCCTCAATCTCGTCCACAGCATCGACATGTCCACGTCGCAGATGGACTAGAGACGACCATGGAAAAGGAGCAGTTCACGCCGGCGCGACTGTCCTTCTTCTCCATCTACAGCCCGCCGCTGGGACCGACGGACGAGACGTTTGGCGATCAAGTGGTATTCTACTATTCGCGGTCAGCGCAGGAAGCGCGTGCAAAGGGCAAAGCAACAGCAGACGAAGACCGACTGTCGGAGAATGAAAAGCTGCTACAGATCGGCCTTGCCCAAGGCATGGCAGGCTTCGCCAGGTACAGCCAACTGCCACTCGACCGAGAGGTTTGCATGTTAAATATGGTCAAGGAACTTTTCCGATGGGGAGCCCATTGAAGCCGTCGAGACCGAGAAGTCGCGTATCTTGATGCACGAACTGGAAAAGGACTGGTGGGTGCTGGCCGTATGTCTGATCCCAACCCTGACCGTCAACTCGTCCATAACTCACGTGTACCCTGCAGTCCATCGATCTCACTCGTCTCCCGTCGTCCAACAAAGAGCACGAGTACGAATACTCGTCACGCGAAGTCAGCCCGGCACCGCTGCTCCTACAACAGATCCTGACAGCCTTCCGTGTCTTCACCCTCCACCATGGCCCGTCACTCAGCGACCTCTATGTCAGACTTACGAAAGACAAGTTCTCTGCTACCCTCGATCGCTTCTGGACTCGCTTCTGTCGCAACTGGGAGGTTCTACTACACGGCAACCCTGCTGTCGACATCTTCGGAGGCCTGAAACTCGCATCAGGTGGTGAATTGGGCTATGGCGTTGGCGAGGAAGATTGGGGCAGTGGAGACCGAGAAGTGCTGGAAGACCTGGTACACCGCACCGAAGGTCTTGTCGACCTGCTGGTCCACCGTTTTGGTGAAGCCGCCCCACAAGAATCTGACCACAACAACGACCAATACACTCAGGACACTCTGGAAGACTCGAGGAAAGGGCTCCCATGGCTGGGCTGCGGTCATGAGCCCCAGGCTCAAGACGGTCTTGTTTTCAGCGGTGTCGGTGCCATCACTCGTCCTTCGATTCGCGACATCTCCACATGGGTCCGTGATATCTACGCCTATGGCGAGCACGCTTATGGTGTAAAGGACAACCCACATCGCCAACGTCGTAAGAGACGTAGGCGCCAACCCGCGGGCAGTCCAGATGTCGAACTTGAGACCCCTCCCGCTACCGAAGAGGATCTCAAGAAAAAAGCTACCCATACCTTGAAGGATATCAAGCTCCCTCACGACCCTCGCCCACAGATGCATGACAGAGTAGCTTCTCAAGATCATGCGACGGGTGATCAAGGCACTCAAGTCGCTTCGCATCCTGGTATCCCACCTCCTATAGTGAGCGCTGTTGAAGCCTCGCTTGACCGAGCAAGTGCTTCGGCCGACGCTCATGCTTCTGACCAGCCACCGATGCCCTCTAAACAATCGTCAGGCTGGGGACTTGGAAGCTCTGACAAATGGGTCAAATATCTCACATTCGGTCTAGCATCTGGAGGCAAGCGCGCAGAGTCACCAAAGCGACAACGACCAGAATGCCCGCGTCGAACCTCCACATCTAGCCCAAAGACTGTCAAGGGTGTTCCATTTCCCAAATCGAAAGACGACAAGGACGAAGCCCCTATGCAGCATCTCGACCCCAGTCCGGACGGCTCCCAAGCAATGGCTGCCGTCCAGCGTCAACGCCGACAAGAAAACATAGGTCACTTTCTCATCGGCTATCGCGGGGACCTTGAACGCGAACCAGCAGAAGACGACGACAGCGATACCACTATCGGCGGTTCCGAGACTCCCGAGGCCGAAACCAACCTCTTACGTACCATCAGGGTCGAACTGGCCGATAGGGAAACCCAAGACGAGGACCTAGATTCGCGCGACAGTTTCGTGAACAACGACACCTCATCACGATTGCGCGTATTGGTCTACGTGCATCGACCATTCATCCACGTCTTTCTTTTTGAGCAAAGGACACCTTCCCTCAGTATCATGGCATTTTACCGCGAACTGCACAAACACCTACGCCCCTTGCACAAAAGCCTTCTCAACAGCACATCTGCGCAAAATGTTGCAGACAGGATAGCAGCAGCACACACCTCGCCCCCCGAACCCAACTCTGTAAACCCACAAGCAGCGCCTTTCGCTCCACCCCGCAACAGCCCTGTCTTCGACCTCGTCTACGACCCCGTAAATCTCAGCTGCCACACTTCCCTCCCCAACATTCCCGAACCCGGACAAGTAATTCCGATCGGAGGCAGTGTAAGCACAGCCAGTAGTGGCAAAGATGGACCACCCCAATGGACTCGCTTAGAAGCCCTAAACGTCCACTCCCATATCCTCTTCACCCTGCACCATTCGGCCAGAAACGCCCAAGAAACCGAACGTACCTCCAAGACCTCCCGACATTGGTGGGTCGTATGGCTACGCATCCCCCAACCCGGCGAGGAAGACGGAAAACACCCTCGTCCTGAACACTGTCGTACCGCGTTCTTGGTAAGGAAAGCTAGGGATCACGTTGTGGAGAGGAAGGGTCTGGGAGGTGGTGCAAAGGGTATGGCTAGTAGGGTTAGTAGTGGCATGTATAATCTCGTTGGTGCGAGGGGAGGTGGTAGTGTGGAGCAGACAGAGGAGAACTCGGGTAATGGATGGGGTAGTGCGGCTGCTTTGGCTGGGGGTATTGGGATTGATGCGAGGAAGTATGTGGAGAATTTGCTGAGTTTGAATCGCTAAGGATGATATACTGGCCAGCATTAGTACACGAAACTGAAATCTCTTCTTGCCAATTGATGCCTTTATCTGTTGCTTCTCGGGCTTTTCAAGCCGTGATTAGAGTGGCAGAGCTGCTGTTTAGTCTTTTCTTCTATTGCTCTCGACGATATCTTGGAATTTCTCTCAAGAAGCAAAAAAAGAAAAAAGAAATAAAAAGCGTGGCTTTCTGGCTGGGGGTAGAACCCTGACACTAGATATATCGCCCATTCACACCACCTTAACAGCGGTCATCCGACCTCAATACCATATGATTGTCTCTCTATAGTAGTCACATACATACACCCGTTAGCTGTGTAGTCATATATCGCATGATATGTTCAATATACCACATCTAAACTCGTCCTCGAATGTTTTCCAAAGCTTCAACTACAAACTGTCGCACCACCCACACATTCCCATTAACCAGTTGACTAATTCCTCCAACATCCATACTACCCATCGACTGAGTATTCTCTACTCAATCACATGTGAGTCACAAAAGAAGTCATTTTTCCATATATATATGTGTCTAATTTCGTGCAGTAAACTCTATAATAGAAAAGAGAGAAATCTCATAAAAGCAGATCAGCCTGGGCAAAAGTCTCGAAAAAGGTCACGCAACCTTTGAATCAAAGTGATAGACGTACAGTAGGACGAAAAACGAAACTGGGGGTTTCTTTAAATTAGGTGCCTGCTACTCATTATATGCTTGTTTGCTGTTGCTGTTCTGCTTCTGCTTCTGCTTCTGCTTCTGCCTCATCTCACAGTCTGCTTATACTTCAGCAGTATCTGTGTTTTTTCGGCGTAAAATATAATATGCCACAAAAACAAACCAATTGTCTAACCCAAAACACCTGAAAAAGGGACAAAGCGTTCATCAAACAAAACAAAAAACAACTGAAACCGAAATAAGAATGAGTATCAAAAAAAATGTTCCCAACCAAGAACACACATCTCATCTATAACTACGCGTTTCCAGGCTTCTCATCAGTATCAATATGCCACACGATGTAATTCGGCAACCCATAAACCCCGTATCCAGCTCTCTTTGCCATCTTGGCAAATCCTTCCGTCTCTGCTTGGTTTTCAAACGAGTACGAAGGAAAGTTGATGCCGCTGCGGTGGACGTCGGCTTTGACGAGGATGTTCACGCCGCCAATGCCGTCCAGTGGGATCTCGACGTCCTTGTCTTCGCGCCAGTCGCCCATTTTTGCCATATAGGTGCGCCCGGTGTCGTATTCTTTGTAACCTGCGAGGAGAGCATGTTAGTTGATGGATGTGGGAATAGGGGAGAGGACTGCGTACCTTCGGCCAGCACGGTGTCTTTGTCGAGGGTAGCGGCTAGCTTGAGGGCTTTTTCGGATTCTTGCCACGAGTTGTAGTCGAAGCGACCTTCAATGTCGCGACCATTCTCGTAACGGTGGAACCAGACGTCTACAATCGTCGTTAGTAAACTTATATCGGCTCAAGCTCAAGAGAGCCAACGTACTGGGAACAAGGACATCGCGGTCATGTGCGATAAAGTCCTCGATAATCTTAGAAGGACTGTCCTTGATGTCGACGTCGCGCCAGTAGACCCAGCTGTGCTCAGGCTTCATGGCAGCACTAAGAAGGTAGTTTCTGGCCTTGCCCATGGCCTTTCTGCGAGGGCCCTGAGCAGCGAAACCGTGTCTGTCCTCGACACTCTGGCTCAAGTGAACACCGAAATCTTTCTGAACAATGGTAGCACTGCGGAAGGGAATCGAGTCGGGGCGAGATTGAATGCGCTCGAGTTCCTTGGAGAGGACGGCAAGCGTGTCGTCGGTGCTGTCGCCAACGAGGAAAGCGAGATCGATCAGCTCGTGGGGGTAGGTCATCTGAGAGATGAGATCAAAGTAGTCGTTGATGTAGGGAGCGGCATCTCGCAGGGGGGTGAGGAGAAGCACGCGCTCCTTGTTGTCAATGGCTTGTCTAGTGCTCTTTATAGGGTTGAGGTCGACACTGGTGATGGTGGTGTGGTTGACTTCGACGGGAGCGTGGTGGTTGAAGATGACGGGAGTTTGCAGGCTGCCTGTCCAGAGCATCTGCTCATTGGGTGTCATTTGCATGGGCGACTTTGCAGGACCGAAGCAGTAGAACCTGGCGGGTCAGCATGGTACAATGGTACAATGGGTAACCAGACGGAGACGGTCGAGGCAGTCTGTCGCAATCCGCGCCGACGGATGGAAAAGAGCTTACTTTTGCAGGTCTTCTGCCGTGCCTGTGACACCCCTCCATAGCAAGACGACAAGGCCAACTATGGCGACGACCAGCAGGAAGCGGGTGCGCGTGAGAAAAGTCCATACGGCTCTGGTTGGGGGCAGCCTGGCCTTTGCCGCCTTCCATGATACGCCGCTCTTGGGCATCAGCATGGCGATATGCAACTATGACCACGTGAAACCAGGCGGCCCGGAAGCAATCGTTCGTCGCGGGAAACTCGAAATGACAGCAACCTCCTCGGCGCTGGCTGGCGCTTCGTTCTGATTCCGGAGAGCGTTGGTTGGGAGTCCACTGCTCAATACGACAGATGTCTGCTTGGCTTGCCAAGACTCGGGGTTTGTTTCGTGGGAGGGGACGATTGTTGTTGCTCTTTTTGCAAAGCTCTTTCCTGCTGTATTCAAGGGAAATGCGAGTTTGAGGGCGCGGTTTCTGTTGCGACGGCTGGCCTCTCGTCTCTGCCACACAGTCGTGCTTTCCCCATCGGGAAATGATTTGCTACCAACCCCAGCATCCTGAAAGCCACCTAATTATTGTGAACTTCTCCAGTCCGTGAGCCCCTGAGTCAGACAAGTACATAAGCCAGACACGTACATCTCACCTGCTTTCTGATGGCACTCTGGAGACATGTTATTGCTTTGATATACTGTTCATTAATTAGAATACAATATATGCTGTAGAGCTGCTAAATATGCTGCCGGAACAGTTCTCGCCTCTCATTCTCTTCGTAGATTAAAACAACTTTTGAAACGCTGCATGACCGTCCATAACAAAACAAAGGGTATTCGTCAAAAATCATAAATCCATCCCTCGAAACAATGTGCCGTCCTTCTCACTCACATCCTGGCCCGAGCCTCTCCAGGCTTGGGAAACGCCTGTTGCAAGAATGCCTTGCCGAGAGGATTGGCCAGGGGAAGCAGCCTCTGCCTGACAATGCCGTTGAGCTGCTCCTCGCTGTGAATGTGTTTCAGACCTAGCGGGTCTCCTGCCTCTGCAATGACCTCAATTCTCGCCGCCTGTTGCTTGAACTCATAGGTCTTGTCGTCGTCAAGCGTGCTTCTCAACACCTCTGCCGGCTGGACATCGTCTGGCTCGAACAAGTCAAGGAGGGCACCTAGCTGACGCATACCCTCTGGTCCGAACAGCTTCTGCATCACAATGGTGTTGAGCGCATTGTACTGGGTGTCGGCTTGAAGAAGCTCCTTTTCCTCGTACAGCATGCCGCTACTCCTGGCGTTGACCTTTGTCTGAAGCTTCTTACCTCTCCAGCCAATGCCATTGACCAGAAGACGCTGAAGCTTCATCTTGGAGTCTCCCTTCTCAGCTCGTAGATGTGTCTGGGCTAAGTTGTGCCTGTTGTTACCATCGCTGCTGCCAGTCTGAATCTTGACCCGTTCGTTCTCACGTGTTGCGCGGGCGTGATCGAAACGTGGGAAGATTTGAGTCTTACCGGCATCAGCCGGAACAGCGCCGCTGATAAGAGGAACCTGAGTACCATCTCTGAAAGCGCGCTGGATCTCATCGAGGCGTTGGTTGTTAGCCTGGTCCTGCGCCTCGGCTTTCAGAGTCCAGCCCTGTCGCTTCGTACATTTGCTCCTCTTCTCTACCATACGGGGCGGACTTTGTCTCTTGGCAGCTTTGTTGCTTGGTAGAGTAGCTTTGCGTATTGCTGGTGAGATGGACGCCGAGGGCGTAGGCGAAGCTATTGATTCGGGAGGCGAGACATACATGGACTCAGTCTTGATCAGAGGGACCGGAATATAGTCAAATCCGATCGAGGGAGCACGCGTGTACTGCAGAGTTGACCGATCGGCAGTCTCAGCAAGATGCTTGAATGAGGGCAGAGTTACAGTCATGGGAGCAGGACTCTGCCATGGTGTGGAGGTAGGTCTTGCAGGCAGCTGATCTTGACGGTGAGGTCTGAGAGTAGTACTGGCCGTTGGGCGTGCTTGAGACAGGCTCATATGCTGTCGAGCTTGCACATCACGGGCCATGAAATGGTCGTTGACCTGCCCAGCGCGATCGGTTGCTCTGCGCCTGACATTTGTGTGGTTGTGTCTATAATACATTAGCTCTGTTTGGCAAGCGTCGTCCGAGTCAAATACCCACAGTTGCACGACCATGCTGATGACTTCCGTGGGAGAGATGTTCTTAGGGGTTCCAAGATCAAGATAGTGGTGGAGAGGGCTCTTGTGTGATGTGTATATGATAGGTACGATACTTGACACTGGCTCTTGCCGATTCGATAGGAAGAACTTCCGAACCAACAAAGCACAAGTCAAAGAAAAAGCCCAACCCGAACAGAACAAGAACGATAAATGATCGACAAAAGTACCAAGCCGATGGACGCACTGCCGTTGTGGATTGAGATAGTGAGGGAATGAAGATGAAGGGAAGGTTTTCGCCGACCTGATATACTCACAGCATGCCAGGACATAGTCAGTATCGCATCTGTGATCATGACTGACAATGTCTCCGTTACACAACGCAGCACTAGTGCTAGTACGCATTGGTTGCCGCTCAGGGCAGTTACAGGTTGTGTCCAACAGGAGTGAATTATTGGTGCGAGCGACAGACGCTTGAGCCTCCTCTGCAGGGACATGGTTCGCAAACCTGGTCAGCTCTTGTCCAGATCTTCTTCCAGTCACGCAACCGCTCATAACTTTCTACTTTGGGGCGTGCAAGCATGCGTCATAATCCTTCACCGCTGCTTTTTGGGCAATCTACTCTCATTCACATACGTATAGGCTCTGCAGAAAAAGACATGAAGATCGATGTGAGGCGCCTTTGTGCATGTCAGTCCGAATGCAAAGTGTCAAGGGGTATGTCGTGTTGAAAGCTGTGACTAGTATCGGAAGAAATAACCGGCATACGGCGGTAGATATAGCGGGTCCGAAGCGATGCCATGAGCAGAAGAGCCTCTGTGATTCGTCTGACTTGCGCGGCACAGCCGACGGATTCAAGAACGCTGACCGGGCACGAGCGGCTGCCAGGGAAAAATGATATATCAGAGACCCGAAGGATCGAAGAAGCCTGAGGTAGGCGATTAGTTGGTGGCTTGCAAAATAAACGAGCGCCATCCCGAGATGTCTGACCAGATCCATTCGATTTCGTGCCGTACAACTTCGCTTGGCAGTTGATGTGAAGGTCCGGCATCCAGGTTCTGAGTCCCTTGCTGGCGCGGAGCGGATCCGAAAGCCGCTACTGTTGATGCTGAGTGGAGAGTTCTGCGCCGCATCGGAAAAACTACCGTGACTTATTGACAGATTGTAGACGTCTGCAACTGTATGCACATGCGATTTATCCCTTGTCTGGCAGGTGTCATATTAGGCAGAAAGTGTATACCGCTCTTTCGAAGGCCGTCATGATGTCTGATGGGTAGCTGCTTACAATTTCAGTCTGCCATGCGAACGGCAGGCGGAAACGCGCATCAGAGTTAGGACGTCGTACAACGGGAGCGTGCATCTTCTAGAGCACCCCATGAGCATGATTCGAGGCATGATTCGAGCGGATGAAGGAATAGTGCCCACAGAGCGCTCCATGTTGGTAGAGATAGAGGCAAGAAAGAGGTTGAGATGAGTCAGGAGATTTGCAGCAGCTGCCTGACCGAATTTTGGGGACTTGATTAAATGAGTCGTGTTCTGAGAGGACAATGACCACAACTCTGATCCCCCGATGTAAGATGCTTACGCTTTGGGGCATTCAGATTTGGCTGCTCCAGTCGTGGACGGGCATTGATCAGTTGATGCGCGGGAAACCCAACTGCCGGGAGTCTTTAATTGGTCTGTGAGAGCGGCTGTTGAATGATGGGCATCAAGTTGGCTGTTGTGCAATGTCTACTGACTCTTTACAATCGGCTCTTGCAGTCCGGTTGCCCCGATTGGTTGGCAGCCGCTGCCTTGCAGAGAGGCGTCCCGCGTACTCCACTGTAATAGACAAGCTCATGCGCAAAGTGCTGAAAGAGTGACACAAAGTCTTGAAGAGCAGGCGCGATGGTAGTGCCAGAACAGTGGTCGTGCAAAAAGTTGAAGACTGATGAAACGGGTTCCGCGCGGTACGCCATCTCATACATGCTGTTGTGAGTGAGATGAAGGATCGTCCGCTGCTTTTGCTATATCGAGACAGCGCGATCACAGCAGGACGCCGACCTCATGTCAAAGGTCGCCGGCTATGTGCAGAGGTCATGGCATCGGATCGCCAAGATCCAAGGTTGTGTGCAAGTTGAGTTGGCTCTGGAAACATGATTTGTTCCTTCTTCATGATACGGCGTGATGTCTAGAGAAGCTCAAGTGTGGTTCGCCCTGTGTCAAAGTCAAGGTTCCTCGCATGAGACATTTTCGGTTGATCATGCATTGAGCGTTTCAAATCTAGACATCAGCCAATCAGGAGGCAGCACGCGAGTTTGCCAGAAATATGGTAAACAACCAAATTGTTTGAAGTATGAACAAGAAGAATCTCATACGATAAGAGTTATTACAATAAACCCCATCCGCCTAACTCGTTAGAAGCCATTAGAAGAAGAAAGGAAATAAACTTTGTGAGTAAAAGGACCATTCGATGCACGCTATCCTGTATTTTAAAAGAATGCTTTCGCTCAAGTCAAACCCGGAGCCGGTATGTGGGTAGAAAAAACCTTCGGGCATTGAAATAGATTGAGAATGTCCCGTCGATTAGTCTACGCAAGACAAAGAAAACAGAATTGAACGCCATGCAATTTGATCAACACCAAGTCAATAATGACCCGTTTAAAGAAGACCGAACATGGCAGCAACGACACCCATGACACCAGCGGCGGCAGTGGGAATGTACATTGCGTTGGCAGCACCGGTGTTGGTAGACTTGGAACCACTGCTGCCGCTGGCAGAGCTGGGGTTCGAGCCGACACCGGAAGGTTTGGAGACAGTGCCGTTGCAGACGTACTTGCCACGGATCTCGCCACCAGACTTCAGCTTGGAGAAGGCATCGCAGCCACCGAGGGTGCTGGAAGACTGGATGTTGAAAGCACCATCGACCTCCTTAAGAGCGGGCATGGTAACGCTAGAAGATATTAGTGCTGGTTCAGTGATTTGCAAGGAGCAAATGAAACTTACTTGGTGAAGTCGCCGTACAGGTCGAAAGCGCCGGTAATAACAGCGAGCTTGGGGAAGCCGTTGACCATCATGAGTTCGGTGTTGTTCTGGATGGAGAAACCACCACCAACCTTGGTGAGCGAGGGGAAGGAAACGTTGTTAAGGTTGGAGTTGGAGACGATGGTCAAGTCACCCTTGTTGGTACCGACGTTGGTAAGGTTGGCGCACTGCAGAGACTCGAACTCGTTGGAGTAGAAACCGAGGGAACCGTTAACGGTAACGAGAGAGTTAAGGGCAATGGTGGAGACGTTGCGGAAGGTCATGTTGTTGGCCCAGATCAAGTTGGGGAAGATGGCGGAAACGTTGGCACCGTTGGACTCGATTCTCAGCGAGGTGGTGATGTTACCGAGCTGCATGGAGATATCGTTCAGGTAGTTGTTGTTTGTGATGAAGACAGTGTCGACAACAGCAAGGTTGATACCATCAAGAGTCTGGAGCTGAGTGTTCTGGATGCTGAGGGTGTTGGCTTGCTCGACGCCGCTGGTGAAAGCGAGTTGCTGGAGACCAGCGAGGGCGTTCCACTCGATAGAATCGACCTGGGAGAGCTGGGGGAACGAGAGGGTCGAAAGAACCTGGAGCTCGGTGAGGGTGAAAGCACCGCCAATGACCTGGAGGCTGTCGGCCGAGATGGAAGGAATCAGGGAGTTGTTGGTTGCGGTAAGGTCACCCGTGATTCTTCTAACACCAGGGATCGAGACGGCCTCACCGAGACCGGTAGCAATGGCGATGGAACCGGAGAAGGTGGAGCAGCCAGAGAGGGCCGAGGCATCAGCGGCGGCGTTGATGGTAGTGGTACCAGAAACGCTGCAAGAGCTCTGGGCGTATGCGCCACCGATGGCAGCAAGTGCCGGGACGACGTACTTCATCGACATTGTGAGAGGGTATTAACTGAGAGGCCGCGCGTCAGTATTGATGATACAAAAATCGTTCGTGCAAGAGAGGGGTAAATGTGCGACAAACGATCTGGCCAGCTCCTGGGAATGAGAAGACCTCCAATGCGCAAGACAGATTGTGCGGACAAGCAAGATGTGTGCGGAAAAATCAGATGGATAATCTTGGACGTACCTTGAAAGTGTATAAACTGTTGCAGGTGAGAAATCGCTGGGATAAGTGTAGTGCAAGTGGAAAGGTCCAAGTGCAACAGTAATGGAGAGCGAGTGTGAGAAAGGTGAAGCGGCCTTTTGCGGTATAAAAACACTCGTAATAGAAACAACGAGAGGAAGGTGCGAAGGTGCTTGCGAAAAGAGAGGGCCGGGCAGGGGGTTGTTTTGAAAGATGTCCGCCCTGGGTTGAGCTTTAGCCAAGTCCTTAGTGCCCTCTTAGTGGCAAACATCGTTACGCGGCTATTTCCTGCGCAAACACCACCACCAAACATCAGGTTTCCCCAGGCTCTGGCCGCAAGAGACCGCCGCGGAATGGAAACTCTTCTCTTTCTTTAGCAACCAGCATGCGTGGCGATCGTGTCTTGGTCGCAACACTGCTCCACCTCACTCCGAGGACCCAAGCCTTCAACACAACTCTGATGTGAATATCTCGAAATGTTCTGCCTCCAGTCTCATCCACAACCCGTCATAAAAGTGGTTGGTCGATCTCTTGCTTTGGCTCCCTCGTTGACCAGGCGCTTTGACATATTTCGGTGCTCGCACTGTTTCGGCTGGATGTTATCCTGCAGCCACCGCAATCTCGCATCGTCCATTTGGTCAATTACATGTCCGTTATCAGCAACGATTTGATTGCTCAACTTGACCTCTCCAAATTGCTCTCGTACTTTCTCCCAATCTTGGTAGATACCTATTTCTTCTCGATCAGGAGGAGATTCTATCATTCTATCTCTCTCTTTCTCCGTCGTGGCCCAGAGCAACGGCCGGGATGCCCTTCCCGTCCCCAGTCAAACAGAATTTGCCCTAAACTGGACTTCGTGCTTGGTTGTGGTGGCGAGTTCACGAATGTGTGGAGCACACCAGCCATTCCCAGCTTGCTGTAAGATATTGTCCTCTCGACCAATCTTGCACGTCTTTTTCAGCAAGAAATGCTGACACTCAGCCTCAACCGCCAGACGTCGCGTCAAGGTTTCGGTAACACGAATTTGCATCGTAAGAGGTTGCTCGCTTTGCTATCATGCTTTCAACTCCTGGCGGGTCCCGCGATACCCGTTGTCAGAACCTTTGGAAACACGCATGATCGTCGTGAAAATGTGGCTGCACTTGCTGCTTCCTCGGTCGCTCGATCGAACCCTCCGACTTGGCACCTCTTTCCGGCCGTGTCGAGAAAAGATCAACCCCGGCTTCCGTGGCAGGTAACAGTACTGCATCCATACGAAAAGCCAAATAGCAACTGCCCGGTGTATTTGTCTGTTGGGAGTTATGTTTCAGAAGGTGCGAAAATATCTTCGTTGCCTCTTTGACATCGACAGAGATCAATTTGCGTTTGGCGGTGATCAACATGTTATCGCCGAGTTGATTGTCCGGCGTTTTCAGCAGATTCGGTGCATGAGTGCCTCTCGTGCAGAAACGTTAGCCGCTCATCGCAATTCATGTCGGAATATTGGATGGCCGATGTGCTCCAAAGTCCTTGCTTACGAGTAGAAGACGATCTTGCGACTTCACGTTTCCCAGCCGACAAGATGTCGTGCGACACTGCTGAGCGCCAGCAGATTTATATCGTGCCTTGCATTTCGTCGTGGCCCTGTCGAAGCGGCAATATTCTGCTGGCGAAGCATTGAATATCTTGCCGTGACTTACTCCGCACTTCTCCGACATGTTAGCACCGGACTTGTTACAAGTATACACCTGGAAGACTTCATTGTAGCAACCATCACGCGAGTCAGCTGGTCATTAATTTGGCTCTCCTGATGATCATCCGCAGCCCATCTCCATGATCACCAAACCTTTGTGGGCTTTCCCTCCCACAGAGTCATGGCGTGCATGCAACAAGATCTTGGTATCATCATCAGCCAAGCAGTATGACAATTGATAAAAAGCATTGCAAGGAGTCAAGTTTTGCGGGTGGTTATCCTTGGCTGCCGCTGTCCTGATTCATTCGAGCCGAGCTGATGACTTCAAGCGTTGTTTCATGTTGAGATCGATTTAAAAATACGCCAGCCGAAGAGCCAAAAGCATTCATGGTGCTCGGTTCACCATGACACGTTCTTAAATTGCGACTCCTCATCTCGAATAGGTCAAAGATATAAACATGGCCAAAGCCACAAGGTAACTAATCCTGGGACGACAGGTTTCTCTTCTGGACGAGCTTGTGTCTACAGATGAAAATTTGGCCACCTCACAAAACAAGATGTTAGAAACAACAAGTGTAACCAACTATAGTGCAGAAGAGAGCCACCCCGTCAGCAGACTAGTAAGACTTTTCAAGATTTCCTGTCGATTTCTGTATAGACCAATACGATCGGGCCCGATGAATATAAGCTATGCTCAGCGGAGGAAGATATTTCTCAGTCTACGCCTTTGTGCTTGAACGACCACAAGTCGGGCAGACTCGAGCATATACAGTCCCTGGCTTCTCTGCTAGGCACCGACACTCAATGCTTAGGTACACTAAGCCTCCCTAATATCGATATTTGGATCCATTCGATATCGGATATCCAGTTACTTATATGTTTCTTTCGCAAGTTCGACTACCCTTGTCCGCATATCTTTCCTTCGACGGACCAAAGTCTACGTGGAAGATTCTTAAGACGAAGACCGGTCTATATATTGAACTTTCATAGCTATCATACTACTTTGGAGCATCGCGACTGCTATATCCAATGAATATGGATTTAGGCTACGTACAATTCTTGCCAACGAAACAAACAATAAGACTCTGCTTTCTAGTGGATTGACCGGCGTACGGAAATCTACCGACCTTAAAGACAACGCTGGAGATGCTCCTATGCCCTCTGGAGGAACCATCAATCTCAGGTCTATAGACTCAACAAAAGTATCGGACATCAGCGGCTATATTGATCATCTTTGGGTCAAGTCTCCTGTACAATCGACTCTCGCAATAACTCTTCTATACCGCCTGCTTGGGTACAGAGCTACTGCTGGCGTCTTATGCTAATATTGATGCCCGTCAATAGTCTCATCTCACGGACAGCTTCTTCACTTCAACGGCAAACCACAGGAGCCATAGATGAACGTGTTGAACGACGAGTGAAACCCTCACCAATATTCATATCATCGATTTATTTGCTTAGGAAGGTTAATTTCCCGCAGAAAGATTTCCATTGAACTACGGCCTTTATGGCGATTGCGGCATTTCCACCTTTTGCTCTTATGAAGAGACCCTCGGATCGACTCATTATCACGATATCACAAGTCAAAAATTGCAAAGTTTCGCAACTATTAGGTCCAGGATCTAGATTCTCCTTATGGATGAAACAATAGCATCTATCGATAACACAAGCGAAGCACACATCCAAAAAAACAAAACTATACGAATGTTCAAATATACCATACAAGAGCAAGATTCATCGTACCAAAAGGTGGAATTAAGAAGGGCAAGTCTAGGGACGTGAGCAGAGCATCAAATGACTGGAAGATCTTGTATGAGGTAGTGATTAGAGAAAGGTCGTGTTGATTGTAAGCTCGACGTAGTGATTGCTAGGATATCTTATAGAGAGTAGACTCCTGTCGTGTCTTTGATGCACACCGATTGATGACTCAGAAACGCGGCTGTCAGTGCTTGATGGCATACTGACCGAAAGAACTGATCAATATAGTGATATCTCTTTCAGACACAAGCACGTACGGCCATAGTCAGCTGAAAACTGGGCATCCCGTCCGCTCTGCCATACATAAGCAGTTGAACGGCAGATTAGTACTACGGTGGGTGACCACGTGGGAATTCCTGCTGCTGTACGTTTTGTGTCTGCTAACTCTTTTGTTTCCCAATCTTGCCCTCCATGTGTCTCTCTTTTGTCATGCATATCAGCAGTGTGAAATTTTAGGCACTTTCAATTGGAGCAACGTTGCTTGGATTTTAATACATGTAATGCATAGTCTGGTGTCTGATTGAGTTGTTGCTTGACGCCGGTGCCATGCAGAGCTACCAAATGGCTAGCCATGTGAGAAACAACTCCCCACCCCGCCCTGTTGCATTAGGGGAAAAAGCACACCAACGCCGTGGTAATAATCCATCCTCAGGCCTAACGCCCTATCAAAACACCTGCTGCAATGCAAACTCCTTGATCGCCTGCGTTTTCCATAGTCTGACCTTAGGACAGATGGAAAGCTCCTTGTCCTTCCTTGATGGCAAGGCTCAGCTTAGCCTTCAGCATCTCTTGGGAGCTGTAGTTGGGCATCTTCAGGTAGTTGACACAAGTCATCACACTTGGTAGGTAGTCGTCCGGCATCAACGGTGGCTCGTTGGGCTTGCACACCACGGTGAACATGGGTGTTAATGACTTGAAACCTGTCAAATGGTTAGCATGATCGTAATACCCAGGGTCAGTTACTAGTGACTTACCTCCAATAGGAAGCTTGGGGCTACCGGTGACGAATTGTAAGAAATCACGTCTCTCTGACATGGTAAGTTCCGACATGGTCTGCAGAAGGTTCTTGACGCTTGCGCTGTCGAGATTGAAACCGTGATCGGCCTTGATCGAATCCATAAGTGTCTCAAGGGACCAGTCTTCATCGGCGCGGCCAAAGAGCATCACCAGCTCGTCGGGTGTGAATGCTTTGAGTGCCGAGTATGGGAAGACCTGGGAGAAGCCGGCACTGAATGCATCGACTTGTTTCTGGACTCCGCGGCCCAAGGTGAAGTCGATGACCTTTTCGACATACAGTTCGACGTTGTCAATGGTAACGTCGATCTCAGCTCCCTTAGGCTGGAGCTCGATAGCGGGGTAACCAGGCAACGTGAAGTCAAGACCAAGGTCTTCGATGGAGGCATCCTTGATTCTGATGTTGCTGATAGCTTGCACCTTTTGCTCTGGAGTAAGGCTTGGATCTTCCTGAATCTCCTGCTTTGCTCTGGCACAACGTACAAGTGGCTTCAGGGAGTTGGCAAGATCCTTGTCCACAGAAGCAACGGCCCCTAGGGAAGGCTTGACTGCTGAGTTGCCAGCACCGATGCGGAAAAAGGTTGGGCTGAAAGAGACATCGATGATGCGGGAATCCAGCATCGATCGAGCGACAAACTTGCCCAGCATCTTGAATAGATGCAGCACCTTCTTTCCGTACTCATCGTTCGCCTGCTCATCGCTCATCGGCGCAGGGAACAAGCCACCCAGGCCAAACGCATAATCGTCGCCAGCAATTGACTCATTCTCACGCCAAAGCTTGATCTTCTTCTTTGAGAACTCCTTTGACACGGTCGAGTAGAATTCGAGGGTAGGACCAAGACCAGTGCCAACCTCTTCGAAGTACTCAACTTCCAGGATGCTTGGAGACGATCCATAAAGCTCCATGACCTTGACGGCAGATTCGAGAATTCTACTGCGAGAGATGCGAACTTTTTGTCTCTGCAGACGGCCCAAGAAAGGTCTCTCGTCACGATGGCGTCTGGACTCGTTCTCTGATTGGGCATTCTGCCATCTGGTCATCGATCTCGAGTAGCCGAATGACGTTGACTGAAGGAAGAAGTGTCTGGTTTCGAATGGGAACAAGAAGGGATAAAGACGAGCAAGATCCTCACTCCAAGTAGGAAGGCAGTTACTAGCCACGATCAAAGGTTCCTCAAGCTGGCGGTTGAGCTTGGCTGTCAACTTGGTGTTGACAAACTGGGTCAGAGGTTCCGAACTCAATTTGACGTCGTTAGTCTTCTCTTCAGCAATAATGTCCTCGAGATTAGCATTCATGTCGTGCAGAGTGCTCATCAGACGAAGGATAGCGGCGGTGGCAGGATGCTGGCTGAGAGAAGGTGGGAGCTCGGACGTGGACGCTGCAGATGCGTCTGACGAGGAGTGGAGCGTGCTAGGTTCGGCGGGAGGTGGTCCAGGAGCACGTCTGAAAGATATCTTGTGTAGCGTCGACCAGATGTTGCGGCTGGAGACCTCATCAGGGTTTGCCTGATTGAAGTGAACGGCGCGGTAGATAGTAGTATCGTTTGACAAAGGCTGACCATCAACACTGAACTCAATGTGCCAGTCCTGGGAGGCAGGCTGGGCTGCGGGAACCTGGGAAGCAGGTCTTTGCGTAGTAGGCGTGGAGAGCAACTCTCGCGCCGCAGCGAGCCTTGCAGAAGCGGAAGTGCGCGAGGTGGCTGAATGTTGCGAACCTTGCAGCGGAGTGCTAATGCGCGTGCCGTCTTCCTTACGAGCAGTCACCTTGCCACTGTTAGCGACCTCTAGGTTGACTGCTGAGGTATCTTGATCGGCATCTTCCATGTTCTGGTCTTCGTCATCGAAGTCGTTGACAATAGCATCAAGGTCCTCTTCATTGTCTTCATCCTCGTCCGAGAGAGCAGCTTCGTCAGCGCATTCGAGTTGCTGTTGGCTGTCTTCTGCCGCGTCTGTAGGGTCCTCTCGCGATGTCTCGCGCTCAGAGGAGTCCTGCTGCAGAACCTTGCGCGAAGCTCTACCTAAATGCCTGGTAGCATCACCACTGTTCTGTGGGGTGCTCTCGGGTTTAGACGATCTCGTATGAGCACGTTGAGTAGATGACTCTTTCTGATCGCTGCTACCAGGAGGAGTTGAAGCCCCCTCAATAGCATTTCCGCTTTCACGACTGACGACTTGAGCGAGACTGCTGGCCAGTGCGTCGCGGCTACGTACAGCCCTCTCTGCGAGACTGATGCGAGGACGAAGGTAGTCGTCAAGAGCTCTGAAAGTTGCGATGGCGTGTATTGAGACCATGATATTTCTGTAAGGACGCGGAATACCAGACTCCTCGTCGGCAGATAGCTTGATGCGCAACTGCTTGGCGAGCATCGAAGCTGCGCCGCTTCGGCTGCTGTCGGAGGCATTCTGGTGAACGGTGATTACCTCGAAATGCTCGGTGCGGCTGAGTAAGTCCTGGAGCTTGTGGACCATGGCGCTGAATGCAGTGGCAGGTAAGACCGAGCCACTTGGCATCGTCTTGGCCTGTCCTCCTTGTGACATGAATGCGTCCAGGAATGCTGACCTCGCAGCACGACCGGTGTGACTGTCGGAAGACTGGAAGATTTCGAGCAGAGTAGAGACGATATCGGAAGTTAACAATTCGTAGCTCGTGATGGTCTCAGGAGTATCGCCATCGAAGTGCTGAGCGAGGCGCTGGAAGAGAGCGGGTCCGTTGAACATGTTGTTAGAGGCGTAACACTTGCGAAGGTCTTCAGCCAATTCTTTTAGCTCGGTCAATGCTCTTGAAGCCTCGCCGAGTCCGCCATCGTTCTGGTAAGCCTCAACAAACTTGCGAGCACGCGACGTGACAACATCCTGAGAACTACCAGCAGGGTGTGTTTGCGACTTTCGAAGTCCCGATTCAGACTCCGAGTCCTCCTCGTCCTCCTCGTCATGATCTTCGTTGTCGTCATCATGCTCTCCGCCAGACTCCTCTTCAGGATAATCGGGTCCATCGGGTTCCTCATGATCTTCTTCAGCAGGCTCAGATCTCACAGGGAGCTCAGCGGAGAAAGAAGGCGCATCGACATGTGCTGCCGGATCAGACTCGGTCTCAGTCAACTTCACGGGAGCCAAGTCTCTCTGCGCAAGCTTAGTGATCTCGGCCATAACACCCTCGCGGTAGAATTGGGGCCTATAAGTCGATTCCAGACGCTTGAGAAGGAGCTCGGCAACTTGCAACGCAAAGGTAACGAGCGTCGGATCCTCTTCCTGTGTGAGAATTGATGCTAGGTGGGAAGCATAAGCAACTCCTGACAGTGCTTCCTCGAGTACACTAGTATCAAAGTTGGAAAGCATCTTGAGCTGTGCAGTAAGGACCTTGTGTCTGACACTAGAGTTAACGGTGCTGGTGTATGCATGCATCAGAGTCGGGAAAAGAATCACAGCAAAGCGTCGAACTTCGGGCTGGCAACCTTGCAAGAGTTCTAGACGATTGTCGTTTGGCGACTTTCGAGCACGAGTACCCATGGAGACGACACCCGGGCCAGTGTTGCCGGCATCTGTAAGGTCGTTGATAAACATAAGGTTGTCAGGCGAGACGCTGGGAAGGATCTCGCAGATGACGTTCAAAGTTTCGAAGATCTGGTCGCGTGGCGTACGGATGAGAGCTTGCATGATGATGTTCTTATCGATCTTCATGGCAACGCCATCGCTGCTTGCAGGGGGAGAAACTCCAGTGAGGATCTGGTAGAGAGTGTCGACAACATTCATGCGCAGCAGTTCAACGGCTAAGCGAGGGCTTGCTCTTGCGGTGTATGATAGGACGCGTAAGAATTGGGCGTGGATATTGGGGCCGATCATAGTGGTTGTACCGGGTAGCAGCAGTCTAAGGACAGCCTTGAGCAGATCAGGACTGACCAGCTCCTCGAGTTTGGTCTCTTGAAATCTGAAGCTCTCCACGATTCTGGATACACAAAGCGAGCCTTGTTCCACGACCCGCTGATCACTACTCGAGAGGACGTTGAGAAGAATAGGCATGACATCGCGAACGGTGGGGAACGACTCTTCGGAGAGGTTTCTGCAGCAGTTTGCGGCAGTAGTGACAGCGCTTCTCTGAGTGCTAGTAGCGAAGAAATCGAGGTAGGTCAGGCACGCGCTCAGGCCACCCTCGCGAACGATAGAACCAGGGAACTCGATCGAGATCTTCTCCAAAGTGCTGAGTGCTTGCTCGGCGAGGTCGATGTAGTGGATCTCCAACAGCTTCTGGCACAGGACAGGAACAGCACCTCCGTAAACGACACTCGCAGTAGCCTGAGGAAGAGCCTCCATCAAGTTTGCGATACATCTGCAAGCCAATAGCATCATCTCGGGGTTCTCTTCGCCGGTGAAGTCGTTGGGCTGCATGAGTGCAACCAGCTCTTTCACAAACTGATCAGGTGAGAAGTGACCAGCAAGGTTGTCTTCGTTGGAGACTAGCAGGATATCCGAGAGCTCACTGAGAGCAACCATCTGGATGGAGGGATCGTCTTTTGCGCGAAGGTTCTCGAGAAGAGCTCGCAGACGAGTGGTCATACCAGACATCATGCCACTCAAAGCGCGCAGGGTACTTGATAGACCTGCGGGCATGCCCGAGCGATTGAGGAAAGCGCCCGAGAAGGGATCATCATCGTCACCATCTCCATGATGTCTGTATGCAGCAGCGGCGGCAGCGTCGTCTTCATCTCCTTCTTCTTCATCTTCATCATCGTTGTCATCATGATCATCCTCTTCGTCGTGATCCTCGGCAGGCAGACGTGGTGGATCAGGTTCGGGGCGACTCGACGAAGCGTCGGGGACCTTTTTGTGGGATGACTTCTTGGAGGCCTTGCGCGAGGACGAGGGTTGAGCAGATTGAGGAGCTGTGAGCGAGGGGTCAGTGTTTGATGAAGGGGCGAAAGGTGGGTCTGGCGGACCTTGATTGCTCTTTCTGCGAGACGACCTGGGTTTGCTGGCGGAGGCATGGTCGTCAGGAGATGTGGGGGCGTGCTTGGATCTGGGCATGTTTGAACGAGAGAGATCTTGTTCATCATGGCTGGACGAAGACATGTTCTTGGGACGCTTTGATGGCTGAGTCGGGCCTGGGGTGGGATCGGACAGGCGAGCTCTCTTAGATCTGCGGGGTTGAGCGGTGTCCGATGGAGCAGGCGGAGGTGGGTCGTCCTGGGCCTGCTTGCGCTTGCGAGTAGTGGGGGCGACGGCGGTCGAAGGCTGACGAGGCAGAGAAGGGTTGGTAGATGGGTCGGATGTGGTAGGATTGGTAGGATCTTGGGTCGGGGCAAGTCTCGCTGAAGAGCGAGTGACTCTATTCGACATGAGCGCTGGTCGGACCAGAGGTCGGTGTCATGAGTGTGCTTGATGGGTCAAGCGAAGTGAAGTAAAGCAGGAAGATTCGGTAGATCTTGTGATGGTGGAGGAAGGAAGGTGGTGGATGAGAGTCGGGCATGGGTGGGTTGGCTGACCTTAAGGCGGTTGCACTTGATGAATGTTCGAATGGTGGCTCTGGCTCTGGCTCATCCATGGAGCTTTCTTTCACAGCTCCATAAGCGAAGGAAAGGAGCAAACGTCGTCTGGCACCGTATGGCTGCCTGTTCACACACAAGCCTTTCACTGCGTCAACACTTGGGATAGGAGGGTATTGGTATAGCTGGATTCAGAGAGTTACGGTTGACCGAAGACCACGACCACTGCCAGATATCAGCCCCGTTGACGGACGTGCCGAGCCATCGACAAGGCCAACTCCGAGACAGCCAGCAGCCATCCTCCAACCAACGCCCCTTCTACAAGCTGTACCTCTTTTATTTCATGTTTCATAGTACACGGGACATGTCGCATCCATATTCCACTTGTTTCTTTCCAGTATCCCTCCTCCTCTCGCTGCCTATTCGGCTGTCTCTTTCTTTCCTGCTATCAGATGCATTGTCCCCGGTGTCGTCACAGGTCCAACGGCTCGGGCGCCAACCGAAAGTCTGATCGCGTCTGATCGCGCCGGCGCTGGTCATGGACAGACAAATCCAACACACATGCGACTCGCTTTTATTCTCTTTCTGCCTCCCCTTGATTCCACTTCTAGGCTATCCTTGATTATGCGATTTGTTATAAAACTCGAATCTTGTCCCACATATCGAAAACCAGAAGATGGATGATCTCTTCCAACAACTCGAGGTGTGTCGCGATCAAGCTACTATGACGACAACTTCCACTAACTTTCGACAGGCAGAATACTGTCCGCCCATTGACTCGGCTCTTTTCTTCGCTATTGTCTCCGACTATGATCTGACAAACTCCGAAGCCACGACTGAGGTCAGAGCTACGCTAGATGCTCTCAAGGCCACCGCAACAGAAGAAGAGGCCACTGGCTTTGATGCCTCTGGGAGCGGCGCACAACATGACGACTATAGTCCCGGACATCCCACATCCATGCCAGACACTTCTGGCTCAGTCTCGAGGGAGACCGACATGACGAGTCTGTCCATCGGCGTGTCAAGCGTCGACCTCAATTCAGAAGGTTCCCCCGACCGCGGCGAATACGACTTCGAGGCTTGCGACCAAGGGACAAAGGTCTCTATCCTGAGAGACATATTCCCCTCACTCTCCGAGTACACCATCTCTCACACACTGGCTCACCACGATTCAAAATGGAAGCCTGCATTTGACGATCTGTTGAACCAAGTCTATTTCGAAGAAGGCGGCACTACGGATGGCAGGGACAAGGTATCGGCTAAGGGCATCGATGCCTTCAGCGAGGAGAACGTGGTGAAGAGGGGTCGTAAGGGCAAGAAGCGTGGTAAGAATCTCAAGACCATGGACGCCCTACGATCCTCTTCGCTACCAACAGAATCGCGACCGTCTGCCAACCAATGGCAAACTGCCAAGGGTGATGTGGACTTTATATCGGATCGCGCCAACATTCCTGCCCAGGTCGTACTTTCGCTGTACAACCAGGAAGATCGCTCCGTTGCGCGGACCATTTCGGCTATTTTAAAAACTTTTCTGCCAGAAGACAGCAGATCAGAGGAACCTGAGATACAGGTGGAGGCTTCTACACTAGGTCAAGACTTCCCTGGTCTCGCGCCCAAATACTTGATAGCTCTGATCAAAGTAACCGAGCCATCACTTACGGCAGCTCGAGAATTGGCCAAAGCATTGACGACCAAGCCACTCACACCAGAAACCGGCAGCCGCGTCATAATTCCACAATACGCCCCTGTACGCATTTCCGATGGCGACGACTTCTCCCAAAGCGGATTCGACACCGACACATCAGCCGTAGACTTCGGGACAGCTTCCACTTCCACAGCCAAACTCAGAGCAGCGCGACAAGCAGCAATGGACCAAGCGCGCGCCGCATACCGTAAATCGCGCTCCGACCGCCTCATGGGCGGCGCCGCCGGATATTATTCGCAGGTCGGCCGCGACCATGGAGCCGCACTGCACCAATCCCAAGCCGCCGTCGCAAACGCCATTGTAGCCGCTCAATCTTCAGCCTTCGAGATTGATTTGCACGGTGTGACTGTGGAGAATGCGGTGAGGATTGCGCGGCAGAGAACGAATGCCTGGTGGAGTGGATTGGGGGAGAACAAGGTTAATGGACGGGTGGGCGCTGCTGAGCGTGCCAGTGGCTTCCGCATCATAACGGGTGTGGGTAGGCATAGTGCTGGTGGTAAGGGTGTCCTTGGTCCAGCGGTCAAAAAGGGTCTTGAACAAGATGGTTGGAGGGTGGAGGTGAACAGCGGAGCTATCACAGTCAAGGGCAAGAGCAGGATGTGAAGGGACTGAAGCCTGTACTTGGATAATGCGAGTATATTGGATATCTCGATCCTTGGACGAGTCACGATCATGCATATACTCCATGTTGGCGTCCTAGATAATGTTTTAATGTAATAGAGCGCCTTTTCTGGGTCGCACAATTATCAACCCTACCATCATCGTCCACAGACTCCCCCATTGGTTGTGAATACTACTGCTTACATACTACGTCTGCAGTTCTTAAGTGACTGACCAGGAAAAGGACGGCCATAGCTTCGTCAAACATGGCGCGATGTCAACCAAATTCAAAGAGAAAGAGTGGAAGCACTACATTCGGGGGTATCGCAAGGAACAAGAACAAACCAACAATGACACACCACCCCCAAGCCCAGTCTCTCAACCATTCTTAAACCCAAACTCCTCACCATCCCTCCCAAACGTCTCATGATCGACCCCCGTCCTAGCCCCCGGCGCCACAATCTGAAACCTCAAGCCAGAAAACCCAATAATGCAATTAAAAGCTTTATCCCTCTGCTTTACATGCTCCAAATTCACCGTCATTCCATCTGTAAAGGCAAGATGTAAGCCATCAGACTTTATGCCGACAGTTTTAGGGTCGATTTTCTCGAGCTCGACGAGTTCGGACCAGAGACGTCGCCAGATTTCTTTAGGAGTAGATGAGAGGGGAGATTTTGCCTGGAAGCGGAGGCCGTCGGAGAAGATTATTAGGCGGCCGGGGGTGGAGGATGTGGTGCAGCTGAAGGAGAGGATGTCGAGGCTTCCGAGGATGCTTGTGGAGGAGTCTGTGGTGTGGAAGCTTGCTGCATCGTCATCATCGTCGCTGTCTGACATGTAGCCGTCAAGCCCTATAGATGTGGTTTTAGTGGCCTCTGGGATATGGGGACTACCAGCTGCCACGGGTTTTGGCGGGTGGCTGAGGTCTTTGTCCCATTTTTCTTGCACTTTATTTTCGATCAGCTGTGCTCTAGTCTCTTGAGCTTTCTCCCTGAGATACATCATTGACCAGTCCGCGTCATTTGGAATGCCCCAGAAGATGTAGTTGAAACTATTGACAACATGTCGGTACTCAGGGTGGTTGTGCGCAACATAGCGAGAGCCAAAGAACATGACGATGCAGCACATGCTACAAATTTTGATGGAGTACTCGCTAGGTGTAAACATACCAAGTAAGATGGCAGTTAGGAACCAGAAAAGAGTAGCCCATGTGAGTTTGGGGTCGCGCCAGTCATAGAAGTTGTTTAGTGATTCTAAAGTGTCTGCAATATCACTCAACTGCAACTGTATCTTGGGTCCTGCGCTTTCAAGAACAGGGTCGATCCAGTCCGAGCCGTGCTCCTGGAGGAGAGCACTAAACTTGTAAGCAGAACTGCCTTTTTGGAGTGTAGCTTTATAAGCCTCGCGCATTTCTTCCACTTGTTTGCGCTGGAACCTGTTTTGCAAGACCGTGACAGCACAGTATGCCAAGATAAAAGTCACGCAGTAGTCCATGTACCAGACAAACAGCCAGATAGCCAGCCATTTTTTGGTGCGTGCCGGATTCTCCCAGAGGTACAGACTGCGGAGCGAGAGAAAGAAAGTCTGCCATGGCGAAGAGGCTATAAGAATGCGCTCTACAAAGCGTGATGTAGTCTCTCTGTCGAACGGAGGCTGGCCGGTAAAATCAACTTGACCCATGCGATTCGTAGCAAAGCTTTGCATGGCATTTAACTGGCGCGCATTCAGCCAATCCAAGTATCGCACACGACGTTCGCCAGTCTTGTTGTCGACATGTGTAAAGTCGTCCTTTGCAGGCGTAGGGAAATCGCGTTTGGGGAAGACGATGGCGCGTCTGAAGTGACGGCTAGAGGTCCAAGCCACCTTTCTGCTCTGACGGAGAGCTTCTATTCTCTGAACACGCTCGATCTGATCATCGACAGCTTCATGGTCACCGGATGTGTTCGTACGCGAAGCGGATGTTCTGGCTCGGGAGAGACTCTCGTGGGCATCGAGAAACTCTTTGTCGGCTTCCTCGGAGAGGTATGGACGGTCTCTTATGGCTGCTTTGGAGGCGGCGATCTGCTTAGCAGCATCCTTAGGATGGACGATAATCTTCACGCCGTTCGTGAAGCCACCAGCAATGCGACTGGAGAGACTGGGCTTCTGAGAGACCAACTGAGATGGGTCGAAAGCCGGGTCTCGACGGATGTCTTTATACGGGTCATCGTCGTGGCCGTCAAGGTGCTCTGTGGCTTCTTCCTCAGGAGTGAGGGTATGCTTGTTGAGGTGTAGAAGATTCTTGGTCTTTGCTTTCGTTTCACGTCCCAGGCTCTTGACTCTTTCCCTCGTAGAGTTTGCGCGCTGTGGAGGCGAGCCGTTCGTAGTCTCAATCATCATGAATCGTGTAGTAGAGCGCGTCGTAGTCGCGCATACTCATGTTGTAATGATCGGACCGCGGCAATGTTGTGTCGAGAATTTCGTAGGCAAATCTGCGCCTGGCTGTGCAGTCAGCAGTCATGATGTGCGTACGATAGCGGCAGTTCGTCTCTTTGTTCCTCGTAAGGCTGGTGGCTATCAACTTGTCTGCTTCACGTCACCAGCCCCACACCTCTAGCTGTCGAATTCCTCTTTGGGCACTGCACTTCGGAGGTGCTCCCGTGTTTTGCAGAAAATAAGCACTGACGCTCGTCATGACAATCATCGTCCTTTACTACCACCCTGTGAGTCCCTTGAACTACGGATTGCTTGAACAACGACAACATGACACTTTTTACCATCGTTTTGATTCACTCGGAATCACACGTCAAGTCTGAGCTTTGGTCTTCGAAGACTCTGAAACTTCGAGAAGGGTTGGAAGCCTGCTGGCCGCCTCATCTTGAGCACTGACGCACTCTGGTCGAATGAAATCGACCACAGCAGGATTCCGACATCTCCCTGCCCTGCTGTTATCAAAATCATGTCGCAGGGCTGGAATAAAGTTCCGTTTCACTTATGCACCAACGATAGCCGAAGCCGATCGACTGCACTCGTCATGCTCTGCTTATATACCTGAGATAACACACCGACCTCTCCTTACCTCACCGCTGTCTGTCTAGACAAGAAAAAAAATCTCTTCCTACTAATCTCGTAAGCAGGAGCCTAGTCACCTGTCAAACATGGGACTGACCGCAGGTTTGTGCTCTGCTGATGACTTCATTCCCGTACAATTGTTGCTGCCCAAATTTCCTCAAGACGCGGTTAGCCATGGCGGCCCGATGCCATGGCGGTTTTAGAACCATGTGACTGACCAAGAATCTACCATGTTGAACGGTGGAACAATCTCCGGCTAAACACTAGACAAATCAAGGAACAAGATAGCAACAGTTATCGAGATCTATCTGTCCATGGCTGGCTGGCATTACCTTGATGTCTGCCGGACGAGTCAAGAATGGCTCGTGACGGTGAACAAAGGAGGCTACTATGATCCTGCAACGTCTTGTAGGACAGGAGCTGTTGATAATGTCTAGATTCTGGTCCCGTGGCCGTGACACACGGGCTGTATAGACCCTGTCTGGACGAGGCCATGGAGCGGTCAAAGGCACGCTCTGTGAGTGGTGGCCTGATAGGGTATCGACCGAGTGACTACAGACCAGATGCCGATGGTCAAGGCTGTCGTGTTGTTTTGAGAACAGCAGAGAGCGTCAACACACGGACACGTCGAGCAGTGACTGCCGCTGTCACGGAAACATGCAAAGGCAGAAGCGACGCCGGGAAACACTGGCCGAACGATGGTCATACGGTCAATGAGCTAGAGTCAAGGTAGGCCTGGGGGAAGAGTTGGTGTGTAGGGTTGAACCGGTAGCGAGTAATGTGCCTAGCATGCTCGTGACGGCAGCTGGCGGGTAGGTTTACGATTGAACCAATACAGGGCACCGTAGCGGTGGACAAGCAGTCTAACGGGTACGGCGACAGTAAGATTGCTGCGGTGACGGTTGAAGAGTCTCGAGTTGAGCCTCTCTTTGACTCATTGACCTTTTGGCGGTCGTGCTGGTACCATGGTTAGTAGACAATCGTCATAGAAGAAGCTCCTTGGCTGCGACGTTAGATTAGCTATCAGTGCGTAGGCGGTAGTCGGCATTGATGGAGGCCCAAAGACGTGTGGACTGTGAGCACACAAAGCTGATTGAAAACGCAAGGAAGATGGCAACGAGTGCGGTCGAAGTATGCTCGCTGCAGGTAAGCGGCTCATAGCAGATCAAATAAATTAGAGCGGCAAGGCTTCTGGAAAGGCACAAGTCGCATAAGATACGGAAGGAGGGCCAAATCTGGCAAGCGCCATGTTGCCTGGCCGACTTTGTGATTGCGCACGTGCCACCCGAGCGCGCATCAGCCATCGACCTCCAAGTTTACCTACGAGAGTGTCCTAAGCTCTCTTCCACTAGTCAAGCAATGCATCTTGATACAAAAGCCCGGCTACTCGCTCAGTCTGCTGCAACGCCTACACCAGACTAGACCTTTACCATGATTTCCACCGAGAAAATGGCTGATGACTATCACATGCTCGAGGAATTGGGTTCGGGGTCCTTCGGTGTTGTCTACAAGGCTGTCGAGAAGGCCACTGGAGATCTGGTCGCCATCAAACACGTACGCTTGGATTCGCCTGCTACCCAATGTCCATCTGCTAACCTCCGTCTGAACAGATCGATCTCGAAGGCAGCGACGACGATATCCAAGAAATACAACAAGAGATCGCTCTTCTGAGCACATGCTCCAGCGAACATGTTACAAGATACAAGGCCAGCTTCGTGCGAGGCGTCAAACTATGGATTGTAATGGAATATCTTGGTGGAGGCTCGTGTCTAGATCTCGTAGGTCAACAGATGCGCACGATACACGAAACACTCTCTGACACACGCTTAGCTCAAGTCCGGTCCCATTAACGAGGCTCAGATCGCCATCATTATGCGCGAGTTGCTGCTTGGTCTTGACTACCTTCATAATACAGGGAAAATTCACAGAGACATTAAAGCAGCCAATGTCCTTTTGTCTAGCTCTGGCAGAGTCAAGATTGCTGACTTTGGAGTCGCTGCACAACTGACCAACATTCAATCTCAGCGCCTGACCTTTGTCGGTACCCCATTCTGGATGGCGCCCGAGGTTATTCAGGAGTCAGGCTACGACTTCAAGGCCGACATCTGGAGTTTGGGTATCACCGCTATGGAATTGGCCAATGGCGAGCCTCCTCACAGCCAAGTTCATCCCATGAAGGTCTTGTTCCTAATCCCGAAAGAAAGAGCTCCTAGGTTGGAAGGCGGCACCTGGTCCAAGGAATTCCGCGATTTTGTTGCCTTGTGTCTGAACAAAGACGCCGACACGCGACCTACGGCCAAGAATCTCCTCAAGCACAAGTTCATTCAACGCGCAGGGAGAGTCGACTCCCTCAAGCTGCTTGTCGACAGAGCTCGCAATCGCATCGTGAACGACAAGAAGGATCGCCTCAGATATTACGAACAGACTCTACACGAGCTCCATGCACCAACAGAGGAGGACGATTGGGTCTTCGACACAGTCAGACCAACGAAAACATACAACTCTCAGACCGTCAAACCACGCGAGCCTGCACACATGATCGCCTGGGATAGCGACGCCGAAGATGCATTCGCGGCGATGGAGAACCTGGATCCTTCGCTGGGAGAATCGCCTTCATACGACCCGGCTGCCACTATCCGCACTTCAAAGCACACCTCAAGCTCTCCATCGCACCAGATCGACCCCTCTGCGACAACCCGCAAGGTCTCTGGATCCACTCCTACTGCGCGTCGTGTGAGCAGACAAAGCTCAACTTCGAACCGCACTACTCGCCGGCACTCTGTGCAGCAAAAGCAACCTCTAGGACTCGACATGTCATTTGGAAACGGAGCTTCGACAGTACGCCAGTTCAAGCGCGTCCCATCTGGCGGCAGACCGTCGAGCTCCGATTCATCACAAACAGCTGTTGACGACAGTGAGAACCAACATCCTGCTGCTGCCGCCGTCATGATGCCTGATACCAAAGAAGCCATACTTGGGAGACGGGCCTATGTCAAGTGTATCGACCCAGCACTGCAAGAGCTATACGCCTCCACGGCACCTGGTCCGAAGCAAATAGCTCTTGCCCGAATGGCAGAAGCCTGGAATGTCTTGGATGAAACAGATCCTGAAGGCGAACTTCTACTACTCAAGGCCATCTTCGAGCGAGTTCAGAGAGACCCTAGACTTGCCGCCCAAATCATGCCAGCCTCACAACTCGCCTCTCTCCGCAGTAGTGCCTCAGCGAAGAAAACCCCCACCGTCACTGAGAAAGAGATCACACCTCCTACCTCGCCCCACAAGTTGGAGCCGGCTCCCCATACTCGTTCGATTCGTCGACAAAGTGCTTTTGTGGACAGCGAACGCGAAAAAGTCCTTCGCACTGCGATTCTTGAGGACAAGATGCCTGGCAAAGTCGAGACCGGTCTCGAACACATTGGCATGTTGGCAGATGCCTTGTATGGTCGATGGAGCGAAGGCTTGCGTATGCGATGGCCCAACGCATAAGTCCTCTCTAGGCATCCCATCACCAGATTCCCCCCTCTACGAACCCTTTTCTCGTTTTCGCATAATGTCTGTTTTCTAATACCTTATATAGCATAGCGTGTGTGTGTGTTTCTACGATCTGCGGATCTGGGCGTTTTGCTTTTGAGCGAGGGAGGCCGACACCTTTTTTTGTTTCGCTTTCTTGCCTGTTTCTTCATCTGCTTGCTTTCTTGTGGTTTTAACTTGATACCCCCTTTTATCTTGAGGGAACTGCTTTGCTGGAGGAGTCGAAATCTGTAGGAGTTTGGTTGATTGTTGTTTTTTTCTATCATGCCTGGTCTAAGGGCTTTTTCTTTCTTGTCGATAGAAACATGTAACGAATGGAGCATTAGTGCTTTTCTCTACGTTTCTTCACTTTCGAGTGTTGACTTTTCTTTTACGCTTTCTTATGATATCTTACATCATTCAGGTAGCTTGGACTGTCAGAATGATTCGATTTTCTCTGGTTATGGATGTTGAAATATTGGAACCAAGCTTGCGTTCGCTTCTACGCCGGCGGTCGTAGTCTGTATGAGCAAAAGTCCGCCTGACACAAAATTTTGAAGCGAGTCCAAAAAGCGAGAGAATCAGCAGCCGGAGAAAAAGGCCATTTAGATTACATGGTTATGAGAACTGGTTGAAACGTTAGAAGGTACATTTTGACAGGTAGATGGGACGTCAAAAGGTACATGCTGGCAAGTAGAAGGTGCTTTGCGCCTATCCGATATCTGTCGGCCAATAGTAAAGACCGCTAGACTATGAAAACAGGCGGATGACGATGAAATTATATGTGGGTGTGAGTGTGAGTGTGTATTTTCCGGAGTAAACGATTCTCTGTGCTGTGTAAAACGCCGATATGCTTGCTATTGTTTTTCGATTGCTACCGAATCCGCCTGATAACACCGTGTTGCAAATGCACTTTTTCTTAGATTGATCTTGCATGAAGGAGATAGCCCCCGGCGGCACAAAACTCCTCGTATTCGCGTCATGAAAGAATTGCGGAGTTGCCTAAATTTTCTGCGCCGCAAGCGAGAAAAAGGATTGCGGAGAAATAGATGGATAAGATGGAGGGGGGACAGAGTTAACAGCTTCCTACGAAGAAATTGAGGGCGTCTGCTTCTGGGTGGTTGAATGGTGTTCGCATGCCAGGTGTCCAAGAAGGCGTGGGATATGTGGTGCTGCCCACACTGCTTTCGTCTCGGTCCTCATCAGGATCTTCATTGCTCTCGGCGTATTCGGGGAATTCTTTATCGTCATCCATCCATGTTAGTCCGTTGGCGGCTTCCTCATCTGGAAAGACTTCACGCGCGTATTCTTCGAGTGAACGGTAGCCTTCCCATAGACTTCTGGCTTCCTGGGGGTACTCTAGTGGTCCGAAGTAGGGTGCTCTCTTTTCGCCGAGGGTTTCCTGGAGAGATTGGAGGTGTTCTCGATAGCCGCTGGGGAGGGAGACTTCGATGTCTACCGGCCCATGGACATATTTGACTGGTCTACCTACACCGCGTGAAAATTTGACGCAGGCTTGAGTCGGACTCAGTCTCTCGAAGGCAAGTGTGACTCTGTCGGAAGCGTTAGTTCATAATGTACAGGAACAGGTGTAGGCTAAGTTCACGGCTTACCTTTGGCCTTTCCAGGCATTCGGACCCATTTTGAAGATTTGCAAAAGGGCAGGGCCAACATCATGCTCAGCATCCAACCAAGGTAACGGATCGTGAGGGTGGAATGGTGCTTGCCAGATGAAACTGCCATCTTCTTGGAGCTCCATACGGAATAGTGGATAAGGTAGTGAGGTGAAGTTGTTGTTGTAGATTCCAGTATAGGTGAAGGTAGCCGGAATTCCAAGTTGACGGACGTAGTTCTCTATCGTGAATTTTTGCGACCATAGCGGAAGTGGTCTCCAGTCCGGGTTATAGACAGAATGATCCGGCATGGAGGAGTAGATGTAATGTGTCACGCCTGCTCTCTTTGCAGCGTCCGCACAGGCTTTGCCGATCGCAACTTCATCACCCCAGTGAGTAGTATTGATGAATGCCAACTTGGCACCTTCGAAAAGGTGATTTAGGAAGGGAATCAAATCAGCTTTTGGTTGACACAAATCTCCTTCCACGATTTCGACATTGGGTAGAGCGGCCAGTTCCTCGGCGACTAGTCCATCGCATGATCGGACCTGGGCTCTCACGCGCCAGCCCACGGCGGAGGCGACGCGAACAAAGGAGGCCGTCTGACGACCAGTCGAGTTGATTGTTACTACAGTCTTCGTAGGCATCATCAATGGCATTGTACCAGGAGTGTCGGGCAAGCCACCACGTGATATGGCGACCGTGCCCAGATTAGAAGAAACCGTTTTTTTTTCTTTTGAAGAAAAGTGAGGGGCGAGGTATGCGACTTAGAAGAGTGAGTCGCGGTGTCGAGAAAAGCTTGCAAAAGGTCCAGGGGCGTGAGTCGTTGTGTGAGACTTGTTTGCTGGAATGATCGTGTGCGGAAGGAAATAATTTTAGACGATCAACCAAACAGATCTAAAGAAGCTTCTGCAAACTGACGCGCGACGGACGCTGAAGGGGGAACGCTCGGATGATTGGCCGGCTTCGTTCACCGCAGGGGAGCAAGGTTTCGATCTGAGGCAGGGCGAGGAGACGTAATTTTGTACTTTGAGCGGCAGCTCCTCACAGAACAAGACCCTCTCTAGTGCAAGGTACGAATTTGTGGGAAAACGTGCGGGGCAGGAGGTAGCGGAACAGTCAAGTCGGGACGCAAGGAGACGGAAGGATGGAACGACTCTGCCAACAGACCGACCGACACGTTGCTGCTGATGCTGACTACACCGGCTCTTGTTGACGTTACAGGAAGAAGATTTTTCAGCGGTAGATGAGAAACCGTGGCTGCGCAAAAAGGATGAAGATGAAGCCGTGCATCTTGGGTACGACCTCATACGCCCGGTGAGATTTCGACCTCGTGCTGATTTCCTGCACCCTCTGTCGAGCACATTTTCATCTTTTTCGGACTAGGCTTTGCGACTTTACATAATCGTTCCTGAAGGCACTTTTCTGGTAGGCCCGGGATCGGACACGATCGATAGCGCTACGAGGCACTCTTCGGCTCTTCCATCAAATGAGCCTTTGGAGAAATTGCACGCCTTTGCGGTCAGAGTGGGCTGCCGCGTAGCTTTCACGGTGGCCAAGGGACACCCGCGTGCCCAACAGGCACAGCGAAAACGTGAGTTTTCGCTCGAGTAACAGACCGCACCAGTCTGCGGGGATATGACGAATCCGGCAGGTCGAGCAGTTTGGCCAAGATATTAGTAGACTAGCGGTGCTTGCATCTCCGTGCCGCATCTCCCTGCCTGAAGCCACCAAGGCCAAATCTCAAGCCATGGGTTGGCTGCAAGAGGACAAGCGACATCATCGACCTGCTAAAACCTGCGAACCACGAGCGGTTGTCGACATCAACCGTTGACCGATCGTCCCGGATCATTTTCCTCGTGCGTATGAAGCCGAAACTTACCATCTGTCGGCAGTCTGACTGTCTGAGCAAACTTGTCGGCCTGCGATTCCGGTGAGGCACCGCTCCAACGAGCGCTCTCTGCACAATAGCTGACCCGGGGAGATGGCACCTCCGAGGCTCGCCCATATGGCCTCTTCCAGCGAACGATCACGAGACCAATCTGACGCTTTTCGAAGGATCAGGTGATGAACTCAACCACATATAACTAGTTGCACACGTCCCACCCGATTCGATGACGCGAGCACAAAGGGTAAAGACATCATGGCAACACAAAGTCGTCATGTAGCTCGTTTACCAGGCCATCCTGTACGCCCAAACTTGGCACAATGGCATATCAGAGGCGAACACGATGAACTGTGCCTTGCTCGAAGACAAGTACTCAATTGTCAAACGAGGAGGTCATTCGTATTACCTCCGCCAATCGGGAGAATTACCGGAGCCACAACACCGAGGTCGTCATCTCGAGTTTCCCCCTTCGTCATTTCTTTCTCACGGATCAAGAAATATCACGGATTGACAGTAAGAAGTGTACATACTAATGGAGTACTCCACGTGTTCTACATTGTCGAGCAGACAATGCGGGCGCAGACTCCTCCGCAGGATCAAATCGATCATAACTCCCGAAGCCTCATCTCCGAGGACATTTCGAAACAATCCGTCTTCAATGTCCACAAACTTTTGAACTCTAGCTGGTAAGACCCTGTTCCAACTATTAGCGTTCTGAACTCGTCAAGACAAGACACGGTGTCTTTCTTACCTGAATGCAACCATCATAAGCTGCCTTGCGGACAAGAGGTGTGTTGTAACCTCCAGGCTGGAAAAACAAATCTCCATATCCTTGACCAGGGAAAGTCGAAGGGATCCAACTGTAAGCGTCATCAAAGTCCCAGGCAGTGACACCAACACAGGCGTCCACGTCGGCGCATGCACCAACAGAGCTGGCATAATCGACAACTTGCTGTTGCTGTTCCGCAGCAGTAGCAGGAACAGTAGTACGGATATCCAACTCAGTAATTGCGACATCCACACCCAATGCAGCGAAAGCCTGCATGTTTGAAGACTGAGCAGCTCTAGAAGGAGTCTCTCCAACAATGAAATGCGACTGCAAACCCACACCATCAATCTGGATATTCTGAGCCTTCAAACTCTTGACAAGCGCTTGAGCAGCACTAGATTTGGCGCCTGCATTCTCAATATTGTAATCGTTGTAGTAAAGCTTGACCTTCAGCTTCTTTGCTTTTACGGCCTTTTCGGCGGCTTTGAATGCCACGGCAACATATCCAGGTCCAATGGTGTTGTACCAGAGATCAGATCTCCAAGTCGTGTTGTCAGCAAGAGATCCAGTAGTGCCACTGTCACTGAAGGCTTCGTTTACAACATCCCAGGCGTAGCAACGATCGCCAAAGTATTCTACCAGGTTTGTGACGTGGTTTTCGAGGACTTTTGTTAGGGTCTCGTTTGTCCATGTACCTTGAGTGAGCCAGTTGGGAAGTTGATTGTACCAGTTCAGGTTGTGGCAGCGGACAAGTTTTCCGTCAGAGGCTGCGTCGGCGAGGAAGATCTCTGCTTCGGTGTAGTTGAAGACGCCTTGTTCGGGCTCTGTAAAGACCCATCTGGAAAACTCCCTGTTAGAAATTGTGTTTTCTGGTAGGTTCTTGCAGGTCTACACTTACTTCATGGCATTGGCAGGGGTGACTTGACCCCAATCATGCTTGTTGGCGAGTTCTGCTCTGTAGTACTTGTCGGTTGTCTCGTTTGTTCCAGGCACATCTGCTGCGGTGCCAAAGTAGAGCTTTCCAGCCTTTTTGGCATAGTCGTTCAAGCCCTTTGGTCCAGTGGCTGTGGCCAATAAGGTCGTGGTCTGCGCAGTGTTGGAAGCAGAGCTGGTGGTTGTAGTCACAACAGCAGAAGTCTTTGCTGAGGTGTGGGTGGAAGTATGAGTGGAGGAGTGCGAGCTAGAATGAGAAGTGGAATGGGAAGTCGAGTGCGAGGTCGAGTGGGAAGTGCTGGTGCTGCAGGAAGTAGCCTTCCAATCCGCAGCTGGCAATGCAGAGACCAGAGGAGTAGCCAACAAGCCCAAGCTGAGCAAAGATCGGATAGACATTTCAAGGGTAGAAACTGTGGGGTGACAAAAGGCAAATGGCAGATTCTCGCTTGGTGATGAGTGTAACAGCAACACATCCACCTACATATATATATACTACTTCACGTACCCTCACACAGTCCACGAATCACCGGATAATCTGACTCTCTTGCCCTAGCATGATGAGTCTCGCATTTCTCGCATGAATAGTGCCTTCGACAGTGGGTTCGACAGTGAGTTCGACTGCATGCAACGAACAGGCTAAAAGCAACAAGACTTTTTGGCTGAGTGATTGGCAAAAGCTTCATTTCGCCCTTTTTCGTACGCAAGAAGCAGGGAGAGAGATGCTGAAAGCACTGGCCCTCCTGAAGAAAAATCGCGGCAGACGAAACAGGCAAAGCAACCCATTCCCCTGCCCTCTTTCCTCCACACCCGCTCCCGCATCCGCGTTTTTCCTCTCTTGCGGAGAAGGCGGGGGGGATGATGGGGGAGGGGGGCGGGTAAATGTGATATCTCGACTCACGAGTTTGTGGAAAAGAATATTCGGGCTTTCTGTTTGTTTTGTGTATGTGAAAGTCACGGTTATCTGAGACATCAAACATTATCCCAAGATATCAAGTCTACCAAGGCACCGGTTGATGGGAAAGGCTTTTGGGAAAGGCTTGGTTTAGATCAATATCAATACATCAAGCATTTCCCAAGCCAAATGTGGCAGCGGCTATACAGATTTGAGCCTCTATGCAAGTACGCTATATCCACATGCCTAGATCTCGGAAACTCCATGTTGTATGCAAGCTCACCCCCCTTCACACTCGTAATCGATATCTCGAGTTGGCTAAATTCAAATAGAAGGGGCAAGGACCTCTGTACTGCGCCTTGACTATAGATGTCTAGAACCGCAAGCGATCCCGCAGTGCAGTTGTTTGCAGATCTACCGGTTACCCCAGAACCCAGGGGCGAACAGTCTCATAGGACGGACATGACGGAATTGAGGAAGCGTCTTGTTTAGCCGTGCCGAAGAGATGCATAGTCGGATGGAAGGAGGCTCGACTGCAAAGCCGATGCCGCAGTTGTGATCCATGCTAGGCAAAGCAATGTGCCTGAACACAGCAGATAATGATGTTTCGAGATGTGGTATCGTCCACTACCTTGTGTATTGTAAAGTTCGAACAGAGATGAAGTCCCTTCCATCAAAAACCAAAAGAGTCAAGATTCTTTCCCTGCTTTCGACGCCACGAAACTCCCAGTCCCAGTAACGCCATTTTCCCATATGCTCATAGTATTACAGTCGTCTTTTCGAACAATCGCTGGGTGTCTAAGCGATGGGGTCGGCAGAGGTATCATCACTCGGCATACGCATATAATAATCAATCGCAGCACTGAAGCCAGCAAAACCCGCACACCCCAACGCAGCAGCCTGAGGACCTGCTTTAGCTGCCAATGCACCACCTGTAATGCAACCAGCAGCCACACCATTGTAAAGGTCGTTTTTCGCTCTGAACTGTTGCGCTTTAATGTCAGCATTGCTCCAAGGACCGTGATTGGAGATGTATGGGAAGGCAGAGGAGGCAAGAAAACATACACCCTCGATACAACACTCCGTTCCCGCAAAGATAGACCCAACGAGTCCGAAATTCTTCGCAGAGCTCCAAGACGCTTTTCCCATCTCTTTGAATCCTTGTCGCAGTTGGTCTTTGACGGGGAGTTTTGTAATGGCATCGGCGCCGGGTGTCATCATGGGTGCATCGTAGCGCATCTGCATCACACCTTTGTGTCAGTCTTTTGTTTACTTGATACAGCTTTTCTGGTGGGCAGCAAGAGCAGATTGGGCAATACACTTACACTAGACATGAAGAGACCGAACACACCACCCAGACCGAATCCCATGACACCAGACATTGCGGTTTTGGCTACGCAGGATTCCATCGCTGATTGCATCTATAATCCACTCCAATCAGTCTTGTCTCTTTTGCTTTTGCTTTTGTCGCGAGAGATGTGTCGGGCGTACGTATTTGATCATTTGCTGCTCTTTGAGCTTCTGCTCGTCCAAGGTCGCGTCGCCGGACAGACCAGGCGATGACATGCCGGGGAAAGCCATGGTATGTTTGTGAGAGAGGGGCGTGTATAGGGACGTATGCGACAGGTGCGACAAGTTGCTCAAGTAAGTGATGGGCGACAACAACCTTGATCTTTGCCAAGATTTTGGTAAGAATTGCGGCGAGGGGCTTGGCTAACCACCGAGACCTGGGTCGCCCCCTTTGCATGCTGGGATCTGGTTTTATCGAACACATGATTTTTCGTGATACAATGTAGATAAATACTGGTTCATTGTATTTATAAGGTTGTTCAGAGTGTCCACGTCGCGCATCAACCAGTATAATCGTCATGTGTTGATTCTATGCAGATAATAGACATCTCAGCAAGCTTGCTTTTCTCCATCACCCGGAACCATACATTTATCCCTGCCAACATCAGCCATCATCGACGTCAAATGCGAGTCATCGAGCTCCATTGGGTGATAACTCGCTGTGAAATCAATATCAGCGGGATGAATGCTATTTGCATCATCTAATATCTACAAGTCCATCTATATACAAAAGCCATGGGACTAAATGCAAGAGAGATGAGGTCATAAAAAGTCATTCAGATCAATCATTCTTAGTCTCCTTGAAAGATCCCACCGGAGAGATGGTTCTTTCCGGGTAATCACCTTGTCTCTCGGTTTCTGTAGGAGAGGATGTAAGACTCTTTTCCCACTCATTCATAAGGTGTGATGCCGTGCGTCGAAGATTGCTTGGTGCTAGTTTATTCAGAGCCGGCCAGGGTAATGAGTCTCTCTTTGTATCTCTGGTCGAACTTTAGATATTGTCAGCTCAGGATATTGTTGGTGGAAACTTGTCAGACCAACCTTGTGCTGGTGGTGGGACTGGTGCCATCTGGACTTGGGGATGTTCGTGGTTCAGATGCCGAGGAATCGGATCTTGAAGTCTTCGGATCCACCACAGGCACAGTAGTCTCCCAGCTCTCCCATGTGTCGAGCGAAGTAGTAGAGGCGCGATTAGCCTTGGTAGGAGAATGCGCAGACTTCTTTGACGTTCTGCGGAGAATGGGTGCAGGTTTCGGCTCGTGTTCATTCCAGAACGAGTTGCCGATATCGAGGTAAGCAATCTCCTCGACAGCGGAGGGTGCCGGGGAGCGAGAGGTCGTTCGTCGACTGCCAGTCGTAGCACTCCTCTTTAGGGGCTGTGAATTTGGTGACGGCTTCAGACTGCCCCTGCTGGGTTGAGGTCTAGGAGACCTGGACAGATTCGGAGATTGCGACAGTGTTCGCGAAGTTGTGCCATTGACACCTTCGTCTCCAACAGTTGCCTGTCTTAGGTCTTCAATAAACGTCCACAAGCCGTCTCGGAAGTCGGAAGCCATCTGTTTGCCAGTCTTGAGTAGAACCTCGCGAGGCAAGCCGAGATCAACAGCGTCATCTGTTGTACGTGCCCCTTCGGTTTTCGAACCAGTATCAGGTGGTGCGCGGGTCGGGGGCGGAGGACGTGGAGGGTCTCTTTCGGCCTGTGGTGGATCCTGTGGACGAGGCGGTGGTCGGCGCATAGCATCAGGCGACAGCAACGACAAGGTACGAGCATGACGAGAACCAGAAAAGACAGTGCGACTCGAGTTCTTGTTGCTGTTCAACAGCGCTTTCCGTCGCTCCAAGTCGTGCTGTCGAAAAGTGGGTGCTGCTTCGGCAGTGTCTGGTGCGACGTGCAAGGACTGCATCTTGTGCAATTTACGAGGGTCGCGAGGATCATGTTGGCGCTTCTTGTGAGCCTCGTGGGCGGCCCATGTCTGCTTGAGACGGTGTAGTTCGTGCTCGGCCTTGATGAGCTCCTCTCTCAACTCCAGTACGCGGCGCTCGTGAGCTGCAAGAGCGGTGAGGAAGGCAGAGTCGGTCGGCGCTGCAGGTAAAGCAGGCTTCTCAGCCAGCAGAGGTGTATATGGTAGGACTGGCGAGAGGATTGCTGATGTTGGTGACAGGCTTGTTTGGATAGGGAAGGTGAGGCTGAAGCGCTTCGCCTTGCGCTCCGACATGGAGCGTGAGTGAGGATTGATGCCACCCCTGCTCCAAGGCCGTTGCTGCTCCATAGTCGCCATTGCTCAGGAGCAAATCTATGGCCACGCGAGATTCCGGGTCGTCACACGTAACAGTGGCATTGAGACTGGTCGTTGGTCTAGTTATCGCCCGGTGCACGCGTCCTTGTTTGCTATTAATCAAGACCCTGAGTTTCAGCCAATGAAGCAGGGGCTGCCAATGACTCGCTTCCTATTGCGCACCTCAATACCGTCATATGTTTACATGGCCGTTGGCAATCACACAACGCTTCCTCGTGTTTCATGCCCGTTTTCTTCTCTGCATGACCTCTGCAAATCACTGCAGTCAAGTTGTAATCATAACTGGTCTGACTATCTACGATAATAATGCCTATGCTCATGGCCCGGCACAGATCACCTGTTCGCATTGCATAGCCCCCCTGCCTAGACCGTCTCTACATTGCTGCACATAGCCTTGACGATGCGATAGTCGAATATCTCAACTCTGTGCAGACCCAACCTTTCCACTTCTGCATAGCAAGCTCGGTACTGTCGTGTCTCCCGAGGATCTACCAGCACCATTTTCCGCAGTCCGTTGTACGCCTGACTTTCGCATATTGTGTCTGAGCCTGCATCATGCCCGTGGCTGTTCCGATCCCAATGAGCCAAGTCTTGGATCACCAATGCTCCATGCTCGAGTACGCGCTGTCGTACTTCATCCTTTTGTGCAGTATCCAATCCTGCTATGAAAACAACTGCTCGGCTGAAAATGCATCGATCTATCCAAGCTGGTGGTGTAGCTTGTTCAAATCTGCAGCTTCCTTCAATCCAATTCGGTCGATGTGCCTCAGCACTACTCACGGTTGATGCAACTGATTTCTGAGCGACTTCCCGAATGATGTCTCCAAGCGGCGTTCGTGGTGATGTTGATACAATCTCATGGCCATCAGTCTGTTTGACCTGGTGTTTCAATGTGGATAACGTTCGGATTCGAAGCTTCTTGGGCCTATGGTCTTCATCTTCGTCTTCGCTAGGCTTACGCTTGCCCAGCGGAGGCGACGATGCCGTTGTTCCGAGTCTTGCCAGAGGTGAGGACTCTGGCGGAGTAGGTAATGGTCCGCTTTGTATGTTGGCAATGGCTTGCATCGCTTTCAGAGGCAATCCGTGCTCCAGTACAGCCAGCGGTTTGAGTCTTGATGTAGAGCTGGTGCTTGGAGTGTACGTGAAGTCACTACGGGCCGACCGAGGAGTCGTATCGGCGTTGCTGGATCGTGGTGTCGTATTGAGACTGTGTCTCGCAAACCTCCGCTTGTGGCTCACCTCCAATTTGGATATCCAATTAATATTTTCTTGCGTCTCCGAGTGCTGAGGCGTACCCAAGGCTTCGGCAGCCGCAGACTGCAACCCGTCGAAGGTGATGCAGTCTCTCCATGTCCGATCTTGATGCAGCTTCCTGACTCGAGGATGTCGTAACATGAAAAAGCCTCCAGGTAGTTTGCTGTACGAGCTGCCCAATACTTCGAATACCAGTGGATCTCGGAAGTATGATTCGACTCGAACGTTGTTGTCAGACTTGATGGTGAACGCGGAAGTATCCTCATTGTATGGTTCTGCAAGCAAGCTACCCTCGATGTTGACCCGGTTCAAGACTTCTGTCGACATGCAGTGATCGAATGCAATTGTCACCACGATCTTGAAGACTGGTTTGATACCATCTTGATGGATTGCGCCTCTGTTCATCAAGCACCCTAGATGGAAGTGTGTAAACTTCAGTCGTAGACCCGATCGCTTCTTTGCTTCCTGAGCACTGTATGATGCGCCCACTACAGCAAAGTCAGCTTCGTCTCCAAGCCCGGTGATGTAGTCCTTCTTGAGCTTGATTCCAGCTACTGAATCGTGAGTGAAGTATGGAACACCGCATGGCTTGAGCACTAGACCCTCATGACGACATGCTATCGATGCAGCAAAGTGGTTCATGAGCTTGTGCTCGGCCTTGGCCTGAGAGAAATCCACCACACATGACTCAGCTGGTGCAGCTCTGCCGTGTATCTTCTTGTAGATGCTGCTTAGTCGAGCTTTGCGTTCTTCGACGGATTGTGACAGGATGGCTTCATCGTCAAGCAAAAGAAGATCGAACAATATGATCATCAGGTGCTCGTTTGGCTGACGCGGCGTGTCGTTCTCTGCTCCAAGAAATGTGCCAGCACGAGAAACATGTTTCCGGATCTTGTCGAAACCAACAATGCAGTTCTCCATGTCAGAGAAGACCACCATTTCTCCTACCAGTATACACGCACGCTTGAATTTGCACTTGTCGCTGCCGATACGCAAGCACTTCTGGATAGTCTGATGCAGTCCTGCTCTATCTTCTGTAGAATCTCTGCCACTCTTCGAATATATCTTGAGCCATTCTTCGCTTTTAGTGAGATCAATATGAATCTGCGCACAACGACAGTCAGCTACTTCCATCGCAAATCGGCGACAGGATAATCTCGAACCTGGCAATACTCTCCGTCGTATTTCCTTTCCAACAACCACCTTTTCCCTGCAGTCATTTGCAGGCAGTGTTCTATCGACCTCGCTTTAGTGTATTCTGGGCGACTCACCTTGACACCAGGAACAGGTCTGAGTGACGATATGGCAGTTTGCCTCAGAATATGTATGGACTGGTGATCTGGCCGGCTTGGATAAGCAGCAAAAGTCGTCTTCAACGCCAAACATGCATTCTCAAAGCTGTCTTGCATACCTAGCAAGTCGGGAAGCAAGAAATGAACCGAAGCCAAGATCAATCGCTTGTTTAGTGAGACTGAAGCGAAGTCCTTCAAGATAAGTCGTACGAACCATTTGGCTTCGACAGGATGTAGACGCAAGAGCACATCGGCCAAAGAGGAGTCATTGGCCGCAGAAGAATGGAAGGACTGACGGACAGATGGTGCAGAGAATCTGTTAGCTGCAGCAAGAGCGTGAAGAGCGTCATCGCACTCTTGTAGAGTGACAGCAGGCAGAGGAGGCGGACCCCTGACCTGCAGGAGGCGCTGCAAACAGTCTCCGAGGTCACCGTTGTTCGGAGTCCTGAAGGAAGCCAGTTCGTGTCTGGCAGAGGCACCTAAACCAAGACATCGACCAAGTAGTTTCAAGAGGGAGGCAGGCTGTAGGCCATAAATGCGATCCTTCCTCCTGCAGGGGAGAAAGGTTGATAGTAATGCAGATGTGCCGTGTTCATCCAGAGAGTCGATATCCTTACGATGAGAGGCAAACCAGGTGGCATGTTGGCGATAGAGTCTCGACTTTTGTTCTGCCGGGGCTATGGGAGGATCGCGGATGACTATCTCTTCGCAGCGCTCCAAGTAGTCACTGAGATGAGCAAACTTGAAGGACATTTGCTACGGCATGACGGGGAATGGCGGCGCGTAGTGCACTCGGATAACTTGACGTGGCAAGTGGCGAGTATGCAAGCAATAACAAGCAATATCTAAAGACGAACAATGAAAATGTGTATAGTCAGGTGGATATGCAAAGTGGTAAAGGTCCTTTGTCCAGGACGACGCGCCTGAAACTCGAAAATGGCGCGTGATTGGTTGACAATCAATGAGCATTGGACGGCATCATGTTGAGAACACGCATGGCGAAACATGTGATTGCGGGGTTAGCATGTGGCCCCGTTGTGGTTGTTTACCTCCGTCACGGATGGGCCCCCTAACCTTGTCCCGAACAGACGTCCAACATGAGCTCAGACGGAAAGAAGCACAAGAACAAGTTGATCCAACGCGGGATCAAGCAGAGTAGTCCTCTGGGCACCGGCCTGTTTATAGGCCTCCGCAGTCTCGACCCCGTACTCCAATATGGCCTCCTTGCGAAGGGCATTGCAGCCAATGCCATTCGCACACTCGGAGGAACGACTCTGGCCCAAGGCCCACCCGTCGTCACGAACACCTTTATCGACCGACTTGCTCTATCACCTTACCGACTGATCCTTCTTGGAATGGCTGCCGGCAGTGCCGTCAAGCAGAGCTACTGGCTCGTCGGCATCTGTCAAGAGGAATTCCCTCCCATCTCAGCTGTCGAGGTGTCGGTCTTCAACACCGTCTTCAACTCTGTCAACTCGCTGCTCTTCACCTGCTCGCTCACCTCTGCCTCCGTCAACGGCGAACACTTCCCTCAGACCCCTCTGCTAGTCGGCTCTGCTCTGTACCTTGTCGGCATCTTCACAGAGACCTTCTCAGAGTGGCAGAGGCTGCAATTCAAGAAGAACTCGGCGAATAAGGGCAAGGTCTATACTGGTGGCTTGTTCCGCTACGCTAGACACATCAATTATGCTGGCTATACTCTTTGGCGTGCTGGGTACGCCTTGGCTGCTGGTGGCTGGACCTGGGGTGCCATTGTTGGTGCCTTCTTCTCATACAACTTCATTCACGATGGCATTCCAGAGCTCAACAGATATTGTCAGGAGAGGGTGAGTGGCTCCCATCTCAGCGGCCGTCCTCTATTAACTGTGGTTTCCAGTACGGTGAGCAGTGGCAGAGCTACAGAAAGCAGACTCCTTACAAGCTCTTCCCATACGTGTACTGAGCACATGGAAGTCATGACTTCAAGCGGACCTGATGTTGCCCCTGGTGGGAGATTGGGAAGAAATTATTATAATGCTTCTAGAGGTATCTTTTGTAGCATAGCTTGCCGTGCTGTCGACCAGTGTCTACTTGCTTCTCTTGTAAATCTTGCGGAGGAACTCTTCAAACACCTCCTTCTTGAGGCCTTCGCTCTCATCAACCTGCTCAATGTGTTTTCTAATGTCACCAACCTTCTCTTCCTCGTATGCGTGGTAGACCTGGTCGAGATGCAGCTCGTTGTAGAGAGCCTTGACCTTGGCCTCGTCGTCCTTGTTCTTTCTTCCGTAGTGTTGCTCGAGAAGATTGCGTTGCTCCTTGGTGGCAAGTTTGAGGGCCTGGTTGACCAACCAACTGCACTTGTTGTCCTGAATGTCGGTGCCAATCTTACCGAGAGTCTCCGGGTCGGCAAAGTTGTCAAGGTAGTCGTCTTGAACCTGGAAATATTCGCCCATCGGGATCAGGATATCGTGTGCCTGCTTGAGGTTCTTCTCAGTGGCCAGGCCGCAGAAGTGCAGGGCCAGGGCGACGGGGAGGTAGAAGGAATAGTATGCGGTCTTGTAGATGACAATGAAGGTGTACTTTTCCAGACTGAAGTTGTCGAGGTCGACGTTGTCCTCGGGGGCTGTGAGAAGGTCGCAGGCCTGACCCAACTCGGTCTGGAAAGTGACTTCGTGGAACAGCTCCATCAGGTCGACGTAGTTCTTCTCCTGGCGGAAGTACTTCTTGAGGAGGATGTAAATGGCGCTCTCGAGCATGAAGGCGTCGTTGATGGCAATCATGCCGACGTTGGGCATCAGGTACCAGCAGGGAGATCCACGGCGGGTCTTTGACGAGTCCATAATGTCGTCCGAGACGAGGAAGAAGGCCTGGAGGAGCTCGATCATCCAGCCAAGGGTGGCAGACTTGAAGTATTCATCCTCGGTGAGGTCACGCTTGAGAAGCAGAGACGAAGTGTCGATGACAGACATGCCGCGGTTACACTTCCCGCCGACAGTGTTGTGCTGGAGAGACTCTTCAAACCATGTGAGGGCCTGGGTGGGGAGCTTGTATTGCTTGCAGTGGTCGCTCAGGTCCTGGATGAGCTGGGGGAAGACCGACTCGAACTGCTTGAGAGTGGTAGGCATGACGGCGGTAGTTGTGAGACGGCGCAAATAATGTATAGGGGTCGTGGCTGGGAATCGCAATGAGGTGACGGTTTGCCTGTTCAGGACGCGGCGAGGACCTGAAGAGCGCAGTATTGACAAGGAGCGAGCAAGAGGTGAAATGGCGACAATACTAAAGAGTGTGTTGAGAAGGAACAAAAGTCGTCTGATTTGTTGGCTTGGTTGGCTTGCAGTAAATTGACCTTTGTCGACAAGCCGCTCTCCCCTTGCGCCGCAGAACCCTGAGCCCCACCAGTCTTCGACATCTTGTCGCGCGACTCAGTCCAAATTAACAATCCAACTACGCCTAGTCATCGCTGGCCATGTCCAGTCTGTCAGTCAGTCACTGGAGATAGAATTACTGCGTTCGCATTTGGCATATCCCCATGCTGCCGTATGATTGGTGAAACATAAACATTGACAAAAACAATTGCGGGCAAGCACAACCACCACACCGACACCACCGTCATGGCTACTTTATCTGCCGAGCAGACATTACAATTGCGAACTCAATTACATCAGGCCGTAGTTGCATGTAACGATCGTTGCTTATATCGTTCGGCAAAATGGTGGGTGCTTACACTCTCATCTATATCATGCCTCTCCTAACAAAACGATAAGGGCTGCAGAACTTCTCAATGCATTTGCGGAATCCGAACAGGATCTCGACAATGCCTCGGACACAGAGCCAAGTTCTCCGACCAGCGAGGGTGATCCATGGACCAATTTTCAGTTTTCACAAGAGTCACACGAGGCTCGATTGGAGCGAAGGGAATATCCAAAGTTCCTCATGGCCAAGTCCTTCTTCGACTGTCGTGAATTCGACCGTTGCGCTGCTACTTTATTACCCAGTCTTGTTCCGCAGAAACCCATCATTAGAGATGCAACCAATATGGCCGCGAAGAGCAAGCCAAAACGATCGGAACCATTACCAGGCTTACCACAGCTTAGCCAACGTTCCCTCTTCCTTGCTCTGTACGCAAAATACATGGCTGGTGAAAAGCGCAAGGAGGAAGACAGTGAGATGATCCTTGGACCTACGGATGGTGCCGTTACCTTGAACAAGGAACTTACGAGGATATCAAATATCCTCGACGAATACCTGAGCGCACGAGGAGGCCTCCAGAGCACACACGAATCACAGGGCTTTCTAGAATACCTCTATGGCATCGTCTTATTGAAAGGCAAGAATGATGCCCTGGCGAAAGCATGGCTTCTCAAGAGCGTAAATCATTGTCCCTGGAATTGGGGTGCATGGCAAGAGTTGGCAGACCTGTTGAACTCGGCTGAAGAGGTCAGTATATATGCTCTCATGTTCATGCCTCGATTGACTAACCATTGAGTTTAGCTCAACGAAATCACAGAACACTTGCCGCAGAACATCATGACTTTCATGTTCCACATCTACTGCAGTCAGGAGCTGTTTCAATCCACCGAGAAGGTGCACAATGAGATCAACCAGATCAGCAACATTTTCCCCAATTCTGCCTTCCTGCAAACTCAGCGTGCATTGCTGCACTATCATTCCAAAGGTAGGGTATACCTGAACCCTCACCTCTGTTACAATCCCACTGACTATCTGTGCAGAATTTGAGGAGGCCGACGGCTTGTTCGCCGATCTACTCTCACGACATCCTTACCGCCTGGATTCCATGGACTCATACTCAAACATCCTCTACGTGATGCCATCGCGACCAAAACTAGCCTACCTCGCGTCCGTCGCCTCCACGATCGACAAATTCCGCCCCGAAACCTGCTGCATTATCGGAAACTACTATTCCCAATGCTCCGAGCACGAAAAAGCGGTCATGTACTTCCGCCGCGCCCTAACCCTCGACCGCCAATTCCTCTCCGCCTGGACACTGATGGGCCACGAGTACATTGAGCTCAAGAACACACAAGCGGCAATTGAAAGCTACAGAAGAGCTGTGGATGCTAATAGAAAGGATTATCGCGCTTGGTATGGATTGGGTCAGGGCTATGAGCTTTTGGACATGCACTCATATGCGCTGTTTTACTTTCAGAGGGCTGTGGCGTTACAGCCTTGGGATCCGAAGATGTGGATGGCGGTGGCGAATTCGTTTGCTAATTGTGGGAGGTTGCAGAATGCGATTCGGTCGTATAAGCGTGCGTTGGTTGCTGGCAGCTATCTGGACAATGGTGGAGCCGTCAGTTTCACATCTTCGGCGGACCCGTTGGCTGGTTCTGTGGGAGGCGCTCTGGACCCGGAGATTTTGTATCAGATTGCTCTGCTTTATGAGCGGGATAACAGCATGGATGAGGCTTCTGCGTACATGGAACTTACGCTTGCACAGGAGGAAGGGCCGGATGAGGATGACTTGCCACCAGGAGCACCTCTCTCCAGTGCCGGAGGAGGCATTGGCATTACACAGACGACAAGCAAGGCAAGACTGTGGTTGGCAAAGTGGAGTTTCGTAAAGCAAGACTGGCAGCGTGCGTCAGAGTTGGCGAATGAGCTATGTCAAGATGGAGTCGAAGTGGAGGAAGCCAAAGCTCTAGTCAGAGATGTGAGAGCCAGATTAGAAGCCGATGGTCATATAGGTGGATGAGGAAAGCAGACAGCTTTCCAACAAGGCACTCATAACATAGAACATCAAGACAAAACTGATTGTCAAGGCAAATCGAAAGTCAATCCAAAACTGATTGAAGAGACAACTCAAGGACAGAAGATATATTCATGAAAAAGACAAAAACTTTAGTAAGAAAGAAATCACTATGCCAAGTGGTATGGGGCATATCTACAGAAGAGCGAGAACGAAGCTGCTGAGGACACTGAGTCCAACAACGGTCCAGCCAGTGACTTGGACCTGCTTGTTAGTGATACCCTTGCCCATATCCCACATCAAGTGTCGCAGGCCGTTGAAGCTGTGGTAGGTGAAAGGGAAGCTGGCAACGAGCTTGGCGAGAATGGCGAGAGCGGCGGGCCATGCGGCAAAGGAAGCAGCAAGAGCGGCGCTCTCGACGTGCCAGCCAAAGGCGGGGGCGACCAAGTAGGAGAGACCGAAGAGGTAGAACCCACCGGAGAGGGCGACACCGGTGACACGGTTGAGAGCAGAGCCGTACCAGGTGATCTGAGGCTTGTAAATGCCCAAGTGAGGCGAGACGGGGCGGTTCAAGCGCTGCTTGGCCAGGATCTGTTGCGAGGCCTCGTTGGCGGAAACGGTCTGGAATGCGGCGTGTCTACGAGTAAGAGAGACGTAAGATTGGTGAAGACTACAGTGGCGTGTGTAGAGGCGGTGCCTACCTTTGCTGCACCAGGCCGGCGATGGACAGGACTTGGGGAGCGCGGGATGAGAGGAGCGCAGGCTGGCGGACCGCCACTGCTGTCGCGTTAGTCAATGACACCGAGGGAGCAAGTCGGGTATACATACAGCGGCGCGCTGATTGGAGACCGAGTCTTTGAGCAAGCATTGTGATTACCGCGTCTACGTCGATGTCGTCGAGGGCAGATGCAAGTGCTGTAGCAACATCCAAATCCCCAGCTTCTTTGGATGGAAGTCGCAACCCTCTGCTCCGACTACCGCGGCAGTCGTAACCCTGCAGCCAATCACAGCTTCCAAAATTACTTGTCGCCGGCACTACAAAAACTTCTCTTTCCGACTTCTTCCCTTCCCTTTCTTCTTCTAACATGGGACCTGGCACCCACCGCTTGGACTATTTCAGTATGATATACCGGTGTTTTATATGTTCGACATTCTGTCGGACGCCATTCCAGGTCTTTAGACCAAACTGCCCGTCGTTAATCGCCCATTACGCCCGTGACCTATGGTTCGGTGGGTTTCATATTCAGGGCCACATCTCTCGTTTCTATTGCTCATGTATTGCTGTGCATTGAAGCGTCCATGCGTGTCTGCGCTGTTGAGCCTCTCTACGCATGTCCACGTTACTACGCTCCCTATTGCATTGTGTGCACCACGTTGTCGTGGAAGCATGTCAGGCTGCCAGCGGACAACGTCAGATACTTCAACGTGTTGACCTCATGCGCTAACTCCATGCGTTGTCCACACGCTCTCGAACGACACATAGACCACACTTGCTTGGGCTGCGCAGTGGCTCTTCGGTTCATACGGCTCGCTCAAAAAACAGTGCCCCAAGGAGTCTCTATGGAGTCCAAATCCATGTCGCCGCAGATTGAGTCGCGAGTGAGATGCCGGACCTGGAGTGTTGACAGGCTGTGTCCTGTACCGATGGACGGAAATCTGTATCATATGCAACAGGTTCGGAGCAACGAACAGACGGAGTGCCGACACACAGAGCAGAGAATTGCTCTTCCTGTACTCTTCGTTCTTCACTATAAGCTTCACCTTTTGCGATGAAGTTTAGACCATGTTCTGTGCAAATCCTGATTTTTTCTCATGATCGGAACACATCGGTTTAGGCAAGATCAAAGCTGGACCAGAAATCCACATGCTGCTTGCACACGAGTGCATACAGTGCTTTCTATAGAGGCAGCTCGGCCATAACTCTGTTTACACGCAATAGCGAGAAGGCCCATCTTTACCTTCGTTCACGATCATTGGCAATCTGCCAACAGCTCTTGCCCAAGACAACCTATGCCGAAAGTTATTTCAAAGCCAAATTGCAGTACCCGGCGGAGCCCCATTCTGATGGACGGCATTTTCACTGCCACCTCGTATACACCGTCGCTGTTGCTTGCCGAAACCCTCGTCGGCTGCTCGCACCCGTCGGCGCGCCTGCCAGTATCTCGGCTTTGCTCGCTCAAACTTCCGCACTCCTTGCTAATGCCGTCACCCCTGAGTCTGGTACTTAAGCTATTGCCATCAGGCGTGTTGGAGTCAATCGAGGTACGGCAATGCTGCGTAGTGCCGACCACGTCACCTCATTGGATCCGTCGCAAGGTTGAGATGTGGATAGCATCCATCATGGGTCTGGCTCAGGTTTATCCTCACAACAACGCTTCCCTCGTCAGCCGTGTCAAACCCTCTCTCGCTAGATGTATGCAAGTTCACTGCAGCGCCACTGTCTCGGTTGGGCCGAGTCGTTGCATCCTTCAAGATCTACTCTCGCAGAATGATCCTCCTCTGGGCCATCGCGTCGATGGCATGTCATGATGTGATCAAATCAAGTATGAGGCTCTGGCGTGTGCTGGCTAGCTAACCTTTCTGATCTCTTTCCAACCTCAGCGGTTGGAGCAACCGTCTCCTCCAGAGCTACATCATGCCACTCCGCGGTGGTTGAAACGATAACCTGTTCACGGGCGAGTTCGGGGACATATCTCTTGGGCATGATCGAGCCACCATCCGCCACATGATTAGCTACACGGCTTGAGACCCGCTCAATTGATCACAGTTTTACATGTGGTTGCTTGAAAGTGATCCGGCATGTGTTGTCCTTGACATTGGTTTAATCTCATCTATGATAACCCCCTGGGCTTCTCATCGACAGTTTTCCATGCCGACAAAGTAGCATAAAGTCTAACAAGGATTGACTTTAGACTGTCCCCCATCACGCTCTAAGGGAGTCGCCAACGGTACTTCCTTGAGCCAAAACTAGGTCGTGACGGTTACGCGGTACTTGTGTACATCCTAGCAGAACCCTTCTACCGTTCGCCAGTCACACGAGGAAGACTCGAGTCTGTTTTTTATCCCAACCTGGCAACTCAAATAGTCTTCAGGGCGCCGCAAGTTAGATGGCAATGACCTCACCTTAAGTGGCTCAAGATTCGAAGGAGTAGGTGCACCCTGGACTCTGCTGTCATCTAAAGTTTGGCACGTTTTCAAAGTCCCCTTCTGCTTGACAGCTGTGTACTACAGCTGGCAATGGTGTGGATCAACGAAGTTCAAACACCGCGACGCTGGCAATGATCCTGACTCCAAGTCGCCCCGTGAAGGGAATCGACGGCTGACGTAGCGAAACGATGGTGAAGCTGCAAGACTGCTAGTCATGACTGAGGAAAGAGCTGGCGAGGGACTAACTACTTTGGAATGTACCAGCGTTGGGGGAGAATTCTGGTAGAGTAGCCAGGTCGCCGGAACGCGCATACATTCACCCGGAGTAGCAAGATCACAGCCCGGAGCCCGGCTCCGTTCTACTGTCGTCTCGTTGATTGTAGACCTAGCTCGAGGCACGCTCTTGTCAAGGTTTGCGACTCACCATGCGTTGCGTGGATGCCGCTGCGTATTATTTTGACATTCCCCGACGGCCATTAACCGTAGAGCCGACGGCCGCCGGTTTGTCAAGTGCTACTCGATACAAACGGCGTCTGTCTTGGTACGGATCCGGTCACTGGCTCGCATGTACATCTAACCGCACTAGCTAACTTAAACAAATTTGCTACGCACGTACAGATTTCTCTTCTGCATAAAAGTGCATGTTGTGAAGGCAACGGGGCTGCTTGGCAGATCGTATTGTCGATCAGTCGCCCATGTCAGGGGAGAATCCCATAGTACATGAGTAAATGCTGTCAAGGGTTTTTGGATGACGCCGGCAGGGTGCAGATTCAGGAAGGAGCCAGCTCCGTTGGTCATGCAGAAGAAGCTACCTCCGCCTCCCTTGCTAGTCATTGTAGCCAGTATAGTGATCATGGCCTGGCCGTCGGCAGTACATGAAGCGGTGGATCATCGTCTCCAGATAGCTACCACGGGCAGCTTGCATCCTGCATCAGGAGAGCATCAAGGGTTGTGGGCAAAGAGCATCACGTTTGAAAGCTTGGGCCGCCTCCGTGTTACGGAGAATCCTAGAAAGGATGTACCTGAACGATCGTGATGTAGTCATGTAGAAGTCAAGCTCGTTTGCGCAATTTCTCAGTCGGTAACAGGGCAATCGATAGGCTGTCCACGTAGGGCATGTCTGCACATGCTTTTTTTCTCGCTTGAGTGATATGCATGTGCGGAAAGGATCGACGCATCCCGTTGAGAGGCCATAGTCCAAGGTCTAGAACGTCCCTCATCACGGCACCGCATCCGCAGTGACAAGCATCCTCTAAACACTAGGATGGCGGTCTGCAGAGGGGAACTCAGCATGCAAGCCATCCCGATCCGTTACTCTATCATTATGTCTCTGTTGAGCCAAGTAGTCAATCGAGAACAGCTTGGAGGGAAAGGCGCGAAGTAGTCTCAACATATGAACGCGTTTCCCTGACTCAGACGCTGGCCGACGGCGTGAATGTGAAGCTGACTCGTTTGACGACTTCTCTCAAACGCCATGCACTGATGCGAATGAAAAGTGCTGCACCATGAGTCCGCCGAGGTTGTGGCCTTGAGTAAATTTGCTGCGTCTCTCTCTTTGGTGGGCGTCGTCGCTTTGAATTGCCTGCTCAGATCTTGTGTTCGCAAAACGGAAGCGATCGAGATCATTAGCTTCAGACCCGCGTGAGCCTCGAGGCGTTTGCTCGATCGGTCTCGGGAGCGTCACCAACTGCCTGATCAGTCTCACTCGAGTCCGTCGCTGTGAGCCGGCTGAGAACCGCTCGCTGTACCTGCCCTAAAATCTTGCCGGCGTCGTCAACTCTCGATCAACCCTAGTGATGCGGTGCTGGTAGACGGCCGCATCGTCTGTTCTTGCGATTATTTTTGGGCGCTGCGGATCTGCTGCAGAGTCTTAGCATATTCCAATGACCTGAGGAATCTGATAGGATTTGCTTGCAAGCCACAGCGTAGCCTGAGCCCGCATTTGATTTCATTTCGCCATCTAGTGGATCGCACGGTACGGTCTTAGTTTTTTGATCCTGCATCTTGAAGGATCTAAATCCTCTCCACACCATCCAGAGATCAGCACCACTCCCGCCTAGCGAACTTGTCCCTAGCGGTTGTTTGCTCCCGCAAACTTTAATTTCCCAGGTGGCGCATGTCTTCTTAACGTCAGCTCCGGCTATTCGTGACCGGCTTGTAGCGCACGGTATTATTCCATTGTCACCGTTGCTTCCTATTATCGTCCCTAGCTCCAATCTCGTCCCAGTGGGCCGCGCTTCGAGCTTCGCACGTATCGCTCCTTCCGTTATTACATACATACAACCCAGGACCCTGCCGTCATCTTGATTCCCATGACCTTCTGTCCCGCTTCAAAACAATGCCATCAATTCAGGATCGCCCTACGGCTTTCACGCCATCTAGGCAGTTGCAATCGTGGACGCATGACGACAAGAACAGCCCTTACTCACTGCCAGACCACCGTCGGCCATCCATGGTGCAACCAGAAGTTTTGAGGCCGATGGAGCCTGCCAGTATGGGAACCGCACCGAGGCCACTTTTGGGCTCTCGTATAACTGATCCAAGTCAGCCACGTCAACAGCTTCCCGGCCTCCAGGAGCTGTTGAGTCCTGCTCTAAGGACAGGTCCACCATCATATTCACCTCATTGGCCTTCTGTCAACAACGCACAACCTGCCAACTGGTCTCATGGCTCTGGCTCTGTTGCCAGTGCACAACTTCCACCAGCTAATGGGCATTCACAAATGGGATCACTTCCATTCAACCCGACTCCCCCGCCCTTTCACCGCCTTTCTCTAGATGTCTCTCCTGCTGATCGATTTGCTCAAACCACATCCAGCGGTCCCATTAGTGCTAGACCATCTTTACCTGGGCCTCTTCCAAGTCAACAACCGCCACCTATGCTTCGTAAACTCTCGGACTACCAGGGCCCACACGTTCTGGATCAAGTATCCCAGTCTGCGCATATTGTGGATAACGCGGGGCCGCCTCAGCCACACGTTGCTTCTCCTTACCACGGAGTCACCGAGGGCGACATAGCTAGACGCTTGAATGCAACGCAAGGGATGCGGGATGCGCCTCCGGCGAGTAATTACAGTTTACAGTGTGTCGGCCAAAGGCACATACCCGGAGAGGGAATGTGCTACGTCTTCAAGGACGGAAGTACATGTCCGACGATTATTGATGGAGAGCCGGTGAATCCGCTTTGGGGAACCACGAAGGCGGGTAAGGCTCGTAAAAGACTTGCCCAAGCATGCCTGTAAGCTGAAGAAATCGATCATCAATGAGTTCGTGACTGACAGAAACAGAAATTGTCGTGAAAAGAAAATCAAGTGTGAGCCAGGTGAAAAGAGTTGCCTCCAGTGCGAAAAGGCCAAGCGCGAATGCCACAGGTTTGCATCTCCTAGGTCAGTCGCGGACTGTCTACTAAGAAACGAAAGCAGGCCGAGCGCTCCCCAACAACCGGTAGAGCTTGCGAACCACACAACTTTGACCATTCCGAATGTTCCCCTTGGACGAGCTGATTGGTCCAGTCAGTCGTCCGGCAGCATTGTCATGGCTGATGTGCCGAACCAAAAGCGCAGGCGTTCTGCACAAGCGGCGCAACAAGACGTACTGAATGGCCCACCTGCCTGGAGTCGTGAGAGATCTCCCCAAAGTGTCAAGAGACGCAAGTCCGACGTCTCTGCATCTTCTCAAGATGGACCTTTCCAACAAGACAGACAACGCAAAGACAGCAAAAGGGTAGACCTCGAGGACATAATCACTCAAACACCCCGGCCCGAAAAACTGGACCCTTCATCATGGAATGAAGACCCGTACCTCAATGACCCCGAGGCGACCATGCGATTTCTGGAATTGTTCTTTGCGCAATCTGCCCGAGAGGTCAGCATAATGTTCCCCCGTGATGCCTTCACTCGGTGGGTACGACAGTGTCGCGACAAATGCCAACGGGAATGTATGGTACTATATTCAGTCCTCGCTCTTGGATCAATCTTCGCCGAGAACGAGTTCTCTTCCTTCGCTAAACTTTGTGCAGAGCGAGCTGGTCAGGCTGTTTCAAGAATTGACGGCAAGTTCAGTCTGGCGGTCGTCCAGGCTCGGCTGCTTGTAGCTGGATACAATCATCTCGTCGGCCAAGACAGCGCTGGTTGGGACTTGAGTGGCTCTGCTCTGAGGGTCTTGAGCGCAATGCGACTGAACAGCGAAGAGGGGTGCGGAGAAGATCTAGATGAATACAAGCGACGATACTTCAATTTCTCTCGTGAACAAGTCAAGGAATGCAGAAGACGGACTTTCTGGACCGCCTTCCTCGTCGATGTAAGTATTTTTGAGCTTCGGAGTGGGACTTCACTGACCTCGACCAGCGGTACCATGGTTTCTGTGGAGGTCTTCTCTGCGCCATACAGCTCGAAGATATTCAAGTCCGACTGCCCTGCAACGATCAGATCTACGAGGATGGATTCGCATCCGACGCTCCACTCTTCGATTGCTTCCAACCAGGTATGGGTATACAATCTCTGGACCCCAAATTGAGCGTTCCAAGTCCGGCGGCATATACAGTGGTAATTGCCTCTCTCTGGACCGATGTCACAAAACTTATCTTCCGCCGGCCCCGCCAGGGTGCAGGTTCAGGATCGTATGTCAAGAGTCATGAATCATTACTGGGCGACATCCAAGCCAAGCTTTTTGACTGGAGAACGACGCTACCGGTTCATCTGCGATACAGCCGTCAGAATCTTGTCGAAGCAATCCAACACGGCTTTGCAGGTAGTCTTATTGCAATGCATGCACTGTATCACATCTCGCAACTGAAGGCAGCACGTAACGCGCATCATGAGCTACTTTCGCCCCACACCACGGCACAGCAAATTCGATTTGCTCACTCTCATGCCATTCAACTGCTGGAAATGGTTGTTGATGTACGAAGCACGAAACCACATGGATCGGGTAAAGGCCAGGACCCGATCAACTTGCTTTCTCCTTTCTTTGCCTATGGAATCACTGCAGCCATCGATACGCTTAGCGCCGGAGGTTTGAAAGAAGATTTCGGACGCACCATGATGCTTATCAACGACAGCACAGCCACGTTGCATGATCTTGCGCAGTTCTGTGCTAGTGCCAAAGTGCAAGCCAAGCAGGCAAGCAGAAGGATGGCTTTGATTGAAATCCGAGCGGCAGAAAGCTTTGGGACGGCAGCGGTGGTAGCGGCACCCCGAGTGACAAACGGAAGAGACAACAACGACTGCTGGAGAATCAACGAACCAATGGAGAAGGTATTCACTCTGCAGCAAGATGTGTGCTATGGCACATCCCCTGCGATCTACTTCACGGCAATAAGAGGAGGCCGTTGAGTGATAATGTACCAATCATTGAAATTCGAAACGAATAACGCCTGAACGATCATGAAGACAGCACTTTTTACAGCGAGGAGTTTGGAAAATTTGGTTGGCACGTTCCCGGCACAATGGGTGTCTCGGGCATGTTTTGGCACGCAAGACGCATGTGTCACTGTCAGGGGCCACAGACAATCCTACGGATCTAACGACAGTTTTGAGCAGCTGACAAGCGGCTTCGTGGCCGAACTCGGTCTTTTCTTTAGAGCGATATAATTTCTGTTTCTGCTTCTGCCCCAGCAGGTAAAAAGCGGTCGGTTTTTGGAACTCTATTGTATGTTTTTTCTGCTATGTACCCAAGGAGATTCGGGAGCCGAAATCTAAATAACATGTACCGAGGTCGCGTTGCATGAACTTCGAGTTGAACCTCCACTTGTACACACCACGGCCGGGAGATGAAAATACCAGTATTACATGGTATTCGTGTACCTCCCACATCACAAAGCTGCCTACATGCACGACGGAGCTGACTCCTCGCTGTTACGTGTGTGGCAGTCCGAAAACTGGGTGAGACACGGTACCATCACTCCCTGGCAGTGATTACCTGGTAATCAAACGACCATGGGCAAGGAGCGACTTCCTCGAGGATGGGGAAAGGCTCAACTCGGACATGCAAGCTGCTGACCAACTTGCCGCGTGGAGGTCGCCCCAGTGTCCAGACACGATCGATCTCAGTCAATACAACTCAGCCCTCAGACAGAAGAAACAGATACGTTGCCAATTTCTAGTGAACAAACAGGGCTGTCGACATTGCACATGCCCGGAGATGCCTGGGCAAGTTGGCAAAAGTAGCCAACGCAGCGTTGACATTGACGACTGACCACTAGCTGCAGCATTGCCACCAAGGATCACTTTCGAAAGCGTGCAACGCATACAACTCGTGTGTCGACCTGCATGCAACAAGGGAGCAACACCAGCCTGCCAATACCACCCCACCTGCATGTCTTGGAATGATCGGAGGTTATCTGTCTCGTATAAAAGACAACGCCTCTTTTGACTAATACTGAACCCCTCCTATAAGCCGGCAACACACCGATCTGTGGATCGAGTCAACAGTTGCGGAGATGGTCGCTCACATGTTATATCCCCTAGCCGCAACCGCCCGGCACACTCTTACGCGGCTGAGGATGCCGCGCATGAGCACATAATCCAACATCTGTATGGTAGAGGGCTCGGCGGGCGAAACGTTGGATCCTGTTCGGCAGTAGACGAGGCGACCCAGGAAAGAGGAGAAAACGAGGTCAGTCCCGCACTTCCTGATGATGAGCATGACTTCGCAGATATGCCCGTTTTGAGTTTGCCACGAAAAGTGCGCTTGACCAGAGGACGGGCCGCTCCTGCCTACCGGATCGTGTGCGTCTAAGCTAATCACTAGCATGAACCTTATAGGAAGCTTGCTGTATAGGGTAGTGACCGAGCTTGGCCCTTGGCCGATGCGATCCCTCTCCGGATCACTATCGAATTTCTATGATAAAACGTGACGCACGACGAGACTTCAAATCCCGATGTGGGATTCCATGCTCATGCGATATCAGTGATGAGGAACTTCCCGCCTAACGAACAGGATATTCGACATGGCATACACATGAGGAACAAGCAACGCGGGGGACATGAGAACCCGTTGCGGTACACAAACTTACACATGGAGTCCACTCCGCGGCACTGATTTGCCAGCTATCCAGACGCCGAGTGCAGCCGGAAGGTAGGGCTGCTTGCACGACTATTGGTTATACCCTTGCATGACACAAGTTTGACCGCATCTCTCGTACCATTTCGCAGAAATGCCTCTTCAAATGTTGAGAAGTACACCAGATGGATGAGCTACTCCGTATAACAACACGGGAGCCTCTCGCTCCGGCAACTGTCTTCCGGGAATTAGATGATACATCAAAAGCCATCGGCGCAACCGCGCCTGCCTGTTGAGCTAAAAAGTCACGCGCAAGCTACTCTCTTGCCTTTGACGACCGCAAACCCACATCGCCACTCGGCATTAGCGATGTTGGAAGGAGGCAATTGCGCCCCCCAATGTCTACAATAGCCCTGAAAAAGACACATCGGAAAGGAGACAGGGTCCGAGTACTCCCCTACCGCTTTGTGCTCCCGACACTTCGGACCAAACACAGAGCCCCAGAAGGCTATGCCGACGTACCCAGAGCATTTTCTGCCCTGGTTTTGTTTCTGAGATATTGCAAGTATGCAGAAGAGAAAACGGACTCGAACACTAATAGAGACAGACAGCAAACGCGAAGCAAAGCATCCAACGCAATATATATTCACAATCTATCACTCCGCAAGTGCCCTGATTGGTTGGGCCTGACTGTCGGGTCTATGTATAAGGACGCGGTGTCAAAAACACACGCATTGCACTAGACGGAGTAATTTAGCGACAATGTCTGTATGATTGCGAAACTACTGCACAAGGGCAATATATTGAGGCCTCTCGATCTTCCTCTGTCGCAATTGAGTAAAATTCGCCGAGGCATCATTTTTGGAAGAAGCCCTCGAAACCCATAATTTCTCATCCGAATATGGAAGGTATGCCGTCTGATTTTCTAAGTGAGAGGAAATGTGACGGGATTGTCATGGTTTGGCTGGGATATTTACCATGACACTTGGAACAACATACTGATTAGTCAACAGCCCTTCTCATAAATCGATCGAGTGTGGCTGAGCGATGGACCCGGAATAAGTGCTCAACAAGAAGGAGCAGGCTACCGGTATGTGGGATAGCACCAGAGACAAGAGGGATTCGCGTCTCAAGCGAAATGGTGAAGCAATAGCGCATGTGCGATGAGCAACACATTGATTTTGATGTTGTTTCGCTAATTTCAAGCGCCCCAGACGACGACACTGCCATCTCCACCAGCACTAGCCCATTCCTTCCTCAACTGGTTCCACACGACCGTGTTGACAACATCTCTTTTGGAGGACATGGATACGAAGCTCTTGGAGCCATCCGTCAGGGCTGGAGCAGAGTGCTTGAGCTTGTGAGCCAAACTACCCGTCAACAGATCCCAGACATAAATGTGACCGTCCTCCGAGCCTGAGATGGCAAGACTATCTCCAGCTGCCAGTGTAGACCGTAACCTGTAATTCGTGTTCTTGAAACCAGGATCCCTGAAAGCTTGAAGCAGCTTGCCATCTCTTTTATCCATGAGTCGTAATGTCGAGTCCAAAGTGCTGGCAAGGTAGGAGTCGTTGTTGACGGTGGGTGTAACAGAAGTGACTGGATGGCCGAGTACATCTTGATCAACAACACCCATCCTAACATCATAACACCTCACCCTGCCATCCACACTACCGGTCAGAATCTCGGCGCCAGAAACCGAGATACTGGAGACAGCATCTTTTGCTTCTGATAGACTCATGATCGGTTTCTCGCCTCGTTGCTTGCAATCCCATATCTTGACCGTCGAATCAAAACTGCCAGTCACGACGAGAGAATCTCCCTCGCCAGCAAAAGCACAAGCATTGATTCTTCCAGCATGCCCACTCCACCGTCGTAGAGTTTGATGCGTAGTGACATCCCAGAGGAAAACCGTCTTGTCGCCGCCAACACTGATGAAGCGATCGTTGTCTTGCGCGACGCTTATATCGTGTACCTCATATCCATGAGCGCTGTATTTCTGGACTTCGAGACCGGTGGCTGGGTTAAAGAGGCGGACATGACGGTCGGTACTACCGGTCAAGAGCTGCAAGAGTGGTCAGGCGTGTTCGCGGTATGTCGGTGGCTGCGTCAGGAACGTACGTATTGGCCTGTTCCGGCGCTGTAACAGAGGGCGAGCACTTGGCCTGTGAATGCGCATTAGCTCGAGGTATCGGGATAATTCAGGGGGATCGATACCATTATGCCCTGTGAGTCTTGAAATTGGTCGTGTAGGAAATTGCGCGCTCATCACATTGCTGTTGATGTTGTCGAAGAGAAGATGGGTGCCATCATCGCGCCGGGCTTTGTCTCCACGATTTCGTCTCTGTATGCATGCTGGTGTCCTAACCCTGTCTTGATGGCAGACATGTTCCATCTCAACAATTTTATACTGCACTCTCCTCTGAAGTGCTTGGGACTATTACAGAGGTGTGTGATATATTTATGACTACATCATGGTCAAGACGTGACATACGTTGACCGTTATCTGTTGCGATGAGCTCCCATGAACCAGCTGGTTGCGCGGACTTACGTGGATGGCGCAGTCTGGCACACACGCAAGACGATCAAGTCAAATAGTGTGTTCAGCAAGCAAATTAGGTATCGTGTACCAAAACAGAAACTTCTCATGCCAATCAGGCGAACCCAAGAAACCCCTTAGCGACTGTCTCCTCTACGACTGCTCCCAGGATCACATCACCACAGCTTCCAGCCACTAACGCGCGGCTTCGCAGACGCCCGACCGCTCTCGGTCACCCCTTCCTTAGTCGCGCGACCTTTGCTTGCTGAAAGGTACGCCTCTTCTAGCATCCTTGTCCTCGAGCTTCTGCTTCGACTGCTTCTCCGTGCACCTCCAGCAGCACTCGAGCTCGAATTGCTTTCGATGTAAGGTCTCTGGTACTCAAGTCTGTGTGGCTCAATGGTTGGCGGCTTTCGTGCTGTCGCAGCTGAAGATACAGAACTCAATGGATGCGGCGAAATTGCGCCCGGTCTTGCGAAACGCGTAGGTTCCTCTGTCAGTATGCTTGATGTATGGCGGCTTAACAGGGTATTTTCTGATTCTTCGTAGATAGTAGTGAGGGTTGGAGCAGGTGGTGGAAGCCGATCATCATCCGAAGGGTGAGGCAGGTAAGGGAGTAGGTCTTCCTCGTTGTTGACAGATGATGCTGATCTCGCCGACGAACGCTCAGAATGTCTTTCATCTCCAGCCCGTGAACCTTGCTCGCCATATTTGTGTTCAGTGGCTCGGTCAGACTGATGACGAGAAGACCTGGATCTGCTTGTTCGGCTTCGATGTGATCTGGTGTGCTGTGATGACTTTGAGCGGTGCGACGATATTGGACTTTCCTCCCATCCGGAAGCCTCTTGTTCTGGCGAGTGGAAAGAAGCATTTTCAGATTGCATGTCATCTATCCAACCAGAATCTGCTGCTGCGTCTGACATAGGAGACTCGTCCCATACTTGATCATCGACGTTGGCACCTTCTTCCTGAGTGTTGAGTCCTGCTAATGATGGGAAAGGTGGTTGGTCCCTTCCAGACAGCATTTGGCGAGTCTCTTCAGACGGTATTAATAGTTGCGGGATAGTTTCTACGTTTAAGTGGGGAAGAGGTACGCCGCCCGTGTGTCTAGAGCTGCTCGATGATGAAGAAACTGTCTCCACCTTTGAGTGTTGTCGAGAATCCCTTGTTGAGTTTGAGTACAATGAGTCCTTCGGTACTCTCCAATTGTGATAACTATCATGTCTTGATTCGGTGTGCTTGCTGGTTGTGATAGTTGCAGGTCGATAATCGTGGTCTTCTTCTTCTTTGTTGTCATATCTTGCGAGAGTCGCTTGTGTATGTTTCGAGTGTTGAGATGTTTTCCTCGAGCTCTTTGAAGGAGTGCCGGGATATACCGATGGTTGAGCCGATGATACACTGAATGGAGGCACGCTGATTGGTTTGTTGGATGATGATTTGCTGATTGATATGGGGGATAGGGTTTGCGACGAGACGTGTCCAAAGACACTGGCTGAGTCGTCCCAATCCGAGACTGGAGACAGGGGACGAGGTGAGACGATACAATGAGATGATAGGGCTGAAATGAATGCTGTCATTGAGCTTTCTAAGGAATCATCTGGGACTGTGTTGAAATCTTTCTGCAAATCAACATTGGATGAGTCCTTTGCAGACGCCTTGGAATAGTGAGAGGCAGAGGGAGATGGAGCCTTACTGCGATAGCCGCTATCAGACATACCTGAATCGTGAATGGAGCTGACAGGTTTCCCTGGAGGTAGCCGGCGTGGTCTTGACGAGTCTGTGGTAGGGGCAGGGGACGCTTCAGGGAGAGCTCCGGTCATCTTGATTGAGCTTCTTACTGTCGAAGGAGGTACTGTAGTCAAGTCCTTGACAAAGTCGGTGAAAGTGGTGGATCCTGCTGCGCGTTCCCTTGTTAGCGCTCGCCCTTGTGTCCTCAGTCATTTGTCGAATTCTGCATACATTTTCTGTTCATTTCCCGGCCGCGAATTTGGCGTGAAGATGAAGAAGAATTGGCAGACCAATATTTGACGCTTGCCGAATCGGACTCGTCTCCAACAACGGTTGTTTCTTGTGAGGCAAAATGTAAGGGCCTCTTGATCTCCTGTATAGCTTCTTCACCATTTTTTCCACGGATGCGGATGTTGAAGGTGCGAGAGCGAGCAGCCGTCGTCGAAGATTGTTTACTGCCATCCTCTGATTGAACCGAGGAAGCCGCGTCGGGCTGAGGGCGAGAAGGCCTTCGCAACACAAATGGGTTGCTCACGACAACGCTCTCACCGTCCTTACTGCGGATGCGCAAATTAGGCGAAGGGCGACGCTTTCCGCCAGGAAGAGCCGGCTCAGGTGATGATATCTGACGCGATCTATGACGCTTCTGATCGGTCTTGACTGGCTTGGGAACGTGGTTAACATAAGGCGCATGCTCAACTGCTCCATGCTCGGTGAAGCACCGGTCATCAACAGCGCTGCGCGCATCTCCTGGCTCGACGTAGTGTTGATAGTCAATTGGAGGTGGTGCCGTGTAGCGACCAGAGACCCAGGCATTTGGTGCATTGGTAAGTGTCTCGAAACTGTCATCAATCGCAGAGCCTTGAACGCTGCCAGCCATGCTGATCAATGTTACGAAATGTCCGGGGGAAGGCAAAGAAATGTTGACGAAGCAGAGACCAGAGCGTGTGGTAGAGCGGAAGATGGTGTGAAGGGGAATTTGGCAGATTGCTCGAGCGCCAGAAGTAAAAGGCGCGCAATAGGAAAAGTGAAGACTGAAGTGCGATAATTCGGCAGCGAAACAAATGCAGAATTTGGATAATCGTTAGGCTGTCAGAATGCGTAGGTTGTTTGTGATGATGCACGGAAGTTTGGTCACAGCTTGGCCTTCTCTCTCACTTTCTCGTTCTCCCAGCTCTTCTTCATACGCACGCCATTGAGATAGGTCAACGTTCCCGAAGCAACAGCCAGTGGTGGACAGAGTAGAAGCAACCATGACCACCAAGACGGCGAGCCTGCCCTGACCACTTCCATGACTCTATCAATCTCACGTTTCAATTGTTCTTGGTCGCCGTCGTTCCAGACAACAACTCCGCTCTTCTCCCCTCTGCTCAAACACCTCGCGGCCTTGTCTCTGACGTCCCATTGACTTGCGACTCTGTTGCGAGCATCCTCTTCGGTCAAGTGTGCATCTCGGGCTAGTAGTCTCTGCATCTGTATCTCAGCATCCTTGACAGCAACCACCATGATGGTTCCGCAGAGCGGCTCCCAACCACTTTCGTAGAGCAAGGGTATGTCCAAGACACAAGCCCAGTGACCCTTCAAGTATGCCGAGAGCATCTGCTTGTATATCTCGCGACGGACAGCCGGGTGAACGATACTGTTCAGGACCTTCCTATCCGACTCTTTCCCCTCACCGAACACCCGACGACCCAACGCTGGCCGGTTGAGCGGTCTGCCTTTGCCGCTTGGCCCATTTTTACCACCTGAAGAGGCATCGGCTGGAACCAGCAGGTCAGGCGTCGATGGTCCGAAATGAGAGACGATTTGGCTATAACCGGCTGTTCCTGGTTCGACGACCTGACGTGCTATCAAATCCGCGTCGACGATCGGAAGCGAGTATGGATGCGCTGACAAGATTCTGGAAACTGTTGACTTGCCCGTGGCAATACTGCCTGTGAGACCGAGGAGGAGCATACTGATAACTGTATAGGACTTTGAGCTTGAGATGAGGACTAGCAGTGAAGGTATTATGGCAGGAAGGATGGCGGGTGGAGATAGGTCTTGGCGTGCGTAGCTGGCTCTTGCATTTGTTCACTCGGCCTTCCTTCCGTCTTGGGCATGCTATAGTATAGGGAATCAAGAACTCTTTCATACGTGGCACTACTATATTTCGCTGTTTATTGCGATACCAGTTCGACAATGCCGGGCTCTATCGCTGTGATCGGTTCTTTGAACATCGACTTCATCACTCGCACCCCTCGTGTGCCTGCAGGAGGTGAAACTCTTGAGGCCAGCTCTTCAGACACCGGTTTTGGTGGTAAGGGTGCGAACCAAGCTGTAGCATGTGCTAGATTATCTCGCAACAGTGATGGCTCGACACCAGTCGCTAGCACACCCATCAAGGTCAGCATGGTTGGCTTTGTCGGCGAAGACTCATTTGGCTCAGACTTCATTGCTGCCATGAAAGAAACTTTCATCGATACAACTCACATTCAGAAAGTTACTGGACAGAAGACGGGGATTGCCAACATTATTGTCGAAGAAAAGACAGGAGAGAACCGCATTCTCTTCTGCCCAAATGCAAACTTTGCTGGAGGTGACGAGGCCAAAGATTTGATACCCGAGGATGCAGATGTTGTGGTCTTCCAGTTGGAGATGCCGCTCGCCCAGGTAGTGCACAACATCAAGCTTGCACACTCGAAGGGCAAATATGTACGAATGCTCACTGCTGGTCATGCACTACATGCTGATATCAATTTAGGTTATCATGAACCCAGCACCCGCTCAGAAGCTGCCAGAAGACCTTTATCAGTATATTGACTGCTTGATCATGAATGAGAGCGAAGCCGATATCCTGCGCGAAGCCAAGGAGGAGTTGAAAGATGATGATCTTCCTCAGATCTGTGAAGACTTCTTCAGACGTGGTGTTCCAGATATGGTTGTCATCACCCTCGGAGCTAAGGTAGGCGTGTCATGCTTCCTTACTCTGCTCTCAGCTAATAAGATTAGGGCGTTTACCACTCTGCCAAGTCAAGAACTTCGGGACACACACCTGGTCGCAAAGCAAAGGTTGTCGACACTACCGCTGCTGGAGACACATTTGTTGGAGGTCTAGCTGTCGAAATCGCAAAGAATGGAGGCAAGACACCTGAAGCGCCTGCAAAGATGATCGAGTTCGCCAATTCGGCTGCGGCGCGCACAGTGGAGAAGCCTGGAGCCATGTCTGCAATTCCCTGGTTCAACGAGCTATGAAACATCAATGCATTACATCGAAGGGATGCCCAATTTGAAACTTAATCACTTGATCGACACTCACCATCCGCAAGTACGAGCTGGATATTCTCCTGTGTATAGCATACAAGCATCATGGTGTGTAGTGACAGTAATGTGTGTTACAAGGATTCAGATGTTGGAGGATGACAAGATCATTTCACCGATGCTTCTGTCTCGGATCCCTGGGACACTCGGAGAAAGTGTATGGGCTTTGTCTGAGACACCTTGCTACGACAAGAGCTCGATGAGATTGCGAATGAGACACAAAGAGACAAAGCGGAGTAAGATAACTAACCAGCTCGTCGATTTGAACTTGACGACCACATGGTCGTGGAGCACGTCTATAGCATGTGATGAAAGTCGACGTCTGAATATTCCGCTTTCACACAACATAAACACTCGACAAGATTTCCATTACGCTCTCGCAAACAACACCGCTCCGCCTGCATATCAGCATATGATCCTCGATCTCACCATTATGCAGCAACACTCTGACTGGCACAGAAACTGCTGGTCCAGACAGACAGTTGAGTAAGAGGCCGTAGATGACTTTCTAGTGCTTTCTTTTGCTGATATGATCAAGCCACTTCAAAAACACATCGCCTGACTGCATACAGCTTCGCTCCGCAGAGGGCGAGTTGCAAACAATCGACAAAGCGCTTCTCTGTTATTACTCTACTTATTATGCTGCGGCATTGGATGGCCAGTTTGCAGAGGCTCATCGAAAGGTATTCGACGTCGAGCTGTCTGACAAGCAGCTCAAGGTATTCGTAGACTGGATCTACGCTGGTCGACTTGAGCTCCTAGCCTGGGAGCGAGAAGACCGTTTGATGCTGTATATTTTCGCCGACTTCACCGACAACTTGGCTTTTCGTCGCCGAATCATGACCGAAGACGGAAGAATGGAGAGATACAGAGAAGTAGGCCTGGCGCTCTCTTCCCTTTCAAGTGGATCACCGTATTGCCGGCGAATCATTGACCACTACGCTAACCACTGGACACCCGAGGACGACAAATATGACGCTGTCGAAAACATCCCGGAGATCGTGATCCACGGTGATTTCTTCTATGAAGTTCTTGTGCGCCAATCTTCGGTCAAAGGTGTGAAACAGGAGAAGTGCATATGCTGTAGTAATGTGTGCAATTACCACGAACACGAAGGCGAGGAAGAGTGGAGAGCGAGTACGTACGAGACACACTCCAATCGCCATACAGCTGACTGATGGTAAACAGCCTGTGGACAGCTACCGAAGTCAAAGAAGCCAGAGGAACGATTCTTCTCCAAGATTGGTTGACGCGGCAAAACATCATATTGGATGCCAGAATCAATGCGCAAGGTGAAGCGCAATCTGGATACTCACAGAAACTGGGAATGAACCATGCGATGGTCAAGCTGATGCTTAAGCTTGAGTTTCGAATATAGACTGGTGTTTTTCATCAGTCTGCGGCAACTCTTCCGGCAGAGAACAAGGAATCAGAGATAGGGTAAGGTTACATGTGTTAATCATGCTGTGCCAATCAGTCGATACCCTGGCGAGGAGAGCTCATTCCTCACACCGGCTTTTTTCTTGGTAGGCAGAGATGAGTGAAGGGCAGGAGCGACCAATTCAAAGTTGCCATTGTGAGTATCATGAAGATGTCATCCAAGACAACTGTTCAGCTCGATGGTTCGCAAAGCTGACGAACGTCTCCCAAAACAATATCGACGTGCTGGCTTTCGCGTTATGACTCTTCGCCACGCAAGCACCAAGCATAGCAAGACACAGAGACGAGCGGATGGGAAGCGTTATAGAAGAGAACGCAGATCTCACCGAGATATGTTTCACCTGACTAGTCAGTAACACGCTCACAAAAAGTAATCCCCTTTCATCTCTCATGGCTTTCTCGCCCGAATACATCTTCACTACATCCTTCACTGCCACATCTTACTCTCGTCTCGCATCACGCTGCCTTATACACTATTGCACCTTGCGTCTTACTGCGCACTACACTTTCCTCTTTCCCTCCCAACATCATCGTCCCCACTACGCCACCTAAAGCTACGCCAGCCAGCGGCGCTGCCTCTAAAAAGTGGTCAAGATATTGATGGACTTTTAAAGCAGTTTCGTGAGTTGAGGAGCTCAATTCCAAAGTGTTCAAAAATAGATCTAAGAAGGTTTCAGCACCGCCATCACCAAGTCGACCGCGACTATCAAACTCAAGCCAGATGATCAAGGTGCTATGGTTACTATTCACAAGGAGCTGTTGTGTTCCTGCTCGCCTTACTACACCGCGGCTCTCAGAGGCGGCTTCTCGGAATCACGAAAGGCATCTCTTGACGCCGACATGTCCAGCAACACTCTGAAGGCATTTGCAACATGGTTGTACACAGGTAGTCTCCCCAGCAAAGGAACGCACGTAGAGGGAGCGCACGATCGTCAATGCTGCCTCATCAATCTATACATATTCGCCGATCTAACTGACTTTCTGGCGCTTCGTCGCGCTACCATGAATCAGTTAGCAGCTGCGAACATGTCCTTATGCTCGTACACTCTGGTCCTAGAGATCATCTCGCACCTTCCAGACACCGATCCTCTATGGAAGCAGACTCTAGGGAGTTATGTCTCGCACTGGACGCCTGACTGTGATGACTACGCCCCGGGTTGCTACCTTGATGCGGAACTGGAAGATGGAGGAAGACTACTACCCGGCTTCATGCACGAAGTTCTGAAAGAAGTAGCACTTCGCACGGAGCTCAACCCGCCTGGTTGCTCGTGCTGCTCTAATCCTTGCACCTACCACGAACATGAGAGTGAGGAAGAATGGAAAGCAAGTATGACATTTCTTCTCTATACATAGAAGCGCCGTACTGACCCCTGTCAAGCTTGCGGAAAGGTCAAGGGCTCGAAGCTGCCAGAATCATTGCTTTAGCAGGAAACGAGAGAGCGACATGAATTCGTACATCATGAGAAAAGAAAACAGAGAGACGATAATTCGTGCCCAAGTCCACAAGCAGATAATGGACCGGAGAGAGGATTTATTGAAGCAATGCAGACCATTGCCCAGTTGAACAGCTTCAACAGAAGTGGTCAGAAGTTATCACTTTCCAACTGCCGTAGTAGAAAATCCCTTTCTCTTAGTATCATATCAGAACTACTTCTGGATCTAGCACTGGAAGCTTCTGAATACCTGATCAATAATTCCGTGAATCAAGCATGTCCTCACAAGTCGCAAATGTCAAAAGACACGGAGACCCTGACTCCAAAAATGACGTAGCCACGAGTTCCATCGCGTCACCCACGCAGAACCAACCTGTACCTTTCACCTCACAACCCAGCAACAAAAGCCATGGCACCAATACGACGATATCTACGCATCACGCGCTACTCAGTCCTCGAAGTACGCATCTACCTCGACAACCCATCCCTCGCAAACTCCTGGCTGCTCAACTCACGCGACCCCGTCCTCCCTCGTGTCATTGAAGCCGTACGACCCCTCGTGCTACCGAAACTGCGCGAGGAGAATGAAAATGCAAAGAAAAAGGGTGGAAAGAAGAAGCGGGGTGTGAGGGATGTTGTTGCACAAGGTATGCTGGTCTTCTCTGCAAAGACTCACATTGGAGGGCTGGGCTGATTGATGTGTGTAGATGACTTTGAAGTCTCCATCTTCTTGACAGAGACGAGTAACACACACGCCATGCTCACGAAGCAAAAAATATTCTCCGAAAAACCGCGCCTGCAGAGCAATACGAAGAAATTGACGAAATTCTTCAATAACAATACTTCTGACACTGCTATCCATGTCGATGATGAGGAAGAAGTCCCCGCAATATTACTGGAAGAAGACGCAGAAGAGACGAGATTGGAAGATGTACCTGAAGCTATCTCGGGCAAGAAACGAGCTCGTGAAGACGAAGATTCTATCTTTGTGCAAGAGGATGACGAGGATGAGGAAGAAGAGGAAACAAAACCAAAAGCAAAGAGGAAGAGAGTTACAGATCAAGAAGAGGAGGATAAGAAAAAGCTGGGTTTGAAGACAGCATACGAAGGATTCAGTATCTATGGCCGTATCTTGTGCTTAATTGTCAAGCGCAAGGGTGTCAAGAAAGCCACGGGTCAGACTGCTGGCAGTCAGATGCTGGAGAATTGGGTTAGTACGCAGGCAGATAATGATGGAATGCTTGACGATGCCGAAGATGGATGAAAGAGAGACTGCTTTTTGAGCGAGAAAACAATGGTCTATATACAGCTATCGCTATTGCATCTTTCTGTCTAGGATGGCAGGGGTGCTGGGAGGTAGCTTGTTGATGTCGGAAACGACGATACCAAGCAGCCAGCAGTTTATGCCGAAGAAGGCCATGCTGGCGAACCAGAGTCCTGGGACGAATGTCGAGTGGCCGAGGAATTCTAGCTGGTAGCCTTGCTGGAGCCACAGAGCCTGATTTTGCTGTTAGCAGAGTCACACTGGAAGGAGCAGATGAGGAAAGCTTACCTGACCAACCACCCACAGGGCAAGAGCTGTGTATCCCAGCTTGGGTCGACGAAGAAGCGAGGAGGTCGGAAGGTAGAATGGGAGGAAGACCATGTACCACAAGAAGTACTGGGAATCGTATTAGAGAAGGAAGCATCAACACCATTCACCAGAGAACTTACCTGACTTGTGCACACCTTGTTGAATGTGACGAAAGCGAATGTTTGGGCCAGCATCGTGCTTGCCAAATCCTTCTTGGCCAAAAGCAGAGGAATGGCAACCACGGACAAGAAAAGCTGTGGTAAGAAAGCCAGAGACTCGATGCCCAAGCCTGAAGACGAGCCCAAAGCAGACTTCATATGAAGCAACGTGTTGTAGACGGAAAAGTTGTGGCGATGATCGATGCGAGTGAGATGGTAGGTGTAGCTGTGCCGAAGGAACTCGATGCCATATCTGATACCATGTCAGCATCAAAACTTTTCTCAGGTATACTTCTTCTCGAGACTTACAGCTTGACCATCAACAAGTTCAACCCACTGAAAGTAATGAAGCTGAACAGAGCCAAACGAACTCTGCCTCGATTCACCAAACCACCGAACCACCCACCTCTTCCATCCCACGAACCAACCTCACTCCTATCCAACCACCGAACCATACTCGCCGCATAAATAAACGGGTAGATTTTAAAATGCACACCCAAGCCCAGAAGACACCCAGCCAAAATGGTATATCCCTCCTCAACGGCCCACAACATGCCCACCACAATAACAGCCAACAATCCCTCCGAACTGCCCCTCGTACTGATATTCGCAACCATAGGATTCAGTAGCCAAATACTCGCAAACGCTACAGCCTTTCCCTCTTGCATGCCTCTTTTCTTGAGCAAGAGGAAGATCAGATATCCAGTTACCAAGTCTCCCATTGCGAAAACCAGTTTTCCGAAACAGAACCAGCGGTTTCCCCATGCTGTTGGGTAGAGCAGCCAGGCTAGTAGAGGTGTATAGCGATAGGTGTCCCGGAGGTAGGGAGATTTACCCTTGTAAATATAGCGAGCTGCATCTGTAAAGACTAGATAGTCGATATCAGTATATTTTAGAGGTGAGTTTGCATCTTGATATTCGCCCCAGAGGAGTAGAGAGGCGCGTAGGAGGCCAGAGAGGGCAAAGATGAGTCGTGTGTTGGAAAATAATTTCGTGGTTATTGTTGAACTGGCAGGTTGAGGTTTTACTCCTGTATTTGTAGGACCAGGTCGTGACATGTCGATGAGAGTCTCAAGCACAAGTTTGAGATTACAGACAATCTCCTCGAAGTTTTGGTTTTGGATGATATTGGACTTTATAGGAGCATGGAAAGGAGAGGCGGAGGTGGACTTTGCGATCAAAAGTCTTGGCATTTTGATGGTCACTTTCTGAGGCATCAAAAGTGGGGATGTCAATGATATACGATAGTGGGAATCAAGTTGCAGAGGGAGATAGAGTCTAAGAAGTGATTGCTTGTACCATTGCCATTATGCTTCAGATACGACAGAACACTACTGGAGAATGTCATCATAACTCCTGTCCCCTTGCTTCGCTAAGTAGCGAGACCGATGTGGTGATTGGCCATGGCAGCTTCCATATTCCTCTCCATGATACCAATTGTAGAGCTGGTAGGTGAAACAAGAGGTGAAGGCGGTGTCACGGTCTCAGAGACCGGTCTGAACGAACTCATAGTCCTGATAGCACCACTCCCAATAGACCTCTGTGATTGACCACTCCAAGCACGCTGGAGCTTTGGTCTAGCCCACTCGCTCCAGGACTTCTTCATCTCGAGAGGGCCGTTGACCTTGGTCTGCTCGGCCATCTTGAGGCCTGCATCGCCCTTCTTCCAGTTGACAGGACATCCTTCTCCATACTCGTCCTTGAAGGCAAGAGCATCGATGATACGCAAAGTCTCATCCACACTGCGTCCAACATCTGCGTCGCTGATTGTGATGTTTCTGACATTACCCTTGGGGTCGATGATAAAGAGAGCTCTCTCAGCGACACCTTCCTCTTCGAGCAAGACACCGTAGTCGCGGCTGATTTTGTGATTGCTGTCGCTCATAAGAGGTACGTGAACGCCACCAAGGCCTCCCTCCATCTCATTGGTATGATTCCAAGCACGAAGACAAAGCTCTGTATCTGTCGAGGCGAAGACAACAGCGCAAGAACGAGAGTATAAAAACTCTTCGAGACGTTCGCTGAAAGCGCGGATCTCGGTTGGACAGACAAATGACCATGCTTTTGGGAAGAATATGAGAGCGACCCAATGGTTGGCACCAGTATAAACACTCAGACTAATTTCTGTAACACCCGTTAGTTTCCTGCATCGTCAAAGCTGCTTGGATTTAGGACCACCTTTCAGCTTGCCGTCCATCACCGCTGTAGCGGTGAAGTCGGGAGCCGGCTTACCGACTCTGGCCATGTTTAGTATGAGATGACAAGAATTAGTAGATCACGATGGTGTGTGAGATGGAAACCAGGACGCAAAGTCTGGCCGACTTCTCAAAGTCTTCTTGTATTCGGGCCCAGCCATGGCATTCAAGCTACCTACCGAGAGCATAATGGACATCTCACGATCGTGGTTTCCGTTTGCGGACTCCTTTTGGGTGTAGCAAAGTCTGGATTCTCTGCAAGACGGCGGGGTGTAAGAATACCTTTGTTCCGGCTGCACATTCCTTCATTCCTTAGACCTCATGTGGCTTGTGTTGAGGCTCTTCTAACCACGCCGATCTTGATCCGAGAAGAAGCGCGTTGATGTTGAGCAGCTTTTGCAGTTGATAGAAGGCTAGCTTGTAGAAGCCGCAGTCTTGTCAGTAGCGCAGACGTCTTCGAGTGATTAGTTGCTTTGATCCCAATTGCTACCAGGTATGCATCACGTAGTCGGGAGCCAAAGTGCTGGGATCTGATTGATCCATGGCAGCAACTCTGCTGGCGATCATCTCTTTATACAGAGTGTGCGCATTATTCAGCAACACATTAGCAAGAAACTGAATTGTCATGCATTCAAAATGGAAGAAGAATAAAAGTTGCAGCTTCGAGGCGAGGTTCCAAACTCGATGCGAACAATCATCGGAAGCCTATCGTGCCAAGCCACGAATCCTCGAAATAGTGACATAACCAAAGCTCTGAGAGCCAAAAGAAGCAGTCACAAAAGTATCAAGAAAGGAGACACACACAGCAAATGGGCCAAAAACGACCAAGATCAGACACAATGGAGGCCACCGAGGACAAATCATCGCCTTTCCTGCCCATGTTCGAGACGTTCCGCAAGGAATTGGATGAACACCACGACCGCCGAGAACGTACCATCAAAGCATCGCGAGACATAACCGCTGCATCAAAAAAGATGTGAGAGCCGACGACATTGGAAAAAGTCATTGCCATTGGTGGCTGACAAAGGCTTTTGCAGTATCTTTACCCTCCAAAGGTGCGATTGAATCGAAACACCCGACGACGAACCCAGCGAACAAGAAGCTGACGACGAGGGTGTGTGTCTAGGATCCGCAAGCTCGCTCAGCCATTACCCGCGCATGTGAACAAGAACAACACACAATACTACGACATCATCAAGGAGAGATACAACACCGTCTCCTCCGAACTACAAGGAATCAATGCCTGGAGATATGCCCGTAATATCACTGGTGGCAACCAGGAGTACATGGAAGCCGCCATTTTCCAGCACTACCTGACCACCGGAACCTTGCTTACATATGAAGACTCGGTAGAGCAATTACGGTCGCTAGGTGGAGAAGGCGGCCCCGTACAACTCACCGTCGAGGATTACCTGCTCGGTGTCTTTGACATGACTGGTGAATTGATGAGGTTCTCCATTACTACAATGGCTACGGATGGCAAGCTTCCTTCAGTCGAATCGGACGATAAAACTGCTTCGGTCGACAGCATGGATGTGGACTCCAAATCCAGCAGTCACAGAGATGTTCTTACGGATCTTCGTGCACTACGTTCAGAGCTGGAAGGCTTGAATGTAGGCTTTGGTAGTTCCTTCGCTCGCGATGTGGCTAAGAAGATGGATGTCATGCAGACTAGTGTGGAAAAGGTGGAAAAGGCCTTGTACGGTCTGGTTATTCGCGGAAGAGAGCGACCAAAGGGCTGGATGCCCGATCTCGACTCTGGTCCGCGCAGAGATGTCGAAGTTGAAGGTTAAACGCAAGACTGCATTTTGGAAAAGGTTGTACCACTAAATCATGACAGTGATATTATGAGCTCTTGTGGCTATGTACGAACTAAAAACACGGCTCTTGTCGAAAGGCCAACTCCGATCGACTTCAAAACGAAACTTTTACAACTTGGTGCCCAAGTTGACGTGGATGGCCTTCTTGTTGGTGTAGGCATCAAGACCAGCCTCGCCGAGCTCTCTACCGATGCCACTCTGCTTGACACCTCCAAAGGGAATGCGGAAGTCAGAGTCGTTGCTTGAGTTAATCCAGACCATACCAGCCTCGATGTTTCGTGCGACACGGTGAGCCTTTGTGATGTCCTGAGTGAAGACGGCCGAGCCAAGACCATATGTGGTGTTGTTGGCTCTGTCGACCGCCTCTTGCTCATCTTTGAACGATGAGATGACCACGAACGGACCAAAGACCTCCTCCTTGAAGATCCTCATGTCATCCTTGACGTCTGCGAAGATGGTAGGTGCGACAAAGAAACCCTTGCCGTCTTGCTTGCAAGGCTCTCCACCAGAGATCAGCTTGGCTCCCTCAGACTTGCCAGCCTCAACGTAAGACAAAACACGCTCGTATTGCTGCTTAGTGACCTGAGGACCCTGGAAGGTATCCTCCTTGAACGGGTCACCAACAATACTGGTCTCCTTGCAGTGCTCCTTGAATGCCGAGATGAATTTGTCGTAAACGCCATCTTGCACCAAAATACGCGAAGTAGCTGTGCAGATCTGGCCTTGATTGGACATGATGCCGATGTGTGCCCACTTGACTGCCTGATCGAGGTCTGCATCGTCAAACACTAGGAGAGGAGATTTACCACCAGTCTCGAGCGTGATATTCTTGAGGTTGACGGCTGCCATCTTCATAATCTCACGACCAGTAGCGGTGGAGCCAGTGAAAGCAACCTTATCGACATCCATATGCTGCACAAGAGCAGATCCTGCTTCACGACCGTAGCCGTTGACGATGTTGACAACACCTGGTGGGAAACCAGCCTCCTTGATCAAGTTGGCGAGATAAAGAATAGCGAGAGGAGTTTGTTCGGCGGGCTTGAGGACAATGGTGTTTCCAGCAGCAAGAGCGGGACCAAGCTTCCATGCTGCCATGGCAAGAGGATAGTTCCAAGGGATGATTTGAGCGCAGACACCAATGGGCTCGCGGATTGTGTAGGCCAACTTGGCGGGTGTGGTGTCGATAACTTGTCCGTGGATCTTGTCTGCGTATCCGGCGTAGTACTTGAGTGTGCCGATGACCTCGCCCAGATCTTCGTTGAGTGCGACAGAGTACGGCTTACCTGTGCCATGATGTCAGTTGCTGTCCTCGTGTTGTAGCGCTCAGAATATGCTTACCGTTGTCCCATGTCTCAATTGTTGCGAGGGTTTCTTTGTGTTGTTCAATCAAGTTCGCCAACTTGATCATGAGCTCTCCTCTTTCTGTGCTGGCAATTTCTCTCCATTCTCCCTTGAATGCCTTTCTGGCTGCGGCGACGGCCTTGTTGATGTCTTCTGCATCTCCGGCTTCGACCGAGCAAATCTCGCTCTCGTCACTGTGCATTAATGTCAGTCATTGTTCATGGCTCGTTTGGGTCCCCGAGTCGAGGAGTACAAGGTTGCCTGGCTTGGGAAAATAAGAGCCACAGAAGCCTGAGAAATAGAGCAGCAGCGAATCTGTCTACTTCTCTTGCGAACAGCACTCTCTTGTATCCAGAGCCTGGGCAACACAATGGCAAACTTACCTGGGGTTGATGCTAGAAATCTTGGAGCCTTTTGAGGACTTTACCCATTCATTGTTGATGAACAGACCAGTAGGTTGTGTGTACTTGACACCATTAGGTGCCGTAAGCTCAACCGAAAGACCAGACATGTTGCGAGTAACAATCCTAAAAAGCCGAGTAGGAGCAGGGTATCTTTGAAAAGGAAGAGGAGCAGAAAGACGAAGGAGAGAGCGATACATCGAGAAGAGGGGGGAAGACACCTTGTAGATATACGCTTACAGAACTACGTAAGTAGAAAACACTACCGGGCCACACACACCTGATCTCGTACAAATGTTCCTTTGGGTGACGATAAGGCACCTCGGTGCTGTGCAGAAGCTATGGAAATCGCGGCTGCCCCACCAGAAGGTTACTCCACGCTTGGAGGGGTCTCTGACGATGCACTAGTACCCAAAAGAGGAGTTCCAGGCGACCATTGTTGGCAACATGGATAGGGCTTGTCGAAGACAATTTGGGTGATAGTCAGCGTTGTGTCTTGATACCATGTTGCGCTGGTCAGTCGCTGTTACGGTGAGTGGTGATCTGGCTGATCTGACGAACATTGTTGTCTGACAATGATTGGCGATACTTCGAGTCAAAGGCCAGGGTCGCTTTCGACTTCGGCGGAGATAACATAGAGACTGGTCTGTGCTTGACATTTCATCCTAGCCAAACTTGGTCATCATCCCGACCAAAAGATTGGCCATTAACTTTGCGATTGTCATCAGCCATCAGTGCAAGTCTAGGTTAGTGATTGCGGTGATATTCTCAGTAAGAGAACGATGTCGGAGAGTGTAGTGACTGACAGGCCAACCCAGTATCCGTATTCGAATGTTGCGCCGATTTGTTGCATCGGCATCCAGAAAGCCGTTCTCTACCATGACCACATCAATGACACCGATGGAAGATGCCATCAAGCAAAAGGTGTGCATCTTACACTGACGGACGCTCGATACATGTCCTGACGATCATTAGATCACACAAGAATTGAAGCCGACGTCACTCGAGATCTTCAATGACTCTCACAAGCATGCTCACCACAAGGCCATGGCAGGCGTAACCTCCAGAGAGACACATTTCAGGCAAGTAGATCTCATTGAAGTTTCCCAGATTCCAGCATCTCTCTCGGCGAAGATGGACCAGCAACTAACACAACTCCAGAGTCAATATCGTCTCTGATGCTTTCAAATCGAAGATGCAGCCGGCAAGGCACAGAATGGTCTACACGCTTCTAAAGGATGAGATGGCCGTTGAAGGCGGCATTCATGCCCTGCAGCTCAAGACTCGCACGCCAGAGGAAGAAGAAAAGGCACAGGCACGGGAAACATGATCTCACAGGACTATATGTAATCATATCTGGACGTCCACATCGAACATTCTCAAGAACTCTAAAATCAAAAGCCGTTTCATGTGCTACTGTAATAAGCGTGTAAGACCATCGCTCGCTTAGCTAATGTACAAAGTCTGTAGTCTCATGTAGCAACGCTAGGTATAGGTCAAGGTATCTCGCCTTGACAAAGCATAATTGGTCCGGTGCCATCTTTTGTATGTCGCGATTCAACGCCGCATTGGATATCTCAAAGCTTCGAAGTGGAACAGCATTGGGTTGAGCCCATGCCCGAAGAGGTTCGAATTCTCTATGAAGGAGGAAGCTCCTTAGGGATGGGGGAGCCGGTGGAGTTCAGGTAGGAGAGGTAGCAGTTCCAGCCTTGGTGTTGTTAGCAAGAGGTCATGATCAACTTGTAGGAACAGAAAGACATACCCAATGAGACAACGTTGACAACGAGGACTCTGTGGTGAAGAGGCACAAACTTGAAGTTCACAGCCTGAACGAATGGCCAAAGCATCCAGTTCTTGGAGAGAGCGTTCCAGTAGGTGGACTCGATCTTCTTTGAGGGGTCGGAACCCTCCATAATAGCCATGGAGGACAGGAAGACGAACAAGTTGGTAGGAGCGAGGATGGCCTGATCGAGACCAACACGAGCGAGGATCTCCATGTTGGGCGAGCTGGGGATGCGAACACGGCGCTGGAGGAAGCCGAACCAGGTGGTAGCAAGAGGACCGAAGACAGCTGAAGCAACTCAATCAGCTTTGTAGTGAGAGACCGGTATCATTGTATGCGTACCTCCTCCGTAGAGGGCCATGCGTCCACTGCGGGCGAGATCGTGGTTCTTCAAGCCGACCTTCTCGACACCCTGCTGGGCCATGGTGTCACCAGTTGCGAAGAGAACCTGAAATGACTCGTTAACCACTGAAGCAGTCGGGGAGTAATTGCCTGACGTACGGCGGTAGTGACACTCTGGGTGAGCATGGGACGCTGAGCGAGCTTGGTGCCATACCTAAATATTTGTTAGCCTTGAGCAAATAGACACACTGATAGGACAAACCAGCGCATAAAAGAAGCCATTGTAAAGTTTTCTGTTTGTGGTTGTGAAAAAGACGAGGTGCGGTGGATGTAGAAAAGAGAGGCGCTGCGCTTTGAAAGAAGGACGATGAAGAAGTTGTGAAAACAAGCAGTGTACTGAAGGAAGAAGTGAAGCAGTCGTGCCTTCCTGTCGCAAGAGCGCAATGGATAATTGTCACGGATACTTATCAGCGACTATTTACCCGGCGGTCATGACGCTGCCCACCGGGCCGTGCATTTCGGGCACAGAAGACCGAGACAGTGAAGCTTATTAGACTTTTTGCTCTCAGAGCCTCATATCGACACTTTGTCCCTATATCACAGTCCATATCCACCCGTGTGAAGTCTCACTCGGTATAAAGGATGAGCTGGAAGCTGTATGTGTCGCTGTGACACTTGTTTGAGCGCTGCACAAGTCACTCTGCAGCCACTAGTGCACTCGGTTCCTCAGGCTGACTATTCACGATCTCGAACGAGAGATAGGAGGAGATGACATTGACTGACGTGACTGAGCTTATGTCAATCTTTGCCCGTCAGCATATTGACACTGTGTATGTGGAAGAGCATCATCCACACACCCAGTACTCATGCGTTCGTAAGATCTCAGGATGAGTTAATACTTTCACATGGTCTCTCAGTCTCTTACAAAGAACAGTGCATTGCTATCGTGTAGGAATCTCAGTCCTTGACTATGGAAAGAAAGATCATTGACGAGCTTCAGAACATGGCTTGAAAAGAGTTCACCCTAGGTAATCAGTTTTGCGAGCCTCCAAAACATGAGACGTGCGAGACAAAAGCTGAAACATAGTCCATGCGTCATCAGATTCTGGGGTGTCATCACTTTTTTCCATCGCGGTGCTTGCGCGTCGAGCCTAATCAAACCACTCTTGACTTATCCACAACCATATCTTCCAAAACATTCTTTCAGCATGGCAGCACCAAATGGGGCAATGCCTGAGGGCATCAGCTCACTACTGGACACCGATCTCTACAAACTTACCATGCAATGTGCCGTCTTGAAGTACTTCCCCGAGATTGGTATGCGCCTCGGGCATCATGCAGGCAAAGGAGCTTTGTGCTGATGACTTGCGTAGAGGTTACGTATAGATTTACCAACCGTACCGCCGATCTCAAGCTCAACCGACAAGCATATCGTTGGATTCTTAAACAAGTCAGCGAGCTCGCCAACCTCCGCGTCACAGACGACGAGATCAATTATCTGCGCGAGAACTGCTCTTATCTCAGCTCGGAGTACCTCGAATTTCTGCGCACCTTCTCTCTCCGCCCAGACCAACAAGTCGAAGTCTCTTTCAAGCCAACCACTCCTACCGACAGCGAGTCGGACTCAGACGAAGGCGACGTCTCGCTTTTCGTAAAGGGTCTCTGGCTGGAAACCATTCTCTACGAGATTCCACTGCTTGCTCTTGTCTCCGAGGCATACTTCAAGTTTTGCGACAAGGACTGGGACCACGAGGGACAAATCGACAATGCATACGAGAAGGGTCTTCGCTTGCTTGAGGCCGGATGCTCCTTCTCGGAGTTCGGAAGCAGAAGGAGAAGGGATTACAAGACCCACGACTTGGTCATGCAAGGCTTGACACAGGCAAAGGATGAAGCTACCAAGCGCAGCTTCCCGGGCAAGTGGGCAGGCACCAGCAACGTGCACATGGCCATGAAGTACAACGTGCCTCCAATTGGCACCGTGGCTCACGAATGGTTCATGGGAATCGCTGCTATCACAAACGATTACACAAAGGCCAATGAGACTGCACTCCAGTACTGGAGTGGCACCTTTGGCCGCGGAGTTTTGAGCATCGCACTCACCGACACATTCGGTACACCAGACTTCCTCAAAGCCTTCAAGAGACCTGCGCCGCCAGGCCACTCGCGTGATCCTAGCTTGGGCAAGCCGAATCCCAGCTTTGCTGAAGTCTATACCGGCACGCGACAGGACTCTGGCAATCCTTTCGAATTCATCAAGAGGATGCGTGACTTCTATGACGAGATGAACATTACGGTGCCTAAGACTATCGTCTTTTCTGACTCGCTCAACGTCGACCGTTGCATCGAATACATGTATGCTACGCAGGCAGCAAAATTGGTGCCTAGCTTTGGTGTAGGAACCTTCTTTACGAACGACTTCAACAAGAAGAGTTCGGGTGAGAAGAGCGTGCCTCTGAACATCGTCATCAAGCTGTTCGAGGCCGGTGGAAATCCTTGCATCAAGATCAGCGACAACTTGGGTAAGAACATGGGCGATTCAGAGCTGGTAGCTAAAGTCAAACACGAGCTGGGCTACGTCGAGAAGACGTGGTCGGGAGGTGACGAGACGAAGAGATGGGGACCCGCAAAGGAGAGCGCTTAACGAAACCACGGAGCAGCTGGGGCAAGGAAACGGCGTCTAGAGACAGAAGGATGCGAAGATGATTACTAGAAGAGACTGCGGATCAGCAGCGTATAGCATAGCCACGACATGACGAGTTGATGAGCGTAGAAGCAAATAGACTGGCTCAGGCAAACCACATAAAGACCTTTTCGTATTGGCTCACTCGGAGTCGTAAGACAGCGGAATGTCAGATGGTCTATTTAAAAACGGACAATGCGGGCGGTGGGCTCCAGCGGTGCACGGGCCCAGGAACGACTCAGGGGCGGTTTCTTCCCAGTTGCTTTTAGTGTTTCAGCTAAGTAACTCCTGGAAGTAAGTGTTCCTGCCTTTTTATTTACAATCTCACCATCTGCTCCTGGTCTTGCTCGTCTAAGACGAATCGCCTTTTCTCTTCACATTCAAAAGACACACGTCCGCGAGGTGCAACAATATTGTCTACACTGTCCATTCCTCGTCAACAATACATATAATCAGCAAACAACATGGCAGTAAGCACAGACGAGTCGAGTTGGTCTGGGGTATATCGAGTCTGACATGCGACAGTACAACGGCTATGGACAGAGCAACCCTTATGGCTCCAATGCTGGCTATGACACTCCTCCGACATACAGTACGTCTCGTTGATCATACACCCCAAGTTCACCGACTAACAATCACCTCAGGACCTCAGAACGATGTCGAGATGCAACCACTCAACGACCCCTTCGCAGACCCTTACGGAGCTGGTCAACAATCAGATCCTAATGCCATTCTGAACGACTGTCGTGAAGTCGGTCGTGCAATTGACGATGTCGAGGGTCGTCTGCAAGGACTCCAGCGTCTCCACAGACAATTCGTCTCGGGCACAAACTCCACAAACAAGGAAATCGATGCAGCAGGCTCCGAGATCATGACCGCCTACCACGCTCTAGCCGACCGCGTCAAGAGAATCAAGTCCAGACCCGAGTCCAGAAACCCTCGCAATGAAGCTCAGGTCAACGCCCTCGACCGCCGTATCCGCAAGGCAATCAACAACTACCAGACTGTCGAGTCACAGTTCCGCAAGGATGTCCAAGAGCAGCAGCGTCGTCAATACCTCATCGTCAACCCTGACGCTACCGAGCAAGAAATCATCCAGGCCACAGAGTCTGGTGCCGATACACAGATCTTCCAGCAGGCTCTCCTTAACTCGGACCGCCGTGGACAGGCTCAAAGCACCCTGGCAAATGTCCGTCAACGTCACGATGCCATTCAGCAGATCGAGCGTACCATGACCGAGTTGGCTCAGCTCTTCCAAGATCTCGACGAAATCGTCACGTTGCAAGAGCCTATGATTATGAACATCGAGGAAAAGGCCGAAGAAACGCAGACGAATATGGTTCAAGCAAACGAGCACCTCGATGTTGCCACCACAAAGGCAAGATCTGCCAGAAGAAAGAAGTGGTACTGCCTCGGTATCTGCATTGCTATCGTTCTGGTCATTATCATCATCGTCCTCATCTACCTCGGGGTTACTGGCAAGCTCGGTGGTCACAAGGATAACAACAACACAGCTTGAGGCTCATCGACTTCTGTCTACTCGGACTCGCTATCCGATCTTGTCTTTATGATTCTGCAGCGGGCGTTTGGGACAAGGTATTCATGACGATTTGGGCAAGTACAGTACTTTTTTATTTTTATCGAGAGCAGAGATACCCTTCAAATTCAGCTGCTAGTCATACATTCCACTGATCCTTCAATTTGAGTCGACCAATCATACAATTTAGTACTCCATGTCGCTGTCCACGATGTAGTCCTCGTCGTCACTGTCCTCGATGATGATGATATCCTTGTCGACCTTGCTGGATCTAGATGTCACCTCTCTTGGGTACCAGGCCCTGCGCTGCGAGCCTCTGTGCTGCGAGTGTTTGCGCTGTGAGTCCAGCACGAGTACTCCCTCTTCGATATCTGTTTCGAGCTCTTCTTCATCGATAGTGGTATCATTGGAGTGGTCGAGGGAGTCTTCGTCGCTGACATCTTGATTGACCATCTCTTGATTGTTGTCTTGATCGCTTTGGCGGTCGATCTTTGCTTTTTCTTCTCCAAGACGTGCGTCTTTGTAGGTGGTCGATTCGATGGCCCGACTTCTCTGTTTGTCCACTCGACGGTTGACCGACGCGGTCTGGTCAATGTTGCTGGCCGCAGGTGCGCCGAGTCCTAGTTGAACACTTTTACTTAGCATCCTCGTCTGCTTCTGCGCATTGAGATGCCAATTCAGCTCTCCAATTCCCGTCCTCGCACCTGATAAGAATGCCTCTTGGATACGAACCAACCAAGCCTCGTCTACGTTCCTATACTTGGCTTGATCAGTCATCGCATATGCAAACGCACCAGCCAACATCTGCCAGCGCTGCGGCGTCGTCTTCAGCAGGTCAATCTTGAAGCCTCGGATAATCTCAGACACGAAACGTGCGATCACAGCACCGGGAGCACCGGCCGCGATACCAAGTTGGGGCATCATTCTAGCCAGTCCGTCTACAATGCCCATGCTCAAGCCGAGCTTTTCTTTCTTAAAAATTTTGAGAATATGGGTGTTTCCTTTCTTTGTCTTCATTTCTTGGATGCGGAACACGTATTCCATCATAGGATTCCTGGCTAGTGTGGCTTCAAAATCTAAGAAGGAAAAGTCGGCGAGGATTGCTGTATGTGAAAGAGTGGCCCAAATCAGATACTCGTGCGAGGACGGATTCATATATGTGCCATTGTAAAACATTCGCTCTGCTTTGTAGCGTTGATGGAAAGGCAGTGCATGGTAGATTTTAGACTGCGGTATCGCACTGCCTCGAATTATACAGATGCGTGGATTCGCGTTTGACTTTGCGGCTAGCCGCAGCGCAAAGAAAAGGTTGGAAGTTGTAGAGATTAACTCGGAGGAGAATCGTACTTTGTTTAGATGGTGAAGGATAGTTGCGAACAGACGATCGTCTGTACAAGGAGGTGGGGATGGAGGAGGAACGGTAAGGTAGGCGTAGTAGCCTGATAGGAAGCCATCTTTAGTCCTACAACCTTGGCTGTCATCGTCATAGAATCGAAAAAGGAGTTCGGGTACTGCTGAGTGTGCTTCCTCGGATGTGATAGGATTATTTACGATCAGATCTTCGTCTGTTGCTCGGATAATAGGAACTTGTTCTCCAAACATCGTACGAGTTCTGTTTGTAGAGATCAGGTCTTCGGGGAATCTCTTGAAAACTTTCCGAGAGGCAATTGTGATTCGCGGTGATGGTTGAGTCGAAGCGATGGTGTTTCTTCTCGGGGCATCAATTACTACGGAGACGGATGTAGTAGTAGTAGTAGCAGAATGTCGGCGTCTGTTGTTGAGTAGCGTTGGCTGGCCAGATCGAACAGTACTTGCAGTAGGTAGAGCAGCGGCAGATGGAGGACTTGCTGTGATGTCGATCGAGCGTAATTTCTTGGTGACCCATTCAAGTTCAGATTTATGAGAGGCTTCCGCCAACTGCCATGCTGCACAAGAAGTCCTGTAAGATTTGCTGTACTGAGCATTGATGGCGCTTTTCGACAAGCCGTCTGTGAAACCTCTGGTTCGGAGCTCCTCGTGGAACAGTTTGTTGAAAGCCGACGCGACGTTATCTTTGTCTATATCGCTGGTGTAGAGCACCAACAAAGCCTGGCGATGCTTGTGAGACCAGGAGAACTTTGGCGATCGAGGTGAGCTGGATGACTTCGGAGACGAAGTCGGTGTCTGTGGCGCCATAATTGGAGGAGGTAAAGCTGTGCTGGTTAGCAAGGGAACTGCGTCTGGAAATCATGGATGCTTACTTGCGCCCAAGCAAAGTTCTCTAGGCAGCAGATCACCAGATAAGAACGAAAAGTGAAGTGACGAGTGACAAGCAAGGAGTGACAAGTGACAATCGTTGATGGAGGAAGTTGAGTTACAAGATTACCAAAGCTTAGTAGTTCGTCCTTGTCTTTAGCACAGTGAAGAATAGTCGTCGCTCTGATGAAGATAGGGTAGATAGCATGGAAGAGCAAGTGAAACACTTTTGGGAACCGCAAGCTAGAGACATGGCAAGTGACTGAAATTAGTGATGTAGCAGACAGTAAAGACGATTAGTCTCGGTGAACTGCCTTGTATTACTTGGACATCAAGAGAAGATGTAGGTCCAAGAGTAGGGGACGGGCTCCTGATATATTTGTCGAGCTGTTTGGGAAGCTTGCTGTTAAACTTCAACATTTTGCTCAAGGGTCCACTTTGTGGAAACGAATGTTCATTGGCGCGATGACGGTGAATTGAGCAAAAACTTGGCAAGTGTATCACCGATATTCGCGGAGGAAGAGACCAGAGGCGGATAGTCTGCCGCCATCTCTTGTCGATGGCACCTGGACCCAGTTCACAACTGTCGTTGATTTCGGTGTTCGTGCTGAGATTGATGGCCATTGGTAGGGTCGCCTGCCATTGCCAGTACAGGCCCGGTACTGCTTGTGGTGTCGAAACATATGGTGTTGCTGATAATGAAGGTACTGCCGGGTCTGAGGATATCGCTGGAGCTGAAGCCGTTGCTAGGGCCCGAGGCCCGAATACGTGTTGTGAAAGAGTAGCCATGGATTCTGGACTCCAACCTTCATGTGGCATAGGCAGATGGATTTGATCGCCTGTATTCATAGTCAGCGAATGGAGGTTGAATGCATTGACAAATACTGACAATATCCGTCCTGCTGCAGCAACGACAGACTTGTAGCGATTATCAATTATGTCTGATTAGTCCTTTATCAGTGTGTCAACGACCACGGCGTGAGAAGTATTGCGATGATGTGAATCAAGATGGAGAAGATACTGTTGTGGTTGATAAGCTGCACAGATGATGTTGGTACGATGGGGTAGAACCGTGGATTGTTCGAAGCGTGTCTTCCCGTTTGCTGAGTTAGGCAGTTGCAACAACGGCAGGAATGGCAGTTGCGATTGAGAATTACGCATGCTCTGTGAAGCACGCTCGGGATTTGTCAAATTCTGTCTTCGACCCGTAGAAAGGCAAGTCTGTAGTATAGAAGAATCTATTAACCTATTGAAACTTTTATGTGTTCGATCTGAATTAGCACATCGAATTATATCGATGGCTATCTGTTGCATGTAATCGTCATGTCCTTATCGGCCACTCACCTGCGTAGCAGAGGTGACCTAAGCGTTCAACTTGTCCTGAGACAGAGTCTTGACCTTGTCGTCGAACAGCTTCTCGGCTTCCTGCCAGACTCTTTCGCTCTTTCTGTCCTTGAGGGTTCTCAGACTTGGCAGCAGAGCATCGCTGAATGCTTCTGAAGCCTCGCGGGGCAGGAGGGAGGGCAAGTGGTCAATGGAGATGACGCACAGCGGTGGGCCGGTGGTGATGTTGACAGGCACTGTGGGCTTGTCGAAAGTGGTGTTGATGTCGTAGATGGGGATGGGGTTGTGAGGATTTGTGGTGTCACAGCTGACGTCGCAGACAACGCTGAGCTTGCGGTCTTCGGAGTTGAGCTGAGCAGGCTCGATGAAAGGAGGGATGGGTTGTGAGAGGTAGATGCAGTTGACGAAGATGTCGCTGTCGAGGATCTCGGGGTAGGGACCAGGGCGGTTCTGGGTCTCGGCCATGTCCCACTTGACGATGTTCTCCTCAGGCACGCCGACCTTCTGGAGCAGGTCAACGGCGCCTCTGCCGCAGCGACCCAAAGCACCCATGACCAAAGCTCTAGGCTTGCGGCCAACCTTCTGTTCACCCTTCTCCAAGCTCTTCTTGACATCGGCAACAAGCAGGCCCTCATTGGCGAAAGGCTTGACGCCCTCCAGAGGCTTGCCGGCACCCTCGATCAATTGGTGAGCCCAGGCCTGGACAGCCAATGCAGCGCCGGCGAATCCGGCGTGGAAACCGAAAGCAGCTACGCGACGGCCCTGCTCGTCCTGCAAGAACTCAAGATCGTAGAGAGTACCGCCGCCGCGAGGGAAACGGGCGAGGACCTCCTCCCAACCACCTTGGTTCTTGTAGCAATGTGCGAACTGAACGTGTGTGTGCTTGAGGGGGAAGGTCTCCTCGGGGAGCTCCTTGAGACCAACGATGATGTGGTCGGAGGGGGCTTCGATCCAGCTGCCCTCGGGCACCATGTTGGCGCCGACCTTTTCGAACTCGGAGTCGGGGAAGATGCTTAAGCTGCTACGTTCTATGTTGACAAGATAGCCTTCATCCATCAAGGCCTTGGCTGTGGTAGGGGTCAGCGCTGAGCGGTGCTCGAGCGGCTTGGTCTGTGAGATAGCGTGTCAGTGATTGGTGAGGTGCTAAAGCTGCTGTCACAATTGCCATACCTCTGCGCGAAGATGTAGTGTGGGATACGACATGGTTGGTGTGGAATTGATGTGTGAAGGTGGAAGAAAGATTGAACAAGTGTTTCTGTTGAACAAAAGCTGAAGAGGGTCCAAGCAATCGCAGCGCGTGTGAGTCAATGGATAGCGAAGGGCCAAACCGGGGATCCTTTTGTGGGCAAGTCACGTCAGAAAGCCCGACACCGGCTTTCACTTTCCAATCTCAGAACCAACCAGGAGCACCTTGATGTCGAGCGATGGTGACACGCGGAAAGCTCTGCAACATCGATATTACACACCGAGAACATGAGTCGAAGCAATTCAGAAGCCACCGAGTATCTCACCGCTCTACTGAACAAGAACCTACGTATCCATACCACCGACTCTCGTATCTTCGTCGGCACCATGAAATGTACCGACCAGGTAAGACCTCTTGGGCGCGGTTTTCATTCTTCCTTCTGACTGTGGCAAAGGAACGCAATATTATTCTATCATTGACGCATGAATATCGCAAACCGCCGCCAAGTGTGGTTGAGGATGCTGCACACCAGATGGATCTCGAAGGTGCGACTGGCAATGTGAAGGTGGATATGGTCAAGAGATTTGTTGGCTTGGTCGTCGTGCCAGGCAGATATATCACCAAGATCGAGGTCGAGGAGTGAGGCAATCATGCCTTGGAAGAAAGAAACAATGCCACTGCTTCCGGGTCATTCAATTGAGCTGTATAGCAGGCCGCTCCACATGTACGAGCATGTGGAGACCGCGCAAACCAGCACTCCCGGGATCCTTTGGACGTCGCTGAGCTTGGGAACGATTGACTACCTTGCAATCACGATGGTCAAGAGATGTTCGTCGACGCGCCCAAGCAAACGAACAAGATCACAGGAGGACGAGGCAGTCTCGATCACGAGTCCATGCAGGAAGTCGCGCGTTGGATATGTGCTTTCCGGTCTTCCGACTTAATCCGCACACATGTGTGCTTGGACAAGCATACTCAAGAAAGGGAAGGTGCAAGCATACAATACTCTAGCCCCTAAGACGCCTCGCTTCCAACACCCCTATTGCTGCCTGTCGTAAATGCATCCAAGCCGCTCACGTACGCATTATATGCAAATTCATGTCGCTCTTGCTCAATGCTGCTCATCATCATCACAATTTGACTCCCCAAACTCCTCTGCCGGCGCAGACACCAAGCCAATCGCCACCTTGTCCGGTCAGAGCGCTTTGCGGTGCCCAAGAAACGTTGTTAACCTCGTAATCACTTCTCCAGCTTGCCGAAGGTCCCTTGGTTTGCGCTTCGCCTTGGACCCCTCCGTTGACACTGGCTCCGTTGCCCGAGTTGAGCAGATCCCAAACAAGGACTTGGCTATCATCGCCACCACTGGCAAGCATGCCTCGTCGGCTAGGGTTCCATTCTATTGAGTTGAGTGCAGCTGAATGCCCACGGAGCTCGAGAAGGGCAGTGCCAGGTTGTCTGGCATCAAGGATGCGTACAATGTTAGAATCCGCAGCAAAAGTCGCCAAAAGATGAGCGTCATGTGGTGAAGCGGCAAGACGAAGGAGTGGAGGAGATGCTGGCAAGTTTGCAGCCGATGATTTCGTTGGAGACGCCGGCAATGCCGCTGTTGTGGAGTTAGTCATATTCGCACCAAGCTTTGGGGTTGAGTTCAACATACCTTTGTCTTTGTCTGACTTTTCCGACGGCTCGTAAATGATGGTGCTGTGCTCCAGACTTCGCAAATCAAACATGCGTACACTGCCATCAGCACCACAACTGACAAAGACGTCAACGCTGCCGGCGCAGAATCGCACGTCGAAGACCTCTTTATCGTGTGCGATCAGCTGCGTTTTCGCGGTAAGTGTAGGGATATCCCAAATGGTGCAGGTCGTGTCAATGCTTGATGTGATTATGAGTTTCGGTGACAGGGTGTTCCAATCAAGCGATGTCAACGGAGCAGTGTGTTCGGGAGATTTTGAGTTTGAGAGTAGCGCCAGAGGCTGGAGTTTTTGAGTGGGCTGCTCGCGAGTGTTGACCGAGGCTGATCGATTGATGTTGTTCGACGGGATAGCGGGTTGTGAGGAAGATGGGAGGGACCATAGGCGCAAGTGGTCGCCCGAAGTAGCAAGAAGGTCAGTAGACTGCTTGGACGACGATGGCGGCTCCCAGGAGATGCGCGTGACAGGATAGGCACAAGTGGCTTCTGCGACCTTGACGAAGTCGAGGCCGTATGCAGGACCGCCCATGGTCGACTGGTCCTGGGGCGCGATCTGCGTATCGACGATTTGGATCTGCGTATTCGGTCAGCAGGACGTTCTCTTCAAGCAGGGCGTGGATGCGCAACATACAAAGTTATGAGGATCCTCGAGGTAGCTACCGATAGCCATCTTTCCGCAGCTGTTGCCATTGGGCACCGGCCACTTGCACCAATCGAATGAGTAAGCGGCCCAGGGAGCGATGTAGCTGGAATTTGTCTGACTAGGACCATAATCGTAGGCAGGGCCAGATTGCATGCCATGGCGATTTAGCAAATCTGAATTGGTACGAGGCCGGATATCAGCCAGACCCAGGGGAGAATGGCTTGAGGAGGGAGTGACGGAGTTGTAGCCCTTGGTTGGGGTAGTGGAGAAAGCAATGTACTTTTGGTCCAGACCGGCAGGACTCGAGCGCGAATGGCTATGTTGAGGATTGAGAGTGGGTGGGCGCGGGGTGTATTGCTGCTGGTTGGTATTGATAGGAGGAGGCATGGTGGGGACCGTCTGCGGAGCCGAATAGGTTGTCGCACTAGTCGCAGGTCGCGAGGACGAGTTTGCGCCCGGCAGCAGGGTGTTCGGGAGGGTAGACATGGAGTGCTGTTGTTGTTGCGACGATGAAGGAGTCGGGGGGAGGATGTTGAAGTCGCTCTTCTTCGGCGTCTGTGTTTCGAGGCCGGACATGGCACTGCTCGCCGATGCCGTCGATGCTGAAGCTTGTGCGCGGTTGGTGGATAGAGCTGGCGGCGACGCGATCTGGCCTGTAGTCTGTTGCGATGCTTGTTGGTGGTGAGGATGAGGTTGCGCGTGGTTTGGATAATGTTGCTGCTGGCGCTGCATGTCGGCCATGGACGCTGAACTCGGGCTTCCTACAGCTCCCATCGACGCCGCGCTTAGCCCGAGCCCCGTTGCTATGCTTTTATTGGAATGCGACATCGATGCGGACTCGATCGTTCCCTTTTGATCTCTAGTATCGATCAAATGTCTGCTGCACACAAAGAGTTCAAAGAAGCTAGGCTCTCGCTGCCTCGCTTGGTCCCTGGTTCATTGATCGTTCGCACGGTCACAACGACTCGATACAGAACGTACCGCCGTCGAAGTGTGGAGACGGACTCCATCATCATGGGTGGTGCTCTGTCTTCTGTTTTTATCCTTGTCATCAATCATTTGAAAACTTCAGAATCGATCCTCTTCAGGACCAGAGTGTTGAACTGCTTCTCTATCTGTCGACTTGATCCTAATTGTCAACATGGATGACGCTGCGAGTTTCCTGCTTCTGCTTCCGCCTCCACCATCACCTTCAACCATCCCCGCTCTCAAGGAATTGTATGGCGATACACTTACTCAGGTCTTGAAAGAGGCAGATCTTGCCTCCAAGGACTCTGTGCAACCATCTGTCCTTGACATTGCTTTGGCCATCCCTCACTTGACTGCTCAAGCTGCCATCCCAAGGGCCGAACTATATGCTCCAACTCAGACCATTCTCGCTGCAGTCTACAAACTCATCTGCCTGATTGCTGCACAAGAGAAAGTCAATGTTGAGGACGCAGATGGTGTCGACGTCCGTATTCTTCCAGTTGCGTGGTCAACCCAATCGACTTTCGATGCTTCTGCTTGTGCCACATCCTATGGTCCTGTACTTGACCTTCAGTCTCTTGCTGCCAGTCAACGTCCATGGCAGTATGCTTTCGGCGTAGAGAATGAGCAAGGTGAGGTCTTTGTTCGCGCTTTTGTTGCTGCCAAGCAGGCAGCAGCCGGACATCATTGCGATTGTCATCCAGCCTCTGGAGCATCAAGACCTGCTGCGACTCCTCGGTTGTCTGCCAAGGAACACCATCATGTTGCTGTCGGGGGCACTTTCGATCATCTGCATATTGGTCACAAGCTCTTGCTTACCATGACCGCATTTGCCCTCGACCAGACCCAGGCTGAGTCTGTCCTGACGATAGGCATCACAGGCGATGAGCTACTCAAGAACAAGAAGTATGCCGAGCAATTGGAGAGCTGGTCCGATCGACAATCGTCCGTCCACCGTTTCCTTGATGCTATATTGAATTTCGCTTCTGCTGATGCTGCACAACCTACAATGGAAGAGATACACGGGCCAGGTCCAAATGGACATGCAGTCAACATCAAGTATCCTAATGGTCTGAGTGTGCGTTGCGTCGAGATCTGGGATCCATACGGTCCGACAATCACTGAGAAAGACATCTCCGCTCTCATTATCTCTGCGGAAACTAGAGCTGGTGGCAGTGCGGTCAACGATAAGCGTATTGAGAATGGATGGTCCCCACTGGATGTTCTGGAAGTCGAGGTGCTAGACTCCAACGAGACCTCAAGTGCCGTATCGCAGCAAAACTTCGAGGGCAAACTTAGCAGCACCGAGATCAGAAAGAAGCGTGCACAGAAAACATCATCATTATAGCGAGAGAAGCGATCACATGAAGCCTGCCCGGACGCACTGGGCTAATTTATGGCTTGTACAGACGAAGCTGGTCATGCTCGCATAGCAGGGCAGGCTTGCTCTCGCTCTTTCGAGTCAGAGTCTACACCACAGCATCTTTCATGGTCACCGCGATTTAAATGCCGTGTAACGGTGTAGTATCAGGTTGGTCCTGGCAGTGTGGAGCAGCCAGCGTGCCATGGTATGTGCATGATCGAAACACAGGTTTATCTCATGCAGTTCGACTCTTAGACTAGATTCGTCACACTGAAACTCTTTCCGTTCGTGTTGTGCACTTACAAAGCGCCATGCGAAACGAACTGCATACTGAGCCCAGGATTTCGTCAACTGCAAAATTCGTAAGATTGACAGTGTTCTCATTCAGCAATACAGATTGAGTCGTCAGAACACATTTTGCATTTCAATCAAAAGTCTTTTATGACCTTGGTCTTGGTAGTATGTGCCTGACTGCTATTGTAGCGCATTCGAACATTCATTGGTAGAATGCAGAAAGTGCAATCAGCCGAAAGCAAACCTGAAGGGCCCCGCTTCCAGCGACCCTGCCACAATCTCCTCCGGTGCCAGCGAAGCGACCTGCATGAAGAGCTCCGTATTATTGCCGCCTCTTGCTCATATCACAATCACATGATCTAATTCTTATGCAGTGATGGCCCGGTCCGATCTTGACGGGCATAACTCTCTGGCCTGTCGGCGTGTTGGTGGCGTCCCCTCGCTCGAGTATCCAGATGCCAACAGAGATCCACGACAACGCACCCACCTGACCACACGAAAGCTCTCTGCGGTGCCGACCGCAGTCGTCATGTGCTGCATCTTGCCTAAGAAGTCCTTGTCTGTCGTGTGCTTACTCTAATTTCGACTCCATCTCATCCCTCACCGTGCCAGACACTCCGATATAATGCTCTACGGGGCAAACTGAAAGTCTGCCTAATCAACACTACATCAGCACTGATGACGCCGAGCTGCGCGACAGCTGGTTATCGAGGGGCGCTTGACCTTTCCAACGAGCTGCTCCACGATATTTTCGATCTCATAGCCGCCGACCCCGAGAGGCTTGTGAGTGTGGACAAGCGGGCATATCTCTCTCAGGAGAGCTTCAGACCAGAACCTCTACCTTCTCAAGACCAAGTCGTGAACATTGGCAAATTTAGATTGCTCTGTCGAAGATTCGCTGCTCTGGGAGCCTCTCATCAATACGCACGTGTCACGACGAGATTCTCATCCAAGGGGCTTGCAAGGTTAGAGGCCATTGCAGACCAGCCACACCTAGCAAAACACGTCAAGAAGTTCAGCTACAAGGTGCCATACTTTTGCACTCAAGGTACCAAGAAGGTATCTCTAGTGATTCTTTCAACATTTCACTGATATCAGCCAAGGACGAGAAAGTATACTATCGCTAGACCCTCAAGTACAACAGACTATCGGCAAAAGCAATATCGAAAGGTTTCGCTCCAAGATCTATGAGCAGCAAAAAATTGTCAAGAGCAAGAGAGATGTCGAAGTGTTAAAAAAGGCAATGAAGGCATTTGTCGCTCTGCAGCATGTCCAGATCCTACGAGTGCAAGACCAAGAAGACGAAAACCTGCTAACGTTCATTCGCTATCACCAAAACATCCCTCACTTCGTCGAGCTCAAATGGGCACCAGCTTGTGCACATAGTGCGAGAACTATCGGGAATGCACTTCTGGATGCCCAATCATCGTGTTCTCGATTCTCCTCACCAATGCTAAGTCCACAGAGCGCTCTGGTTCTGGCAGAGAATCCTACAGGATCCTTCTCCACGCTAGCAGAAAGGCTGACTTGTCTGGAACTGCACTTTGATGATGGCTACTTTGACGACGGCACAGATCTCGAAGTACGCATGTACCAACTGTCACCTCTCTTCCAAACAGTCTTTACAGCAGCGGTAAATATGGAAGCCATCCACGTCGGCTTTCCTTCTCATCGCCCCATTGGTCTCCCTCTGGAGACAATTTTCCATAATGTGCGTTGGACTAAATTGATAGCCTTTGGCATCCAAGGCTGGCGGCTCCACGAAGAGGAAATCATCCAATTCGCCCAACGACACAAAGATAGACTGCGCGGTCTCAGATTGCGCGATGTTATGCTCAGAGAAGGCAGTATGTGGAAAAACATACTCTCCTTCTTGCACACTGAAATGCGAAGACTGGATTGGGTCAGTCTGCGTCGTATAGACTATACATCTCATTTCGACGAACTCTGGCAAAACGCAGGCATAGAGCTTCCCGACGACCCGCCCGGCGGCCTCAGCTCCAGCGACTCTGACTCCGATTCCGACAACAACACAGAAGACCTCTACTGGTCCGACACCTCCCCCCACCTCCAACCCACAGAATCCCCCGACTGGGACAGCGTCTCCCACCTATCAAACATCTCCGACTCCGACCATGCAGACTCAGACGACGAAGACCGCGGCAGAGCCGCCCATGAAATGGATTTCCCAACCCTAAATTCCTCGCCGGATACACCAAATTCAGCGACTTGGTGTAATTGCAACGGAAGAAGTTTTCCAGTGGGCGTGGAGGAATTGGGTGATGATGGTGTTTCTGTGGATCATGACAAGTGGAAAATGTGGGAGAAGTGGGTGTTGGGCAGGTGTCCGGAACATGGTTGTTAAAGATGATTGTGGGAGATTGCTATACGATTCGTGAAGTGTTCTACTATATCTGTTTGGGGGAAGCAAGGGCAAAAGCATCATCATAGTCTAGGCAGGTTTGAACATGTTTACACGGTGTGTGATACGTCGTCCAGGCTTACCAGCCGCAAACCCGAACCATTCTCATGCAGCTGGAGTAGGTGCATCATGTATCAAGTCACGAGAGTCACAGCGGAACGGCAAATGGTGCAAAAGATCTTTCTCATTCGGGTCCAAAATATAGTATACATCAAGCTTTTTCGTTAGCGATCGAAGAAGCCAACCCCCCTGAAGCACAAGAAACTCCATTTATGCGAAAAGGGCTTCCATGTCCTTCATCGCTTAATCATATCCTGGACCACCATCTGCTGCAGGAGTCTCGGCACTCCAAGCTCCAGGTGTTTCTGGGAACGCTCCTGGTGTAGGTGCCGCTGCTGGAGTACGGTATTGACCATAGCCGGGAGTGGGCTGGTCCAAATTTCCAGGAGTCGGCGCGCTGTTGAAGCCTGGTGTGGGAGCGTCCATGCCGTAGGCAGGTGTCTTTGAGCCAGACTCGTATGCTGTGCCTCCGGCGTGGAAGGGTGTGCGGGTGTTTGGGTTCCATGTGCCCTGTATCTGTTTAGTTTATTGCTTTGCAAATGTCATGAAGAACAACTTACTCCTCCATATGCGGTGCCACCGCCATAAGAAGTCTGGCCTCCATAAGACGTTTGACCTCCGTATGCTGTTTGACCGCCATATGCTGTGCTGCCACCTCCTCCTCTTTGCCAGGCAGGAGCACTGCTGACTCCACTACCACCATAGGCAGTTCTGCCGCCCGCTGCTTGACCAGCGCCAGCCCATGCAGGTGTACGGCCACCAGCTGCTGGCTTCCAAGCAGGAGTGCGTCCTCCGTCTGATGGTCTGGGCGTGGCTCCGAATCTACCAGGAGTTGCACCTCCCCATGCCGGCGGTCTACCACCAGCGCCACCAGCCGGCGGGCCGCCAGGACGTTGGCCTGCGCTCTGCTGGATGACAGCACCAGTGATGGGGTCTCTGACAGTCAGGAACTCTTTCGAGATGGAGATGATCTTCTTGCTACCATGGATCTCTACACGCGCATGAGTGTCTGTGCTGTCTTTGACAATACCCAAGAGACCCTTGTGAGGACCTCTGCGAATGGTAATTGTCTTGCCGATGAGTCTGTCACGACCCATTTGACGTGGCGGGGGCATAGCTTGAGCTTGCTGAGCGCCAGGACGCTGCAGTGCTGGGTTCATCTTCATAAGGCCAGCCTGTGCCGAGGCAACTCGCCCGCCCTTGGCTGCAACAGTCTTGACACCATTCGTGCGAACAACGAAGACACCAGCGTTGTCTGTTTGTTCTCTATTGTGTGCGAAAAGGAAGTTGCGATGGATGTGAAGAACACGACCTTGTTTGCCCTCACCGCCTTCCTCCTTGACAGTATCATCGATGTGAATCTCGGAACCTTCACGATCTGTCGCGACAGCATTCTTTCGGCGTTCGAGCTTATTAGAAATATTTGACGGAAGCAGAGATCTGACAGCACCGGTCTGATCAAGCACACGAAGAGATTCGCGATCGACCTTGATGACGACAGCCACTGTTGCAGCATCAAGTTGGACCAGCTCGTGCAGGTCGTATTTTCCAACTCCAACCTGACCACCAGAATCGGTGGCTACACGCAAGTCTTTGCTAAAGACGGTGATCTCGGTTTGGTTCGAGTCGGTCAAGATTGTGACACGGTCTTCGACAATCTTGACAACCATACCGACCTCATCGAAGTACTTGCTGCCACCAATGACCTTGACATGATCACCTTCTCTAAAGAGCTTACGTAGGCCTTTGACGGGAGATTCGATAATCTGACCAGAAAGCTCACCAGCGGATACCAGAATACGCACAATGTCAGAGTGGACCGAAACAGCCTTGCCAACGACTCCACGCTGTTCACCTTGCCAGATTTCGACATGATCGCCAGGCAGGAAAGCACCGGAGCTGTTACTTTTGATGGTAGCAGCGAGAGCAGACAAGTCCAGGTTTTCGGTTCCATCCTCGGCATCGGCAGCGAATTTGGTGACCTCCTCCAGGGTAGGGTTGACGTCCTCGGATTGCAGATAGTTGGCCTTGAAATCTTTAATTAAGAAGCCATCCACGTATGTGTCGTTCATGTAGGTCCAGGTGTTTGCTGTGAAGCCAGTGCCTTTCGTCAAGTAGCGGCCGTGGCGTTTTCTTGCCTCGTTTTCGCTGAAGAGACGCTGTGGGGGACGAGGACCAGTGTTGGCGCCGAATCCAAAGCGTTTGCGTTTGTTGTCTGCAGCGGCATTGATGTCCTCGTTCAAACCATAGTCCAGACGAGGGATGAGACGAAGAGTGACTTCTGTACCGTTCGATTCGACCTCATCGATCTGGGCCAAGTCACCAGCATACTTGCCGCGCTTGACACGCACGTACATGCCAGGCTCAAGCGACTTGCTCTTGCGAGTACGGAGAAGATCGGGCATCTCAGTAATGGGTACCATCATCGGCTTGGTGCCCATGTAGACGTTCTGCAGACCCTCCAGTGCACTTGTGACATCTTCGACCACTCTGGCTTCGCAGTAAAGGTTTCCAGCCATGACGCCACCTCTTTCAAAGGCCGAGATCAGCTGCAATGGCTCTCTTGTGCCTGCGCGATCCTCGATACGCTTCATGATGGCGAAGACAACTTCACGTTCCTTTCCAGGCTTGCACTTGAGTCGCCAGATATGCGGGTCGTCGACACTGGGAAGTAGTAGGCGCTGAGGCACAACGGCCGAGTCGACGTTAGCAGCTCTGTTCCTTCCGTATCGCTCCTTCAAAGCCTGAGCTTGTTTCTCGGCATCCATACTAGCAGCCAGATCGCGCTGTCTGTCGAGCTCACGATGCTTGCGATCATCGCGCTCGGCACCGGCGGGAAGCTCGAGCAGGTCGTCGGGGTGCATCTCCTCCCCAGCAATCTCATCATCCTCATCGGGCTCCTCCTCATCTTCGTCGTCGACTTCGGCTTCGACATCAAGGAACTGGTTACGAGGGCCCTTGCGGCGACGCTTGCGAGTGTGACCCTAGAAAGAGTGTCAGTAGTGTATATGTGAAGGTCGGTTATAAAAACGCACTATGTCTTCGTCCTCATCGTCATCGTCGTCGTCCTCCTCTTCATCGTCCTCTTCTTCTTCGTCGTCGTCCTGGTTCGTTGGTCGGCGAGTGGTCGGAGCAGCGTCCTCTTCCTCATCGTCGCTTTGCGCAGACTGGCGACGAGGATTGGGCTGAAGATCATCGTCATCGTCGTCATCCTGATTGTTGGCTTGTCTTCGATTGGTGTCATCGTTGTTGGTGGCCTCGTCGTCTGAGGCATCGGCAGGAGCGGGGTTGAAATCATCCTCCTCATCAGAGGCATCGCCAAAGTCTTGGTTGAGAAAGTTGGACATTGTTCGTGATGCTGCGTGGAGAGAGCGACGCGGCGACGCTGGGAAGAAAGTTGGTGTTCAGTAGGTGATTGTGAGAGTTTGTGAAAGAGTGACGGGCGGAGAGGGGGATGGTCGAAAGGTAAAGGATCGGCAGTGAATGGCCGTGTATATTAGATGATGGTTGTCGGGCGGTGGAGTGATAATATCGTGTAGCTAACGCTGCTCTGCTCTGCTGGCAGGAGTCTCCCAAAGCGTCCAATGCTCGAGCGGATCTTCCCGCCCCGTCACCCAAGCACCAATGCTCTTTCTTTGTCCACGCAGCTTCTTTCACTTTTAACCTGCAAATGCCACCTTAGCCTAGGGCTTGTTTCATGCGGCAGTAGCTTGCAGAACCAGAAGTCACGACCTGGTAGTCTTTGGTCAAGTCTTGTCCTCGCCGTAGTAAAGCACACAGTTTGCTTTGTTTGCAGGCCCGCCCATCCTTGTGTTCACATGATAGTCGACACTCGATCACGAACACAACAACAGTAGGTGTCTTTGTTTCTTTCACAACGCTTCTCACCAGGGATACATGTGGCTCTTGACCTGCCATCTCACACCAAACAGACATGGAGAGGTAAACTCGCTTTTGGTTACATCGACGTCACCCACTGACTTGTCGCAGTTCATGGATCTCTAATGCGCTTCCTCGCTATTCTCCCTCCTCTATCTCTCCGGAGAGTCGACGCCGTAACAAGAATCCTCGATGGCGCACGCCCTCTCCCATGTCTGCCTCGGCCGTCCCTCCGCCTATCGTGAACAGCATCTACGTACCATCTTCCCAACCTTCCGCCAGCCACACCATGCATACCGACGACAACCTACTGCTCTTCCGAAGGAAACAATGCGAGCTTGAAGCTCATCTACAACTGCTTCTCGATGCTCAGGCCGATGCTCTCCTCTCTGGTCTGGATACCCCCCTTACCGAAGACGATGCTCTCTCGACGGGTTCTAGCACCCCGACCGCCAGTGCCCTGAATTCAAAGTCTCGTCCGTCTACGAAACCTGAAAAGATCGGCCTTCGCCATGCTAGGGTCGGACTGTATGCTACCATCCGTCGCCTGGCCCAGTTGAAGGCGCAAGAATCACAATACCTGGCTCCCAGCTTAGACCACTTCGCTTCCATCGTTGATCAACTCGACGTATGGCAGAAGAAGTCGAATGCCTTGCGTTCACGTGCTAATCAGATCCGCTCTGGAGACGATCACAAACGCGCTCTCGACTTGCACAAACAGGCCGACGACATGCAGATTGAGATTTGCGAACTTGAGGCTAGACTTTCGCGCTTGAAAGGAGACCAGCGCAAGTTGAGAGCTGAAGCACAAGAGATAGATAATACTGTTGATGCACGCCTGACATCTTACACGACTAGTCTTGCCTTGGTTGAAGATTCTGTACGAGGCTTCCTCCATGATGCTTCCTCGAGCCATCGGAATGCTATCATCAATGTCATCGACATGGAGCGCTTCTGGCAAGCATCACCTCAGAATCGCACTCTGACATCTGCAAAGGGTGTGTTCAGTCGTGAGCGAGACTCATTGCTCGAGAAGCGTCGCATCAGCGACACCGAGCGAGAGGCTCTTGAAGAAGGTGCTATTGTCTGGAGAGATGTCGTGAAGCAAGTTTCCACATTTGAGCGCACACTTGCCAGAGCCATGTCGCAAATGAGTAAACAGTCGCGACCACAGTCTGACTCTCCCACAGAGACGAAGGAACTACTCAACATGCTTGAGCAAACCACAACAGAGCTTGAAAGTAAACATAAGCTTGCCGAGGCGCGCAATTGGAAGCTCTTAGTCGCGGCGATTGGCGCCGAGCTTGAGGCCTTTTTGAAAGGGAGGCAGATCCTCGAGGCTGCTCTCGCATCAGTCAGTGGTGAACCGGATGCTGAGGATTCGAAAGGAACGTCGAGCAGTTCTGGATATTTGGAAGGCGCTCAGACACCCAGAGGTGGCAAGCATGATGGAGGTGAAGCAATCCGCGATTTGGACAAGGCTTTCGCGGCAAAACGTCCTACCCCTAGCATTTCGGACACAGATACAGAAGACGACGGACCTGATCCTGAGCTCCTAGTATCGCATCAGGATACAGATACGGAGTAGTGAATTGTTTGCGCGTCGTGGACTGTGACACCCAATAGATCATTCCGGCTAGGCTTGAGGGACGTTTGATATGAATCACATGAAGTTACGACCATTGTCTATCCTGACCACACAGTAGCGTTATTATTTCCGTGAGACTGACCATTAACGAGTATGGATACGAGATCGCTTGACTTGACTGTGTTTGCTAGTCATTGACAGAGAATATGACCGACCGAGGTTCCGCGGCACAACCACCATCACCATCGATCCTCCTGACTTTTTGGTCCACCCGATGCACAACCAATATACTTAACATCCAGAGAACAACACCTTCGACATGATAAAAACTGCACCATGGCAGATAACATACCTGCGTACTGCTTCACAATCCCATCAGTGTCCGATAGCACCATTTTAGATTGCCGGATCTATCACCCTGTCTCCTTCCAAGATCCGACTACGCATCAGCCAAACAAGAAGGCTGCTCTGATTGCACATCCATATGCGCCTCTAGGAGGATGCATGGATGATCCGGTAGTTATGACTGTCGTTGATCGACTTCTTGAACTGGACTTCGTTGTCGGAACATTCAACTTTCGGTAAACAACAATCGTAACGCTGAACGCTGGCCTTGCTAACCCTCACACAGCGGAGCCGCAAACTCTCAAGGCAATACCAGCTGGGCTGGTCGGGGAGAACGAGACGACTACATGTCTGTCGCAGGTCACCTATTATTCTATCTCAACCAGATCCGGAAACCCAACGATGTCGACAATGATCACGTCCTGGACGATGATACAGAGCTTACGCCCTCCGAGCCTATCACTCTCGTACTGGGAGGCTATTCTTACGGCTCTTTGATTGTTACGCATCTGCCACCTACAGCAGAGATCCTGACCACTTTCCGCCAAACACGTAGTTCACATTCAATGTCTGAGATTCTGCTTCGAGCAAAGGAGCTGGCGCTGCAAACGAACCTATCATTTTCCGATCAGACCGAGGCTCGAGGCAGACTACCAGATCAACCACCGAGGCGACGACATCTACGTCAATCGAGTTCTCAACATTCTATCGTATATGGGGGTAGCGATAGTCCCTCGCCCGCAGACCGCCACTCTACAGATCAAATGTCTGCACGGCTCAAGCATGCCATGCATCGCAGTCATAATCACTCGAGACCCTCGATGCCAAACTCTCCACTAGGATCTAAGGAAGGAAGTACTTCCCAAGGAAATGAAACTGTACTTGAGAGCTTACCGCATGTTTGGACTCACTACCTTCTCATCTCACCATTGCTGCCACCGATATCAAACCTTCTGTCCTTCTCCACGTCGAATTTGTTGTTCTGGCGGCACGCTGACAGCAAAGAGGACAGCTTGACACGACACCCTACGCTCGTGATTTATGGTACTAAGGACATGTTTACTTCTTCACATAAGCTAGATGCTTGGTGTAAGAAGATGGATGGGCTCTCATCGCAAGCTGCAGGGGTGAAGGGAAAATCGCTGTTCAGGTGGAAAAAGATCGAGGGTGCAGGTCACTTTTGGAGAGAGCATGGTGTAGAAGCACAGCTGACAAACAGCTTGCGAGAATGGGTGCACGAAGTAGTCGTGCCTGAACAATAGTAATACCTACCTGTCACTGATGACGCCAGCCGAATTGTTCTGCAAGAGAACAAAGGAGAAATAATAAAGATACAAGTAGCTTCCCCAGATGGCCGGCGCGCGGATCATGTCCGTCGTCGTCACAGCCACTTTTACTCGACTGTGACTTTCAACTTTTCTTCTACAAGACAATCACCCTCACATATCGTCAAAATGCCGCCGAAACGCATGACAGCAAACCCAACAGCGCCTCTGCGCTATCGTCCCGGTAAAGCAGTTGGTGCAGAAGAATCGTCCTCAGAGGAAGAATCAGGCTCCGAATCAGAAACCGAACAGCAACCACAAAAGACGACAAGCGCACCCCCAAAAGCAAATTCATTCCCAAAGTTCAATTCCAACATCAGTAAAGCCGACTTGGAGCGACGGAGACAAGAAGCTCAAGCTCTGCGCGCCCGTGAAGCCGAATTAGCAAAACAAGCACAAGAAGGCTTTGAAACAGCGTCAGAAAGCGAAGACTCTGGCAGCGAAGAAGACTCTGCCTCAGAAGCCGACTCAGACGACGAGGAATCAGAAGACGAAGCTCCCACCCGCCGGTTCGTAGCACCAACCTTCATTTCAAAAGCCCAACGCAAAACCGTCACCACCCCAAAACAATCAGAAGAAGAGGCCTTTGCACAAGAAGAGCGCAAACGACAAGAAAAAGCCGACGCCCTCCTGCAAGCCCAGCTCGAAAAAGAAGCAGCAGAACGCGCCCTAAACCGCAGGGCCTGGGATGACGAAGACCCAGACGCAATCTCCGACGTCGATGACACAGACAACATCGACCCCGAAGCCGAACTAGCAGCCTGGAAACTCCGTGAACTGCACCGCGTAAAACGTGAACGCGAAACCATCGAATCCGCGGAAAAGGAACGCGAGGAAATCGAACGACGAAGAAATCTTACGGCGGAACAACGAGAAGCTGAAGACTCTGCTCATCTTGCTACGCAAAAAGAAGAGAAAGATGCTAGAGGTCAAGCGGGCTTTATGCAGAAATATCACCACAAGGGAGCTTTCTTTCAAGACGATGAGGAGTTTGCAGAACTCGCGAATCGAGATATTATGGGTGCCAAGTTTCAGGATGATTCTGGAAATAGAGAGATTTTGCCGCAGTATATGCAGATTCGAGATATGACAAAGTTGGGTAGGAAGGGAAGGACGAAATACAAGGATCTAAAGGCGGAGGATACAGGACGATGGGGTGCTGAGGATGATAGAAGAGGCAGTCCAGGATATGGAGGAGATAGGTACACAAAAGATAGAGAAGGAGCGACTGGAGCCAATGCTTCTGTTGTTGGAGAGAGAAGGAGGAGAGACGATGATCGTGGTGGTGAGGCCAAGAGGCCTCGATATGATTGAACGAACGACTTTACGAAACACTATAATATCTATGGAAGCAGACCTTGCCACTTGCTCCCACTCTTTGGAGATACCCTTTAACACAAGCTGTCTTCTCTTGACACCCCTCTTCATCTCAGTATCCCCATCTGTGACAGAAACTGTTGTAAGGTACAGTGATTTGTACACTTCAAGGACCACCGATAGAAATATCTACTCAGCCTGGTCAAAAGAAGCAATGTTCTCACCCTGTTCACCAATACGAGCAAGCTTCTGCTGAGCCATGATAAAGTTGGCCCTCTCCTTGTGAAGAGTCTTGCGATGAATCTCCCTCTCACCGTCTTCGGCAAGTAATTCCTTGCATCGATCCTGAGCATCGCGAGTCTCCACCTCAAGTCCAGCCTTGAGCTGCTGAGGAAGATTGTTCTCGAGATCATAAAGCACTTCCACCTCCACACCCTGAACAACATGGTCGAGGAATCGGAGAAGGGCGACATCGTGGTATCCTCTGACCTTTGCGATGACTTTAATTTCTTCGCCAAAGGGGTCATCAGGGAGGTCGGCGCGAGCTTTCTGATCGGTCTTGGCCTTCTTCTTGCGTTCGCTTGGCTCGACTATAATGCGGCCAGCGGCGCGATCAGTGTTTTCAAGCTTCTCTACGAGTCTTGCGGTAGTGCGACCCTCCAGCAAGATCTTGAGTTCACGGTCATGGTGGTGCTTAAATCCTTCGGCGTTAAGGGTGAGAGGCTTGCGTTGCTCAAGGGTAAGTGCGCGCTTTGCATGCTCCAATTGCTTGAGCATGGCTTTCGAGACGAAACCCTTGATGATCTTCTTGGCCTCGGTGAAAAAGGCAGTGTTGAGCCACAGAGCGCAAGCTTCCTCGAGTAGCTGATCGAGAGTCGTCTGAACCTCTTCCTTGACAGCATCGATGTACTGCAACATGGGCTGTTCCCAACCTGCGAGAGTTTCCTTGCGAAGATAGTCGACAGCAAGAGGATCCACTTCGCCAGGAACTCCAGAGGCAGTCAACTTGCTGAGAGTGTCGCGGACGTCCAACAGACGGAAAGTCTTCTTGCCTCCGGTCGACGGGCTCGACTCGTGTCTGGCAGCAACATCGGGCTTGATCTTCTTTGCGGAGACCGTTGCCGCTGTGGGAGTGTCGTTGTTGGCTCTTCTCTTTTTGCCCTTGGTCTCTACACTGGGGCAAGGAGTGCCACCAAACTCATCGTCGTCTGAGAGCAGTGAGAAGGTAGGAATGTCAATGGCTTGACGAAACTTCTCAGGCGTGGCAACGATAAGACCAGGACGGAGTTTGTGCAAGCTGACATGGAAGGTGTTGTTGAGCTCCTTGAGCGAGTTGCGCAGCTCGTTGTGTGGATGTATGCCCTGCGAGTGCTTCTCGACCGAGTTGCGGAAGACATTGAGTGCCTCGAGAACCTTGCCCAGAGCATTCTCAGGTGGGTCAGGATAACCAGCAAGCTCCGTCTCGATCTCTTCAAGATGAGCGTTGACAGTTTTGCTGATTCTAGGCAAGGTGACGAGGATCTGCTTGGTCAACTTCACTGACAACGTGTCTCGAAGCTTGAAGGTTCCGAAGCAATCCTGGAAGTCGGCCAATTCTGTGCTCCAAGGCATCTGAGCGAAAAACGCCATCTCGTTTCTACGCGCCTCCGCAGAAGAGATCTCGCCATTGAGTTCGAGCTGGTCAGGTTGCTTAGTAATAAAGTAGCCATGGCCGACGGCAAATGCGTCACCACGAAGAACACTCTGGATGCTTTGAGTTCTGCTGCCGGGTGGCCAGCGGTCAGGCTTAGTCAAACAGCCAACGGTACGGTCAATTGCCCCATTGCATTGGTCGATCAGGGCAGCCCCACTCGAGTTGGCAAAGTCGGATTCCATAGAGCGAGCAAGCAGGATCAGCGAATTCCCTTGCTTGATGTGATCGGCCACGAAGTTCTCGACAAGCTTGACAAGCCACTGATCCTTGTGTGTAGTCATCTGACGGATGACACCAGGGAGATCGATGAACGACAACGATGGCTGACCAGGAGCAGTCAGGTCGAGAATGACTTTGTTCGGGGCAAACTCAACAGCCAACGGCAAGGCTTCGACGATGTCGGCATTGAGATACTTCTTCGGATCGTCACCGGGATTGAGTGTGGCCCATTGTGCACGACTGATGATGCCGGTGAGATCGGTTTTGTTAGTCACGGTAGCAAAGCGTATGGTTGTGGGTGTGTGATCTTCGTGCCATTTGCCGTAACGACCGTCGGTGCTGGCATTCGGATCGAAGGAGAACTTCTGCTGGAGGGAAACTTCGCAAGACCAGGCAGTGTCTTGAGAGGAGTACAAGGTGATCTCAAGAGGGCAGCGTGTGCAAGTGCCGTCACTGCGTGGGACTTTGATGCCGCTGATACCTTCGATGAGCTACTCAATTGTCAGTGATGATCCGTACGAGACGAGAGAGCCTATCTTACAGAGCTCTTGCCGGCAGACTGGTCGCCAACGACGATGATCTTTGGTAGCGGCAGGTTCCTGGCCTCAACACCGAGCTGTTCTAGCTCCTTGATGAGTTGGACTAGCTTCTGTACAGGACGACCAAGCAGATCGATGTCTTCAGTATCGATACGTCGAGGATCGACACCAGTGCACACGTCAAAGGCGCCGCCAGTAGAAGGCGAGGGTGAAGTCATGGTGGATGTCTCTGACCTAGGCGCAAAATTGTTGCTGCTGTTATTGTTGTTGGGGATGTTGGAAGCGTGGCCAGTTATAGCCTTGTGCTCAAGTTTGATGCGAGGTTGCGCCATGGACAGAAAACGCTAGTTGATGGAGGAAGGAATGAGAAGGTGAGAGTTGAAGGTCAGAAGATAAAAAGGAAGAATAAGAAAGCGCAGACTGGTTGTGTTGGGAGCTTTGGGAGTGAGCGCCGCGTCAAGTGAAGAAGTGAAGCAACCAGACAACACGTCTGCCAGCCACGTGTTTCTTCCGGAACCAAATGGAGGAATCTATGAACCAAGACTGATGTGGAAGGAAAATCACCGTGAGTGAAGTAATTTTAGTAGTGTAAGATGTTCGTCGTGATATTGTGCTTCTTGACTGCGTAGTGTTGTCTTGATCCTGAACAGCCAGCCATCTGCAGACTTCGCGACAGTATAAAGATACTTAAGTGTATCGACAGTCAAAGCCTTCGCGATGTTGTCGGTCTATCACACACGAGCCTACTAGCATTATCTAAGAGCCGCATTCAACAGACCTCGGTATTTCAGATATGCCCAGCATCTCTGGCAGCCTTTCGAAGGAGACTCAGACCGGTTCCAAGATGTATGTATTGCGAGATGACAGGAGAACATTCCTACAGAGTATGACAAGCGTGTTCGAGGGAACAAATGACGAAATGTGAGTCGCACAGCGGCAGGAGACCAAGTCATATACTCAGCAAGCTTTCGAGTTCAGTGCTTTCGAACATACAGCAGCCATCTGACTTACCTGCATCAACCGTAGCTTGCACGACGAAGCACGTTTTTTCTGCAGGTTCCCGCTCCATATATGTGGCCATCTGACATTCCTGAGAGTCCTTCCACGTGGGCAGTGATCCGGCATGCTTGCTTGGCCGTTGGGTCGCACGACGAGAGAAGTACATAATGCTCCTGCTTATGTGGTACATGAACAAGGCGAACAACGGAGTCTTCAGCACGAATATCCGGTCGTTCCAACCTGAGGATGGTTAGAAGCATGACACGAAGCTTTCAGCTTTGGAATGACCACAGAGCCGCTAGCATGCTGTACCTGTTAGCCTCACGCTTGCATATGCCGCTGTGACTGACAGTAGGTGAGAGCCGAGCGGAGGTAAAAAGGCTGTAGGAAAACGAGACGAGAGTTGATATACGAGCGCCTTTTGACATAGAAGAAAGAATGTTGCAGGAAGGAACATCGAAGCCTTTTCCCCACACAAAACCATCCTTCTCTGCCGATGACGGTGACAGCATGTCAGCCACACGGCACCTACTTCCGGTGTCAACACATTTGGGATCGACAAGGAGGAAACAGTCCAAGTAATAAGGAATAGCGGCACAAGAGGGGCTAATGGGAGATGGCAGTAACCGTTCAGACCTTTCTCAGCCGACTATCTCCACTCCACTCGAAACCGTGCACTTGATGACAAACGCAGCTCAGGTAGCACTATCGCTCTTGCCTATCGCGTAGGCCGCTCCGCCAGACCGAGCTGTCACAGTTTAGTTCTTTGCGACAAAGCGAGACGACATAGTTCGACACAATGCAACGCGGCGAAACCGATCCGGCTGTGCAGAGAGACCAAGGGCGCGTCCCTTTCGATGTGGTGCCCAATTTGGACTACCGAGTCGACCAAAGCGCAGACGAGGAAGCAGTGCGGCGATCAAGAGAAAGCAACCTAGATGGACAAGCCAGGCGACAATCAAAAGACGAAGAGAGTGGAGTAACCGCCATGGGCGACGACAATGTCAACGAGAAGGAGTTCGAAGTCACATGGGATGGCGATGACGATCCGATGAACCCAAGAAGCATGCCATATGCCCGCAAATGGATTATTGTCATAATCGTTAGCGCAAGCTCTCTATGCGTGTACGTAGTATTTTCGTCACTCTTTCGAAGCAATAGCACCTCAAGACCATGCTCTGCCTGGCATTTTGTCTCTCCGCCTGTCTGGGCCGATCCGCCACCATCTTCTGAAACTATTGAATCTGACTGTCCCTATGAATAGTACCTGCACATCCGCTCTTTATACTAGCACTTATGCGCAGCTGGAACCAGAGTTTGGTTGCTCAAGGATTGTGGCTACTCTTGGACTATCCTTGTTCGTCATGGGACTGGGATGTGGGCCTATGGTCATGTCGCCGCTCTCAGAAGTGAGTCTTTGCATCATGATCACCGTGAGGGCATTGAATTGACTATGTGAAAAGTTCTACGGACGACGACCGATCTACATCGCTTCTTATGCCTTCTTCCTGATCTGGCTGATCCCATGTGCTGTTGCGCAGAACATAGCAACTATGCTAGTAGCACGATTCTTTGACGGACTAGCTGGCAGCGCCTTCCTGAGGTACTTTCTTCCAAAACTCTCAATGGACACCTTGTTCGACCAGGAACTGACTCATGATGGTGCGGAATAGTGTAGCGGGAGGAACTGTTGGAGATCTATTTCCTAAAACGCAGCTGTCTCTGCCAATGGGTTAGTTGTGTTCGGAATTGTAGGGCGAGGAACAAGCAGCTGACGTGATGCAGCATTCTACACCGCGGCTCCCTTTGTTGGCCGTGAGTCCACTGTCAATGCACACTAAGGGTTTATACTTACAGTTGTGTAGCCGAGATCGGTCCCATTGTCGGAGGGTTCATCAACTACAACACTTCTTGGGTACGTGATGAGTGTGTTGGGCTTGTCCACTCTCGCTGATATGTGCTATCCAGCGATGGACGTTCTATGTCCTCCTTATCTGGTCAGGCATCATGCTTGCAGCCATCATTTTCCTGGTACCAGAAACATACCATCCGGTCCTCCTTCGCAAAAAAGCCATCACGCTCAGAAAAGATACGGGTAACCAGGCATGGCGAGCACCGATTGAGAACATGGACGAGTCAGTGTTCCGGACTGTTGCATGGAGCTGTGTCAGACCATTCCAGCTTTTGTTCCTCGAAGCCATGTGCTTGAACCTCTGCATCCTCTCGGCCATCCTCTTGGGCATTCTCTACCTCTTCTTTGGAGCCTTTCCCCTGGTCTTCGAGAACAATCACGGTTTCGTACTGTGGCAGACTGGACTCACATTCATAGGTATTTTTGTAGGTATGGTGACTGGTGTCAGCTGCGACCCTATCTGGCGGAGAAACTACAACCGCCTGGTTACCAAGAACGGAGGCGTTTCTGAGCCAGAATTCCGGCTACCACCCACAATCCTGTAAGTCTTCAATTGCTTTGCTTTCTTCCTGTGCCAAGTGTGGGATCAATGTTGAAGGGCACGAAGTCGAGTTCTGCTTCCATATCACTATGGGGGATGCCGAACCCTGCAGATATCTTCGTGAACAATATTGAACAAGCGTCGGGACCAGGTGCATCACTGGAGACTGCCTTGCGCTCGCTCGCGCTGTTGAGACTCGACTCAAATCGTTGGGATGTGTAAGATAGAATGTGCTGACATTCGTGCTAGCGGCGCAATCTTGGTTCCAATTGGTATATTCGGTGAGCGACTGGAGGGTGGTGATGTGCAAGAGATCATTGGATAACTGATACAAGGCGTTGCATAGGTTTTGGTTGGACGACTTATTCCTCGGTAAGTGGCTTGCATCAGTTATACCCTTGGCGTATGCAGAAAGATCTTGGATTTTCATTGGAGGCAATATGTGCAAATGCCCCAGTATCCAATGCAACCCCGCCGCAACATCTTACTGGACCCAGAGTGCTTTTTTGCACGACAGGCCAGATGGGAGCCCGAGTCCATGGAAAGAGGAGAACACCCAGCTAACCCCCGTGATGCAGGTACATTGGATCGGTAAGACCATTCGAGCTCGATGCCTTGCATAAGCGACACTTGATACTGACTGCGGGTTGGCAAAAGTGCCCATCGTCTTCAGCGGCATCTTTGGTCTCGGGTAAGTCGAAATGAAGAGAAAGTCTGCTCAGAATGTGTCACTGACAGATCAGCAATATCTTTGTGTTTAGTGGAATCTTTACCTTCTTAGTTGAAACGGTATGTGCCTCTCCATCATGTGAGCGGCTACGGGGCGGACCGTGGGGTTGCCACAATGCTTCATTCGACCACCCCTGTAAAAGACGTGCACGGGTCACTGATGTGCTGTGACAGTACCCTCTCTATGCAGCAAGCGCGCTGGCGGCCAACAGTTTTGCACGATCGTCATTTGCGGCAGCATTCCCACTGGTAAGGATTGACTTGGGCGAAAGCGATGATGAGTATTGCTAATTGGACATATAGTTTGGAGTGCAGATGTACAATAGTGAGTGAACTCCGGTTTCGGGCAGAGGTCAAAGAAGCGGTAACTAATACGAAAACCCGGAACAGAGCTTGGATATCAATGGGTGGGTGGCAGGAATTCAAAAATTGGTCATGATGGGTTGCGTGATGCTAAATCGGTGATAGGCGTCGTCATTGCTGGCCTTCCTAGCACTTGCCATGGCACCATTTCGTGAGTGAAACCCAAGTAACCCGTACCGTGGACGGAGAAAGCTGACCCTGGCATAAGCGTACCTATTCTTTAGTAAGAAGCATTACTTGGTTAGAGAGAAGAGCGAGGAGGAATGCTGACGAGCCAATAGGATACGGCAAGCGACTTCGCAAAAACTCCAAGTTTGCGCATTCCTGAGGACAGATTGGGACTTTGAGGTACAGAAATAGACGAGCTCGGATCGGTGGCACCGCATGAACAATAGTGCATCGCGTTTCCCACGAGGCAAGAGACACTAAAACGATCTGTGCTCGGGCCCTCGGTGTGGAGGGCAGCAGGCTGGGAAGCCAGTCAAAACATGGGAGTGGAACGAAGGAAGTTTGGCCGCGAGACATGAATGGCCGTAGAAGCGAGCATGTGCTACCGAACGACATTGAGAATTGACAAGCTGGCATGTTGGCCCGATGCACAAGGTGGACAATGATGATGCATGTTTAGTATGCTTATTGTGAGAGTTGGAGCTTTGACTCTCGGTGGGGGCGGGCTGGCGGGCTGGCGGGAGAGGAGGAGGAGGAGGAGGAGAAGGGTTGGAGAAGAAGGGCTCGGCCTTGCGGGAAGGATGCGGGCTTGCCAAGGCCGAGTCGCGCATGTCGAGTCCAGGTTCATACCTAGTGCAAGCAACTCATTCTCTGCGATCACAACATCTTCGGAGTGCGTACTGTCGTCGTGCAAGGTCGCAGGACTCGTCGCATCGTCCAAACCATACTGATCTTGTTGCGATTGCGCAGTGACACCGAAGCAGCAGCCCCTCGGCCCACTCACGCGTCCCGACACTCTGGCATAGACATCATGACTTTAGCGAGGGTGACACAGACTGCGTAGACATTGCTTTGGTAAAGAGCGCTGCTTCCCCTGCTTACCTTGCACCGCGTGGGCGGGACCCGTAGCATTTTCCCTGGCGAACCCTTGTGGCACGGCGCATACTACTGGCTGCACTTCAGCCCACTCGTGATCTCACATCCATCCACCTGGGAATCCTGAAACGGAAACAATCCACGGGAAGCTGCAGAAAACGTGCTCTGTGCAAACTCGACTGCCCCGTGCCACTCCAGCGGACTCGACTGCTATATTACCCTGGCCATGGCCTCCGATCCAGCCCAACACGGCTCACCCGACGACCAGACAGACCCCTCGACCAACCACACTCAGTCGCAGTCCCAGACGCAGATCATCATGTCCGACTCGATCCAAGAACGCTTCCAGAGCGACGACAAGGCTTCACCGGCTTCTGCTACCTCCAACAAGGACCAGAACGACTCGGCTGCTAAGCGTGCGAACGCAAAAGATCCCTCGAGACCCAGAAGGAAGAAGGCGCGCAGAGCCTGCTATGCCTGCCAGCGTGCCCATCTGACCTGCGGTATGCCTGTCTTGCAGCTCGTGTCCGAAAGAAACATCTCTAACCCAAGCAGGTGACGAACGGCCATGTCTTCGGTGCATCAAGCGTGGATTACAAGACCATTGCCACGACGGAGTACGAAAGAAGGCTAAATATCTACACGATGCGCCTAACGATGCCCTCATGGCCCACACCTACAACCAAAACCATAACCAGAGTCAGATGAATCAGTCTACTCCAACGTCAGAGCAGCCTCCTGTTGCTCAGCCCTCGTCATACTACCCTACTCCTGTTGGTCCTCAGACGTTTGCCAACTTTGGTCACACCCCGTCGTCAGCTCCTATCAATTCTCCCTCGACTACCGATTCTCCTCTGGTCCATCCTCATCCTTATGCCCCACAACAAAACATGGTCACTCAGCCGTTTCCTTCAGCCTCGTCTCAACAGATGCCACCTCCCCAGGATCCTGTCTCATCCATCTCTCATAATTCTTCAGACGGAAAGCCTGGCCAGCCCTTTAATGCCCCTTTCTTCGACCCCGCAGATCCGTCACTCTTCAACTTTGACATCTCCAGTCTGAACTTCGGCAATCACTATGGTGCTTTGGAATTTGGCATGCTTGGACACATGTCATCTGGTGCTGTTGAAACACCAGATGCCGAGAACAGCCTGATGACCTCAATTGCTTATGACCCGACCAACCCCAACTACTCCACCAGCTACCCTTACAACAATACCGCCTTTACTGACTGGCAACGTAACGCTGATGGAACAAGACAAAACAGTTCTGGCCAAATCTTTTCCATAACAGGAGACAGCAGTTTTGATGGCCAGCTGAACTTCCCCAATGCTTTTGCTATTGGCGAGAACGGGTCCATCTCTGGAGCGAGTCCCAGCGCTGCCAACATGATGGACTTCAGCACAGGATACAGCACAAGTCCTGTGGCTTCAGCACAGCACTTACTACACAGCTCAAACCAAGACTACAATCGTCATCAGCATCGACCGCAGATCAGAAGTAGTTTCTCTGCGAATGACATCAACCAAACGCGACCCAACTCACAGCGAAGACGACGGGATCCGTCAGATATATACACATCAGTCACCGCGCCTTACTCGTACACGACTGGCTTCCATGCTTTGACCGCATGCCTACAAAGACTTTATTCTCCACAAAAGACAGCCAGAATTGCCAGGGCGCTCGCGGCTATTCGACCATCATTCATTTCTTGTACAAAACAGTTGAATGTCGACGATCTGATTTTCATGGAGAAATGTTTCCAGAGAACGCTGTTCGAGTACGATGACTTCCTGACGGCTTATGGAACCCCTACCCTCATCTTGCGTCGTACTGGCGAGGTTGCCGCTGTTAGCAAAGAGTTTTCTCTGCTTACTGGATGGTCGAAAGACGTTCTCCTCGGCAAGGACGCGAACATGAACATCAACATCGGCAACGCTTCGGGGCGTCAAACGGGTACCAGCACTAGAGGTACTGCTACACCTCGAGGCCAAGGCAGTGGAGACACTGCCGGTCGACTACAGCCCGTTCTGTTACCGGAGCTCATGGAGGATGATAATGTCATCGACTTCTACGAAGACTTTGCCAAACTTGCCTTCGGAGACTCGCGCGGTGTCATGATGAAGCCATGCAAACTCCTCAAGTACAAGACCAAGGAAGATCCCGGTTGGAGTGCAGACCTGTTGGGGGAGCGAGAGAATAGACTCAGCAACGGCAAGCCCGTCGGTCCACTCATCAGCGGCGAGTCTGGAATGAACTCGCTGGGTGATCGGGACGGCAAGGTGTCTTGCATGTTCTGTTGGGTGGTCAAGCGAGATGTGTTTGACATTCCCATGATGATTGTTATGAATGTGAGACTGATTCTCACACCTGCCTTGATCAAGCGCGATTTGCTGACTCTGATACAGTTCCTTCCAATTATCTAGATCGGCGAGGCATTATTTGGGCACAGAGGCGTTCTGCTTTGGTTGCGGCAATCAAGAGCCGGGTCAACAGCATTATCACACATGCGCAATTAATTCAAGCATATTCTAATGAGTAGATGATAATCCAGGGCAGAATGGATCGCCTGCGTGAAGCAGGTGATATTTATTGGCATCATGCATCAAAACATGTCCGAAGGACTTCATTCAGTACACTTACAAATGAATATTCATTAATCTGTTCAAATTCATGCAAACCCAAGAGCAGCCTGTAGTAGCTCGTAACCGCTCCCGAAAAACAAGTGTATGCAGCCTCGTTTGCGTCCTCGGGTGCCTGTGTACGATATTACGAGGGACATGAAGTTTGGCGAGGACGAATACCAGGCGCTTGGGCCAATGTCGCAATCAGACATTCCCCACCAAAAAGTTGGGCGCCAGATGGGAGCCGGAACAATGTTGAAAGGCAGACCTTTGAACTTGAAGCTTTTGTCACCAAGTACACAATCATCTCGCTACGTACACATAGGCTTCCGCAAAATGGCAAACGTCGCAAGCACTTATTCCGGTAATTGCTGCACCACTACCGACTGAAGCTACACCAAGCAGTAGCACATTTTCAGAATGAGGACCTGACTTTTGGCGCTGTTCGCATCCAACAGATCCCATCCACATTGCCGTCATTGGCGGTACTGGCCTGCAATCGCTGCCAGGCTTCACCCATGCTGCTACTTTGAACGTCGATACACCATGGGGCACCCCTTCGTCGCCCATCAGCGTCTTGCACCACAAGTCTCCCTCGACTGGCAAGGACATCCCTATCGCTTTCCTGTCTCGTCACGGTCTGCACCATGAGATTGCTCCTCACGAGGTCCCCGCTCGCGCCAACATCGCTGCTCTCCGCTCCCTTGGTGTCCGTACCATTATCGCTTTCTCGGCCGTCGGCAGTCTGCAAGAGCAGATCAAGCCTCGCGACTTTGTAGTTCCCGACCAGGTCATTGACCGTACCAAGGGCATCCGTCCCTTCACCTTCTTCGAGGAGGGCATGGTCGGCCATGTCGGCTTCGCTGATCCCTTCGACGAGAAGCTGGGTGCTGTTGTAAGAAAGCTTGGTCACAGCCTCGAGGGCGACAATGTGCACTTGCACGACAAGGGCACCATCATCTGCATGGGTATGTGAATTTGAAAAGAGAAGGGGTATATGGAAGATGAAGTACTGACCGGAACTTCAACAGAGGGCCCTCAATTCTCCACCCGCGCCGAATCCAACATGTACCGTTCATGGGGCGGCAGTGTCATCAACATGTCGGTCCTTCCCGAGGCAAAGTTGGCAAAGGAGGCCGAGATTGCCTACCAAATGATTTGTATGAGCACCGACTACGACTGCTGGCACAGTTCTGAGGACGTGACCGTGGAGATGGTCATGGGCAACATGAAGGCTAACTCGGAGAACGCCTACCGCTTTGTTGGTGGCGTTCTTGACGAGCTCACCAAGGAGGAGCATGGCGATCTGGTCCAAGCAAAGCACCTCGAGGGACAGACCAAGTTCGCTGGTGGTATTACTGCTCCTGCAGGCCGCAAGGACGCAGCCAAGAAGAAGCTGACCTGGTTGTTCCCTGGCTACTTTGAGTAGATATGCCGATGATCTCGGCGAGACTCTACAGCTCATAGACTATATACATGATGGAATAAAGAAGGCTCATAATGATATTACAAGAATGATCAGGCGTGCGGGACTGCGGGAAACAAACAGCGAGCAAGAGTCGGCGTCGGAGAAGGAGCTGGCCGAGCTTGGGGCAAGCCAGACGCATGACGATTCAAGCTCCGGCGAGCCAGCCATCAGTCAATCAACGACGACGACCTGTCACTTCACCATCCATCGCTCTCTCCGTGCTTTGTCCATAACGCCCACCCTTCCATCTCCGTGTCCAGCGCCTCGTACTTCGAGCGCACTCTCCCAGCCACACCAACCTCGGACCGACACTTCTGTCCGCAAGCGCCATGTCTCGCCGCTACGATTCACGAACAACCATCTTTTCGCCCGAGGGCCGTCTCTACCAGGTCGAATACGCTCTTGAGGCCATCTCTCACGCCGGAACTGCTCTGGGTATCTTGGCCAAGGATGGCATCGTCCTCGCCGCCGAGCGCAAAGTCACCAGCAAGCTGCTCGAACAAGACACATCCGCCGAGAAGCTGTATACCTTGAACGAGTTCGTCAACATGCTGCCTTCGCAGCTACATGATTTATACTGACCGTCATCCAAAGTAACATGATCTGCGCCGTCGCTGGCATGACCGCCGATGCCAACATCCTCATCAACTACGCCCGCTCGGCCGCCCAAAACTACCTCCTTACCTACAACCAAGAGATTCCTTGTGAACAACTCGTCCGCCGCTTGTGCGATCTGAAGCAGGGTTACACTCAACACGGTGGTCTTCGTCCCTTTGGTGTATCGTTCATCTACGCCGGCTACGACGACCAGCGCCAATTCCAACTCTACCAGAGCAACCCCAGTGGCAACTACGGCGGATGGAAGGCAACCAGTGTTGGCGCCAACAATGCCAGTGCTCAGAGTTTGCTCAAGCAAGATTACACCGACGAGTGCTCGCTGAGAGAGGCTTGCGGTCTGGCCGTGAAGGTCTTGAGCAAGACTATGGATTCCACAAACCTCAGCAGCGAGAAGAGTACGTCTTTGTAGTTATCCTACTCCAATTCGGCACAGCTAACATGTTTCCAGTCGAGTTCGCCACTGTCGGCAGAACAAAGGAGGGTACAGTCTACCACCACCTCTGGGGCGCCGAGGAGATCGATGCTCTGCTCAAGGAGCACGGCCTGACCAAGCCCGTAAGCTCGGACGACGGCGCGGCTGAGCAGACCGTCATAAACTAGACGTCTCCTCATCTCCTTTTTAGTTGTAACAGTAGTTTACTTATTGACGGCATTATCGATCATGCATCTCTGGGCTGGGGGCTGCGAGGCGTTTCTTAGACCTGCAAAGTGGGTTTGTCACGTAGAGAGAAAGATACAAATGAAGATTTTATGTTTCTCCTCAACCCCAGGGCTTCGTCCCTGGTTTTCCTGCTTGATACCCCGTCATTCTTATCATTTCCATCAAATCCCGTTCCTTTGTGGTTTTCCTCCCAAGAAAGAAAGAAAGAGAGAAAGAGGACGAATCGTGCCAATCGTATTTTCCCAGAGACGACTTTGTCACTGAGAAAAGAGAAACAGGCAATGTGGGTGCTCTTCTGAGCATTGCAAACATCACAAGTCTATCTAAAATGTCCATGACTTTTTCAATCTCTCTGGATGAAGTTGAGGAATGCTTTGGGTCACATCAGTTCACTGGTATAGCTGTCAGGCTACTTCCGGGGATTGGTGTGGAGAACTATCTCAGGCCAGAACAACTGAGCACAGTCTGAAACTATCTTCACGATATTGCAGGTCACGGTCTCGAGAGGAACACTCACACGTTATCTGGATCGATCGAAAAGAAACCACAATCTGTTCCTGGGTCATGAAGTGGTAGATGGGGTGAACTCCACATCAAAGCCCTCGTTATGGTCTCCAAGTCCGACTTCCCTGCCAAATATCCTGTCGCTCTGCAACAATCTGGCTCCTTGTTGTTATCCTTCGTTTGGAGTCCGTTTGTTGACAGGCTCTAAATTTCCGTCGTCGTCGTCTCACTGGTGTCGTTTCCTCCTACGCACAATTCCGCTCACTCGTTTCCATTTTAATCCTCACGTTCACTATTTTCCATCGCCAACAGAAGCTACGCGCGACCCTGTCGACTTCGTTCTCTTCTTTGTTTCTACCTTTACACACGAGTAGCTTAATACTCGCATAATTCTTCATCGTTCATCGTTACGCGAGCCCAAGCCAGTTACCCTTGCTGCTTACTGAACCAGAATTCACTGCATCAAGCGGCCTCGCATAACATCGTCATTCATCGTCAACATAACATTGCGCAGATTTCACGCGCGCATAACTTTCTTTACGCTTATTCGTCGCATCTGTACGTTCCTAATGTTTTAATTACGCGTCTCGGCATTATGCTAACCTCGTTTCGGCGTATCCAGTCTCGGCGCCGCCAGAATGGTCAACATTGTCAACACAGCTGAGGTCCTCTGGGACATTTTTGTCCGTGTGACTAATGAGCTGGGTGATGGTAGGATGAATGCTCGTCGTGCTCCTATCCATCCCACTGGACATTGGCAAGACAAGGACGATGTCATTGCGTATGGCCAGAAGGCTTTCGAGCTCGAGGGCCTGCAGGTCATTCGTACAAAGAACTGGCTCGAGAACGGAATGCGCCAGGGAGGCATTGTCGATAACTGGGTACTCGAGCGTATCATCGCCGCTGGTATGGAGTACTCGGCCAGTGACTATGATCATCTCATGCAGGTGTTCTTCGTCGAATGGATAAAAGATTTGAAGCCAGATGGCCGCTCAAACAAGAGCAGAGTCGATTGGATCAAGTGGTGCGAGATGCACCTCGTCCGCCATCACAGAACGCAGAAGGCGATGCGTGTACTCGAGCTCTTCAAGGAGCTTGGTCTCCTCTACCCCGGGTGGTGGAAGCAAGTATTCGCACAGCTTCACAACACGCCGGTCCACGCTTTGAACTTTGTCTCGCCTTGGGACGTTAAGCCTTGTTTCGACACCGTCAAAATGAACGAGTTGAACCAGAAGTACGCAAGAGTTCCTTTCACCGCACTCAGCGCGCACCCACAAGCCGCCGCCGAGACTTCCAAATCATCCAAGCCCAAGACGAAGAAGAAGCGCGGTCGTAAACCCAAGGTCAACAACGCATCAGCCATGGATTTTGACGGTAGTGGTTCCGAAAGTGATGCTGTGCGCACTATTCCTCGCAAGCGCGCCAGACTTGACAGCCTTGGTATGGGACAAAGCCTTGAGAACTCCAGCGCCTCCCTGGGCTTTGGCGACTCTGCATCTACCAACCCTGCTCCAGCCGCTGCAGCCTCCAACAGCACAGCCTACGTCGACAATGAAGGTGACCTCGACTTCTACCCTTCCGAGATGGGTCAACTCGGCGACGAAGACCAGCTCAACAGCGCCGGTCTCGATCCCTCCATGCTCGACCAACACCACCCCGGCAACACCTCCGAGCCCGAATCCTACCCCGAAGACTTCTACCCTCGCTACGTCCACGAATACGACAACTACATGGGCAGACCCTTTACGACCTACCCCCAACTCTCCCACACGGCATCTTTCGCCCCCAGCGCCGAGGGCTGGAGACTCCTGCACCACAACGCCTTTGACGAAGCCACCCGCTACAACCCCAGAGTAAACGCTACACGTCTTAGCGACTCTGCCGCCTACGACAATCTGCGCCGTTACCCTGCTCTAGACCTCAGTATCCCTCTGCCACGCATGCCAGACATTCAACCCCCTTGGGTGCCAGCCACACAGGACACAGACGACACCGCACCAGTACACCCCACACCCCAAGGTCTCTTCATCCCCCGCGACCACCCTTCGCGTTGGATGATCGACTGGAGTTCCACCGACGAGCGCGACTTTGCAAAAGCCGTTGCCGCCGTGGAAGCGGAATTCCTTCCTCCTCTGCCTCCACATGAAAGCGCCATTGCTCGCGATGCTCGCGAGAGTATGGAAACTGCCAGGCGTCGTGAGCTTTTGCGTCGACAGGTGCTTGGTGTGGGTAAGAAGGGTGGAGATGGCTTCGATGGTCCTCCTGGAGCTTTGAGATGACGATACGATACGACACGACACCGTGAGACGATGAGATGACGAGACGACTGTTTCTTTTTTTTCCAGGATGATACCAATTTTGCTGTCTTTCTTTTTTCTTTTTTCTTTTTTCTGCTCTCTGCAGCAATGCTTCTGTTTTTTCGAAAAATTGTTGCTGCATCAAATCAGAGGTGGCCTTCTCATGTCATACAGGAGCTGGGAAGAGTTGATGTTTTATCATGTTTTCGCTTCTGTTTTCGCTGCCTCTCTGGCTGCCATTTCTTTTCATTCAATCTCGTCTCTCCGAGAGCATTGCTGGTGTTTTTTTCAAAGTCGTTTCTGCACTCAATCGGTTGCTGTTTTTTTCATGGTCATCAGAAGGTGGAGCTACATGGCTTTTTCATGGCTTTTACAACAACTATTGCTTTCCTGTCACAAAACGCTGCAACACATAGATAGCTTTGAGTGGATTCTTGCTCACAAATCATGCTTTCACACTATAAATCGACGGAAAAAGTGATTGTCTGTTGTATGCATGAACATTGGTATTGTGGTGAGTTTTTGTACAAAGCTAAAAAAAAAATAGTACTCCAACTCCTTATGCAAGACCTCCATGACGCCTGCTTGTTCCGTCTGCTCCAGGAAGAAAGAGAAAAGCCAACGACCGATGGAATGATGACAACGACCGCGAGAATTAAATGGGACTAGAACGGCGAGGAAAAAGTGGGTGGTGGTATGGAGAAGAAGGGCAAGTGTATGCGGCTGTGGATATCACACGATGAGAGCGCTCAGCTTCCGACAACAACTCTTGCACCTTCTTTGCCCAAGACACCACGTTCGCGCTCTTTTGCTTTAGGGCTTCGGTCTCTGCCTTTTTTGCGACTGAGAAAACCGAGCATACCCGCAGGTTTGCGGTCTTCGTTGGGCTGGACGAGGCCCTGACTCTGATTGGCCATTTCACTCCAGCTACCGGTTTCATTCAGCACGACTTGAACGCCGCCGCTCATAGAGGTGCTTCTGGTACTTCCGCGAGGACGGTGAGCCTTGTTGATAGCTTGTTGTGGGTGAGAAGTTGGAGGAGGTCCGGGGGGAGGCATCTCTTCGTAGCGAATGCCGCGAGGATTTCTCTGTTGTTGGTTCGCAAAGTACTCTGAGTGTGCGGGTGGGGGATTCTGAGCATGGTGAGTCGGGAGCGGAGGAGAGCCATTGGGAGATTGTGTTGCAGAGCGAGCGCGGGAGACGGAATTTGGGGTCGAGGCATGAGGAGTGGGTATTGAACGGACCTTGTGCAGGTCTTGCGGGGCATGATTGTCGTTAGTGTCAGACTTTGTAGTGACGGGAGAATCGCCACCAACGCTGACGGGGTTCCTGGCTTGCATCAGTCTGGGTGGAGCAGAGACGTCGCTTGATGGAGAGTCGCACCTGGATTCTGGGACGGTCAAGTAGTTGAAGGGCTCGAACAGGGTTTCGATCATGCGATGCAGCTCGTCGGCACGGATCTCGGCCTCTGTAGCATCAGCTCGTAGCTCTGGACGTGGCTTCTGTTTTCTTGTACGCGCTTCCAATGGTGCCTCCTCGAGCAGTAGTTCCTCCAGGTCGTATGTGGCATCAAAGTTTGTCTTTTCACTGGACGGCTTGAAGATGGGTTCGATCTCTTTGCGCTCGAGGGCTTCAAAGTCCAGCTCGCGGAAGAAGGGGTTGTCGGTGAAACTGTTCCAGCTGCTTGCGCCGATTCTTTGTAGCTTATCTTTCTCCAGTAGCGAGCTGATGGCGTGCATGCAGACCATGGATACGGGAGGGTTGGTCACGGGAAAGTTTGGTTCGCCCTTGACAATGGCTTGGATGAGTTGGTCGTGATGGTGTCCTTCGAAAGGTCGCTGTCGTGTCGAGTCAGCATGGAAGGGCTAGAGTTGGGCATGAGCGCGGCGTACCTTGCTATAGATACACTCATAGAAGAGCACGCCGAGTGACCACCAGTCGCATTCTGCACCGTAGCCTTTGCCACGATAGACCTCGGGCGCGAGGTAGGCTAATGTGCCCGATCTACTGGTTAGGGGCTTGCCGGGTGTGAGGTCTGTCGCGACGTTCTGCCAGACGGTCAGCTACTTCAACATGGCAGTCGTATGGTAAAGATGCTCACGAAATCAGCCAGATGGACATGGCCGTCGGAATCGAGTAGCACGTTGTCGGGCTTGACGTCGCGGTGGACGATGTTTTGCTTGTGAATGTAGCGTAGAGCGCAGCCAAGTTGTGAAATCCAAAAGCGAACTGCCTCTTCGGTAAAGGACTTGCGAGAGATGTGGAAGCGCAAGTCACCGCCCGTCATCAGGTCGACGACAATGTACAGATATTCGACGTCCTGGAAACTATATCGCAAATTGCACAGGAAGGGGTGGTTGAGATGTTCCAGCATCCGTCGCTCTCGAATCATGTTCCGCACGCTCTCGCTGCGGACCACTGGCCGTGTGTCAGTCGACGTCCTGCTTCGCTTGTCCTTCTCATCGGCTTACCTTCATCTTTGCGGATGTACTTGAGGGCAAAGGTCAGGCCGGTGTCCTTTCGCTCAACGATGCGGACCTTGCCAAACGCGCCCTTGCCAACTACGCGGAGCAGTCGAAAGTGGTCGAGGCTCACTGCTATACGTCAATGCCATGTTCTCCTCCTGCATCATGACCAGATCGAAGCCTCACCTTCGTCGGTGAAGACGACGGGCTTGCCGCTGGAATTGCCCATCCTAGGAGCAGCCTGGCTGCTGTTGGCCTTGACGGGGTCGTTGGGCGAGGCGACGTCGTGATAAGATTGTCGATGCTGCGAGATGATGCGATGCGGCCTTCAGGTCATAACTCGTGTCGTCGAACGGCCTACTTTTCGTCTGTAACAAATGCAACTGGTCGGAATGTGTCGAGAGAAGACTCCAAATCGCCATGTCCATGCTGCATCCCTTGGCGAGCCCTTCCCGTTGGTACACGCTAGAGCACCTTCCGCCAAAACTTTCAGCTCCGTCCTGACTCGCTGTTTCCTTTTGCAACAACGATCCCAGGACATGATAACACTCTCCATCGACGACTGCTATTTGCTCACTGCCTGCAATTCCAGATATCGCACCAGCCCCTTGTATCTCACGTCCGTGTTGCTTGCTGAGTTGCTCGCCAAGTGCAGCTTCCATGCTTGGTTGATCGTCATATACCCTGCATTGCACCCTCCGTCTCAGAAGGGAGCCACATGCAAAGCCACGTTATTTACCTTCTTTTTGCACTACCATGACTTTCCTTAGCAGACCTTCTGCATCTTCTCACCGCTCACATGTCCCACTGTGAGGCGCGCTGTAGCTATCTCTGCCGTTGTCATACAGGCAACGTCCCCCAATTAAAACGCTTGTACCTTGTAGCCCTTCTGTCCCTCTGCCCAATCATTGCAATTACTGCTCTGCTAAAGCGTTCGCCTTTGTCATGATTGATGCACATGGCGATTTTCCCTCTGCCTTACACACACTCTTCAACGCTACTCTTGTTGAAATGCCCCCTTTCTTTCCCTGGGCCAGTGAGCATCCCACTTCCCACGAGTGGGGCCGCATCTGGAGAAAAGCCATCTCCAATCCGCTAAACCGTTGTCTGCCTAGTCTGCGATCTGGATGCTTTTGCTTGGTTTCAGGTCAAAGTCTCTTTTTGTCAAACGTCGTCGTGCGCATGTGTATTCGACTATCATATCACTCTTCTGATATGCTTGAACGAAATAACAATAGCAATAGCAATGCAGTGCGGAAGACTAAAACGCCGTACCCAGGTGCCCCGACGCCCCTAATCGTTTCCCATCATATTACGCCGGTTGGTTGAGCATGCCATGGTTCCGGACCTGGAAAGAACTGCAGCAAAAGTGGTTCCTTTACCATCATTCTCAGGTCTAGAATCTCGAATCTCGAATCTCGATACTCTACTCACAGATCAGATCTCGTCCATGTTACCGGCGGGTTCGTCATCGTCGCCCGAGTCGAAACTGCCGACACTGCTCATCTCGTCGTCGTCATCTGAGTCCTCGCCTGCATCCTCGGCGGCTTCTCTTGACGCATACTTGGACACATATTCTGACAGGTGTTAGTCGTGTCACTGATTTGTAATACACAAAGTTGAAGCTCACCCTTGACCTTGGCTTCATAGCTCTTGGGTTCTCTCATCATCAGAGCTGCAGCCTCGCCGTTCAATGGGTCCGTCGGGTTGGGGTAGCGCAATAGCTGAGGAAGGAAGACTTCGAAGATGTTGACCATCTCGTACATCGGTGACCATGTTTGATTAATAACGTCAAGGCAGACGCTACCGGACCTAAAGTATAGTCAGGCTCCATTTCTTGTCTACCCAAATTTGCCTTGACTCTTACAGCTCGTCGATATTGGGATGGAAGATGCGATTCACGAATCCGATGCTGGGACTCTTGTAAGGGTATTGGTCGGGAAGTTCGACGTGGATCTTCCATAGTCCACCCTGGAACGGTGCTGATCCCTTTAGTGCTGGAGCTTCCACAGAACATTTGACATGGTCTTACTCTCTTCCGGGCCCTTGAATCGTACAAAGAACTCTTGCCTGCGCAACGTGTGAGCAATGTGGGTCGTTTGGCGAGTGAAAGCAGACGATAGGTGACTGACACTATAAGACAGTCAGTATCGTTTTTGAACAAGATAGGAGCGGGATAAATCATACTGTTGTCGTTGACCAGAGTGACCTCATAGTCGCTCATCATCCTAGAGGACTGGTCAGATGGGTTTCCGAAAGTACGCTGCTTCTGCTATACATACATCCTGCCGACAGTCAGTAAGGGGGTTATGTAATGGGTTTTGAAACCATTGCGACCTACTTCATGACCTGTGAACGGCAGGAGCACAATGTCAGCATGCGCTACAACTCAGCTCTATACTCTGTTCTCGATTGACCTACATCCGTCTCAATTCTTCGTTTCGGGCTACTCATCTTGACGTGGGGTGTGGATGTGGTATTGCGACGTGCAGTCTATTCTTCAAAGCTTCTTGGAGCTGTTCAAGGCTGTTCAGGTGGTTTACGAGGCTCCGGCGGGTGTGCCTAGGTATCGATGCGGGGTGATGCAAGCTGCGCGGAGGTGTTACAGGTTCGTGCCTGCACGGAAGGTTGGGCGTGATGTTTCGAGAACGTGTTATCGGGGGGCTGTACTGAGGAGGGAGGTACTTGTTCCTGGCTTGTGGCGAAGAGGAGTTATGAGTGTATAGAGTGTCTGGAGTTGTGGTTGGAGAGCGCTTGCTCGGTGACTCGGTGATAAGTGTCGCATGACGAGAAACGGGGTCTAAAGCTTGGCGGCGTGCTTTCGCCATCTTTATCGATGTCGGCCGGATTAAGCACTACTCCAATGCTCGTGGAACGTTCTCTGACAAGCTGCACATCCCGCGGCAAAACTACACGACAGTTCTCTAGCTGTAAACGACGAGAAGTCCACTGCAAGAATGAGGGGGGTCACAGGTCACCAACATAATATGGTCATTGATCATCGATGTGAATACAGGGCACGAGACAAGGTTGGCTCGGGCGCCTCTTCTAAATATCTGCCCTGCTATGCGCGGATGGCCAACATGGGTCCAAGACTAATAACCAAGCCCAGCCTTGCGGTACTCTTTCTGTAGGCTGGCAGAATTGAACTGGTACGACCTCAAAGGCTTGGAGAAGAAGAGGGTCTTGGAAGGGACAGATGGGTTTTATGTTCCAGACACAATTGCATGAAACTGGAGAATGCACAAGGCTTGACCAGCCTGCAGCCTCACACGTAACGGCCCCACTCCTGCTCTTACTGGCCTGGCCATGCCGCCCCTGCCGCTGGCGGGAAAGTGGACAGACGCCGCTTTGAACCATCCTTGATTCCTGTCGCTCTTTATGCATGACGTTGAGAGCATGAGTAGAATGTCAAGAGACAGGACCCTTCAACACAAAGCACAAAGCACAAACGAACAGTGTTGCAAAATCTGTTCAGAAATCCTGCGTGACATTACTCATGTCAACGTTCGATGGCTCTCTTCAGCGGCCATGTGGCCCAGGAAATCGGCGTTTTCGAACCTTCGGGCACCATGTCTATCGTTATGGACGTAGAATTGCAGCAAGAATGAAGGGTGTGATATGGCATGGTCAGGGTAGATTGTGCAAGGCTTAGAAAAAAAGATCGGAGGTGAGGCTCAGCAATGCGGGTTGCGACGCTGATCAGCTCCGCAAAGGTGCTAATCAATCAATGGTATGATCACCGATGGAGCTTTGCCCTGTGCTCAACCAGAATCTTCATTCTTTCTTCGACGACTCCTGTGTTGTGCAGGCTCGTGATCTCGAGGCTGTATCCTAATTGAGTCGGTCGATTGCAAGCAGTGTTCGTCCACAGAATCGTTTCAAAGAACCAACACGTTCGTGGAGATCGAAAGTTCATCCAGATCGAAGGTCGTTAGAGGCTAGCCAAGAAAAAGGACCAAAAGGGAAAGTCCTTGGACTCTCAGACTCGCGCACTCCCGGCTTTGCCACTTGCAACCAAGTCCAAGTCCAAGTCGACACAGGATTCCAGTCTTCTTGACCCCGTCGACTCTGTGATTGCGTCGCCGTCAAGGCTACAGGCCTCATATCGCCAACAAAGCACAAAGCCACGGTCGCTTGCTTCTCTTCTCTCGCCCGACGTGTGGCGTCAACGCAGCCCACTTCTCATTCCCGACTCACGGTCTGGCCCCTTCTTCGCCGACAACGCTCCAGCGACATCCACTCTCTCATCGACGACCGCCCATCCCTACACACCTACTGCGACAACCTCATCTAGCTAGGACGTCTTGTACGTTCCTTGTCATCGCCAACCCCCAACCTGTCCACCGCGCCCGATGAGTGACAGAATGCGGCCGGAGGACTCTCAGTCTCGTCCCCAAAACGCAAACAGCCGATCATCACGACACTCCGACTCGGACCAAAATCGCTCCTCTTCTGAACAGATCCGTCCGTCATCGTCCCTATGGCCAGGCGCCGACCAATCGCGGAATTGCCGCTCCCCTCTTGATCCGCTGAGCCCCGACGTAGCCGATCGCGTCTTTCCCATTCGCTCTGTCGTGTCCGTCGACCCCAACGCTACTCCGTCGCATCGATCAGACAACGGCAGCAATAGTTACTTTACCCACCAAAATCAACAAGGAAGAAGGTTCTCTGTCACGAGCGACTCGGAACGCAAGGGTCCTAATGGCACACCAAAGACAAAGTCAACTTCCTCTACTGCTTCTCGCTCAGACAACCCTCAAGACCGCCACGTCTCGAATCCTGCAAACCCACCGCACAGGCACCCTGCTCAGTTGTTCAACGAACTCGCTTCTAGCAGAGGCGAGGACGACAACGCGACCTTACGTTCTACCGACTCCAGGGACACTAGAGGCACTCGATATACCCGACCGTCAGATCGCGCGGCGTCAATAAAGAGTATGGGTGCGGACGACAACGGTGCAGGCTTACTCACTGCTCGGTTCAAGCATGTTGTGTCTGAGGGTGGCCATGCTATCATCACGGGCAGAGACGGTGACACATTGCAGCGCTGCGAAGATGAGCCTATTCATATTCCGGGTGCCGTCCAAGGCTTCGGTCTGCTGATAGCCCTGGAAGAAGAGAGTGAGGGAAAGTTGATTGTCCGAGTGGTCAGCGAAAACTCAAAGAGACTTATTGGCTACACGCCAAAGCAATTGTTTGCTCTCGACAGCTTTACCGATATTCTCTCCGAAGACCAAACCGACAACCTCTTGGACCATGTCGACTTCATCAGAGACGAGGATGCTGACGTAAGTTCAAATGGCCCCGAGGTCTTCACTATGTCAATACGCACTCCACAGCGAAAGCTCCAGAAGTTGTGGTGTGCTATGCACATCACCGACAAGAATCCTGGCCTCATCATCTGCGAATTCGAACTCGAAGACGACCCTGACTTCCCCTTGGTTCCTGCTAACGAAGGCACGCCCGACCTTCCTGAAGACACACTCAGCTCGAATCCTTCAGCAGACGAGTTTGCTGAAAGTACGGAAATTGCCAGCAAACCGCTTCGTGTGCTAAGAAGTGCCCGCAAACGCAAGGGAGAAGCCGCTGCTATGGAGGTCTTCAACGTCATGTCGCAGGTCCAAGAACAGCTTGCTTCCGCCCCCAACCTGGACAAATTCCTCAAAATTTTGGTCGGCGTTGTGAAAGAGTTGACTGGCTTCCATCGTGTTATGGTCTACCAATTTGACGCTCAGTGGAACGGTCGTGTTGTGACCGAGCTTGTTGACCCGAGGGCCACCAAGGATCTCTACAAGGGCTTGAATTTTCCAGCCTCTGACATTCCCAAGCAGGCGCGAGAGATGTACAAGGTCAACAAGGTCCGCATGTTGTACGACCGTGACCATGAAACTGCTCGTCTGGTCTGCCGCACAATTGAGGATCTCGAAAAACCTCTGGACCTCACGTATTCCTATCTTCGAGCCATGTCTCCCATCCACATCAAATACCTCGCCAACATGGCTGTGAGGTCGTCCATGTCCATCTCTATTAATGCATTCGATGAACTCTGGGGCTTGATATCCTGCCATGCTTATGGCTCGAGGGGAACCCGCGTCTCGTTTCCCATTAGGAAAATGTGCAGGCTCGTCGGCGAGACGGCTTCAAGGAACATCGAGCGACTCTCCTATGCTTCTCGTCTCCAGGCTCGCAAGCTTATCAACACCGTCCCAACATCGAAGAATCCATCCGGCTACATTATTGCGTCCTCTGAAGACCTTCTGAAACTGTTCGACGCTGATTTCGGCATGCTCTCTATTCGAGACGAGACCAAAGTGCTTGGTCAAGTCGACGAAACCCAGGAAGCCTTGGCTCTGCTAGAGTATTTGAGGTTGCGGAAGCTCACGTCTGTCACCGCCACTCAAGATATCAAGGAGGAGTTTCCTGATTTACGTTATCCACCCGGCTTCCATCATATCGCTGGCCTGTTAGTTGTTCCCCTCTCTGCTGGAGGCAATGACTTCATCGTCTTCTTCCGCAGAGGTCAGCTTCGAGAGGTGAAGTGGGCTGGTAATCCATATGAAAAGTTTGTCAAAGAGGGCACTGAAGGTTACCTCGAGCCCAGGAAAAGTTTCAAGACCTGGAGCGAAACAGTCGTTGGCAAATGCCGCGATTGGACAGAAGAGGAGATCGAGACAGCTGCGGTCTTGTGCCTTGTGTACGGAAAATTCATCGAGGTCTGGCGTCAAAAGGAGGCTGCGCTCAAAAACAGCCAATTGACGCGCCTACTCCTAGCCAACTCTGCACATGAGGTACGCACGCCGCTCAATGCTATCATCAATTATCTCGAGATTGCCCTCGAGGGAAGTCTCGATGACGATACTCGGGAAAACTTGTCCAAGTCACACTCTGCGTCAAAGTCATTGATCTATGTCATAAACGATCTGCTAGATTTAACAAAGACCGAAGAGGGTGCCAGTCTTGCGAAGGAAGAGCCTTTCAACCTATCAGCAACATTGAAGGAAGCCACGGATCAGTTCTCTGGTGATGCGCGCCGGAAGAAACTCAGTTATGAGCTAATCGAGTATCCCGGTTTTCCTACTACCGTCATCGGAGACCAGAGAAGGGTTCGTCAAGCTATATCAAACGTCACAGCCAACGCCATTCAGAATACGAAATCTGGCGGTATCACTATTGAGGCATACGTGCTCTCTCGAGAAGAGAATCACGTCGAAATCGAGATTGCCATCACCGACACTGGATGTGGCTTAAGCGCCAAAAGGTTGGACAGTTTGTTCAGAGAACTGGAGCAAGTGCAGAGCGAAGCACACGACATGCTGGATGATGAGCCGGCCTTCAATGCTAAGCAAGTCGAATCTGGCTCGGAAGGTAGCCGCACGATAGGTCTTGGCTTGGCCGTCGTTGCTCGCATCGTACGCAATATGGGTGGACAATTGAGGCTCAAGTCAGTCGAAAACAAGGGCTCTCGTTTCACCTTGCAACTTCCCTTCGATGTGCCAGCCAACGAACAACAAAAGACGATCGCTGGTTCGGCATCCTCGGGCTCTCAACGCTCTGCACCCCTTTCAGCCAGTAACGAAGGCGAGATCACACTTGTGGAGCGTGGACAAAGACGCAATTCGACTGAGCACACGCTTTCTCGTAAGTCTAGCACCGAGAGCTTGCGCAGCAAGCACAGTCTGCCCAGCATGAAATCCGGACGTAGTGGAGCAAGTCAAGAATCCAGTCGCAGTGAGGCGGACAGACTGATAGACGCCATACAATCTCCTATGGACGGTAAGCGTGGCGCTCTCTCTCGAGGCAGCTCCAGCGGGATGCATAGACCGGTGCTGGGTTCACGGCACAGCACAGCGCCAGTACCAAGCAGCACGCGGCCCCGATCGCTGAGCTACGAAACCAATTCACAGGAGCTTACTACAGAGGTGAACAGAAACCCACCAGGCAGAACCAGTGTCATGGATCAAGGAAGACCCATCAAAGCGGTTCGTGTTCCTGAGGAGGTCGACGACGTCCCAGCTGCGGCTCAAGATCAACCAGCGGAATCATCGCGTCTCCTTGACGAGCATCAGCAGGAGCCGCCGGAAACGACAGATGAAGCGCCTACGGCGGATCACATGCGCGTCCTGGTTGCAGAAGACGATCCGGTCAACAGTAGGATCATCAAGAAGAGACTCGAGAAAATGGGCCACGAGATATATCTTACTTCAAATGGCGAAGAATGTTCAAGCATTCACGGAGACAAAAGTGGCTTCTTTGATGTCGTCCTGATGGACATGCAGGTTTGTCTCCAGACACCCCTTGATCGCGAGATTATCACTAACATTATTACAGATGCCGATCGTCGACGGACTGACAGCGACCAAAGTTATTCGCTCATTCGAGAAGTCACACCCCACACATGTACTTTCGACACGGGCATCGCTCAATGGTCGAATTCCGATAATTGCTGTTTCTGCTTCATTACTAGAGAGAGAGCGCCAGATGTACATTGACGCTGGTTTTGATGGTTGGATCCTCAAGCCCATCTCTTTCCCGCGACTTCAGGAGATCATGACCGGTATCATTGACAACAACGTTCGTCAACGGAACGTGTATGAATCCGGCGCGTGGGAACGAGGCGGTTGGTTCGAAGAATTCCAGTCTGACGTCTGGGAAGCTGAGACTAAACCTGATGACGACAAGATCGCAATGTCTGGACCCAGTGACGCTGTTCAGAAAGAGGCCGCTACTGATGATCCGCAAGAGAAGGGAGACGACGACGATGACGACAGCAGACAGACCCAGGAGCAGCACAGAATCGCCGCTGTACAAGATCGCGACGGAGGAATTGAGCCACCCCCAGGGTCACAGGACAAGGCCGACCCAGATGTGAACGGGGAACTACATGACTTCTGAGGCGGATCTGGCACCATGATGCACATAGGCTGCCCTTGCTCCTCCACCTTCATCCCCTGGAATGCTTTTTTATTTTTCCTCACAAGGACACCCGATATAGCTCGGACTCTGAGCATATCGAGGCGTTGCAGGCGTTTATGCGATTATGGGAGGTTGCATACTTCCTAGGCCAATGGGGCCGTCAGTCAACGCAGCACACATCTTTTGTTTTGGAGGCTCCATTTTGGATGTTTCATTTGCTTTTGGGAAGGAACGAAATCGAGCGCGGTCCTGTCTTTGCAGCGTGCATTTGTTTCACCTCCTCTTTTCCTTCGCTATTCTCCCTTTTCTTCTTTCTGCGCTTTTGTTTCCGACAACTCATGTGCGGTTTTTTCTCTTGCAGCCCTCATACTCTCTCACGCATCTCTACGAGGAACTCCGAACAACGGCTTTTTCATTTCCCCAACTTTTATTTTTCAACCTCTCTTTACCTGGTATCTTTGCTTCCCCACTGGGACAAGACATTAGACAGCGGATGGGATCTACAGCAACCGGTGGCTATTTTTGTGTAAGGACTAAGGACAAAGGACACGAGGACAGAGGCCTGGATAGGCAGAACGATAGCGCGGCGTAAAAAGACTTGTATGCATAAGAATTTCCGAAACCTCCTTTTACAATTTCGATCTCATTAAAATGCGCCTTCCGTACAAGGTAGTGCCTGAGAAGATCATCGTATTTTGGTTCTGATGATGACGTGAAGGGCAAGAGTAAGCTAGTTTATTGCATGGGTTTATCGAGCTTGATCATCGCTGATCGTTACCTCAACGAAGTGCGTTTCTGTCCGTAAACCCTTGCATCTTATTCAGATGGTATACACAAGAGCCGCACGGCGGTATAAGCACCAGCTCGACCATTTCCAAACACGGACTACCTACACCAAGCCCTGGCAACGAACTTCGACACATTCCTCCCATTGGCTATGGACCCCTGTTCACTATTACTCTACATTCTATGCACAGAAGAGTTGCGAGACCTGTTGCATCAGAGTTGTTAGCGACCAGCAAGAGAAAAGAGATAAAGAACAGTAAGGAAGCAAGGAACAAACTCACCATCTTCTAAACGTCTTTCCCTTGTAATAGAACAAGAAACCAAACAAACACCACAACAACACCAAAGAACCATTCGTCATGATCGGAGGAATGAAACCACTACTCTCAACCCAAGGCGTGATGAATTTGGAAAATCCATAGCCCCAGACGTTTTTGTTCACCGTGATTGCGACGAAGAGGGGTCCGGCGACGGGTTTGTAGGAGTCGACGGCGTAGGTGGATACGATCGAGGGGATGGAGGCGACTTGCATGCCGGCTGCTCCAAAGGCGATTACGACAATGACTTGCCAGGGCCATTTTCTTTCCATGCCGATGGCGGCGACGATATTGCCGATGTACATGACGATTACGTAGGGGATCATTGCTATGAGACGCATTTCGGGCTGTAAAGAGATGGTTCGTCAGTGGTGCTACAGTGTGAGTTGGAGGCTGGCATTTCTTACCTCACGAATACCTCCATTTCTCTTTGTGGCTCTGGCAGCAACCCAATCACTCAATTTTCCGGATGTGGCCAGACCGATAATGGCGCCAATGAGAATGGCAAAATTGAAGAAACCAATGTCCTCAGAGGAAAAGTTGTATGGCGGTGCAGCAAAAGCTTGAGCCTGTGTCAAGTTCAGAGTAAGGAAAGATGAGCACGACCAACTGCAGACGAAAGCAGCAAACTCGACAATGGGGAAAGCGAACAACTTCCAGGGAAGCCAGAGATCAATGGCCATGCTCTTCCAAGGGTGCTCATTTGACTGCCACAGCTTCCACTGTGACTTGGAGGGGTATCCTTTTCCGAGGAAAGGGTCGCGGTCTGCAGTTTTTGTTGCTGCTAGCTCGGGCATACCGGTTTTTGATTCGATCGGGTGGATTTCGATGTCTTCGACTCGGCCAGTCTGGAGCTTGTCTGCCACGGGTGGTGTCGCGTTGTTGGCCTCGTAGCTGCTGGGAGTGGCAATCTCGTTGGGATGAGGGCGATGATACTTGGTCTCAGGGAAGGCGAAGATGACCATGAGAAGCGACACAGCGACCAAGCCAACATTGAGCCACCAGAAAGAACGCCAACCTAGGCGATCTGACATGACACCTGAGATGATAGGTCCAACCATCAAACTACCCATGTATGCCGTCCAATAAACCGTATTCTGGAAGCCACGGTTGTGCAGGAAAAAGACATCTGCAATGACAGCAGGCTGGATAGACTCGGCAGGACCAGCACCGAGACCGTTCAGCACACAAGCACCCATGAAAGAGCCGTATGTTTTTGCCTGAGCTCTCCAGATCATACTAGCAAGACAGATCAACTGACTAGCAATATAGACAACTCGACGTCCGAAGGACGAACTAAGTGGCACCCAGATGAAGTTACTGAATCCGAGGATGAGAATACTGACACCAGTAAACTGCACGGCATCAGCGAGCGAGCAGTCAAATGCTTCAATGTAGTATCCGAAGGCCGGTGCGAGAGCAAGTGGGCCGAAGCCTTGACTGAAGGATACAAGACTGCTAGAGGTGATGGCGAGGAACTTCCATTTCATCGACCAATTGAGAGGATCGTGTGGGTCGGCGGAGGGTTGAGGTACGAGAACACCATTGTGGCCTTTGACGAAGTGATGACTACCCACATCCGTCATGATCTCGGTACCAGGTAAGATCTCCATATGTAGTTCTTCCTCGATGCGATGCATCTCTGCATCGGTATAGTTCATCTCCATCTTGGCAGAAGGAGGGGTGTTCCCTTGCTCGATGAATCAATGGTATAGATGTGACCACGCAACACAGGGTTCGAGGGGTGTGCAGAAGTGTAGGCGTGTTGAGAAAGCGAGGAGATGAAGATCAGAATCTGTCAAAAAAGACAAAATGCACATGGACTAAGAAAAGGGGACTGCAAAGATCTTCAGGACCCATCCACCCTTATATCATTTCTCCTACCTCCCGGCGCCCTCGGACTCCACACCTCAGCATCCCAATCGTCCAATCGCAGGTTCGCACTTGCAAACCCGGCAGTCGATATCAGAGACCCAGCAGACACCAAAAGAGTCGAGAAGGAAAACGCCACCCCCAAGCGGGGTTTGTCTGGGGAATAACACGCTAGCAGACCAATCCCCCACGTTCTCCATGTCTTTGGTGTGGAGTGGATCGCAACCAAGCATTATTGGCAAGCCTTTTTCCTTTGCCCTCTGCACCATCTGACTCTTTTGCCCTACTGCTCTTATCTGCCGTTTTACGATCTCAGCTCTACCGGTGTCGCTCGGCTGATCTAAGAAAGTTTTGTCTACTTCCATAGCATGCATCATGGGGTTTGGTTTGTGAGTCTTGGGCGACAGGGCAGTTGGTTGATGTTTCTTCGGTTGCGAGACACGGCAGTTGTTGCTCGAGAGTAGATGGCAGAAGGAGCGGACGCGCGTGCGCGATGTTCCGTCTCGAGCGCTGGCTAGATCGATCACTCCCCCACGGCAGTTACGACTTGCGGCTGGCCTTCCAGACCACGAGATGCGATTGCAAAACAAAGGTCTTTCATTTCGGATATCTGAAGAAGGATGTTGATGTGTGCTTGAGTAACGTGGCACGAGGCTGCCATGTGGTCTTGTTTGGGTTTTGTGGTCATAGGTCTGGAAGCACAATGGGTGTGCAAGAATCTGCTGTGATCTTTGGGTCGCTCTCGAGAATTCGAGCTGGATCTTCATGGATTTGTGCATTGCAACCCACACCACGATATTCTGATTAATCCTCGAGCACAGATGCATGCGAACGATTCGTTCAATCTAAACCTAGAAAGAGTACCATCAATGTCGCAGCCGTCGAAGGTGATATCGTGAGCTTGAGCTTGCCATTGATGGTTGAGAGGACGACCCTGTCAGGACTGTAGCAGTCATCTTCACACCAAATACTCCCAATAAACAATTTTACGATTGACGCCTAAAAAGCCCGTCCGTTACACCACTGGCTGACCGAGAGTATATTCCGAGTGTTGAGTGATCATTGACGACGGGAACCTTTATTGCATAGCCGATGCCTAACCATAGCCGAGGTCACCACTACCGTAACCGGTATCCAAGGTAATCACTGGTGTCAGAGTCTCACGGGAATCAGCTTGATCCCCCTCGAAGCAGTGCATCGGGCCAAACAGCCTTGTGGCAAGCACAGATAAACGAGCTTCTTCACTATGTCGAAACCACAATGCGAAAGTGTTATTTAGCATCGCTTACGAAGATCGAGCACCCTAGAACGACGCCAGAAGATCTATCTTGCCATTGTGGTCTTCGTTTACTCCATTGTGTTACGGATTTCTGCCATAAGTGCTAATGTTTGATCGTCATCAGTTTGTTTGCTGAGCTTCCGTCCCAATCATTTGACGGTTCTTTCTACATTCTTCAACAGGGCGAGTCGAGAGGCGCACCCTTTTGTCGCGGTCAACCGACATCGACTCGACAAATTCATCATGGTCAAGACCAAAGACTGAGGCAGTATTGTAGTGTTGTCTTCATGGGTGGCTTCAGCCACTTCGCCTACACATCACCCATGCTGGAACTATGCTGTGTCATGAAAGAGCATGCGTCTACGCTGTTGGTCTGCAGCAATCGTTAGGAATCTGTACAGAATAAAGCGAGCAGCTCAAGACAAGCGAAAGAGGCCTCAAGAACGTTTGCGCAATGTCTTGGTCTTTAGAAGATATACGCAGAGCACCTAGTCATCAGCAAACACCAGAGGTCAGTCAGCTATACTTAAGCCTACTCAATCCGATTTAATAGCTGAAGCACATCCGATCTTCATTGCGCCTTACTACGCCAGTATCACACACGATATGACAAACCCAAGCAAGTCCGAGGTGTCCCAGGACGAGAACGTGAGTGTACGTGCCATGCTTGAACGGCCTCAGCATCCAAAGCACTTTCCCTAACATTAACCGGTCTCAGAAAAAGTCGCCCAAGTGGATAGAAGTCGAGGACCTCAAGGCATACTACGCTACCCACGACCCTCCTGGTCGCAAGTATCCAGCCCCAACCGATGCAGAGTTCGAGGACTTCCACATCGATGCCTCAGCTGGAATCATTCAAGATGATGGACCTACTGCTGGCCAGATGAAAGAGGCCGCCAGGCTCGCAAGAAAGCCTTCAGGAAAATCAATTGTCAAGTCAGGAGCCCAGGCCGACGCAAAGGCTGCCGTGACAGCCAAGCCACCCATGACGAACACCAAGAAGGTGGCATACGAGGGTAAAGGCAAAGGCAAAAAGGTAGAAAGTAGCGACGAAGAGGATGAGGAAGAAGAAGGAGAAGAAGAAGATGAGAAGATGGAACCTAAAGAGGACCCCAATGCGAAGAGGTACAAGAACTGCAATGAATGTTATTGGTCGAAGGTCAAGTGCGAGCCAAGCGAGGAGTCGGGTGATGACGGAGCAAGGATCTGTGAGAGATGTGTCGAAAAGGACCTTCAATGCCACATCAGCATTGTAGGCACGCGACCAGTGGCTCGTCCTTCGTGGTCACCGGCTCCACGGGTCCGTCCTGCATGATACTTCGAGTCAATGACTTCATGGGCAGAGAGCCACATTCGACTTGCGCAGACTGGTAGGATGGAACAACGACAGCGATACATATCCCTGGAGAAGATAAATATACAGTCATGCTGCTCTTTCGGTCGTCTCAGATGATCGCGTGTCGTCGAGACACCACTGTACCGTAGCTTAGCTCGTTGTCAAAGCATCGCCAGGCAATATCCACAATCGTTACACTTTCTCCATGCTTCTGCTTGCCAATGTTGCCGCTTCAGTAGTCAAAAGTAGTCGATTCTCCGTGTGAATTGTGTACGCTCGAAAGAAAGATTGTACACAGCTTTTGCCTTGGGTAGGTCTGAGGATAATGTGACCTCCGAAGGGAACGTCTGGATGATATGTCTGAAGGCGACAAACACATCATAGCGTGGTTTCCAATCAGCCAAGATGATGAGATTGATGAGGCAGCATGATTGACGCTTTTCGATAGTAGGCTTTAGATATGAGTTATTCGGAGTGAAACGAGGGAACGAGCTGAGCCTGAGATATAATCAATCAACACACGTCATGTTTGGCCATAAGTCATGGTCGCGACGGTTTCGCGTCTCTCAATGACGCGCCCATGATCCCGATGGCTCATTCGTGAACACGAAACACAGCATGCACTCTTACGCGCACAACGGAAGATGCTCTCTGTCGTATGCAATCACGAAGCTCATGATATTGTGAGAGTATGAGCGTAGACGAGCAGTAAGTCGGAAACATATCTCTGACTGCAATACATACATCAAGCATATATTCAAAGCTTCAATCATTTTCATTTGTGGGTACTCTTTCTATTCTCATCACACTAACCATGAAGACTCTTTCGAATAAGCTGGCGATAGCGACTCCTTCGTTGGGTCTGCACGAATCAAATTCTCTGGACCGCAAAATACGTGCAGCATCCGAACAGGGCTTCGCTGGCATCGAGATTGTCTTTGGCGAGCTCGAGAGACACAGCCACAACCATCGCATCACTATTGATGCCGCCGCTCGAGCTGTTCGTCAGATGTGTGACATCTATTCCCTCGAAGTGATATCTCTGCGTCCGTTTGTGGATTTCCAGGGAAGTCGCACAAGTCTGGAAGCACGGTTGGCAAAAGCCAGTCTATGGTTGGATATTGCTCGCATCCTAGGAGCCACCTTCATCCAGGTTCCTTCCCAATTCGACATCAAGGCTTCCAGAGCCGAGGATGTGATCGTGCGAGAGCTCCAGCAACTGTCAGATCTTGCCAGTTTTGGATCGCCCGTCGTCAAAATAGCCTACGAACCTATGTCATGGGGTATATGCTACCCAACATGGGAAACGGCTCTTCGACTCACCAACCTTGTTGACCGCCCAAACTTTGGGATTTGTCTTGACACTTTCCATATTGGCACCAGACTTTGGGGTAGCCCTTTAGTGGCCTTCGGCAAGTACCTCAATGCAGATGCTCATCTGGTGGATTCTCTTCGTCGCTTCGTAGCAGAGTTCCCTCTCGAGAAGTTGTTCTTCGTACAGCCATCAGACGCGGAGCTACTTGACCCTCCTCTGTCGACATCACACCCTTGGTACGTAGAGGGCGAGGCAGCACAGATTACATGGTCGAAGCACGCAAGACCTTTTCCGCTAGAGAATGACATGGGAGGATATCTGCCTGTTGCCGAAATCTTGAAGGCGTGGGTTGTCGACAAAGGGTTTACGGAGTGGATCTCGTTCGAAAGCTTCGACCGCCGTATGGCCGACGAGTCCTACGATCCCAAAGGAGCTGCTGTCAGAGCTAGACAGTCCTGGCAGAAGATCCTACCCCTGATCTTGCCAGCAAGAGCTACCTTGTGATGATCACAATGGTCTTACGGACGAAGTTGTTATGACAAGATATGTGAAACGAACCGATTCTCAATTTCCATAAATACTCGATGCAAGCTTGAACGTTTAATGGAATGCTCTACAGTAGAAATTACACCTGTAGCGAGAGTGTCGCTCAAGTCCTTTGATTGACTTGATCCATATGTCTCGCAGCAAAGCACTGGTGTGACGGACAACACGACACAGCAGCCACAGAGGGTCCAAATTGGAAGCCGCTTGCGCATTTCGCTTGTGCGGACGTGCTTTGCGGCACGGAAGTGAGGTGGGGCTTTCTGCACACGGGCCCAACGCAATGGTGCTTGGGCCCCCTGTTCCACCGCGAGTGGTTCGAAGTTTGTTGCTGCAGATGTGTGTCTATCGAACCTGGTGTTTGGGTTGAGTTTGGTCGACTGCTGGGATGGCTGTAACTATGATCGGAATCAACAGAAACAGTCACCATATCATGCCCATTGTAAAGCTGCCAGCCGAGTCAACTCGTTTCTACACTGCAACCGAGGCATAAAGCACTACAGACGTTCGATAAAGCCCAAGTTCCGGCAAAGTTGCAATCCATTTGAAGCCGCAACGTCGCGCGAGGGCGCTTCCGACAACTTCTAGACCTGCACCTGTATTTCTACATTTGGCAAGTGAGGTGGGAGTGGCTTCACGTCTGTAAGCTTTGCACTTGAGGCCTTCTGACTTCTCTTGAAGACCAAAGAAGGTTTCCGATCTCGAGACGCGAGTGTTTCAAGTTGCGCAGTGACAACCATCTTTCTTTTTGTCACGGTTGATGATGTATCTTGCTTCGTAATCACGGCAGTTGGTGGATCAATTCTAGGGACTGCTCATTGACCTCGGCGTGGGACATTGTGCACCAGTAAGGGCATTATGTTATAAAATTATGGCATGAAGACTGAGCTCTCTCCAAAGCAAGTAACCTATTGATATTACGCCAGCGCTCGAAATGCAAGACAGAAATCAAGAACAAGTAAGCCTCTTCGACTACACTCGCTCGTAAGCCTGTATCGGCCGTGGTGAGGTGTTTCCAGCCCCGATTCTCTCCTCTTCGCCTCCACGACTTTGTATCCTCTCCTCGAATGTATCGATTTGAACACTGTGGAGGATACCACCCTCATGGAGTTTATTCGAGTTCGGTACGATCTCCTCCTCGCTGTCCGTCCGCGACACTCCGGCCCATTCAGAATCGGCACCTCCACGAATTGTGACCGTCGTCTTCATGGTGGCTCCTTTGCCGGCAAAGTCTTCCAAGGCTGTGGCCCCACTATTGGTGTAGACATGATTGCCATTCTTGTTGCGCTTCCAAGTCCTTGAGTTTTGCGCGGTCGAGCTCGAGATACCCATCAAAGACATGAACCTTTGTAGAAGTGGTCGCAAAGTGCCCAGATTACCAGCAGTAATTCCGATTCCGACCTCGACTGTGGTCCAGATGGCCACATCAGCCGTTCGCCAGAGGAATTCGCCTTTGTACTCCTTGATGGTCCAGACGTAAGGTAGTCGAATTATGGTCGCAGAACTTCCTACTGCAGCGAAGCCCAGAATGACTGCAACCACAGCTTTTTGATGACGATGCATCTGCAAGTCCTTCACGATAAAGATGGGTAGAATGCCGAAGACCCAGTCCGCCACCGAATTCAATGCTGAGACCACATAACTGGTGTCGGCCATGACCGAAGCGCTCAAACAATGACCATGATGATTCGGATCAAGATCCCACCAGAAGGAAATAGGCTTGCACTGGAATAGCACAATGCAGAAGTAGGTAATACCAAGTACTCCGCTGCAGTACATGATAAGCTTGATAATCCGGACATGCCATTTGTTGTTTGCAATCCGCAGGAAGAACAGGCCAATGGAGACCTTGAGCATCGATGTCGCCAAAGTGTAGAAGAGCTCACAGAAGAACCAGTACTAAAAAGTCTGTCAGGTGTTGTGCGATGCCGAAAGAGACATTCCACTCACCATAAGACCGATCTGAGCTGTGGCATCTGTCATCGTCTCACGACGTCTACCATTTCCATGTGCAAGACTGCCGAGCTGACATATTAGGTATCCTGTGAAGAGAAGCAAAGTCGCGAGCATAGCTCCATCATCCCATCCGACCTGGTTCAGCACTCGAGTTCTGGAGAACGGTCAGCTTATTGTCTTCTTGTGGGCAGCACTGAACGCACTTCACGTATACTCGTAGCCCCACAGATATCCAAGAGAGAACCAAGAAGATGACGCATACTGCCAGAATCTGGCTAGACCTGTCTTGCATTTTGCTGCCAGTGAATGTCGTTTGTGATAATGAAAGAGTTTCGAGTAGACTGTTTATGATGACATGACCTGCGAATAGAGAACAATGAAAAGAAGGACTGGAAAATGAATGTAAACAGGGTTGTAGAAAGGAAAATCAGGGGAGTAAAAGGTTAAAAGACCTAGCTTCGCAATCGATTACCGTCCAGTCATATAAGGACTTGCATTCGTGACAGTCGGTCCCCTACCGAGAGGCGCAGGTGCACATCAGAATCCAAATAGAAAGTCCCGTCTTGTGGAGCTCGCCCAACGTGTCCATCAGTGCTGGTCAATAGCCAAAGGCACTGGCTAGTATTTTAGCTTTGTAAATCTCGCTACCAGGGCCGCCGGCAAGCCTAAAAACCCGTGGCCCTTGCTCGCACCGGTCAGTCTTAGGAATCACGCCAAGCCATTTCTCACATTGGATTCTGAAACCATGTGTCGTCGCTGACCTCAGAGCTGTGACCTGGGTGATTCCGAAAGTGTTAGATGACTCGTGAATGGCCGTCTAAAATCGTGATTTGTATATCGGGTGGGCCTGAACAATGCTTCGTGTCTCGGGATGGCTCCCGCAACGCAATTGGACAACCATTCCCACGGTCAATCTGGTTGGAGCAATTATTGGAAGCGTTTAATATATATTTGATCAACGACTCGGTACTTCCCTGCCTTCTCAGCCGTCTCTTCCCACATCTCTGAAGTCTTCATGTGAGTTCAGGACTCGTCGACCGTTCGAGAAACGATTTAAACGACACCACGCGAACAAACTTTGCTCTCGTGCAGTGTGGCTTTGCATGGGTCTCTAACAAGGGTGAGGACGTTCTGTCGAGGGGGACACGACGAAGCACCCGTGCCTGCCGGCACGCAAGAACCTCGTTCGTACTTGAGTCGGTGTGCCCAGATTCAGCTGGGATGTTTGACTCCTGAAAGGTTGCGTGCGTTGCTTTGAACGAGCTTCAGATCCTCCGCGTTATCACGCGCTCATCCTGCTGTTCAGCTTGACATGCCCTAATTATCCAACAACGCGGTTATCATCGGCTGATCGGAGTGAACCTGCTATCTCGCCAACCCTACATTGTGACTACATCTCCCATCAGATAAGAGAATACATAGCACCATATAGCTTTCTTGTATCGAAAAAAATCACATTCTGACACCTCATCGAAAATTCTCTAAACTCGGGAACAAGCAAGACGAAGCAATTGGCACCAAAATGGCATCCGCGGACAAGCCCCATGGAGCTCCTCAGCCGGCGTACCTTCCTACAGCGGGCAGCATCTTGAATGCCGACAAAGGCTTCTACGACTCTCTAGCCAGCAGCAAATCCAGAACACTACAGCAAACCATCAACATCCCGCCACGCTCTGCCAAAGCATGGAAAGTTCCCGCCGGCAGTATCGTCCGCTTCTCCACGCCAGAAGGCGCTCAAGTAGGAGATTTGAACATCTGGAATCTGGCCAACCCGCGCGAGCGATTCTGGGCATCTCGCACGAGACAACTGCAAGCTAGTCATGTCACTGTGTATGATCGACTCTGGAGTTGCTTGCCTTATCTTAGACCTATGGTCACAATCATCGCGGACTCGTTGAAGGACTATGGCGTGGATCAATGGGGAGGCAGATGTCATGATCTTCTTGGCACTCGTTGTGATCCCTATGTAAACACAATGTTGACCGGAGATCAGTATGACTACCACTGTCATTCGAACTTGACCAGAGCCGTTGTGCCCTATGGATTGACGTAAGACTTGCTTTGACTTCTTTGACAACAGCATCAACTGACTGGCTTTTAGTGAGTTCGACGTCCATGATGTTATCAACATCTTCCAAGTCACTGGCCTGAATGCCGAGGGTAAATACTTCATGGAACCAAGCCCAGCAAAGAAATCCGATTATCTTGAGTTCTTCGCCGAGCAGGATGTCTTGATGGCACTATCTGCATGTCCTGGAGGTGATCTCAGCGCTTGGGGATGGGGAGAAGGAGGCGCTGGGGAGGAGGGTGAGAAGAAGAGCATGCTTGACTGCTGTCGCCCACTCAGAGCAGAAGTATACAGCCTGGACGACAAGTCGTTACTGGAAGGCTGGAAGCAATTTGAGCCACCGAAATATACTGGAATCCACGGTATGAAGGTGCCAGTTGGAGAGAATGTGTAGACATAATCCTGATCAAGCATGCCTGGAAACAAGAAATGTGTCACATGTTGTTGCATCGAAGCTGATTCACTGTCGAGACCAAAAGCAAAACTATCCTGGTCCCGGCTAGGAGTCGAACCCCAGCCCCTCCAGCTATACCCTTATAACTTGTCAGAATTCATTTATTACCGTAGTCCTCTGTTTGGTGTAACGGCTCAACCTCTCATGACCCACAAACCAAAAAAGCCCCCAGGCTCCGCCGTATGTCAAAATTGCAACAGGCAGCTGGATGACCGACATCTCAGTGACTCAGATCATGGACCTGGGATGGCTTTCTAATACCGAGGTGCTAGTTTTGCTATTTTGTTTTGCATAATAGTTTCTGCGCCTTATACAATGCGAGCTTCTTATTGCGCTCTACACTCTTCAGCACTCAGCTGGCTGCACGAATAAATCACGAAGAGTTTGCCTTGACAAGCTGTATTACCTGTGATTGATGATTGCAGGTAATATGAGTTCTCTCAAGTATATCCCGGGATGCCATGCGCTCTTCCATATTGGCCAATTGCCGCATCAACATTATCGAATCATCTGCTGCGAATCTCAGACCAGGATGCTTGTACTTTTGGGAGATGCTCGTCAATCGCTTGCTCGCCCCGTACAATTACTCCAGGAAGTACTTAAGTACGGGCGTCCGATGTTCAATCGCGTTAGAGAAACTAGACTATACCTGCTCGTACGGTAATTGGCTAAGCAAGCCAATTGATTATCGCGATTCCTGAGGATGAGTCGCAAGTACTCTAGAGGTGATAAGATACTGAATGTGTTCCGCAACGGTCGTCGAACCGATCAAGCTTGTATCGAGGCCATTGATTCTCGCATAGCTAGATCCATCGAGGCAGAAACGCTGTTTATGACCGAAAGATTGCAGCCACACGCTCCCAGTCACCCAGGAAGGCAAATTATCCTGTGGAAATGTCGCAATCTTTCCAAGGTGTACGTGGCCCTAACACCAGGTCATTCAGTCTTCGGACTAAGGAGTTTGCATCGTCATTATCACCGCTTCTCTGTCGTGAAGTGGATGCTTGGCAAATTTTCGGCCGAAAATTATAGAGATGGCGGGCGTTTGCAACAATGTTGCTTATCGCTAAGATGTTGGCATCAATATTGGGGAACCAATGTTTGCAAACTGTCTGCTGATTCGTTGGCAACACACAGACCATCTCATCACCCATTCTAGGATGTTCGACCTATGACCACAGCGCATCCGGATTGACAACGCCATTGAGTGACATATTATCAGGCATCTTGTTCAATTGCTCTAGCCAGAAGGTGGCATCAAAGTCATTGATCTGCGGCACATCGGTCCAAGATGGCATATCCGCAGCATCGTGCATTGGCAGATATCCAGTATTTTCGACCATGAACTCAGTACTAATAGGTGCTAGTGGTGTCGAATCGAGCATGGAGGTAGTCGTTGGTATGTAACCACTATCCTGGCTTGGTGCGGACTCCGGGCTACTGGTGTTGGGTGAGCCCGAGAGGTTCTGCTGCAAAGAGTCTCGGACTTTGTCGTATAGCCGCTGGACAACAGGTAAAGCTGCTCGAGCCACTATGTTGGACGCTTGTATATTGACCAGAATCGATAACGCTTGCTTGATCTTCTTCTCGATCGGCTCGATCTGACCGTGGCTTGGGTAGACGAGGGCGATGGCAGCGAGCGTAATAGCTGCGTTGGCGGGATAGAATCCAAAGCCGAAGTAGACGTAGTGATGTTTTCCAGAGAAGTCCATGAGAGCGTGCTGGTTGTCTATGGAGCCGATTGCGGCGTTCATGACGGCAATGCGACTCTCTGCGTGCATCGCGATAAAAGGCCGGTGCAACTCCATGATGACCAAGTTCAATCCACTCGAAGCTTCTTCTCTATGCAGTGGCAGATATGAGAAACTAGAATCGAGATAGGTCGCCGGGTCGTTAGGGTTGATATAATGTGGCATGCCCTTCAGCAAGTTGTTGAGGCTTTCATGGAAGGCCCAAACTGAGCTGTAGTCAGCATCCTGCTTGTCCAGACCAAATTCGCGAATCTCATGAATTTTGCGAGCAACAGCATATCTAAAGAGGAGCAAAGACAGTGGCGAGGGTGTGTGTTCATCCTTCGGGATGGGCACGGTCTTGGATGGGTCGTCAGGAAAAGGACAGTCAATCGGGAGGTTAACGTCACAGTCTTTCGCGTTGATGATACGTGGTCGACCGAGGTTCATCGCAGTACCCGAGTCCCAGCAGAACAAATTCACCCATACTCGTCTTCCGTACTCTTGGGACCAGAATTGCTCGAGGTTCTTTGCAAGCTCGGGACTGTTTGCAACGGGTCGTGGCTCTCGATGTAAATTCAATTGTTGTGCATGTCTGAAGTTGTCAGAAGGAGTGCTTGTAGATATTCAGACAGCTAGGTTGGACTTACCGGATACCATCACTGATAGCGTACCAGCTCTCAATCCCGCGACCGTTGTTCTTTAGCCAGCTCGCTCGGAGCAAATCATAGTCAACAACAGTAATGGTGCCATTGTGCCGACCAAGGAGTAACAGGAGCTCAGAAGCTACATCGTTGTACCTTCGGGACATATAGACAGCGGCTTTCTCATTGGTCGCATGCAGTAAACGAGCTATCTCTCGATCGTGTCGCATGTACTGGAGAATGACAGCAAGTAGCTCGAACGAAAATACCACGAAGTACGGCAAATCCTTACTGACGCCAGTACGTTGCGAAGCTGGTGTGCTGACTATTGTCGTCCACCTTTCAAGTTGAGCATCCATGTAGCATTTCTGACCAACATTGTATCGCCAATGCACCTCGTCGAAGTAGTAGTTGAATGCTTTCGCTAGCACCCCAGGGTCTGGAAGCTGAGCAGCGAGGATCCAGAACTTCGAGCATGGCTTGTTCTGGTCAAGGGGAGCTCTGGATGATACTTGGAAGACTTCTTCATCCTCAAGTAGCTGAATTTGATAAGCAAGAGTCTTGGAAAGGAGAACATTGATGATACCTTCTTCAGATCTGTGAAAGCATGAACATCGTAGAAGGACGAAAGTGCAGTACCGTCGGATGCAGTTTCTTGGAGGGTCGGATCATCTTCAGTAGTGTCATCGGCCGAAACAGGCGAGTGTGATTTGGATTCTGGTGCTGTGGATTGCGATCTTTTTAGTGTGTCAGATCAGATGCTAGAATCGTCGCGTTTGGATGGTCCTACGGCTGCTGTTCATAAATACATTTTGCTGCCACATTTCGGCCTACGCAATTTTGGCATGGCTTTTTCCTGTCGCACTTTGAAAGTCAGCGCGACTGCCATCATTTTCGGCCGACGTGTTGATTGCACCTTCTGCTTTCGTCTGTAACCGAATTAGAACAAGAGCTTCGCAACCAAGCTTAGATGACATAAACTGACCTATAACATTCTAAACATGCTGTCACAACGCGTTTTCTTTTGGCAGGAGGTGCCGCATTCAGCTTGGTATCTGTGACATGCTCCATCGGGTTGTGCGAAAGAAGGTGACCAGGTTTCACGTCGTGGTGTTATCCTGTCGAGAACGGTCTTGCCAAGCGGAGAATCGTCGGAGGCTTCAAGCTCTTGTTGACAACGACTTGGTCACGAACTCTGTTTCCTTGTCAACCTCCTCGCTTCAACAGACCAATTATGGTCAGATCAGGGACGATACGAGCAGACTTGCAGTGACTGAGGATGGGCGCTGTCTTCTTAAATGGAATCTGGAGCCGGTCTGAGTCTCAAGAAGGCCCGAACCCCGCTCCTCCCTTTGGCTCCGTCAAGAATGCCATGAAACAATGCTTGTCATAGCACGTTGTGTACTCTGCTCGATGGCTGACAACATACTCATGTTCATATTCCTCAAGTAGGTCGTCTAGCCTCCTCTGAATCAACAGTCTCCAAGCAGTATGTTCTCAACGACCACCAGCGCACAGTTGCATGCTTCTGTTGCCAGTTTCCATTTTGCTCGGACTTTACACTCACATCCAGGTCTTCTCCGACGACGCGCAATACGTGCTTGACATATCACTTGGCGAGAACGTGAACTACCAACCACGCGGTCCAAACATCCCATCCTACAGCTCCGCCACCTTTGCAATCTGATTGCAGCATCGCACATCCCAATAATTCATGCCGTCATACACGCTGGGAGCAAACTTCTGAGGCACAGCCTAGTGCGATCCGATCAGGAGTTGCATGGATGGTGTAGTTCAACTGCTGAGGTCTGACAGTCACCACCGACGTGCGCTCTTTGTCCAGCGTTGACCATGCCATACCATCAGATCGCTTCACCACATCCTCCAAGTTATCAATACCTGGAAGTCATCTACACTTACGGACTCTCTGAATATAGATAAATCTATCATGAGCTGGTCAAATCTACGACTCTTGCCAAAGGATTGCCTTTCGGCATGTGTGTGTGACACGACAGACCCCGAAACAAGCCTGAGGTCGACACACCAAACCGTACAGCCCTTTCGTACCAACTCTCCCTCATACTGGGACCAAGTTCGGCAACAAGAGCAGTCAGTCACGACCACTACCTGTTCTCTTTGCTCCGACGAGTGAAACCCAAGTCAAGTGGACGTTGCCCGCCTGAGAGGATACTCCGGGTCGATGCATGAGATTTTACTTCACGGTATGCAGGGGATCCCGAGACAGCGCCGTGTTGGTAGCCGTGATGATCTTCCGTATTGTGACGGAAGTAGAGCTATGCCTTGCGGGATACTGGTTTCATCTCTTATTCTCTTTGTTTCCCTAGTTCAGTAAAACTTTCCCCCCTGTCCCCTTGCCAATGATCTCTCTCGTTGCCCGTCACGACCTGTTCCCCTATCCCCTTTCCGGTCTCCTCGCTACGCAGCACGAAGACATCTACAATTCCCTTCTTGAAGAAAGGTAGATATGTAGGGGGGGAACACCATCGTTATCGATCTAGAGACCATATCGATCGTTTAATTCTCCTGCCTTTTGCGTTCTTTCTTTTTCCTGCAGCGGATACAGTGGCTAAGGTGGTGTGTACGGTAGCGGCATTTTCTCTATTCTTGAGCTTGTTCCTGGATACAGGAGCAAGGTTGTGCAAACAGAGAAGGTGGATAGAGTTTACATATATAAACACACACACAGACCAACGGGCAAGGAGAAGCAAAGAAGAAGTAAGAAGGGTGATACACTACCAAGGATCCTCGCACTACTAGAACGAACGCATCAAAGCCTGCACTAGTCTAAATATCCCTTGTATCCAATTTCTTTCTCCCTAATGAATACAAAGCTGGGTATAGAGCTTTAGACAGAGATGATTCATATCTAGAGTACATAGCTCGAAATAGGAGAGATAATGACGGGAACAGCGGATATTTGAAAAGACTGTCGTGGGGAGATAATAATCACAAATAATTACGCCGACGTTGCCCCCCGTCTACTACGGTGATCTAGGTCCAAAAGGCGTAGCAGCAGGCGTAACGAATTCTTGCCCATCGGTACAATAGCCATCTGTCCCTGCATCACTCTCCCCCTCGTGTCCCCTCCCCTCTACGTCCCTCCCCCTCTCAGTCTCCGTATCACTAAACGCAACTTCCTCCCCCTCCCCCTCACCCCCATCTCCCTCTTCCTTCTCAAAATCTCGTACTTCAAGCTCTTCACCACCTTCCACCCACACTTTGGCCAATTCGTCTTCAATCTCCTCTTTCCTACGTCGCCATCCCTCCACTTTCTCGAGTCTTTCTCGTAATTCGGCAATTTCCTTTTCCACGCTGTCTTTTTCGCTTTCTGTGCCGATGCGCTGCACTTCCCACTCGTCTCCTTGAGCTCCAAGTCCCAGTGTCAAAACAAAATCATGATGGCGCTTCAGACTCGCTCTCGTGGAGATGGTGAGCAGAGTGACTCCCCTCTGCTTGAGCGTCTCGTAAAGTAAACCCTCCACATCACTGCTCACGGCAGAAGTCCCTTCATCTATGACTGCAAAAGCCGGGGCATGATACAGCAATCTCGCAAAAGAAATCCTCTGTTTCTCTCCTCCCGACAGGACGTCTTTCCACGTCTTTCTGGTGTCGAAGCCGCCTTCACGGGTGGGCAAGTAGCCGAGACGGACATCGGTGAGGATTTGTTCGAGTTCAGAGTCGCGGCGTGAGGAAGCGCGCATGTCGAATTCGGTGTGTGGGTAGATGATCTGGTCGCGAAGGGTGCCAGGGGAAAGATAGGGCCGTTGGGGGAGGAACATGATGCCATCTTGTCCCACGCTGCGGGGGCGAGATACCAGACCGCGATAGACGGGCCAAAGACCAGCCAAGATACGGGCGACTGCGCTTTTTCCTGCACCGTTGGGACCAATGATGAGGATATGTTGGTTGGATTGGATGACAAAGTTGAGGTTGTCGAGGAGCTCTTCTCCGCCTTGGGGCCAGAGACCAGGGGCTACAACGGGTGCGTTTTCGAAGCGCACGCCGGAGAAGCCTTTGTGTAGAGTTCCTTGTACGTCTGCGAGAGAGTAGAGTTCAGGGTATGTGTTGCGAGGAGGATGGTAGGCAGAGGCGTGAACGCGATGGAGTGTGCTGATAAGAGTGTAGACGCGAGAGGTGTAGCCTGCCAGTTCCGACAGGTCTTTCAGACTGTACATCATACGACCACCTGCATCAGCAAGCGAAAGCATGAGACGTTTGTTTGTGATGAAGTTCTGAGTACGATTCCCAGACTCGTCTGTTGGTGTTTGAGCCATGAGTGCGGCCTCTGAGGCAGGCCGTGTGATCTTCTTGTCACCAGCCTCTGCAAGTCCGCCCCAGGCGGGCAAGAAGACGGGCAATGAGGTGATGAGGTAGCCAAAGGCACTCCATGAGTACTTGAGCACAAAGTCTTCAAGCATGTTGTAGCGAATCTTGAGGCTGTAGATGCCCTCCATCCATCTCTTGAGCTCTTGGAAGCCCTTGTCCAAGAAGAGCTTCTCCATTTGATCGCCGCCGTAGAAAGCGACTTCTTCTGCATTGGCGATCAATCGAGCATGGAGAGCACGGAAGTCACCTTCTCGCTTGCCCTCGACAGCCTTTAGCTTACCGAATGGAGGCGAAAGTCTTCTGAGTAGTGTGGCAGTAGCAAAATAGTTGGCTAGCAAACCAGTCAAAGCCAGAGGACCTAGGGAGCGGTACAGCTGGTAGTTGAAGACCACCAAGTCTACCAGAGGCTTCCCCAGGCTCGAGTAGAGAGTGGCAGCCGAGTCGCAGAACAGAGTCAGGTCTTGAGTGACAAACTGATCCGCGCCGTGACCAATGCCTCCGTCGAGATTGGAGAGCTTGTAGAAGTTGAGGTTGTCGTTGAGGTAGAGGTCGTGAATGTAGCGAGTGAGGCGAGTGCGGAAGGCTATCGAGACCTTTGACTGCAGGAACTTGATCATGCTGTTTGTGTAGCTTGCCAGACCTCCGATGGTACACCATTTGGCGATGCCCCACAGGAAAGGCTTGCCTCTGCCGGCGACCAAGTCTCTGACAATTTCACCGTCGAGACGTGCGACGACCAGTGAGAGGTATGTTCGGAGAAGCAGGAAGACGCCATGACTGAAGAGCAGCCCCGTCTCTTTGCTGCCCCATCTTGGGATCAGAATGTTCATCAGACTGAGGAACTGATGTAGGAAGGCAAGATTCAAGCCAGGCTTTGTCTGGAGAGGAGGGACTTGGGGGAGGCTGCTGTCGCTGAGACCGACAGCTCTCGGCGGTTGCAGGAACAGGCGACGATGTGCATCGAAAGTGGTGTTCTTGGTAGGATTGATGACGACTTTTGCCGTGGACGACTTGTATGCAACGTAGATTGTGCGCGTGCCGTCCTTTGCTCTCAGCCCGGAGTTGCGCCTGAGCAGTCGGCGCCCCGTCTCCTTCTCCTTTCGGCTTTCGACCCACCACGTATAGGAGGCATAGCTTCCGCCAACGAGACCGAGAGTGAAGAAGAGCGCTGCCGCTAGGCGCAATGTGGGGGATGTACGTTTTAGTCGTCGATGGAGGCGGTCGACCAAGCGGCTGAGGAGAGCTCGGAGGGCTTCGTCCGGCTTGTGCCGTAGTGTCGACTGCGCTGCCATTGCAGATTCACATTACGCGTGGTGTTTGGTTGTGAGATGATGTCTTAGGCGCTGAGAAAGGACATGTCAGTGTGAGTACGAGCAGGCACGAAACTGGTCTCTCTTTGATCATGCACATTCCGAGGTCGCATGTGATGCTTGGCGTCCCCCACATTCCACATCCCACATCCCGCCTCCACGTTTCCGGCATGATCGGAACTTCCTGTTTGGGAACATACGAAAATAGTATTGCTGCTTCTACGAGTACAATTGAGCAGAAGACAGGAAATGCGGAACAAAGGCTGGGAAGCCATGAAACAGGGCAGAACTAACGCCAAAGAAACCAACGTGGTATAACCCGCTCCGAAACAAAATTGCTGATACACGTCTCTTACTCGCAGTCCATGGGCTGCAGGAAAGCAACATCCTCGTCGGTAAAATCTTGCAACAGCTTGTGGGGCGAGCGAGTCTTCATGCGAGCCTTGGGTCTGCTTTGAGGACTGACGATGCTGTTCTGAGCGCTCAGGTTGGGCATTGATGAGTGGCCGAGAGGGTACTTTGTCTTGGGCGATGACAGGTCGTCGAGCATCGAGTCGTTCTGCTGCTGCTGCTCGTCATCGAAGTAGTTGTCGAGATCCTCCTCGATCTCGTCTGCGTAGCTTCTCTTGAGTGTGTTGGTCTTTGGTGTTTGCGGCATGTCGATTGAAGATGCCATGGTTGACTGTGTGTATGACAGGCTGGGAGCGGACGAGGTGGGTTGAGAGTTGAAGCCGCCAATCTTGTGCAGACCACAGAAAGGAGCCAACTCGGAAGGCTTGGTGTAGAGTTCCGGCGCACTGCTGGTGGGCATCTCATTTTCAGAGTTGGCCGAGATGCTGGCGGGATGCATGTAGGACATGGTCGGCACTGGCAGTGACTTGTGTGTCTTGTATCCTTCGGGCACCGACTTGCGGACGCGCATACCGACGTTGATGAGGAGCGACTGCACATGGTCCGGTTGTTGGGGCTTCAGGGGGCGTGAGTACTCATCAATGTCTGTCGAGCATGGCGCTGATGATGAGCCCAGGCTTGTGAAGAAGGACTTGATCGACGACTGGTTCGATGCTTGGAACTGGCGCTTGCGTACATGTGACATGGTCGTGTTGTGCAGTGTGGTGTACAGTCTAGTTATGCAGCAAGATGTTGTATATGGAAGGGACACGAAGAAAGGTGGATGGAAGAGTGGCCGAAATCGAGGCCCGCTTGCGCCGACTACGCGTAAAGTGCTTCGCGAAACTTTCACGTCCCGTTGGCATGACAATCACCTGCCTTGTCCCCCTTGTCGTCATGCCACTACCCAAGTCAACCACTAATTCCGATGACAACTTCGTCCATGAGCCCGAATCTACTCCACTCTTCTATTCTTGATGTCAATCCAGGATAGCATACTGCGACAGTCAGGCTAACTAGATGCTTCGCTACCAAGACGCATTCGCCGTGACTACAGCTGCATCGATCATGGTCACAACATGGCTATTTTGCCCTATCGATTCTTGGGAATCCCGACCTGTCGCTTTTGCTTGCCCTTATGCAGCGTCGAGACCCTTCGTGGCTATCCAAGTCTAGGAATGACCATGCTGAAACTCGACTGCTACGCTAACTTTCGATGCATATTTTTGACTTTTTGACTTCTCTTGGACAAATGCCATCTATATCACGCACTTTCGCCTGCGACTCGGCTTGCACACGCCAGTATACCGCACAAGTCTCAACTGATGCTGTATATGCATCGATGCATCTCTTCGGCCTTATTTCCAAAAGTCGTCAACTCGGTTAGACGCTCGTGCCTAGAGCCGCATGAACCAAGTCCAGCCCTGCGCTCCGTGGCGCAATATGAAACAGACACATGGCCCACCACGTTTTCCCCTTTGCTCCATCCTTCTAATCATGTCAACGTGTCTGGTCTGGTATAGATGACTTCTCACCTTTCCGCTCGCTACAGGACTCAGTTCGCCCATGTCAACCCCTCGCTTACTTTTACTTCCAAACACGCTAGTGCAGCTCTTTGATGAAAGTTTGCTCTTTGCACAACCTCGATCACAGAAGACCTATCCCGGTCGCTCTCAAACACGTTCTGTTCCTCAACCACTGCTCGATCTCTGTGATTCAGCCATAGTTGCTCGAATCTAATTGGCCTAGAGTACAGGTCTCTCCCAGGCTCGGCCAACTCTCTACCGTTGACCATAGCCGATCAAACCTCACGACATCTGCTCATACCTTCTGCCCCGCTATCTTCTCTTGCGAAACATGCTATCCCCTGCGAAACGGCTATGCAGGTACCGACTTGGCATCTGTTATCATGAGCAAAACCTCTTTACAGACTCTGCCTTGGTAGTACATAAGTTACAGAATACGGCCGCAGTCCTGTGCCGTTGTAGGTCATCCTCTCGTCCTTCTTTTCTTCGTTCTATTAGCCTTGAAGGCTCATTCTTTTGTTTGAACAGTTCCCTGGTGGAATCTGCTTTTCCTTCTCAAGTCGTCTCTAGGCCTTGACGGTCTACATTTTCATTCTTCTCACTCTCTTGGAATAGTCCTAGCGACACGTCCTATTTTCTTGCAACATGGCTCGTTTCGCCGCCCTCCTGCCTCTTGCTTGTGCGCTGGGCGCCTTTGCCCAGAGTGTCGCATACAATGACCCCAACACTGGCATCGATTTCATGTCCTACGAAGATACAAAGTCGGGTGCACGCTTTGGTGTCGCTACGCCTGAGACTTTGGGTGCCGACTTCATCGGCCAGATCGTTGCCCCCACTACTGAAGGATGGGCTGGTCTTGACATGTCCGCCCAGATGGCAAACCACATCTTGGTCGTCGCGTGGCCAAACGGCGATGAGGTCATGTCATCTATTCGCGAGGCTACTGGTTACACCACTCCTCCAGTCTACACTGGCAACGCAACTATAACTCCCATCGCTAATGGTACTTTCGTCAACAGTACTCACTTTGCTTACACCTTCCTCTGCAATGGCTGTATCACTGGTGATTCAGATAGCTTCCCCAACACTGTCGCAGGCAACGCTTTCGGATGGGCTTACTCCAGCGACGCTCCAGCTAGCCCTTCTTCTGGAGATACTGCTTTGAACATGCATTCTGGATTCGGTGCTTTCGCAGTCATCTTTGCTAATTCTTCTTCTGCGAGCTACGATACTTGGGCATCGTGGGCAGAGGCTGCAGTTTCGGACCCTGCTCCTAGCGTTCCTGGAAATGGCAGCACGGGTACAAACCCCACCGTGGGCAACAATGGCACTTCTACCATCCCTGTTGCTACTACCTTGAACACGACTTACGACTACATTATTGCTGGTGCTGGTCCCGCTGGTATTATTGTGGCTGAGAGACTCGCCGAGACTGGCGCTGAAGTTCTTCTCATTGAACGTGGTGATGCATCTACATATGTGACGGGTGGTCGTGCTGTTGAGTCTTGGAACGAAACTGTCACTCAGTACGATGTTCCCGCTATGGCTTACTACCTCTCCACTGCCGGCGTCACCAATGAGTACTGCACTGACACTGCTGATCAAGCTGGATGTCTCCTTGGAGGCAGCAGCATGATCAACGCTCTCATGTTTGTCCGTCCTCAAAAGCGCGATTTTAACGACAACTGGCCTGCCGGCTGGAAATGGTCTGATGTCGCCCCCTCAGCCGAAAGCTTCTACTCGAGAAACCCTGGCACTATCTCTCCTTCCAAAGATGGTCAACGCTACGATCAAGGGGCTTACGATGTACTATCTACTTTCTTCTCCAGCAATGGATGGTCTTCCGTCAATGCACTGGAAGAGCCCAATAAGAAAATTGATGTCTTCTCGCACCCTCCCTGGAATATCCAAGATGGACTGAGAGCTGGCCCTGTGTTGACATATCTTCCTCTCGCTAAGGCAAAGAAGAACTTCCACATTCAACTCAACAGTACTGTGATCCGTGCTGTCCGCGAATCCTCTTTCATCACTGGTGTCGAGATCGAACTTGTGGATGGGAGCCGTCAAATCGTCAATGTCAAGACTGGGGGTAAAGTCGTTCTTGCAGGTGGTGCCCTCAGCACTCCTCGTATCCTCATAAACTCTGGCATTGGCCCTTCTGATCAGATTAAGATTGTTCAGGGCGGAAGCGTTGGCGTCACCCTCCCTGAAGAAGCAGAGTGGATTGACCTGCCCGTAGGTAAAGGCCTCAAAGACCATCCCATCGTGACTCTGAAATTCAAGACCAAATCTTCCCTGGCTTCTCTGAATACTACAGCTTTCACCTCCCCCTCTCAGGCAAACGTCGATCTCTTCGCCCAAGGAAACGGTCTTCTGGTTCAAGGTGGCCAACGTCTAAACTTCTGGTCCTCGGTGAACGGCTCAGATGGCATCGAGCGTTTTGTTCAAGGAACCTGCAACTCACCCTCCAATGACACTATCAAGATGAAGATATACCTAACTCATGGTCTTACATCTACTGGCGAGATTGGAGTTACCGCGGATGGAAGAACAAAGTATCTGCAGCAACCGTGGTTGAACACGCAAGAAGATAAAGATGCTTTGGCTTCCTTTATCGATCGACTCGTTTCTTTCACCAAGACTGCGAATTCAACATTGAGCTTGGATGCTGGGCTCACCGCGTCTTCAAATGTCACGGGAGCGGAGTTGATCAAGACCTTTGTTACGGGAAGTCATTTCGTGGGTACGGCGAAGATGGGAGAAAAAGATGGGAGGAATGGCGGTGATGCGGTTGTGGATCTTGATACAAAGGTGTATGGTACTGATAATCTGTTTGTGGTTGACGCTTCATTCCACCCCGATCTACCTACAGGAAATACACAGGCTATTGTTATGGTGGCTGCTGAAGCTGCGGCGAAGAAGGTGGCTGCTGTTGCTGTTGGAGCTTCTGGTAATGGCACTACTCATGCTGCTTCATCGACTATCGCGCCATCTTCTGCCATCACCTCTGCTATCGCTACTTCTACCGGCAAGGTATCGGCGACCATTACAAACGCACCAAATACCTCAGCAGCCAGCACGACAACAGCGACATTCACCGGTACTACAGCCATCACTTCTGTAGCCGTACCCAGCCCTGCATACACCGAAGTACCCAGATACGGCAGATGTGGCGGTATTGGATATGATGGACCCACAAAATGCGCAGAAGGATCGAGTTGTAAAGTCCAGAATGATTGGTATCATCAATGTGTTTGAGAATGATAGTGTGGCAGGTGGCGATGGGTTGGGTCTTTGCAGATGTACAAGTTTGAGGGGTTTTTGGTATAGATGTCTTTTCTCTTGGTCTTTTACTTTGGGCTTTGGCTTTTTGACTCTTTGTCTTGAGTGGGGAGTGTGGGTTTTAATGTGCTGTGGACTTGTATTTGCTCATGGTCATGAGAATACCTCATTCATACATTCCATCAAGAAAACTGATCCTATATGTGATATACTTGGGCGACGACCTCCACGAAACCTCGCTGTCCGCGTACAACATACAAACAGTATATCCAACGATTATCACCCCAGGTGTTGTATCTCCTACTTGTCCACCAATTCGTGAAAAACAAACACAATCACATGTCAAAAAGCTCCTCCACCCTCCGATGGAAAAAAGAGAAAAAAAAGTCATGATTTGGTCAAAGAATTTCATCCCCGCCCTATACCAAACGCACGAGCCACCCCCCCCCCCCC